TTCCCCTCCTCTCCCCCTCCCCGCGTTGGACCGGTTGGACCGTAACGGCCGGTTCGAGTTGGACGAGTCGAGAGACCCAGTTACTATGTTAGTTAGTAGCTGGCTAGTAGTACAACGGTGATGATGAATCGATGCCGTGTCGGAAATAATATCGAGCTAACATGACAGCTGCGATCGACATGGCAGCACTCCCCATTCCCGTCGTACAACGTTTGCGAAAAACTGGGAAAAAGTCTGCCTGCCCCAATGTGGGTGGTGATTCAACTACGTCTAGTAGTAACTCAATAGATGCGGGCCTTGTCCCACTTACGATGGATTGATTGATTCACCGACAGGTTGCATATTATCCGAGTTCAATCTGGGTATCTTTGTTTCTGTTCTGTTTGATGGGGAAAGAATCAATCCCATTGTTAGTTTCTTTCTATCGCTGCAGCTTGCCGATCGTTGTGATGGCTACCCACGTACATATCATCCTCCAGACATGGGATATCAGACGGGGAAAATAGCCAGACAGTCTCTGATAAGCATCCTTCACGACGGCTGTGGCAAATGCCATGTCGTGGCATCCAGCCACCTATCACTCTATGTTCAGGGGTTGGTTGTTAAGGTAGAATCATTCCGCAACGCGTGTCCAGAATCCGGGCTTTCCTTGCCGGGGAGGAGAGCAGAGGGGGACTGGATTATTGCCGATGCTAGTCAGACTTAGTATCATCATACAGGCTGATACAGAATGCGTAGTAGGTAGTAGGACTGTAGAAGTCGAGTTCCCCAGGGAAGCTTTATCTGACAGAAAACGGATTATGGATCAATGGAGCTGAGGAAGGGTGGACCACGGGGGGAGCGGATATGGGATCGACAGCGCCAGAAGGGAAAAAAACGACCGTTGCGACCGTTTGCAAGGGAGAGAAGAGGGGGGAGAGGGGCGAATATCATCTCGCCTCGCTAATATGAAAAACGTCCCTTGAAGAACGGCGATGGTCGAATCCCGGTGGACGATATTCGTCCCAAGGGTGGAACCCACCGGACAGGATCGCTAAACAATAACCAAGACAGAGATGATGATGATGGTGGTGGATGATGATCAGATATGAAAGTGGGAACAAAGATGAGAAAAGGGCAAGTGAGCGACAACGCCTGTATACCAAACCGGCAAGAGTCTAAAATCGATCGCAATTTTCCCAGCGCCTAGCCGGCAGTCTAGTTTCCCATCTAGTGGCCTTTCAATTGAGGGCATTTTGGCGAAAAACAGGCTTACATTCCAGTCGTGCCCTTGGCGGAGTCGACCTGCCAAGTGACGTGAATCATGTGATCGCCCCCAGATTTTCGATTCCTTTCTTTCTTTCTTTGCAATAACCCGTATGGCGTATTCGGTGTCCTCTTATCGGGATTGACCTGATGCCTTATGTACCAGTACTTGGGGATTATGATTGTCTGCAGGGCGCAGACAGACAATGGCCACTGCCCGCATATAATATCACCAAACCTAAGCACAGAGCATCATCCGACCCAATCCTTGAAACCTTTGACGCCACATGTCAACATTCACAGTGTGACTGAGTGACAGAAGGAGAGGGGAAGCAGAAAGCCAAAAAGCAAAAATAAAAGGGCCAGAAAAAAAGGGCGAAAAAAAACCAAAATGAACAGCAAGTGGATCGGACCCGGTAATCTCCCTGACATCTAGGCCCAAAACAGAAAGTTGACAGCTGGGACGTTGGCCCAAACCGGTTTAGCCTGGCGCCTCGCAACTGGAGGCTTGACGCAGGCTGACCAAATGGGAATCGAGTGTTTTTTTGTCCGTCGCTTTTTTGCTTTTCTGTCTTCTTTTTTTGCTTTTTCCCTTCCTTCCCGTCGCTGACCGGCCGATCTGTCTTGGATGTTTTAGACAAAAGCCCAATTTTTCGATTTTGGTCCATGGTGATTATCGAATATCGAGACCAAAAGTCGGATAGTCCCTCAGATCTCTTACTTGATACAATGGGGCAGACCCAGTTAAAAACATCATCATGAGATGAACAATCAATAGTTTCATTTTGTGAGCAGAATCTCGGTGTTGAAATAAATAAATAAATAAAAAACATCATAATCATCATACCCTGGACCGACACGTGAAGTGGAACCATTCTTTATCGCCTCCCGTCTTTGGTGTACCAAGATTTGATCATGGGAGGGTCCGGAAGAGGAATTCGAGTCATGGCATGCCAATCATTGCTGTTTGTTACATACCAGGGGGTATGATCTGGTATTAATATTACAATGTCTTGGATCATCGATCGAGAATGCGATACATCGGTATGCTCTATACTTACAGTCTTCCACAGTGCCCAAGTACATACACAATAGTACATAGTACTCGGTACCTAGTGTAGGTGTCTGAATGAATGCCGAGTTCTTCCGCATATCAACATCATCTCCGACTTCTTCCACAGCTAGCTCACCTAGTAACGATCCACCATCCAGCCGTTGGGAATGGTGACCTGACTCGTGGACTGCCCCAAGAGTCGGTCTGCAAGAAAAAAACAGATATCAGACTATTGCATAACTAAATCGCCTGAGCTGATTGAGCCGTTTCTTCTCCCAGATTTAACTCTTTCAAGACCGTTGACCGTTAGCATCTCCTGTTCTCCACCCGCATCAAGAAAATTCCCATCCATGGGCCCGAGGTGGTTCTCGACCCACACAAGGTCTGTTATGGGCCTATGGCTAACGATAGAGCCATAGGGCCGCATCATCAGGTATGTATATTAGGCTAAACTGAAAGCTGTCTGGATACTGTGCACTATCTAGAAGCTATGATGCAGGTTGGGTGTTGAAAGGGTAAAGAGCTACACTCGCCTTACAGGACAGGGCTGGGAAGGAGGAGGAGGGAGTTCCGGCCGAAAGAGACGGCCGAAGGTGATATTGTGATACTGAGCAAGGTAGGTCATCTACGTTGGGTAGTACGTGTGGCTGGGCAGGATTGAATTGCAATATCCATGAATCATGTTGTGTCCGCTGTCCATCAATTCCCCATTCTTTCTCGGGAATAATAACACCATGAACTTGTACTCCGTAGCTCCTACTTCACTCGGTAGTCGATAAACGGTAGACTGTGACTGTGGATACCTACAGTGGATTCAAAAACCCGATCCTTTTTTTCCAGAAAAGCAGAAATAAAAAATAAAATAAAAAATAAAAAGAAAGGGGGAAAGTGGAAGCAAAGCCCGTCAAATGACGGTAGATGAAGCAACTCCAGATTTTGGATTGAAGTAGACTTAACTCCGAGTTAGCAGCGGAGAATATGCCGTGAAGGGAATAAGGACATGGTTAGGAGAGTGTCCAAGATCCATTAATAATTCTCCGTAAGCATCATCTTATGGAGCATCATTTTCATCGTAGGACGATTATGATCCACGCGTAGACATATTAACACCTTCCTAATTGATGGTAGATGTAATTCTACATGTTCATGGTCATAACAACCGAGAATATTATATTAATATTAATTACTATACTATTTAATTACTGTAGTAGTATACTATAATACAGTATAATATTAATATATAATATTAAGTTCCACGGCTGTTTGATATTCTCTGCCAGCAAATAAGACAATGCCCCATCTGCATCTAACCAGATCAGTTCGATTAGCTGGTCGAATCGACGATGCCATCTCACATATAGTCATGTATTTTATATTAATGCGACAGGGATGTCGTAATCTTATAATCTTAATTGTTGCTATTCTGCAGAATTCTGATATAGGCCACATACATATTCTTACCTATGTATATATACATCTGCTTATTTATTCAGGGGGGAACTCACCCCCAATACCCGATGCAAAGTACTCGATCACCTCAATCTAGCCAGATGCATTGCATTCCTGTTACACCGTTGAAAACCCGCCTGGATAGTCTGATTGATAGATACCCAAGAGGAGTTGAGTTGTTTTAATTAGCCAACCGGCTGTGTTCCATGAAAAGTCTTGCTTTCTTTTCTTTCTTTTCTTTTTTTCTTCCCATTTCATTGTTTTGCATAATGTAGTTTGTCAAATAGTTGAATCTATCCAGGTCTGTTTCATTGGTTGTCTTTAGGTTATGTCCTTGGTTACAGGTATATTGCATACACATACGTGTTCGCGAACCAGTTCGCAAAAAAAATAAAATAGCGTGCATGCCATAGATTATCATGAAAAAAAGGTAAAAGTAAAACAGTGGTTCAACTTTCCTTCTGGCCGATATAATTTTTTCTTTTTTTGTATTTGTCAATCTTATTTTTCTTATTTTCTTCTTTGCTTTTTTTTTTTGCCTCTTCTTCACGGCTCACATAAACGAGGTCCCCGAGCACAGCCAAAAAAAGAAAGAAAAAAGGGATCGGCAGGCCTCAATCAAAGCAACCAGAGATTCGAGTGGAAACGGCAATTAAAAAAACAAGATCTTCAAAATGGTGCAATTTAAAAAAGAACGTTTTTCCCTGGATAGCCTTTTGTCCGTGGTTTCAATCTCGATAATTGCCGGAGGGGAGAAGGTCGCAAATGGACAATTGACAGCTTTGACAGGCGCCACAGATGAGGGTCGAATCCACAGTCACTGCCACATGAGGATGATATATTTAGAAGTGGGAAGGTTGGGACTTGCAAGTCGTTATTTTATTTGATCTTCATTGCCTTCATTTTATTCCTTAGTACAGAGGTATTATTCATTCTAGACGTTCTATTTTGGTGACTGTCTGGTTGTGGGTTCATCGAATTTCGATGACCATCGCTTGTTAGTTCTGTTCCTACACGAGATGAGATGATCACGATGAAGGGTTCGGGAATGGAATTGGAGACTTGGAGTATTTGAAATGGTCCCCGATACTGAATAGCTAGTATGTGGATATGGATGTATCGATACTCTGTTGTGTATCACAAGCTAATACTATGTAGGCATGATATCCAATAGCCAAATGTGCTCTCATGCAGAGAGACCAATTGATATCCATCATCCACCACCACCACGACATCATCCCCCCTCATCCTATCACCGCCAATATGCCTTTGCAACCGAATTGATGTAATCGATCCCATCCTTCCGCCACGTGTCCGCCTCCATCTGGCTCGTGACATTGGCATCGAACAAAATATCAACCGGTCGATCCGTGTTATACGCCTCCCACCGAACGCTGTCGCTGCCATTCCCGATGCCCCCCGAATTAGGATCCAGGTCGTGGATGAACGACGCCCACATGCCCGTCATCAGCTTGCTCAGCTGCGCGTAGGACTCGGGCACCCCCGCAAACGGCTTGCCGTAGTGATACCCAAGGCCGGCGAGGTTGTAGAAGACAAAGGCGACTTCTTCAAAGTGCGCTGCGCCCGAGAGGTACGGGGTGTCGGCCGGGCGGACGTTGAAGCGGTAGCAGTAGGCGGGTGTGTTGGAGGCTGCCCACGTTGCGCATTGTCTTCGTCGGTTGGCGTGCATGAAGTAGTCGCCTGCGTAGGCGTTGGTGCGGCGCCATTGGAGGCCCTTGGAGGGGATGCGTTCGCTGCCCAGATAGGCTGGGATGCCTTGTGATGGGTCGTCTGGGTAGAGGTGCAGGATTTGCTGGGCTATTACGGGGGGCAGTTTGAACCCGGATTGTCCGTCTGGTGAGTACGTCAGATGGTGTAGAGCAGAGTGATTTCAAGATAGATGGACTGGACTCACCGGTGAGGTACGAGTAGAACTGCTCAGTCGTGTTAATCCCCGTAGGCCCAAACGACGTCCCCTCATCCGAGTTGGTCCCTGCGATAATGGGCACCTTGATAAATGCCTCCTTGTCGAGGTTGAGACTGCCCCAATCCCGGATCAAATCGCCATCAATCGCCGGCGAGAAATTGTACACTGGCGAGCCATCCGTGCCGTTGAGAGCTGAGTTCAACTGTTCGAATGGAACCTCGCGCAGGCATTGCAGCGTGTCCACCACGTTCGAGCAATTCACCTTGGCCACCAGCTCGTCGTAGTCGGCCTGGTATCCTGTGTTATTCAACGGACTGGGAGATATGGGGCCTCCAGATTGCAGGATGGCGCCTCGAAAGAGACCATCGTCTCGACCTCCGTATGCCGTGAGATGATATCTGGTCTGTTAGTTTCAATAACCCAGTCTCGGCTCTATTAAAACTCACCCGACGCTCATCCCACCTGCTGACTCTCCCCAGATAACTACCTTGTCTGGATCGCCTCCAAAAGCGTGGATATTCTCCTTCACCCACTGCAACGCCAGTCTCTGATCTCTCAGCCCGATATTCGTATTCCCACTGCCTGTGACTTCGCTCGACCCGAGAAATCCCCACGCCGATAGTCGATAGTTCAGCGTGACGCCAATAAACGGTTTACCTGTGGGGTATATTAGTGTCTTGTCTGTGTCGAGACAGTGACAGCATACCGATTTCATGGGCATTCGATACAATTGCAGACATGTTATACCGTTGATCAGCCCCAGAGCCCATATAATAACCTCCTCCATGGATCCAGACACCCACGGGCAGCTTCGAATCCTCATCGACAGACGAGTCCCGGATTACGTTGAGCGTCAGGCATTCTTCCGCCATGGGATACCAGATTGAATCGGTCTGCTTATGAGCACAACACATATACAAGAGACAGGGAAGAGAAGGCAACTCACCCCATATCCCACACAAATATCCGAATACTCCTTTGCCTGCCTCTCCCCCTCCCAACTCTCATTCAACGACTTGGGAACGGTAAATCGCAAATCTCCCACCGGCTGCTGCGCATACGGTATACCGAGGAAGAAGTCCTGATTATAATGCGCATTTCTCGTTCCAGCGTACGTCCCGTTCTGGACGGTGGCTTTGGGATCTGAGATAGTAGGTGCGGAATTCACACCAGCAGCGCATAAAGCGAAGAAAGCAAGGGCTGGTTTGATCATTTTTGCAGAAATGCCCGTTTGTCTGGCTGTGTGGGTGAAACCCACACCCAAGACTTGAGCTCAATATATATAAATGTCAAGACTTGCGGGGCTATTCATCGCAATCAATTGCCATGGCGTGGCAGTATAATAAAACACTCATATTCACCCATTCTACCGAGGATTTATCCTATCTAACAGCCCAACTAGTTTCAGAATCCATTGAATATGGGGTGATGCGGAGCAGGAAAAACGTCACAGATGCAACTTGCAGCGGGGCCCATCTTGCACGTTTTGCCCCTCAACTATCCTGTTTGAGGATAAAAGGGGTCTTGTTGATGCGGAGAAATTGAATTAGTCTCGTGGGGCCCCGGATGAGAGATATTTTGTATCGTGGAGAGGAGGAGATGGAGATGGAGATACACCGACAATTACCCGTGAGCCACTTATTATAAAGGCTATCCAAAGCTAATGGGATGCCACGGATGTATGCCCAGCTTGAGTTAGGCTGGAGTCTGATTGAGAAATAAGCAGTGGAGAGAGGTGAAAATATTAGGAATAGCACTAAATATGTTTTCTATTGTGGTGTCTGCATGCGTTTTAATTTGCAGCTTATTCCTCGATTACTGATTGTCATTAGACAAGATTGACAGTTGTGGCTTCAACCTCATTACAGAACTTGTCCCTCCTGGCCCACTTAAAGGCCTACTATGCTATACTCGCATATACAAATGTGAACAACCTCAGAAGAATTCACAACCTCCAGCCTCGAGCTCTCTAAACAGCAGACTAAACTACAAAAGCCCAACACCTGTGATCCTTTTATGGTCGTGAGCTGGAGCTGTGCCTCAGATGTCGAGGAAGGTGGGTTGGGCATCCGTCGTCTGCAAACCCTCCAAGGCTGTAAGTGGATAAACGATGCAAATTATTCCAAGCATGCATTATTGCCTTTCATTCAACTGGCATACGCAGATGATCTTACTTTTCTTTGAAGAAATTGAAACAGAGCTCAGTGTTCCATCACATACACCGAATCAACAGACAGTACTATCCAGGATAGAGCATATATTGTCTCAGTCCGAGTATGACGCACTTCGACCGTGTTTGCAGTCGTATGGTTACACAATACACTCACCGTAAACAAGTCTAAACGATCATCCATCCATATTCGGTGGTTGTCGACCGGCTGTGAGAGTCATCTTCGTGCAACAGCAACGTCTCATGTCTCAGCCTTCCTCGCACGGTATGATGGTATAGAGTTTCGATAGTCGGAAGGAAAGTGATGGAAGGTATTCCAATTGGTGCTCAGGATTGTCCATTAAAAAGTGATGTCTTTGTCTCTGTGATGGCCAAATCTAGCAGGGCTGGTTATCGGATAACTGCATGTGAAGTTGGATTTGGTAAGCCTGTTTTTGCAAGGTCGTACAGATATTTGGTTTCATGTGTCTTTTTTAGCCAGAGGTAGAATGATGTCGAAGATGATATCCGCCGAAAATATGATAAAAGAAGTCTTCAGCGAAATAATACTTCAACGATAAAGCATAAAGCTGTTTATTCCTACCCTCTCAAGATGTGCTGGTGTCCATCAAACCAATTTCGCCCACGATCAACCCAAACATCCCCCTCAGACATAGACGAAATCATCGCCGTCACGAAAGGCTTCCTCGCCGCACTGGGAGCAAAATCACGAAAAGAATTCGAAAAATACTGCGTTCGAGCAGGAGGAATGGCGCTGTGGCCGCCGCCGCCCACACTGCCTCGCTTCTGCACCATCGGCTCATTTGTCGAGCATATTGCCAAAATCCAGGACGATATTGATGAGCGAATCTGGGATCCCGAGGTCAAGGTGCATGGGGCGGGAAATCTGGCTGCCGTGTGGGCGCCGTTTCGGTCGAGGATTAATGGAGTCGTGGATCATGTTGGTGTTGAGCTGTTTATTCTGCATAAACTCGACGAGGGATGGAAGGTGACGGGGTTGGCTGATTCGTGTCGACGACCGACGGAGGAGGAGAGGTTGTCTTTGGTTTGAATTGGATGTTGGATGGATGATTGCTTTGTAGGTGAAATTAATCGGATATTAAAAACTTCATAAAACATATGCTGATGCTTAAACAGAACATAACTGACAGTAGATCGTCAATCATAGATACCACCAAATAATAGAAAAGAAAACAGCATGTCTATCTCATAAACCGAACCTGTTCTCTGCGCCGCCCATTTTGAAGTGTGCATTCACGCATCTATATCTAATTCTTCTTGCCCCGGAGTAGCTCCCATCCAGCGCTTCCTCCCTTACCTTCCTTCACGGCCATCTCATCAACCGATTTGACGAGATCGTAGCAGATTTCCTCAGATACCACACTGTCATGCTTGTATCCTGGGTGTGATGCGACAAATTCACGGATCCACTTGGCTCCAGTCCAAAGTCTCCCATCTGCCCGCTTTCTGATCAAGTCCAGATAACTTGCCAAAGAGCAACGGGTCTCGACGTCCACATTGACACTGTCCAAATAAGATTCAACAAGTGGAATAAGTCCAGGGAAAGATCCGTCAGAGGAACCGTTGATAATGTCCGAAATTGTCATGAGATCGTATTCCATTTCCACTGGGCCAAGAGGAGGTGACGGTGGTGGCGTATTGACAGCAGAAGAAGCAGTAGACGAGAAGTTGCTGCTGTTAGCCGACTGCTGTTGCTGTCTTGGAGCACGGCGAGCAAACGGGTCCTTGCGGAAATAGAACTTCTGGTCGTGCACTGCGTTGCGTGCGTGCGCCGTCTCCATATTCTCAGTCGTCCGCTGAATAGGGATGTAGAAATTCAGATCAAAGCTCAGAATGGCACGGGTGACGAGCACAATGAAAATGCTAAAGGCAGCATTCTCAAAATCCGTCATCTGGATTTCCATCGAGCGGAATTCAACTCTCCAACCGATATCATCCTTGTCAGGCGGTGGTGGCTTGAAGCGCATGTGTTGCCAATTTGTAGACTGCAAGTTCTCAAAGTGATCGGCCTTGCTCAAATCCAATTCCTTGAGATCTTCAGAGAAAATAACCAAGGGGTCCCGAATGAAGAGGTGCGCAAAATGCGTAGCCAAAAGATCATCCATACCGCCTTCCAATAGGCGTTTCTTGATATCTTTGTCGACAATCAAATCCGGATCCAGATACTCCTTTCGTAGCCTGGGATCTTGGGAAATGTAGGTCGAATTTGACGCGTACCTGGACTTGGGGATCCTCCACCGATCATTCTTGAGCGGCTGTAGTAAGTCAGCATTAGTCTATCACCAATTGGATTTAGCAACCTACAAGCTCTCCAAGTTCTTCAGGGGTTCGGTCATCGACCGCCCCGCCAATTTGGTTCCATCGAACATCTGTGTCGACAAGGAATCCCTTATATATCGGTGTCGCGGCAGTGAGTGCCAGAAGAATTGGGCCCAGGGGGCTGAGTTGGTCATAGAGTCTTCTCCCCTCCGTCATATTTTTCGCTTGGAATGTAATCTGAAGACAGCAGCTACCCATTCCAAACGCCATGGCGTCCATATAGACATGGCCGTCTTTTGCGGCTCCATTCCGAACATCGTCATCTTCAGGCCACTGATGGAGATCATAATCCACGGTTGGATCTTTGAAAGGCTCAGGTGTGTTTGTGTCCTTGAAAACAGGTACATTCAATTCTACCTTTCGGCCCCTTCTTGATCTTATATTGGCCGCCAAAGTCGGGAATCTGATGTGAGGATTGGCAATCTCGTCGGGAACAAACTGCGAGCGCAATGCTGGACCGGACGGAGGGAAATACGGTTGGATGTAGTCGTCCTTTGTGCCCAGGCGAGGGAACGTCGTCAGGGTGATGGGGTATTCGTTGGGTGCCATGTGGGCTTTCGCAACCTCACGTCTTGAATCATGGTTAGAGAGTTGGAGTTGTTCCCGCAATCATATCAGACTCACCTCCGCTTCATATTGGACTCTACCTTCAGTAGATCTTTGAAACCAATTCCCCATGGCCTTCCTGGTGTAGCCTCAAGCATAAATCGTCCAAATTCTGGGTGAAAGTGAGGTGGTTCCTCATCACTAAGAACTATCAGAAAGTGTTCTTCCTCGATTCATATCCCCAAATCTACTTACTTCTCAGGTCCCTGGACATTGTTTTCAGAGCCTGCCTGCCACAGTGCTTCGTCCCTGGCCAGTGACTTGAGAATCTCAGCCTGAGCAAGAGATAACCGGGCTTTCTTGGCCTCCCCGTCCACTGCTACAACAAGGTATTCGACCTAATTTTGAACGAAATAGTTAGCGTAAGTCCTCTCGTTCCTCATGATACCATTCCAAAGATAACCTACCTCATCACCCCATAGCAGAGCATCGCGCTCCTTCCCACGTGCACGGCGCCAATTTGCAAGTAATTGCTGCTTCACGTTAGCCGTTGCTGACTTTGAGACCAGGCGAACAGTGGCAAAGAGAAAAAAACGGTGATGATTCGTCTAGGCCTTACCTCAATACCCCATTCACGGACTTGGCCGGCATTCTTCTTTGCCTCAGGCCATTCCAATGCTGTTCCAAGCGCTCTGAGATCAAGGTTCAAAATTAGCCTTCACATCCCCAAGCAGAAAGTCCCAGCAATAACCTTCACATACAGCAAACCCATTGTATAATCACCAAATCGTAGGAGCTAGACTGTGAATTCAGTGTCGAGAGAAGTTCTCGGAATCGTCAGGCCAGCCTTTTCAGACTCGACTTAGAAGCCCCGCAGAGGTGAGGGGAAGACCCTTGGTGTCGGATGCGAACTAGGGCATCCAAAAGGAAAAAAAAGCCCGGGAGGGAAAAGAAAAGAAAAAAGGATCAGCAGCAAAGAGCGCTAAACCGATCGCTCAAATGTCGACGACCAGAGAGACAAACAGCAAAGGAATTCCCAAGTAGGTGATAGGCTTCCCAGACATCACTGTCTTTATGCTGCTTTTTCTTGCTCTCCGATCCTTCGGGGACCAAAAGCCCGTCAATTGCCTATTGGCGTAGGGTGTCGACTCGTCCTGATTGTGGGGGGCACTTTTGCACGTCGGCCGTTTCGCGGCGGGGCATCAAGACATTTTATCGTTGATAACGCAGTATGCGCAGCGGAAAACAGGAGGAGGATTTCTAAGCGGGAATGCCGAACGGAGAAATCAGGTGATTACGTTGATTGCACGTAATGTGCACCAAAATCTTATAAAAGCAGTCATCTTTTGGGATTATTAATGCCAGAAGAAAACTGTAGAAAGAGACGGATAACTGTTACTTCAAATTTCTGTATATTTGCCGATTATTGGTGCGACTTTATGCTGCAGCTCACTGCATATAGTTGTCCCAGTCCATGTATTACTAACCATGCTGACAAAATTATATGACAATTCCCCGCTTCAAACGCCGATATCAGTTCTTACTAGATGAGGGCATACACTAGAGGGGTAGTCGTTTTGCCGGCTGGCAAAAGGACAGGGGTTGAAGAAGTCATCTTACTGACGAGACCCATGCCTGGTCTATATTGCTCCATAGAGGCACCGGATAGTAACGATTGCATGATTCTTTCTGCCAGAAGCATCTGGATGCCGATAAGGACATCGTGATACGGGATGCAACATGGAGCTTAAGAGGTGAAAAGCCAGTCTGCTGACAAATTCGAAATAGTTTCTTTCCCATAACCCATTGATCGAGAAATAGGAACTCCCATGTTTCTTGCATATTTCATATGCGACATCCTGGTCTCCCCAAGAAGCCTTGCGGGATAATAGGTGCCTCTCTCATCAAAGAAGAGTCTAAACACTACAGACAAGGCTGACAGTGAGCCGATCTGGGTTGCAGGCATTCAGTGGTAGGTATCGGCAAGCTTCATATCAAAGGATTCCCAACGCCAGACTTTGTGCATGGACAAGCAGTCTCACAAGCTCTATGTACATAATCCGCTGCTTCAATTCGTGTCAAATGCACACATGCCAGTTGTGGCTGCAATCAATTGCTTCGAGCACCGTCCTTTGCGGCTCTAAGCTCATCCATCTTGGCGACGCGCTTCTTGAACTCTTCGTACTGGCATTTTTCGTAGCTATGTCTCTCGTCCTGTGGTAACGAAAAGGCAGTGGTGTCAGCTGATATCTCGGAGGAAAAAGAAAAAAGGTGTATATCAAATTGCTTCGGGACGACGTCGCGACGTCGAGAGTTCATACCTCACACTTCCAAGGGAGGTAGTATTCCTGCTGCCGGCATCGGTTCAATGGGATCAAGAGGTTTGCACACGAGTCGCGGTATTGGAGGGGAAGACGGGCATCCGACATCTCCTGGCGGGAGGCAGCTATATGGGGATGCGTCAATTAGCCAATCAAGATAATGTGATTGTCATTGCTCCAGCTTTTGCAATCGAGATCCAATGGCAAGGAACAGCATACCGGTGTTATCCGCAAGCCCAACGGCGCTCTTTACCGACTCAGCAACAGTCATCTTGGGCAGATAGGCGGTACGGATGAAGATCGTGGAGGAATGGGCGGGCAGCGAGGTTTGCAGCTATTCCCGCCGTTCACTGTTGTTCCTTCCTTCCCGATATGATCAGGTGACCCCACGTGATTGATACACCGGAACGGGACTAGCGCCAGATTTCCACTTTACGCGGTTCCTCCTTCCAGGCGCGTCTTACTCCGTTGGCCCTGCAAACCACCGCGTTATCGAGATGTCATTGAGCCTACGACGAGCCACCAGTGGCTGATAAATTATCCCTCCGGCTTTGATTCTTATGTTCAATGTGATGTGTTGGATGCATGAGTCTGTGCTGAATAGTTGATGCTCCAGAACTTGATCAACACCGTGGGATCTTGTTGCGAAAGCCGCGTCGAAACCTCCTACTGCTGCCCGAAAACTTACTGAATCAAGTCGGCTTACGGAGACGCACATCATGGCGGGGTTAAATCTTACTGGGATTTATTCTGCTACCTATAGCAATGTAAGTGGCTGCTCCTGACCGCTTCTCGCTTGGCTTTATTTGTTCTTTAGTGTATTCATTTCAATGGATAAGCAATGTCGCTGACTCTCAACTAGGTCCCGGTGTATGAATTCAAGATTGAAGGTGATAGTGTTATGCGACGACGTGCCGATGATTGGATCAATGCCACCCACATCCTTAAAGTAGCCGGGTTTGACAAGCCAGCGAGGACACGAATTCTTGAACGGGAGGTCCAGAAAGGGGTCCACGAGAAGGTCCAAGGTGGTTACGGAAAATATCAAGGTAAGTAACTCGGGATACTACAATGAACTTTGGGATCACCATTTGCTAAGACGGAAGAAATCAGGAACATGGATCCCACTCCCCGAAGGACGTATGCTTGCTGAGCGCAACAATATACTCGATAAACTAAGGGCAATATTTGACTATGTTGCTGGAGATCAAAGCCCTCCACCAGCACCGAAACACACTTCAGCATCATCAAAACCTAAAGCCACGAAGGCATCGCGCAACCGAAACGTTCCAAATGAAGAGGTCTTCAGCATCGCTAAGCCATCTCGCAGCATGGGACCTCCCAGCTTCCCTCCTGAGCCGCAATACGATGTGAATCCAGGTTTTGATGAAGATGAGTCAATCGAGCAAAATACCCTCGAATCTTCCTCCATGGTCGCAGATGAAGATATGATGCCAATGTCTCAACAAGGTGCGTTCTCGCGGAAGCGCAAGCGAGGAATGAACGAAGTAGCTGTGATGTCCATCACTGAACAGGAGCATATTCTCTATGGCGATCAGCTTCTGGACTACTTCATGACCGTGGGTGATGCACCAGAAGCGACCCGGGTCCCTCCTCCAGAACCCCCTGCCAACTTCCAAGTGGATCGTCCTATTGACGACTCGGGAAATACTGCACTTCACTGGGCTTGTGCAATGGGTGATTTGGAGATCGTGAAAGATCTTCTGCGAAGGGGTGCAGATGTCAAAACACTATCTATACACGAAGAAACACCGCTTGTGCGTGCTGTCCTCTTCACAAATAACTATGAGAAAAGAACATTCCCCGCTCTCTTGGAACTCCTCGTTGAGACAGTCTCATTCAGAGATTGGTTTGGAGCCACAATCTTCCATCACATAGCCGAAACAACCAGAAGTAAAGGGAAATGGAAGAGTTCCCGGTATTACTGTGAGGTTTTGCTAGAGAAGCTGCGCATTACATGCTCTCAAGATGAACTTGATTTACTTCTATCTTGTCAAGACTCCAATGAAGATGCAGCTGTTCTAGTTGCTTCTCGGAATGGTGCATTTCGCTTAGTGAACTTGCTTCTAACTCACTGCCCGCGTGCAGGTGACCTAGTGAATAAGAAAGGCGAAACGGCCACAAGCATTATTCAACAGTCACAGCATACTGAGCGAGACATTCCGCCACCCCCATCGTCAATCACTATGGGAAATGACCAAATGGATGGTGAAGGCACTGGACCTGTCAACGCTGATCCCCAATCTGCACCGCCAGAAGAACTGTCTCCTGCAGCATCAACCTTGCTCTCTAAAATCGGAGTCCTCATGGCAGAAGCGAACAAGAAACTTGCCGTGAGCTATGGAAATTCGAAGGCTGGCCAGCAAGATTCCGATGATGTTGCTAACCCCGAGGCCTTGTATGAACAATTAGAAATGGACCGCCAGAAGATTCAGAAACAGTCAGCCACTTTGTTGGCAAAGGAGGCCGAGCACGAGCAGATGGGCTCGCAGCTTGGGCGGTATGAGCAACTGAAAAGTAGTTACGAGTCTCTTCTCGAACAAATTCAACAAGCTCGTCTTCAAGAGCATGCTAGATCGATGGACACTTCGATGACAGAAAAAACCGAAGCACTGTCGACTGATCATAATGAGCTTCTTAAAACCTACCAACTTTCTCGGCAACTCTTCTTGGCACAAAAAGCACGCCGAGCGGCGGTAAAGGAACTTGCGCAACAAACTGCAGATGCGGGTGTGAGTACCAAATTTGACGTGCATCGCAAGCTTGTGGCACTCGCGACTGGCCTAAGAGAGGAAGAGCTAGATCCAATGGCTGCTGAGCTAGCAGAAACCTTGGAATTCGATCGAATGAATGGAAAAGGACAAGGGGCTGATTCGCCAGAGCCAGAGCATAGACGGCAACCATCGCATAAAGATTCGACAGCAATTCCTTTCCCCGGGCCCACAGTTTCCGTTGATGCTTGAACAGCCCACATCCGTCTGTCTTTTATATGAAAAGATTTACCACCAATTTTCTGTTACTAATCTCTGCCACTTTCCATTGAGCGTCTTCGTCGCTCAGTTGCCATTTACTTGAAGGCTTAGATACGAAGTCTGAGACTGAGTTTAACTCCGGGAGAGCACAGAAATCTGACGCTCTTTTCCCTTTCATGCGCCCGAGTCGGTCACTCCTTTATGATTGTACTGTTTATTTTTCACTCCTGGCAAATATCCGAAACACCCTGCCAGCAGATACCCCCCCTCTACCTCTTTGTCTTTTTTTCTCCTTCATTGATGTACTATGTTGTCTCGCGTCTTTAAATGTTCATTTCAAGCCTAAGTTCATTTGAAAATGTGTGTTTGTTCCAGCATTAGCTTGGCTGGGCCTCGGGACAAACGTGTCTGTTTGCATGGGCGCGTGTATGTACATAGGAAACTGCGGCCTAATATTTCCGGCAGCTTCTGTCCATAGTTATTTCCTGTACTGTATGGGATGATGGCAATCCAAGAATTTGCATTATCATGTTCTAGATCGATCAGCCTGTCTCAGCTTAGTCCGTGGCCCTGATACCAAGACATCTGGTGGTTTGTGGCTTAAGCCACGCCGTTGCAGCTTCAACGGGAGGATTAGCAGAATCCCGATATGCTTTCAGATATGTCAACTGTATGGTCTTCCCGTAGAGTTAATTCCTGTGTCAGGTTGATGGTGAGTAGATTATGCCCCTGTTCTAGACTAAGTGGGGGATAAGCAGAGTACTCGAGAGGCACAATCGCCCATCCCATCCACGGTTCAGCCACTCTGGCTGTGACGAATCTCTGCTCCGACCGCCCTCCGAGCCACCACTGGAGATCAACGGCTGGGATGATCATTGCCCGAATGTTGACAGGCTTTGACAGTCCGTCACCGAATCCCGTCTGGCCCTGCTTTCGAGGGTTGATCGGCAGGTGCAATCATTTCGTTTTCTGGAACACACAACACGACTGACGATGATGAGAAGAGTTTTATGGGTCTTTGCTATGGCTTCTTCTCGTTCTAGCCTCCTCAGAGGCTCAGGGTCCTCTTGGTGGGTTCCATTCACCGGGCTCCCGGGCCTCATCTTGGTTGATCAATTTGCCTGAAGACATGGCTTGCCTATACACGCAACCATTGCCATCACAATCGAGGCAACTCTGACCAAGGATAGAAGTCATGGCATACGTTTTCGCAGGACGATCTTTAACCTTGAGTTGACTCTTCTTTGCTTATTATTGGCGGTAGGGATAGCTGCAAAGCATCGGGACCTGGATACAAACTTTCGCTGGACGGGATCTTGGGTCGAGTTTTTCCTGATGGAGGGTCCTTCGGCCGTGGGATAATCACCTTGTTTCATCTCGTCATGCTAATACGAGCCCGAGAGAGAGAGGGAATTTTTAATCTCTGCTGACATGGGAGTGCTTGAAAAACCAGGCTCCTCCCCCGGTGGATTGGAGTTTTCTTGCTACTAAATCAGTGCTGTGCACCCATTCCCACAAACATTTGAACACTTTTTCTCTTCATTCTCTCACAACAATTCCACATTCACTATGAAGGCCTTTACTGCCCTCGCAGCTTTTGCTGCTCTCTGTGCTCCTGCTGCTGCTTTCGGCAACTCGACTGCTCCTTGGGGCAACTATACTGTTCATGCGAACTCTACTCGCCCTGCGCCCTCTACTTTCTCTACTCACCCGGCAAGCTCGAGTGTTGTCCCAGTAAGCATTGCATCCTCTTCCCTTCTGGTCCAACCTCATTAACATGACCTTCCAGTCTGCAACCCCCACTCCTGAGTGCGATCCTTCTGAGCACCACAAGACCGGTGGACCTCCCTTCGGCCCTGCCTGCAAGACTCCTCCTGGCTGGATCAAGAATGGCCGCCCTACTGCTCCTGCCAATGGCTACTACGACCACCACCCCCAGAACTAGATTCTGGAATTGGTGACAAGTTAATGGGCGTGCATTGCTGTCCGTTTGCTTGGAGTTACTTCGTTCTCTCTTGCTTGCTAAGATGTTGATTTCGTCTTGAGTGTGCTGGAGAGCTGGATTGTGGTTTGACTGCTGGATCGGTCTACTGGATGATATTATGCTGGGCTTCTGTATTTAGACCATAGACAATTGAAGCAATCCTGTATATATCCCGAGTGTCCAAAGTCGATCATATCATATCAATCTATTGCGTATGCTTTGGCCTTGTCCTGCAGACATGTAGGGTAGTACATAAGGTACGGCGTACGTACCTTGCATGTGCTCTCCTTACAGTAGATGAGATCATACATATCTGTGCTCTTCTAGGTTGTTTAGGCTTTATCCAGGCCTATCCATGTCCAAAGCTGACTAACCAGAAGACATCCTCTATGCACAACATTGTCTGGCAATAATAATGGCCACGTTGGAAGCGCTAGAGCAGACGTCAGCAGCCAATTGGCATGCATGGCTGACTGTAGGAGGCAAGATTGTGTCAGGCTGGAGTGGCAATCCGGGGATGTGGTTGGTCAGAGCGGCTGTTGGCTGCAAATCAGTACGAGGGGCGATGATTTTCCATTGTTCCTAGTAATATTCTCCAGCAGCCACCACTGCCTCTCCATGTCAGCAATGTCAGTCTCACCTGCATGACTCCTTTATCTGTCCTTTCTAATCTGTTCTTTTTTATGATTCATTGTGCTTCTCTGTGCCTCTCTTCTTATTATTATTGACTGATTATTGTTCCTTTGTCTAGGATCAATAGTTCTTCATTTCATTTCCGATCCCCGGACTAATTCCTCACTAAGCCCAGATCGTCCTAGATCCGCTGCCAAGCGAGCCAATCACTGCCCGTGGATCCCACGCGCCAACCACCAGGCGTCTCAGAGCCGCTCCGCCATTGGCTGCTGGGCCCTCGTTTCTTTTTCACTCACTCACTCTCTCCTCTCTCTCTCTCTCTCTTCTTCTTCCCCTCTCCTTCTCTTGTTTTTCTATCCTTCAAACCTTCAATCTAATCTTCACTTCCTTTCTTCTTCTCTTCTTCTTTTCGTTCCCCCTCCCCTTAATTTTTTCTACTTTCTTTTTCTCCCTCTCTCTGCATTCCCTCTTTCTCCGCAGAAAATCTTCCTCCTACAATCTAAAAATACTCCCCCAAAAATAAGGGCCGTTTCCTTTCTCCCCCCCCTTACTGTTAGGGCGGAAAAATTTAGGTGTTCCCTGCGCGTGTCTGGCCGACTGCCGAAGCGACGCTTTTCCCCCCCCAAAAGTCATCATCATCCATACCCAAAAATCCCACCCTTTCTTAAAGGTTGCAATCTTGCAACGATTCAAAAAATAAAAAATAAGATCCCTTCCATCCCTTACTTCGACATCGTGGTTCTGTCACTTCTGGGTTAATTCCTTATTTAATCCTTTGGTTTCGACGACGACGAGGACTTCTGCATACTTAACTGGACTTTTTCTTCTTTTCCTCCTTTCGATTCTCCCTCGAGTCTCCTGCTCCGTCTTCGCGTCGAGCATCTTTTTCATCCAGCTGGGATTGCAGAGCATCTCCCACGCGCCTTTTTTTATTTTATCATCAGTCCTTAATTTTGCAGAGTCTTCTCAAATCTCTCCTTTTTATCAATTTTACAAGACTTTCGTTGGTTTTCACTTGACGTCCGGTCGCGTCTGTCATCCACTTTACCGACCATCGTGCTTCGCTGTCGACCCATCCGGAGTGAATTATTCGTTCCTAATCCTTCATTTATCTCGCATTCTAATCATTTGATCGATCTTTCGTTTCTCGTCCATATATTATTGTGCAGGTATGTTGAGTGTTGATGCCGGTCGCACCGGTCAGCTCACTAACATAGGCCTAGCTCTGTGATTTAGGGATCGTTTCGTCTCCTGTTGCCAATATCTTTGCATAATCAAACAATCCCTGTGGTATTGGTTAATCTTCGGTGCTTCATCCTTGTTCTAAACGCTCTAATACTTTAATCCACCGAAAAAAAGACACTTGTGGTTGACCACATCCCACTCGTTCGTCGGAACTCGACACAGCCTTTTGTTGCCTAGAATATATCGACTCATTGCTATTGCACATATTTTATTCTCAAGCTCCTTGCACGACCATGAGTATGGACGCTGGCGGTCTTGCTCAAATGACCTACAACTCTTCTTTCAATAATGGCACCTCCCTTGGTGTTCCTGGTTCCAGCTTCGCTTCTCGGGGAAAGGGCTCTCACATCAAGCGTTTGAGTGTACCTCCCCCTCATATTTCTACCATCGATGAATCTCAGCCGTCTGCACCAGTGCCGACTCCGCGCACTAGCCGTTCACACCTCCTGGCCGGGCTGAGGACGGCCCCCAAATCCGCTACGATCCCTTCCGCTGCCCACCGTCAGCAGCACCTCGGGTTGGACACTGGCCGTTATGCAAACCTGCCCGACCGAGCCTCTGACCGCGTTCCGCAAACTGCCACGGGAGCTGGATTTCCCCGGCACTCGTATGCCACGCAGCAGAATATTGATATGAACACTGGTCGTCCCATGTACACTCTGCCGGAGCAGGTGCTTGCGCCTCCGGACTTTGGCAGCGATATGGATGACAGTATGTACGCGGAACTGATGTCGACCAATTTGTTCCTGGCTGCGCAGCAGCAGCGCCTGCAACAACAATTGATCAGCGTTACTGCAGCAGCCCAGCAGTTCCAGGGTCTTACTCTTGGAATGGGCATGGGCCAGCAGCAAAACATGCAGAACATGCAGAACATGCCGAACATGCACAATATGCAGAATATGCAAAGCATGCAGAACATGCCATCGCTCTCAAACCTTGGTTTGGGATTCTACCAACAGCAGCTCCAGCAGGGTGTGCAGCCAATCGTCCAGCCGGTTCCTGGTCAACCTGGGCTCTTTTCCGTGTACAACCCTTTGACCGGCCAGCACAGCTTTATTTATGGGGACAGCCCTGAGCAAGAGAGCGTCCAGACGCCGTACCAGGAGGAGGACCACGCCCCATTCTCGCAGGTCCCGATTTTCCGCGCTGAGGTCTCCCCCCCTCCGGAATCGACTCAGTCTCCCTTGGATCTGCCGACGCCGGTGTCTCCCCCCAAGAGCAGCCCTTCGCCGCCTCAGGATGTCACTCCTCTCCCGCCGCCTTCCGCCAATGCATTCCGCAGAGGCCACAAGAAGAGCTCGTCGATCAACCCCGTGCCCAAGACACAGATCGACACGGCTAAAGCCAACAGTTCTGTAATTAACGCTGCCCCCAAGACTTCTGCATTGGCCCAGACACCCGCCACTGGCACCTTTGGCCCTGGTCAGAACCGCGCTGGCGAGCACCCGATCCGTCAGCCCCGTGGACCACCATCGTTGGAAGAGCTGGTCGCTAAGCCCACTTCGAAGTACGAGGGAAGCAAGAACTTTGCAACCCGCCAGCGCCGCCGTGCGGTTCACAATCTCGTGCGTGCTGGAATTGAGCGACGCGGAGAAACCCGAAGCTTCGGATACAGCAGCGGAGGCACCAACACCCCGGCTAGCGAGAAGGAATTCACCTTTTCCGACGGTGATGATGCTACGGTGCGCAGCGGTAGCCTGTCCAGCAAACCCAGTCTGGGAAGCTTGCGTGCCGTGGCCAACGGTGCGATTGGCTCCGAGAGGAAGGAGAAGTCTTCTCGGGAGCGCAAGTCGCAGGACAGCCCCTACAACGCTGCCACACCGACCAGTGAAGATGGAGCATTCTTTGCCACCAAGTTTGCGGACATTCGGGCAGAACAGGTTTCTTCTCCTACAGGATCGCCCTCGGTTGCTGCTGTCGTTGCAGGCCAGAAGACGGTAGCTCAGGGTCCGGAAAGGCGCAAAACTCCAATGCTTGTGCTATCCAGCGCTGAAAAGCGTAAGACCCCGATCATGTAATGCAACCATCATAATGTGACTGAGACGTAACGGACTCGATGATTTTGCTTTGACCCGCAACTTGAGCCAATCTTTTTTGTTGCCCGTGAATTGACATGGATAATTTTATGACTGCCTGCCTGCCATGTTTCAATTTTGTGTTTGGACACAGGCACAACCTTTGGGACTGACGATGGACCAAGTCTTTTGGGATGAATATTGTTCTTTCTTCTTTCTCTCCATTCTTTCTTTCCACTTTTCTACATTCTATTCCTTCGTTCGAAAAACCCCACTTCCTTAACAGACTGATGAAAAACATGAACTTGACTCAACCTTCCACCTTAAAACATCGAGGCATTGGAAAAATTATCCACAATAGGGTATTTGTGTGTGTTTTGATTATTACTTGTTTTTTCTTGGGCCTGCGTTGCGTTGCATTTGCATTGAACCACTTCATTTCTTTTCTATTTTTTCTCATGTCTTCCCTCCCCTCTCGAATGACCTTCTCGAACTGGGTTATGAGTCGGAATTCATTACATCCTATCTGGTAGATATGGATAGAGACAGGACCAGTTATCTTTAACTTTTTTATCTGGGCTCCTTTCACGGGGTATTACACTACCTTGTCTTACCTCTCTGTTTCTATTTCTTATCATCACACGGTTTGTATGTGCATCTGGTTATGTGCAGCAACTCGATTCGATATTCGGTACTTGGTACAATTCTATGAAATCAACATACAGATTCAACATACTTGATGCTTATTTATACGTAGTTCTGTATGATTCAAGGCCACTTTCACCTTTTTGCTGCTATCAATCATATGTGCTAGACTTCTGAGAGACTATCTATCATCTGTGGAATATGCTCTTCAATCTACGAGTTCGGTATTAGATGTATAGACTTCAATTACGATGAATAGATATATTCTAGATGAAAAACCAGATGAATTAGGTCGTGACTCGTGAGAATCATATCATATCTATGTATGAATAGTAGAATAGACAAAAACGATGGGGAGTCGAAAGACTTGATCAGCTAGAGAAGAAAGAAAACAAAAGAGGCATGACATGATGGGACCCAAAAAAAGAAAACACTCAAGACTCCCTTAACTCTTTTTTTGCCCGGACCAAAAAAAAAAAAAAAAAAAAAAACAAACATACAACCAACCTCCTTTCGCTGCTGAAACACATACAAAGCAAAGACAAGATACACGCTAAGCTCCGACCCCAAATAAAATGAAAATAGGACAAGGGAATGCAAATATGAAACAGCCCAGAAAAAAAGACGAGAAAATTAAGGTCCAAGAATTGAAAATGCATGCATGAACAAAAATGACCGGGTGAGAGAAACATTGAAAAGGGAAAAAAAGGTGAAAGAAGGATAGTCACGCTGAAACAACAAGATGCTTGATGAACCAGAAAATATCGCTCAATATGCAATAGGGAATGGAAAAAGCAACCAAGAGCAACAAATCCATGAAGCAAAACATATTTCTTTGCGAAAGGACGATCGTAAAGTTGTAAAGTGGTGGTAGGTGAGGTGGACGAGTTTAAAAGGCGAAAAGCCCGCTTCGTTTCTTCCCAAGAGGGTACACAACCAAAGCAGCAAGGAAGAGTCCCACAGTGAACCCAATGGCAACCTGGATCATTCCATATCCAATGTCAAAGACGACGCCGTGAAACTGGTTCTGCGAGGACTGCTGCTGGGATATGCCTTTGGCAGCATCCATGAATCCCTGCGTGCCGTTGGAGATGACCGAATATGAGGATGAATTTTTTGTGATCTCCTCAGCCGACGTGATTCCCGAAATCAGAGAACCGCTGGCGGCCAGCCCAGACGGGACGAGCACAAAGATGGCGGGTAACATGGCTGCCGCTGCAATCCCATGTCGTAGTCGACTGTAGAGGTTTCCAATCACGCCAATGACAAACGCTCCCATGGCGTTGGATATTTGCGTATTCGAGGCAAAGCGTTTGGAGCTAAAGTAGTTGACCACGTAGCCCGCGAAGGAGATGAAGATCATCATGGGAAGCTGTTTCCACTTGGCCTGATTGACGACAGCGAGGCAGACAGTGAACAGAATGACGAAGGGGAAGCGTTGCAGGTATTCGTTGTGGATCGGGCTGGCGGCACATGTGTATTCAGCAGACGCATCAGAATCCAGCAAACCGTAGACGGCAGTGCCGATAGTGATGCCAAACCCAAGGAATAAAGAGTAGATGATGGCGTAGACAATGCGCACCGAACCGGCGACAATGCTGCGTGACTGCAGTTCCAGACTGGCACACAGCACTGTATACCCAGGAAGGATCAGCGCAATAGAGGACTGAGCAAGGGTGGAGAAACAAAAGAGGCGTTCATTATTGTATCTGATGCTGCCAAAGGCGCGCGCCAGGAAGGAGGTCAGGACCGCAGCCGAGATTTCAAAGACATTTGCGTACAGGTTTGACCGGGGAGAGAGGACGAGTTGCAATGTGCCCACGAGGCATCCGAGAACAAAGGCGATGGGCATGTCGATCGGTCGGCCTTCGAAGGCAAAAGGAGACACTGTAGCGCTGGCGCATCCGTACATAAAGATGAGAAACCAGATCTTGTGTTTGTTCTTTTCCTTCATGACGTCTTCCAGCCGCTGGATGGCTTCTTCAACGCCGATCACATCGTGAATAACCTCCTTATAGATGGTATGTGTGTCGGCCATACTGCCCAGGTCGACACCCTGGGGGGATCGTACGACCTTGACTTCGGTGGTATGGGTGGAAGAATCGTCAAAAGAAATGATCATGCAGCCAGGTATGTACAAGAACTGGCTATCGATCTCCAGAACGCGTGCCGTCATCTTCATGTACTCCTCCAGACGGTGGGTCGGGGCACCAAATTTCATCAGAGCACGGCAGAGGAGAATCACATATCGCTGCCTCGAGAGAAGCTCCGCGATATGGACGGTGATGCGAATCTCATCCTCTAATTGAGGTTTGCCAAAGCGCTTGGACATGCCGGACATGGCGCCGCTACTGCGAGAGCGCTTGAGCATGGCGATGGGGCTGGAGGAGTTTTTGGCCGGGGTCCCGGACAGGGAGGTCGTGGACTGGCTGGGAGACTTTTCGTACCATTTGCGGGGCTTTTGGAGCTGGGGCTTCCAGTTCGGATCGGGGGAGAGACCACGAGCACTGAACTCGCCCGAGCTCCCCTGGCGGGAGTGGGCATAACGGCCACGAGGAGGGTATTGGCCTTGACCGGGCTGAGGCTGAGGCTGCTGGTCGTAGAGCTTAAGCAAGGAGGAGAGGATGCCCCCTCGGTAGTGGGTTGGGCGCTCGACATAGTTGTCGGGGTCCCGCTCCTCGAGGGGAGTGACCTGACCCGAGCGGAGACCGGGGGAGGGAGCACGGATCCTGGTCAAGAAGTTGAGGTCTTTTCGAGCCATTTGTCGCACGAGCTGATGGGCTTCGGAGGTGCGATTGGATTGACGGCGGTCCGTAGACCGGTCTTCATCGTCGGAGAAGTCGTCGTAATATTGTTTCTCGGACAGACTGATCATGGGAATCTCATCCCCATCTTCAGAAGGAAGGGCCACCTCTGTGGGAGTGGACGCAACGGATGACGGCAGACTGGAGCGTGGACTGCGGCGGGGCGATTTGGAAGAAGACGAACGACCGAGGAGGGAAGCCAACCGTTGAGCTCTTTCCTGGGCAAAGTGGATAGCTCTGCCCTTCTCCAGACTGAAGTCATCCTCCACGAGAACGCCGGGGGAGCTTGCCCGCGAGTGGATCGTCAAGCCCGTGACATCTACCGGGGCACCGGGAGCCGTATCCACGAGTGGCAGCGATTGGGAGTCGGCGACTTTGTCGACGGCAGGAATGCTGGCGATAGGCAACGGTCTTTGGGGCAAGGATGAAGAGCCCCTTCGATCATGGTGGGAAAACCGGGCGTCTGACGTCGATCCGGGTGGACCAGGCTCGATGCCGTGCTCGCTTACGGTGAACTTGACTCGATTCGTGCTTTTTAGAATGCCTGCATTCCGATGCCTGCCCTGAGCTCCAGCGGGCTCGAAACCTTCAGTGGGGGTCGGGAGGGGAGAGAGACGCGGCCCAGGAGAGGCACGACTGACACCTCCAGCGGTGCTATCAGAGAAGCTGGAGCGTCTGGAGGTGGAAATGGGAATATCGAAGTATCCGCCCGCCATTACGTTCAGTGACCTTCCCACTTATCGTGGTATTCCTTTTGAGATGTCCTTATGTTCTGCTAGAGATGTCAAAGTCACCTAGCAACGGGGGGGAAAGTCAGAAATGCAACTTTTACATCACGAGGGATCTTTTGTTCTTATCCGGCTAGCGCCAAGTAGAAAGAGGAGGCACCTTACCTGAAGAATTGAACAAAAATGAAGAGGCACGGACGATATGGAGGAGGATGGCGCACACGCAGGATGAGATAGATAGACACGCACAGTCGTGGAAAGAACGGGGAAGGGGGAGAAGAGTCCCGCTAGAAAGAATGAAAGTACGTCACGAATACATAATCAAGTATTGTGCAGATGAATTGGGCCTGCAGAGGAAGAGGGAGATATAAAAGAGATAAGAGGGAGGCGGAGGGGAGGTTAGACAGAGCAGATGGATGAAACAAGAGATGATGTCAAGACGTCGGACAGAATTCAAACAGAATTCAATGAGAAAGTCAAGAAACAGAATGGCAAAAAGGCAATCTAGAGTTTGAGAGAGTCCACGGAGAAAAAAAGAAGAGGAATTGTAATGCTGGTTGACACAGACAGCGAGAATATGATATGATATATCCGGGATTCTTTGGGATTTAGGAGGGAAACGACGCTAAAAAAAGGATAAACAGAAAAAAAAAAAAAAAAAAAAGGAGCGTTTCGTTGCCACACGATGAGAAATCCTGCGCATTGATAGAAAGAAACCGCAGAAAGACACAGAGACCAAGGCATAAGCAGAGCGGTTCCACGGGGATCCACGATAAGGTACCACAGTGGCCAAAAAAGGACAGTCACATCCAGAGCTCCACCGATCGAACCGCCTGGATCGCTGGATGATGGGATATGATATCTGGATTCGTGATGTTCGTGGGAGTCATCTTGTCTGACTGACAGCCTCTGATGGACCCGGTGGGTATGTTCTGGCTGTTTAGCGCCCGAACCGGTCCAGACAGCAACCCGGATTCTCAGGAGTCGGCTACCCGATCACATCCCGTAAGAGAGTGAGATAGAAGATAGGAGAGGATGGACAGGAGGAGGGGCAGTGCGTCTGCATTACGAAGCTTGGATGATATGATGGATGGTGACGAATCCTAGTGATTCTTTATTATCCCTGCTGCAGTCCCTGATCATCGTGCAGTATTCAGTATATTATCATATTATTCAGGATGAGTATCTCTTCTGGATGAGTATCTATACACATTCAGCATAATCATAACAGTAATAATCTGTATCAAAGTTACACATATCTCGACAACCACAACGCAGGGACCAATCTTTAAATACGGCTGTTTTATCTGCTGCCAGCCGAACGGATGTTCCCCTCGGGTTGGTGAGTAACATTCATATTATTATAATAAGTATTCTTTATTCTTCTGTAATATTATCAACTGTAGAATGCAAATCGGTGGATATTCTAGAAAAAAAAATCTCCACCGGTCATGCGGACTATTGGCACGTCTCCATAGACACGCCCAGATCCTGGAAAAATTCATCCTGCAGCTGACTTTCTTTCTTTCTTTCTATCACTCTTTCCCACCTCTCTTTGACACTCTTTTCGCTTCTTATTTTTGTCTTACTTTTGTTTCTTTTCTCGTATTCGGTATCCAGCGGTCTGGATAGAATTTTCCTCGCTTATCACCTGCATGGCTATCTTCCTATCTGGCCAAGTTCAGTTATACCTCCACGTGGTATTCCAGCATATTCCATTGGTGGTTAGTCTACGCCATGCATGAAAGCTGAAAAAAGCAGGTTTCTTATCACTGTGCCTTTAGTAGTGTACCTTGGTTCCTTGAATACATAAGATCTGTGCTTTGCGTTTGCTTTTGCTTTTGCTTCTTCTGATGCTACGGCTTGATGCTACTGTCTTGCTGCCCAACTGTTTACTAGACTAGGCTGAGGGCTCGTTCCTGGTGTGTCTTGTCTTGTCTTATATTCAGGATTATATTATTCTTATTATTATACCCACTACATCCTTCATCTTGGGTAGAATGGTCACACCGATATTTGTTGATTTGATTATTTGGATTGTCAGGATGGATTTACGTACTCGACCCACACCAGCTCCTACTTACACAGCCCTGCAGTTACTCCCACTCACTAGTACTACTAATACATCTCCTGAAACTAGATATCAAAATGATAAATTGATAAATTGATAGTCACAGCCCTCTAGGCACCGTGTTTCACCTCGTCGATCATACAACTACATATTATTATGTACATATCTCTCTACTAGTTAGTAAGTACAGTAAGTGTATGCAGTACTTACAAGTACTTACAGTCATCCCTTGCGCGGCTTTCGGGCTGTTTCGACCTTAATGATCCGTCACTGTGAAAATGATTTTCTGTTTTTAAGTGATTGTCAAGGGCTGTAGATCGTATGACGTGATTTTTCTATTTATTTTTCAGGTCGAGACTTGGGATTTGCATGGTTACTTTTTCTACCTTGCTTTTTTATATATTTCTTTTTGATTGTTTTGTGTTTATCGTTTGTTGATCTTCCGACACTAAGGTGACTAGCATCCCATGTACTATAGTAGCAGTATTAACAGTATGTACGGATAACTTCATCATTCATCCTATCCTATCCTATCCTATCCTACAAACTCCATCAACTCCTGTGCTTCCAATCAATATGCATCACGCCCACTACCAAATGACCTAATCAGAACCCGAAATCACAAAAAAAAAAAAGAAACACGCTGGTCTGGCAATTATATCGTAGACAACCCCCCACTACTCTCTTGTCTCACCGCCTCTCCACCCGACTCAATGCTCCCAAGATAACGCCCAGATCTTCTCGCCGTCGCTCGACGCGCCTGGGCTCTTTGCTGTCCTCCCCCCCTTCAATCGCTAACCGCCGTAGTGCGTTCCGTGCATCGCGCTCCTCGAGTCGCTCTGCACAGATGCGCAGGACCCGCGACGATACTGCGTCTGACATGGCCCGGTACAGCTCAATCTCGTGCACCCCTGCGGCCAGTGAATCGAGGGTCGGTGCGAGCCCGGTGGCAATTCGTGACAGTCGTGACGAAATGGCTGATGGCGTTATCGATGGGAGGGATTCGGTTGGCCCGGACGAATCCTCCTGCTGCTGTGTGCTCGGATGTTTCGTCGCCTCTGGTTCTAGCGTTGCTAATATCGCTTGTTGTGACGGTTCTAATAACGACCGGTCAATCTTAGTGTCCAATGCATGTGATTCTGTCGGTTCTGTTGAAGATTCGGGTTGCAACGGGGGTTGGTCACCCAGCGGTGTCTCGGTCTGTTTCGATATTGGCGGTTTAATCTGCGGAATCGACGGTGGTCGAAGAATTGCATTCAATGAATGCCTTTCTCGTTGTAGTCTTTTCCCCAATGATGTCAGCAGAGCTCAAAAAAACCGGATTCCGTGGTCCTCACCTCTGTATTTGCTCTTCCAATTCCTTAATCTTATCGGTGTTTTGAATGTTCTTCGGGTTTGGCTTTTTCACCACAACCGCCGGAGGCGTCACGTCTTCTCGCCCAAACCAATTCGAAAGCTCGGAATTCATCGAGAAGTCTTTAAGGAGTTCCTCTTGAATCACTCGGGCTACAACACATCAGTTTTGTTCCTAACCATCACTTCCAGCACATACCTGCTAATCGTGCACTGGCATCTTCTGAACCAGACCCTGAAGGCTTGTCTGCCACTGCCCGAGTACCACACCAGGTCAAAAGCTGTCGCATCCTCCTGGGCTCGGGTAACCCGTCGCTGGCAATGTGCTTGTAGAAATCCGCCGTGTCAACCTCCTTGTGAGGTAAAGCTGTAGACTGATTAGCACGATATCACTGCTTTCGAGCATTTCTACCCACCATTCGATGCGCCAGAGTCTATCAAGGAACTGGCTCTCCGCCCTCTCATCCCTAAACTGCTCCGTCGATTCCCTTTGCTTGACTTTCCTGCTCCTCTCATCTCCTTGTTCCGCTGAATAACCGGCGTATCGGCCAATGGTAACGCAATTTTGGCCGTTTGCTGAGGCTCCGGAGACTTGAAGCCATTCCGCTGTTCCCCATTCTGCTGGTGATTCCGCTCCTCGGACCTCCGTTCTTCAGGTCTCCGTTCTGGTCTGCGTTCTTCAGGGTTTCGCTCTTCAGGCTTCGCTTTCGCTGGCCGGCCTTTCTTTCGTTTCTTCTCTGCTCCAGCCTCCAGATCCTCACTTTTTCGCGTCGAGCGTCGAGCACTCCCGGGCTGTGTGTCTTGTTCCGCTATTACAGCTTTGGCGGTACCCCGTGCCGGCCTCTTAACTGCACCTTCGCTAGCTTTTGTCTTGGTCTCTGCGACGGGTTCGGCCTTTTGTTTCTTTGGCCGGCCTCTTTTCGGCGATGACTGTGGGGGATTCTCCGGTTCCGCTTGAGGGTCTTCCGGAATCGCCTCTATCGATTGTCTTAGTTTCTTGGACGTAATCCGCTTGAACTGAAAGCCTTCGTCTTCATCGTAGTCTGTAGAGGAGAAAAAAATCAGCACCCCACCCCCGTATTCACTTTATTGTCTACCCATCCAAACTCACCGGCTTTTCTTTTCTTCTCGTCGCCCTTGGTATTCTCTTCCTTTTCTTGATTCATGCTCAACCGCGAACTCGTTCTTCTCGGTCTGCCTCTGCCGGTCCCGCCAGGCGCAGCAGAAGGCGCAGGACGCGCCTGCGCCTGAGTCGCTGCCATATCAATTGTCTTCAGAGGTTCGCGACGCTTCGTCTTAATCTTGGGTGTTTCCAAAACAGTGATGGTCATGTCAGGACTGAGACAAGTGGGGTGCGTGGTTCGAGTATCGAAAAAGAGCCAGCAAAAAGAAATATCCAAGCCCGAATTTTCCCTCTTTTCTCTCAATTGACTTGTGTCGTTGAATGAGTGAATGTAATTCCGCGACCGGGTTTGTTGTGAATGGAATGCACAAGTTTTTCGTCGACTTCCCGCCGGCAGATGTAACACGTAAAAGGGGGTATCGATGTCAATCGAAACAGTCGTCTCAGTATTATTTTCCCTTTCTAACCACCCTCAAACCAAACAAAACCCCCTTTGATATCGTTGCGCGCTGGAGGGGGGAGGTGTCGCAACTGCAAATCACTGCGGAACGGGTCAGGGTGGTGGTGACGGGGGAGGGACGTGTGTCTGGTCTTGGGGTCACTCGGGTTTCCAGAATTCGCGCCTCAACGTCTGAACAGTCGCAAAAGTGACGGCGACATGGGTCGGATGAAGCAAAAGCAAGCAACACCCGCAAGAATCGTCTGGAGCTGGATAATTGGACTCCTTGCGCGGGTAGGAGCTGGCCGTTTTGGCGTCGTTGACGGGGATTTGCTCTTGCAAGTCGCCGCAGCACGCGGTTGTTTTGGTCGTGGCGCGTGGGGGGTCGGGGCTAGTCCGTTTTGGGAGTGACAGTCTATCTACTCTGAATAGAATCGATGATTGTTAAGATGAATGTAAGAATATAAGACTTTGTTATTTTCATTATTTTCATTTACAAGTCTCTATTGAGGCTATCTAAAAAGTAATACATGTTATTCTCTAACCATCTCGACTTCATCAACTCAACCACTAAACGGCTTCCATCTTTATCTGATCAGCTCTCCTTGCAGCAGCCTTATTCAGGCAAACAATGGCCCTCTATATCTATGCTTAACTCTTGTTTTCAGCCGCCGTATCTCTAATTATACACCCTGAATTTTCTCCCTTCTAGCATCATGCTTCGAGGACAGTGTCTTTGTGCATACTGGTCTTGTCATTTAAATGCCAGACTCTCACTTGTCTTGAATCCAGCAGAGAACTATACTGTGATGCTTATTGTTTTAACAGTACATTGAAAAGACAGACATAAGCTGCGCTCAACACCAAGCAGATCATCCAGTAGGATGGACATAACTAAGTAGCATGTTTAGTAAGCAAACACAACTCACACTGCATAAATCACGTGCCAAGGAACAATTGCCGATTCCAAACTTTTTTTTATCTTCGACTCTCCATTGCGGACCTCAAAAGATAAAAACGACAGAGCGCAAACTTATCCTTCCTTTAATTTGCACCCCTCCATTTAATACAGAAACCATGGTCGTCCAATTCTGCTCCGACTGCGGAAATCTCCTCGACAACTCGCCCCAAGATACCTTGGAGTGTGAGCTCTGCGGAAGAGTCGCAAAGAGTATGTACAACTGCTACTTACTACTATATTTTACTTCTTCTTTTGCGATTTAGCTAACAAGCCAATTTTATTAAGACGACGCCCTCTCCCACACCCAAGTCGCCGTCTCGGAAAATTTCCCCTCGCGCCTCCGCAACAAAGTGAAATCATACACCCAGGAAGTCACCCGCGAGACGATCGGATCCGGGCCCAAGATCGAAGTGGATTGTGTCAAGTGTCCTTCGAAGGATGTCACCTATTCGCAGGTGCAACTGAGGAGTGCGGATGAGGGAAGTACGATTTTTTATACTTGTTTGAAGTGTGGACACAGGTGAGTTTTTTTACTTTTAACTACCCCGCCGAATAGAGGTACAGGTTAGTTGGATGTGATATTGACAAATTTGCACAGATGGCAAGAAGATAACTAAGCGCGTTGCTATGGGGATATCCCACCGAGTTATAATAATAATCACGGTTATGTGAAATGGATTGATGAAATTGGTAGCATGAGCATAGCATGGAAAAATGGTGCAGATCATATACATCTCTGCCAGCGCCCCTTTGCCTTGGGCAGGTCGCTCCGAGTGACACGTCTGAAGGGTCACCCGCGCGCCGAGGGAAATATATCCGGGATTTAAAATTTAAATCCTACAATTCGAGGATGTGGTCATGTCATGCCGGTGATGCAAGGCAAGATCTGCACTTCATACCTAGGCGGCGCACGTGATAAGGATGCAGGTCTTGTTTGTACTCTGCATGAGCTGAGGATATATCTATCTGGCTACTCTTTTATTGAACTGTGGGGGGTTCAGTCCTCCACCCCAGAAGATGCTACAGCAGCAAGAGTCTAAAAAATACTTGATTCTCTTCAAATCCTTCAAAGTACTCCTTATTCTATGTAAATATCCATGTAGCCATGTCTTCAACTGCAACGCTTATATGTACTGTACTGCCTAGACCACCGCTATGATGAAAACCAACCCAAACGCCATGAGCAAAAATAACATGAGCAAAAATAAAAAATGACCTCAAGATATCTCGCTAAAATAAATATGCTTCACACATGCAATGGTCACTGAGAATATGGGGCCTCATCAGTCAAGGGAGTCAAGCTGCCTTCGATTCTACGCCTGGCGGCCTGCATCTCTTCAACTGTGATGTTCTCTGCCTTCTTGGGCATGTCAGGTTCATATTGGGGGTGGTCGGGACTGTGGCCCACGGCCATGCCTACTCGGATCTAAAAAACGATGTTAGCTTATAGAGTTTGACAAATGGACAATCCAATTATACATACCAGAGTTTCCAAAGGACCCTTGGAGTTGTCCACCAAGTCACGGTCAAAGTTCATCATTCCCTCCTCGAACAGAAGCAGGAGGGTGCTACCTCCGAATTTGAAGTATCCGAGCTCTTCACCACGGGTCACCTGCTCTCCAGCTTGACGGGTGATCACTGTGCTTCCGACCATCATTGCGCCGACGCAGACGACCATGACCCGCCCATGGGCAACCGAGTCAATCGGCACCAGGATTCTGACGTTCTCTCCGTATACGTCCAGCGCGGAGCGAATCGCCATCGGGTTCACCGTGTAGTACTCGCCTTCGATTGTCTTGGGGGTGCCCATGACGCCATCCACGGGAATGTGGAAGCGGTGGTAGTCCTGAGGAGCAAGACGGAATACCCCGAGAGCTCCGTTCTTGTAGCGATGGGCATCCTCGGGGTAAGCGTTGCCGAGAAGTCTTTCAATGGAGAATTCTCTACCCTTGACCCAGATCCCGGTGGCGTCACTCATATGGTCAAAAACAACTGAGCGGCAGTCGGCCGGGGATACGACAATCCTGGGCTCGTCGGGGGCCGAGCAAGGACGAGCATCTGGCTTCAACTGACGATAGAAGAATTCATTGAAAGTCTTGAACTCATTGATGGGCAGCAGAACCTCCGACATGTTCAATTGGTGGAAGTTGATGAAATCCTGGATTTGACTTGCTGAGGCGGGATCGTCGTACTTTTTACCCTGCTTAATACTCATAGACTTGAGAATTTTGCGAACTGTAGTTTGTCATGTCAGCTTTTTTCTCCAATCTCACTGATTTCACAAGACATACTTTGCTTCTTTTCCATTTCTCGACTCTTGAGCCCCTTGTACAACAGTCGGATGCCCAATCGGACGTACACACTCATACGCTCCTCGTTGATCTGCCCGGTGATACGGTCCTGAACAAGGATGTTGGCAGAGTTTGCACCCAATTTGTATCCACCGTAAGAAATCTTCGTGATGACCTTCGTATACCATTTGCGCTGGGCCTGACTAGAGGTAACAAACCCACCCATCACAAGATTGTCAACCTGTCGCCAGTCCCGACTTGCACAGGTGGCAATGTGGGTGATAATATCCGCATCGGAGCGTTTTGAAAGTCGAGGCTGGTGGCAAAGCGGACACTCGCGGATCTCAATAACATGCTCTTCGCCACGTTCGTCGCCCAGGTCATCCGGGTGAAGGTCCTCCTCATTCGAACTAGGCTGTTCTTCACTGGACAGTATTGGCACAGGTATCCTGTGGGGGTCAGTGTTGGATGGGTCTTCAACAGCAATCTCGTCGCCACTGCTGGAATGCTCTTCGCTTTCTTGGCTTCCAGTGGAGGATGGTGTGTGCTTCTTGATGACCGTCCTGGGGTCCTTTTGCAGAGCCTGAAGAGTGTCCTCAAGGCAAATCACCACTTGATCAAAGGTCAGATCCTGCGTTTCACTGGGTTCATTCTCCCCTCGGAATCGGTCGAAGAAGCCATCGATTGTAGACTCCTTCAGTGTTGAGCCAAGCGTGTCGAGCATTGTGGTCAGTTCAACCTTGTCTATCCGGCCGCTGTCATCGGCGTCGTATTGCTTAAGCATTAGCCTCCAGAATTGCTGCCGCAGCGCAAGGTATGGCATGTATTTTGCCTTGACCGTCAATTCCGGGCTGTGTTTGTCTTCCCACCGTTCTTTGTTCTTGAGTATGAGAGGGATTTTATACACCGGGAGGCCATCTTCTTCGAGCGGGGCGATTGCACCACCTTCGACATTGATGGCCGGGGGCACAAGCAATGAATCACCACTTTCCTCCTCGGGAACATTTAGTTGAGGGGCTGAGGTCTTCTGAGGGACTGACGTCGGCGGGTCCTGTTGCGACTGAGCCGATAACGAAGCAACTGAGCTTCTCGACCTCACGCGCGATTTGGGCAGTTTCGATAAGCTACTCGTCGATGGGGACGGGCTAACTCCAGATCTGCCCTCAGATTTGGAGACGAGAGTAGATTCCTCAGATCCCGTTGGGTCCAGGGATGGATCTAGGAATTTGTATAAGCCTGTATCGGGGTCTGCCTCTGGAGCGGCCTGGATGAGAGTTTGGAGTGGAAATCCGGCCGAAGCAACAAAGTCATTTCCAGAGAACTTGTCTCTGTCCATCACGGTGAAGCTCATAGTATAAGATTGCTCATGCTTCATGACCTGGAAGACCATCTTTTCATGGTATATCGGGTTCAGATTGTGGCGAATCACTGGCGTTCTGAGTGTCTTTCTTCCAAGCGAGGTCACGACAAACGGATCCATGTCAAAGGAAGTCCGCGTGACTAGAGTTACATGTCAGTAATCGCGCGATTTCACAACATAACTCTGATAGAGCCTTACCGTTTCGTTCCGGCGGAAGATCTACGATCTTGACAATCTCCATAAACACAATGCCCTGCACTCCATTTCCGACACCAGAGAATTGATAAGCTCTGGCTGCCAGTGATTTCCGCCTCAACCGCGCCAGACGATTCCGTCTTCTCCGCTTCTCAGCAACCTCGGGTTTCGCGAGATCGTCGGGTTCGTCGGAAGATTCCTCATCGTCCAGCTCATGCGGTGGAACATTTGCCATATCATCCTCATCTTCCCCTGCACAAACCAAGCTCTTGAATTTCTGATATGTCTCCCTAGAAGGAGCCAGGGGGTTCGATGTATCGACTAAGGTGAACTGCAGAAGAATCTCCCCGGACACATTACTATCCTTTTTCTTTGTCGGCTTTCGTTTCGATTTGAGTGTATACCAAGTTGGCTTGAATGGATCCATCAGTCTATAGTTCTCAATCAGTAGCTAAAGGAATTGCGGCCACTCACCTGCTGGTGAGTATCACCCTCGTCAAAAATGTCCTCGAGAGGGATATCAAACTCTCCCAGATAGTCCTTTCCAAATCTATCATGATCCCAGCAAATACACTCCAACAACGGGACCCCACTGACGGGCATCTCGAAGGAAACGTTCCATTCTGGATTGAGGGTCTTGGATATCGTGGGGGTCGACTGCCGGGCGTCTCCGAGAGTTACTATCAAATACTAAACAATCCATCAGTTAGCCCGGATTTCCTCCAGCTTCATTCATTCTTGGCAGAAAACTTACCGGATCACTTGTCCCTCCTCTATCTTTAGCTGCAAGGTTCCGCCCCTGTGACAAGTCGTGTTAGCCCTCGGTAAGCGGACGACAGAGCACCGCCACTCACTTTTAACACAGCGACCTTGAGGACTATCTGCTTGGCGTCTGCGGGCCTCATAGGACTTGTACTTCTACTCTGACCAGGCGTAGGAGTATTGCTCCTGCTCAGATGGGAGCTTAAACGTTGTGGTATCGGTAGGCGCACCATGGCGGTGTATGGTGAGGTGCGGGGATGTTGAGGCAAAAGACGAAGGACACGTCGCGTCGAATCCGAAGAATGCGAAACCCAAGAAGGGCGTCAACGGTTGAGAGGGGGTATAAGCTGAAGCAGGACAGTGAATTGAGGATGGTGATGACGAAATGAGTCGCCTTGCGTAGGCTTTCCGACGACCAGTGTTGTCGCGGTGTGGTTCGAGTCCCGGGGACGATCTAAGATCTGTTCGGGACGATCAGAGGGCCAACAAGACCTAGCGAGCCACCACACGCACGATAGCCAAGGATCAAAAGGCAGAAGGGTGGGAACAGGTTACTGCAACTGGGGACAGGGAATTCAAAGATGGTGCAATAACAATTGCCGCCTTAAACGAACCGCACAGCGAGCATTTCCCAGAAGAGGGAATGAGGGGAAGAACCAGAAACCCAGGTCGGGGATGGGGCGGATAAAGAGGGAACGAGACTTCAGGGTTTGAAACAAGAAACGTAAGCAGAGGAGAAATAAGAATAGATACGCAGAAATATTAGTATGGGCTATTATGCCTCTCGTAATATCGTCGAGAACACGGCAGAGTCAATCATAGTAAACAAGTTACCAACAGCCCCAGAGCGCGGGGGGGAAGGATAAGACCCTCGAGCAGACCGAGCGAGGCTTAGAGGCAACTAGAGCAGGAGAGCTTCGAGTGCTCAGACCAGAAGAACTTCCAGATCCACCGCCTGTCTTAAACAACATTGATGCTAATGAAGGGCTAATGGCTGCTTTATGGATACGGAACCGCCGGTTGAAGGAACTTGGCCGCTTTCTGTCCCCAACGACGTCAAGCTGAGTGATCCACTGGTTGTAACGTGGTGGACCTGAAAATGGCTGCCTAGGACTTCAGGGTTTCTATTTTATGTATGCGGATGCACATGTTGTGATACATAAACCTATTGTTGTGTCTCGCTTTTTTTGGCGTTACAGTGGCATACCTAATGTGGTTGTCGTATTCATGGTCGTAGAATTCCCCCCCTTAAGACCCAAAAAAGACTCATCCGCACCTCCCGACTCTAACAATGTGGATCATTTTAGATGGCAGTGGAGTCAAGGATGGACGTACATATTCCGCCTGCATGTATATAATCCATCATGCACTGTGTATAAATGGATAAAATATGAGCATCATACCCTACATGCTATTGGCTGCAACAGATAAAGCACTGGCATTGTGGCTGTTTCACTTTCTAGCGTGAGGGGTACTGCCCTACGAGATATCGACTGCCCCAATATTCAGGCGACCATGTATAACCTCACGCCTGCCTGTGCTCAAAGTCATGACATCCCCTGCCCCGCATCGCCATCGAATCAAAGCCATTTCCATCCGTGTTTTCTCAGTAGTTTCACATATCCTCGAACCGAGGCAGATGATCATCTTTGGTTGTAACCCTGTCGCGTGGAACTATACATCAGCTGCCAATTGAACTATTCTCGACGAATATATGAAAGCATCCAGAGAGCGCCCTGATAATGAATCTCTGACAATGCATAGTTGTATTCTAGTGGTAATGCCGCCATCTCGTCTGTTACAATTACCCCCTCTATCTGACCTTTTTCGCGAAAATATTTCCTTGTCAAGGATATCTGCAATCTTCATCTAGTCAGTACGGTCCTCATTTAATAAAAGCCAGAGGCAGAATCAAGCATACCAGTACTGCTGAGGTTTAGGATACTTGAAAAATTGTTTCGGCAACGACGGATGATAAAGGTCCCTGCTCTATCCCTGGCTCTATGCAGTGGACGAGACATGTGTGCGGCGTATCGATGTCAAGTCCATAGAGTACTCTTATACCTATGGATAGTGTCATCCATACCATGGCGATAAGGCTTAGGGGCCAAAGGCACCGTCGAGAGCATCTGTGTATAGGGAATACATCCCACTGTGTTTCATGTGTCTTTTGGAAGAAAGAAGTGTCAGTAATAATCAAGGTCGGTGGAATAGACGTGGTACAGACCCTATGAAATCTCCATTCTGCTTCGGAAATTGTCGCAAAAGCAAGAAAGACATGGATCATCACTTTCCGTGTCCAGGGATTCGTAGATGATTGACTGACCACCAAGTAATCGGAAAGACTACCCAGCGAAAATAGTGTACATGGAAAGATTGTATAGTATGTCTGTCTAAAGAGTCGACCCTGGCTCGAAGGAATCAATTTGAACGTCCAGGAACAAGTCGTGGTGAATAATGCGGATAGCCAAGAGTATGTGTTGCCTGGCAGTTCGTGCCATGGGCTGAGTCGGTATATTGTCGTGACTGCGATGGAAGCAAGTCAGTAGGTTAACCATCGTTTCAAGGAAATCATTTCTCTCTGTACATAGAGCTCTACTGATCTTCGTGGGGATCCACAAAGAGGATTTAAGCAGACTTTGGAGAAAGGTTGTCTGTCAGGCAAAAGTCGTTGAAAAGCGTTGGCATCATAGTGTTGTAAGATGATTATATTAGTCGGTTAGATACAGCACTTGCAAAAATAGATAGTATAGATTCATAAAATTCGTGGTATAACAGTATTATATATTAGATTTAATCCACTCTTCGACGCTCTTCTTCTCTCCCCCAAACCTCATCGGCATTGGCTTTTCCTTTTGTCTCCGGAACAAACGAGTAGATGAACATCCCGAGAACTGCAGCCATGGCCGCAAAGACCCAGTAAATCTTCCCCATTGACATCTTTTCGTTGAGGATCGGGAAGAACTGTGCCACGACAAAGGTCGCGATCCAGTTGGCTGCCAGCGCCCAGCTTTGCGTGGCGCCAACGGCTTCAGGTCCAACGAGCTCAGATGCTAGGATAAATGGCACAGGTCCCAGGCCAACAGCAAAGGAAGCAACAAAGAACACGACGGCGAATGCGGACAAGCCTTTCTGGTTGCAGTAGATACCCCAAGCCAGCAGGACGGAATTGATACCCATTCCAGCAATGCTTATAAGAAGGCAGGGTTTCCTGCCAATCTTATCTGGCAACGGTGTGCATGCAAGAGTAATAACGAGGTTCATGGCCGAAATTACCACGGCCCACAGGGTCGCAGTCGTTGGGATAAAGGACTGCAACAGGGAAACACTGTACATAATAATACTATTGATACCAGTGAGCTGCTGGGCGGCCATTACTCCCACAACAGCAACAATGGCTGGGCGGTAGCGAGGGTTTATAACAGCCTGCAGTATCGTAACTGGAGGTTGCTTGGAAGCTGCTCTCGACGAGTGTGCAAGCAGGGATTCGGCTTCTTCAGACCCATCTGCGGACCGCGTAGAGTCATCCCACTCTTCAACTTCTCCTTCTATATCGGTGTCTCTGCCTCGGATATTTTGCAGCACCTTCCTGGCCACTCCCGCCTTTTGATGCTCCGAAAGCCAGACGGGGCTTTCTGGCAACCAGAAGAGACCAATAAGTTGCAACAGTCCAATCACTCCAGCAACGGCAAGTATAATTCTCCATTTACTTTCTCTGCTCAAAAAGTAACCCAGGGTCTGTGATATCAAAATACCCACGTTGGTCATGACTTGGGTGAAGGCACCAAAAAAACCCTTGCCACTGGGTGGTGCTACTTCGGAGATATAAATCGGCCCAACAACAATACCAGCACCTGCTCCAACACCAGATAGCAATCTACCAATGCCCATTATATAGCTGGTGGGCGCAAGTGCTTCCGCGATGGGCCCCGCGATGAAAAAAATGGTTGTGGCGCGTAGGGCGAATAGACGTCCGAATCGGGTGGAGACAGGTCCGGCTAGCAGGGCGCCCAAAAGACCACCGAGAGTATAGATGGAAGAAACGAAGCCAAATTGAGAGGCGTTCATGGGAATACATGGTGGCAGGCCTTGGGATCTTGCCAATTTCTGGTACGGATGGATGATGCTGTTGCTATCGCAGGTGACCACCGTTTGGGGGGCATTGAGTTCCGCCTGTCGCGAGATTCGGTGATTAGCAAGCGATCGATTAACCAAACACGATTCTAACAATAAGCTATTAAAGTACCAGATGATATCCAAATTGAAGCGGTCCTAATGTCGCGATGAACACAAGGTAGATAAGATACGGCGTTACCCTTGACGACGATGGGTAAGATTCGGCGGTGGGGGTCATGGCGCGATCGAAAGTTGTACGGTTCTAAGAGAGAGAAAGAGGGTTGTTTGTTTTCGACACCTCAATAAATGACCCTATTCACATTTGTGTTTCTGTGACCCGTGCATGGATAGGGCTAAAGGGGGGTGGTGGAATATTAATAGTCTGAGGACGAGGCTGAGGTTCAGTCAAAACTGAGTGTTGGGGCGGAGCCGCAGAAACACGCAAAATGACGTTGCAGATCGTGGACAATAGTAAGTGATGATTTTCAATTTCGGGCCAAAAGGGACACCGCCTCCCTAGGCATCGAGAATTTCTATTCCAAAGGACTAAATAGAATATGTATGGTTGTAGAAGAGAATTGAAAGTTGAACGGAATTTCTAACTGATATGAGTGCAAGAATGTATAAAAAAAATTCGGAGAGGAGCTCTCCCCAAGGCTGAAGCGATACGAACTAATACGGAAATTGGTCATGAACACTAAAAATCACGATCGAAATAGCCCTGTTCCTCCTGTGTTTCCGTGAATCCTTCGTTCCACAAAATTAATAACAAGATATCAAATATTCCACGATAATTCGATCAGAACTACTGCTAGAAAGACCCTGTTTTACATAATTTGACAATCGTTCCCCAGACTGTCTGCCGGAGAAAAAAAGCAATGGCTGCTGACTAACCAACACGGGAAACCGACGCCATACGAAAAGAGCTGATCATGCAGCATCACCACCTTCAACATCGCCGGCGATTTGTCTGTTGAGCCCATCCTTTCCATCATCATCAACATCATTACTACTGCTGCATGTATCGATATTTTGTGGAGATTATCATCGTCTTGTACCGCCCTCGCCACCGCTGATTCCATGGATCCGATTGCTGCCCGTCTCCTGATCTGATCGTTGACTACCTACTACTACTGCTACTGCTAAACCCCATGAGTCTGACAAACCCGCCTTCTTCCTCCGGTCCGTTAACTGCAATTTCCAGGCCAACGGCGGCCTCCGTCAGTCAGAATCTGTCGCTGAAAAGGAGCCTGCAGGCGGCTGTTGATGGTAATATATCAATTACTATTATTATTGCCCTGTCATTGTTTCTTTTCTTTCCTTTGAATTGTTCCGTCAGCATGTTCTCTGGTTGAAGAAGCGGGTCTTGAATCTATCTACCTCTTTTTCTATCGCCCTCTTGGGTCTATTCTTTAACGGTTTTTCTGTATATTTCTCCATCATGTTTGGAAGGAATTTTCCGTTTTATAACTCTTACGGCGGATTTTATCCTCGTGGTAATGGCTTCCCCTGTATCCTATGTTGTTCATATCGGGTCATCTGTTCCCCAGTGGGTCTGCTTCCGTCTTTGCATTTCTCAGGGTTTTGATATGAATTGTTTCATGAGTCAAGAGATTTGATATTTGACAGCCCCACCCAACCTACAGCCTCTTTCGTGCGTCTTTATCAAGCGTGGCTCGTGAACAAACTATTTTTCGCCCAGTCAGCTAACATAATCTCCTTGAAGAAGGCATAGAGTCGAGGAAACCACCCGGATCTGGGTATACCAGCAAAGTCCGCGTGCGAGACCGGTATCACATTGTGGGTTTCATTAGCAGTGGTACCTATGGCCGTGTTTACAAAGCCCTCGCAAAAAATGGCCGGAAGGGCGAATTCGCGATTAAAAAGTTGGACACCGTCTAACGACCGTGCTAGATTAGATTGACTAACTTTCTCTAGATTCAAGCCCGACAAGGAGGGTGAGCATATCCAATATACAGGTCTCTCGCAATCTGCGATTCGAGAAATGTCTTTGTGCTCCGAATTGGACCATCCCAATGTAGTCCAATTGGAAGAGATCATCCTGGAGGACAAATGCATCTTCATGGTTTTCGAATATACAGAGCACGACCTCCTTCAAATAATTCATCACCATACCACGCCGCACCGACATGCCATCCCAGCGCCCATGGTCAGGTCAATCATGTTTCAGCTGCTCAACGGCTTGTTCTACCTTCACACTAACTGGGTGTTACATCGGGACTTGAAACCAGCAAACATCCTGGTAACGTCAAGTGGGGCTATCCGAATTGGTGACTTGGGTCTTGCTCGTCTGTTTTACAAGCCCCTCAATTCTCTCTTCTCCGGAGACAAAGTCGTCGTCACGATCTGGTATCGTGCCCCGGAATTGTTGATGGGCAGTCGACATTACACCCCAGCAGTCGATCTCTGGGCCGTTGGATGCATCTTTGCAGAACTGTTATCCCTTCGACCCATCTTCAAAGGCGAGGAAGCCAAAATGGACAGTAAGAAAACAGTACCATTCCAGCGCAACCAGATGATGAAGATCATCGAAATCATGGGCTTTCCAAGGAAGGAAACTTGGCCAGGACTGGTATCGATGCCCGAATACTCGCAGCTTCAGTCCTTGGCCTTATCACGCGGTCATGGCCACTTCAACAGGCCGTCAAACCTAGAAGGCTGGTACACGGGCTGCTTGAAGAACAACGGATACTCGACGACATCCAACGCAGGAACACCTGGCGCTGATGGCTACGACCTCCTATCGCGGTTGCTCGAATACGACCCTACCAAGCGGATTACTGCGAAGGAAGCACTGGAGCACCCGTACTTCCAAAACGGCGGCCCCATCCCCGCAAATTGCTTTGAGGGATTTGAGGGCAAGTATCCACACCGTCGTGTTACTCAAGATGACAACGACATGCGAACCGGCAGCTTACCTGGGACCAAACGGAGTGGATTGCCGGATGATAGCTTGATGGGAAGGGCAGCGAAACGTCTCAAAGAGTGAGATATGCAGTTGTTCATGCCTCTTAGCACTGTTTTATGTTTTTAGCATTTTTCACGAGGATAGCATACTAGATTATTTCGGTGTTGGCGTTTGTTATTTAGCTATTCGGTTTCACTCTACATTGTTAATGGCATTAGCATTTCTCAGCGGATCTATCCTATCTCCACCAATTCAAACCCAAAACCAGACCAACAAAAAAGAGAACCAAAAAGACAAAAAAGCTCACCCCAATCCCAATTCTCCTTCCTATAAGGTGGAAGACCGTTCAATGAGAGGCTACGAAATCCCGACGTAGTCGTAAGGATTTACAGACGGATCCCAGTGAGAACGCTGGTCGAAATTCGACTAGTTACGGGGTAATCGAACCCAGGGCTCCTGCGTTTGGTCAAGTGATCAGATCACTCGGCCACAGTCACCCTGGGTTTGTTACCCGATTGGGAAGGCACGTGGTTAGATTGGTTGGGGGTGGTCAACATATATGTATTGTCCTAGAAATTTCCATTGGAACTATTTTCTATCAGTTTACAAACAGATAATATCAGTCTATGTTTTCTTAGCCTAGTATAACGTACAGATTATCCTTTTATTATTGCACGACCATTTACATCCTAGTACACTTGCGCCCTTGAGAACAGAAACCAGCCCATCAACCCTTGATAACCACCTTTGTTCATTCCATACTGCAGGGTATATGCATCCGACCTATAAATTCCACAAAAATATCAAAGTACAAGTTCATTAATAGCCTGGCCATCGTTAGTAGCAATCGTCATAAGAAAGAGATTCAAAAAACGTACCACTCTGCTCTTTCCTACCGTCATCTTCATCATTACCATTGTCTTTATTGTTAGACGAAGCAGAGGCTTGACCGGCAGCATCCTTGATAGGTTGTTCATCACCGCGAAGTTTCTCAAAATAAGCCTTGATGTCCTCGGCGCCGACGGCCTGGCCGCTCTCCGCGAACGGCGTCAAAAATTCCTTCACCTTGTCACGGAGATGGTTGTACACCATAGCGCCTTCGATGGCTCGAACACGGTCGATGTTGCTCAGGGCTGCTTCGCCGCGGTCGAGAAGGCTCCCGGTACCTGTACTAGCGCCGCCATTGGCTTCGTCACCGGCGTCGGAGAGGGGAGGCTCGTAAGTATCCTCTTCCTCGCGGAGTTGGGGATGTTTGGCGAGATTCGGGAAACATTCGGTGCAACGGCAAAGGTGGTCGCGGAAGTCTTCTTTGAGGAATAGAGAGAAGGTTGCGGTGGGGGTAGGTTTGGGGAGATGGTCGTGTTTCTGCTTTGGATGTTCGGAGGTGGGTTCTGCTTTGGGCTTTGAAGAGTTGTTTTCCGTGTCCTCCTTGTTCCGCTTGGGAGCTGGCTCGCCTTTTTGGTTATCTTCCACCTTGCGCTTCTTAGAGTTTGTTGGTTGCTCTTCTTCTGGGACTGTGGCCAATGTCTCTTCTAATGCTGGTTCAGGCTTTGGTTCAGGGTCCTTTTTGATAGAGTCGTTGGGTAGCCCACCATTCTTGTAGACAGGGGGTAGGAATCCAGATGCTCCGGCATAACGCTTCAGCCACGGGTTCGACTCGATGCACTTGAAGCATAGGAAAGTCTCGAAGTCGTCCTCTGCGGGGAATCCGGGAGGAAGAGGGGTCTCTTCATCATCGTCGACATTGGCAGTGTCAGGATCTTGCTCCACCTTTTCACCCTTTCCATTTCTACTTGTCTCTTTCTTTGCTATCTTGTTCCAGTCTCGTGGCAGGCCAATGAGACATTCCGGGTGCCACCAGTCTTCCCCGCAACCTCCAGTTTCAGCCGTGCCTAGACCAAGACACTGGAACATAGTGCCCTTCTCTTTATCTGCATCATAGTCTTCCCCACATCCACAGAACTTGTTTTGAAAGTTATGGTTGTATTTGTTGCCCGGGGCTGGTTCCTGAGACCGAACACCTTTAGCACCCGTCTTGGGGTCTTCCCGGAGAACGCAAGGAGCGGAAGTAGATAAGCGCGTTGTTCCACAATCGCAGACAAAGTTTCTCTTGTTGAAGAGCTCAACTAATGTGTGTTCGCCATGGCAGGAGATGGAGCAGGAGTAGCACACGCCTGCGGAGGTGTATTGCTCATCGGGATTTGCGGGGGGAGGATTGCAAGTGATGCAGGCGAAAAGGCTCTGTCGTAAGGGCCCTAGAGGTTGTGTACATGAATCGAATGACTTGGAACGTCAGAGCGGGGTCTTATTTGTCTTATTCTCTCAACTTCTCGTAGACGGCGTACTCACATATGGAAGGGCTTCGCGGGCATCGGCTTCAAGTCGCAGTTGACTTTCGATGTAGCTGTGAACACACATCGCATTAGTAGATAAAACTTTTACCTAATTGACTGATCCTGCTCATTGCGACGATTAGAAAGAGAAATGATCATGATCTTACTCTTTTGCAGTCTGAGAATTCTGCGAACTGAAGCTTTCGCGACGCTTGCCACCATCCTGGCCGCTCTTCTGCTGCTCGACGTTGGTGGGCGGCTCCATTCCGTTCGAAGAACTCATATTGTTTGGCAGATCAGATAAATTCGATGATAAATTCGTCTGAAATGATGAAACTAGTCTGAAAAAAATGATGTGAACACTGCGCTCAATATCCCTTCAGGTGCGCGCGGCGCGATGCTCTTTAAGTGTTTGCCTTGTTTGCATGTCAATCATCATGGACCAAAGCATTAACTCTATTTTGTATTTCCTACGCCTTACGGATTATTTCGACGGAGGAGTAGAATTATTTGAATAAATTGCGATACTGTAAGGGTTCACATTGTACTTATTAGTTTATTCGAGAACAAGATATCCTCCAAATGGAGTTTACATAGCAGAACGGCTATGGCCACCATTCTACATCCCTTGATCGAATGTCAAACGAGAGAGGTCAGACATCTGATAGAGACTTGATCCAGATTCATTCGATCATCAAGAATGATATCTACTCCACTCATCAACTGCAAACGCCGTTTATCCCACATTTTTGTCGCTGAACTGTCACGCTTTTCCCAATCGGGGTTTAATTGAAGACGCGTCCCAACGCGCCTCGACGCGTCTGTTGCCGCCGCGCACCAACGCCAAGGATTCTTTCTCCCTTCCTCCTCCCACCAGAGCGAAAAAAGACCAGCAACACTGCTGTGCCTGATTAATTGCTTGATTCTGTCTGCACACCCCCCTCGCAAGATTGCAGGACAGAATATTACACATCATGAGGTGAGTGTTTTTAGGACTCATATTTTTTTATCTCTCGGTCGCATTGTGCAATAATTTGTTTTTTTCAGCTTGTCAAAACTGACTCTGTTGTGCGCAGTTCACCACTTCGTCCCAGCAATTCGGCCGCAAACCGTGGTCTAGGCAACTTGAATCGACGAAAGAGATCGAGAGAACCCGATGATGAAGCTTCCTCGGTTGCCGTTCCTTCGAGTCGTAAGTTGGAAAACCAAATTGGGTATCCTGTGTGTTGGGTTCGACTGACTGTCTCATAGCCATCCCTTCTTCACCTCCTATGATCCCCTTTGATGAAGATGATGACAACGAAAGAGATGAGGAGGCTGAGCTCTTGGGCGACATTGATGATATTGAGGAGATGGCAGAAGACGAAGATGGAATTGATTTGTTCGGAGACAGCTTTGAGAGAGATTACCGGGATGCCGCAAACGACCGCTACCAAGGAGAATACATCGACGATGATGGCGACCAAGAAGAAGTTGATTTGGGAAGCCGTCGACAGCTGGAAGCTCGGATGAACAGAAGAGATCGCGAGCTTGAACGCCGCCGCCGCATGCCTGCAGCTTTCTTGCAAGATGAAGATGATGACGGCAATGTGGATCTTACCCGCCAGCCCCGTCGACGAAGACACCACTACGATGAGGACCGCGAGGATGTTGAGATGGGTGACGATGCCATGGAAGAGCTCTCAATGGAGGAATTGACAGATGTCAAGGCATCCAACATCACGGATTGGATTCTGCAACCTCAGGTTCTTCGCACGATCTACCGAGAATTCAAGGCTTTCCTGACTGAGTTCACCGACTCGGCTGGTAGCTCAGTTTACGGTAACAAGATTAAGACCCTTGGTGAGGTTAACTCGGCATCACTCGAAGTCTCCTATGTTCATTTGAGCAATACCAGAGCCGCTCTTTCTTACTTCCTTGCAAACGAGCCCACTGAAGTTCTGAAGGTCTTCGACCAAGTCGCTCTCGATGTGACCCTGTTCCACTACCCCCAATACCACGATATCCACAACGAGATCCACGTCCGCATCACCGATCTTCCCATTGTGTACACACTGCGCCAATTGCGACAGGCGCATCTCAACTGTCTCGTCCGTGTCAGCGGTGTGGTCACACGCCGCAGTGGTGTGTTCCCACAGCTGAAATATGTCATGTTCATCTGCCAGAAGTGTAACATTACTTTGGGTCCCTTCCAGCAAGAAGCCAGTGCGGAAGTGAAGATCTCTTACTGTCAGAACTGTCAGTCCAAGGGACCTTTCACTGTGAACTCTGAGAAGACAGTTTACCGGAACTACCAGAAGTTGACCTTGCAAGAGTCTCCTGGCTCAGTGCCTGCCGGTCGACTTCCCCGTCAGCGAGAGATCGTTCTTCTTGCCGACCTCATTGATACGGCCAAGCCTGGTGATGAGGTTGAAATCACTGGTATCTACCGTAATAGCTACGATGCTCAACTCAACAACAAGAACGGATTCCCCGTGTTTGCTACGATTATCGAGGCCAATCACGTTGTCAAGTCTCACGATCAGCTGGCTGGTTTCCAGTTGACAGAAGAAGATGAACGCGAAATCCGAGCTTTGTCTAGGGACCCCGAGGTTGTCGATAAGATCATCCGCTCTATGGCACCGAGTATTTACGGCCATCTGGATGTCAAGACTGCCGTTGCTCTCTCTCTCTTTGGTGGTGTTAGCAAGGTGGCTCAAGGCAAGATGTCTATTCGTGGAGATATCAACGTTCTTCTGCTTGGTGACCCTGGTACTGCCAAGTCCCAAGTTTTGAAGTATGTCGAGAAAACCGCCCACCGAGCCGTATTTGCCACTGGTCAAGGTGCCAGTGCTGTCGGTTTGACGGCCAGTGTCCGCCGTGATCCCTTGACCAGCGAGTGGACGCTTGAGGGAGGTGCCTTGGTCCTGGCTGACCGGGGAACCTGTCTAATTGATGAATTCGACAAGATGAACGACCAAGATCGGACTTCGATTCACGAAGCTATGGAACAGCAAACAATCTCCATTTCCAAGGCCGGTATTGTCACAACACTGCAGGCCAGATGTGCGGTGGTCGCTGCCGCCAACCCCATCGGTGGACGATACAACAGCTCGGCTCCTTTCTCGCATAACGTCGAGCTTACCGAGCCCATTCTGTCTCGTTTCGATATTCTCTGCGTCGTCCGTGACATGGTGGAACCAAGTGAGGACGAGCGCCTGGCCAGCTTCGTTGTCGAGTCTCATCACCGTGCCAACCCCCCTCGGCCCCAGAAGGATGAACATGGCAACCTGATCGACGCAGATGGAAACATCATTGACGAAGAAGGATACCGCATTAACAAGCACGGCGAACGTCTTCCCCTTCGACCCGACGAGATCGAGAAGCGCGAGGCGGCCAAGCGGAAAGAAGAAGAAGAAAAAGAGGGCGAGATTCCACAGGAATTACTGCGGAAATACATCCTCTACGCCCGTGAACGATGCCACCCAAAGCTCTACCAAATCGACCAAGACAAGATTGCCCGACTCTTCGCCGATATGAGAAGGGAATCACTAGCAACTGGCGCATATCCCATTACAGTAAGTTCCCCTCAAATAATGCATGACACATAGCCTAACGAAAATCAGGTCCGTCACTTGGAAGCCATCATGCGTATTGCCGAATCCTTCTGCAAGATGCGACTCTCAGAATACTGTTCCGCACAAGATATCGACCGCGCCATTGCCGTCACAGTCGACTCCTTCATTGGCAGCCAAAAGGTCAGCTGCAAGAAGGCTCTTTCTCGAGCATTTGCCAAGTATGTTCTATCCCGATCCATTATAATCGATTCACAGATACTAATAAAAAATTAGATATACCCTCTCCAGACCCAAGCCCCAATCCCGACGCAAGGCCGGAGTGCCAGCACCAAACCCCTACGCCCCTCGTGGACAATCAACACGACCACGATAAATCAACGAGTCTCACTCATGTCATGTCCTGCATTTACCTTCACCTTCATGATAAACCAATTAATACATTTCTCTCGTGCATGTTGTTTACCTTTTTTTTCTTCGTCTTTTGCAATGAAGCTTCTCGGTTCTGAGTCTTTATGGGGTTTTGATTGGTTTGGTATGGGGTTTTCCTTATCTGATTGGGTTTTTTGTCATATATTGTTCCAGATACTCCGTATACATGGGTGATATGTCATCACTGTCTGTATTACTTGAAATGTCGATGATGATCTATTGAGATAATCAGCATTTACATAGGCAATTATCACGTGGCGTGTAGTATATAAACTTGATAGGCTATATAAAGTGAACGGGTCAAAACGTTGCAAATCACTGATCAGATCGCACAGACATGGATCTATCAATCTGATTGATCATTTCGTATTATATATGCATCGGGATCTCTGTCCCTCCCTTTCTGGTGTTCTGACTTGTCACCAGGACCGCGTCAGTGGTACTGTTCGTGCCTCTCTGCCTCGCAGGCCTTGCCTTGACAATGCAACAAGTTGAATCTCATATGACTTGCAAACGTTCAGGGGTAACCCAGTGGGCGTTGAATACTTAACACCCCGAGCTGGGCTACATTGTTCACCTTCCTGTTTTACCATCCCCCCTCATCCAGCCAATATGACCATCTACGCCGACAATGCGCCTTCAGTGGCTGGCAGTGTCATTATGCTGACATCCGTTGCCTTGATAACTTATGCCTTGCGAGTCTATTGCAGACTGACTTGCAAGTCCTGGGCAGCAGAAGACTGGATCATGACGTCTGCAGTGGTTAGTTTTTTTCTTTTCCTTGTATGGAGATGAAGAGTGCGCATAGGCCAACTTACAGCTTTTTTTCTGGGTAGATACCTTTTGGCGTACTTGTGGCGGGATGTGTCGGGGGTGCATTCAATGGAATTGGTATTCATGCTGCGAGGCTTGAAGAGCCGGGGAATGAGAAATACTTTGCGGGAGGGCAGAAGGTATGGGTGTTATGACTCGTTTTGGTGCTTGTTTATCGCTAATTGACCCAATTCCAGTTCTTTCTGATGTTCGAAGTGGGTTATTGTGCTGCGATTATCCCAATTAAACTCAGTATTAGCTTCATGTTGATTCGAGTGGCTGAGGGGCGCAAGGTGTATATTCATATTCAATATGTATTGATTGCTGTGTTTGTGACGATGAATGTGGTTGCGTTGATTATTATCCTCATCAACTGTATTCCCATTGCGTATGAGAGCCATAGCAATCTTCCAGCATAAATAACTCTTTGCTAACACCAAGCCACAGTGCCGCCTGGGATCCAAGTCTGCTGGAAAAAGGAGGCCACTGCCAGGATCCTCATGTGCTGGCAGATGCCTACTATGCCTGTACTGCTGTCAATATTGTCACGGACTGGACAACCGCCCTTATGTGCGAGAGCAACGCAGACCCCATCGATGGATGTTCTTGAACAGTAGCTGAAGCTAACTGGATATCCATAGGCCTATTCCGTTGCTCTGGAATGTCCACTTGAAACGCAACACCAAGATCTCCATCATCTGTCTGATGAGCCTGGGTATATTGTACGTCTTGATCTTCCCACTCTCCTATGACCAAGTCATACTGACTTCTTGACTTGCAGCGCATCTTTGTCTGCGTGCGTCCGTCTCAAGTACACCGTCAACCTCACTGACCAGACCGACTTCCTCTTCGGCGTCGCCAACGTCGTCATCTGGGGCTTCGCCGAAAACGCCATTGGCATGATCGTGGGTAACGTGGCTACTCTACGCCCGCTGTTCCGTATTTCGGGGAGTCGAAAGCCCTCGGGCAACTACTATTCCAGTGAATACGCGAACAGCCGCTCTCGCGGATTCTTCAGCTCCAAGCGTTCAGATCCTACCATGCTTGTATCTTTGGATGACTTGGAACTGGGCAGAGCCCAAAGCCAGAGTGGTACTAGTCACCATCGAAGGACAGATTCCAATGCTGTGGCAGAGGGTGCAGAGTCGAAGAATCAGAAGAAGGATAGGAATATCTGGTCGAGGAGCGACAAGGACAGCCAGAAGTCTAGTGGACCGGTTGATATCTTCGTCGATAAACAGGTGACCATTACGTATCATTAGAAGCTGGAAGGTAACAAGGATAGTGAGACGAGATGAGACAATAATATGGCATTCAGCACTGGATCGAGTCACCGGAGAAGGAGCAGATCGTGTCTTTGTAGTGAGGAAGTGACAGTCAACGGTGGGAGCTGCTTTCCTTTAAGTTTTGGGCTGTCCCCTTCACTGATGCTGATTTCACTCCAGCTCTTCATCTCGAGTCATTCATCCCCCTTCAACCATTCTCAGATCCAGCATATCACATCTCATTTCATCAATTACATCTTATAGACTTACCTGACCAATATGGGGTATGCCAAACCACCCAACAACCAGCGACACAACTAACACCACAAACAGGTATTCACACCATTACCGCATCACAACCACTTCCAGCGAATGGAGAAACTCCTGGCCCAACTTCGTCAAAGACGTTAAACTCATAATCGAAGCATCCTCAGTCGGCATCACCGATCCTCGAGGATTTGACGAAAATGGCGGAAACTACCGCAACGACAACGACCCAGATCGCATAACCATACCCATACCCCCTCCCATCGTCGATCAGACCAGAGGAATCGGCATCAACGGCATCGGGGATGGCGCTCATGAACCCCTTTTGATTGATTGCCAGGGTCATCTTCCGCGCGCATCCGTCACGACTGGGCGCAAGCCGTACGATGAGGTGGTTACTTGCGTCTTGGTGAGGGCTTTTATGGTGGCGCCGCATTCTTGTAGCATTACGTGAGTGTTACTCCTGTTTATTCATCTATCTATCGTTGCACGTATTGTTGAGTTGGAGTGAAGCTGATTGTAGGTAGTTCTGATGGTGACTGGGATGATTGGGTAGATGGGCGTACTCTCTACACGCAGATTTGGGGAGAGATGCCTCTGTGTCCGTGGGGAGGTGTATTTCCCACTCCTCCCCAGAAAGTCTCGCCTGCCTGTCGTTGCTGCATCATGTAGATTCTTGACTCTTATTCATCCGATTGGTTGTACCTTAAGGTATTCCGCTGCTGCTCCTAGGGAAGAAGAACGACGACATTACGTTTGAGCCAGCCATAATAAGGCGGCTATATACTGTATTGGAAAGCTTTGACGACTTGTGAGGCCGTCGCATTGGGGTGGATATATCTATAGTTGTATGAACTATCAAGACTCGCTATAGACTATGGCACAGGGAGTTGTATGTGTTTACAGTACTCTTGGTATTACATGATCAAACTCAAAGGACTGATGGACTTTGACGGGTTCTTTTGCGATTCTTTTAAACTATCCTTATAAAGGACAGACGGAAAAGAAAAGTAAAGGATAGGAATAGCAGACAGCATAGCAAGTTCAAACAGTACAGCAAGCTTAAGTACGATAGCAACAGCCAAACAAGATAAGCATATCAACAATATAGCCTTACTATTCAACATTAATTTATGAAGCAAATTGATATTACCCGTAATGAGGGAGATAGAAGAAGGGAAAAAACATAAAACTATTCAGGGGGAAACAGTCAAAGCACGCCGAGCTCAAAACACATCCGTTTCCCATGCCACCCCGGTGAATCAATCATCAGTCAACGCCTATCCGTTTTGAATCAATGAGCAAAGTCCTCCACACAACACACATTCCCAAGTATAAAATATTGGATCCGTCCCATTCGAAAAGCCACTAGAGTACATACAGCAAATGCTCGAGATTCTTTCCTAACAAGCGATGCGTACCAGACTCCGTCGACAGCCTGGGGGGATATACCACTGCGGACGGGATATGGCATGGCCTGCTTCTTTAATGGCCCACGTTTACTCCAGAGAGGAGTGGAAGTTTCACAATAACTTCTTGCAAAACTCATTTATATTGGCATCACTTGTCCCCAAATTGAATGCTGCCAGTGACTTGTCATGTAACAATCAACTTCCTTGCAATCACATTGTCAGGTTCCCGCGCGAAAGACCACTCGAGTCAGATACGAACCTTAAGAAAAGCACGTCATGAAGATATTCAATCTTCACTGGTACGTCTCTCAGGCTTGGGTTTCCTCAAACTCTTCATGCGGTTGAGGAATCCGCTGTTGTTGTTCTTGGCTTCATCGTAAGAGCGCTCATCGGTGAATCTCCGTTCAATTGTTCTCTGCTTAGGGCTGCTAGCAGATCGGGCGCGTCCAGGCTCACGCGATTCTTCAGCAACATTGATCCGGGCACCCTTCTGATCCCATGCGTCATCATAGTCCTGGAAGAAAGGGTTCTTTTCGTTGGGGCGGTTGGAGCCAGAGTGGCTGGAGCTAGCTTGGACGGGAGTCGAGGGCTCGGGCGAGATCATGCGGCCAGGAGGAGGCCTGTTCATTCCACGGAGTCTTTGCGCCAAACTTTTCTTGCGCTGCAGACCCCCTCCTCCATTCTGGATTCCAGTCTCATTCTCGCTGACACGACGCTGCATGGCGGAACGACTGGCGGGAGCACCGTCCAAGAAAGTGCTGGTTCCCAGTCCCATACTCTCCGATCCGTGAACGGGTTCGATGCGACTGGTGGGATCAAAGTTAACTGTTTCAGCTCTGCGCTCCAAGCCGCTAGAGGCGAAATCATTGTATCCCTCCGTCATGGTGCCATTGAAAAGATTCAAATCGATATTCTTGTTGACCGGTCCGGCGCCTCCCAAGGCCATGTTGGAAGAATCCTTGGGGAAGGCCTGCATGGGCGCAGTGCGCAGTCCCTTACGGTTGCGATTCGGGTTGCAAGCATCGAACGGTCCGTCGTGGTGGAACACTGTTGATCCCAAATTAGTACTTTATATGGCGCTTGATGACCGGCAAACACTTACTTCCTGTGCCGTAGATGCTGGTCACATCGAGTTTATCAATAATGTCGAGTTGGTAATTGGCCTTCTTTGAGCGAGATTTGCCATCCTTGGGGCGGCCTTCCCGCTCACGTCGTCGCCTTTCGCGGCGCCGTCTTTCTTCTTCAGTATCGAGGAGCTTGGGGGTCTTTTCCATGATAGACGACTCCGAGTTTCGGCGCTGCGGTCTCCGCTCTCTTTGCCTTTCTCTATCTCTAGTTTCTCTAGTGGGTTTGGTCGCTGCGCTGCTAGTGGCCTTGTTGGGAGGATCGGCGAAAATATCAAAAGGATCCTGCTCACGGCGTCTTGAGGGATCCCGCTGTGGTGCGCGACTGCTGGGCGGGAACTTCTGGGCGTTGTCCGGGCGGGGCGGAGCCGGAGCTGGTCGGTGACCAGTATTCTGAGGGGGCCGGTTGAGCGAAAGGTTCTCCTATTGCAAGAAACCACCATTAGTCAAACCGCTAGTGCTGAAACGAGAAATACAAGAATGCACGTACAAAGAGGTCGCGGGTATTGCCGGTCAAGTCCTGTCTCTCGACTGGAGACATGGTGGTTGTGGGAGCCGACTGGGGGGAAGTCGCATCCGTATCGTCAAGAAAAGGGTTTGTAGATGTAGGCCGGCCACCGGAACTGAAAGAATTCGCAGACGGGGACAGGGCACGATTTCTGAAGGGATTGTTGGAGCCCAGGTTGATAGGTATTTGTGGAGAGGCTTGCCGTTCTAAAGGAGAGTTAGTGAACGCTGCGACAAAGTTGTGGGAATCCATTAAGATATAATAGGCATCAACATTACAATGACACCGGGGGAGACCAAACAAGCAACACCCAACATGAAACACCGAAAAAGCAACCAGAGATCACAAACAGCGATAAGGGGAAAAGTGGGAAAGGGAGGCGTAGGAGTATTACGCACCTGGCGGGCCCAGCGAGACGCCGGGTGCATAGAAAGCCGGCTGCTGAGAGGCATTCATCTTGACAGAGGCGCACGAGCGATGCGGTTCGAACAAGATGAAATTATTAAGGATGGCAGGTCTGGGATCAGACCAGAGGATGGGGAGAATAGAAAAAGAGGAGAGGTCGAAAGTGAAGAACGGGGTATGCGGGAGTGCAGCAACGAGATCCCCCGACCCAAAGAGCAAGAGCTGAGCGGACGGGGAGAAGCTTTGCTGAAACAACGGAGGATGGCTTTACCCGCGGCCGCGTCGTCAGGGATGGAAAGGAGGGAGAAAGACGAGGAATAAAAGGATCACGGATTCAAGACCAATAGGAGATTAAGGTGTTTGAACCAGTTGAGACGGGATATTAATTTTCCCTCGTTAATTTGATAGAGCGATGGAGCTGACAGGAGATGAAAGGCGAGGGGAGAGTCCCGAGTGGAATTGACAGGAGATAATAGTCGCCCCTGTACGGAGTAACTGTTGCTTGTTGAAACTTGGACCGTGTGGCCAGGTATGCAGACCGAGAGTGGGTTATTTTGGAGTCAGTCACGGGCGGCAGCAGCAGATCATCGCCTAGGGGGAAGTGGGATCCGTGCGAGTTCTCCTGATAACCGATTCAAGGATGTGAGATGAGATGGATGAGAGGATGGAGAGGGGAAGAAAAGAAAAGAAGCAGAGCACGAGAAGAGAAGAAGCGACAAAAAGAAAAGAAGAGAAGAGGGGAAACGAAGGCAAAGGCAGGGCCAAAAGGGGCAAAAGAGGGACGGGTGGAGAGGCAGAAGTGGAGGAGAGCAAGACGAGGAGGAATGAGAAAAAACGATGCCTGTGATAATAATATGGAGATGATGGAATAATGAGATCGTCTGGTCGAGCGAACCGAGATGCGCTGAGATGAGATGAGACGAGGATGTTCGTGCAGCTCAAGATTGAGTCTTCTCTCTACTTTGTTGGAATTGTATGTAGCACAACCCTCATCCCTGTTGAATGTTGGCTCTTCACGGTCGATTCTTTTCCCTCTCCAGGAACCAAAAAAAGCAGATTAAACTCCACGGATCGACGGCCATCCACGCAACGCCGGTCGGGGAGTTGCGAAATCGGTACTTGGCAGGGGAGAAACAGCAAACTGGAGATATCTGTTTTGTCTCTGATTGTATTCAATTGTAGCTCTTAGCATTGGCTTCAACCTCGGTGATTTGTCCATGCAGTTCTTTAGCATACACACTAGAACGACTCTAAGGTATACAATATGTACTCTGACGTACGCCCTGGTAAGCCCGCCCCAATCCAACATCTCACCATCAACACAACCAACCCTTTCGATTCGATGCAAAACAAAAAGATACAAAACAAACAAGGATGAACGACTGCATCGCTTCAGCTACGTCACAGTCAATAAGCAAGATTTACGGCTGGGACATTCCTTTTTGATGTCATTTCGTTGCTCTGGAATGCTGACATCTCGGGTCGCGGATGATCGACTATCAACAGTGAATATCTCCTGTGAATGCTGTTGAATATGTTGATTGACCAGGCACAGAGCAGAGTACCCAGTATGTTAATATTTTAAATAAATACTATGTACTCTGTAGAATTGTAGACAAAATCTTATTGCCCATTCCACTCCAATCTGAAGAATTTATACCCGCTGATAAACGCCGTTGTTTGGAATGTGGATGTCATCATCATGGATCCCAATCACCTGCCTAATTATCGGCTGGGCCAATCATTAACCGATTTAATGCTCACTATTATTTACACTTCCTTCACATCACCCTGTCTCGTCCCTTGGAATCAGAAAGACCAAGACATTCAGCCATATTGAAGAAAATGTCAATCGAGTTGTATACGCCCCCAAACAGCTCCTGGCACGGCCCCTGCGCAAACACAGGCACATCCGTCAGCGAGTGCACACCCTGGCTACTATCCACAGGCAGAGTTCCGTTGATAAGGAACCCAGTGACGGCGTCTTTATAGTTCGCCACATAGCCACCTGCATCACCTGGAACCGCAGGCTTCCGCTCCCCTTCCTTGTGCACTTGGTAGTTCTCGCGGCGGTCCGGGAAGGCACCCACCCCGGAGTGTAGCGTGTACCGCGGATCCCAGCGGGATGGGAAATGCACGCCTTCAGAGTACCGTAACGAGCCTGGTCCGCCGACGGTGTACTGCGAGAGGCCGGAGTTCTCGTAGTATCCGACGGCGTTTCGCTTCTCGCGATCTGTGGTCTGTTCGTTTAGGTACTTGGTGTCGACTGATCCGGTAACGTCAAAGCCGTGTCCGTGGTCGGCGGTGACAATGATTAGAGTGTCTTCTAGCTGGCCTAGGGCTTCGAGCTTTTGGATGGTGGCACGTACTGTGTCGTCCAGCTCGAGAAGCTCGCCCAGCGCACGGTCATAGTCGAGAGTGTGCATCTGCTTGTCGATACTAGCGGCTTCAGACATGAGGAACCAGCCATTATCCTCGTGGCGGGCGTTCAGCACATCGATGGCCTTGAGTGTCATCTCCTTGAGCCCGGGTAGGTCGTCTGCATCGCGGCCTGATCCATCAGGGTAGTTGCTCTGGTTGAAGAGGTTGGAGGTGTAAACATTGCGGTCGAGCCATGTCGCCAATGTATCGACCTGGAAAACACCGAGGGCTTTGGTGTCATTAGGAGCAGAGCTCAGGGCAGTATTGTTCCAGCTGACACTGTATCCATTGTCTGCGAAGAGGTTGTAGTAGTCCTTCGGAGAGTCTTGACTTGTGATAAAGTTCTCTGCACCACCGCCAAAGATAACATCAGGGCCATTCAGGCCAGTCCAGCTATAATTGGTCAGGCCTTGGTATAAAGCATCTATCACATGCGCATATTGACCACGATCACTAGTGTGCGCTGCCAATGCAGCCGGGGTAGCATCGGCTGTAGAAATTGTCAACGACTGAACAAATAATAATAAAGTATAGTCTTACCTAGAAATGCAGTAGAGACGATACCGAGCCCAGCATCCGGGTACTTCCGACGAAAGATCTCAGCAATGGTCTCGAATTTGGGATCGTCAAACGGGCTTTCAGACGAGTCCTTGTAGACATTCAAAGCATTAACAGTAGTCTTGTGACCCGTGTATAAAGCAGTCGCAGAATTGGCCGAGTCAGTGATAAACGAGTCCATCGAGTGAGTCATCTGGTGACCCAGCACAGGGAACTTGTCCATCTGCATCTTGGTCATGTACTTTCCATTAACACTGCGATGAGCGATAAGCCGAGCAGCCGTGATCATATTGGTCGTCATGCCATCCCCCACGAACAGGATGACATTTTTCGCTCGTCTCTTCTCGGGCAGGTCCCGGACAACCCAGTTTGCAATCGTGGTTTCGTTGCCGTAATAGGTCAACGTGGCTTCATACTCGCCCGATTCGTAGAGAGCAATTCTCCTATACGCCTTGGATGTCACATTCACGACTGATGGCTTTTCTGCATCGACAGCGAACAGATCTAGACGACTTAGTCTGTGCTCCCACAAACATCCCAGACACAGGGGCCTTACCTTCATACCACGAAAAGTCCCATCGTTCAAGTTCAGGTTCTGCGACATCAAAGAACTCCGCCGCAGCAACAGGTGCATCGCCCTTTTTGGCGACAGTGAACTTGAAGTTAGGATCGGGCAACCCAACTCGTGCTTCAGAGCCGTTGATGGGAGAGTGAACCTCTAGGCGAACATCGAAATACTGTCCTGCCAGGAAATCGGCTCTATAAATAAATCAGTTAGCTCACATGGACATACCCTGCAACTATTCTACAGAAGCATACTGGTCCGGAGGAAAAATGCAACCCAGAGAGGGACAGCCCCCCAAGCGCTGAAATGTTTGGGCCACAACGCATGACGAAAATATAGCAACCCGAGAGATCCAAGAGAGCTTCATCGTGATGTGAATGTTGATCCGGACCGGATCATAAACGAAAGACAATGTTCGAGAGAGCTAGATTTTCCAACGACAAGGTTGCGGATTCTGATCCTTTTATCACTTTCCAGCTGCATCGCCAAGGAACAGCAAATTAGGATGTCTCTTGTCCAGAGTACCACGTTCCTGAACTGGGATTCCACAGCCACTGTCCCTCTCTGACGGTCGAAATAACCAAGTAGTCATGGGAGACTTCGGAGCACAACCAGAGTCCGCGCCCTTGGCAATATCATGGCATCATGGGTGGATGACAAAGATGAGAGGGTCCATCTTGAACGGGCAAATCGAGATGGTTTCCATCCACACGTGCAGAGGCCAAGAACGGTTTGGGAAGCTTGATGCTGTCCGGGCCAAGATGTTGGCGGATGACGCCAAGGAACAAACCAGGAGTTCTGCTTCTTCCTCTCTTGGCGATGAGGCGATGAAGCTGTACCATTATGCTGTGCTATCATCTTGAAGCCACATTATGCAGACTAGACAGATTGGTGATACATCCTGATAGACTGTCCTAGAATGGATATAGAGCACCAAACTCTTTGAAGACCTGATAATCCCAGACAAGCTACCAGGGGCAACCTCGATATCGCTCTCACACCAGGACGATAACTTCAGAATTGCAAAGGTTTGATAAACCCATTATTACAGTATGATGAGATCGAGAAATGGTATATACAGGCATAGAGCTATCCTGTTAGACTAGATCCGATGTTGATTCAAGGCCCTTTGAGCCAGGTTCAAACCCATGGCTCGGATAAAGTGCGGATATATTATCTCTTGAAGTGGAAAGAGAATATCAACAACCCTAGATAAGAACCGACAGACCAAGAAGCAAAATAAAGGGACTGGGATTGTCATGAAGCGGTTTTTGGATACAGTTGCTGGATAAGTAATACCCCACAGATCGGCGATAAATGATCATCTCAGAGGTCCCAAGTCTGCAATGAAAATATGGGGCGATTGAACATTCAATTGGGGATCTGAGATATATCAGTGCACTGGCATTTATAAAACGTCCGTCAAGGCATGTTGGAGATAGATGGGTTGGAGATGAGATGCAGTGATCAGTGATCCACCTTGGCGTCTGTCGCAGCGCGGTCTGTGGCCCTCACTTTCTGCCGTTCACCAACTCAACAGATTCCTTCTCCTTCCACAGCTTCGCCTCTGTTGCTTTTAAAGCTCTTGAAGCTCAGTTGATACCTCCTTTCTTATATCCTTCCCATCAGCCATGGAGCAACCCCAGCCTCCAGCCTCCGATCAGCCCCAGCAGCCTCCACCTCCAACGCTTACGAACCCTCGCTTTACTCTCGAGCTCGAATTCGTCTCCTCCCTCGCAAACCCTTACTACCTGTCACATCTCGCGGTCACATACCCAGGTCTACTTGGAATCTCCAAATCAGGCGATGATGACGATGCGGATACTACCTCGGCCCCTGACGCGCAGGCCTTTGCGGCGTACCTGGCCTACCTCTACACCTACTGGAAAACACCCGAATACGCCCAGTTTTTGACACACCCTGGTGCCACATTACGCGCGCTACGCCTTCTCCAAGAAGAGACTTTCCGCCGTGACATTATCCGACCGCAGGTGATTGAAGGTTTAGCGGGGATGGGCATCGCCAATGACCAAGGCCAACCCGCAGAAACCGAGGAGGCAGACGAGGGGCAAGGGAATGAAAATGCGGAGAAGGCGAACACCGATGATAGAAACGGATCAAAGACCTGAAGATCTGAGGCCGGCGACTTTTAAGCCTCGTTAGGTTTATCGTACTATACAGGCTTATGATACCGTGCATACGCCATCGATACTGTTGGGGGGAAAGACAAGCCTAGTTAGCACGCATTTCTCGGATCTGCACGAAGGAATTGCCTTTTGCTCCACATGGCTTTTCTCGCAGTTCCTTGGGGGGACACTGATAATTGAGATTGTGCTAGATGGAGTTTGGTTTGCAGCCCTACAAAAAGCATCATGTGTGACCGAGGTTTTCTCTTGATCTGCCACAACATCGGTTATTCCGCCATCTAAACAATGAGAGATGGAAGAGATGCGCGCAGAATAGGTTCTCTGCCGAGAAGACTAGTGTTAGAAGGTCCAGCGCACAAATGGGAATATGGCACCGTTTCTCGTGCAATCTTGACTGAACTGCGGGGATCGAGTGTGGTGCTATGGTCATAGCACTGTTCAATGGATGGTTTTGGCACCCATTCTGCATGATGATGCTGGCTGGAATATAGACTGAAAAGTGATTGGAGTTATTATATCAGACTTTTTCTCTTTCCTTGCTGGATCCCCGGGCTGCATTTGATGGTGAACTGTATATAACTGGTCGGTCGATGGTCAGACTGCGTCATACTCCTGCGATTCGGGCCCGTAGGCTTGGTAAATACGACACTTGTTTTCGTCAATTGAGCATTGTTCCCTATCTTTACTTCTCGTGCATCACGAAAATAAGAACCAGAAGAATAAAAAAAAGAACACAACCCCATTATTCCCACTCCTCTAAGCACCCAGAGTCAATCTCGTTTAGTTGTTGACACCCCCTGTGGCTGTCGATCTGCCTGTCTAACGGGGCCTGTTTTTCTTCCCCTTCCTAACTCCGGCCTGGAACCGCCCAGCCTCCACTCTGTACCTCACATAAGCCCAAATTACCAAGAAGATTGACCCTCCCCCCTTCTCTTCGCTCTGCGTCATCCTCTTCTTCCAGCAAAACAATAATATTAATCCTCATCTCCCGTGCAGACACTCCCTGCACTTCCGGATAGGACACTATCTGATGGATTAACCCCGCCCCTGGTGATTGACTTGGAATTAGATACTCCGTCCCAAGTGCGCTTTCTCCTCCATCGCCAACAACATCCACGCTGGTCGGATTATCCACCCTGAGAACGGAACAAGTGGTCGGATCTTAGCATCGCTCTCCATGGTTTATCTAGGCAGTATTTCTGCCTGGTTTTGTTGAAATCCCTTCGGAGAAAAAAACCTCCCTGGCCGGTTTAGGGACCGCCTAATAGACATCTATTTTCGGACGCCTCACCCCGGGTACGTGCTGTGGTTCAACCACCACAACTCTTTCCAATGGAGGGCGTACGACAGTCGTGTCGGCCAAAACATCAGGTCTTGACCCTGAAATGCTATCCCCGATACCAGAAAGGAGTGCAGGAGGTTAAACCGAACCCTAGCGAACTCTCCTATCTGCTCTACTATGTGAGCACACGTCGCAGCAAGCTGACCAAAGTCGGCGCCTTTTTGGAGAAGAGGGCCGCCCGGGACGTTTGGAGAAGAAGACTAGGGTGAGTATAAGGAGTCAAGTGCTTAGTGAATGTATTCTGCGATGTTCCTGGTGGCTAACTTTTCATTCCTCAACTTCCAGAAATGTCCAGGTTACACTTGAGATCCTTACGGCACTCATCGAGAAAGTCCCTCGCGACCTGCCAATCTACGCGCGATCCGTCCTAACCATAATCGAGACTGTTTTACGTTCCCATGACATTTCTATGGTGGAGGATTCGATTCCGACCTTTGAAACATTTTGCCAACATCAGGATATGGCGGCTCTGGCAGCCGAGCAGGAGTTTTCAAATCAATACTGGGAAGTCGTACGGACCTACGCGAGCTTCGCCAGCACCGTCGCCCCGCCGCAGACGACCCCTGCTCTAACCCCTCAGATGGCGATCCGTTGGAGGAATGCGGGACTTCGAGCGATCAAAGGTGTGGTTAGTTCCGAAGAGGGCCTAGCCGCTGGCGATGGAAATTCGCTCAAGACCCTTTTGCCGGTTATTCTTGAGAATCTGTATACTGGCGAAGACGATGCCATTGTCTCCCTCCAATTGAAACTCGAGGAAGAAAAAGATGAGCCGGACCTCTCTCGACGGCGCAGGGTCAGCAACGCTACCGTGCAGACGGTCGACACAGCGGGTGGAGACCCAGCTTTGGCCTCGCAATCCGCTGCAGACGCAGACAGAAAGGCCGAAATAGATGTGAGGTTGCTGGCTTTGCGTTGCTTGGAGCGAATCGTTGTGTCCGGTAGTAACCGTGGCCAGATTCGCACCACGACAAAGGTTGTGCTACGATTCATACTAGACAAGGGTCCTCTTCGAGCAGGCGAGGCCTCAAAGATGAACGTAGACGGAAACTGGGCTTCGTCTCTCATGGAACTTATCGCTAAATGGTGTCCGGTCCAGGTCCGCTTCATCATGTTGATCACCGCCATGGAGCTTTTGCTGGATACCCCTCCCATCGAAAAATCTCAGGACCAAGCATTTACCATTCTTTTTATGATCAATTGGCTTCTCAAATCACCAGCAAACATGATTGGACTCAGCGTTATGGACATCTTGCTTGGCTTGGTGCAATATCTCTCGTTTGTGCTAGTACCATCGGATTCCGAGAAGCCATTGGACAATGAGAAGCATTACAATGGCGAAGAGCCTATTTCCACCCAGAAAAGAGAATTGCTCAGTCTTGTCGAGCAATCTATTGGAAGTCTCGCTACTCATATCTACTATGGTGACCAAGTCTTCGACATGATCAGAACAATCTTGACTCGCTTCAAGCCATCACGAACCCAAGAAAGCGCTATAGTTACAGCATCAACTCAACCCGATGCAGTAGGAGCGAATGCCATCTCTGCAGCTTTGGAGAACCCCGAAGCCTTTAATTTCGCCACAGCCAAGATCACCGCTCTCAGGGCAATCAAGAACATTCTCACTGTAGCAACTTTGAGATCGCCTGCCGCTGCGGCCGGTGTGGAGTCCAGAAACCATGTGGGAATCCACGTATGGGAAGGCACGCAATGGTTTTTGCGTGAACCGGAGCATGATGTTCGCCATGCCTATATCGATGCATTCCTGACATGGCTAAACCTTGAAACAAACGAAAGCGATCTCCAAGTCAAAGATGTGCCGACAAAGCCGACTAGCTCATCTTCCAAGCGGGATTTTGCAGAAAATGTCGAGAAGCCAGGAAAACGAAACGCTTCGACGTCTGCGAACCAGAGAGAAAGAGCGACGCTAGTGGCGGAGTCCAACTTCCTCCGTCTGCTCCATTTGACCGTTTATGATGCAGCGCTCCAGTGCCCTACCGAGGAGTCTGAGATCGCCATTCTTCACCTTGTTTTGACAAGCCTCGTTAACAAACTAGGTGTGAACGCCATAAGATTCGGACTTCCTATGATTCTCAAGCTGCAGGATGATATGGCCACCGCTGAGAGCTTGCGTACACTTACTACCAAGGTGAACATCGGAAGCTTAGTATACGGCTACCTCTGGGCTTTATCCGAGAAGTTTGACTTGGAGGTTTTCAGAGTGGGTAGCGGGATTAACAAAGAAGTCCAAAAGCGGCAGCAACTTGGCCTTTGGGTGCAGAGAATCCGTGTGCCATCCATCTCTCTCGACAACATTGTCACTAGAAGTGACAACCAGATTAACAACGGCGTCTCAGCAAGTGAAGAAGCGTTGATACCGTTCCATGCTGGTGTTGACGACCTCATCCACCATATCGAAGAATCGTACAACTCATCGATGGTGTCACCAGTTCACAGCCCTCCGGGATCCCCTGGACAAGGCTTCGGGCTGCCTAGCCTATCGGATATCCAAGAGAAGGAAACCCTTCCACTTTTCGTCAAGGAACAGATGATGTCAACTTGGTCGAGAGAAGCATGTCTGGCGACTGTTGAGAAAGAGACTGCCAAGTCATGGTCTATGAGCGGCTCCAAAGCAGGAACCTTGGCCATGCGCAACCAAATCCAAACCAATGGGCTTAATGGAGCCGGAGACAGCTCTCAGTCTTCCGCAACCTCACCGACGTCCGCACCCCACGGTGCTGGAGGAATCGCAGCTGGCCTGCAACACCTCCGACGGATGAGTGTTCCCGAGTCCTCGAACACGCCGCCCGAGAGCTCTAACAGGGGCTCTCCGGTTCGTGTTAATGAGCTGAGGCGAGTTCTTTCGGTCAACAAGGAGGCCAATGGTTCACGCAAGTTGAGTCCCCTTCGAGGACGACTCCACGCTTCGAATGGTAGCATTGCTTCATCGAGTAGCGAAAGTATGGTCAGTGGGTATGCAGTGTCCGAGATGGACGGCGATGGAGGCTCGAGCAGACCGCCATCGACGGGAGATGGAACGGAAACCCCTAAGGCTTCAACGTTGGCACTCTCTGGTGATGGATTCCAATTCGATCAGTCATCCTTCAGACTGGGCTTGGACGATATCCCCCCGGTGCCGCCAATCCCACCATCTCTGTCCGTGCCGGGTGGCTTTCCTAACGATTCCCAACGCTCATTGTCATCCTCCTATCTGGATCGACCTTCGACCTCCCCTAACCCTCGAAAACAATATCCTGTGAATGGAACATCGCCCTCCTCACGTCCAGGCAAGACTCTTAGCAGGAATAAGAGTCGTTCCAGCAACGGTCTTGCAATGGCAGCTGTGCAAGATTCCTCAGATGATAGCCAGCGGCGTGACCTTGAAAATCTCTTGAATGGGTTCTTGTCGCCGTCGCATGCCGAGCCAGTAAATGGCAAACCCCACTCAGTGGGTAGAGCTGGCAGACGACGCGCCACTGGAGGTATTGGACGTCCACCATACTAGTACCTAGCTTTGTACAGTTTCATCGTACCAAAGCCCATAACATTCGCTCATTCGCTCCTTTTATTTTTCTTTTGGTTTCCTTCTTTTTCTCTCTCTTCTTTTGGCTCGCAGCAGTCTATGTTTCATTTTAACATCATTCTTCAAGCCTTGTCTATATCATCTTTGTCTTTGTGATGAAAAATTATTACCTTTCTTCATATACAGCTTTTTTTATCAGGGTCAAATGTTGTTGATCTTCTTCTGTCCTGCCCTATGTTTTCTTTTGTTCTCATGTTTCTTTCTGTCTTCCTGCTCGGTTCTATCTTCTTTTACTTTGCATCCTTTCCATCTCTCTTTCTTTTTCTTGCTTTTATATATCTGCGCCGTACTTTCTGATAGACAGTTTCCATGTTTTTTTCCCTTTCATCTTTTGTGTTATGTAGCTGCCCTCTGTTTTTTTTTTTTTTTTTTTTTTTTTTTTTTGCCTTTGCTTTTCAGGACAGATGTTCGGGCTATGCGGTTTCTAATGGTCTGGATAACTTAGAATACTGTCAATTTATGTTCGTTGTACAGTACTCCAACGCAGGAGGGTGAAGATTTATATGGCTTATCTTGTATTTAGGCAAGTTGATAATTACATGAACTTTACAGTGTTACTTTAGTTACCAGTTCTACGAATTGAGTAAAGATGCTATAACATGGTCCTTGTCTTTGTCTTAATTTACAGCAGTAAGGAAGCCCGGATGAGATTAAAATAGTCTGGGTGAAAATAAATCACTAAAGAAAAGAATTTCAGCTTCCTTCAGTGGCCACCCTGTTTAATGAGGACATGATTTGTAGCATCGGCCTCGGTGTCCTCGACGGGTCCGAAGTATTCTTTGAATGTTTCGTTCAGAACCTCCTCCGTCAAATGCATATGAGCACCAGGGGTAGTTTTAAAGTGCAACTTATCCTGCTCATCCAAAATCTTCAACCCCAACCAATCCTCTTTATACAGATCTCTCTCACGCAGCGGTGTCAGCTCTTCACTGGAGGAGTTGTAGTCGGCAAACCACGAACTCTCCTTCGGGTGAGCGATGTGATCATCGTCGAACATGAACATGACAAAGCGATTCAGGGAAGCAAGGTTATCGCGATATGTAGGGTTCTTCTCCTCCCGTTCATTGTTGATATCGGCCAGGAAGTTGCTGTAAGCGAGGTAATCGTCTAGATCGGCTGCGTCGCGGAAGTACTGCGCGGGGACGAGCTGCGACTGGACGACTTTTGTCCAGCGACCGGAGTATAAGAGCGCATTGGCCGCTTTACAGAGCCAGTCTCCCGGCCCGCACGTCTGGAATTGCGAGATGCCATTGTGCTGACTGCCGAAAGTGACTAGGTTCCGGACAGGGGGCGAGTTGCAGCGTTGGACGTAGGCTCGAAGGAATTGGCCGCCCTGGGAGAAACCCATTGCGTTGATGGAGGGTGCATTGCTGATGTTGGGGTCTGAGGCGAGTTGCTCGCAGACTGTCGCGACTTGTTCTGTGACGTTGCCCATGAAGGACTCCTTGCGATCGTCGGCTGCGGTGTCGCCTAGACGGATTCGGTGGACGTAGGTGCCCGGGTTGACCTTTTGGACTAGGTCGGTCACGTATTGCATTCCATCGCTGTCGGATTCATCGCCCAGGCCATGCCATATTACCAACGGGGGAGGGGTGGATGGGTTGTCATTGTTGTTGGTGTTGCGGAGAGACGGATGGGCTGCGGAGAAGACGGCGAGGGGGAGGAGTAGAGGGAGAGCTGTTGAGGAACGCATGGCGATATCAGCACCGACACGAAGTCAGTGTGGAGATAAGAGAGTAAAAGGAGGGGCTCCGATGATAACAATATGTAATGTCTGATGGCATCGATGAGATGAGTTGGCAACTGGGATGGGGAATAGAAATAGGGCAGCCTTGGAGGGCTGGGGCGGTGATCACATGGCAGGCTCGACTCTTGGAGATGGCAACCACTCTCAGTTCATCGCGTCAGTGGCGGCAAGAACATCACGCTGAGCCGTATATACTAATTGAAATCGTCTCCATTTATCTCTGCATCTGGGGCTTTTTATATCCCTGAATATGGAGCTCTTTGCTCACTCAGGTGGCTTGCGAAGATCACGATTGCTATCTCGACAAACTATCTCCGATCAAATGGTTTGAAACTTTTGCAGGCGCTGAAAGTTGAGCATTTGCTCGGGTCTATCCCCCCCAATCACTATTCTTACTATAAGAAATTCTGAGTTCTGAGATAAAATGTGATATAATATCTCAATGCGACACCAAAATGGATAGAAATTCAGCCCACGGGGTAAAAAATGCCAGCCATCAATCGGCATGGCGCTGGTTTCGAAGCCAGTTTCATATGAGACCACCCGATGATGAAGAGGATCAAAACTGGTGGTTTGCTTCAACGGCGATTCCTCTGATAGCTGCTTCAATTGGCCCTCTTGCTAATGTCATGTCTATCGCTGCTCTGATCACGCCCTGGAGGAATGACATCTATTATGACAAGTCGGATCAGTTTGGCCTCCCGGTACAAGAGGGCTTCCGTGACCCTCGATGGTGAGAAAATGGTGATTCTTGAATAGAACTTGTCGCTAATAAACAGCAGGTGCACTGCCTTGAATGCTACTTCGCTTGCGTGTGGAGTTTTTGGCAACCTTTTCCTTCTATGCAATTTCACCCGGGCAGTTCGCTATATCATAGCATTGCCTGCCTCCATCATTCTTTGGCTTTTGGCAACAGTTATAGTGAGCTTGGATATTGATTATATTTGTACTATGTGGCTGACAATCTCACAGTTGATCGGAATAACGGCTGCCATGCATATATATCAGAGTCCTTCGCCAGGGCAAATATACTCCGAAGCCTACTGGAGTGCAGTGATAGCTGCAGTTCTCTACTTCATTCTTTGCATTATTCTCATGATTAATATGCTAGGCTATTTTCTAGGCCATTATCCTCAGCATTTCGCCCTTACAGACGATCAACGGACTCTAATTCTGCAAACTATGGCATTTATGGTGTGGCTACTGGTTGGAGCTGCTATTTTCCAACAAGCCATTGGCATTCCATTTTCAGATGCGTTGTATTTCTGTGATCTTACCATCCTCACATTAGGATTCGGTGATATTACGCCACAGGACTCGGTAGCGAGAGGTCTCGTGTTACCGTATGCTGTGATAGGAATTATCATACTCGGTCTTGCTGTTGGAAGTATTCATCGATTCGGCAAGCAGCTCCGTTATGAGAATGTTGTGCGAAAGCACATCGAGCGAAAACGACAGTCAACCTTTGAACGATCGACTACATATGAGCCTAGGTCGAAAGAGGCGGAATTGAAACGATTGGGCCTCCCATCCCGTGCAATGGAGGAACCCATAGAATCTACACAACAAACATCACAAATCTCATCCAAGTCGCGACGTCGAAAGCGGCCAATCAGAAGCGCTATAGGTGCACTCAGTCGACCAAAACTCTTGGTTATGAGAGAAGAAAAGGACAGATTCGACGCCATGCGTGCGATTCAACGCGAGACGATACGTTTCCGTCGATGGACGAATCTAGTTTTTATTATCATTATCTTTGGAATCTTTTGGTCGTGTGGTGCGATCGTCTTCTGGAAACTGGAGAACATCACATACTTTGAAGCACTATATTTTGGATTCTGTTCGCTTTTAACCATTGGATATGGAGACATCGCTCCCAAGACCAATGCCGGACGTCCATTTTTCTTCGTGTGGTCCCTCTGCGCCGTGCCAACTATGACAGTACTCATCTCTGAAATGGGCGACACCATCATCGCCGGCTTCAAGCATGCTACTAATCGAGTCGGGGAATGGACCGTTCTTCCACAATCAGAAAAGCACACATCTATTCTATCAAGATTCCCACGCATATTCGCATTCCTCAAACACAGAGAAGAAAAGCAACGCATAGCCCACGGCTTCCCCATCGGACCCGACGAAGAGCAAGCCACCCACCCACGACAATCCCTTTCAGACCTCGCCCGAACCCCCACACCCCCAGCCACCCAAATAGCCCAACACCTCGTCTTTGCAATTCAGCGCGTAACCAAAGACGCCCTCGACGACAAACCCAAATACTACACCTACGAAGAATGGGTTGAGTTCACGCGCATGATCCGATTCACGGATCCCGCCCGGCAAGACGGACTCGTAGTTGACGAAGACGAGTATGGGATTCTAAACTGGGACTGGATTGGAGAGACTAGTCCGATGGTTGCGTCGCAGACGGAGCCGGAGTGGGTTCTTGAGCGGTTGTGTGAGAGCTTGGTAAGGTATTTGGCGGTGCAGGAGCAGAGTAGGGATGGGGGTGGAGGAGGTGGTGAGGAGTTTACGTTGAGAAAAGAGCGGGATATTGGGATTGATGGGGGTTGATTGTTTTTTAAAAGAGGATGTGGTTTGATATATATTGGCCGAATTGTGTACTACATGGCGCAGATTAATAAATGACACCTTTTAAATAGTGATAATATTTAAATTTCAAATTACAGAGACGCTCCTACGTGAACACTATTACGAACACACTATCAATCATAACTCGCAATATCAGAATGGCCCCTGGGGTTTATCAAAAGCGGATCGGGAGATGAGCTGGCCGTAGATCTTTGGTTCCCGCCCATTAACGCTTGAAAAACAGAACTGGAAACAGACGGTAATCTCTGGCCATATATAGCCGGTGGGTGCATATCGCTATTGGAATTATCTATATTATCCTTGCTATATTGTTGGAGGAATTGGGGTAGGATTGATGGTGTTTGGATTTGTTCGCAATATCTGGTTATATTCGGGTTTGTGGCGAAGATTTCGGAATAGATAGTATTGACGTTTGTTCTCGTTCCGTCACTACTGGATTGATTTGGGTTGGTTTGTGTATAGTTTTGCGGTTGTAGATAGTTCTGGTTGAATAATTGAGTGAACTGAGGACTAGGTGTTGATCTGCTCATGTCGGGGTTACATGTAGTCCCCATCAAACCTTGAGTCTCGTCAATGGCTCCATTATCGTCGAGGGTAACCGACTGTCCGAATACTGTGATGGGAGAAGCATGCTGTCTTTTCATGGTACTAGTCCACGGACCAGCATGAAAAGGGGTGCCATTGTGGGGATTGGGCGCAGGCTGGGTGCCCAAATTTATATCATGCGAACTCATGAGCCGCTGTATGTTGTATCTTGGCTCTGGAAGCCAGCCAGAACACTGGTTACTTGAGCACGATTGTGTGTCTGCGACTTGGCCAATTTCTTGACTGGTAGTATTTTGGTCGAATGGAAATTGTTGTCCCATCTGACTGCTGAAGAGGTTTTCAGGCTGTTGTTGCGAGGGTTGGTTGTAGTTCGTTGTTTGTGTTTCGAAAGTATTGAAAGTGGGGTTATTCTGTTTCTGTAATTCTTCTAGAGCTTGATCGTCAATCGTGAAGCGTTTTCTGACTGCTTCCGGTGGATAGTATATGGAGCTGCTTCTGCTGAGACTTGATGGTACCTCGATGTGTTCCTTGGAATATTGATCCCCATCTGCATTATGACCCTGAGAGATATATCGAGAGATCAAGGATTCAATTCTGGACGGTGAAGCCTGGGAGATTGGTTTTGGGCAATCCAGTGGAGATGATCCTCTATCAGAAGTAAGGAGCAGCTGACTGGAAGCTAGCTTTGTCCCTGACTTGTAGTTACCACCGCACGATTCCTTCGCAGAACTCTCGTTTAAGCGAATAGATTCCTCAGAGTCAAAAAGCATCGGCTGCGATGATCCATTATCTCGAGAGAGACTCTGACTCCCATTCACAGATCTTGCCCCAGGCCGCAGACCATTTATCCTTATATCAATATCCTCGACTGTTTCTATCCCCGAAGAGGCATAATCTCGATGTTTCCCACGAAACAGGCCAATCTCGGGAGGAAGAACGCTGCGACTAGAAGAAGATGCCAGTCTTCTGCGGTCCGCTTCTGTTAATTTGCGCCGCTTGCCGAATCCTTCGAGTTCTGTTGCTGAGGTAAAGGCCATTTTCAACGGACGGGTAGCTGCAAGACCAGCCCAGTCCGACGTTTCCAGAAGCTGCTGTTTTATACAATCTAGACGGGTTGAGTGCTGAGATGGGCCAATGCTGGATGAGGGAGGAGGCTTATCAGTTGAGGGCTGGTTGTTTGGAACATCCCTAGTCTTCGAACTGTGTTAGCCAAAGAGCAGACAAAAGAGGATCGTTCGATCATCTGGCAAGATAGATCCTACCCTAGACGATGGCTCATTATATGTATCGCCTTCTAAAGCGCGGCTATCCTGCGGTCTCCTGGCGGACGCGTTATTCAAGTCCTTGAATTGAGCAAAATCCTTAAACGGTGAAGCATGAGCAGGACCCTTTGAAGCCCTTGACCTCGACTTTGCGAAATTCTGCTTCTGGACTCTGGCAAGAGTCCCTGGTTTAGTATTCGAGTGCCGTTGAAGACGGCCTCCTGTCCAATTCATGACTTGCTGGAGATAAAGGAGGAAGACTTCATGGGATGATAAATGGTATTCAAGCTACGCATGATGAATGCTGATCAGAGGCGAAGATGGGGGAGGGAGACGCGTGACTCCCGAATGAGGAAATGCTACGATGCCTCAGGGTTCAGGGCTTAACAGACACCTGAACATTGTAAGGTAGCTACTGTGTACAGCTGTCAAGAATTGGCATTGGGCAACATGTAATTGAATCAGACGAGATTGACAGCTATAAGGATATTATGAGGCAATATTTTCAGCTCTAGCAATAGGATACTCCTACTATCTAGTCAATACTCAATAGATTATTGAAAACTGAACCACTAGTACTCGATGAAGAGTGGGGATGAGGCCTATTATTGATTGTCCAATTGATGATAAAGGTGCAGCTGCCAGAAGTACAACATAGGCATGAAGACTAGGTTGGGCTGCCATGTCGTACATGTTTTGTGAATGTCGTACATATACAAGCAACGCGCTTCCCTTTAGCATCGAAACCGTTTGGAATGTTCCAATAACTGCAAGGGAACCGGCTCGGCCCGGGGATCGATCCGAGACGGTCCTTACCGTTACTAGAATACAGGGTTATTACAGTAATCAATACAATATTACCAGGTAGAAGTGCAAATACTGCAAACAGTCACGTGTCGTTTCGCTTGGTTAAACTCGATCGCACTCGAAAATTTCTCCTCCTTCCGACTTCCATACAAGATGTTTCATGCGTCTCACCAGAGCCCGGCCATTTCCACGACAGGGCCATTTGCAGTGAAGGCTACCTAAATTGATAATTGAGGCCTTAATCTTTCCTAATGTTGGTTGGATGTCAATTTGAATTGCGAGGCTGTTCTGGAGCTCGCCCATCTTGGCCAGCTGCATGCTTTTGACAAGCTGTTCGGTAAGCACATGATTTTCTTTTCCTACTTCCCCCCAGCAGTACAATGGCATCCGAGGGAGCTTCGCCCCTCTTCAATGATGATCACCATATTCAATGCATAGTTCAACTGAAGATCTTCGGATTGCTGAACGACAACCATATACCATCTTTCACCTTTGTCTGAAATTGCCATTTACTCTGCTCCTTTTTTTCTTGAGATCTGCACTCAATTCTGATTTTTGTGATCATCGCTGACATCACAAAAAAGAAAGTTTAGCACAAAATGCCCTAGGGCTTTTTTCGGCTCATCTCCGGCCCCCATCCGACTCCATACGAGCAATAAAGATGATGCATTGCTGCCCAACGTAGGCTGATCTGGCGGTGCCCGATGTGACGATGTGATGGGCTTGGTGACTTCACAACCTGGTCGTAGGTACATAGGTATAGATAAATCAGCACCCTGCCACCCCTGAACAAACCCAGTTCCTTGTCTTCAGCTGTACTTTGGCTTCGAAATGCAAGAAGCGAGGAATATCATGAAACTGGGTGACAGGATGACATGGCCTGATGCCCCTTTCCCCTCACTTCCCTTCCCCCGCCTCACCACCTTTCCGCATCCTATTTGCTGCGTGTAGACATTCCCCTCTTTCACCCCCTGTTCCCTCTGTTCCGACGTAATCCGTAGGCTCCAGCAGGGTGGCTCGACGTGTTGCGATCTCAGCCAAGCAATCGTGGATCGTGAGGGTTCATGGTTCACGAGGAAAAAGCGGGGCTCTCGGCGGCGGTCGCTGATTGATCGACGGGCTCCGCCCGCCGCCGTTGACTGGCTGTGGGCCCATCAGGGGCTGCCACTAGCCTGGCACGCGCCGAGCAATCTGGGCCAATCGTTGCTGCTGCTGCAATGTTGGCAACTGCCTGTGATGCAAGCCTGCAGCCACCCATTTTCCGCCGATGGGCTGCGGGCCAATCAGCCGCCGGGGCCCAGAGGAGGGGCTGCTGACGGCTGCCTCACCGCTACTGACTCTACTCATCCGCAAGTGATACATCCAGCCGCTGGCCACGTCAAAAACTCCAGAACAGGCAATCTTCTGGTAACTATTGGAGGAGAGCGGCGCAGACAGACTGCACACTTGAAACCGCATCCTCCGGGGCTGCACTAATACTCGCCGCGGTGATGTGCAGGGGCAAATCAGCGGCCGCGATGGCGCCAGCGAGGCCGACCGAAGGCTGCGTAGGAAGTGCGACATGCACGTCCGGCACACGCTTGGACGCTTCTGTTCGCTTCTTCCCCCCACGCACAACACCTCCTGAGCGCTGCTGCTCGCACGTAAAAAGGCGCTCATCGCCCCCTCGATTCCTCTTCTGGATTTTTCCTCTTCACTCATCACCACTACTCCAAACCAATCCATCAAGCTTCATCTACCTGGAACCATCCCTTTGACACTTTGATACCCCTTGATACCCACAAACCAAAGGATCCATTTCTCTTCACCATCTCTCCCCATCTCCAACAAACTCCCCCTCCAAACAGGCCTCCTTCTGCTTCTTTTTCCTTTCTTTTTCTTGCTATACAAGCGTCCAACCCTGGATCTTGGAAGAGAAAGTCTCCCTTGGCTCCCATCAGCCCACTCTTGCCGCTGGAATTCAATCCATCTTCTGGATAGGACCTGTTTTGCTCTTTTTCTACTATTTCTTTTTCTTGTCTCCATCTCCAGGCTTAGCTCTTTAGTCTGCACCTCTTCTTCAGACAATAACAACAGGTAGTCCCCTTGCCTTTTTCTTTTTTTGTTCCCTATGCGTTTTTACTGTTCGAATCTTGGACCTTGATTATTCTCGCTCGACTTGGATTAGGGTCTGCCTGCCTGGCGCCCTTGAACGACCTCTTGGTTCTCTTTTATCGGATGCCTTGCTCTAACGCATGGTACTTCTTCAAATGATGATGATCTCCCCGGACAAAGCTGTTTTACATCCGTAATCAGCGTGGACACACTCAGTGTTGTTTAATGAATGCACACTTGAGCAAAACTTCGATTCCTTTGGACCCCCAGACTCCTGACTTGGCCGTATGAAATCTCCACTCCAAGCCTGAGTGGAGTTTGGATATTGTTGACCTTGGACCCTTTGGCCTTTTGAACCCCTTCTGGACAAACCCCCCTATTGGACTGCTTGTTATGTTTTCTGGATTACAATGCCTTCACGAACCTGGATTTTAAAAAAAGTGATGCTCTTGCTTTTTGCGCCCTGTCTCAACCTTTTTATGTTCACATAATCGACAATGTCATGGAACCCCCATTTTATCTGATGCCCTGGACTATACAATGCTCTCAGTGCCTGATTGTAGTCTTTCTGGTTCCCCGATGGACGGAAATATCCTGGCCGTCATGGCCTTTCCCCACGATGATCCCTCGACTTGTAGCTTCTACGCTTAGTCGTGATGCATCTCGTCATCTTTCCGATTTCACTTGGCCATTGACCCGTCTACAGAGGATTTCCTGGATATAACCGATTTACGACAATGATAATCGACTGGATATTGCCGACACTATCTCCGGAAGCCATCATCCTCTCACCATCATATCGGTTGGTTTCATCGATCCATTGCAAGTCATTAGTGTACTAATAGGTCTTAGGTCTTCTCGCACTATGGATCTCCATTTCTTTTGTTTATTTTTTTTGTCTTGTTTTCTATGTTTGCTGTTTCTTAGCTGTAGATTACTGACTTACCATCTCTTACAGTGTTGTTTTGTCGACTATATCACACTTCAAAATGTCCTCACAGATCAAGAACGATCCCGAGAGGGTCATCTCACTTTCCCAGTCTGCTTTGCAAAATGTGGACCAAACGTCCCAACCTAGACACACTCCCCTTGTTCACGACATCTCCAACTTGACCTCCAGAGCACTCCAGGATGATGATATGTCCAGCCAGGACAACTTTTCTTTGTGCTCAAGTTCTCACAATGGCCATGGAACTCCCAATGACATGAAGCCCTGGGTTTTGAATGATGCAGATGCCCTTGAGAATGCCATGTCAAATAAGCCCGAATCACCAGAGGTCCAGATGCTTTCCTTTTCTTTCTCTCAACAACTCTTGCCTTCCACCGTGGGACCCAGCGAGGTCATGTACCACACAGACTTCCCATCTGTTCAGGATATGAATGACCACAATGATTTGGATTTCTCGCACGCACAGGATTTCCACCATTACTCTGCCTTTGTGGATTTTGCTGCGTTTGAAAATGATGCATGTGCCCAACCTGGAACCCAATCTTGCACTCCTGATGATGCACACTCCATCGGACACAGCTCTCACACCGACGACAGCCAATTCGCATGGAACTCCATGATGGACAACCGGAACTACCAAGGATCAGCCCTGGACCAACTTCAATCAAACATTTTCCGCACCGTACCTGTTTCCCCTCCCTTGACTGAAGCTAGCAATGATGTTTCTGTTACTTCTTCTTGCTCCAACTCTGGATACCCTTCTTTTATGTCTCATGATGATGCCATGTTAAAAGACGTAACAACGCCAATTGGCAACCAGAGCATCAACCTAGGAGATCCTTTGTTCCCTCTCACTCCCCCTCTCAGTGAGCAGGACCCGAACAGGTCAGTGCCTCAGTGCATCAAGCACAACGAGTGTCCCAATCTAACCTATCCCCACAGAACCATCAGAGCTTCCAAGCATTCCCGCAGACCTGCTTTGCAGACTACCCCTCCCCAGTCTCAGGTGAAGCCAGACCAGGAATTCTTCCCGCCCCTGCCTGTCAGGGAGCCTCTGCGCCAGAGATCCAAAGAGAGCTCTGAATTGCGGAACCCCAGGGACCACCCCTACTACTCTCTGCCCACCAACAGTGATGGAAAGTACTACTGCCCATTTGCCCATGGAGACAAGCCCTGCAACCACCCCCCTACCACCCAGAAATGTGCCTATCAGTGAGTACTTTTTTTCATTTCTTTTTCTATTCCGACTTGGATTGAAGTTGGAGCTAACCGCCCAAACAGCAAATACTTGGATTCCCACTTGAAGCCCTACAGATGCAAGGTCCCTGCCTGCATGGATGCTCAGCTGCAATTTTCTTCCAATGCTTGTCTTTTCCGTCACGAGCGCGAAGCTCATGGATTCCACGGACATGGAGACAACCCACATCTTTGCCTCTTTGATGGATGCGACAGATCCGTTCCTGGTTATGGATTTCCCCGCAGATGGAACCTCTATGACCACATGAGACGAGTTCACGACTACGCCTCCTCTGAGCGCCCTAGCTCTCCGGAGAACTCCCCCTCTACTGCCCAGGCTTCCAAGAGAAAGGAGACTGCCGGACGCAAGAGACGCGTGACTGGCACTTCTGGAGCACAGACAATGAAGCGAACTCGCTCGACACAGGCTCAGGTGAACCCTCTGAAGGCTGCCCACCATGCCTCGGCCCACCATGGACAAAGACTTCAGAACGCGGAACGCAATTACTACAATTGCCGCTCGCGTTTGCTCGAGGAGCTCACCAGCCTTACCCCCCAGGACTCACCCAAGCATGAGAAGGTTAATGCCAGCCTTCAGGAGTTGATGACACTCGGATTGAACTACCGCCACATTGAGGCTAGCCAGACCGCAGCTCAGATGGCTAATGGTCTGCCAGCTTGAATACAATCGCTACGGTGATTGCAATTATGTTTCTTTCTATCTTTCCAAGGACTCTTTTATCTTCCGATGGCCAGAAAGGATGGTTTTCTTTTACACTTTTGAAAAAATTCCCGTGATACCAGCCATGGGAGCCCCAAACAATGCATGGGGACAAAAAAGAAAAAGTCGCGGAACCAGACCGTGCATGCCTCTCAGGCCAGCCAGTGGATTCATTTATACCCCAAAGGACTATTACTATCCAAGGATCTGCCCGCAAAGAACCAGCCACGGACTCTTTGCTCATACCACACTTGCTTCACACTCGTTCTCGAGTGTGGACTGCTACCCCGTCCAGGGGAGGCTTCAGGTATTCATCATCATGATGATATGTACCTTGTGCTAGCAGCATCCGGGGAAAGATGAATCATGCTCTGCAGTTTTCTAAAAGGCCAGGAAGACTGCATTTATGGCCAGTGAGGGGAAGCGTATATGCGAGTTCCTCGCTGCTTCCACTGGTGTATAACATTTCGTTTTGTATTTTGGTGGATGTTTTTGTTTTGGTTTCTTGTCTCGCTTCGAGGCAGTGGTCTAGTGGACTGCAAAAAAAGAAAATAAAAGGGGATCAGGAGAGGATTGGAGGTTCTTGTGTACATGCTTTTTTGTTTCTTCGGGTATTTACTTTTTTAGACCACTCTTGTTGTTTTTTTTATTCTGGATGTACCGGTTGGTGGACCGGGATTTTTCTGGACATTTGTTTTGGTTCTTGTCTATAGCTTTTGGCTTTTCTATTTGGATTTGGCTTGTGCAGCGTTTATACTCTCGGAGAGCTTTATACACTTTTGTTTTGATTTGCAATTGCAATTGATATTCTTGATTACTGTTTTGATCCATCTTGCTGTCTATCTCGTCTAGTAAACCCTGCATTGTATTTGGCCTATGGTGACTTGTAACTGCTTATCTGGGATCTCCCTACCCCGAACGTAATTGGCAGACACAGATACCCCGTAAAGATACAGTTCTAAGACATGCAACTCGATATCTAGTATTATCGCTAATATCTATCTGAACTTTTTCCAAAACCATTCGTTCTATTTTATCATCAGATCATATCAACAGACTCATTAGTCATTACCAACCAGACCAGATCAAATCTACTCATCACCGGCAAAATCACCATTCAAAAACCTCACAAACGCATCCCCAACCTGCTCAGGAGTCAACCCAGCCTGTCCATACCCGATATACGCACGATTCAGCCCAATCCACTGTCTCCGCAGACGCTGCAGACGGGGTAGAGCGAGGATGCCGCCCGCGCCGGCTAATTCATCTGTCGACCCAGTCGTGGCTACATGAGCGGGGATGAAGACGGGCGTTTTCGATTCGGGCACGGCGACGGTGATACCAGTCGCGTCGGAGCTCTGTGCGAGTGCCGTCTCCGCAGAGGGCGTGGCGAGGGTAAAGGCGCGGATGGCGGCGACGATGGCCGAAGTGCGTTTCTCCATGCTGTACAGCGCGGAGGAATCGGTTACTGCGGCTTGCACGGTAGCCTGGTGCGGTTTGATCTTGGGCCGACCCAGTGCGCCTGGTCGTCGGAGGCTTGTTGCTGCTGTGCCGACGCTGGCTGTATCGGAGATATTTGCGGTTGCGAGAGAGGCCGTCACGCTGGAGAGGGGTGTGTCTGTATCGTCGGTGGGTGGTGCCGGGGTGGAAGGGTGCGGGATGCCGGTTAGGGCGGTCCAGATGTCTGCGATGGGGGGTTCTGCGTCTTCCCAGGGGATGGTGAAGAGGGGCTTATCCCAGCGGCTGTGGGTGGAGGGTTCTTCGTAGCGGAAGATGAGGTTGTTGAGGAGTTCGGGGGGATATGGTTCTTGGGTGTCTTCTTCTTTGGGGGATAAATCGGTTGTTGTAGGTGCTGCAGGTGTGGTTGTATCCGGGGTCTCCTTGTCGGCTGGAGCATCGGATGACTCTTTCTGAGCGTTCTGACGACGTATCCGGGCCTCGTTGTTTGCAACGCATTGATCGATAGGCGTACCAACATGAACCTATCCCCGTCAGCATCATCCATCTAATTCCATATGACACAGGAGACATACCACACAACAAGTCGTCCCCAACGCCTTCGCCTCACACCAAAGCTGATACCGGTACCCCTTGATATAATTCATCCCATCAAGAATCACAAAACTATCTCTTCCGAGCGCGCGCTTCGCCTTCGCAAACGCCACCCCGCGAGCCTGCTTCTCCGTGCGTGCATGGTCGTATACAGTCCTCGGATTCGACTCATCATGCGTCTCGACGACGTGGATTTTGAAGCGCGGTTTTGTGGGTGGGATTGTGCCCGAGGCGAAGAGCTCGGTTTGGGCGCTTTCGAGGAGGGTGGAGAGTTGGTGGGCGCGGTGGGAGATGCCCGAGCAGGGGTAGCCGGTTAGAAGGATGAGCTGGTTATTGTGGTTAGGGTTGTTTGAATTGGAGGTGTGAGGTGATGCGACTTACTGGCATGGTGAAGGTTGGCAGCGAAGAGCTGTGTTGTGTTGTTGTTGTTGGATAAGATTGCGATGGCGGCGGACTTTTTTTTTCCCTTCATTTTTTTGATTCTATGCGGGGTTGGCGGGGTGCATGTGACTTTTGCAACTTGTGTTGATTTTCGAAGAATTGATATTTTATGCATTTAATTGTACGATATGATATTGGTAGTTGGATTTATTTATGCTATTTGCTATTATAAATGGCTATCGTACGTGTCGTAGATGTCAGCATGCTTATCTTCAATTGAAATCTAACCAAACTTTTGATCTATAATCATATCCAAACGCCAGGTATCCTCTATGTACTTTTATATCTTGTTGTTTATCATTTCAACTGCTCGGGAGACCAGCGAATTTCATACCCGAAGACAGTTCTTCTAAGCTTCTCATCCTGCGGCAAGTCAGCAATTGAATAGAATTCGGAAAAGATACATACACCAGGATCATCCACAAAGAGATGTTCATCCAGAACCTTTTCAAAAATCTTGGTCACGACGAATCCATTCTCCTCAGCCAGAGGGAAGAATTTCTCGGTTTTTGGCAGAAGCCACGGCTGGTACGGCGTGAAGATGACCAAAGCGACAGCCTCGCTCGACCGCTTCAGAGTCATCTGCATGGTCTTGATCAAGTTGGGATGCTGGGGATGGTTATACACCACGTCCGCCATGATGATTAGATCAAATCCCTTCGATCCCTCAGGTAGACGCTCAAACAGCGGCTCAACCGGATCACCCCATCTATATCCATTAACGTGAAGCGACGAGGAACTCGGGATCATGGGCGCAGCGGACTCGGCGTTCTGGCGCATGTTATCGACCAAATCGGGATCGTAGTAATCGGTCATGACGACGGTACGGGCGCCCTTGATGGCGCTGACGATGCTGGGGACGCCTGCTGCGGCGCCAATCTCCAAGACATCCTTTCCCTTAAGGAGCTCGTCGGCTCTCTCTTCTAGAGTGATGGAGCTTATCCGGCCGGCGTTCCATAGCAGATCGCCCTCCAGAGACGGTCAGTCGGCAAGTAAGGGGGTAAAGATAGTTGAGGTATGGAGATCAGCATGTTCGTACGTAGAGAGGATGACTGCCGACGAGGCGCACGCGCACTGTCTGACCAGAAAGCATGTGGTGCTCAGCAAAGGTGGGCTCTTTCTCCGGGGGGTAGAAGCCCTCGGGGTCCTTGAAGAAGTCCCCGGCATCGAGATTGTCAAAATCAGCCATTGCGAGTGTGATGGGGGGCTACTGATTGGCAATTGTTCGCATGAGCAGAATATCATGTGCGATTGATTCCATCGCAAATCCCAATGGTGGGGTAATTCCAAAGCGGTTTAGCGCGGAGATTGCAGACGGAAAGTCACGTGTGTCTCACGTGAGAGAAATGCCGAGGATTTCCCGATTGACAGTACGATACGGTAACACCGCGACAGTACCTGCGTCCACCGCGGAAACCCCGCGTGGGGACGGGCGGAGATACGGGGCAGATACAGGCCGGGTAATCGTCGGAGATTCCACTTTTTTCTCCCTCTTGGTTTTTTCTCGAAGCGCAAATCCAAAGCTCGATGGTCGATCATCTTGCCGCAGGCTGAACATCCCCTACAAGTTGTCTGCAAATACGGGGACGGCTAAGCAGGCACATCACTTTCCTCCTTGCATTGCCGTGTCACTGGTCGGACTGCAGACCACCCCTGGGGTTCTTCACACACAAAAACAGCGTCTACCCCTCCGTCCCCAGACTGTACGTAAAAGCGTCATCACCCGTCCAAAAAAGTTTCCCTGTGCCGAACGTCACTCGGTTGAAAAGACCCACGTGCTTTTGGCTTTCGTTTTCTCCTCAATCGTTTCTTCCGCTTCACTTCTCCTTCATCACGCCATTCTCTTCGTCTCACTTGGGGAATCGGCTATCTACCATCGACTCCACCAGTTCAGAGGATCAGACCATACCCGGCACCAAGTCCAACCCGTTCTTCCGATCCCTTATCCATCAGCCCGCCACCAGATCAGACTTGCAGTGAACAACTGAATAGAACCTCTCATTCTATCCATCTACTCTTCAACCATCACCATGGACCAAAATGCGTACCTGCGTTCGCTAAACCATGATACCCAAAGCGCTGGTACCCAACCTGCCCTCGCACCATCCACTACCACCTTCGTGAACACCAACCAACAACAGCCCACACAAGGCAACCTGGGTCTGGCACCCAGCAACCAGCCATACACCCTCCTCCCATCACCATCTTCCTCCTCCTCAACCAACGCTCCTCCTTCATGTGATACCGTCCAGCCAGCCAACGACGGACAGCACACGATGAACGTGAATGACGCCATGCAAAGCCAAATGCAAATGCCATCCACCGCAGCCCCGAACGATACCTACCCGCACCAGATAACCGGGCTGGGAGGCCCAACAGCGACGGCCCCGTTTCTGCAGGACTTTAGTCTCGTTGCCGAGGCTGCCAAACGGGCGCAGATGTCTGTTGTCATGCGTGATTTGGAGAGTGTTACTTTATAGATTAGACGGTGAGCATTACAAAGATAAGGATATACGGAAAGGAAGTGTCGGTACTAGATCATGTACCCTTGAACGAGTTATGTTATGTTGTTTTTTTTTTTTTTTATATATGGTGTTTTTGAAGGTTGGAGTATACATCGGTTATTATACCATTCATGTGATTATGACAATAAAGTTATTCTACTCTAAGAACTGTGCAACTGTACCCACCTACCCCTCGAGTTTATCATGGGTAGTACTACACTAGAAGAACACGGAAAACATACATAGCTACCAGCAGCAGTCAAAGTGCTGTACATCCAGCACAACCTACATAAGGTATCTGACATGCCTTATCTCAGATATCACCCACCCACCCTATTGGCCCTTATCTATCTCCTCACCTCACCCCCCTACCTACTACATAAGCACAGAGCACAGATAAAGCAAGTCAGAAAAGTGCCGACCTTATGTACATCCATACATACATCCCACCCAGGAAGACGTACGTGATCTATCTGACAGAATACAGATAAGCGAAATGCACCCTTATCAGTTCAGCCATGTCAGTTGATAAGAGTGCATACCATGCCAGTTACTGACATACCAACTACCGATCAGATGAGATCAGATCAGATCAGACCAGACCGGATCCAGAGGGTGATCGCCATGTGATGTATGTATGCAAGGAGGGGCGTTTATCGATAGGATACGATACGGAGTACGAGTACGGGGTATGGGGTAACTAGGGGGGAATACATTATGAACTATTAAGCTAGCATGGCATAGCATGTATGTATCCATTACTTAATTTGAATGTACTGTACGCTATTTGAATACTTCCAGTTGAATGTTTGAAGGTCTAACCCTGATTTGATTATGATTAACCCAAATCTAAACCAAACGCCTAGCTAATGATGGACAGTGGTAAGTAGTATTATCTACAAATGAATATGATGCATCCCGATATGCCCGAAAATGAAAAGAAACAAAAAAGGAGGGATAAAAAAACGTACACGAAGACAGATGGAGAACCCCTGTACATAGACAGGGGTAAAGTATAAGCACCAGGCGGGTGGTTCAACCACGCATGAAAAAATAACTCCAGGTTATGATATGCAAAACGGAAAATGAAAAGACCCAAAACCAAAACCAAACCAAACCGTGTAAAAATATATCAATCAAAACAAATCATGTTGTACTTTTATGTTGGTGTGTCACCTTATTATAGGTACTGTCCCTCACATGCGACTGACGTCTCGACTGACGACTCGAGGTGTTTCAGATTGATGCATGTGAGCGGGAGATGACATGGCACGGTTATATTTGGGTGGAAGCGCCAATGAGGTTTGGCGAGGAGATGCTGGCCCCCTGATTGAGACGCTTTCTTCGTTGCGAGAAGGTCATGGTGAGGCGACGGCCGAGTCTGCGTGGGGGCGACCAATTGTCAAAGGAGAGGATGGACATGGGGCGGGAGAGGGAGGAGCGCTCTGGGGATTGGGAGGAGACATCGAAGGAGGACTGGGAGCCGGGATAGGCGGAAGGGGTGGAGGGGGCATTCCAGCCATCGAGCATGAGGGTGGATCTGCGCTTGATCTTGTCTGCGGTGGTTCTGGGGTCGAGCTGGAGGGAGAAGTCCTCTTTGATGTCGTCGAGGGCGTGGGAGAAGCGGCGGAGGAGTTTGGGCTTTTCGTTGTAGATGGAGGGCTCGCGTTGTTCGAGGCCGTAGACTTGGAGGGGGGTGGACGAGTCGGAGGAGCCCTCGTGCAAGGGGGAGGAGTAGAAGCGACGGGCTTTGGGAGGGTTGATGCTATTTGTGCTGGAGGGAACAGGGCGACGGCGGATGGGAGGCGGAGGAAATGAGGCCTGAGGCTGTGGAGGATGGCCGGAGACGGGGCTGTCTGGGAGAGAAAAGTCTCTCGAGGAGTTTGTTGATGAGGATGTAAACATCATTGTAGTATACAGTATAGAGGATATAGAGGAGGGTGGTGTATAGGAGATGGAGGAGATGAGATGGACAGGTCAGGATGATCTGAGCTGATCCTAGTTGAGAAAGATGAAACAGACAGATTGAAGAGAGAAAGAAAGGGAAAGAGGGAAAAAAAAAAGAAAAAGAAAGTCTGGGAAAAGAAAGCGAGAGACTAAGCAAAAAAAAAAAAAATTAATGAAATAAAAAAAAAATAAAAAACAAAAAGGCGAAAAAGAAAAAATACGAAAAGGAAAAAACAAAAAATGACGAGAGAAAAAAAAAAAAGCCTAAAGCATCGGGTGGAACTCGAGGAAAAGCAGCGGAGGATTTTCGATAGAAGGGAGAGAGAGAGAGAAGCTAATGGGATGGACGTCGTTAGTTCAACTTCAAACTGTACAGTAAGTTTGTATCGATCTAATCGTGCCGACCAAATCTGATCCGACAACGGAGACTGGTGGATGGGCATTATTATGGGCCATGTCAAACACGCTTCCAGTGAGCAGGATGAGATATTTTGAGACGATGCAATGCATGGGAATTCACCCGATTGGGTTGCTGGCGTCAACACGGGGTCATTCGTCGATGACGCGGCAGGTAAATATAGAACTATTCTACGTACTTATTCTACAGAATAAACATGAAGCATTCTACAGTTGAAAGACAGAAATCAGAATCAGAATCAGAATCAGAGAGGAACCCCCTGAGCCACCAAGCGGAGAAGACGGCAGTTAGTTAGCAGGAGGATCACTGCTTGGCGGGCCAACAGCAGATTGGCCCCATTCCGCAGAGAGAACAGACTACGACAGAGAGAGCATCAATGACGGTGAAACGAACGCCCCGGTCGGACAGAGTTTGGAGTGGGGGTCAGGAGAGGAGAGAAATGAGAGAGCTGAGGGAGCTGAGAGAGAGTCGGTCAATCAGGAGGCAGCAGCCGGTGGGTTGGAGCGGGATAGAATGGAGGCCGTTTTAATAAAGACTAGTATGGAATGATCTCATCACAGCCACAGTGGAGTGTGCGTGGAAGTACTAGGAGTACTCCGAAGGAGGACGAGTATTTTTTACTATTTTATTTTATCATTATTATGATAATATTCTGATGATGATTGTTGATGCAGCTACAGTCAATAAAGCTGATCATTTCAGATTAGTGACTCTAGTCTACTGTATCTGCCAGCTAGCGTAGATCCCATCATGACATCACTTATTGTCTATAAAGTTTCCTCATCTTCATCTTCATATTTCTTTATGAATATTGATACATTCTTATTAGATGCAAGGACAAATAACCCATAACAGATCTACACCATACACACAACACTACATACGACATACATACATCTACATACAACGCACGTCGAATCTTGCACTCGACATAAACTATTCTCATGCATGCACTCCGTAAGGCAAATAAATATAGCCATCCTATCAGCGACAAACAAAGCAGCACATGCCTGTCGCTCTGGATTTCCATATCCAGAAATATGTTTACCAAGGCTGTTGTGGACGAACTCGGGTACGGCGTTGAGGTGGACCGAAGCCACATCGCTTATGTTGAATATGCATAATTAGTTTTGTTGATTTAGCAGTATTTCCACAGACCGTGGTCATCTGTACTGTAGACTGTTGTAGTGTGGTGGTGTGGTGGTGTGGCTAATGAGACATTCCATCTAACCTTGTCACCACACCATCTCACATCTTACCATCCATCACCTGAATCATGATTCACCCAACACTTCTCTTCTATATTAATAATAATACATCTCGATATTGCCGGAGATGCGATGTTAACTAACCCCACCAGGCTCCCAACCTGACTACAACTGCATAAATCAACCACAACCACATCCACATTCCACAGTTCAGCATCACCCGGACCCGAGGCTGAGCACTGAGCAGGGATCACCAACCACCCACTGCAGTACGGGTAAACGGTACGGGACTACGGTAACCGGGTAGCCCAACGGGGCAAAGGAAGGGAAAAAAAAAAAAAAGCATCAGATTCAGATAGAGTGAAACATGTTTCTCGAACCTGGCGAGTTGGATTGTTTATCTGTACAGCGTGATGTTGTCTTTTACGGGACTGAATCGCGCTACATCACTTAGCGGGTGGTTAGGTTGATGTCGGTAGAGTACCGTGGTAGATGTGGTGTGAGACAGAGTGGGGGTTTTTTTTTCAAACGCGGCTCACGGCTGAGTTGTTGCGAGAGGCTGAGGGGCAAGAATGTGGTTGACTGGTTTTTTTCTTTCTTTCTTTTCTTTTTTTGCATCAACACAGGTCACGGCTTGATCATGTCTGTATTACAGTTAGTCAGTAGTACTCTACATCATACGATAATCGGAGGACATTACTCGAACAGGCGCTGCGGGGAAAGAACTGAATTCGCTTGCTCAACACGTTCTCCATTAAAACTGAAACATGCCCCACTGGTTCATATCTCTCTTCTACTACTGATGCGAATAATAAAACGATAACAAGTACAGTACGACGGGGATGAAAGTCATAGAAATCATAAACATGTACGACATTCCTCATAAACACACAAAATCACATCACGAATCGCAAATTGGTATCTGTGACTTGTCAGTCGAGCACATCATATGGCGTCATTTATCTCAAAATGCAGAATGAAGACTCACCTAGGGGATGGCTGGAGCTCAGCTGCGGCTTCTGCGTGTACTTCCCATCCAGCTCGGCTCGAATACTGTTGAGCAGTTGCAGATAGCTCTGATGAGGCCATTGTTGGAGCGATTTGATAAATGCCCAGCTGAGTGCGCCGCGCGCTTCACCGTCTTGGAATGTATCCGCTCTGTGCTGGTTAGCCTGATTCTTTTTAGGTATCTTCTTTGAGGATGAGACATACGAAGTCTGAGTATCCTTTGATCCAGAAAACATGACCACATCCGCCGGGGAAGTCTTCGTCATGACGGTCCTCTGTCGTGCGGAACTGCCAATGGCCGCTTTCTTGAAAAACCCAATAGCGGTGGACGCCATCCCGGACAGATCACCATTTCCATACGAGTTCAGTGCGCTGAAGAGGTCTTGGGCGGCTTCCTTGGCTAGGTTGGGTTCTTTCAGGATACCCTGTGTCGAGTACACATACGGCAGGTCCAACGCGGTTCCGGAATGACAAGAGTCGAAAATCGCTGTTAACCGGGCACCTGGGGGGAGAGGACGGACCCTACACTGTCAGTTTGGTTGACAAATGGGAGAGGAATGGGAGAGACGAACATTATATCGTGCATGTCGTCGTCGACAATGTGACCGGCAACACGATAATCGAGGGGGTAGATAACATCGTCGTATCCTATCCAAATCAGCATCGCCAATTGAGAGGGATCAAGAAAACTCACCATCATCCTCATCACCATCAAGATCAGGAGTTCGCCCACCGTGTCCTACCAACATTAGCACCACCACTACACCATCACCATCAGGAATACCCACCAGAAAAATGCACAAAAAGCGAATCGTTCGGCTGCGCATCCTTAACCAACCACTGCATTGCCCTGATAATATTCGCCTTGTTGGGCACACTCATCGGATTCTTCTGATCATCCGTCAGAATCACCATATCCTCCCGACGATACCCGAATTTCTCATGCAAGAAAGTGGACATATTGGTGACATCGTTGATGCAACCGTGCAGCTGGTTCGGCTGACCGAAATAGTTAATCCCGATCAGCAGGGCCTTGCGACGACCGGTACATGCTGAGTACTGGAAGTGGTAGTTGGAAGGGGCGCCATGGCCGAAATGCTGGGCGCCGGATGGAGGCGGGGGAGGGAGGTTGGGGTTGGAGCTCCAAGAGGCGGAGCTTCCTACATTAATTAACGATCTGAATAATGAAAATAGTACGAGGAAAATCAGTGGAGGACATACGGTGCGAGCTGTAGCTGTCGCGGTGTTGACGATAGCCATGATGCTGATAGGGCGAAGGGGTGTGCGGAGGCGGGGTTCCCTGATACGGTGGATAATAACTATGGGCTGGAGGCGGATACTGAGCCGGGGGAGGACCCGGAGGTGGGTATTGTTGAGGAGGAGGACTGTTCACGATCAGCACGATGGAATTCTGGATGATATCGTTGGACGGTGCAGAGGGTCTTACTAGTAAGGCTGCTGTGGAGGCCACTGTTGGGGATAACCCCCCGACCAACCCTGGTGGCCTGAGTTGGAGTAGTACATCAATTACCGTAGCGTGTGGAGCCAGCAGGAGCAGTTGAGCGAGTCGCAAGGAGCGTGATGGAGATGTGATTCAAGGAGAGAAGAAGAACGAACGAACGATGGACGGTTGGCAGTCTGAGGGGTCTTTTTATTCGCCAAGAAGGATTGTAGTGTAGATCGGAGGGGAACCTGGCAGTTGTAAGGAGGAACGACCACGGCTACCGAGGGCTGAAGGTAAGGAGGGAGAAGGATAAGAAGAAGAAGATAAGAAGAGAAGCAGAAGATCGGATGAGGAAGAAGGAGAAAGACGATCAAGCGGAGGGAATTTTTAAAGCCGACGATGACTCCAGGGACGGAGCCGACAGGGCTGGCTGACGGGTGGGGATTTGCGCCCGGCGGGCTTACAAGAATAAGAATGATACAATAGATAGTATCATCCTAATAGAATAGAGATTATAACACTAGATGTAGTATAGTAGATAGATAGATACTATTCTATTAGTACCCTACAATAATTAACATTATACAGTACCATGGACGGTGAGTAGAGAGAAAGACAGAAAGACATAAGCTCAACCCGCCAAAACATCTGCAGCAACGTTGAAACGTGGCCAACGGGTGTCCATTCCCTTCCTTAGTCTCTTGCTAACTGGCACTCTCACCGATTCTTTCGTCCACTATTTTGACTCCATTGCCCTGTCTGTCTCTCCATCTGTTTGTCTGTTCGTCTCCCATCTAGGCAATATTCGGGAATATTCCATGACGACAACAAACGTTAGGCACCAACGAATCGCCAAAAATGCTCAACATTCCACGTTGGCAACTCCATATTTGGGTGGTGGCACTCGGGTCTGATTCGCTGGTGGACTGGCTGTGTCCACGGTTCGGCTTCCCCGCTAGTTGCCCATAGGGCTGCAGGGCTGATTTTGGCTGTTTGTGTCGGGAATGGATTGCCGTTTTTGCCATCTGGACATCTTGTGATGGACTCGTTTGGGTAAGATGGACATGCTTTGTATGGTAGGGTGAATGCTGCTGCCTGGTGTGTGACATCTTATATTCTGACTTCCTCCAACTTCCATTAACAGAATCAATCATATCATCAGTTTACCTGGTTACATCTCAGGCTATATCATCTTATCGATCGTCTCCTAACTATTATCTCTATCATCCCCATTCCTCTCCCTCAATACTTTCTAGTTCTTCGACATGGACTACCCTGGGCCCACACTTTTCATCTATGATATAAACAGAAAGGGGGAGACCTCACAGTCAGCGCAGGCCCCCTCGGAGGATAATCTTTTGCAAGAATATATTAAGACTTTGTAGATTCTTGATAAAGAGGATGGCACTTTTATTATGCACTCTAGCTACAGTCCTGAGGTCGCCCATATTACTATTGACTCAGGGGGTCTAAAAAAGGATGAGGCCACCACTTCCTCCTAGAAGAGTTCAACCCTTTGCCGTGACGGTCAATGCCCAACAATCTAAACCACTTCTGCAACGTAACCACCCATTTTACTTAACATGCTGAAATCATCTGAACAAAATGGAAGGAATAAGAAGATAGATTAGCCGGCCCTGTAGAGTAAACTAGGAACGCACAATACCTCTATGTTAGGTATAAGAATATGTCTGGTATTTCTTATTACTAACTTTGGATAATTTCTTGCTGGTCATCTGCTATTCTATGCTATTCACGTCGGGACAAAACAGCCTTCTCCATCAACCTCGAAAGAGGCCTCCAAAGCGGTGCCTTTGTAGTCGTCGCATCTCGCTCCCACTGGCGGTACAAACTGCTCGCCGCGATCCACGCCTTGTCAGTCTCGGGGGTGACTGGACGAGAACAGAGTTCTGAAAGAAGATACGCCAGCGCGTGCCATTGTTTGTATGTTTTGAATAGCCAGTGCCAGTTGGTGGTGTTTTCGTTTATTTCGAGGAGATAGGCGAATTGGAGGATTTGCGTGGCTGTTTGGAAGAGGCGGCTGGAGTCTGGTGGTGGTGAGATACTGGATGTGTTGGAGGATGAGGCAGGAAAGTTGAGGAGAAGCCATGATCGAGCAAGGGCGAGACGGGCAGTTGTTGCAGCGACCCAATGGCGGGGCGAGTTGAGGTCAAAGTGTTTGAAATAGCAGTCTTCAAGGTGGTGATTCAGCTCATCTAGAGAACTATTCTTATGCTGCATCCGCTGAAAAGCGACGATAATCTCGCAGTGAACCAAGCACTGCGTCATATCCGTAAACCCCTCTCGTTCTGTCGGAAACGCATCCATCCCCGGTGCAATATCCCCGTTATCCACATTCAACGGCAGACGCGCATCATACATGCCCTGACGGATCAGCATCGCCGTCCCATGATCCTCGGCCGTCAGAAAATCCAGCACACAAATATGCCACCATAGCCGACGGCGCATTTCCGTCTCGAACGGGGCAAGACTGAAATTTGACCCGTCGCGATGCACGCCGAGGCCCTGCGCAAGGCGGGTGACCATGGCGGACATGGCCCAGATGTATTTTGTGTCGTCGTAGCGGCGGAGACAGATGAGGTAGATGACTGCAGCTTGGAGGATGGTGATGCTCTGGGATTCGAAGAGGTTGGCGCGGGTGAGGGCTTTTTCGACGGCGACGCGATAGTATTGGACTGCGTCGATGTGGATGAGGTTTGTTTGGGCGAGACATTGTTCGGGGGTGAGGCTGACGATGGCAGCAAAGTAGATGGTGAAGACGAGGGCTTCGGAGTCGTGGTTGAGGGTGTCTGGATGTGTTGCTGCTTGAAGGATGACAGGCCCGACGGTGGGGTTGTGGATAATATTCACTACTGTAGATACATTCTGTTGAAAGACATCCCATAACGCAAACACCTTGGGTGAAGGAGGATGATAGTTGCTCAGACTATCCAAGTCCTGCGATAGACCATCTTGGACACGAGTGAGAACCATGCACGGAGGATGTGCTTCTTGTTTCAAGGATACAGGATCGAGGATATCCTGCATTTCCTCAATCTACATAATTAATAAATATCCTCGTATAGCCTTATAGGAAGGGAACATACCTGATCCCCCAGACTGACCAATGCCGCATCGCTGACATATCGACTTCGTCCACGATCAACAACCAACCGTCCAAACTGACTCTCTGGATATCCAACACCATCAGCTACAGCAGGTGGATCCCCTCTAGTACATGCACATCCACTCTGACCCTCTTTCAGCCTCCTCACCTCTTCCTCCAACTCACCAATTCTCTCTAACAACTCCCCCTTCTTAGGCCGATTAACCCTCCTTGGATGTTTCCTCGCACCGGGGATGACGCATTCAACTCCGCTACGGACACAATTGCTGCAGGGCGATTGCTTGGAGCAGCGGATTTTGCGCTGGTTGCAGGTGATGCAACTCCGCTTGGCTGTCATTTAGTCGATTATAAGGTGATTTAATGTGATTATTTACTGTATGTTGAGGTGAAGCGGTACTTTGTCAATAATCGTGGCGAACGTCGGCGTCGGGGTTCGCGGGGCCCGACAGAGTGCCGGATGAGAAATAGAATAGAATAGCTTATTGATCTGGATTCAGCTATAAGCTATACATTCAAGTGAGAAAATAGATTAATAATAATCATAGTAATTATAGCTACCCACTTGGCAGACTGAGTGGCATTTTTAAGTTACTCCACCTGAGATAGTCTCGGGGTTGAAAAAAACACAGCATCCCGAGTGATGACAAAATACTACCGGAAACGGAAATTTTATCTTGACTTGTCATTTGTTGCCCTGATTGATTGTTAATCGATACAACTCTATCCGGTTGAAAACTGTATATAAGCTCTAGGTACTTCCCTGGTTGTTCATCTTTCATCATCATTCATCATTACTCACGTTGACCTCTTCCATACATCACCTCACACCCTCAACACCACATAATACACCCCATATTATTATCATATACAATGGCAAACCTCCTCATAACAGGCGCAACAGGCAAACAAGGCGGCTCCGTAATCCGCAACCTCATCGCCAAAAACGCTCCCTTCAACATCTTCGCCGTCACCCGGAATGCCAACTCGCCTTCAGCCCAGAAACTCGCGCAGAGTTCACCAAAGATTAAGCTCGTCGAGGGGAATCTGGATGAGCCAGCGACTATTTTTAAAAATGTGAAGAAATTGACAGAGGATCCGGTTTGGGGGGTTTTTAGTGTGCAGGTACGCTATGCTACACTCTGATGTTGATGGATGAGGCTAATGTGACTGGGATAGACTGCACTCCCCGCCTCGAACAATGAGAAACGTCAAGGCATCGCTCTCATCGACGAGTCTATCAAGCAGAATGTCAAATTCTTCGTGTACAGCTCCGTCGACCGCCACGGCGACGACTCCATCAACAACCCAACCAAAATCCCACACTTTATCACCAAACACGAGATAGAAAAGCACCTTCTCGAGACCGTAAAAGGCACATCCATGGACTGGACCATCCTCCGCCCAACCGCCTTCTTCGAGAACTTCACGCCCGATTTCTTCGGCAAAGTCTTCACGACAGCATGGCAGATGACGCTCAAGGGCAAGCCGCTTCAGCTCGTCGCGACCAGCGACATTGGGTTCTTCGCTGCGGATGCATTCCTCCATCCGGAGGAGAATAAAGGAAAGGCGATTTCCCTCGCCGGCGATGAGATTACCCTCGAGCAGATGGCGCGCGTGTACAAGGCCAAGACGGGCAAGAATCTACCCACTACATTCCGACTACCGGTTTGGTTGATGATGGCGGGCGTGAAGGAGCTTGGGGTGATGTTCAAGTGGTTCCATGATGAAGGGTATGATGCGAATATTGAGGAGTTGAGGAGGAGGAATCCGGAGTTGAAGGATTTTGGGACGTGGTTGGAGAAGGAGAGCCAGTTTGAGACTCGTTGATGCTTGGCTTGGGTATTGTTTGAGATGATGTGTGCTCTGTGTTGTATTCTATGCTTTCCTGTCTAATGGTAATTGTTAATTATTCTGCCTAATCGAATGTATAACGAGTCTAGATGCAGGTGCATGAACGCCTGATATCGAGTACGTACTTTTGCGGGCATGAGGTGTTTCGTGGCGATGTGGTGGTGAGACAAGGATCATTGTACCACCGGTTATTTATAGACGGGATTGTAAGGATGAATCAATGCGATTCGATATATGCATGCATCCCTGTAGCCTGACTGAATAATAATGTCGAGCATAAGGGAGGAATTACACATCAGGCTGAATAAACTACAGTGCTCTTATTTAACCTTAATTATCATACTATTTCTCAGACAGTGTCGATCCATAATATACAAGCTCAGGAGCCCTACCAGAAGCATAAGATAGCAAGTTACGTCTTGATTGATGTTGGCCAGACCAGACTAGGCTGCTATACAACCCCTGCCGATGAGGCTCCTTAAGACATTGAGGCTACAACAGGCCCAGATTGGCCAGGATGCACCTTAGTCAGTGCTTGCATATCTTACTCTTCTCGTTTCTCATCTGCACCGAATAAGGTTTGGCCGGAGGCCACTACGCGACGAGGCTGATACAAACAGCCCCTCCCCCTTCTAGCTGTTTGGCGGCCAGCCTTCTCGCACCGTGCCAGATAAGACAGCCGGCGACATTCCATTCCGGTTGGTCCGTCATCTTTCCTCTCTGCGGGGGTTATCTCGAACCATTCCAGAGTATGCAATGATCCTCGTTCTGGGAGGCTGTGCAGAAGGCGGGGTTACGTTCTCACGACTGCAGCTGTAGGGCCAACTGAGGCTGACTGAATCTCTCTCCGTACGATGATGAAAATGGCGTGATTGACGAACAGAGTTTTCGATGACATCGTGTTCGAGGAAGATCATCCACCAGGCGTTCGGAAAGTGTAAAAACTGGCAAAGAGATCGAGGATCGGAAGGAAGGCGCACTGACGGTGGAACGGTGTCAGACGGCATGTAGCATGCTCTAATCCACGCACGATACAACAGTTTTATTGACCTGCATGAGCTTGGGATCATGAAATGGGGCAGCCCGTCACATCTCCATACCACTACCAGGCCCTGGTTGGCGGCTTGCTGGGAACAGGTATTGCGCAGGATTGTCGTGACCATGACCCATGAGGGGTTTGAGATTGATTGGAATATGTTGCGAGATTGCCCTTGACAAGTGTCACAGCCTTGGGCTCAACGATGATCCAGCCACATGATGCATCGTAAATTGGATTTCCCCTCGGGCCCCGAGCGAGATAAACTAGTCAGTGTGCCTGAGGCATTCATTCCAGTCCTTCAACCTGAATTTCTGAACCCGAAGAGCCGCATCGAATACGGCAAACGAGGAGAATAGGCACGGAATTAAGACATAATCGTAATCGTAAGCTGGATTTAAGCTTACGAAAGTGGAACAGTCGATGGCAAAATACGACTGGGATGCGCTGATTGGGGCTGAGCAGGTCTCGTGTTCCCTAAAAAAAGCCAATGGATCATCAGGGGCGAGTCGACAAGGCTTTCTCAAGACTGTCTGAGACGATGACGAAGAGCGAGTCGCGATGAGCCGCACACAAATTCTTCGGCCTGAATTTGATCAGGAATAGCATCCATGTGGGACGGGATTCACTATGCCAGCCTCCTTGCAGTGGTGTTGATTGTAGCATGACCGCCACTTGGGCTGGCGGTGAACAGACCACTGGGCTTGCTTTGAGGCTGTTGAGATCAATAAGATCAACTCGATTGCATCAATAATTAGAATAGCGCAGCCTCATGAAGATTGTCTGTACGGTCAGAGAACCGGATTCCCAATGGAGCCAAAGGATCGAATGCGGCTCCGAGCGGGTCCTTAGGGAGGGTCACGGGGGTCCAGCGCCTATTTGGGTAGTCGGACAGCGTCCATTTGCCCCTTCGCTTGGGAGTAATTATTGCGAGTTACGAGTCAAGAAAGAAAGAAGGAAAAAGAAATAAATAAAAACTGGAGCTCGCAGCCAATGGCGTTGCTCTGGATGCTTTCTCCCGGGTTCTCCACGGCCTGCGAGAATCCATCTTGAAAGAGACTTTGGCTGACTGAACATACTAGAGCCTCATTGTGCTACCAATGCAGTGATAAAGATCTTCCTCGCCAGCCTTCCTCTAGCGTTTCTCCAGATTCAATCCTTATCCCACCTTCACTTTCTGTTGATGACTTACTGCCTTGGTCTTCTTCATGTCGGAAGATAATAATTGGCCTCTCTCCATCTTCATCCCAGACTTCATGACCACTTTGGAACATTTTCTTTCCTATCTCTGACCTGACCTTCATCTATTCAAATCCATAATATATTGGAAAGGAATAGAAAAGAAAACAGGCGTAGATTTCTGTCATGACGGATACCAGAAATCTGGACACCATACCATATGATGTGTTCTATCAAATTGCATCCAAACTCGACTGCCATGATTTCATCCATCTCAGTCGAGTCAATCGCAACTTGAACTCCCTAACCCAGAATGAGTCGATTGCCAGGAAAACTTTGGAGGTAACGTCATTTCCTATCCGGCCCCTCGGACCCTGCAGGAAAACTGACTCATTTTAGAACGGCTTACTGCATACGAAGGAAGGGCAGAAAGCCAACAAAGCCAAATCCGGTTATCGAAAGGCCGTTGGGCATCTATTTGATATCAAAGAATCCTTCGCCACGGCCCAACCCTACTCGGCTGCAGTTTTGGGCTACGGGTCCGCTTTTCTGTACAACGGGGGCTCGTTGTGCTATGTCCACGATGGCGAAATCCGCGTCTTGGACGTCCATGCATCGGGGAAGGTAGAGCAGGTGTTGAATATTTACAATATCATCTCCCGTGCTATTCCTGGCTGTGCGCCGGGCGAGGATGTTACACAGCTTTCTCTCATGCACTACTCTGACGGCATCCTAGCTTTTATGGTTGAGATCGTGGACAGGTCAGAAGCATGGCTGCTTGCGATGGACTTGAGGAGACGAACGGGTAACGTAAAGGGTGGCAGGCTGCGACTTCGTACACAGCTGGATTCAACCAGACGGTTGTTTGTCCGCCACAGCCGATCGTATCTCTACTACGGGACTCACTCTTCGCTGGGCTATCATGGCTATCCGCAGTGGGCGATTAACTGTGTGGATTTGCGGACGGGGCAGCATACCACCGAGAAGCCTGTGGTGTTGGAAAACTTTGCCGGAAATGAGATTGGCCAGACGGTCTGCTTTGGCGTGCACCAGGATCATTTCTACGCGGTATCGACACAGGTAAACTTTGAAGAAGAAGAAGTCGACTGGACATCGTTCTATCTCTGGATTTGCCTACCGCCTGGTGGTGGGAAGAATCGATACCCCGAGCCAAATCGCATCTGGCGTCGACAGCACCGCGAGGGGCCGATCAACGACACCTGGACAGACCTCACCCTCCGCCATGACGAGGCAGCCGAACAACTCATGGTGCTCGAGTGCCGGCGGGAATGGCGGGATGGCGGCAGTGAAAACTGTCGCACGTACTACATGCAGGCGCTTCCTTCGCCGGGGGAATCCAGCAAGGGCAAGGGCCGGCAATGCCATAGCGAGCCAAGCGCCATGTACGCGCAGCTACCAGACGAACCGCTAACCAAAACGCTGGACTCGTCAAGTAAGCCCAACTACGAGCGGCCCAGGAAACGGCTGCGCAGACACTACCACCCGGAATACCACCAGGGCGGCGAGCCGTCTCAGCGCCGGGATTTCATCCTCGCAAAGACCAAACATCGCACCTACAACCTATCCGCATCGACCTTTGTTGATCTGGTCAACGACCCCCGCCCGGACCCAGGGGGTCGAGTGCCACACGACCGGCTTCGTCTCCGAATGGCGTCTCGAAAAAGGAAATGCCCAATCGACGAGCAGGGGGAGGAAGGGACGCAGGGGTTGCTGTATCGGCCCGAAGTCGACGCTGAAGGACAATCAACAGAGTGCAGCGAGGAACGGTTCGCGTCACGAGGGATTCACCTCTGGCCACCAGACGATGCGCCGCGTGAGCTGGACGAACTCCTGTGTCCGTCCAAACGAGCCGGAAAGGTACAGGCCGTCGCGGACGAGCGGTCCATCATCTACTCCGTGGACCAACCAGGGATGAACGACGGCAAGCAAGCGATCATCATGGTGAACTTCGACCCCTACATCCGCCTCCCTGGCTTGAAACGTCTCCATCCGGCCAATCTGCAGGCCCAAAAGAGCGACGCCGGCATCGGCATCGAACGGCCTCAGATAGGCGATTCCACCCCAGCACGAGAACACCACTCGATTCCACTTCACACCACCATCGGAATAAAACCCACGAACCAGACGGTGCCATCTGTCCGGGAAGAAGCAGCCATGTATCTACGTATCAATCACGGATACTGGCTTCGATGATACGAGCACTGCAGATGCTTGCTTACCCTACCTACCTTGACGAAAACCTAGTTAACGACCATAGCCTAATGAACAAATCACACCTATCACAATCTCCTTATATAAGCCACTTACCTTGCATGAGGAACGACATCCTTGAAACTAAAACAAGGCAGTAGACAGCACTCTTGACGTGGTCGATACGAGGCTGACTTGTCCTGGTAAAATGCGGTGAGATATGCAGAGCAGATGCAGTTGACGATGTGTTTGCTAGTGATGAATGTGCATTCACATATATAGTCTGAGTAACACATGCCATAGGTCATCTGCAGTATTAAGTACCTGGTCATGAGCATGACATTTATGATACAATAAACCTACCCATCTGAATTCTCAGACATAGGCCAAAGCTCAATCGACTATCCTTATATAAACCGTCTCCAGATATCTTGCAGTCAACTGCTTTCACTTGATTCAGTTCAACCATATACATGGATTCAACATGTTTTAGAAGATAACATGGCATCAACTAATCTACATACCAAACTCTAGGCTGGATTTTCTTCGAATCTAAGTTGTCTCAAATATGTAATTACAATGCTATAGCATATATATCAATATCCTTTGATAGCTTACTCATGTAGTAGCCCTACACGGGAGATACATTCAACCCATAAGAATTAGAGCTATTCAGCCTTGTTTCACCTATACAAGGATTATTTAAAGGTGAGTATATTCTAATCAAGCATACAGCCATTCTGGCTGTCCTGGAATATCCTGGAATATCCCTGCTCATGCTGATACTCTATCAACGCTACTTTCAAAGCAGACACAGCTAACAATACAAGCATAAATGCGAAATAAAAATGCAATGAAGCGAATGTCGTCTCTATAGTAAATCCAAAACACCAAATACCATGCAATGTCCCTCTCAATCCATAGCAAAATCATCATCTCACTTTCTCTCCGTATCCCACCACCTCTCCCTCCCATCATTCATATCGCCATTTTCCTCCCCTGACACAAATCGTCAAAACCAACCTAACCATCACAGATAACAATAACACAAACATAACTCAAACTCAAACTGGACGGAAACATACATACGTTTCACCCGCTCAATCTGCCTGATCGTGTCGTCGTGGATTTTGGCCCAGCGCGCTTGGTAGTGGGATACTAGATCGGGGTTGTTGTCGTTTTGCAGGGGTTTGGTATTGGTATCTTTGTTCTGAGGGTTGTTGGAGGTGGGGTTTTTGTCCATCTTGTTTGATCTGAAGTTGAAGATGTGATTGGTCTGATTGATCTGATTGTAGACTTATTGATTGATTATAACTGGATTTGTAGAAGACTCGAGGTATCTATGCTATATAGAATACTGTCTACATTTATAGATATGATAGACAGCAGACTATATGTGCGATACTCCCCGTCCACCTGAACAACCACCATCACACAGTATTCAAATTCAGTATTCACCTGGCTATCAGCTATTCCCTCGTTAGGCCGCAATATCAACCAAAATAAACTCCCCCCCAACCTACCAAACCACTCCCATGCTCTCCATGTGGTCCGGCCCCAGTTCCTCACCTCCTGAAATCCCGGAATGCCCTTCCGCGCACACTAACAAGACAAAAAACAAATAAACTACCACCAGGAATTGCGTGACAATCAATCGGGATAAAGGGATGTGTTGCGATTGGAGTAGCTTGCCCTTTTTTTTTTTTTTTTACTCCATAGGACCTTACTTTCCTGATTAAGTGGGTTAGGTAGGTAGGTAGATTTGTTTTGCACGATTCCGGGGCGTTGCGAGGAATCCGATAGGTTGGAAACCACTAGTTTCTGGGTTTTTGATCGGGGAATGGAGATGGATGACGTCAGGGAGATTTGAATGGACTTGAACTTGATCGGGTTTCGGGGATGTGCGAGGGGTTCCGCCCGTTGTTACTAGTTTTTCTTCGCGCTTTGCAGAGGCAGAGGAAGAGTCGGGTATTTTCCGTCTGAAAATCGGGTAGTTCTATTTTATTCTGGTACTTTTGACGTTCATAGTATGCGGATTGTAGATTGTGGACTCACCGCTATATCGGGGTCAGCTGGATTGGTGGTGCAGTGGTTGTTTTGCGTGATGTAAGGGTTGAGCATGAGGAATGTTAGTACTACATACTCTGCAGGTCAGTCAGGGCAAGCATGTTTGTCTGACTGTTGAGTAAGGTAGCGGGTAAATTTCGGTCAGTTCAGGGCAACTGATCGGGTCATTTGATATTCGATCGGAGGGAATCCTACAGGCTATACTGAGAATACCATATAGTTATCAAACAAAAGTACTCTAAAGTAATTGAGGTGATCATTCATCTAATACGCTAATGCAACAATAATAAATACAGATAGGTATCCAAGTCCAGCTCAAGATATGCATCCGAAATTTCGTTTGTTTCATTCCAACATGCATGAGATGAGATAGCATATAGTATGCTGTAGAGTGCTTATGTGGAATTGTCCGCGCAGGTCCAGCTGGCACTGCTGGCGTTGTCGTGGATGGATTTTCCAGAGACGTAGAGGCCGAGACCGCACTGTTTTTATTAGTTTGGATATTTGAAATGGGTGATGGAAGGCTTACAATAGCGCAGGCAATGCCGAGGATGATCACGTTGACGATGGTGAGGAAGATCTTGCGTGGCGAGGAAAAGTATTCGCCCTTGTTCATGATGAACCAGAGGATGGCAGGGAGACCGTAACTGAACCAGCTGCCGAAGAGGGAGCTCTATATGATATTAGCATGAAGATTTTTCCGGATACGATAGGGTGAGACATACAATCAAACTGAGCAGGTCGTTGAACACCGGAATCGACTCGGCGATAATCCACGCCACAGTCCAGATACTCAACGCAATACCGACCCACGAACCAACAGAGAGCAAACTGTTGTTGTGCATGTGGTCCGAGCCACGGAAGATACGGACGTAGATGAACTTGCAAGCCACATGCCCGAAGACAACACCGGCGATGACGACAGTCGGGATGGCAAGACCGTAGGCAACCTTTTTCATCAACGGGCCGGCGGAAGAGAGAGCGGGCGATTTCACGTCCGGTCCGGCGTAGCGGTAGATGACTACCGCAGTGATGATGTACATGGTTGTATCGGTGACTTGCAGCATGGCGAGGGACTTGGGGAAGTCGCGGGGGTCTTGCATTTCGGAGATGAAGCCGAAGAAGGCGACGTGGGCGACTATTCCTCATTAGTGTTGTCGTGTATAAACCGGAGACTTTGAAAACATACTGAAAGCAAAGACAATGTTGGTGACGGCCAGGAATCCTTCAGCAAAGGAGACATTGGTGGTGACGTCGACTTCGACGTGGTCTGGAGCCTGGACTCCAATAGCGATCATGGTGACGAGGGTAGCAATCATAATCGAGATGCAGGCTAGAGAGGTCAGGTTAGCATAAATAGGTAGACATAATAGGCGAGAACATACAAGCAAGAGACATCCAGTACACCTTGGCCATGGTGCGCGGCAAAGCACCGATGCAGCTCACAATCAGCCCAATCACACCAAAGACAATCGTGCAGGTACCATGGCCGGTGATGGTGTTGAACAGCACGGTAAAGGTGAGAATGTGACTCGACATGAGGAAAATGAGAAACAGCAGCTGGCAGACACCGACGAACTCGCGCCCGAACGGACCCATAAGCATCTCACCAGCGTCGGCCATGCTGTGGATGTGGGGGAATCGCTGCTTGAACTGGCCGATGACATAGCCTGTGTACCAGGAGATGCCGGAGAGGCCGAGAATGAGGATGATGGAGGGAACAATGCCGAGTGTGGCCATGGCGGAGGGGAGAGAGAGAATGCCCAGCGAGATGTTTTCAGCGATCATCACTGCATGTTGTTAATTTCTGTATTCTGTATAGACGTGCAGAGACATACGCATGCCGCAGTTCCACCAGGTCATGGTGCGATATTTGACCTCAGCACACTCCTCATTTCCAAAAGGATCCTCATCGCGAGCATCGTCGAGGTTGACCTTTTTTTCGTCGTCAGGGTGGTCATTGTAGACGGGATCAATTTGTGGTGTCGACATGGTGTAGAGAGTTGTCAAAAAGAATAGTGTCGAGAAGAGAAGGAAAAAAGGGCGGGACCCAGGCAGATAATAAACGAGCGAGTCTCCATGGAACCAGCAAACGACGCTACCCCAGAAACTGGAGAACCATTACGTACAAAGTTAGTGATAAGATATTTATTATTTTTATTATTATTTATGATTCCAGCTGCTCCACTTTTGCTCCGTTTGGGCAGCCAGAATGACTATCCCGCAAGGGCTGCGATGCGGCAGTTTCAGACAAGCCTTCAGAGGGCAACTGCATGGAACGTTCTACTGTCGCGGGCACATGGCAGGGTGCCTTTAGTCGCTCGTGTACGTGTCCCGATGAAGGCTCCTGCCTTGCTGTTTCTGGTAATCCCCGACGATCCCTAGCATCGATGATATCGACGTTATGGACGAGTACACCGAGAAGGGTCTGCATCATACTCCAGCTGACATTAATCTGTCTATCTATGGATATCCTCGTCTCCACCGACAGAACACAGACACCGTTCCATCGTGTCACCCATATCCCATATCCGGTTCTCCCGTCCGACACTCCTCAGCACACGCCAATGAGGCATTTCCTTACGTATCTCTATTCGCTCTCCACAAAACGGTGGAGGTGATTCTTTTCCTGTTCCATCCAGAATTACCCCGTAGTACCTTGTTGTCCCCGCAATGTTCGTGCGGGGATTCCGGGGCCTGACCTGGACGCTGTTGGGATTGGAACGTGGACCTGGTTTGTTGATGTCAAGAGGGATTATTCAATTCTTGTTATGTTTACTCTATCTCGAGCATCGATTAGTCTATACGGAATCTACCTAGAGTCTATACCGATGTCTTCTGATATGTTGATATAAACTGGCCCCAGCGTATCTACTGGAGTATCATTCATAGATAGATCCTCACCGATTATACCATGATATTTCTCACTGATAACCTTCCAGCACTTCCTATCTACATCTTCAAACACTCTCGGAACCGGGCCGGTGTTGGCTTGCAGGCTCCACGGCAGTACCCGGCATCTAGCCGGTGCAGATCGTCTAATGTGGCGTTTCAGACTGGAGGCAATTGCATTGTGCTTATTCTATGATGTATGTAGATAGAAGATAGATGTAGCTGATGTAGATATGATGTATGGAGATACAATTGAATAGTAACTATGAATGCTGATATTGAATTGATTGAAGAATGAGTGACAGTTGGTTGCCAGTTCAAGTTGCCACCGAGGCCAAGTGGAGCCAAAAGTGGATTCTTCTCGCCCGTTTCCAGAAGCTCTAGTCCAGACTCCATCACAGTCGAGTTGATATTTTCACCATCCAGCAAGAATATTAATATATCATCAGTAGCTATCTGTTAGAATAAATAACCATATATATATATATATATCAGCATCTGAATCTCAATTCAATTGAATTGAAATTCACTGGAAGATGCATGGAATATCCAGTCCGGCTCGCTAGCCCGACTATGACTAACACATTCGGCCTCCTTCACCTTTCCGGACTCGGTCTCTCTTACTCCAATTCAATCCAATTGGTCTTTGGATAATATCCCGTATCCTTAACCAAATCTTCATCCGGTGAAGGCAAACCGTCAAAGCCATTCACGGGTTTTCATTTCCATCTTCATCCACCCGGTGGCGGACGGATTGACATGGCAAAATGAGATTGATGATACCCTTACCGGCCCGGTTCCGGGTCCCGACACTTCCTCTTGTCTGTCTCTCTTTTATCTTTCCTTTTTGTATGCTTGGTATTCCACCTTCGGTTCGGGAATTTCAAAAACTGTTGCCTCCCAGCCAAGAAACGTCGCCTGTGGTATTTCTTCGGCCTTTTCCCATCGAGTCCAAAAAAGAGTTCTGCTCTCAGCCTCTCTCGGTTCTGCTGACTGGCGGATCCGCCCGCTTAGCTGCGGCGGCGTTGTGTTGCAGTGCAGAATTTTCACAGCCGTCGGCGACTCTCCGTCGGTCTCCATCGCACAAGCATAATGTCCGTCTTCAGTTGCGACTGAGGTGCCTGTCTGAGCTCTTTGGGTTGGATAAACCGACCATCGGTGTCTGGCGCTTTGGAATTGCTCGTACCTCAACCGGTGTCGGCGTGGCAGATAGAGACTGCTGGTCAGTTCATGATGTCTTGGCGGATGTCTTAGTCAAGACGAGGCATCATGGCGAGTTGAACTGAGTCGAAGCGATATTGTCTTCTTCACTTGGCAACTGGCATATTCGACTCTGGATAGCATTGGCGTTGGCATTGGCAGTGGCAGTGGCATATGCTGTAGGCGAGTTCCGCGTAATTCCAATATCGGCTGTAGCCATCATAGTAGAAGACAGCATACACTGGACCAACCGAACCCATTCCGTCAAGAACACTCCATCATTCCTCCAAGACCCTGAACGATAAACGAGGATCTTATACCTGCAATCAAATCAGTGATCCGTGCGTGTCAGCAACCCATCTATCCTCATACGATAGATACATGATGCATCATATGATCAGTGCAGCCAGCACCGATAACCCCCGCATGACATGCATAGCCCTGTGCATATTGCATTAAAATCAATTCATTTAAGAATCTCAATTGAACAGAGAGATGATAGATGGAGGGGTTTTAAGAACGAAAAGAAAAGAAAAAGAGGGGAGCAAGGTCGGGATCTGCATCCGATCGGGACCAGGACCCGAGTGAGGTCGGGATGGGATGCGAGTCGTTCGTTAGTAGTGAGGTTGGATTTAAGTGTTGATAAGATTAGATAGGAGATATTAGTTAGATATGGATGGTCTTGAGATAAAGATGCAGTATGTTTATTGTTTAGAGGCATGTCAACTATGGTGAATACATGTCAGATACCATATCATTAATCTAGATATCTTTAGAAAATACACCATCCTGTCTAAGCACTGCACCTCCAAGAACTGACATAAAACTAACTACTTATACCGAACAGCAGATAGCACTATATATCTCTTGCTTGCTAACTGCCCTAAAAGAGGTTGGTTATAAGTATTCGTTACTATGTAGTGCTACCGGTTTGAATAAAAACAAGCTTTGTATAGAATATAAGATCTAAAGAGTATGATGATCTTGAAGGCGACTAAAGAAACCCTGCAGGCTCTAATATACGAGATGCATACCAGGATTAATTGGAGGATATCACTTTGAACGAGATGACAGCCCTATCTTGTCCTCTTTTCGTCTTTTTTGTGATTCCTTAGGCTTGAGTAGCGGCCTTCGGTTTCTATTCTTCTGAATATATATCGCGCTGAGAGATCTGTGGCTGATACCAACACAGCCCACAACCGCATACGAATCGGGCCTGTCGAGTCGACGCCCAAATAACTGTTCCCGTTGTCGTGATGATGTGGTAGTAGCCCTGGTAGCAGTGTCGGTGCAGTCGACGTTGTCGCCGCAGAGTTGGTTTGCTGGGAGGGATTGAGCTGTGGTGGTGACCAGGCGAGGAGGGCTTTGTGATGCGTTTCTATAGAGTAGATGGGTGGATGGAAGTCGTACTAGATACTAGTAAGATATGATAGTTGAAGAATGGCCATCTACGATAAGATATTCATGCTTATATACTAGTATAGCTATATCTGGCGAGTTTCTCAGTATCAAGACGCAAGGATACAATTGCCGGCAATGGTCGTAGCCTGTCCACTCCACTCCAGAATTCAGTTCCAACGTTACATTGACAGTTGAATGCCTGATTGATTTTATAGAAATGGACCGCCCACCTTGTAGACATTACTTTATGCAATTGCAGTTACATACCACTCTGGGTAACTGTATTTGGGAATGCTAATGCCTCGTGTGAGCAGTTATATATCCAATTTACTGGATGTAATTCTATACCTGCAACTGTACATACAGGTGGTCTGGAATAGCCTTTCACCGCGCTTATTTAGTATGTTAGAGCACATATATCATGATTCAAGAGATATCAGGATCATTTCCATCAGTCATAATCAAGATTCAGCCACGCATCTGATAGACGAAGATACAGCCAGATATACAGGATACTAACACCCACCCTTCTGTCTCGCCTCTCCATTACTGTCATCATCAACAACAACCGTATACTTGTACCCAAAATCCCCACAAAGCCTAAGGAACCCGCCCAGCCGATCCTGCTGCAACACGCAGTTTATCTCGCCATGTCTGCCCTCACAGGTGCCTCCATTGGCCTGGTCGCATACGTTGCCTTCATTATAAAGGTTGCGCATGCACGCGAAAGTGACATCTCCGCCCTTGCTTTTGATGCCGAATCGTCCCTCGCAGCATTTTTGGGCGCAGTCGAGGTTATCTTCGCAGGCTTGGCCGGCTTTGAGTTCGGCGGTGGCTGCGGCGGCCAGGGCGAGAAGGGTAAGTGTCCAATTGAGATGCATTTTCTATAGAGTCAGAGGTGAGGTGGTGTGTAGATGGCATTCATACATACTGGGTAGTAGCCAGTGGGCAGGGTTTGAAGTGGGTGATTTGAGAAAGAAGAAGGGGGTTTGAAAGGTACCCACGCCTGAAATACCTAGCATCTCAGCTAGAAATCTCCTTTCTTCAGCTAAACGCTAAAAGAAGTACTATTAGCTCTTTCAGCTGAGCTCGATCTAAGCATTGACCAATCAGAGTCCATATGAGCCATTGATCTCGATCTGCTGAAGAACCTTGCCCGTTGATCTCGGCTTCTAATTCCACTGGGACCCCTCTTATCATGGAGGAATTGAACTAAACTAGATATATAGAGATAGACAGCAAAGAAGAGACATCTGGTGTAGTCAGAATTCTTTTCCAGTGTTCTACTATAACTACGTTGGGAGGATAGAGCTTGTTTAACCTATGTTTAGTTGTGTAACAGGCAATCATAGCATTGATACAAACTAGTCTGAGTATAGTCTTCTATATTTAGAGGTTTAGTATGTATTCTCTATACTCTGGGGTATACACGTGCTCAAGCCATTCATTGATAGTGTTATTATGATAGCAAGACCATTTTCTTATCTATATTATATAGTTGCTATAGGTCTACATTCAATCAAAATGTGCATTATTCATATCGCTTTATATACAACCCATCCACCTAACACCCAGCATGCTGCTTCGCCTCTCTCAGCCCAACATCCTCCACAACCACCGAACCAGACGTATACCTCCACGACTCCCGACAGTACGTCATATAATCGTCCATCATATCCTGCTGCACCACACACGTCGAACTACCATGATACGGGGTGCACACCTCCCCAGAAACCCGCGCACAGGCAGCGGTGTTATGCTTTGTACTGCCGCAGGTACCCACGGCGTATGTGTCGCTCTTGCTGCCGAGCTTGCAGCCCAGATAGCTGCCGCGGAAGGAGTTAACGACGTGGAATTTGCCCTCATAGCAGGACTTGCTGCAGGCGATGTTGTCGCCGCAGGATTCGTCGGCTTTGAGGTATTTGGCTGTGCTGGCCGTGGCGAGGGCGAGGAGGGTGAGGGTCCATTTGAGATGCATTTTCTGGTGAGGTTAGATGGCGTTGTTTTGCTGTGGATGGTGTGGGTGAGGTCAGGTCATACCGAGGTAGTCGGGCAGGTACCTAGTGATTCGATTCTAGAGAATTGGAGAGTATGAAAGGCGATCGTTGAAAGAAACAAGCTCGAAATACCGACCACTTTATATATCAAAACAGCTGGAAATTTGCTTTTTTCCAGCCCGGGGAACGAGCAGGAACTATTGGTCGTATGTGAGGAGGTGAAAAAGCAATTATGAGTATAGACCAACCAGACCGCCAGATGAGCTTCGATCTGCATACAGCTGTTTGCCACTATAGTACGGCGCATGTACTATGTGGGGATGAAGAGCCACGGTAGATATACCTCCAATGCACAATGTGATATCACTTTCGGCGAGATTGACAGCAGGATCTGACCGCTAGTTGTGAGATGAGACATGACTAGTGCATACGTGTTTGAGGCAGTGACGGTCTTGATTACTTGTCGTGGAGTTAGCAAATGATAGTTGGTTGACAGAAGTTTCGGTGAGCTGCAGAGTAAGATATTGCAGTATGCGTAGGTAACTCATCCCTTAGGCACCAAGTCATGATTGGACAGTTGATACTTGGTTGAATAGGCAATACTTGTAGAAATGTAAGGAGTACCTCAATATGTATGCATACTTACATGACTATGCATGTGGAAATGTTGGTCTTTGGTCTATAGATATGAAAACTATGAACCCAAGGAAGCCACGGCTTTCCGTCTAAGAACAGACTCATGAGAAGCAACAATTCGGTCTATTCTACCCAATGAGATATATTCCTGAATTGCACGTTATGCACTATCCATCAGGACCTTTTTTTTTTTTTTTTTTTTTTTTTGGCATTTTACCGGGTTGATTCGATGCTAGAATATCATCCGAGCTGCTGCAATCGAGATTCATCTCGAGTCACTTCCATGATCTGATCTACTGGATGCAGGAACTGAGAAATGCTTACCATCAGACGTATCTCATATTTGCAGTCACTTGAAAGAGACTAGTTCGTGTTCGTATATGAAGTGTTTAGCAAGCTATCTATGACAGCTGGCAGCTTCACAGATGCGGATAAGCCCGATAGATCGTGTTATCTACCTCATCTTTGATAGAGTTATTTAATTAACTCTTCAGGTGTACTTTTGTCCAAGCTATGGCAATACGAAATGTGGTACCTTACATATCTAGGTACTACTAGGTACCATCCACGGGTACATCCGCACCAAAGAGATCGATGAATCAGGATATCCCAAAGGCAATTAGCTCAAATGCATCCTTCTGGATTGTTATTGACCAGCAGGACAATTATTCCAGACCAATCAATCAGCGTAAGGCTCGATCTATTGAGACCGGCATGAAAGAAAAGCATGCCGAAGTAAAAAAACCTTCCAATCAACCAGATCAAAACAAAAGCAAAACCATCAATGGTGCAGAAGCCTTACACTCGACTATCCTTCCATCCTTCTAGTCTCGATCTCAAAGTCTAGCCCGTGCATAGATAAGTCTTGTTGAGCGATCGTCGGTGGATCGAAAGGGAACGTGGAGCGGCGCTATTGAAAACTATCCATCTCGTGCATCATTCTATCCCAATGCGGAACTACCTTAATTTTGTTGAGCCACTAGAGTCTAGAGTGTGGATCGGGTTGGTTTGATCGAGATTGCAGTATGGAGTAAAGGTAGTAGTATGTACAATGTAGTATGTTACTGTATGTACTAGTATGTAGTAGTCGTACTGGCAGTGCCAGTTATTCTATGATATTCGTGTGAATATCCATCTCTTAGAGATATCATAACTATAAAGAAAAAACCCTAACGCCATGCCAATTACTCATAATCATATCAAGGCTCATATCGCCATAGTCACGGTCATATCAGCCCCTCCAACACGTCAATCATAGCCGACCTTTTCTTATCGTTATGTATGAGATCTTGTAGAGCGGAGGTGCCTCCCTCGGGCTCTGTTAGATTCAAGTTTCCGAGAATGTTGGTCCCGTTCTTGTTCAGAATGCCGTGGAGGGTATTCTTGATCAGTCCGCCAACGGGCACCCGTGCGGTCAGGGTAAGGTTCTTCATGACGTTGGTGTAGTACGGGACCAATTCTCCTTTCCAGTGGACAGATTTTCCAATCGTTTTGAGGTTGAGGTACCCGTCTTTAAGCTCGGGCTGGGATTTGAGGACTTCTTGGAGATTGTTGATGAGCACTTTGAGGTCGAGGATGCCGCGCACTGGAGTGGAGTGGTTGCCCGGTCTGAGGAAGAGGTCGTCCAGGGTTGCATTGCCGAGGAGCAAATCGCCACTATACAGATCGAGGACGGTTGTTCCCTATTCTTGTTAACGATGTTGGTGTAGCAGGGGAATGGTTCTTACAATTTCCAGTGTCAGGACGGATGGGTTAGGCAGCGTAGCATTGGCAACAAGGTTGGTTCCATCAGACCTTGCTGGCAAAAGCAGCTGAGTGTCTGCGATAGAGAAACCATCGAAACCGTTCAGAGCTACAAGAGTTAGACATGGTAAAGAATACAAAGAGGGGCTGACTAACTGGTTTGCGGGATATCCTTGTTCATCGTGACCTTGGCCTTCAACGAACCCAAATGGGCAGTTGTAGTTCCTCTAACAGACAGTCTCGCATGCTTCTCGAAGACCACGCTACTGACATACTTCTGCCATTCGACCTCGTTAAGCGGAGTAGGCTGGTCGGTGACACCGAGAGTGGTGTTACCATCAATTTTCTTCCCGTCGATGTAAAGAATTGCCCAGGTACCGTTTCCATTGTCATTATCGCGGTTCCACAGATCCAGCGCAATGTCATCGATTGGCACGGGGACACCGATTGGCAACTTCAAGGCCGACTTGATAGTGAATTTGGCAGAGTGGGGTCGCGGTTCAAGGATATCCGCCTCAGGCAGGAGCAGTACGGAATTATCAACGACACGCTGAGCGATGGCGGGGATAATGAGCAGGAAGCTGTTTTGTTAGTCTCATACTGACTGAATGGTTTGCGACAACTTACAAAATAGGCAAGAAGATGGCCAGGAAGATAATGGAGAAGAAGGTGTAGCAACACCAGAATCGAGCCCAGTGACGTCTTAAATTCTGAGTCTTTGTCCGCTGGACCTTCTCCAGCGTGATAGTGTCGGCTGTCTCGACTTCCTCGAGTGGCACACCATTCCCCTCCTGCGAGGGCAATGGGCCTCGATGGGTACCCAGCACATACTTGGCCGCTTTGGCGGGAAGAGATGGAGATGTGGGTTTTTCCTCCATGATGCCGGCCAGATATTAAAAATTATTATATATATGTATAAATATATATAAAAAAAGAACTAAGAATTATCTGGCAGGTGGCATTGCATGCCTCACGGGGGAGCCACTTGGTGTTTATAATCGGGGAGAAATTCCTGGGCTGATCAACGCGAACCTAGCGACCATGCACGAGACACGATTAGCATGCAAGGACACGGTCAAAATAAAAAGCCATTTGAAACGATCGAATAATTCGAGTTTGCCCGGAGGTACCAACCAGAAGGATTTAGCTAAGACCTTGGGCGGGGGTATCTGTTCGCTAAGAATATCGGCGATTTCAAGGGTTTGTCGGGGGTCTTTCTCCTTGTAGCGAAGCTGTTCGACAACACCAGGCCAATGTAATGACTCGTATTAATTCCAGGACCTCCCAGCTTCTGGGAATAAAACTCCGCAGATCAGCATGCAACGTGCTGATCTGCCCAGAATTGGCTTTCTATTGAACCGCGGCTTCGAGTTATTTGTTCACATGTGGGCTCGAAGCGGGGGTTAGGATGAGGATCGACAGCGACTATCGAGAGACCGCGGTTTGCTTGCCCTGGTCTGGTCTGATTTTCAGTAACGGGGTTGTCTCTAGTCGCAGTCCACTCTTCAGACTCACCCAGTGTCATGCCGTGAGACAAGTTGACAAGCTTATTTTCCCAACCGACTCCACAAAGAATGGGGAATGCAAAAAGGGAGAGGCCGAGAAGGGGGAAGCCCCGAGGCCGCGAAAACTGGGGGACGGGATGACTTCCTCATTGGGACAAAAGTATGCGGGGGACAAAGGTGAGGTTGGACAATGACGCTGGCGATGGTGAAGATAGGCGAGAGCGAAAGGACCGAGTGCCAAAGACAGGGATGGGGTGGTGGATGAGGATTGTCGAGAGCTGCGAGTCACCGGCTGCACGTTCATGTCGCACGGGTTTTTGCGATCAGCTGGCGGTTTCGTCTGCTGCAGCCCCAATATTGGTCTTTGCTTTTTTTCGACTACTTTTCTTCACCGGACTATCTGATTCTATTATTCATTCTTCTAATTATTTTCTCTTTCTACAGCCCTGTTATTTATTATTGCCCTCACGGTTGATTGTTGTCACCACATCACGAAAGGAAAAGAAAAAGAAAATGGACGAAAAAGACCAGATCTCCCAATCCTCTCAGGAACCCGCATCGGACAATGTCCCATCAGACAATGTCCCATCTGGCAATTCTCGTCTTGATGCGCTGGAAAACCTCGAAATCCTCCCTCAAATCCTGCAAGAGGGCATTCTGTTCGCAGGCTCAGGGACGGCCATTCTCCTCCAAGCCGCCATGCCCGGCATCAAGCGCAGTGAGGGCGACCACCACAAGAACCTGGCGACAGAGCTAGGCGACAACCTGCAAGCCTTCATGAGCTACATCTCGTGCTTCGTGTTTGGCACCAAAGAGGAAAAGAAGACGCTCCTCAACCTGCTGCAGAGCCATCAGCCTCCTCTCCGTGGCAGCGACAACTACGCTACCAACCCTGAGATCCAGCTGTGGGTGGCTGCGACGCTCTACGCGACCGCTACCGACTTCTACCAGCGCATCTACGGTCGTGTCAACTACCGTACGGCCGAAAAGGCCTACACCGAGTACGCTCTCCTCATCGCCTGTCTGGGGATGACACCGGGCACATGGCCTGAAACCCGGCAGGCGTTTTGGACGTACTGGGATGACCAGATTGAGAAATTGACCGTCGCGGCTGATGCGCACCAGTTCGTCAAGGACCTGCTGCATGATAAAGCCATGCCGACGTGGGTGCAGCTGATGAAGCCGCTGCTGCACGTCGCGACGATCGAGATGCTCCCACCTCGAATCCGCGAAGGATACGGGCTGAAATCGACATTCAGCACGAGGCTATTATATCGCACTTCGATGGGATTCTCGGTCGCGGCGTATCCGGCACTGCCCAAGTCAGTGCGATCGTATGCGCTCAAGTATTATCTGGAGGATTTGCGGAAGCATATGAACGTGGTTTAGAATGTATTTAGTTAATGAGTTATGTATACCCTTGTACCTTGAATTACGACATGTTTATATCTTCTACTTCTATCCTGTACGATGGAATAATAATCACATTTATCTTTATCATTTATCATAAGACATAACCATATCACTCGAAAATCGTCGACAAAATCGCACTCAGCAATTTCGAAACATCAGTCACCAGCTACACCATTAGCAAGCTACACCCATGTTCAACATAAGATCAGAAATACATACCGGAGTAGCCTCATCAATCAACGTCTCGGTGTTATTCACAAACTTCGCCGAGAGCAAGCCATGCGCATTCGTGATGATATCCTGCAACTGGTTGAGATTATCCTTCGACAGGAGATCCTTTAGATTCTGCGGCGTATCGCCACCCAGAAGGGTCGCCCCGCCTTTGATGATGACTTGGAGGTCCTCGATTGTGTCTTGGCTGAGGATATCTTTCACGCCGTCGATGATGCCGGGGAGGTCGTTGAGGAGACCACCGGTGCTTTCGGGGGCGCGGGGGACGACAGGATTGGGATTGGGATTGGGATTGGAGGCGAGAGTGAGTGTGATTGGGAGGAGGGGGAGGAGGATTTTGGAGAGATGCATTTTGATGGTTATTGGGTTGGATAGATGAGTCTACTTTCGTATACAGATACACCCTTATATACAGAGTAGCATTTCTATACAAAACACCCAGACTTGGCTGTGGAGCTAATAACCAGAACCAGATTAAAAAGGGGTCCATCCAGTCAGTCCAGCCGAGTCCAGGCTATATCAAACAAGTTGTATACGAGACATTTCAAAAGTATATTGACTATCTGGGAGACTTGGCAGGACAAACTGCCAGATCTGGTGATTCTCGATCATCTCCGATCCATGACCGTTTAATCTCGACCAGAGCGCAGTTAATTTGTCTGTCACGTTGGACGATGTGCAACCCAATCAACCTCGGTGTGTTTGTATGTATGGTGCATAATCTCACATTTCCCGTGCTCATGTGAAGTTGCCACTGTAGATATATCGTATGCAAGGTATATGAGACCTGGCCAAAGAGAACATCCCCACGTACGCATGGATGGAGAATGTGGAAATGGTTAAGCAATAATAATTAATATCGAATGGAGTCATCGTCAAAGCAGAGTTTGTCGTTGGAATTATCCCCGCATTGCCCAACCCACTCCAAAGCCGGGGTATCTGCAATCTGCAATCTGCGTTACCACCTGGGCATGTAACTATCCCCACAGTCCCTAGATACAGCCAGTGATATCGTGCAGCAAAATGCTTTTTCCCTGATGGAGTCGGTCGATCTTCGACTGTTTGGTTGTAGGCGTTGTTTATCACCTCGGACCGAAAGCTTCATACATGTGATGGTGTCACGGGGGGATTTTCGCTTTGTTTGTTGTTGTTGGGAATTGATGGGATTGGTTTGTTGTTGCGTTATTCTACAATCCATGTACTGCTAGGTCATAGCTAGACGTCAGAATCAATATGATGGAATATGGAATATGGAATATGGATACTAATTCCATATGATTCTACTCCACATCCCCATATTATGACTACGATAGTCCCCGCGGTCTAATAGTCTGGTCTGGTATGGGAAATTATCGGACTTCCCCTCTTTTTCCTACCGAGTAGATCCACTCTTATCGTCGTGCCTTGATTCATTCCTGCTATGATGCTATCCAGCGGTGTATGTATTGTACCATGTACTTTCCAATCGTTTCTCATGTATCGTATCCATCATCATAAGCCATTGTATCACAGCGCCATCGCCAATCCCAACACCCCCAATGCCCCCATTCCCCCGACTACCATCCCAGTCGGTTGAGCCGCTGCTGCCGCTCCCTGTGACGATGACGTTGTCGCCGCTGTTTCCGTTGCTGACTCCGCGGTTGTAGTACTCGGATCCGAGGAAGTAGTATCCGTCTGATAAGCCAACCCCGTCGTGGCTGTCAGGGCCCCCGCGGAAACCTGTGACCTGACCACAGCCATGTAGTTCTTTACGTCGGTGGGAAGGCTGTTATACCAGGATGGGGTTGTGCCGGCTTGGAATTCGCTGGCGAGGGCGCTGCGTTGGCTGGGATTGACGAGTTGGACGAAGACGGAGGCCGGGAGGGCGGAGATGATTTCGGGGATGAGCGATCGCGGTGGTGGGGAGATGTTGCCTAGGTTGGCGGTTTTGGTGGGCGTGCTGAAGTTGCGACTGATTGAGCTGGGTGGTGGTTAGTAGTGTTTGCATGTTGGGTGTTTGTGGAGGACGTACAGAGCGCTAGTTAAAGCTGACCAGTTGTCTTGTCTCTGGTGATGATGCAGGTTAGGAACTGCGCAGACAGTAGCCACGAGGAGAAGAATGGCCGTGAATCGCATTGTGATGGCTGGAGACGTAGAAAGACAAACTTACAGCATAGAAGATGGATATGAGCGATATAAAAGCCAGCCCATTGCACAACTCAGCCGGACACAATCTAGCGAATATACCCTGTCTAGCAGGTGTTGATCCAACCTGCTTCGAGCCTTCAAAGCAGGATAGAACAGGATATCTCCGTTCCGGATCGACAACACAAGGCGACTCCGAGATCCGAATCGACTCTCCAGCGCTTCTGGCCGTCATTTACCCTTCTTGTGATGGTCGATGACTTGTCTAGATCCCTGCGAGTTGTCCAGTCGTAGCTGTAAACCGCATTAGTCACATCCATCTGGATATACTAGTGCTATACACTATCCCAACCTACTGATATGGCCGTTCAAGTATCTCACATATTCACCCCCTATTAAATACTAAAGGGACCGATCGCCAAGTAAAACCCAGTTCGTTTCTTGCCACCATTAAGTCGATACCGTCTCTGTATGAAGAGTTCTCGTTCGCGCGCTCGTCGTTTTCGGCTTCGCTTGCGGAGGGCTTTGATTCGTTTGCGTTTTTGTCGCTTTTCGGGGGAGAGGGTGAAGAGGTTTTTGATCCAGGTGAACATGATTGAGTGTGGTGTGTATGTTTTGAGAGAGTGAAGGATGAAGACAGTTGAAGGGGGTCATTAGGCTGAATACGAGGTGTCGCACTAGTTTGCAGGGTATTTTGTGGCAGTGCAGCTTAGCTGCTACAAGGCTGCATCGATCGTAAACAATGTCGGTTCCTGGATTTGTCGGAGTGCCCAGTATACATTTAGAGTTCAATCTGTAGATCTGATATCATTGAATATACAAAGATCTACAAGAAGCACTCAAATCATATCGAAGTTCAAGTTCGAATTAATATCATACAGAGTACAGACTGTGTACGGATATCATAAATCATATAGTACATAAATCATCCTCTCTCAGCGCATCCAGAAAACAGCTTATTTACCCCCCTTAGCCTCAATATCAGCCTCAGCCCCCCTCTGTCTCGCCTTGCCCTCATCATGCTGAGCCCTCCACTTCTCCTCCTCCTCTCGATCCCCCTTCACAGCAGCCCCAATACCCCCAATCGTGCCCTGAACACGGTCACCCACGCCCTGGCCGAGATCCTTCAACTGGCCCTTGGCTTCCTGCTCCTTGCCGCTGGCATTCTGCTCAACGCCTTGCTGGCGCAGGTTCTCGCTGCCCACGAGGTTGCCCAGGGACTCCTTGGCGGATCCGACGGTTTGGTCCCACGAGCCGTTGGAGCGGGTGCTGTTGTCTTTGGCGGTCGCACCGGTGTTGGGGTCGGCGGTTACGGGACCGAGTTTGGCGTGGGGAGCTTCGCCTTTTTGGGTTGTGTCTTGGGTTTGGTTCTGGGGGTTGTTAGTATACTGTGCTGATTGTTGATGGTTGATGGGGGTGGGGATGATGTCGTACCTCTGTGGTAGAAGTGCTGCCGGTTACGCTGCCCACGGCACGCTGGGCCATGCCGGTGGCAGAGTCAACGTAGGACTTGACGGTGTCAGGCATGATGGTTGTGGTTGTAGGTTGTTATGGATGATTGTTTGACGATATTGTAAACGTAGTAAGATATTCTTGAAGGATGGAAAGTCTTGAAGGATGTCTTGATGATTGTGACTTAATTGAGAATGAATGCCAAAAACAATGACCAGAAGACGTTTATATAGATGGACTGTCCCTGGGCCTGGATGAATGACATCACCCATGATGTAACGCCACGTGACACGTCTGGCTTGGTTCGTCCCAGTATTCGACATCATCATTTTCTGGTTCTGATTATCGCAATCAGATAGATGACGCATTTTGTGAATCGTATTGCGTCACACTACGAATGCTATGCGATGGATTCAGGGGTTTATTGGCACAAAATGCAATTCAGGTTCAATTCGTCAATCACATGGAGGCGTCTGCGTCCGATCTATGACATAGTAGTTGTCTAGGCTAACGCCGTAATAATAATAATGATAATAATAATAATCATGCTCGCTTGAAATGCAAGAGAAAGCAATCGGGCTAAGGAATTTCAAACGCTGAAAATCAAAGATATCGTTGCATCCGTATATGGTGTGCAATCACCAATGACAGATACCTCCTTCACTATCATCCGCTGCCCATGTTCCTGATAATCCTACCACCTCCAGGTGGCCGTCAGGGTGTTCGCTCATCTTGCTCAGCGCTACGAAACTGGACTCTGCTGGTCCGTTGCTGAGCAGGCGTCGAGCCCATGCGTCAATGGCTGGTTCTCCGGTCTCGTCGCGGGCTTGCTTCAAGAATGGAATCAGGGCTGTTCCTCCAGTGCCGCGGAGGTTCTTCTTCTCTGACTTGGCGTCACTGTGTCGAGCCGTCGCCAGGTTGACGGCTTGTGTGGGTCGTCGTGGGCTACTAGACCGGGCGCTTCCTCGTGACTCGCGGGATTGGATGATTATGTATCGTGAAACGATCTGGATGTGCTTGTCGCGCATAGTCCGGAGCATAGAAAGACAGGCATCGTAGGCAATGCAAAGTGCCTTGTCCGAGCGTCGAGCTTCAACGTATAACCGGATATTGGCGACAGCGGACACGTGCTCCAGGAACCGACGGTGAGGGCCGGGCATGTATGAGCGCATTTCCTGGATGAATCCATGACGCGGAGGACCGGGGACCCCTTCCTTCTCATCTTTCAACGGAGTACTACTAGGGGCTTTTTCACCCGTAGGCCGATGCTCGATCCCCAATGCAATGTCGAAGAACTGGATGAGAGAACTCTGAGCATTGCTACCGCCACCATACTGGCGGTAGTCGGGCTTTCCGCTTCCATCGTCATAGTTCAAGCCATTCGGTAATCCAGCATCTCCCATGTTCTTGCTACCGGCGAGGAATGGTCGAATCCGGTTGTAGAAGATGTAAGGGTCGCAGTTTTCGTACATCCGTTCCAGCAATGTCACGATGTCATCCAACATCTCCGCCAGCCTTTGTAAGCACTCAGTCACGACTCGGCTATTGCCATCACGGGCTGCACTAATAGCTTGCAGCATAAGAGGAATCGAGGGGCCTCCACGAGCTTCAATAGCTACCGAGACCAGATAAAACCATTGTTCATCAATGCATCCGGTGAATGTGTTGACGCTGGCCAAGTTGGACAGGTCATCCGCCGGCTCATCTGGGAAAATAGGCTTGTAGTTCCAGAGACACACTCCGGCATAAGTAGCAACAGGGGGCAGATCCAGATGCTCGCAGACTTGGAAAAGTGGTTTGGTGAGTTGCGGGGGAATTATCTAGTCAATCGTTAATATGCTACCAGCGTGAAGAAACGCCAGAATAGGCATACCTCTGCGGGTTTGCTTCCACCCCAGACATAACCATGTAACATAAACACCAACACGACGTAAGCTCTTCTCCACTCGCTTTCAGACTGGAGGTATGATGCGTCAAGCAGGGGCAAGCGGTCCACTGTCTCACGCACTCGCTTGCTGAGAATCAGTGCTTGAAGGTTGGAAACAATAGCCTCCCACTTGGCGAAGTAGGGGTCAGGCAGTATATCGAGGGGCGGTTCTGACGGAAGGAAGCCAAGGTCTGGCGAAATGCCGTAGTCCGCCAACGCCGGAACAGGGGGAAGCATGGTGAATGGAGACGAAGATACAGGCGAAGAATAAGATATAATCAAGAACAGGAAATGCAGAATCCGAGGTGGGATATACGCCACAAACAGTCAGATAAAGCTCACGTGCCCGAGAGATCCAACGGTCCCGAGAGGCGAATCTGCCAGCGATATAAGGTTTGGTTTGGAGGTTGCCGGATTTAATGGCCGGAAAGTCAACAGAGATGAGTCTGAGGTCGCCTCTCACATCAGGAGGTGGTTTGGAGAGCGACGAGTAGGCCTTTATAACCGCAATGAAGGTGGAACGCTAGTAGGCTCCAAACAGGCAGACAGCCGTGGATGACAAACGCAGAAGACACCGTCTGTCTAGTGAATGGAGGGGATGCAAGGGTAATAAGAAGATTGACAAACTGAGGGGAAGAGGGACAAGAGCCAGGAGTTATATTTCTCCTGATCTGACCGGAGGGGAACGGAAGGAAATGATCTCCCAGGATAAAAGCTCACGGAAGCCGGTTACGTTGCTGGAATTGAGAGAAATGAACTGTAAAATCCCCGCGGGTGAGCCAGGAAGAGAAAGTTTTCCTTAAGTAGATCCACCGGACGGTGATACCTGAGCAAGCAAACAGGCTGAAAGGATCTCAGCTGAAGGCTTCAGCTCGAAGATCGCGGTTAATAGCAGCAGCAAAAGAAAGAGCTAGCAGAACAATCTTCATTCACGTAGGATTAATCATTAATCAGCCCGGCGGGGGAACCAAGAAAGAGTTTTCTCAGCCATATTAACCACGGACGATGATGGTCGCAGACAGGGGCTATCAAATGATCAGACTACGGATTTTGTGGTCCGATATAGGAAGAGATCTCGTGGGTTCGACACCAGAAAGGAAAAAAAGGCGAAAATTGGGCTCATTTTGCGGTGGTTGAAACCCGGGTGGGCCAGACAAGGGACGGCAGCATATGGCGACATTGAGGCCGTTAAAGTGAACCTATTAGTTCTGGTAGTGAGGGAAGATCCAGACAACCTTGGGAGCGCTTTTAACTACAGCTGCGAGCCAGATCCACGGCCACCTGCTGCCTGAGGCCGGCCTAGCGGCTTGGCGCCATCGACAAAAATTGGCCCAGCAGTGCCGACTGAGTGAGAGCGAGAGGGGTGGGATTTAGCGAGCCTTAGCCTGAGTGCTAGAGAATGAACCGGAAGCCCGGGTGATTGGCTGGCCGCCCTCAGCGCCCCCCAACAGTGCGAATTTCGGGGCGGACGGCGGCGATTAAGCGAGAATCGAGGACTGCTCGCTCACACCCACGCCACCCCATTCGGGCCTGCGGTGAATGATCATGGCATCGTCCGGGGAATGCCTCACGGCCTGCTTAATTCAACTGCATCGATACCCGGGTCAAGTGACTTGTACATAGAGAACTAGGGACTACATCCTTAGGTCATAGTGTTTTAATCGTAGGTGCAGTATTATGGAGATTTTGTGGAGACTCGTATGGCAGAATCATTATAATTGTCTATACACTATCAAACTATCAAGATTCGTCAATCCTAACTAATTGTTGTTACATGTCAATTTCAACGCCTTCCCACAGTTGATATCTTCAAATGGAAAAACCTGTCATCCAGCGGGGTTTCGAGAGAAATAAATGACTGACTACCCGCCTGGCTGCCATCCTCCAATTACGCAAAAAGAACAAGAAAACACAATCATTTTAATGCTGACTCCACTCGATCGTGTTCAGGTCAATACCCTCCTGCACCAGCTCCCACAAGGGGCTCAGCTCTCTCAGGAAGTGCACACGGTCCTGCACAGCCTTGAGCACATAATCAATCTCGCTGTCCGATGTGAATCGTCCAATTCCGAATCGAATGCTACTGTGGGCGCTCTCATCACTGCTTCCCAGGGCGCGGAGAACGTAGCTGGGCTCCAGCGAGGCAGAGGTACAGGCACTGCCAGACGACAGAGCAATGTCCTTCAGGGCCATGAGGAGGGACTCGCCCTCAATGTAGGCAAACGAGACGTTCACACAGCCGGGGTAATGGGCGTCAGGGTCGCCATTAAGAGCGGTGTGTTCCATGGACAGAAGGCCCTCAGACAGGCGCTTCGAAAGTCGGCTGATGTGCTTGGTGTCATACTGTTGGAACTGATTAGCAACCGGATCTAATCCAAATAGAACACGAGAGCATAATGAAGGGCAAAACCGGCGGCTCATTACCCCTGCTATGAACATCACAGAGCCACGACAACATACCAAATGGTATGCAGCTACCGCCATGGAACTCGAGGATAATTGCAGTATATAATCATCGCCGGAAAGGGAATGGGGTGAAAAACAAATCATGTTGAATCAGCTTACCTCATATTCTTGACTAGCGAGGCGGCAGGCCTCGCCAAAGCCGACCACAAGATGGGGAGCGAGGGTGCCACTACGCAAACCTCTCTCTTGTCCACCTCCGGTCATGATAGGGTCAAGACGAACCCTGGGCCTACGGCGAACATAGCAGGCACCAACACCCTTGGGGCCGTAGATCTTGTGGCTGGAAATCGACATCAAGTCAATGTTGGCCTTGTTGACGTCCAGTGGGATCTTGCCCACTGCCTGAGCACCGTCGGTGTGGAAGAAGACCTTCTTGGAGCGGCAAAGCTTTCCGATCTCCTCAAGTGGTTGGATAACACCGATTTCATTGTTGACAGCCATAATACTAACGATGGCAGTCTCGGGGCGAATGGCCGCCTCGAGGTCCTCCATCCGGATTAATCCATTGTTCTGAACAGGAAGATAAGTCACTTCGTATCCCTCATCCTGAAGATGTCGGCAGCTGTCCAGGACACACTTGTGCTCGGTCTGTGTTGTGATGATGTGCTTCTTCTTGCCGGAGCGACCGAAGAATTTGGCGACACCCTTGATGCTCATGTTGTTACTCTCAGTGGCACCGCTGGTGAAGATGATCTCCTTGGGGTCCGCGCCAATTAGATTTGCGATGTGTTCTCTGGCCTGCTCGACGGCCTTCTCCGATTCCCAACCGTAAGCATGGGTTCTCGAGTGGGGGTTGCCGTAGATGCCGGTAAGGTAAGGGAGCATTGCATCGAGGACACGAGGATCGAGTGGTGTGGTTGCTTGCATGTCAAGGTAGATGGGGCGAGTGCCCTGGTCCATAACGGTGGCCTGCTTCAAGATGCCGGCGTTGGGGCTCATCGAGGTGTCTCCGGAGACGCCAGAGGCAGGGAGGTCGACCTTTCCGGGCTGCATACCGGTCTGGTTCATGAAGGCCTTCTGCTCAGCCTTAATGGCCGTGTCAACAGAGACCTGGGCATTTCCAGCCTTTGTCTCAGAGACGTATGATCGCTTCGAGGGGTTCCCAGCGCCAGTGGCGAGGACTCGTCTGGGCAAAGACGTCAAGGAGCCATGCTGGGCCGACGAAAGGCGTCGAGCATAGGCTCGAGATGCCTGTCTCAAGGCAGAAGGTGCAACGCTAGACATAGTTAAGATGACTCTGCAACTATACCATACAAACGTGGGCGGTAAGTTGATGGCAGAGATGAAACGATGACAAAAGAGGAGAAAACGAGACTACCGCAGCTGGGGAAGAAAACTTTGGATCCGGTTATCTCACGGGCTTGGCAAGTCCGAGCCCGACCGGAGATATCAGATAGTCCGGTTTATGTATTCTCCGCGGGCAACTCGGGGAATTGGATAGCACAGCGAGTAGTAGTTTTTATCATTGGTTTAGATTTAAATTGATAGATGAAGTACTCTGTAGCATAAAGAGTTATCGAAATAATGCAGTAGAATTCCGACTGCAGAAATGTGTGGCGTTTATTACTGAAGCAGTCATCTCCCTACAGGATGCTCAACCCGCGTGGAGTCCATGAAGATAATCCCCAATAGGGCTGAGAACCATCACATATCAATCAAGGCTGGCTCTGCATGATTCTTCTGATCATCGATCTATTCGACATCGTAGAACTGTGTCAAATATCGGTGAAGATGGTGGGCCAAAACCAAGATTTTGGTTCACGGCACTATCTTGTCTAGAGTTCAATAATTCAGGAGTGGAATCTTGGACATGTCTATTATTACCAAAACATCCTGGGGGAATGAAAATAATCACTCAAAGGATGATGGAATTGACAATTTGGTTATTAAAACGGAGTACTCCGAGACGCCCTGGAAGGCTGAAGAAGAAAAGAAGAAAACGAGCAAGACCCACGTTGTAGATACCCTGGTGCCTAACAAAATGTGCTAAATTCCATGGAAAGAAGATGCCGAGTCCGTTTCGGTCGATTTCCTGCGCCACAGCTGGGATCGACTCTGATCTTCTGCCAGGCAGTGCTATTCACTAATACAGAAATAACAATTACGATGATGTAGATGATAGACATGATGACATCCATGTAGCCCGAGTAGTTCAGATCAATCCTACAGCCTACATTTCCGATCCCATTCTGCTCCTCGTCATCGAGTCACTTCCCCTGGAATGCCCAACGTGAAGAGTGTCTTATGTCATAGCTCAGCCACACTGCCCAGCAGACGAACTGCAGTCTAACCGTCACCGGCCCTTAACACCTCGTTTTCTTGGGAAGAAGCGAAACATCGTCGACTAACTACAAAACTGCTCCTCCCCCCCCCCCCCGCCCATCCCCCGCCGCGAGATCCGTCGCCCTACCTGTATTTTCACCCAGTCTTTACCAGTCCCGTTACGCTCCCTCCAGATTATTTATTCTTCCTCCCTTCGACTTCTCATCGATCTGCCCTGTACGCCGATCTGTTTACCTCCACTATACTTGGCCGCCTTCGGGGACTTCCGCAGCCATGAGTTTGAAGGGTTTTCAGAAGAGCCTTGTCCGGGCGCCACAGCAGTTCAAGGCGAAATTCAGCATTGGTGAACACACCAAGGATGCAGTCTACCTTGACGCTGAGCGACGATTCAAAGAACTCGAGACGGAGACGAAGAAGCTCCACGATGAGTCTAAGAAATACTTTGATGCTATCAATGGTAGGATGCACGCCCCCTTTATGGCTCCCAACTTCCATTTTGAAACGGCACTAACTTACGATGTGAACAGGCATGTTAAGCCACCAGATCGAATTTTCAAAAGCCATGACCGAATTATACAAGCCCATCTCTGGCCGTGCCTCGGATCCCAGTTCATACACCATCGAGGGCAACCCTGAAGGTATTCAGGCTTGCGAGGAATACGAAGCGATCGTCCAGGATCTGCAGGAATCGCTTGCGCCTGAGCTAGACTTGATTAACAGTCGGATCATCAGCCCTGCGGATCAGTTGCTCGAGGTCATCAAGGTGATCCGCAAGGTCGGTGTTAAGCGGGATCATAAGCAGTTGGACTACGATCGGCATCGCGCTTCTCTCAAGAAACTGCAGGACAAGAAGGACAAGTCTATTAAGGATGAAAAGGCACTGTACAAGGCGGAAAACGATGTGGAGCAATCGACGCAGGAGTTCAACTACTACAACGACCTTCTCAAGGACGAACTACCCAAGCTCTTTGCTCTCGAGGCCGAGTTCATTCGACCACTGTTCCAGTCGTTCTACTACATGCAACTAAACGTCTTCTACACGCTGCACGAGAAGATGCAAGGAATAAATATTGGGTACTTCGACCTGACCCTGGATGTTGAAGAGGCATATGAAAAGAAGCGTGGCGATGTCAAGGAGCAGGCAGAGGCACTCACCATCGTTCACTTCAAGTCCACTGCCGGACGTCGACCGGGCTCCAAATTCAATCCCAAAGACAAGATGGCACAAGAAAACAAGACTGGCGGGCGCCAAAACGACCCCGACGTAGTCGAGAACCCTCCGCCCCCTTATACTGCCGCCGCCAGCAGCAGTTTGGCTGCCGCAGCGAAGGGCAAGCCCGCACCTCCACCACCTAAGCCCAAGCCAGCACGCTTCAACCAGGCTGTGGAGACCGTCACAGCTCTTTATGATTACGAAGCCCAAGCACATGGTGACCTCAGCTTTTCCGCAGGTGAGGTGATTCAGATCACACAACGGACAGAGAACCAAAACGAATGGTGGTCCGGCCGTGTCGACGGGAGAGAAGGCCAATTCCCAGGTAAGTCCGTCAGTAGTTCAATATGATCAAGACAATGGCTAACATGACCTCACAGCCAACTACGTTCAACTGAACTAGTATCCCTCGCAATTATTTTCGCTTCTTACCTTGTTATTCTTAATATCGCTCTTTTCCAATCTTTACTTATCACCTAGCTCGGCTTTTCGCCAGGAGTTGTGGGGTCCTTGATGCCCACCTTCTGCCTCCTCACGCGATATAATCCTCAGTCGTTGCTTTGTTGCATATGCTCAAATGAAGCTTTTTTTTTTTTTTTTTTTTTTTTTTTTTTTGCATAGCCATGGCTATGGCTTGTCTGTACATATTCTATTCTTGAATTATTATTACTCAATTGACCGGCGAAGGGCAGAGATGTCTGTCAGAAGACTTGCTTGAGACGTATTCCTTAATGTGTTCTTGGAGCTGACCTAGAGGAGTAAGCGAGAATCAAAATAATACTTAGTTTTGATGAGACTGTTCTGCTTCGAGCCGAGTATTCGATCTTGCCTTCTGGTTACCTGTGAAACAATCAGCGCCTGGGGGTACCTCGGGGTCTGTCGATTTACCGAAGAGCTTATGAGAAGATAAACCAGCACACCATGGATCTATCATCTGTTTCCCTTCACAAGTGGGTGAACGGGGTGACTCTATTATGTCGCCTTTCATCGTGAAATATTCAAGTTGATCTAATGATCCCATTAAAGAGCAACTCACAACACCACCCTCACACCAAACCCCCACTACAAACCTATATGCGAATCAAAGCCCGCCCATACCGATACCCATCATGAAGCCTAGTATCAACCCTCCCATTCACAGCATCATACAATCCCTTCTTAATCCCCTCCAAGTCCAGCGCCACCTCACACGATTTAAACCCAACAAGCGGACACCGCAGAATGACCTCCTTGCCCTGCTCATCTATCTTCTTCCGCTCGGTGCAAATCTCCGGATTCGCTATGATAAGTGCCAGGATGAATGTGGCGTAGGCGGTCCAGAGGAGAGCTGTTGTTGTTGAGGATAGGTAGTCGCTGTACCAGGCGCAGGCGAACGACCCGATTAAGGCGTATAGGACGAAGAAGTGGTGGTAGTAGGGGATTGCGTAGTAGATGTTTGCTGGTGCTCGAGGGTATTTGCCATGGTTATTGTTATCGTTGAGGAATGAGATGCCGGGTTTGGTCATTTTAGGTTGGTTTGTGGGGAATTATTCCTCTTGAAGGAGGTAGATATTATGGTCGGTTATTCATCTATTGACTGTGCTCCGTACTGTACTTTGTATATTGGCTGTCTAAAGAATACCTAGACACAGAGTCTGTATGTGAAATTGAAGGGAGCTGTGGGGGTGAGATATCCAGCCTATCAGATTCCTCGAGTTTAATCCCTACTATCCCTGGCACAAGGGAGGAGGTGCGATGATATCATTCTATGCTCAGCTCTCCCAAGGGGGAAGGCTGTGCTCACTGCTTGTGCTGTGTTACAAGTATGCACCTACCAATTTAGTACATATTCCCACTTTCTAGAAAACTTTATAGTTCGAATACGAACGTGAGGAAAGCATGAAGTATAGCTGAGATCATTCTGAAGACAGCTGTAGATATCGATCAATAATAACAGAGTTTGTCACTCAGGTGACAGGGATACCTAGGTACTTATTGAGTAATAGGTAACTACTTGTACTGCGTGCTACTGCATCTTCGTGGCACACATAGATGAGGAAGTACGGAGCAAGGCAGATATGCATTGCCAGCCGTAGCGAGTCAGCCGATAGCAGAATAGGAGAACAAGGCTTTTGATTTCCCGCCTTATCGAGGTGTAGATGGCCAATCGTTTGATGTCAAAAGCAGTAGTAGTACTATGTACTTATAAGCTTGTACTTTGTGGAGTTATGAACTCATGACAAATTGCCACTTGGTGAACTGGGGGGATAGATGGGTAGGATGATGGGCAGCAGACGGCAGAAAATTGAGCATTTGAACGGAGTACTCTGTAGGTAGAGGTGAATAGTGTCAAGGACAAGGATTCAGTGTTATCATTTCTTTAGAGAATGAGAAATCTATCATTTGGGAGAAAAAAAAAAAAAAAAAAAAGTAGGCCTTTTGGCTATCTCTGCTAAATTTAGAGGCCGTGGTCAAACAGCGCAGCTGCTGTAGAGCGAGGAATGTGATTCTTTTCAAAAGTACCATCAACACCCCTTTAAAGCTTCCATACCTTAATCGCCTGTCAGTTCGTTACGAAATATCCGCCAATGGGAAGCTTGCCAGCTAGGCGGTGTCTTGCCGAGGGTGCAGTATAGATGGGGTCAATCTGGCGCTAACACCACCGTGTGGGTCGCTAGTGTGATCGATCTTTGTGATCCTTGGAACCTCTCGCCTTTGGAATCTGGGGAGCTTCGAGGCGAACAAAACACTGTAACTGTCAGCAAGGGAACTCTGGTTGGGCTCTTCGCGCCCAAAAGCAAACCTGATGGATCGTCTCCCAATGCGTCGATTTTTGGTTGGTTTTGGTCTGTCGATACGGGAGGGAGCTGAACCTGCTGAGGAAAAACAGCCGTAGGCTCAGCTGAACAGTGGATCCCTCACACGCCCATCATTGCGAACCGACACCCCCTTAGGCCCATGAGACGGTGAGTCCCAACCGCCTTTCGCCAATTATTGTTCCAGTTTCCAGCCATGTCGATCTGCGTTGTCGCTTTTCAGCTCTACACTAGTGACGTGTGCGGTGACGATCGACAGGAAAAATGGATTCCTTCATTAGTAGGAGACAAAACACGAGGGCCGATGGAAGCTTTTCCTGAGTCCATTTTTCTTTTCCTCATCAAACCCCATATCCATATCAAAATATGGACATATTCACACCAAACTCTCTCTCGTTGCCCCTGCCTGCCCTGGAGATAGACATGCAGCTCCCGCAGCAAAAACCCATCCTAGATAATCCTCGCCAGCCAAGCAGGGTGGTTTTATGTTTCATCTTCCAATCCCTTAATGTCGAGCAAGAAACCATCAAATCCCCAAGACTCAATGGCGCCCTGCCCCGGAGAAAAGATAGAATTGCGATGCAATGGTTCGGGCTCTTTTCTCTTTGTTTTTGAGGCTCGCTAATGTTATCGCAGTCACCGCTTAGCGCCTATCTTTGGAATGATCGAAGACACCGAGTCCGACCCTTTGAAAGTCGCCTGGAGAACAATCAAAGAGCAGACTGCACTACCACAATCATCACTGACCGTCTTCCGACATGGGAAGAATTTCATTTCTGAAGACCTGTCTCTAGGACAAAAATGTGTTTTTTATCCGTTCGCATTCCGCCTTGAATCCCAACCGGATGCCGGTTTAAATGATGGCATACACGGTAGTTGCAAGAGCAGTGGATGGAAATGGTACGACCCAAAGACTGTGGAGTGGGTAAAGGAATTTGGCGGCATCCCTTACCTCCAAGAAGGACTACGAAAGGTCTGGTTTGAGATTGATCTCGGCCCGATCTCTGGGAGGATATTGGCAGGTGGATTGAGACAGCTCCAGCACGACCATGAGAGCGGGGCTAGGAAAATGGCCGGTGTCTCGTTGAGTGTGCTCCAGGGTGTCTTGGAGAACCTTGATGATCCTATTTCACTAGATGGCCCATGGTGGCAAAAGGCTCGCCTTGCAGCCTGGCATCTTTGGAAAAACGGTCGTCAGAGCATGGATGCTGCGATCCTTAGTTTCTTGCTACTAGCGCTGGCCGAAATTGAGACATATCTATCCACCACAAGCCCTGATGGGGCATCCAAGAGCTTGCGCAAAGCCTTCGACACCGTACAGAAAACAATGCGATCATTCACCAATCGCATTAGCAGCAACCTCGCACTGCACGTGAGGTCTAAAATCAGGAAATCGGGACAGTCGCCCAAGATCTTTAGGATAATGACACTATCTGCGAGCTCTACTGTCCGGGAGTGCGTTGTGCAGGCCGCTTTAGCTTCCGGTGCTCCGTTCGTTGAGATCCGTGTTCTCGAGTCGCGCCCCTTGTTTGAAGGAGTTTCGATGGCGTCTTCGATTCTGTCGTGCTTAAAATCCAAGCCTGATATTCCCAAAGTTCGCGTGACAATATTCACCGACGCTTCGGTAGCAATGGCAGCTAAAGATGTGGATATGCTTGTGCTTGCCGCGGATCGCATTGCAGCCGATGGGTCTGTCAGCAACAAGACGGGCTCTTTACCCGCAGCTCTGAGCACTCGGCATATGTCCTCGTCAGGCGAGGTCGTTGTTGTGAGTGAAAAACATAAAGTTGCCATGCAGACTTGTGACGGAGAGGCGCATATCGTTGAGAATAACGACTCTTCGGAGGTTATGGAGGCCTGGGAACAGAATGAAACAGTGAAGGGGCTAGAAACCGTTCAGGACAGCCTTGATATGGATGGGTCAGTTTGCACAATTCAACAACCGACTGTAGACATACAGAATGTTTATTTCGAATGGGTGCCTCCAACGCTGATTGACGCCTACATCTGCGAAGATGGGGTCAAAGTTCCATCAGATTTCCAGAAACAGTCGCTGTGGGTAAAGGAACAATGCGAGAGATACTTCGAGAGCGACTTATAGAGTTTTCTGGGTGACATGATGCATGTTGTGTTACTTGCATCAACGGTCTAGGATGCCTGATGTTTCAGGCCTCTATAGAATGTTGTCGGACCCACGCGATGATCTCATTGCATCGAGCAACCCATTTCGATGCAGACTTGCTCCCACCTCCGTCTTTTTTCATCCTCATCTTTCTTCCTTATTATTGCCATCTGCAAATCATCCTCGCTATCGATATCTTCCACCATGGCATCCTCTCTGACCCTCCGCTCAACATACCGGATGAACTCCGGCCATGAGATCCCAGTTCTAGGATATGGGGTAAGTTGTGTCACCTTTCTTTTGTAATTTTTTTGAGCGATTTTGTGGGTTTGGGCTTCAGGCTGACCCGGTTCTGGTTTCGATAGGTTTATCTCACGTACGTTGGAGATACTGATGTTGGCGATGCAGACTGCTAACGATGACCTGTTCAGCCCCGCATCCACGACTGAGCAAGTTACCCTCGAGGCTTTCAAACATGGCTATCGCCATGTATGTATCACCGTGTTCAGACCAGCCAAACAAATAATTAACAGCACCAGGTTGACTCGGCAATCATGTATCGAAATGAGAAAGCATGTGGCCACGCCATCAAGAACTCGGGACTGGATCGATCGGAACTGTTCTTCACAACTAAGATTCCCCCAGGCTCAATGGGATACGAAAGGTCCAAGAAGGCCATCGATGGCAGTCTGCGGGAAGCTGCCCAGGATTATTTTGATCTGTGAGTATTTCAAAATAACGGATACACCCGATGGATTGAACTCTAACTAACCCACCATAGAATCCTTATCCACGCCCCATACGGTGGTAAAGAAGATCGCCTCGGCTCCTGGCGTGCTCTTGTCGAAGCTCAGCAAGCTGGCAAGGTCCGATCCATTGGAGTGTCCAACTATGGTGTCCACCATCTCGAGGAGCTGGAAGAATACATCGCCAATGGCGGTGGTAGCCAGATCGACGTCGGACAGTACGAACTCCACCCGTGGCTTGACCGAACGGGTATCGTGGACTGGTTGAAGAAACGAAACATCGTTGTCGAGGCGTACTCGCCTCTGGCGCATGGATACAGAATGGGCGAGCCAGTGTTGCACTCGTTGGGGAAGAAGTATAACAAATCACCTGCCCAGATAATGATTCGGTGGGGACTTCAGAGGGTGAGTTAGTTTGATCCATTTCTGAGTGCTTCAAAACTAATATTGCTTCAGGGCTTCGTTCCTCTTCCTAAATCCGCTACTCCTCAGCGTATCAAGGAAAATGCGGAAGTGTTCGACTTTGAGCTTTCGGCTGATGATATGAAGGCTCTTCAGACTGGGGAATATTCTCCCACGGACTGGGATCCTACGACTGATTATGATTAATGAACAGTATATATACATGGTGTATATGATGGCTCCTTGGTGTCGCCGTGACGGAACCTCAGGACAATCTTTATCGCCCATTTGGTCAAGTTTGACTTGTGAATAATGTTTTGAATATAGTGCATATTTTAGATAATCAATATCTTACTTCTGCTTATATCATCCCAAGTAACAATTTCGATAGGCATCTATCAAAGATAACAAAGCAAGAAATTCCAGAAGTCCTTGCCCCTGCGTCGGGAAGAAAATTGCCTTCCGGCGGCACAAAACGAAGAAATCGCGGGGCTGCTTAGCAATGACTGAACCGTCACATTTGTCCTCCCCCGAACTTTCCACAGCCACCGATTCCCTTTTGCGTTTGTGTTTCGATCCTTTTGAACAGAGGACGAAAAGAGAAAACCCTGAAAATCTACATAATTACTGACGGCTCTTTGTTTCTTTATTTTTAACTGTTTCTTTTTTCCTTGAACAAGCCATCATGAAGCTCATTCTTTCTACGTCGTAAGTTGGCTGACAACCCCGCTTCAACTGTCTTGACCGAACGATGGTTTCGCGCCTTGCCTTAAGTACACGAACTGATATAGCGAGACAGAAACCTCATGCAAAGCGGCGGAACATCCGTGATCCGACGACCAACAACTGAAAAGTCCAACGTCGAGCTGATCAACGCGCTGCGAGCGAATTTCCAAGCATCGCAACACCCCGAATCCAACCCCGCCAATAACGGCAGCACAACACCGACCAACGCAAAGCGATATTTATCCTGGACGTCGGAACAAGATGGGGCTCTCTACATCCCTGCGAAGGACTTCTCGCAACCCGGTCTGACCGAGGAACGGAGCCAGTACGATATTACGGTGAAATTGTTCTATTTGCCGGGGATTCCGGTCTCGAGACGATGCGCGCATACGAGAGAGGCAATTGATTTGGTGTTGAAGGAGTTACATGTGGATTCTATTGATTTGCTGATTGTTTCTTTTCCTGGTATCTTGTTTGATGCGGAGGATGATAGCGATGAGGAGGAGGATGTTTCGGATAACGGGAGTGAGGAACCGGATGACTTTGACAGCGTGATTCAGACTTGGAGGACGCTCGAGACTCTGTTGGAAGAAGGCAGAATTGCGCAGCTTGGTGTGGCGGAATTCGGCAGTGACAGGCTCGCCCGGTTCTTGTCTCATACCAAGGTCAAGCCTGCTGTTGACCAGATCAATCTTAAGGATTGCTGTGTCGTGCCCAAGTCGTTGATTCTCTATTCGAAGCAGGAGAACATTCAGCTGCTGACGCACAATGACTGCAATGATATCCTTCCAGTTGGCACCACGCGGGAACTTCTTGGTCCTGGTGAGAAGGGAGTCGGGATCCTGGCTTCCTCTCCGAATGCAGACGATGGTGTCCAAGGTGATGTTGAGCCACAGTGGGTGGTCAAGTATACTGCTGTTGTCAAGGACCGCGGAGTCGTTGAGAACAAGGGGTATTTTGCGCTTGCTGATGTAGGCACCTGTGTTCAACCACGCCTGGAGGTTTAAGCAGCCAGCTGTCTTTTTTCTTTCTTTTTCTGTTTTTTCTTCTTTCCATGGGTTGCCCCTCAAATCTTTCGCATTATAATAAGCGTGGCGTTTTGGTTTTGAATGATGAACAATGAATGCATGCCACTGATCTTCTCTCCCAAACAAACACCAAGAAAATAGTAGACAATGAAGATATTGCCTCTCCTCTCTTCAGAACTTCCGAAACAGCTCATCCAATCATACTCTTCTTGCGACCTCTCAATCTCACATCTTCCAACCGTTTCAAAGTAGACCCGGCACCCTTATACGCCTCGCGATAACCCTGGAGAATTTCCTCCAAGAACCGTTCCGTCTTCGGATGCGTACTCCCAATTGCCCTCTCCAGCACGTATAGATCAACAGCCCGGTCTTCGTCCTGGTTACTCTGCCCCGCAAGCCCAAAATCAATCAAAACGACATCCCCCTCCATGGACGGACTAGCATCGTCAGAACCCAGTTGTGCGTCTCCAACCCCCGGCCGCAGCATGAGGTTACTCGTCGTCAAATCCCCATGAACAACACCAGCCTTATGCAGCCCCCCAACGACCCTTCCAATCCTCTTCATCAAATCCCGCACGCGATTCTCCTCCTCCGCAAGCCTTTCCGCATCCTCCGCCAACTGAGCCTGGGCCCTCTTCATCCACCCCTCCCACCGCTCCAGCACAACCCTCACAGGGAACCCCTCAATCCACTCCATAAGCAACCACGCCCCTCCGTTACCACTTTCACCCGATTGGCCTTCCCAATCCAGCGCCAAAACCGCGGGCACGTTCACGCCCTCTCTGACGAGTTTCGCGAGACATCGCGCTTCCTGGAGAACGCGCTGGCGGGTGAGTCGGCGGTCGAGAACGGGGTGGCGGTATGGTTTTGAGGGGCGGATTTTGAGCGCGGCTGGAATGGACGGATTCAGGGAGAAGGTTTTGTAGAGGTGCGCTTCGGCGCCTTGAGTGAGGAGTTCGGGCGGCGTGGTGGTGTTTGTGAAGGGGTGGGGGAGTTGGGGTGGTTTGTATAATTCTGTTGGTGACATTTTGGTGGGAGGAAGATGATATTTGTTGGAAGAATGATGCGTTTGGCCTGTAGGTAGGCTACTCTGGGGCGTCGTGAAGTTGATGTTGGTTCACTTGGTGGGAGGTGAATTCGTGATGAAATCGTTGAAGAGAAAAAGCTGCGGTGGTGGGGCATTGCGGGCTTCGGTCTATGGAGGGGTCTGGAGGGTCACTATGTAGACGAGAATAAAAATGATATTATATTTCGAATTTGGTATATCTCACTTATTAGGAAGACGTGATAGTCATTCAATACTAGATATACTTGAAATACTTGATATATTTGAAAAGATCAAATATGATATATAGAACCTCTGATTTCTTTCATCTAACAAATCCCCAATTCGAAATAGACATCCCAGGTAAATAATCCATAGATATTCCCCAGCCAGCAAATAATCAAATAGTACAGGGCAGACAGACACGCCGCCATCCATCACTATCGTTAACAATATCGCTAAACGCGCAAAGACAGTACATATACAATAAAAGGTAAATCAACAAGAGAAAAGGCAGACGAATCCAACTCCATGATAATGCTGCTTTTTTTGTTGCATAAAATAAACGAAATATATCCCACCATGGTACATTGCATCCCAATGGACCGACTTTTGGTGCTTTTAAATTTTTTTTTTTTTTGTTTTGATCATCAATCAGGCTCGAGCCTTTCTCCTTACTCGTGCCCTCTCAACAGGTGCTTCACAGAGTTCGGTCCAAGAGTCCTCAAAGACCGTTTTCTTGGGTCCAATTTGACCCTCGTAGAAGTTCATCTTGCGCACGACCTCCATGGCTCCTGTACCAAGAGACATCGTCTTGCCCATGATGATACATTCGGAGACACCCTCGATCAGGTCGGTACGACCAGCTCCACCAGCATCGAAGAGGTGGTCTGCGGTCTTTTCGAAGGAAGCGAGCTGAAGAACAGAGTCACGCATCTTGGACAGACCAAATCGTGTGATACCCAACACTTCACCCTTGTATGTCATGACATCTGCAAGAAGCTGCATGTGACGCGGATCGATGTCCATGTCCTTCATGACCTCGCTAATTTCTCGAATAATAGTTGACCGTGCGGCTTCAATACCCAAGACATCCTTGGCTTCCATCACGTTGTTTGTGGTCGTATGAAGGCCATCAACACCAAGGGTGGTCATACATTCCCGAAGTCCATAACCTTCCACAAGAAGGGTGTTCGTAGTTGATGTGTCATCAGTTCGAATAATGGCACGGTATGCCTGTGGATGTCCGAGAACCTGGATATCTGGCAGCAAACGCTTAAGATGCTTCAAACGAAGGAAAGGATCTGCGCTAGTCGCAGCAATTTCCGTCTTGGAGAGTGATGACTTTGTGGCAGGATCCAGATCCATGAAAATGTGAATGTGAGATCGGCTGTGCTGGAACTTGAGGTCATCGGCCTTGAATCGCTTGTGAGTCTTGATGGCATTGAGGATATCACTGATCTTAAGCTCAAGTGCCAGATCTTGGATTGTTTTCCAGTTGATTTTAACCGTGATATAAGCTTCCTTTCCGTTCCAAATTTCTCGGACCCAGTGGATAATATCCCGGAGATATGTCTGCTCAATACGACCCTTCACAATTCGAGCAGCGATGATATTGTCCTTAGTGACAAGCTCACAGGCAACAACAGGCGTACTGATTTCCTTGGAGGCGTTGATAATTTCCTTAATACGAGGAACACCCTGAGTAATACTCATACCAGCGACACCAGCAAAGTGGAAAGTTTTCAGCGTCATCTGCGTTCCGGGTTCACCAATAGATTGCGCACCAACGGCACCAACAGCATGACCAGCCTCGACCTGAGCTTTCTTGTATTTCATCAAACAAGACGCGATGAAGGTCCTGAGCGTCCTTTCAGTCAATTTGCCAGTGTGATTAAGTCCTTGTTGACCTCTTTCATCAGATGGGTCGTTATCACCACCCCGAGAGATCAGCTTGTCTGCTTTAGTAGAGACATATTGTTGGATCGACTCTAGGAAATCACGAGCACTCTCAAACTGGTCGATGCCATGATCACTCCGATCCATATAGCCAAGCGAAGTGCCCATCAGATCTTTACGCACCAGCTTAGCACGTTCCTTGGAAAGCATGTCTTCACAAACTTCCATAATCTCTGACGGAAACAAACTCCGCTCATCGTTGTTATAAGTCGTGGATTCGGAGTGAATGAATGTGCGGTCGAAGTGGACAGGCTTGGCTTTACCTTCCATATCTACAGGATCCAGTTTATCATCACCGTACTGGAACTGGACAATGGCGGCAGACGAGTTTCGAACAGTATCATCATACCGAGTGGAAAGATCTTCGAGGGATTTCATCAAACGACGAGACATGTATCCAGTTTCTGCGGTCTTGACAGCGGTATCGACCAGACCTTCACGACCGGACATGGCGTGGAAAATGAATTCGTAGGGTAGTAGTCCGGAGAAGAAACTGTTACGGACGAAACCCTTGGAAGGCGGCTGACGAGCGTTCTTTGGGAAGTGAGGCAGTGTTCGATCCTGGAAACCGTCCTGCACACGCTGACCACCAATAATTTGTTGACCGACAAGGGCAACCATCTGAGACACGTTGATACTCGAACCCTTAGATCCGGACGTGGCCATGATAAGTGGTGAGTTGTACTTGCTCAGTTGAGCAATACATTCATCTCCTGCTTGCTGACGGACCTTACTCAGAATACCAGAGAGCTTATTCTCCATAGTCTGCAACTCATCACAACCAGGGAACTTTTCCAGAGTGCCGTTTTTGAATTTAGCAATGACTTCATCACACTCCGCATAAGCCTTTTCGACGAGGTCTTGCTTCGATTGCACAAGCTTTTCACTTGGGTAAACATCCGTAATACCGATAGAGAAACCCATGTTGGTGAACCATCGCGCAGAGAGCTTTGACAAGCGGTTCATACCCTCTGCTGCAGCTGCAGGTCCAAAATCTCTCAGCATAATGTAGAAAACATTGTCCTTCTTTCCGGAACCGATCGTCGACTTGTCCATCACACCACACATAACCTCAGAGTTACGGATCACAAGCCATCCGTCTTTCGGATCCAGATCCTTTGGACGGCCATCCTTTGGCTGCTTGAACTCTCGACACGCGGCATCCAAGTTTACCAGAACAGGGTCATCTTTATTAGGGTGCATGAGGATGTTGAAAACTTGTTTTCCGGTCCACAACATCTGCGGCTTGAAAATAGAAGGCGGAGGAAGGTCAAAACGCGTCTCCGGACCAAGCATATACAGGCATATCTGCGTAAATGATCGTCGATCGAAAAAGTTATCCTTGCTACTTAGAAGATAGGCCGCACTGATGAAATCCTGAATGGAAGAAATAATGGGTTCTCCATTCTTCGGTGTTGCCAAGTTGTTCTTCACTCCCATCAGCTCCATCGCTTCCGCTCTCGCTTCTTCCGTCTGTGGCACATGCAGGTTCATTTCATCTCCGTCGAAATCTGCGTTATAGGGGTTGCACACACACTCGTTCAACCGGAAGGTTCTGTGTGGGCGAACCTTTGCAAAATGAGAAAGAATACTAAGTTTGTGGAGGGAGGGCTGGCGGTTGAAGAGCACGATATCACCATCTTCAATGTGGCGTTCAATCACATCACCCTCCTGCAGCTGGTCGGCCATCATGTTAAGGTTACCGTATTTGAGGAAGACCTTGAATGTTTGGCCTTTCTTCATAATGTAGTTGGCACCGGGCCATTTCTTCGTTCCGTTTCGAACACGCTGCTGCAATTTTTCCTTGTTATACCTGGTGACCACCTCGGGATAGGTCATATTCTTTGCAACGAGCTCTGGAACAGCAACCTCATCAACGCGCAGATTGGGATCAGGAGAAATGACAGTTCTACCCGAGAAATCAACACGCTTTCCTGACAGGTTACCACGGAATCGTCCTTGTTTTCCCTTCAGACGTTGCACGAAACCTCGAATCGGCTTACCCAGGTCCGCTTTGTTGAGACCGGGGACATCACTGTTGATGTACACAGCAATCTGAAGCTGCATGTAGTCCCAGCATTCCATAATTGTCTGCACTGGAGCTCCTTTCATCAGCGCGTTCTTAAGGTTGATGTTGCTCTGGACAATGTCTCCCAACTTGGCAGTCAAGTCATCTTCGGTCGACGCGGCGTCTTGACCGACTGAAGGACGGATACACACAGGTGGTGCTGGAATAAACTGCCACAGGAACATTTCCGGTCGTGCTTCCTTCGGGTTGAGTCCTAGCAGCTCACAGTCGGTGTCGGAAATTTTCTTGAACAACTGCAAGACACGAAGGGCGTTCATATCATCCTGGGCCTTTTTGTAGTGTTTCTCAACCTCTTGGTTGGCGCTCCTGGCTTCGTCGAACGATTTATCGAAAACAGTCTTGCTAATCGGTGGGTTCTTCTTCACGGAGGTAGAAACGTTGAAAGCGCGGAATTTGTCGTGGGTAATCTTGAGCGCGCTCGATCCAGCCTTTTTCACGACACCATTCACAGCATCACAGTGTTGACAACTACGGGTTTTGCGGCAGCGTTCATTGATCCGCTTCGCAATCTGCATCCGTCGCAAGTTGTCCAGGCCCGGGCGGCGCATTTCCCGGAGGAAAGCTCGGCGTTCATCCACGGGGAGCAGAATGTGCGAACACTCTTTGCAAATCTCCTGTAGAATACCGATGACGCGCTTGAAGTAACCAACATGGAAAGCTGGCAATACAAGTCTCACATGGCCGAAATGGCCGTTGCAGACTTGTAGAGCACCACCGCAAGTCTGGCATGATCCGCTCTTACTCGATATACCCATGCGCCCGTCGAGAGGGCCATGGGGAACCACCGCTCTGTCATGCTCGAGATTAAAGAATTTGCGATCAGAAACCTCCACCACACCTTGGCTCACAATATCATCATTAGACCTGGAGGTAACACGAGAATGTCAGTGGGAGTCATCACCGAAATCCGCGAGGGGAGCAAGAAAGGATTGCCATACAGTACACCAAACTTCAATTCATTAATGACTTTCGGGACACGGTCGATGACCTGGGCCTTGCCCAGGTCCACCTGCGCACCTTCCGGAGGCTGCATGGCCGTCGTCAAGAGTAAAGCATGGCAGGGTGACCAAGATGACTAAATCGGCTCTCTTGCTCGAGGCGGCCGTAAGCCAAGCCACGAGTCAAGATAAAAACTCCTGTATACGACCAAGGAGGACAAACGAAGTGCAATTCGACTCGTTATTGATGCGCGATTGGGGACCAAGGAGCGCTGGGAGGGCAGAGAGAAAAAAGCGACCGTGGGAGAAGGAGGATTGCAAGATCATCACAGCGGCGGGGTTGGCCACGAACTTTTTTTTGCCGGCGAAAAGCTCCAGCTCCGGCCCCTCCGCTGTTTGGCCAATCAACGTCTTTGTTTCTGGCTACATAGTAAGACCACTGGAAGATAGCGAGATAGAGGGATATATTTCATGCAACAATGCTCGAGTTTTGATTAATTCTATACAGTTGGACTATAATAATACAAGGACTAGACCATTCTGATATACAGGGCATTAATTTCAAGTAAACGCCGGACTATTTGGCTAGGAAAGCCTGGAACGCCTTATGTTCAATCACCACATTTCCAACAGCCTTGAGCTTCTTCCGTCCTTCTTTCTGTTTCTCCAAAAGCTTTCTGCGTCGGCTAACATCACTAGCGTGTAGTTTGGCTAGGACATCCTTTCGGTATGGCTTGATCGTTTCTCTTGCCACAACCTTGCGACCAACAGCTGCCTGGATGATAACCTCGAAGAGCTGTCGGTCAACATGCTCCTTGAATTTGCTCACCCATTTTCTTCCAAGCCTGTCTACCTGGCTCGAATGCAGGATTCTTGAAACCGCATCCACTGGCGCCTTGTTGACCAGGAGCTGCATCTTGACAATGTGGCCGGCTCTCCAAGGAGCCTCCTCGTAATCCAGAGTGGCATAGCCCTTAGTGGATCCTTTCAGCTTCCCGAAAAAGTCATCGACGAGATGCGCTAGAGGCAACTGGTATTTGAGAATGACCTGAGTCGCTGTGAAATACTCAAGGCTCTGCTGCTCACCCCGATTTGCCTCACATAGTTCGATGGCCTTTCCGAGATACTCTTCGGGGAAAGTCAGGGTTGCAAGAACGTATGGTTCTTGTACTTCTTGAACCTTGGAGCGGAGATCATCCTCATTGGGGAAGCGGGCAGGATTAGTGACGATTTCCTCTCTGCCATCCTTCCAGACAACATTCACAGGAACCGAGGGCGGTGTGATGATGATACTAGCACCGTGCTCCTGACGCAGGCGATCCTCAAAGACTGAGCAATGCAATGTTCCCAAGAAACCCAGCCGGAAGCCCGCACCAAGAGCCTCTGACGACTCTTTCTGCACAGTAATACTTCGATCATTAAGCATGAGCTGGTTGATACTGTCCTCAAGGTGCTCGAAATGATCAGCATCCACGGGGTATGCTGCCACAAAAACCATTGACTTTGGCTCTTCAAAACCTGGGAGCGGCTCCACGAGCTTCTCCGAACCAACTCTAGTAAAGGTGTCCCCGATCTTGGCTTCCTTGCTTCGTTTCATGCCCGGATTGAAATAGATATATCCGACCTGACCAGCACGAAGAACAGATTGCGCGGTTTCTGTCGGGTACATGATGCCGACTTCTCCAACGTAGTATTTGATGCCGGTTACGAACGACACCACATGGTGGCCTGCTCGGATTTCACCATCAAAGATACGGACCAAGCAAATAACACCTTTGTATGAATCGTACCATGAATCGACAAGGAGCATTCGGAGAGGCTTTTCGAGATAACCAACGGGCCTATAGCACAAGTCAGTACGCGTGGACTTCAGCAATAGGGTGAAAAGCAATTAAACATACGCTGGGATCTTCTCAACCACCGTAGGAAGCAGTTGCTGTACGTTGAGACCAGTCTTCGCCGAGACCATAACGGCATTTTCGGTATCGAGCTCAAAGGAATCCTCAAGCTGTTTGAGAGCCCTATCTGGCTCCGCCGACGGCAGATCAACCTTGTTAATGACAGGTATCAACTCCAGACCTTGTGCAAAGGCAAGGTAGAAATTAGCAACCGTCTGGGCCTGAATTCCTTGGCTTGCATCAACCAAAAGCAATGCTCCTCCACAACTAGCATAACTGCGCGACACCTCCGCGCGGAAGTCCACATGTCCCGGAGTATCGACCAAATGTAGCAAGTAGTCTTCGCCATTGTGGTTGTAAATCATAGTACACGTCTGCGCCTTCACAGTAATACCTCGTTCCCTTTCGACATCGAGTTTATCCAAAACCTGCTTGTTCGTTCCGGGCTGGATGGTACCGGTGAGTTCCAGGAGACGGTCGGAGAGCGTGCTTTTGCCATGGTCGACATGGGCAACAATGCAAAAATTGCGATATCGTTCGATTGGAATTGCCGCGATTCTGTCTTCGACTTCAGACACCGGCTTCCTCGCGTGTGACTTGGATGCTTTCCATACGGCAGAATTCGCAAAAAATCGGACCGCATTAGCAGCTCGGAATGACGGCTTGAGAAGGCTTGCAGCTGGGCGTTTCGGCGCTGCGCACAGCCATCTGGCTAACTGCAGGCATCCTCGCATCTGGAGTTCTGTAATGGCATGAGAATTATGTGCCTCAACAGATGATGTGGAGGGGGGCAGATGGCGATCGATTCTGGACCTTTTTTGCCTATGTTAAAAAAGAATGCGGCTCAGCTGCGGAGAAAAGGACTCGGAGGCGGTCGATTGCTGCGGCGACTATCGGCGTAAACAAAACGACCAACTTTTTCCCATCACACACGAAGACAACATCATCATTCATAGGATCCAGAAAAGGCACAGTCAACTCAAATATCGACATTGATCATATAACCCAAGTGCACCATGTCTGCTGCAAAGGATAAGGCCAAGGTCCACAAGCTGTCCTTGAAAGGTTAGAACAGCCCAAGCCAAGATGATCACTTAAAAGAGGGGGTCGCTTACAATCAACAACAGGGTCTGGCAAGCTCGTCTCTGAATTTGTGAGTTATTATTGGCTTCAGTATCTCCTACTCTAAATGCTGATGGATCTCTAGTTTGAATACTCGATAAACTCCATTCTGTAAGTACCTACACATCGGCTGTGTGGCCTGGTCTCATCAATGCCGTTTCCAGCTTCCAACGAGGAGTCTACCCCCCTGAAGACTTTACAACGTACGTTTAACCCATTCCATTCTTCCTCTCCATGTATTGTCGACTAATTTCGATTCAGTGTTAAAAAATATGGCCTCAATATGCTTGGTTGGTGCACATTTCACTCAACGCAAACTGGCACCACTGACCGATTCCAGTTACCTCCGACGATCAAGTCAAAGCCTACATCAAGAAGATCATGTCCCAGTTGCACAAATGGATGATGGGTGGAAAAATTTCCAAGCTGGTTGTTGTTATCACAGACAAGGAAACCGGAGAGCACATCGAAAGATGGCAGTTTGACGTACGGACAATCGCTGTCGGAAATATTTACAGCAATGGCTAATGGGGAAATTTTCTAGGTTGAAATTTTCGGAAAGCACTCTAAGAGTAAATCTTCTCGAAAAACTGCCGACAACGAGAATGCCACGCCAGGGTATATTGCATATATTGATTCTCCATCATACATGAAGACTAACTGGTTCATTACAGGGATGAATCCGCCCCAGTGGAGAAAACAGAGAAAGAAATCCAGGATGAGATCCAGGCCATTTTCCGCCAGATCACCGCCTCCGTAACTTTCTTGCCCGTCCTAGACGGCGACTGCACATTCAACGTCCTCGTATACGCCGATGCAGACTCCGATGTGCCCGTCGAGTGGGGAGACAGCGACGCAAAAGAGATTAAGAATGCCGAGAAAGTACAGCTCAGAAGTTTCAGCACAAACAACCACCGCGTGGAAACCTTGGTCAGCTATCGTCTTGCCGACTAGACGACACGGTGTATGGGAAATATATGGGGTGTTTCTGCATGGCGGCGTTCTGGGAAGGAAATTTTGATGACTACGCTGTCTTTGATACAGACGTTTCGGGCATTCTGTGTACTTTTGGATTGATATTTATCACTGATAACATTTCGGTCTTATCAATTAATGACTAACGTGATATATGCATTTCTCTATATTTAATGACTACGTACAACTCAAGTTCTACTGTATACAGTAGGACGAATGACACCAAGGCAACTGGCTCATTCTCAAAAACCATTGATTTCCATCCTGGCCTCCATCCCAACGAACTAGCTCCTCAACAACAGACTCCAAGCCTACACCCACAAAAATGCCGTCCTCCATTCCAGTTTTCCATCCACGTTGAACCCTCTTTCCCGCCAAATTCGACCCAACACCATATCGATCTCGTCTCCACAATCCGATCCCCCTCTTCTCTTCACCTTCGATCAAGGAGGTCTCAGATGTCACTTCCTCTGGGGGGTTGATACCAATCACAGCCACGCCAGAATCGCCCTTGTAAGTTTCTTCTCCCCTATCAGAGGGACAGGGAACAAGCCCGACGGCGGGGAAATGGCACTCCATGAATCGTTTTCTCTTGAACTCGTGCGTAACAACAGTGACGCGCTTAGGGTAGGACCCTGTATATGTTCTGAAGCGTAGAATAGAAAATAACACATTCTGGTATGAGTCCGTAGCATGGGTTTCTGCTATGACTTGCGCGGGGTTTATCATGGATGAGTGCGAGAAGTAATTGTTTTCTTTGGCGACGCTCTATTTGATTATTACATCAGAATGTATCCTGCTGGTACATGGCTGAGGCTGACTGAGTAGAGGCTAGACTTACCAGGTAGGACTCGCCCTCAGTCAAGTCTGTTCTTGGTCGTTTTGTCGGCCCACTGCCATATTCAATTAGCTAGCCATTAAATATGCAAAAGCGGTCATAGAATGATGAATAAATTGAAGAAAAATCAAACCTCATACCCCGAAAACACAAGCAATCCTGATGGATCGTCCGCCAACGCTTGAACTCCAGCCTCAATATGTCGTGTGAACGTAGGTGTTTCTCCCCTCTGGAATGACTCGATTAACCTGTTGATCATTTCTCATTAGTTCATTTGATCGAATTGTTTGGTTTGTTGCAAATAGTTATTAGGCAAATGATACTAACCACTCATCTTCTGAGAACCCATGTGTAGGTCCTCCAAGATATATTGCATGGCAGCAGACAATAATGAGATGGCTACAATGTGCACAACTAGGATTGAATTGTGATTGCATTCTGTCCTAATATATCTAAATAGAAAATTAGCGGCGGTAGGCTCTCAATTGGAACGTGGAAAAGAGGGCGAAGTTGTTGTCGGTCTGGACGTCTCTCCCTGAGAATATGTGGGGTCATATGACAAAAAGGGACGACGTAGAATAAAGTAGGAATTGGATCTTGAACTGCTACATATTCATGATGTATACGATTTTGCTAGGTACCAATTCGCAGAAAGATAAATAAAAGGCTATATATACATGGTACAACGTCATTCAGCTAATCTAATTATACGATCTTGAGCTTCAACTGAAATGGTCTCAAAATTTAGTCATAAAAGTGCCCATGAAGTAGATATTAATACAATCCACTGACCTATTGTACAGGCTTTGTATTTGAAAAAATAGTAAACATCGCTGATGCCCGATGTGAGTTCGTCTGAATCGCACACAAAAAGAAATCCCCACTGAGAAGAAAACAAAACGCCAGTCTCGGATGATGCCCATGTGTAAAATGCCTGCCAGAATAACACAAAACGCTGAACTGACCGATTTCCGAGGCAACAAGCCACCAGTACAAAAAATATAAACGCCATAGTACACTCATGGGTGTCAAATGTACAAACCATAACAAAGTTTGGGATATGGAGGAAACAGCGTGGAATATTATGATAGAATCAAAAATATGCGGGATGAACTGCCGCGGTGAAATAATATTCTGGGGTATCAGGAAAAAAGAGGAAATGAAAATGGAAGGAAATGGCCTAATTTAGATTGGGTCATGTCTGAATGTGCAATCATCACCTTTCAGGCACTTGCCCTCACGCCAGTATCTGCAAGGAACCAATCCAGCCTTGGGCTATTTCACATAGTCAGCATCGTCATTCTAATCGATAAGTATGAGGAATCTTACATGTTTCTTGTTGGGTGCGTTGTTGAGTCTGTTTCGTTTTGGCTGGCCGTATTTGTCGTCACTGGCACCGTCATACCCATTAGACTCGCGCATACGCTTGCGCTCAGGATCTTCGAAATGCTGTTGTCCGCCAGGCTGTGTGCTCTGGTTTGCAAACTGAGATACGATGGCGGCGAGATTAGGCGCCACGCTAGGTTGCGACTGGGGAGGCGGAGTGAAGATAGGAGCCTGTGGCATTTGCTTTTGGGCGTTGATTACAGCAAGAATTTTTTGGAAGTCAAGACCTTGTGCGGCTGGTGGTTGGGAACTAGCGGGGAATTGAGGTATCTGAGGGGGTTGAATCGGAGGGGGTTGCGGTTGAACCTGCTGTTGTTGTTGCTGACGGAAAATGCTAATCGTTCGCTCAAGATCAGTCATTGGTGCCTGCTGCACAGCTGGAGCTAGCTGAGGGGGAGGTGTTGATTGCTGCTGCTGAGATCCGCTTTGAATCATCTTTAGTAAGTTCGATATGTCGAACTGGTTGTTAGGTGGGTTTGGCTGAGCAGGAGGCGCAGGTTTGGGGTTGACCATGGCAAAATAACGCTCTTGCCGAGCCTAGAGTAACATTGTCAGAAACAGTTCTTAAACAATATATGATTACCAGAAAAAAAGGTTTGAATTACCTTAACATGGTCTGGCAGTTCACCAAAAGGAACCTCATCAGTTACAATCTCGTCATCGCTGGGTGTCGGCGGCTCCTTCGGTGTCGGTGGTACGTCGGCAGGAGAAGTCCAAAATACCATAAGTGAGTTGGCCTCTCGATGATCCTGTGCTGTCTTTTCGGGGCTGGTCGGTTCTTGAGTGCCCAGGCGCTTGATACAGTTCCTGGAGCGATCATCCGCCGTCAATTCGCCATCGTCGATTGCTGTATAGGTTAGTAACAGAAAAGAAAATTTGAGTAGGCTGGAATGATAGCATACCAATCAGTTCGTGATAGTCGAGGAATGCTTCTTCTCGGATACCGCCGTCATCATCCTCTTCCAGCTCGGCCGCGTCTCTGTGGAGTTTGAGCGCGCGACCCTCGCCCTTCACATCCCCAACTTCACGAGTTGCGCTATCACCCGGACCAAGCTCTTCTTCGGGATCGTGAGTGAAAAGTCGGACTTCCGTGAGAGATTCCTCTGGTTTCCAGCTGACGCGCAACTTTCGTCGTGCCTCTTTACGCAGCCTCTTTTTGCGCTCTTCTTCAGTTTCAGGTGGTTTGTCCTCAGCAGGCTCAGCAGCGACAGGATCTTTTTGTTTGTTGAGATCTGCCATCAAATCACCAAAAGAGAAAGACGGTTTCGGAGGGGGGGGCTGTGTCTCTTTCTTCTCGATAGGTCCACTAATGAGAGTTTGGTCAGTATAATATCGTTACCAAAGATGATCCAAAACATACCTTGGCTTTGCGGCGGCAGCAGCAGCGGCTCTTTCTGCATTCGATGTTCCAGGCCTCTTAGAGGCGGAGCTCAAACTGCCAAACAAGTTTGTAGGCTTCGGAGCAATGATGTTGGCCTTAGGGCGAGAGGCAGTTGCGGCAGTGGCTTTGGTATCCGGACCCGGTTCCTGGGGGCGTTTGGCACCAGCAGGGACGATACTAGGAGGCTTCACAGCGCTCTTAGGGTTCGAAGTGACAACCATTCGCTTTGTAGCAGGAAGCCCATTACCTTCACCCTCGCGATGTCGTTTAGATCCAACACCTTCGGCACGAACCCCATTTGTAGTTGCAGTATCAGGAACAATGCCTTGACCGGGCGAGCCCTCTTTAGATGGCGCCTTTCCATTTTCTTGCTTCCTTTTCTTAGATGCAGCGGCATTCTCCAAAACCTTCTGTGAAAGCTCCTTTACAGGTTGGCTACCTTTCTTCACAAGTCTTGGCAGCAATTTGGCAACATTCGTCTTCTGGAGAACATCCTCGTCCATTGTGACAAAACGAGCAAGCAGCTGTGTCGGGGGTCTCTTAGCTGAATGTTCAAACTAAATAATTCGGTGATATTATTTACCTTAAGTATATTCACAGTTAACGCTCCATCGACATCAGATTCCTGATGACGATCCAGCAAAAACGAATACATGGCAGCTACCGCCATAGGGTGCTCGCCCAACCTGCAATATCACGATTAGCTATCCGTATAACCAACAAACAGAATCAATCTGGGTCCAATATGATGGCGCCGCCTGGCTCAGTAAATTGCCAAGCCAGACAGATTCCCTGAAGGGCAACACTCAAATGTACTGTCTGGGGTTCAGTGTCATCTCAAGATAGTGACTATGCAATCAACACTAAGATTGCAGGAGAGATTAGGATTATGATTATATCCATCTCTCTCCATTTGTTAGGGCACATGCTCACGCATGTAATGTCCCCGGGCACTGCAAGAAAACATCTGGCCCTTACTTATAGTCATTATTTCTTTAAGAAGCATGCTGAATGTCCAGCTATGGATTACATGGGAGAGGCTCTCAATTCGCTTCTGACTTCTATGGCCATGACAACGAGCTGCCAGGGGTGCAAGGAAAAGGAAATGAAAAATAACATACTTCTCGACAATCATCGGGTGGCCCTTCGAAAGGGTGGTGCTGACAACCACGTCCATAAGTCGCCGTTGAAGAGCAGCATCATTCTTGAGCTTAGTTGCTTTATCGTTGTCATGCTGGTTTTCAGCCGTTTTTATGGCTTGAGTGATCTCCTTCCACGTATCTCTTACAGCTTTGACGACGTCTTTGAAAGCGACTAGCGCACTCTTAACTTTGTCGACGTTGGGCCGTCTGTTACGTGGAGACCACACAGCGCGAAGAGTATCATATTCTGCGACAGCAACAGGCTCACTAGGACGGGTCGGGGGAATGGGGGAAGGCTCTTCAGGAAGCTGAATCTCGAGGTCGGACTCATCAGAACTGTCACTCTCAGAACCCGACGAGACCGAAGATCTTCCATCCAGTTTTTTAGCAGATGCCGCAGAAGGCTTCTTAGTCTTGGGCTGGGGTTGCTTCTTGGGGCCTGGCTTTTTCTTCAGCGGTTCTGCTCCCTTGAACGGCTTCGCCTGTGCTAGAGCGCCTTCATGGTTCACGTTAGCAGACATCGAGAAAGGAACGGATATCATCGCATACCTTGTTTATTATCAATCATCACCTCAAAACCAGGGTTCCGAGCCCCGATGGGCTGGTTTACGACGGGCTGGCCAAAAGCGGATGGTATCTGGAGGTCCTCCCGATAGAAATTATAGGGCCTACATGAATTTAAGTAAGCAAAAAAATTGTGTGAAGATGATGTCACACGCGGTAGATAAAACTCACTTCTGGTTATTTGGCTGTTCAAAGTCTGCTGGGATCAAATAAGAAAAGTTATTATGAAGAGACGGTTGCTGAGTAGCGGCTTGCTGATGGGCGTTGAGAAATTGGGGGTTGATTGTCTGATGATCGGGAACGGGAACACTCGGCGCAGGCTCGTGGTAACTATCTGCCAAATTGATTGGGTTATGCTATCATCGGTCAGCTATGAATCTGGGTCTACATATTATCAAGATGTCCTACCGAGGTTTCTCCAGGATAAGCCGTTGGAAGCGTGAATTGATTAAGAGGGGGTTGGTGGCCAGTAGCTCGAAATGAAGTTGGTTGCGCCGGCTGTGCATGAACATTCTGGGGGGAAGACGACTGGCGAAAAGTGTCTGGCACAGAGAGATGTTGAGGGGGATAGAAGTTTTGCTGAATTGGGAACGGCTGGAATGGCGAGTTATCGGAGGGGGCCAGAGATCGCGAGTCAAACGATAGTTGGCCTTGAGGAAACTGCTGGACCTGGTTATGATACTGAGGCTGAAGTCCGAATCCCTGTGGTGAAGGAGAAATCAACTGCTGATGATGTAACGGATTCGGTTGCCAAGACTGGGGAGTCGATGAAAAGATGCCATGGCTATGTTCCTGTTGAGATGGGATATTTCGCGGTTGAGGTTCCTGGTGAAAGACAGGGTGGTCCCAGTTAATTCCCAACGGAGTGGGTTGTTGTTGGCGCGGCTGTTGCTGCTGATGCGGTTGCCGTTGAAGCTGCGGATCAACACCCGAGTACAGCGAATCAATGTTGTTCCAATAATCCGGAGCAGGAGGGTTTGGAGTTACTGAGGGCCGATGTAAGCCAGACATCGGGTTCTGCGATGAGGAAGACTGGTCCATGTTGACGCTGTGTGTAATAATTGTTTGTGGTAACTAAAGAAGAACCCCAGAGTATAGAATCACGTGCGCCCACGTGCCTAGCAATTCCTGTTGGGGAAAGGATCCGTTGTCGCTCTTTGGATCGGAGGACGGAAAAATCCCTGGTGGGGCGAACTGGCGCCTTATTGGCCCCCGGCAAACGGCGGTGCAGACGAATAAAGTAGCAGCCGCAGGTAATCAAAATAGATCTCAGTCTGGCAATCGGGAAGCAAATAAGGTAACCTAGGTTATAATAAACTCCCGGTGGATGGGCGATATACCTAGGGCCAGAAGCCGGTGGCGTAAATGAGATAGAATATCCCGTAGGTACTGTAGTAGATGATAGGGGAGGACAGGTACCAATACACTCGCAGGTACCTTAAGAGTGTGGGCAGCCCAACGGTGGCAAAAATAATAATAACTGCGCTGCGCTGCGGCCTCCGCGTTAAGTTAAGAGAAACGAACTCCTTTGCAGCCTCAGGTATTCAGAAATCAATAGGCACCGTTATGGCCGTTTTTTGGAGTGTTCCTCATGCGAGTCACGTCCACGTTGCGCGACGCTCAGTTTGCACCCTTTTCTTAGAAGGAAGAGGGTGGTTCTTGAAGCGGTCGCTGGCCAACTTTCTTCTTTTTTGCTTCGAATACACCGGCCAAGTATAGTAGACGTAGAATAAATCCAGTTCCTTTTGAATCCCTTCCGAATCCTCTTGCGCCTTTCAATTGTTCCTTCCTTTCCGCCTTTGTCTTTCCTCCTTTCCCAGTCCTTTGGGGTCTTTCTTCTGCTCCTAACCTTGTGTCTTAAAGATGAAAAGAAAAAGCTCTCATACAAAGAACCATTCAAGACTGCAGTTTCGCAGCATAGTCATTCGCTTTACGAGGAGGGTTGTAAGGGTGGGAATGGGGGAGTTGGTGGTGAGGGAGACTGAGAAAAGCTGGGCGCCTCGCGGGTTGGGTTGGGCGATTATTGTCCTCGCTACACCCGTTCAGTCCTAGTGCAGTCCACGTGATGCTCTCCCAGCCGCGGTCTTTGTTTGGTGTTTGTGCTGTTTGCATTATTATGTCAGCCCCCGTCCCTGGTCGGAGCTTCTCAGGATGCCAGGTGGAGAGAGGATGTAGTTGAGCGAGTTGGGATATCAATCCTAGGCTAGATAAACCACCCTTTCCGAGCGTCTTTGAAAGTGTCAAGTAGGTTATTTGGCTAAGCGCTAAATCCTCATTGCTCTTTTCCTTGCTCTATTCGATCGTTGGACGTGTCATGAATCTGGCTCCAGCTCAGTACTATTCGTCGTGAAATAGCACGGGCTAGCAGGCCACAACCACAATGGCATCGCATTCAGCAACTCTCCGAGACCGCCAGGTCGGTATGTTTTAACGAAACTCACTTTTGCATTGCGAAAACTGCGACTTAACTGACGCACGGGCAGCTTCCATTCAAAAGATACTTAACTTGAACCATGATACACACCCCACGGAAGAAGCCCCTCTTGATGCATCCGCACAGGGCCTGGTCTCGACTCCTATATTGAACGAGGATGGCGATCCGATATGGAAAGTTTTGGTATTCGACAACATGGGTAGAGATGTTATCAGTAGCGTGCTCCGTGTCAATGATCTCAGAGCGTGGGGAGTGACGATCCATCTGTATGAACTGTCCCATGTCGATACCCTGGTCTCCGTCCGTATCTTGACAACTAACAACCGCCGTTTGGTTCTGAAGGAACCTCAACTCTTCTCGATACCCTATCCCCGATGTTCCTGTCGTGTATCTCGTTGAACCTACCCCCGCGAACGTCCAATTGATCACAAACGACCTCTCGCGCGGACTCTACTCGCCCGCCTATGTTAATTTCCTGTCCTCCGTTCCTCGACCGCTCCTCGAAGATTTTGCCTCCAACATTGCTTCAACAGGCACATCAGAACACGTTGCGCAAGTCTACGATCAGTATCTAAACTTCATTGTCGCCGAGCCCGACCTTTTCAGCTTAGGATTAGGAAACGATGCCTACTGGAAGATCAATAGCCCGCAGACAAGTGATGAAGATCTGGATGTGATTGTCGACAAGATTGTAAGTGGGCTGTTCAGTGTCAGCGTCACTATGGGTAAGTGTGAATCCCTACATAAAACTCCCATCTGCTGATAGATGGGAATACAAACAGGCACTATCCCGATTATACGATGTCCAAGAGGTGGAGCTGCGGAGTTGATTGCGACAAAGCTCGACCGCAAACTTCGTGATCATATTTTAAATTCTAAAGACAATTTGTTTTCGGGCAAGAAGACCGCTGCCGGAGTTCCTTCGTCACGGCCAGTCCTGGTAATTGTGGATCGCAACGTGGACCTTGTCCCTATGCTTTCACATTCGTGGACGTACCAATCCCTCGTGCAAGATGTCCTTCAGATGCGCCTAAATCGGATCACTCTAGATTCGGCTGACGACTCGAATCCCGCCAAGGGCGCTTCTAAGAAGTCGTATGATCTCAACAGCAACGACTTCTTCTGGAAACGCAACGCCGGTGTTCCATTCCCACAAGTAGCGGAAGACATCGATGCTGAATTGACTCGATACAAGGAAGATGCGAACGATATTACGAAGAAGACTGGTGCTTCCTCAATTGAAGATCTCCAAAACGATACGAGCGCTTCCGCACAGCACCTCAAGGCTGCCATTACATTACTTCCAGAGCTGCGAGAACGCAAGGCCATACTAGACATGCACATGAACATCGCGACTGCTTTGCTCAAGGGGATCAAGGACCGACAGCTAGACAACTTCTTTGAACTTGAAGAGAACATCACAAAGCAGACCAAGGTACAGATCATGGAGCTTGTCAATGACCCCGCTAAGGGCAATGACCCGACTGATAAGTTCCGGTTATTCATCATCTGGTTCTTGAGCACAGAGACGGAACTATCCCGTGCAGAAATGACACAATTTGAGGAGGCCCTCACACGAGCGGGTGTCGAGGATATCAGCTCCCTCGCATATGTCAGACAGGTGCGAGAGATCACCCGTATGACAATGATGACAACGGCTACTCCGCAACAACAATCGTCGGATTTGTTTGGTGGCTTCTCTTCACTGTCCAATCGACTAACTGACCGCATCACGTCCGGAGCTCTGGGTGCCAATTTCGATTCTCTGATTTCTGGTGTCAAGAACTTCCTTCCTGCAAACAAGGACCTAACCTTGACCAAGATCACCGAGTCCATCATGGACCCAGCATCGGCTTCGAGCTCTGCCATTGCCAAGACTGAAAACTATCTCTACTTCGACCCCCGCAGTGCCAACGCTCGTGGAGCCATGCCTCCGGCATCCGCATCTCGCAATGCCCAAATGCCGGGCAACATGAGCTCGAACCCAGGAACTAGTGCCAGCTTCGGCCAACGCCGGCAGGCTTTCAACGAGGCCATTGTTTTCACCGTCGGTGGTGGAAGCATGGACGAATATGGCAACCTGCAGGACTGGGTGCGCCAAACTAACGGCCAAACCGGGGCCGACAATGCAGGAGCTGGCAGTCGTGCCGGTGCTGGATCTGCCGGTGGTGCCAAGCGAAGAGTCGTGTATGGCAGTACTGATTTGATGAATGCCAACGAGTTCCTCACCGAGTCGCTGACAAAGCTTGGTAAGGAGAGCTAAACGGTCTGAATGGAATGGAATGGAGTTGTGGTGGGAGCGATAGAATTTCACTTCATGGCCTATAATTAATGCATGATATTCCAGCAATTCAAATGAAAAGTTGTCAACGATAATAAAGTGTCTCATTCTATAAGGAGAGCAGCTGACAGATACTGTAGACCAGTTTTCCCCTCTTGCTGTCACTAGTTGATCGACCATATCACACCGATGATCGACACTGCAGCTGCAAATGATTTACAAACCATATCTTCGTGACTGCATTCGCTGTGGGGTACAGGGGTATGCAGTAACCTAGTAGTATCTGCTAGTATCAGGTCGAGAATAGAGAAAGCCCTCCAAAAGATCACGACGTCACGACTTCTTCAGCTTGTTGAACCCATCCAGATCTGGAATACAACAGTTTCGAATCGGAATTGCCTGAAGAATTGCATTCTAGAATTAATTCACTTCCTGAGCAATTAAACCGTTGACAATAACAGTGGCAAGCATTGACCCGTTTGCAGCGGGCGATCGACGGTGTCTTTGTCTTCCCGTCTTGATATTGTTCTCCTCTCCGTCTTAATATTGTCCTCAACCCACCACCCAGAACCACGATTCTGCACCTCTTTTCAACGAAAATCTCGAACAAAGGAAATGTGAACTCTCTTGTTTCAATCGAGTCTCCACTCCATCTCATTCTTCGTATTGTCATACTTCGTGCTGCTCAATCGATATATTGTTTGTTTCGGGTGTTCCACGACATTTCGAAGACATCACCATGCCTCAACAGCCAGACAGTCACCGCGGTTTGAGGGAACTCTCCTTCCCCTTCTCCTTGATGTTCTCTACATCTTGCTTCAAGACCTTCTACAAATCTTCTTGAACTGGCTGTCTTCTTCCTGATCCCATCCACGAAGAGTAACCGTTCTCTCATCCAAATCGACTATCACCAGCTCTTGCACAGGCCACCAATTCGTCAAAGCCTTTGTATCATCGAGTCAACATCATGGCTCCAAAGTTTGATCCATTTACCCAGAGCTTTACTCTACATACTGACGATGGCACTCCATTTGAAGTGACCCTCGCGGCGATCGATGCGCTCTTGCAATACTGTATCCGGATTTGCATCAACTATGGCGCGCAACTCGGGGCTTCAGTTGTGCTTCTTATCATTCTTTTACTCTTGACGAGGTCCGAGAAGCGTGGCTCTGCTGTGTTCTATCTGAACAGCTTCGCTTTGGCCATCAACATCGGCCGCTTGGTCTCCCAGAGTCTCTACTTCACGACCGAGTTCCTCAGAGTATACGCTGTCTTTTCACTCGACTACTCCAGAGTGCCCCAGTCTGCCTATGCAAACTCCGTCATCTCAACTGTCTTTACTACTATTTTATTCATCTGTGTGCATGTTTCCTTGGTTCTCCAAGTCCAGGTTGTCTGTGCCACATTTCGACGCCGGTACCGACATCTACTTCTGTTCGTGTCGGTGATTGTTGCCCTGGTCCCAATTGGGTTTCGTATGGCCTACATGATCGAAAACTCGATGCGCATCATGAATGCGACCACGATCGTCTCTATCCAATGGTTGGAGAGCTCGACCAACATTGTCTCGACCATCAGCATCTGCTTCTTCTGCACAATCTTCGTCGCTAAACTGGGCTTTGCTATCAAGCTACGACACAGGCTTGGGGTGAGAGAATTTGGACCGATGAAGGTTATATTTGTCATGGGCTGCCAAACTATGGTCATTCCAGGTATGTGCCTTCATTGAACGCTAGATGCAGTGTGCTAACCCTTCTCAGCATTATTCTCGATTCTCCAATACGCTGTCACAGTTCCCGAGTTGTCTTCCAATGTCTTGACCCTCGTCACTATCTCTCTTCCACTCTCTTCCATCTGGGCAGGAACCACTCTTGATCACCCAAACAATACAGCGGGTCTTCCACAGCACCGCAGTTTCTGGCAGGCGCTGTCATTCGGAAACAACAATACCACCACTACGAACACCAACACTACAAGGAGCAAGCAGATATCCATACCTTCTCCTCTCAAGACCCCAAACACAGTTTGCTATGCCGATTCCACAAGGCAACAAGAAGATCTGGAATGTGGGTACGGGATCTCTGTGGAGCATGACATTTCTGTTCATAGCTACAGGAAGGACTTGTATCCCGAGGTTTGAAGCTTCTATATGTGAGCTGGGGAATGACTACGTGGGGGTTGAGTTTGTAAAGGCTTTGGCTTCTACCAAAGGTAGCGCTTGGGGGTTTCTCTTTTTCATTCTGATACCATTTATTTTTGTTGTTTTCTCATCTCGACTTCGAGTTTGTTTCTATACAGTTTCACGTTTGCCATAGAGCAATCGAATAGCATTTAATCTTTATTCAAAACAATACAATGCCAACGCTTTCGAGCTACAATCGATCATTTAGAGTCATGACTATTGTGTCCTTTTCTGGTTTTCAAGATAAGGCTTGTATTATCCCAGCAATAATATATTGTTCCTGCTATCATAAACATAATCTTCTATTCTGTCTGATAACTATTCAACTACATTTTATCTATTACATTTAGTGCCATCAACATACATTCAATTATTATACATGTTCTTAATTAAATCACGCACAACATGATGCTTCTATACTTAAACTGCCTGAACTATAGCGGTGGCCAAGAATCCATTGCGGGGAAGTCCAGGCGGTGCGGAGCTTCCATGCCGGCGACACTCGACCACCAACCCACCATGCTGCTCTTCCTGCACCAGCTCTCTCGACATGGCTGCCGTGCCGCAGAGGACGCTCAACTGGCTCTATGGCATCCTGACCAGGGTAGCATATCCCAGACGTATTGTTAGGGAGCTCTTGGCTAACTCTCAGCTGCGATAGGACCATTATGATCCCAACCAAACGTACCAGGACCCCAATCGGACCTACTACGATGTCGCAAGTGCACTTGCTCAATACCCATCCCTGTCCCCGCGAACCGATGTCTACAGTGAGTGGAACTTTTCTCGCAATGGCGATTGTTTTGCCCATGGTGCCTACTAGCTAGTTTTATTTGCCTATACTGACCAGATCTCAACTCCTCTACAGCCTTCGAAACTGGGTTCTCTGCCCTCCTCCTCCATATAACGGGTACTTTACCTGTTTCCTTTCGCGGCACGATCTACAAGTTCCCAATAGCACTATGGATACCAAGTACCTACCCTCGCGAACCCCCAATCGTCTATGTGACCCCGACGCAGGATATGGCTGTCAGAGTTGGACAACATGTGACGTTGGAGGGGAGGGTATATCATCACTACTTAGCCCATTGGGCTGAAGCATGGGATGTGAGTGGCCTTTCCAGTGATATTCACCGTAGATTATTTTTATCCGCTGACAATGATATGATCTTGCAGAGATCAACAATCGTCGATTTCCTATACATTCTTCGAGAGGTTTTCGCAAAGGAACCGCCGGTCAGGGCCAAGCAACAGCCAATGCAGACCCCTCCGCAACCTAATCAGATGCAAGCGCCTCCGCCTCGTCCTCCATTACCTCCGGAATTGGGGCCTCGAGTGGCCAGTCCCTCGGTGGCTCAGGGTGTCGCTCCACCCCAGCCGACAGCTCAGACGCCACCACAGCCTCCACCGAAGCCGGGGCAAATGGTTTCTGCTGGACAGCACACTCCTCCATCGGGACGATACGATTCCCCTCCTCTACTGCCTCCGTTGCCGCCAAAAGAGCATGACCCAAGACGGCTTTCTTTCCAGCCACACGCAAATGCCGGTGTCCCCGCGGATAGGGCTTCGCAATACCCCCCAGCGAGGATAGGTAGTTTAGATGGAACAAGGGGTCCATACCAGGCAGTCCAACCACAGCAACATACAGCACAGCCAGTTCCGACTTATCCACCAGGACCAGCTTATCCTCAAGGAAGTAGTGATACACCAGGGACCCCTTTGCCGCAGAATGTTCCTCAAGGACCTCCCCACCAGCCTCCTCAAGGTTTGCCGTTTCAACAAATCCCGAGGCACTATTCGGGAATTCAGCAAGCACCGAGTCAACATCAACAAATACCGCATCAGGCACAGCAAGTTCCTCAGCAACTGCAGCACCATCAGTCTCAGCAAGCGGTACCAAATGCACAGCCAGTGCCGGCACCCAAGACCAATGCGCCGGATCTCCTAACCTCACCCTTCGAGCTTGAACTTCCCTCTTTTGCGCCATCAGGTCCCGCGCCGCCTATTCCACCCAACCCAGAGAAATATGCGCTGCTGCATGCTGTCTCCAAGACACTCGCTGAGACTTTACAGTCCAACGTATCTCAATCCGAGGCTGCAGCTCAATCTCTTCTTTCACAGTCTCAGTCACTTCATGCAACCGTAGCTACACTACAAGGCGAAATTTCCTCACTGAACACCCTCAATTCAACACTCCAGTCCAACTCTTCCGTCCTTCAACAATCACTTCACCGAGCCGACGGCGTCATCGCAGATGCACAGGCACGAATCTCCTCGCCAGCCCCTGGTTCTTCCACCATGGAGGTAACACCAACCGGGCTACCCCCAATCGACGAGGTCCTCGTCGCCCCCACAGTCGTGGGAAAGCAGCTGTACGATCTCGTCGCAGAGGAAAATGGAATCCAACAGGCGATCTACGCCTTGCAAGTCGCTCTTGTCAAGGGCGTCATTGGAGTCGATACATGGTCACGTCATACACGAGGTTTGGCCCGTGAGGCATTCCTCAAACGGGCTCTTATTCGTAAGATTGGAAAAGGCATGGCCCTTGAGGAGAGCTAGGAATTTTTGGTCTTCTTTCTGATGTTTTTCTTTATTGTTTTATTTTTCTTTATCTATCTGTCGTGTGTTGATCGCTAGACTGTAGATACCCACGAATTATGGCTGCTCTTGCATGATACACTCGTAGCACTTGCTTATTTAGGGTTGCCCCGAAACACGGTTTATATATAGCTAAATATATATATCCGGGGTCCTGAGTGTAATAAGAACAAAGGGGGGAGGAAGCGGGAAAATCAGACTACTATCCTGTCTCTGAGTGATCAGATGACGTTCCAAGTTCTTTGTGACAATTATATACATGTCTTAGGTGAGACGGCAATGAGATACCAACCGCCCCTCATTTTCAAAGAATGTTATTACTTTAATCTATTCATAGCACAAGGCTAATTCCTTTCGATTTTGATTCTTACAGTTTTTTAACTGCTGACAGGGCGGAGATTTTTTTCCTTGCATATGTAAGCTTCATCAGTATGGATGTGGATGTGGATTCTTGGCTTTTTTATTCATATCAATTGAATGGTGTTCTCTAAACAATATAGACAGGGGAATGAACAAGGTAAATCAAAAGTCAATTGACTGTCGATTCAAGAGGGTAAACAAAAAGAAGATCATGTTATGTAAATCGCTGTACAGACCACACATGATGACGTTGGGGGTGTAAAAAAAGGGGGATGATCCTGACTAAACGTATCCAATCAGATCCAAAATCCAAGAAGCATAGTTCATAAATACAGAAAAAAGATAATTCCAAAAATCGCAGAGGGGAAATAGAATATCCAAGTGGGAGAGGACCGACTCTCAATCCCGTTTTGCGCCAAACCCGCACACCAAAAACAAACAAGACCGACCAGTCCATTGAAACAACCAGGGGATGGTGGTTATTCAATATGGACGAGAAACAAGAGGAAAAGAAAAGAGAACCGAGTGCGTTTATTTCACTTCATTTGCGTCTGAAAAGGGGCTTTCGCCTCTCGGAGGCAGCTTGCTGCTTCGGTTTGATCTAGTCCCATCGTTTGTTTCGGAAAGGTAGGACAGTCGGTTGTTGTCGGTCTCGGGTGGTGTCGGTTGGTCCTTGAAGGGGCTTTGTGTGACGGCTGTTGAATCTTCAACGATGGCTGGGGTCTTGGTTTGCTTGGACGGGCCAGCTTCATCCTCTTCGTCCGAGCTTTCATCGAAACCAGAAGTTCCCTGCTCGACTTCGTGCTTGCTAGGGGCGCGGGATGCAGCGGCACTAGAGTTGCTCGATTCGGATTGCTCCTCGATGGGTTGAACGGTTGGGGTAGGTGCGGTTTTGTTGATCTTCTTGATCGATCCAGACTTTACCATCACCGGTTTTGCCATCACACCACGCGCCACAATGGAGCTACCATTGTGCTTTTCGGGAACACCAGCCTTGGCGAGCTGGGCATTTGTGATAGCGGGAACAGCGGGTGCATCTGATGGTGTCACCATAGCGGTTGCTGTATCCTCAGGGTTTTGGCCATGGATGCTGACCACGGCGGCTCGGGTGCGCATGACTTGTTGGGCGGGCATGGGGCTGACAATAGCGTTGTTGCGATAGATTGTGGTAGCCACACTGCTACGCAAGCTAGGAGCAACACTGCGCCGTTCGTTTGTCATGTCGGTCCAAGAAGAGTCACGCAGGTCACCAGGCATGAAGAAATGCTGATCGGGGGCAGCACCAGGGAGAGGAGGAACAGGCGGCACGAGCGAGCCTGGGGTTTCTGGTGGAGATCGGTTTGTGACTCCGGGAATGTAGGCGATCTGGATCACATTGGAAGCGCGGGTCAAGACAGTAGAAGCGATGGAGTTGGTGGACTTTCTCGCCGATGCTCGCTCTGCGAATGAACTCTGTTTCTCTTGTCCCATGGCGCTTTCCTGTTCATTGCGCTTCTTCCGAACGAAGAACCACCATACTAGGAAAGTAATGATTCCAATAAAGGCGAGACCACCGATAACACCTCCAGCAATAGCGCCCGCATTGCTACCTCCTGCGGGCGAGTTATCCTTCGGGGATGAGCTGCTACTGGAAGACGTTTGAACGCATTTTGTCGTCGCACACTGATTGCATGACTGACTGATCATCGTACATATGTAGCCCTCATCACAAGTGGGACACTGGGGTGCCGACTGGTCGCATTGCACGCATCGTTTGAAGACGGAGGAGTGAGGAAGGAAGTCTGAAGGGATTGTCAGTGAATCCAGTTGACACACTGGGGGATGGGCGAGAACCATACCATCGGGTAAAGAAGAGGAGGATGAATCGAAAGACATGATGGTAATTGTGAGTCGATATCGTGGGGGGAAAGATGGGGAGATGATTCAGGTACGTCGTAAATCAAAAGAAGCGATGGTAATAGTGTCGAAAGAGCGGCAGGCCGGTCAACGGCGTAAAAGAGTGTACAGTGATTGAAAAGAGTGTGGGATGCTCAGCCGGACGTCAAGTCGTGAGCGATCAATATTGGGTCATAAAAAGCAACAAAAACCAAGGCGGTCTTTTACGGAAACGAGCGGAAGAAGTTGAGGATGAACTGAGACCGGAAAAGATGGGCAACGACGGTCATAGTATTAAAAAGGTCGTGAGGGTGGAGGAAAGAAGAAACGCTGCTGGCTGGAATCGTCGAATATTTTGCCGGCGCCGAGCCCAGCACCAATAGGCTCCTTTAGGGGATATTGACGTCGGGAGACACGCGTCAGTGTCTAGATAGAGATAACAGCGCAAAGACGGGAGAGGATCGAGGAAGAGGGGAGGGGAAGAAGACGAGAAAAACGAAGAAACAGAATCAAAGAAAGAGAGAAGAAATAAAGACAGAAACAAGACCAGAAGGGGAAAAGAGAGAAGGAAGAAAGAGGAGACGGACGGAGAGGAGAGGAGGGTGGGCGAAGTACAGAGGGAGACTTTCGCTTCGGATGTGGAGGGTTACAGCGACGCACGTGGCTATTGCCACGGATGATATGGTGCCTTAGGCTGTAGACCTGTAGTACTCTACAGTCTACACTGTAGAGTTGAATGAGGATATTAAAAGAACATTGATGAGAATAATGTTGTTGGTTGATGGGTTTCTTTATAGAGTGCAAGTTATCCAGTGCAACCGTCCAGACAACTGGAAGGCTGCTCTATCTCCTCTTCTTGTCCTACCCAGTATACACTGCCCATATGCAGGAGAATCACCCTCCTCTGCCAATCTTGCGCACACTTCTTTGTTCCTGGTCCCCCTGACCCAGCGCCACTGTACGACATACGACGCCTGTCTATCATCCTTGCATGATGTCTCAACCGCCAACACCAGCCTCTCATCCTCCATTGACGATGAATCCATCTTGCCCGTGTGTGTATATCTCTCCAGGCCGTGTCGTTGTATTCCTAGTCTAGACCATCCCACGTTGGCTCGTCGGGAGATTACGCCAGGCCCGCTCGGCCAATCAGATGACGCCATTGCCAGCCTCAGGCACGGCCGAAGGATCCAGGATGGGGAGTTGAAATTAAACTGGATTTTCGCTCCACCAGCGCAGGGAGCATCATTGCGTCCTTGGCCAGTCACACAGACGTGGTCGAAGAATTGGTCCATCGGATTAGACCTTATGCACATAATTGCGCTGCTCTGTCTGGACTCTGGCATCTGTCCATCTCGTAGTTACTCGATATCTGGTCGGGCTGTCTGGCTGACTGGAGGGGTCGGAGGGGCTGGGCTGTTCCTGCGTCGTCCACATTATCGGCGCAGGGCTACATTGGTGCATACGGAGTGCGCCCCAAAGGTCAGATTTATCGGAAATAAATATACCAGGCAAACCCAGTCTTCTTGCTGCAGTGGAAGATACCCCTGGATAGCCTACTTGGTACTTTTTGAGTACTTCGGAGAGTCGATAAATGCACTGTAACCGTACCCCCTATACGTAGTCCATCATACGTAAGTACTTTGAACCCCATGTTCTACGGAATAATAGATTAATTTCTCCACAAACAAACGGTCTATATGCATTATTGGTAGTATGAGTTATGATATGACATGAACTAGTCTGGTATCATTGAGATTATCTGATTATCATTGTTGAAGATCCCTATGGACAACGACGGAAAGGAATATATATAAGTAGCACAGCTGCAGATTACTCCGCCAGTTACTATCAACTCGTAAACTGCTTACATAGCATAATCAAGTCACCCAATGATGATTGAGAATTGTTATACAGCAATAAAATAGTATTGAAGCTAAGAAAGTGGATTGAGCATGACAGAAGTCGCCTTATCGCCTCGATAGTCGATACATGCACAACCGTTCCAACTGACAGTGGAGCTCATGTCTAAGACACCATCAAAAGTCAGCCACAACACTCTACACAGGGCTGACATTATTAGCTCGCATTAGGCACTGAGCTGTATTTTCAGACTCCAGCTCGCCGCCTGAAGTTTCTATTCATGGTGTACTGGAGCGGTGCATGGCTGCAACGGTTTCCATCTCCAGAATGGATCCCGAGACTGACATATCCACATCGCATCATGATCAGCAATTAGGGTACTATGTAGCTGTCTTGAAATAGTATTCCCATCAATCATTAACCAGCTGTATTGTCTTTAGCCCTTTATTGTCTCTGATTCATGCACCACCCTTTTTCCATCCACCTGCTCAAATTCGATATTTCTCCGAGATTTCGGATGCTCCGGTGCATCGACCACGGGTTGAATATCCCACAGTTGGAGTACGTGGTCATGGAGAGCACCTATGGTAAAAGCACATGGAAATCCCCCATGGTTCGTTCGTATGCAGTTCTTCCAATTAATTCAGATGTTCTTGAGACTGCATGAGTGCCTGATTCTTGCACACTCGGTACCGTTTCCAGAATATTTCCCGTTTCTGCCACTTGACAACGCCAGTGGCGCTGAAGGGTTTGTACATATGCTGTATGGGAAGCAAATATTTATTTTCTAAGATTATACCGTAGAGTGCTCCTGTGTAGAGTATCTTAATGTTTATTTAGAAGTCGCTAGATCCTCACTAATTGCAAGCGTGTGATGATCCTCCGTTTATTGTCCGAAACCTGAAGCTACCTCGAAGATCCCTATATATGATGTAGCAGGGCCCATAATGGAGTTAGCAAAGGAGAAGTACCCGACCACAATCGTACTGAATAATAGATGAAAGTACACAATAGGGACAGTATCATGGAATGGATGCGCAGCCTGAATAGGAAAGTGCAAAAGGCACCGTGTACGGAGATCGCCGTTGAACCACAGCCGATCAGAGTATTTTTGAATTCTTTACTCTGCTCTTACAAAGACTGAGTGAGAAGTGTTGATTAACTTTGATAATACAGTCGGTACTTGGGAGTTTACAGTGCTTACTGCAGGATCCAACCAGTCTGATATTCGCCAAGAGTCGTATTTTGTGCAGGATACGGTGTCTATTACCAACAGATCTAAGAATAGCAGGAGACAGGCCTAGCTTGCTGTGGCAGTGATCTGTCACAAGTCTTCGTTGTTAAGGTAAGTGGTGGGCGACCACTGGCCGATGAATAATAGCGGGCTGCCCAGATGAGCCAATAGTAACATCCCAAAGCAGTAACAGCCCCACACGGACCCAAAGCATTGTTTCCATGGAATATCAGATATGTTTAAGGATTTCCGACTAGTTTCTGTTGTGGCGCCTGGCTGACCAACGGCCGGTAGCCACGGTGTCTTGGGGGGGAATGTCTGACCCTCTCCACTGGGCTATATTTGGTTGGGTTTTGGAGTTGGTGCCTCTCCATTATTTAGGGGATTGGTGGATTGCCCCCAGACCCTGGACCCCTTAATCTGTAATTTAAATACATGCATACACATGATTCATCATCAGTACTTCAATAATTGCCTCTCACTGCAGTTGGTGACTGGATTGAGTCTTCGATTATAGACATAAATGCAGATGAAAAAGGGCACATTGCACTAGTTTGAGGCTTAGGCGTGACTCGACATATGGCGGTATGTAATATGTATCTTCGCAAAAAAAAAGTTTACTCTATTGTTTACTGCCATTTGATCAACTCATCAAATCAGGGAACCGAGTCGGTTGCCAGAGCCTTTCACCCGGTATGCTAGATAGGGATATGGAATGACGGCAGCTAACAAGCATTGCACCGGGCAACATGATGGATTATTGCTTCTCTGCCAGTAGATCTTCATGATCAAATCACACCATTACATGAAGCTGACTGACTGGAGATGTGTTGTTCTTCAAGCATGAGATGAGCTTGGTGAGGTGAAAGTGGTGGTGTGTATGTATTTGAAATACCGTAAATAACTGTAATACAATACAATCTAAACCAATTCTTGAGTGTTTCAGCAGTGGAGCCAGACACCTTGTAGCCTCTCCGATTAGCGTTCCCCATACAAAACTGAGCCACTGCGGTCCTGCAAGAGAGGGGGGCGAGAACCCTGGCGCTTTACCCAGTAAAGTTACCCTGAACCAAGTTAATTGAGAGATACATCGTAAACCCCCTTCATATTACCGCCCCCTGTCAGAGAAAAGGAAATTAAATTACCATTGACAGTTGAGGGTCATGAATCGTTTGATTCTTCAATGGAGATTAGATCATTTTCGATGGATTTTTTTGTTGAAACCATGTCAACTGACAGACGGAGAGTAAAGGTGGGAGGAATTAAGGTCATGAGAGTTCAATACAGGGTCTGTCTGGTTACATGGGTCTAATACATACACCGCCTTGGCGGGGGGGTTGCAAATATGAAGGGGGACAGCATGCTACCAGCAGCAAAGAAATGTGCCATTCGCGCGGTTGGCTTCTTCGTTCGCCTGGATCGAGTATCTCGAGGAGCTGGGTAACTGCTTTTCTTATATCATCTAGTCCGAATCCTGCTCGACGGCTAAGATTAGCTTAGAAGAATAGATAGATGGATGGTAGACCGTTGTAAACCAATGTTACCAGCCGTACAATACATACATACGCCAATCCAGACTTCTGGTAACTTGGTAAGGAATCCGATTACCCACCCAAAGGCTCTCGCCATCTGGCGCCGTCCCAGAGCGCTCTAAGCCAGTCAAAGACGCCAGGGCAGGCAATTCCTCCCTAACCAAACGGGGCTGAACGATCAAAAGGTAGGAAAAGAAAGAATAGTTTAGCTGTCTTTCTGTGTCACGCCTTATTTTTTTTTTCTCCTTCTCTTCCTCTACTCTTCTATCCACCTTCTCCCCTTTCATCTTCACCCCTCCCATCTTTATTTGGGAAACCCTTCTTTTTGTCTATACTCCGTACATACCGGACCCTTTAATTGCCCACCCAGCAAACCCGTCCTGGGTTTGTCCCCTGGCGCTTTTTTTTTTTTTTTCCCTTCACCTTTCACCTTCAATCTCGCGGGCTCCTCTCAGCCCTGGCGGCTTTCGATCCACGCTCTATCTCTGCCCGCATATCTCCCGCGCGAGTTTTGCTATACTTTTAATCATTTTTTCTTTTCCTGCTTCCAATTATCCCTTCGCTTGTTCCGTTAGCCCTTGGATTCGCGGTTGTCTCGATTCATCATATCGTTGCGTCTGACCTTCCCGATCGGTGGACACATTGCTCCTTGTTTCCCTGATACCCCTTCCCGTTTGTCCTTGCATTTGGCTGCAGTCTCTTGCTGTTCCTATCCTGCTCTTGTTCTCTCTATCTTGAGCTTGCAAGTTTCGTTCGCGTTTCAAACATCTAATAATCCCCTTACACCATGGCCTACCAAGGCTCGGGCCCGCAGTCGCCCGGCTTCGAGGAGGGCCACCGGCTTCATGACATGCCTAATGCCAGCGCCAACGTGAGTTTAGTCTCTTGAGAGAAACCCCATTTTGAATGGCTTGGATTTGATGGATTCTAATATTATGGTTGCTTAGTATGGACGCGAAGAAGAAGAGGTTCAAGCAGGATTGCTCTCTCACCACACAGGACCCTTCGGTGGACCTTTTGATGACCCCAACTCTCGTGGTCTTTCCCCCCAGCGACCAGCCTCCGGATACAGTTTGACGGAAACCTATGCCCCTGATGCGGCATACCATGATCCCTACAGTGCCTCCGGATCGGTCTATTCGGGCCAATCGGGGGAAAATCCCGCAGCTGCATTTGGCGTTCCCGGTCGAGTGGCTTCTCCCTATGCTCGAAGTGAGACTTCGTCAACTGAGGCGTGGCGCCAGCGACAGGCTCCCGGCGGCGCCGCAGGCGGAGGAGGTGGAGGAATGGGCGGCGGTGGAAATCTCCGACGTTATGCTACCAGAAAGGTCAAGCTGGTTCAGGGTTCGGTTCTGAGTGTCGATTACCCGGTTCCCAGTGCTATCCAGAACGCCATCCAGGCCAAGTACAGAAATGATCTCGAGGGTGGAAGCGAAGAATTTACCCACATGCGGTGTAGGTATTCCCTTGAACAAGAATTGGCAGATATCTATTCCATCAGGAACTAATTTTTTTCCCCTGGCAACAGATACCGCTGCTACTTGTGATCCGAACGAATTTACCCTCCACAATGGTTACAACCTGCGTCCCGCTATGTACAACAGACACACCGAGCTTCTTATCGCGATCACCTACTATAACGAAGACAAGACGCTTACAGCCCGTACTTTGCACGGTGCCATGCAAAATATCCGCGATATCGTAAACATCAAGAAATCCGAGTTCTGGAACAAGGGTGGTCCCGCGTGGCAGAAGATTGTGGTGTGCTTGGTTTTCGATGGTATCGATCCTTGTGACAAGGATGTTCTGGACGTTCTTGCTACAATTGGTGTTTACCAGGATGGTGTCATGAAGCGTGATGTCGATGGAAAGGAGACTGTGGCTCACATCGTATGTTTTCAAATCCAAGGCGCATTTTGGTATGCAAACGATCTAACATGTGGCAGTTCGAATACACGACTCAATTGTCTGTGACTCCCAACCAGCAGCTCATCCGACCTACCGACGATGGCCCCAGCACACTTCCTCCCGTCCAGATGATGTTCTGCTTGAAGCAGAAGAACAGCAAGAAGATCAACTCTCACAGATGGCTTTTCAACGCGTTTGGCCGCATTCTGAACCCTGAAGTTTGTATCCTTCTTGATGCTGGTACCAAACCAGGCCACAAATCGCTTTTGGCTCTGTGGGAGGCTTTCTACAACGACAAGGATCTTGGAGGTGCATGTGGTGAAATTCACGCCATGTTGGGTAAGGGTTGGAGAAATCTGATTAACCCTTTGGTCGCTGCCCAGAACTTCGAGTACAAGATCAGTAACATCCTGGATAAACCGCTCGAGAGTTCATTTGGATATGTCAGTGTGTTGCCTGGTGCTTTCTCCGCCTACCGATTCCGCGCGATCATGGGTCGACCTCTCGAGCAATATTTCCACGGTGACCACACCCTTTCGAAACAGCTCGGTAAGAAGGGTATTGAGGGCATGAACATTTTCAAGAAGAACATGTTCTTGGCCGAAGATCGTATTTTGTGTTTCGAATTGGTGGCCAAGGCTGGTTCCAAATGGCACCTTTCGTACGTCAAGGCCTCCAAGGGTGAAACTGACGTGCCTGAGGGTGCTCCCGAATTCATCTCTCAGCGTCGTCGTTGGTTGAACGGTTCGTTCGCTGCCGGTATCTATTCTCTCATGCACTTTGGTCGTATGTACAAGAGTGGGCATAACATTATTCGCATGTTCTTTTTGCACATTCAAATGCTGTACAACATTTTCAACACGTTCCTCACTTGGTTTTCCTTAGGTAAGTGTCCGCGAGACTTGTCGATACTTTTCATTTTCTAACCACTGATACAGCATCCTACTGGCTTACCACTTCCGTCATCATGGACCTAGTCGGTACCCCCAGTAAGAACAATGACTTTACTGGTTTCCCATTCGGAGTGACGGCTACCCCGATTGTGAATACTATTGTCAAATATGCATACCTCGGATTTTTGCTGCTTCAGTTCATCCTTGCGCTCGGTAACCGTCCCAAGGGATCAAAGTTTTCGTACCTTGTCTCTTTCGTGGTTTTTGGTGTCATCCAGCTGTACGTCGTGGTGGATGCTCTTTACTTGGTTGTACGCGCCTTCAGTGGTTCCGCTCCCATGGACTTCAATACCAGTGACGGTGTTGGCCCATTCCTTGCCTCTTTCTTCGGGTCTACTGGTGCTGGTATCATTATTATCGCCCTTGCTGCCACTTTCGGTCTCTACTTCGTCGCTTCCTTCATGTACTTGGACCCATGGCACATGTTCACCTCGTTCCCCGCCTACATGGGTGTGCAGTCGTCCTACATCAACATTCTCAACGTCTATGCATTTAGCAACTGGCACGATGTGTCGTGGGGTACCAAAGGATCTGACAAGGCAGATGCCCTGCCATCTGCCAAGACCACCAAGGATAGCGGCAAGGATGCGGTCATTGAGGAAATTGACAAGCCTCAGGCTGATATCGACAGTCAGTTTGAAGCAACCGTCAAGCGTGCCCTGACCCCATACGTCCCACCTGTGGAGGTGGAGGAAAAGAGCTTGGATGACTCGTACAAGAGTTTCCGAACCCGTCTCGTCACCCTCTGGATCTTCAGTAATGGTCTCATGGCTGTGTGCATCACCAGCGATGGTGTAGACAAGTTTGGATTTACCGTGAGTATCTCTTATTGTTCCCGTTTTGGTAGACATCAGCTAACCACTCATGCCGTAGAATTCTGCTACCGAACGAACCTCCCGATTCTTCCAGGCCCTGTTGTGGTCCAACGCCGTTGTTGCCCTCTTCCGTTTCATCGGAGCGACATGGTTCCTGGGTAAGACTGGTGTTATGTGCTGCTTTGCCCGCCGGTAGAAAATGCCGGTGTGGTGTGTAATGACCGCCTGCTGTTAGGTAGGATAACAGGTCCTATGGGAGTTATTCTTGGCACATTTTGTTGCAATTTTGTATTCTACATAAGATGGTCGTTCTTCGTTTCTGTGTTCTACTACTGCTTTCACTGTCGTGGTTGGATCTACGTGGTTGACAGGATGAAGGCATTTGACGTTTCTAAAATTCTTAGCGGTTAGAGTAAATGACATGCATTCCATAATGGCGGATAATTTTTCAGTCGCACTTCATAGTGGAAGAAGTAAAATTTCCATTTTCCGACGATTCGTTTGCTGTGGCGATGGCAAGAGTTGGGGGCGTTTGGACGGCATGGCGTCAGGCTGCTTGACTGGGCTTTAACGGATCCGCCTGAGTTGTTCCCTCCCAGTCGGACCGTCAATAGATAACATAGCCCACCACTGCCTATCCACCTTTTCTCTGCAAATAGCGTCATTTCAGCCTCTTCGTTTTTTTCTTCCGATACCCTTATTCTTGACCTGACCATCTATATAAGGTCAACTTATCAACACCTTTTGTCCACTGTTTCAAGTGGAGAAAACCCATTCACGGAACCCCGCAGGTCTTTTGTCACCCCTCTCTCCGATTCGGTGTTCTGGCCCCAAGCACAGAGCCTACCAGTGATTCTGTCCTACGATATCCACCATTTCCTCTCCGTGGCATATTCCGCCTCTCGCCAGATTACAGCCAAGCCAAGAGTAGCCTAAAAGCCGGGGGCGCGGCGGTGATTTCAAGATGTTGAAGATATGGTCGATGGTACGCGAAACCCTGGACGGTCAACGTTTCCTTCCGCTGCCTCTGAAGAGCAAGGACTGACACTTTATGTACCATATAGAAACAACAACAGCAGCAGGCTGAAAATGCAGAGGGAGCAGCAGGAAAGAAGAAGAAGAAGGTCACAGCCGCACAGTTGCGCGTGCAGCGAGGTCCGTTTTCCCCTCCTTCACCCTGATATGGCACACATACACTGGACGCAGGCTGACTGACTGGCTGGCTGTCTTTGCAATCTATACAGACCTGCAGGATCTGACGCTTGGAACCACGATGAAAACGAACTTCCCCAACCCGGACGACATCCTCAACTTCACCCTCACCATCACGCCAGACGAGGGCATGTACAAAGGCGGCGCATTCCACTTCAGCTTCTCCGTCAACCAGAACTTCCCGCATGACCCGCCCAAGGTCAAGTGTACGCAGAAGATCTACCATCCCAACATCGACCTGGAGGGGAACGTCTGCTTGAATATCCTCCGTGAGGACTGGAAGCCCGTGTTGAACTTGAATGCGGTTATTGTGGGGATGCAGGTGAGTCATTTGCGCCGATTGGACGTGTGTGTCTGGTATACGTAGGCTAACGACAATCGTGTGTGTTTTTTTCAGTTCCTCTTCCTCGAGCCGAATGCCTCCGACCCATTGAATAAAGAAGCTGCCGATGACCTCCGGACGAACCGGGAGAGTTTCAAGCGTAACGTGCGAAACTCCATGGGTGGTGGAACCATCCGAGGCGTACAATACGAGCGTGTCGTGCAATGAGCGTATACAGCAAAGCAACTTGGAGTCTTATTTCGAACCACACAAGAATGAGACGTACCCCGAACGAACGGACCATGCCCTATGAATCAAAGATGATGGCATTCGACAATAGGATAGGATAGGATTGGGGGAGTTATAAGAGGATGGTATAGCAGGGAGTTAGGCTTATGTGATGATGGCCTTTCGCCGGTTATCATGTTCACTGCAAAGGCATGTTGTCTATTCAAGTACATACATATAAATTAATTAGCGACTGGATAGAATTTCCTGACCATGAGAGCGTTCAACGGGTAGGCTAGGCGGTAGTTCTGTGTAACGGTGTGTATGGCCTGCGACGCGATGAGTGGTCTACGAAGTTGATACAACCAAATTTGCTTGAGATGGCATCATGCACGAGGATGAAAGCAGAAATGAATGTAACAGTCACTTAAACTACACGCTGATGTCTACGTTTATTTTGTATCTATCGGCTTGAATTTCCACTCGGTGAAAGACATGAGTAGACCTGCCTGGCACCTTGGGAGACCCCCAGAAGCCCTTAGAGAAACAGAACAAAAAGCACATTGTTAACAAGGCGCGTATATATACAAATTGACAATTGAAACAATTGAACAATTTCCTTTTCGGTTCTCGTATTCGACTCAATCGATTCAACTCAGTCAATTCCACTAACTGTAGCCCTCGTTGAAGCATCTTCCATGGCTGGATGGACATGAGAGACTGGAAAGAATAGTAGAAAAAATCCATTCAAGTCTCGATATATTGCAAACATCTTTCTCCATGTTTATGCATATGAACAGTTGAAGATTGACATTTTGGCCATGTTATCCAAAGGACAGTCATAAAAGCCGGATGGAGCGGAACGAAGACAGGATATTGCACATTAATGGAGCCGACGAGTCGAGAATTGGGTCAAATCACAGAGGGGAATCGAATTTATGCCTGAGCGGCGGCGCGCTCCTGCTCCAGGCGGGCGTAATAGGTGTCACGGGCACGGACGCGGGGGAGGTGGAAACCTGGGTTGAGTCTTAGCAAATTCGGTTCTTTTTTTTTTTTTGGCCTGTACTTGATGCTGGATTTGCATCGGAATTGCTGAATACATACCGTACCACCAGAGGTAACCGAAGGTGGTTCCGAAACCTGCCCAGAGATGAGGTTAGTCGTCTTCGCGTATTCTCTCGATACCAATGTCCAGTCGAGTCCAATTGAGAAAATAAAGGAGTTTTCTTGGTCGAGCTGCGTGACCAAGAAGAACCCGAGACTCCGTGACGGAATTACTGGTCTTTCGCAATTTTTCCATTTCCGGTTCTGCGAGGATAGGATCAGACAGGGCGAAACTCACCGAAGGCGGTGCTCAGGTCAAGGACGAGTCCCCGGCGGAGCATCTGAATAGACAAATAGGTTAGTTGATATGCCAGGGAGCTTTGCTTTGTTTTGGACCAAGCAGAGCAGGTCAAGGATTAGACCGAGGTGGCATGGGGAGGACGTACGCCGGTGATAGGGGGGACAGCAGCGGGCATTGTGATGGATTGATGGCAGAAACCGACTCTGGGGAAGAAATCGAGACGATTTGAGCAGACAGACGAGACCTGCTTCGGGGTTGTGGCGGGGGAGAGGGGAGAGGAGACGCTGGGGGAAACGAGCGATGATGTTGGAAAGCGAAAGTGAAGCTTTGGGCGGTCGGAACGTAAGCGACGACTGTGAGTGGCCTGACTGGTTGCTGGGAACGGACAACAACGGGTTGCAGGAAGTAGATATCAGAGATGGAAATGTCAAAGGATCAAGCTTATTTCATTTATTCTATATATCTTATCTACATAGTTTTTAATATCTTTCAGTTATGGTTCACACTGCAATTACTCTTCACGCTCTCAAGTGTGCCTCAGGCAAGTAACACGTGACTAGGTCCCGAGATTCGCAGCGCTTCTGGATGAACGTTCACCATGGCGGAATGAAGTGTTTTGACTATCAGCTTATCATCCTCGACGAACCCACCATCTGAGTGCCGCAATGCTCCCCTCCGAGCCTGTCATTAAAAGATCGACATCCTCGTTCTCAGAGCGACTCGATGGATCAGATACTAAACGAGTGAAGCGCGTCTATCATCACCACCATCGCTTGCAGAGCTCTGTCGTCACATCTCTCCAAGAACCCGCCATCGCCGATGAGTCCTGTATCGACCATTTGATGAATCGCTCGATTGGTCAAACTCTACAGGAATCAGGATTCGATTTAGCCGATCCAGTAGCGCTGGATAGCTTCCGCAATGCAGCGGAGGAGTGTATGTGATGCCGTGGGAATAACAAGATAAAAGGATGTCAGGTTATTGACTAGGACTCTTTTTAGACCTTCTTAAGTTCGCTTCATTTGTACGGCAATCGATGCTTACAAGCCGACGCATACAACCCATCCCTCAAGATTTCGAGCATGCCATGAAAAGACAGTCCTTGCGAGCGGACGATCTCCTTCCCTACCTAAAACCTCTACCGAACGTTGAGCCCAACCCAACACTGTTACCGACGCCTCCGCCCGAAGAAGACTTTTTCAAAAGCGTGTCTTTTCTTGGCCCACAACTGAGTGGTGAGGAGGATCGGTCCAGAAGCGCACATATTCCCAGGCATTTCCCCGAATTCCCTAGTAAACACACCTACCGCCACACACCGGTTTTCACCGAACGAGAACAAGACCCCCGAAAAATCCGCGAAAAGGCAACAGAGGATGGCCGTCATGGTGAGGAAGCCTTGCGGAAGTTGGCACGCGCATCGTTCAAGGACAACCAACTTGGCTCAGCGGGCCGAGACAAGAAGCCATGGGGTCGACGGACGGAGACCATGGATAGCATGTTTGAGAAAACAGTGAAGGGACTCGCAAAGAGGATGCAAAAGACGGCATCCGTGCCAGGAGCGGCGCCAATGGAGATCGATTCGGGTACTATGGCCGATCCGTCTGCCCGCCACAAGGCGCCTCTGAATCTGGAGCTTCCACCTATTATAAATTGCGAGAGAGAGCTTTGGCGTCGAACAACGGCGTCCGGCAATCGGAGACCAGAGGAAAAGCCGAACCCTGCGAAAGGTGGTGCTCCAAATATCTCCAGGGTCGATAGCTGGGTGAGCACATAACTTGGTAGCATCGGATAGATATAATCAGGGAGGCGTGGGAATGGTGTCAGGGCGTTTTGACTTTCGTGTATATTTGAGCCATATTTGACAAGATACCCATGGAGCAGGATTCCGTTTATTCAAATAAAGAATGAAGATTGAGATGGTACCAAAAGATTCGTAGATTCAACTCCAAACCCCAACTCCGAGTCCATGCAATGTAATTTTGAATCGGCTTCAGGCTTTCGTATTCGTTTCTGCTGCCACACTCTGTTGTGTTTGTGCTGCTAGCTCCTTCGCCTGCCTGATAGGTTCCCACGAGGTCGTTTCAACTGTAACTCCGCCAGCACAACTGCAACAGTCAGTAAAGAGCAGGATAGACGAAGACGCACAAGGAACGTACCGTCTGAATAACCTCACAATCGGCTTGCACACCACCCTTCCAGGCTGGGGAATTCCATCCTGAGGCGGATTGCAAGAATATTGAACCATCTCAAGTAGCTGACACTCTTTCAGATCAATGGGGGGACCCTTGCGACGCTTTTCTTGGAAGTTTTTGCCCACGATATTGACATGATCCGGGAGAGATTCGGCGGAGAAGACAGGAACGAGGGGGGCCATTGCGAGTAGTTGGTATCGTAGATGAATTTATTATATTGGTTCCGGCGTTGAGGTATTGGCAAATCGAGAGTTCTTCTCGTTGGTTCGGCTTAAATTGGCATGGGAGAAGTGGTGACGAGGGAAAAAGCGGATGATGGAGCGGAACCCCCGTAGGTTCAATCATCATCGGAGCTAAGTTGCGATTTGCGATCCATGATATTCTCGATCTCCGGAACTATTCCACGAAATAACATAAAGCTCCTGTCAATGGACCATCGCATTCAAAATATGCCTTGACTGAATGCTGGATCAATGATAATCTCATTACAGAATCGTGTCAGAAATGGCCGACAGCTTTGGGGAACGGCTGCTTGCGGAGGTGCACGAGGAGACACTGGATGAGGTACGGTTGGCTTCTTATGGATTACATTTTGCTTTTAGTCTCTTAATCTACATTGCAGAGGGGCTGATGGTTGCATAGCTTCTGCGTGACTTGAGAAGCCATTGTTATGCTACTTCCGACAATGCATCCAGATACCGTCTAGGCGTCAGGGAACTGGATGAATTGCTCGAGGTTTTCATGCCAATGTCGACTGCAGCTCAAGCTCAACACCAGCCGTCTCTACATCAGACGCAACCCCCAGGCCAACAACCAAGTATTCAACAAGATTACGCCGAAGACCAACACCCACAATCAGATGGACATGAAGAAAATGATCAACATGAAGCCACCGCTGATACCAGCCCGGCTGGCCCCCCTACTCGGGTCAACCGCGTAGATCCCGTGGTAGAGATATCCAGCACTTCGTCTGCAGCTGGAAAATCCCAGTTGCTATATTATCTCGCTGCCGTTGCCGTCCTTCCATCGACATACGATGGCATGCGCCTAGATGGGCGTGAAGCTGCAATTGTGTTCATTGATGCGGATGGCCGGTTCGATGCTGATCGTCTTCGAACTGTGGCTCGGGGAATCGTTCGTCAGAAGCTAAAGACACAGAAAGAGAACTCAACACCGACCACAGAAACAGAAAATGCATCATCCGAACGCTCACCCGAGGAGATCGAGACAATCATTGTGACATCCTTACAGCATGTCCATATGCTTCGTCCACAATCCTCTTCCTCTCTATTATCAACGCTGCAAAAGCTGGAGACATATCTCTTTGACCTTCCGCGACACTTCTCATCCAATCGGCCTCTACACGCGATCCTCATCGACAGTGCTAGCGCCTTCTTTTGGCAAGATAAGCTACGCGACGAGGTGGCTCGAATCGAGGATATTGGACGTCCACCAGCTGAAGTTGAACGTGAGCGATCCCAAAAGCAAAGCTTCTACCTGCTGGATGTGTACGTGGACTTGGTGAAAGAGCTCAAACGATTACAGCGGCAATTTAGCTGCGTCGTTGTTTACACCACGATAGCTTGGAGCGGCAAGTCTGTAGGTGGTCCTGGCCATGGGCAACCACATAACCCCTCCGGCCCATTTGATCTATATGTTCCTCCGGTTCCTTCAGTTCCAAAGACGCCGTCCTTCCGCTCTTCACTTCCTGCTCCCTGGGGAACCTTTCCCACCTTACGGCTTGTTGTTCAGCGGGATGTGGTTCGTCCGTTTCCACCCCTGATGACTCCCCACGAAGCACAGCGGGATGCCACCATGCGACAAGAGATGGTCGTACAGGGCAGATTCTCAGGCTGGGTGAATGGCTGGGGACGGGAGGATTGGCCAAGGAGAGTGACAGAGGGCATTGAATGGAGGAACAATGGGATGTTTACATTCAACATTACGAGGAGTGGTGTTGACATTCCTGCTACTCGATAATTCCTACTATGGGATATGAGCTCATGAACTGATGATGTGTCTGTACAATGTTAATGTATTTCGTTCTATATATCATTAATATATCATGTCAACTATTATATATCTGATAATCAGCTGAAGAACATTCCAATTTTTTCAACCGTGGTATTCCCTCCACTGAAGACAATCCCCATATCCCAACCATCCTTCGCCTCGCTCTCAACCAGTCGTCTAAACTCCTCATTGAACAGGCAAACCGCCAATCCAACCACCGCACTCGGCTCAACAACGACCTTCATTCGCTCCAAGACTAGCCGCATAGCAGCCTTGATCTGTTCCTCCGTCACAGCAAAGACACCACCGGCCTTGTTCTTGTCCGAAATCACCATCCAGTTCAGCACTCCGACAGGCGTGCGCAGTCCATCCGCAATAGTCAGCGACTTCACCGTAGTAATGCGTTCACCAGCCTCCAGACCCCGACGGCAATCATCAGCGCCTTCAAAGCTAGGCTCCGCGCCAAATACCCGAGTCGGTTTATCGGAAAAGTATGTCGTAACGCCAGCGTTGAGACCTCCTCCACCAACGGGGGTAATCACAGCATCGAGTGTTTTAGGCTCCGAGCCCTGGTGGATACTCAAATGCGGCTTCTCCCTGACTGTCTCTATATACTGTCCTTCCAATTCCAACCCCGTCGTGCCCTGGCCACATATGATATTGAAATCATCGTACGGCGGAATCATAAGCGCACCCGTCTTGGCCTGGACATCCGCCACGACAGCCTCCCGCTCAGTACTTGTTGACCCGCTAAAGATAACCTCTGCACCATGCGAGCGCGTACCAGAGACCTTAGACGGGGTGGAGATCTCAGGCATGACAATGTATGCGGGGACGTTGAGGGTCGAGGCAGCGAGAGCAAGAGCTTGAGCATGATTCCCTACGACTGTTAGTTAATTTGCTGCAACAGATATTCACATAAACACAAGGGGAGAGCTATACCGGAACTGTGGGTAATCACACCGCGCTTCTTAACTTCCTCTTCACCCAGTTCCTCGATAAGTCTTATCAAGCCATGGAAGGCACCGCGGGCCTTGAAAGCGCCAATGCGCTGGTAATTCTCGCACTTGAAGAAGAAACGAAACTTGGGCTGGGCGGGAGTGTGGCCTTCAAAGGGAGTTCCAACCAAGGCCTCAGGGGATTGAGGGGTCGAGGCGATTTTGTCGATAGTCTTGCAGGTGAGAAGTGGAGTGCGATGAACATACGGCTTGATCAAGTCGTAGGCTGAGTGAACGGCAGAAGGGGTGAGATCTTTGAGTTTTGTTGCGGCATCGGCCATTTTGACGAGTTTTATGAGGAGATGATTGTTAGGAGGGAGAGAGAGGAGCGGAGAAGACGAATTTCAGAACTGGAATCAGCTGAATGAGGGGTAGAAAAATACATAAGGCGGGGTTTTAGTGTAGATCTGCCGGAAATATCTGCTATTCGATCTCGAATCAAGATTCCCCTCTTTTGGGGCTGAGGGGGGCGGCGTGCCTCACCAGTCGCCGGGCACCATGACCGGGGATTGGGGACATGCAGAATGCACGGGTTTGCAATCCCTATAACCTTCAACGGCATTCATCATGTGCAAAGAATAGATATGGAGGTTGATCTGTAGCATGTATATAAGGTTCGATGCAGATGGAACTTTTTCCAAGGAAAGGTACATATCCCCATCCCCAGATAACTATACCACTGCATGGCTCATTATCCAATTAGCAGGATGGCTACATCATATGAATGATTTGAAGTAATAAAATTTGATTCACTAGTAATTATGGAAATCCAATTGAGACAATGGAAGATAACAAATTCATGGTACAGTCGTAACTTTTACCCAACCGGCACTTTTGGTATCAATACATTTATTTCTGGTTCTCGGGGCGGAGGGAGCTGAGTGATGATTAGCATTAATTCAATTGGCAGAGGAACAGATAAAAACTTACCGGACGGCCTTTCCGGCGCGCCAGATCTCGAGATCACGGATGTCCTGCATCTCCTTCTCGTACTTCTCCCGGTAGTCCTTCTGAGAGTTGTAGTCCAGCGAACGCTGGGTCTCAGTGCCGTTGCGGACGCTCTCGTAGAGCTCAGCGAAGAGGGGCTTGAGGTTGTCCTTGAAGCGGCTGGACCAGTCGATGGCACCACGGCGGGCGGTGGTGGAGCAAGCGGCGTACATCCAGTCCATACCGTTGCTACCGATCAAGGGGTAGAGAGACTGGGTGGCCTCCTCAACGGTCTCGTTGAAAGCCTCAGACGGGCTGTGGCCGTTCTCACGGAGAACCTCGTACTGGGCGAGGAACATACCGTGGATACCACCCATCAAGCAACCACGCTCACCGTAGAGGTCAGAGTAGACCTCCTTCTCGAAGGTGGTCTCGTAGAGGTATCCGGAGCCGACAGCGACACCCATGGCGATGGCCTTCTCCTTGGCCTGGCCGGTGACGTCCTGGAAGACGGCGATGGAGGAGTTGATACCACGGCCCTCACGGAAGAGGGTACGGACGGTACGGCCGGAGCCCTTGGGGGCAACGAGGATGACATCAACGTCCTTGGGGACGTCGACCTTGGTGAGGTCCTTGAAGACGGGGGAGAAACCGTGGGAGAAGTAGAGGGTCTTTCCCTTGGTGATCAAGGGCTTCAGGGCGGGCCAGGTCTCACTCTGGGCAGCGTCGGAGAGCAGGTTCATGATGATGGAACCCTTCTCGACGGCGGTGTTGACGTCGAACAAGTTCTTGCCGGGAACCCAGCCATCCTGGATGGCCTCCTTCCACGAGGCACCATCCTTGCGGACACCGACAATGACATTGACACCCTGGTCACGGAGGTTAAGACCCTGACCGTGACCCTGAGAGCCGTAACCGATCAGAGCAAGGGTGTCGTTCTTGAAGAACTCCTGGAGCTTCTCACGGGGCCAGTCGGCACGCTCGTAGACGATCTCCTTGGAGTCGGCGAAGGTCATGGACTTGAGGCCGCGGACGGAGGGAGTGTTAAGAGTCACCCGGGGAACGGCATTGGCAGCAGCCTTAGCCAGAGCGGGACGGGGGAGAGCGGCGTTGACGACCGAGCGAGGAGCAGCCACGCGGGCGAGGCGGAGGGCACGGGGGAGACCACGGGAAGCCATTGTGAAGGAGGAGGAAGGAATTGATGGAAAGGAAAACAAAAAGAGAGGAGTGGAGAGGAGATTAATTGGGAGAAGAAAGGAAAAATCGAAGCGGAGAAAATATGGGAGCAGCAGTCTTTCTTATAAGGTTGAAGCAGCAATGCGCGGCCGGTCGGGAGGGTGGCACGTGATCCGGAGTTGGGAATGAGCTCCCCGGCCGACATCGGCTTTGCACGGCTGTGATTGGCCGGAGAGTGCTTTATGGGGATAGCCGACCGATCACAAAAAGAGGATTTGAAGACTCAATCATAGATGTTGACTCATAAAGATATGCATTATTGACTATTGGAAGATTATTGGATAATGGGCATTGATATTTATGAGAAGAATCCGGGCGTCTGATTGAGCGATAAATTCCTTCTCGCCGCATCATCGACCTCTGCAACCTTGCCAGAGACTGTACCGTGGTTTGTCCTGGAGTAGATAGATGCCTGGCTGCCTGACTGCCTGTGGCTTGGTGCCTCAGGTGTCTCATCACCACTCCATCATCGCTTCACTCGTATTCATGATTCGATCAGCGCCATCTCCACCTTGATAAACCCGCATCCGATTTCTTCTTGCAAACTGTCCAAATTCCCCTCCTTTCATCAATCGCCACCCCTACCATGTGTATACAATGAGTTTACTTTCCGCATTCGGTGCTCTGCCCACCATCCAGACCCGAAAGGCCCTTCTGATTCTCGACTTTCAAAACGACTTTGTCCGTTCCTCTGGAGCTCTGCATGTTCCCAATACTGCAGATATTCTTGATAACCTCCCTCAGCTTGCCAATGCCTTTCGTCGCGCCGGTGATGTCGTTTGGGTGCGGTCGCAATATGAGTCCTGTCGGTCTCTGATCGATTCTGATTACCAAGAACGTGTGGTGTTGGGCCGGGTGGAGGATGAAAAGAAGAAGCGCTTGTCCCAGCAGGATCAATATTTAGGGTCAGAAGGTCAGATAGGAGAAAAGGAACCTGTCCATGAGGAAGCTTTCCTTACCACGGACTCTCCCCGATGTTGTCGTCCTCAGACGCCAGGTGCCCAATTTCCGGCGCCTGTCTTGGCTGCCATCGACTCCGAATGCGATACGTTGTTGGATAAGTCCGATTACTCCGCGTTGCAGAGTGAAGGTCTGATCTTGTCTTTCCGTACGCGCTTCGTAACGGAGATTTATCTATGTGGTTCTCTGTCAAATGTGTCTGTCTATGCCACCGCGCTTGATGCTGTCCGGCATGGCTTCTCCGTTACCCTTATTGAGGATTGTCTAGGTTTCCGTGACTTCTCTCGCCACGCAGAGGCCATGCGACGGATGGCGGACATTTTCGGAGCCTGTGGTATCACGACGGAGGAGCTCTGCCAAGAGCTCGACTGGCAGGAGACTGATGATATTGCACAAAGAGGGGGTCCTAGACCTGTTCGAACTATCGTCCCCGCAGGACTTGAGAGTGTCATGGATGAACTCGAAGTCAAGGCAAATTCCATGGCTGCTTCTAGGGAAGGCGATAGAGTAGAAGAGCGACAGGACAGCCGTCGTCGCAGGATTGATGATGTCCTGGAAGATATGTCGGATGGTGAGGATGATGATATAACGAAACTGGTCAACATGACCCGTTCTCGCAATCGCTTTGCACCTTCCCAGACGCATGACACTCAAGGTAGCTCCGGGGATAAGAAAGTTCGTGCGCGGGTGCGTCGCAAGCCAGGAAGAAATGAGCAAAAACCAGAGCAATCTTCATCTTCGCGCCCAGAAAATCGCCGAGCGGCTAAGTCCAAGAAACTGTCGCTAGATATTTGCGGCCCGGGGGATGTTATCGGGGAGGGTGACTCGCGTATCATTCATGATCTCGATCTGCCTGCTGACGCATTCGAGAAAATTCGCAATGAGGTTGACTGGCAGAAAATGTATCACTTGTCTGGCCAGGTGCCGCGACTTGTTGCCGTGCAGGGGCGATCTCAAGACGATGGGTCAATTCCCATATATCGTCACCCCGCAGATGAGTCGCCGCCACTTCACGCTTTTACCTCCACGGTTGACCAAGTGCGCGTTATTGTTGAGCGCGTTCTCGGACATCCTCTCAATCATGTGCTTATCCAACTCTATCGTGATGGACAGGACCGTATTTCCGAACATTCAGACAAGACGCTTGACATTGTTCGTGGCTCATTTATCTGTAATGTTAGTTTGGGTGCTCAACGCGTGATGGTCCTTCGAACCAAGACCCACGGGTCTGATGAGTCGGACTCGCGAAACACACAGCGTGTTCCCATGCCTCACGAGTCACTGTTTGTTCTAGGCGAAAAGACAAACATGCGGTGGCTGCATGGTATCCGACCCGACAAGCGTGCCGAAAACGAGAAATCAACGGAAGAACGAGCATATGGTGGCGAGCGCATCTCCCTTACCTTCAGACATATAGGCACCTTCCTAAATTCACCAGGTGACACTATTTGGGGCCAGGGTGCTATATCTAAAACCCAGGACGGAGCTAATGCTGTGATCCACGGGGATCCTGCCGAAACAGAGCGACTTATCCGCGCATTTGGCAAGGAGAACCACGCTAATGAGTTTGACTGGGACGCAACGTACGGTGGAGGGTTTGATGTGGTCAACTTTGTCACAGCATCGACGCCGCAGTTGGTGCTGAGCGGAGACCCAGTGGCTGATCTACGGGCTCGACTCGCCCTGAGTGAGAATGGCCTGCGATATAATGCGACAGATTCTGCTGGCAGCAAGTCAAGTATTGCAAGACCATTGTTCATCGGAACAGACGACACGCGGGTCGCTGGCGATGTGCAGATCCTGACTTATCTGGGCCAGAAAAACCCCTCAACGACGCGGTCAGGCATAGAAAAGTTGCCAGAGGGTACCCAACTTCCCCTCATCGAGGAACTTCTGTTGCGCTGGCGGGAATACCAAAACCGCGGAGAAAGCACACAACCCGACTGGCTGGATGCCTGGGACAAGTCACTGGATGGAAAGCACTACCTTGGAGGAACGGCATTTGGGATCGACGACTGTTCACTCTGGCCTGTGCTGAAGGAAATCGTACAGGGCAGAGGGTCCCTGTCGAGCCTGGGGTTCCCCAATCTACAGCAGTACTATAACCGGGTGGAGAAGCGGGGGATTGTCAAAGCAACGCTGGAGGAAATGAAGTGATATTGGTCTTTTCTTACTTAATGGCACGAGATCAATGATTACGATTTTTATGACTAGCATATAGCGGCTTTTGGATTGTTTTTCTTTTGGTTTACTTAACGCTTGGGCAATTCTCAGGAACGTATAACTATCTATCTATACCAGCTTAATTTGAGTGACAATTCTTATTCAGTTGAGTTTCATTTGGTCTGTTATTTCGTCTGACAGACATTTATCTAATGAGACAGGAAGCAGCAATCATTCAGCAACACACCGACATGTATGGTGTATGCCCCCGAATAACATGGTCGTCTCACCATCCAGACTTATCCAACAATGCACCGTCATTGATTCAAACTTATCATATAACATCATTAAAATAGTTGAATTAAGCCGGCCCCAAGCGACGCGGATCATATGACATTAACACATCAACCACAACCATCAGAATCCCCAATCGTGTCATGCTCATCATACCGCAACCACTGATTGATCTCAGCTCGCGAACCATGGCGCAGATCTAACAGAAGATTCAACAAGGATAGGAACAGTGGATGAGCTGTTCATCTCCATCGGGCTGAAATGGCTGAAAGACGAGCTGATCATGAAGATCTTCATGAGTCAATACTAGTTATCGAATCCAGCTGAAGTGAGACACGAGGAATAAAGTATGGACCACCATAACTAGACCTGTTTATACAGAAGGATTCTGAAAGCATACACATGATGATATTGATATGATATCTTACAAGCACTCTCCATCAAAATCTGTCGTCGTCAACACATCCTTCAAAGCAGCATCACCACACGCCACAGCCTTCAAGAACGCATTGGCAACCACCTGCGCCCCCTCAACACTGGTATGCGTATGATCATTAGGATAATACCCATCCACCGTATTCGCCCCCAACGACTTGCAAATAGCAGCCACATACGCCCCGTGGTCCACATAATCGACCCCCGCCACCTCCGCCGCCAACTGCGCATACTCGACAAACCTCGAAGCCGAATAGACATACTCGCCCGTCTCCCAGACATTATTCGGCGTCTGGCTGGAGATGAGCACCTTGGCGCCCTTGGCGACGAACGCCTTGGATGCGTTCTCCAGATACGCGGGGAAGGTGAGCACGGTCTCGGTTTGGCCGTCGTAGGTTGTCGTGCAGGTCTCGTCGCCCGTTCCGGGGCAGTCGGTGCGTCCGTTGTCGGAGGAGGAGAGAGAGCCGCCGTCGTTGTGGCCGAATTCGATGACGACGTAGTCGCCTTCTTGCAGGACGTCGGCGATGGCGTCGAAGCGGCCTTCGCGCGTGTAGGAGCGGGCGCTGCGGCCTCCGATGGCTTTGTTGGAGACGGTGGAAGAGACGGAGGAGGAGATGTATTCACCCCAGCCTATAGGATTAATATGAATGTGTAGATATAGCGATGGTGAGGTGTATACCGTCTGTATTCGAACCACCACCATTCTTGGCCATGGTGGAATCACCAGCCAGGTAGATAGTAGCCCCAAGGGCAGTAGGAAGAAGAGAGGCAGCCAAAGCGAGAGACTTCATTTTCATGATTGACATACGATTGATTGATTGATTACGATTATCTCCATGATATACCTACCCTTTTATATACCTCAGCCACTAGAATTATACGTGGAAAAATCCCCACGGAATAAGCTGCATCCTCCACCGGAGTAGCATATAGAATAATCAATGTTAATCTAAATACACAGTCGAGATCCTTCGTTTCGAATTTTAAACGTCATTTTCAGGGATGAGACGCAGTGCCTTTTTACCCCCGCAGCTCATTACCCGAAGAGTAAGCGTCGGGCCACCGGATGTTGTTGCAGAACAGAAAGAGGAGACAGACTCGGCAGATGGAGAAGAGGATATGACAGCGGGAGTTGGAGATCGTGTTTCAGGTGTTGTTTGACGATTTTTATTTATAAATCTGGCTATACGATGGATGGGATATAGTTGTGGAAGACGATATTTTCCCGCACTGATGGGATAATGCCTGGAAAGATGCACCACTTTTTCCACCTGTGAGAGGACAAGATCATCAAGGGATATTCAACGAGATGATGATCAAATCGAATGGTATGTAGTACATGGGATGCTCAGAAGAAGAATCCCTTGCTTGAAGATAAAAGATCTTGTCCAACTCGTGCTCGATTCTACTGCCTTCAGTTGTGCTACTCTATACGTTTCACTCCAGCCCCTTACTTGAGGCAAGCTGACCGAAGAAGAAGACGACGCAAGGCAAGAGGAATGCTGGCTATACAAACGACGAATCCCTTCGAGATGTCTTGAACTTAGATCGGGACACAACCTTTCAGCCTTGCTGTGTAACTGCGGGAGAGAGATTTGGGACCAAGTAGATCGTAGGACTTGATATATAAATTAGCAGTAGAATGCCCTACAGAACGAGCAGCTACACCACATCTGTTCCATCAGCAGGACATCACCATGGCTCAATCCAAAGCTTCCAACGGCAAGAAGGAAGAGATCGTCTGGCTTCATGTCGTTAGCTTTATTGCCCTTCATCTCGCCGTGCTTATCCTCGTCCCTCAAACCCATCTGCGACTGGAAACAGCCATCTTCACCTTGCTGTACGGCTATGCTACAGCCATGGGGATTACCGCAGGTATACCTCCTGTTCAGCATGCGTACACCGCCAGCTGACAATATAGGATATCACCGGATGTGGTCTCATCGAGCATACTACGCCAGCCCTGCTCTCAGAGTCCTCCTTGCTTCCCTCGGGGCTGCCTCCTTCCAACGATCCATCCTGTGGTGGGTATACCTTCACAGGGCTCACCACCGCTACATCGATACAGACCGTGATCCCTACAACGCCAAACGAGGACTACTATACTCGCATTTCGGATGGTTGTTCTACCGCAAGGAGATGGACACCAACAACGGGATAGACATCGCTGATCTCCACAACGACCCGGTAGTAACCTGGCAGCATCGACACTTCAACTTCATCGGTTTCCTAGTCGGGGTTCTCCTCCCGTTCCTCATCGTCGGACTGGGCTGGAATGACTGGCCCGGCGCGATCGTCTACGCCGTCATCTTCCGCATCTATTACATCTTGAATGCCACCTTTACCGTGAACTCCCTAGCTCACTGGGCAGGCGACCAACCGTATTCTGACGCCTACACGGCACGGAATCACTTCATCACAGCAATCCTCACCCTTGGCGAAGGCTGGCACAATTTCCACCACGAGTTCCCCTCCGACTACCGCAACGGCGTGAGATGGTACGATTACGATCCCACAAAATGGCTGATTTGGATCTCCGAACAGACCGGGTTCGCACTGGGCCTGAAACGATTCAAGGACGAGAATATCGAACTGTCGCGCGTCCAGCAGCAGCAGAAAGTGCTGAACAGGAGAGAGGCGGGGTTGGATATCGGACCGCCGCTTCATACGCTTCCTGTGGTCGAGTGGGAGGACTACGAGCAGCAGGTGAAAGAAGGTAGGCGTCTGATTTCCATCGCAGGGGTCGTGCATGACGTTGCGGATTTCATCGCTGAGCATCCTGGTGGCGAGGCGTATATCAAATCTGGCATTGGCAAAGATGCGACGGCCATGTTCCATGGGGGTGTGTATCACCATCACAATGCTGCGAATAACCTCCTAGCTGGTATGAGGGTTGCTGTGATTCGGGGTGGAGGAGAGGTGGAGGCTTGGAAGACACATAGGAGATAGGAGATCTCTGTCTTGTTCGTGGAGATGAAGTATGGTCATTGAAGTGAAGTACTTGGACATACGAGGTAGACGGTTTGGCGTAACTAGTAATTGAACAGCACATATTTACATAGCATCTCACAATTACAACTTCTCAAACGTTGGAATTCTTTTCTGCAGCCCAGACAGCATCGCAGCCTGGATATCTTTGGTCTGCAACGCCGCCGCATTCCAAACAGCCGTATATCTCAGCCCTACAAAGTCAGCAACCCAACAATCGAACTGCAAAACGACAACTGAGTACTCACCATCCTCAACAGAATGATCCCTCGAATAATTCAACAACTCCTTCGTCCCCTGCACCGCAACAGGGCTCTTCCTCGCCATCAACCCCGCCATCTCCAACCCCCTCCGGACCGTCTCCTCCTTATCCTTATAAACCGCATTCACAAACCCAACCTCTTTCGCCTCGTCCGCCAAAAAGAACCGTGCCGTCAGCGCAACCTCCTTCACCCAGCCATAGTTTCCCACAGCCTTGGGCAGACGGCTCAACGTGCCTATATCGGCCGCAAGCCCAACATCCACTTCTTTTACGGCACACCGGAAATCGGCGCTCGCAAGCCGCACATCCGTCGCAACGGACAAGTCAACAGCCAACCCGAGCGCCAAACCATGCATGATGCAGATAACGGGTTTCTCGCACCGTTCTACGGCCGTAATACAGTCCTGGAATGAGGCGATGTGCCGACGGAGCTCGAAGGCTTCGCGCGCCGCGTCGGCGACTTTCTTTTCGGCTAGCAGGCCTTGAGAGGCGAATTTTACATCGAGGCCTGTTGTGAAGGCTTTATCTCCTGCGCCGGAGAGCACGATTGCGCGGACGGAAGAGTCGTGCGAGAGTTGGGTGAAGATTTGGCCGAGTTCGAGCCACATGCTGTGTTGAGTTAGATAGTGCTGACAGTGTAGGAGAGGGGAGGGGATTACGCTTCGAAAAAGGCATTCATCTTGTCTGGTCTGTTGATTTCCACGTGGGCCACATATTGGTATTGTTCTGGGAAGAAAATGTTGAAGTATTTGTACGAGGAATATCTTTGAGCGTCGGCCATGATTGCGGTGATGTGATGTGATGCTATACCCGGGATACTGAATGTCAGGAGTGGTTCCGTAAATTTCTCGACCTCAATCCCACAGATAAGACCCAGAATATATAACCCAGGCAGACGGAAATAAACGCCCAACAATCGCAAACGTTGAATTGAACTGGCGATGAATGAATGAGTTGGCGCGGGGATGGAGAAGAGCTCGGGACGGTAAAGCACTAGGTTCACGTGGACCTCGGCTCAGCGTCAAGTCCACGATTGCGTGTGGCTATTTTAACGCTGAGTGGAGGTGCATATATTGGAATTGAAAATGGAGATTATCAGGTTTGTGCTACTCTGACATGGACAGATGACAAGGAATGATCACATTCTTTTGACTTTCTTACAAGGAGGGTGACGCGGAGTATGCAACTGGTTAGGGAGAGCGTTAGCTTGCATATCTGTACTTCTAATAAAAAAGTACCGACAAGTGGCGGGTTGATTGTAATGAGCAAAGAGAGGGGTGGTTATAATCTATTAGGCTCAGAGTTACGACATTGCTACCTTATTGTTATCTCTTAAACTCAATAATATAGAAGCCCCGAATCGGAGAAGGATTTAAGGTGATCAGCCATGAAATGTGGGGAAGAGAAATGCACAGCATCTACAGGCGGTGAAAGATCCTATGAATGGATACTACGAAGTAGAAGGTTTAATAATAGAACAGTGAATTAATTAAGCAACTATGGTACAGCGGTAAAGACAAAGTCAAACTGCAAACATCTGCCAGTAGAGGAAAAAATCATGCGCATCGTAGAAATCGTCGAAGTCGAGATCATATCGTTTACTCGATAGTAATCTTCTTAGTTCCCGAAGTAGTAGACTTGGGAACAGTCACGGACAAAATGCCATTCTTCAGACTAGCCTTGACACTGTCCTGGTCGACGCGAGTCGGGAAAGCAAAAGTTCGGAGGAACTCGCCGACAGAGCGTTCGGTCGCCCAGTATCGGTGCTTGCTGTCGGTCTTGGACACTTGCTTTTCGCCTTCGCTCTGAGGCTCGCTGTCGTCGGATTCGGTGTGGGTGGAGCGCTCAACCCGGCCCTTGATTACCAAGGTCTGGGGGTCGGAGAATTCAATGTCGATGTCTTTCTGATCGACACCGGGGAGTTCGCCGTCGAGGTGGTATCCATCCTCGCTTTCTCTAACGTCGAAGCGAGGAGAAAAGGAGCGAACAGATGTCTGCTTGTTTGAGCGGTGGACATCATAGTCGTCCAGGAGGCGGAAGAGGGGGGCGAAGTCGCCGCCAGTGGGAATGGTTCTGAAGAGAGACATGTTGATGGTAGGGTTTTCAGACTTGTAAATGAAGTAGAAGTAGAGGTAGATGTAGAGAGATTGTTTTGTTTTCACTTGTAATGGTTGTGATGATTGTGATGTTCTGGATGATGATGGGAAGTTGAGTAGTCGTCGACGCCTCTTTTATATTTGCGAGTCATGATTCCAGAATATCCCATGTATAACTCTGGGATATTCGCGAAACCTCTCGATCACAGAGTGTATAGATCTCGTAGAGACCAGAAGCGACGAGCTCCTTGTCGTCGATGTCACCAGTGGTGGCGTGGATAGTTCTCGACCATTCCACGATCACGTGACCCAGTATCGCAACAATATGCTGACCAAATCGAATATTCGCGTACTACAACCAAATAATGGCTCACCCCTGTAGCCCGCTGATTGATCATCTTCATTAGCCATGGCTTGCACATTCTGGAGCACATGCCGCATATGTGACCGCCACGCCACGTCATACCAGACCTTTCGAGACAGCGGAGCTGCCGACATGGCCTAACCTGCACCTGTCCATAGTCCATACATCGTTCTATTCCCCAGCTGACCAAGTAAATTTTGGCTTGATGCTTGCATGACAATTTCCAAGTTCCGATAGGGTATACGAATATCTCACGGGAGGACGGACCGGCGCAGCAACAAAACCAAACGAAACGTAAATAGACCGACGGGGAATCTACTCCGACTCAGACTCTTCCGGCTGCATAACCTTGTCATCGAGATCCTATTCCAAATCAGCAAAGATATTCTCAGGCGCATCCCGGAGTCCATTACCTTGCCCAGTCTCGCCTTCAAGTTGGCCAGCTGACTCTCCTTGATCACCAGGTGACGATCATCGTCCAGATCCTCCACGATATAGTCATGTCTTTCTTCGTCGTATTTTAGGATGATGGCTTTGACGGATGGATCGCATTCGATGAGGACTCCTGTGGGGTGTTAGCTGTGCTTGTAGTGTAGCTGGAGTTGGAGCTCCTGTCTGGGTAGCTTGTAGGACGTACCTCGGACTGCGCGGGGCATTTTGATGGTGTTTATAAGATAGCAGATGGACGTGTGTTAGATTATGAGCGAAGTCTCTGTATCAATGGTTCGTCGTGGTCAACCAAGTTGAGTCTGGAGAGCGACAAACTGTTTGGCGCAGATTCGAGAGATCTAATGCCAAGGCCGTAAGGCAACAAGGCAGAAATATCCACCTTGGATAAGTTCAACTGTCTACTGTACACGTTCTGCGTCTCAAAGCCCAGATAACCACGGATGTTCCAACTCCTGGCGCACAGTAAGTCGTTTTGCAGGATCCAGATTCGTTAATTCCTGAATGAAATCCTTGAATACTGGATCGGTAACACCCGGCCACTCTGAAAATGGTATATACGGAATTTCCTCAAACCTATCATCCCATAGCATCCGCAGCATTTCGCAACTAATCTCATCATCACTAATATGCCTCAAGAGCCCTTTGATCCCTTCCCGGCCCCCAAAATATGAAACTTGACGCTGTAGGCGAATATAAACAGGAAGTGCACCCTTCGAATAATGTTTTTCGAAATCATCATGAGGGCCCAAAATGACGCGTCCGAGCATAGCATAGATACACTGCCCTGTCAGCGAATAGTGATATTCTCTCTGATACAGAAAGGTACTTACGACGATGCCAAAAGAAAAGATATCAGTTGGTTTGTTCAGTTCGCCCTTGAAATGTCCCTCGGAACTGCGCCAGTTGTCATTGCCAGGAAGCATGCCTTTGATGCATCGCCGTCTGGGGAGATACGCGGCATTTTCAACGTCGATTATCTGAACTTTTCTGATGATATCCTCTTCACCATCGCGGTGGTGATTGACCATGATATTATCTGGTTTTATATCTACACAGTTAGCTACATCTCTCCTGTAAAAATCCAGAGACATACCGAGATGAATAACATCCCTCTCATGCAACTCCGCAATACCCAACAAAACAGCCTTGAGGATCTTCTTTCGGGCACGCATCGAAATCCCCTTCTTCACAAGACTCAACAAGTCGTCATCCATATACCTGTATATGAATATCCGTTGACCGGGTATGGTATCCCACGGCAGCCGTATATACGGATTCTCACGAAGTCTTGGGTGGATTTCCTCGTTGAAGTTGGTGAAAATGTCCTTGGGTATGTCTTTTAAGATAAACCGATTGTGTCCGGAACTAGGGCGTATTAGTTTGTGTATGGGTGCATATGAGTGAAAGACAGACCTTGCCAACCAGACAGAACCTGAATGTGGTCGTTGTTGGACGAGTTTTTCAAATTGATAGCGATGTCCAGTTGCTCCGATGTGTGAATTGGAGAGATGCCATTTTGGCAATGGTTTTTCGGAACATGTTATCCCTTTTTATAGAACGGCTTTCAACTATCAGATTGAATATACGGCAGACTATATGATTAAGTTAAATAAATGTGATGGATTGATAGATGACAATATGATATATTGAAAGTAGATCCGTGTCTACGTTTTAAGGCTATCGATGTTGATGCACGTCATACCAGTCTAACCACATTAGGAGTACACTAAATGGCTGGATATCTTTACTGTTTGCGAATAGACTATCAAATATACTCATTTACTTAAAATTAGTGTATTTCATCATTAATATCTGAACCTTGCATTGAAATCACCGCATTTCATCCCATGATCCAGACGCGGGGATGCGGATGACACCCCCATCTGACCACCGGTCAATCTATAAAACATCCCATTACCCAAACAATTCTATCTAGACCATTCAACATCAACAATGAAACTCGCGTATATCCTGCTTTCCATTGCTGTCGCAGCAAACGCTGAATATCATCACCCTACCTGTGAGAATTACCTTACTTGATATATACATCTGCTAAGTGGAAGCTATAAAAATGATAACCCACTCCGACGAGTATATCTCACCTGCTAGAACTTTTGGCCAGTCTGGTCTTGCATTGAATGAAGAAAGTATGAACCCTACCATTATAATACGTATACATCTAACAGGTTAGTATGCTATCGCTGCTCCTCACCCTGCTCGCAAGCCGTGTGCTGTCATGGACGATATCCACAGTGTTGTTCGGATGGAACGTATTGCTATTGTTGTGAGTAGATAGATTAGTTATATTATATACACTAGACATTGCATAGAGAAACAATATCCTCTGGCACAAAAGGACGCAGAATAGCAATCAACTTGGACAGCGGAACCCAGTCGAGCGTGCCGTGGATGGTCTCAAGGGGTCTTCCGCTGTATAAAACACGGGCGTAGAATTCGTCGGATGTTTTCCTATACTTGTTAGTCTTACTCTCATATCGAAGAAGGGAAGGCGAATACCATAACTCAACCGCAATATTCGACCCCATCCCCGGCCATCGTAGCGCCCTGATCCCCAACGCCCCCAACACAGGCCCCATATCACCATCGTGGATGAAATTATGGCTATACACGACTTCTGTCCCGCCTTGCTGGACAATCTCCCACTTTCGAATCAACTCGCCCAGAAACACGCCCTCGACGAGCTGGATGTACCGCGTGGCGTGCTCATTCCGGCGCCACCAGTAATTCCACTCCCAGTCACCGGCGCGGAAGGCTTCGTCAATTTGGGATGATGTGACGCAGTCGGATTGGTTTTGTAGACGACATGGTGGGTGATAGCCATTGCAGAGACGAGCTTGGAAGTTATCGTTGAAGTGGTCGAATGTGTCCATCCAGGAGGAAGAGTTGGCGTCGAACTTTGTGGCTAGATTGTCGCGGAGGGATTTGGTCACGGATAGATGTTCGTTCCACTCATCTGTCGACTGAATTGATGAGAGGACAGAATCTCGCGCAGGACACGAGAAACCCTGATCAACCGTATCCACCGACGAAGCCTGCTGATGCAATGGAAGCGCACCCTGGTAATTCGGGAATACACCACGGAGGACAGCACCAGCCGAGCCCTGCGTAAGAGCGGAAGAGCTAGACCTGAACCAGACTTTGTTCTGATCCGGAGAAGCAGGGAGAAGATCTAACTTGTCACCGTAGACAGCGCGGAGATCACGGCCGTGCTGAGTGCCGTCGAGAAGACCGCCGACGGTGAGTTGGGGATACTGACAGGAACCATTGACATAGGAAGATAGAAAGGGATTGAAGGGGTCAGAGTAGGTTTGGGCATAGACTGGGAGAGAGGAGGTGTTATTCAGGGCTGGGGCAGAGTAGACGAATGGATGTGTGTTTTCGCAGTGATATTCTTGATTCTGCTGATGTTAATATAGATCTTTGATGATGGGGGATAGCTTACCTCTCCACCCGGAAGGATATTATAAGGAGTCCTCCGTTGATGACGCTGCAGATACTCCAGATAGACTAATCTCGCATCGAGAGAGCCATTATGCACCGGAGACGGGAGAGAATAGTGTTCTATACGAGGATGCGGCATGGTGCAGTAATTATAACTGTCATTTGAGATAGAGCTAGCTCCAACAGGAGCAGAGTAGGTGCCACCATAATTACCTAAAGAGGCATTGGAGATGTACGAAGTGGTGTTAAGGGGAGGATAGAAGGAGTTGGAGGGGGAGTGGCCGATGGCGGGGAGAGCGAATGAGGTCATTGTGGATAGAAAGGGCCAGTTAAAGGGCCACATGTTGGGATATCCGCAATTGAAGAAGCAGAGATGGGATAGATAGGATAGAACGGCCATTTTATATTCATCTTGATTGAATGAAGAAGAGCTGAAGATCTTGACTCCTGAGTGGTTAAAGTTTATCCAGCCAGTCAGCGTGGAGAACGGTCCACGTGGATCGACACTCTCAGTATGATGGTGTTTAATCTATATTATTTAATTAATGTTATTATATTAATTAAAATAGTGTATTTAGCAGACAGGAGTGAATTTACAAGAGAGATGATATAATTGGTGAATATACAAGGATCATTTCTCCTACTAGACTTAACTATAGATTTAATTCAGCTGATAACAAGATTCAAGCAGATGACAAAAAGAATGATAATAGAAAGTTTATAACAGCCAATCATCAAGCATACCATAAATCACAAGACTGATCCCATCAAAATACTAAAATCAACTATAAAAACACCAACATCCACTATTAAAACAAAACCATCTCATCAACATGCCCCAACTCGACGACAACACCGAAACCCTCATCCGTGTAGGCCATGACGCCCAAGACCACGTCCGACGAGCATGGGATGGATTCATCAACTTTGCAGCCCGCGATAACGTCCTCGAGGTTGCGCTCGGTCTGATGTGAGTTTCTCCTACTTACTAATAATAAAACTAACATGAATAGCATCGCCCAAGCATTCACCAAAGTAGTCACCTCATTCGTATCCGACATCATCCTCCCGATAATCTCGCTCCTCCCATTTATAAACCGCAACATGGACCAGAAATTCGCAGTGCTGATGAAAGGACCCCATTTTGATAAAGAAGTGGGGTATAATACACTCGAGCAAGCGAGAGATGATGGTGCACTTGTTCTGGCTTACGGGTATGATGAGATTCATGTTTAAATAGTATAAACTAATGGGGATAGGGTGTTTCTGGAAACGATCATCAGCTTTTTCGGTGTCAGTTTGACGCTGTATGCGGGGGCGCAGTTGTATATGATGGTCTCGCATCGCCGAATTATCAAGCCTACTGTCCGGTGCAGATATTGCAGGATGTTTATTAGTGAACAGGTATGTTTTCCATTTATTTACAGAGTAATATTGACATGACAGGCTCTACGCTGCATCCACTGTTCCAGCTGGCAAGATGGAAGGGAGGATAGTACTATATAATAAAGATGACGTGCTCCCCCATCGCCATGACAGCATACCTCGGCTGATATGCGGGGAAGCTCACCACCACACTTCCATGCATCTTCACCATGGAAGCAAGAACCAGAAAACGCATCCCCAAGTCCTGTCGACGCTGTCATCGTCGGAAACAGCGCTGCGTGGGGTTTCCCAGCTGTACTAATTGTGAAGCTGCACATCAACCATGTGTTCGATCGGAGACAGCCCTGTCGTGGCATCATGGCATGTCAAAGAACGCTCTCGCCCATCGGATTGAGGCGTTAGAGGCACAGTTATCTGCTCTTCGAGATGAAACGTCAGAAGTTGATGGTCAGCATTCTCCTACCGATAGCCATCTCAACGGGGTGGTGAGATTCTTGACTCTAGGACATGAAGGAAGTGTACCAGGCTATCTTGGCCCATCATCTGGTTTATCCGTCGCAGAGAATCTGAATCGAATTGTGCATGATGCTGTATCCAAGTCACTCCCTGTAAATGGTGGCAATCAGCCAGGTCCATGGCCAAACACAGAACAAAAGGTCGCACCTCCAGAAGACGCAATAGGAGAACAGATCCTCAATGCATATTTCAAGAACATGCACATGCGTCTTCCCTTTCTCGATCGACATGAGATTCTCGAGTTACACGCACAAAGGCACCAAGGAGCAGGACCAACGCCACACGACCAGTTTCGCAAATTCAAGATCTTCATGGTATACGCGATTGGAGCGGCCATTCTCCAAATGACAGAAACATACGATTCGACTCCCCCAAATACGTTTCTGGCTACGGCATTACAGTTTGAACCGACGTTGAGAGAATCGCTGTCTATTGCTACCATCGAAGCAATGATGTTGTTGGTTCTGTATAACCTGCGTTCATCATCGAATTCCAGCGTTTGGTACATGATCGGACTGGCGATGAGGACGTGTGTGGATTTTGGATTACATCGAGAAGCACATTATCAAAAGTTGAAGCCAGAGGAAGGACAGTTAAGACGAAGGCTGTTTTGGAGTGTCTATCTCATTGAACGATACGTCGCCTGGTCACTAGGACGGCCGTTCAGCATCGCAGAGGAAGAAATGGACGCAGAGCTGCCACCGGAAATAGACGAACAAGGACAGCCCAACCTTCGAAGATTCATTTCATCCATACGGCTCCAGCGCATCATGTCTCAGATACATATGCGGATCTATCGTGTTGACAAGAACATATCCTCGTTGGTGCCTGAGATCAGCCCCCTTCTGGCTTCACTAGAAGAGTATAAACGCAGTCTGCCTCGACTGGATCCACACGAAGATGACTTTGTGCATATGCATTGGAATAACTCGATTCGAATGCTTCTTCAGCCGTTTTTGAATACCCTCCATCCAGAAGATAAACTCATTCAAACGTGCTTATCTGCATCGGGACAGATGTGTCAATTCTTTAAAAGACTGCGACAGCGAGATTCGTCGGGATATTCTTTTCTTCTAGTTAATTCGGTCTTTTTAGCTGGACTAACTATGTGGTGAGTCCAACTGATATCTCTGATGTATATAATCTAATGATCAGTTTCTGTCTCTTTCGATCCCCCGGCCTCTGGACAACAAGTGTATCAAACGATCTCCGTGCCTGTTCATCTGCACTATTCGTCATGGCAGAAAGGAATCAAAACCTGAAAAAGTATCGCGACGGACTGGAAAACATCATCAACCGAGCCATGAATTTTGTGAGCGACAACGCAGACCAAGCATCTTCTGTACAAGAAACACCAACCATCCCAACCACGAACTGGAACTCGGCATTATTCGATCTGCAGGACCCATTATTTTCAACCTTTCACGACTTCCAACCAGACTCACTCCTTCAAACTGAACTTCAAGATCCATTTAATGGGATGCTCACTGAAGATTTCTGGGCAGGCGATGGATTCAGCTTACACATGGACGGACAAGCCAGACGACAAGAATGATAATCACATCACTAAAGATAATCTGAATTACAAATGACACGGCGCCAAATCATCCACAATCCCCAAATCCTCTCGTCGAGATTTACTCCCAGCATGGAAATACGGAACCTCGCCGACTCCCACTGCCCGATTGCCACTTCGCGGTCCGAAGCCTTCATGGTCGCCTGTTGCGGTGTGGAAGACGCTGCGATTATCCCAGATGGCTGGGAAGTTAGCTTAGTATATATATAAGTGATGGGATGAGGTACCAATATCATTAGGCTGGTTCCATTTAAACCGCACCTGGAGATCGTGTCCGTAGGTGATGAGATCGTGGAAATACTGGAGCATGTTGGCGCTTTCGCGACGGTTGAGGCCGTTGATATACGATGGGAATGCGCCTTTATAGCATTAGCATACATGCACACAGGCTGTATCATACTCACCAGCAGAAAAGATAGACTTCCACCCCGTAATCGGATTCGTCCGGACAACCTGTTCATCAGCATAAGCATATACAATAGATAATAAAGATACATACCGGATGAACAGCCCTCAACTCCCCACCCACATTAACCTCCGCCCCCCTAGCCTTCGTATACAGCCCAAACTTTCCCGACGCCGCCATCCTTCTAAATCCCTCCCCCACAAACGTCGCACTCAGACCCTCCAAAAACCGCCCATAAACACCACTAACCCGATCATACATCTCATACCCCGACGCCCACAACGTATCGCCCCCCGTGGTGGGTAGTTGCGTCAAACGCAGCGAGGAAAAGTCCGCCGGCGCGTTCTCGAACGCGATATCGCTGTGCCACACCGCAGCCATGTTAGTATAGTCTGACCCCTTGTACAGCTTCTTCCGGCCCTCCGAGTCGATGGTGCTGATTTCGGGATCTGGGTCGCCGAATTCGCGGGCGTCGTTGGTGACGGGGTGGATGTGGAGGGTGTGCGAGGGGGGTCGGGTGGTGAGTTCGCCTAGCCGGAGGATGAGGTGTTTCTGGAGGGCGTTGGTGAGGTTGTCTTGGGCGCGGAAGAAGACGACGCCTCGTTCGGCGACTGTTTAGCATGGTAAGTATTGCTTATCTGGTGGAGGGTGTTGGTGTAGGCATACTCATTATGGCTAAATCACGAATACGTTGCTCTGCGTCTGGGGCGTTGAGGATGTCGTCGACGATGTTGCAGGTGTCTTTGGGAAATTCATTGCCTATCACGGGTGTGACGAGGGTAGGGTTGAATGCATCCAGTGAGCCAGAGGAGTGAAGGCGAGGGTGTGGTTGTTTGGAAGGAGGTGAAACATTGTCAGTTGCTGAAGGAGACATTTTGCTTTGACTATTGTGGATGTAGAATGGATGGTCATGGTGTCTGTATTCTTATATTGTAGATATAGATCGGCTTTCGGCGATAGCAATATCGATCTATGTCTCTGTAATGCCTATTGCCGATGGATATCGGAGAACTTTAACTATGATAGCATAATGAGTCTGGCCTGAACATTCTGGCTAAGATGTATAGTCATATAATACTCTTTTTGGTATATCTTTTAACATTGCGAATAGAGGAAGCGGTTTAAGGTGAGATTGTGGTCCATTGCTGAATTCGTCCTGATTTGACATAGTCAGATGCAGCCATTGATGGGAGCCTTGCAGGGGTATCTTAGCTATACTAAGCCCATAGCTATGAGCCAGGGCCAGTATACAGCAGCAAATACCGCTTGCAGGGCTAATGCCTGATCAACGACATTGTTGGTCATCGACGACAAACAAACAACCAAAGAGCTACACTTAGAACGGAGAACGAAGGCGAAAAAGTCCTTGATCCTGCATCTCCACACCGGCAAACTTGAACACATTGACTTTAGAAAAGTAAACAGGCGATCGAATAGTAGAAAGGCGATGCAACAATAAGACTTCCATGTTGATATCGACTCCGCGGACTCCGCGGAGGGCGAGGAGTCCGCGCCCGCTGCCCCCGAAATATCTGACGTCTAGCTCGTATTCTCGTAAGTGTCTGGATACTGTAGCAGCTATACAGGACTTTAATGATGAATCAACCTTTCGTATCCATCATGATCCATTAGGTACGAATAGGTGTTGTCTTTATCCACCCTATCATTGGCCACTTCTTACCGGACCCACCAGATACAGTCGTCTGATGTGGCACTCCTCGATATCTATGGCTCATAATGACTGATGCAGATGGCTGCAGAAAGAGTAAAGATTGTCAATTGGCACATCGACACTCGTCTTCACTCCTGGCCAAGTGGAACCAACAACAACCCAGAAGGGACAAGTTTCCTCGTCCAGACCCACTTGCATCGTATTCAGTGCGTATAGCTGGATCTCTCCGCCACGGAAGACGGAATGGTGGGCCCCTCGATGGGGGTGGTGAAATGTTTTTGTCCGGAGTGTTGCGCATCCGATTGAAGATTTGGAGAAGGAGATATATGCTGGATACGCTGGATACGTGATTAGTCGGATTCTGGGATGCCAGGCAGATATTTTGGCACATATTTTTACTCCGTGATCTGGTTTAACATGCGTGAAGATTGCTTGGTTAGGTTGCTATAGGTGTCAACAGTTACATAGTATTCTGTATAAAATAGGCCTAGAATGCTCATAATATTCCGTGAAGAAATACATTTAATGTTAAACAGTAGATAAATAGACAATAGTCAAAAAACTATATAAAGTCTATAGTGACCTTCCTAACTAGAGCATCCCTTGCCTACACAGGAATGTCAAGAACCTTTACTAATACACACAATCCCTTGTCATCTACTGAATCTCCATATACCGATCGACATGCGGAGCGCCGGCATTCTATGAGCCGAGATGGAACCCCCAGGTTAGATGTTGACGACTGTTGTGTGGGTCACTGCGCAGACTTATATACGTCCATCTCCCATAGCAATATTTCATTAATCCAGCCCACTTATTCCCGACACTGCATTCACCATGTTGGTCGACTTGATTCTAAACGTCCTAGGATCTTCCTACTTCCAGGGCTTTCTTGTCTTTGTGCTTATCGGACTGGTATATCAGTCAACATCTGGTCCGAAGCTCTACCATGGAGTCCCTACAGTAGGCATCGATACAGGGAAAGGTATCGCCGGGCTTGAGAAAGCCCGACAGGACTGGTACGTGCATGGGAAGGAAATTCTGGATCGGGGGATGAAGCAGGTAACTTTTCCGAGTTGAATGAATTATCCATATCTGACATAGGTAGTGTGTGGGATGCTTCCAAGTCTTCACGGACGTCGGACCGAAGATTGTGCTACCGAATCGCTATGCCGATGAGATTCGGAATCATCCTGATCTGCACTTCGGGAAGGCTATCCAAGAGGTACGGAGTCTGATATTCTGTCTGCATATGTGGCTGACTGGACAGGAATTCTTTGGCTCGTATCCCGGCTTCTCCCCCTTTGCCCATAATACTACTTCTCAAGTCGTTGTGGACACTGTCCGGGGCAGACTCACGCAGTCGCTTGGTAGGAATTCTCCCTTCTCAGACTGGATTATCATTGACATCTCTACCAGGTTTGATCACCGAGGAGTTGGCAGACGAAACATCCAAGACAGTAGATGAGCTCTTCGGCCAGCCAGAGAGTATGTTGCCCTTGCACCTTTTCTTCTCAGAGCTAACCACCCACTCCAGCATGGACGGAAATCACATACAAGCCAATTCTACTGAAGCTGATTGCCCGCGTGTCAACAAGAGTATTCATCGGCCCAGAACTCTGCGAAAACGAAGACTGGCTCCGCATCAGCAAAGAATACGCCGTCGAGTCATTCATCGCCGTGCGCGCCCTGCGCAAATGGCATTTCTCCCTCCGCCCTATCGTGCACTGGTTCCTGCCTGAATGTCGCAAGCTGCGCGCCACACTCGCCGAGGCACGACGCATCATCATGCCTGTCATTGAGAAGCGCCGCGAGAGCAACCGTCAGGCGCGCGAGGCGGGCCAGCCCCCATCCAAAACGGCTGACACGATCGGATGGATGGATGAAGCGGCCAAAGGAAAACCGTACGACGTCGCGGATGCCCAGATCGGCCTTTCTCTTGCGGCGATACATACCACGACTGAAATGGTGAGCGGGCTTATTAGCGACCTTTGTGCGAATCCAGAGTATTTCGAGCCGATGCGTGCGGAGATCGCCTCAGTTCTGGCGGATAAGGGCTGGTCAAAGAAAGCGCTGCACGATCTGAAGCTTATGGATAGTGCGATGAAGGAATCTCAGCGCCATCATCGTGGTGATGTTGGTTAGTCGACCTTTTCCTTGTTTACGACATGATATACTAACCATCACAGCATCAATGCACCGCATGGCCGAAAAACCCATCACCCTCTCAGACGGCACCCAAATCCCCCAAAACGCCTTCACAATGGTCGGCATCGACAAGATGTACAGCACATCGCAATTCAAAAACCCACACGACTTCGACGGCAGCCGATTCCTCAACATGCGCCAGCAGGCTGGGCAGGAGAACCGGTGGCAGTTCGTGACAACCTCCCCGGAACACCTTTCCTTTGGACACGGCAAGCATGCGTGTCCTGGGCGCTTCTTCGCCGGGAATGAGATCAAGGTTGTACTGGCTCACCTGCTGATGAAGTATGATTGGAAGTTCACGAGTGAGGGTCGCAAGCAGGATGTCAAATTTGGGCAGCAGTCGGATACGGATCCATCGGCCAAGGCGTTGATTAAGAAGAGGGAGTTGGATGTTGTACTTTAGGGATAGTAGCTTTGCTTGGTTGAGTTAGTTCATGAGTATAACGATCGAAATAGTCTTCAATTCAAATGTTAATATATTCAGTAAAGAATTCTCCATCTAATAAAATATCATAATCAAATACAGACAGCTGGATATCCCTTACATCCTTCCCAGCAAGTAGTCTATACAGAAAAAATAAAAAACAAAAAAATGGTCCCGACGAGGGTCGAACTCGCGACCTTGGCGTTATTAGCACCACGCTCTAACCGACTGAGCTACAGGACCTGATTGGATGGTGCGATGACATTTTTAATGCTATATCAGCAAATGTCTGAGATCAACATCTTCATGCTGGAGAATTACCCTGTAACATACCCAAGGTGCTAATCAAGATGGCGAGGAACACTGCGTCTGCGAATCTCATTTGGGAATTATTCCATTCGAAAATTACCCTGGGTTGTCTGTCGGGTATTTACCGTCGCAGACCGGGAAAGCCCGAGGACTGCCATCACTTGACAGGTTGTACAAAGGGGTAGAGACGGTATTCTGATATCACTAATATCCTAGTCCAATACCTCTAAAAACTGAAGCGAAAGTGCGGATGCCCATCTCCCAGATTATCCACTTCCTCCTGATCCAGTACCAGCAAATGATCACGCTTTCCCTGATCTCGTAGACGATTCTCCCTGCGCATCATGAAAAAGAAAGCTATACAAGAAAACCCACACACCCAGATCAGCCCAAGACTAGTCCCATACCCAGTCCTATACAAAGGCGCTTCCGACGAGAGAAAGATATTGCTCGCCACCAGACCACCATAATTCCCAAACCCGATTTGAAACGCAGACGCGATGGCCTGTTTATAATGCCCGCTTAGGTTATTGCTGAGCCAGCCGATTAGAATGGGCTGCGCGACGTAGCCGCCTCCCGTGATGGCGTATAGGGCGAAGTATTTTGCGCCGGTTGGAACTGACTGCTGGCCGAGGAGAATGGCATAGCCTATCGTGGCGACTAGACAGCCAGATAGGGCGAATGCGAATCGGTGTCTGAGATAATCGCTGAGCAGGGCGCTGAGGAGGGTCATCACGGCTGCCGCGATGTAGATGGGGACACTCATGACTTGCGCCATCAGCGATGTCCAGCCCATGTCTTTGAGGATGGATGGCATGAAGAAAGATGCGGCGTAGCCGGTGTTCAACACGCCCAGGTACATTAATGTGCTGTACAAGTCAGCACTGCTTGTGTATATGTCAGATACATACCCAAGATAGATCTTCCCATCACCCAGAATATGTCTCACAGCAGTCTTGTTCAATCGATCCATCCGATACCGCTGTTGATCAGTCTTGAGTCGTACAAGAAGGATTTCACGATCTGCTTCACTCAGGAAGCGTGCTGTCTCTGGCCAATCCACGATGAACAACTTGGCAATTGCGGCAATAACGACCGTTGCAATACCCTCGAGAATGAAAATCCATCGCCAGGATGAGTATCCCCGGATTCCATCCATGTAGGATAGCCCGTAGGCGAGTAGCTTCATTCCTTTGTTAGTATTTGGCGTCGTCTAGGGCGTGAGTACATACTCCGCTAACAGCACCAGACAGAATACTGGCGCTGAAGAAGAGGTTGAGTCGCCACTGCAGTTCATATCGTTTGTAATACATGGATATCAAATACACGCAGCCTGATCTGTCAATATCATACTTATCAATGCTCAGTATAACCCACCAGGTAGAAATCCAGCCTCAAACACTCCAATCAAGAAGCGGCATGCGATGAGTCCTCCCCGATTCTGGACAAATCCCTGGCAGACAGTCACAATGCCTATCAGAGTCAGCTAATCCTGGTGGTATTTGTCGAGGATACACACCCCACAACACCATAATCGAACTGATCCACGTAGACGGAGCTATCCTCTTCATGATCATATTGCACGGTACTTCGAACAATATATACGGAATGAAAAAGATAAACAAGGCAATGTTGTAGTCACTTCCGTCCATGTTCAAGTCTCCCTCTAACCCCTGCAAGCGAGCATTGCCGATGTTGATTCGATCGAGGAATGCCAATAGATAGAGGACCATCAAGACGGGGACCACATGGGAATCACATTTTCGAATAACACGTCGTTCATCCCTCGGGTCTAGGACTTGTGGTTCTTTGCCGTCGCTATCTTCGATGTGGGAGTTTTCTGTCTCGGGTTTGATGTCTGAGTCCATCTTAGACAAGATCAGAGGTAGGATGGAAGATGAAGAACTGAATTGGTCTTGTTGGACAATGAGCACCGGTGCATGTAAGATGCAGATTGGATTGCGAGGCACGGTACTCTTTTATATCTACAGCGATCAAGTTCAACAACCAGGATTGGTTTTCCAAGGCCTATATCCCGTATCCCCACTTGAATTACCCCAGACCAGGTGTATATCAATGATGAAATGCGGGGAATATGTATATACCCTACTCGGGATCTGTTCAATAGTCCGGGGTAGAAGTTCGGGAAATAGCCGGTTTGCAGATCAATGGCCGGTAGAGACCCGGTTGCTAGTATATTTTATAAATAAACATTTCCCAGCATGATATGGGATGATTACCAAGTGCTTCCATACAGATGGGTATTCACGGAAGGGCAAAACTACCTATATATTGTAGACTCCTTGTCTGGTATAAGAAGCATCGGGGAGAATACATTAAATAGAGTATTAATCAGGTGAGTTGAATACGATAGCGAATATGATATAAATAACAGACAAAAGAAATAATATATTGACGTTATATAGATTGAACTAGGTCTATCCAATAGACCATGGATGAAGCTATCGTGAGTTTAGCTGTATACCCGCCAGTGGACTACCTCTAACATTATACAACAACTAGTAACTATGATATACATCTATGCCTGGCATTAATTGTGAATTAAAATTTATAAGAAAGTATGTGGATATGTGTTTGCATTAAACATAAACATGTGATGATGCAGGTTTGGTTCCTGGATAGTATATATATCTCCGCATGAAGATATAAACTCTGCTGACATTTTGTATATCACTAAACTACGTTCTCCTATCGGAAACACCTACTAAATAGATCAACTATATTTAATCATCAATAGTCCATGCCATGCATGTCATAGCGGACTTAAGCCCGCAGCGGATATCGTCGGCGGAAGCAGCCGAGGAAGGCGAACCCCTCACATATAAAGCAGAGGGGCGTCGATCAACCGATCCCCATTCAACCATCTCACCATGACCTCCAACGCCATCCCTCTCGCTGACTATCTCTTCACCCGGCTGCTGCAGCTGGGCGTCGATTCCATCTTTGGCCTTCCTGGCGATTACAACCTGCGTTTGCTGGATTATGTCACGCCTGCGGGGTTGAAGTGGATCGGCAACTGCAACGAGCTCAACGCGGGTTATGCTGCGGATGGATACTCTCGACTGAAAGGTATGAGTGAGCGTTTATGATATTATGAATTCAGCTGATCAACAGGCATCGGCGCACTCGTGACGACCTTTGGCGTGGGTGAATTATCCGCCGTGAATGCCATCGCCGGCGCGTACGCCGAACGGGCGCCCGTTGTCCACGTTGTCGGTACGCCGCCACGAGCATCGCACGAGTCGCGCGCGCCGATTCATCACACGTTTAATGATGGGGAGTACCAAAACTTTGATCGTATGCAGGAGCATATCACAGTAGCGCAGACGATGCTCTGGGATCATCGAACGGCCACTGCGCAGATTGACCATACGCTACAGCAATGTTTGCTGCATAGTAGACCGGTTCGGATTACCATCCCCGATGATATGGTGGGAGTGCGTGTTTCTGCGGCAGGTCTGCAGACGAAGATATCTGTGCCCGTGCCTGTTGAATCAGAGACAGAAGAGGCAGCGCTGCAGTTGGTTCTTGAGCGGATTTACAGCAGCAAGAAGCCGATGATTATTGTCGATGGTGAGAGTCGACCGTGTGGGATTTTGGACGAGGTTGAGCATATCGTCAAGACGACTGAGTGGCCTACGTTTACCACTGGGTTTGGCAAGGGTTTGATCAATGAGACTCTGTCTAATGTACACGGGGTCTACGTGCCCGGACACAAGGGGTTTGTGGATTCCTGCGATCTCATCCTCTCTTTCGGGCCGCATTACAGCACGACAAACAGCCACCAGACTCTGACGGTGCCGCGAAAAGATACCAGAATTGATATTTCATTGAACGCTGTCCAGGCTAACACTGAGATCTTCCGCGATCTCCCTGCGAAGCGCTTTGTCGAGCAGCTCATCTCCAAACTTGACCTTTCCAAGGTGCCGAAACACACGCCTGAAATCTCACCTATCAACAATCTCCATGCAGCAGCAATGTCTGATAACGTCACTCAAGTCGGTGGCTTCTGGCAGAGATTGTCTTCCTTCTTCAAGGAGGGCGATGTTGTCATGGCAGAAACAGGCACTGCTGGTTATGGCGCGAATGAGTTTGCTCTTCCCCAGCATACGCGCCTATACAAACCGGTGACTTGGCTGTCAATCGGATACATGCTTCCAGCGGCACTTGGTGCAAGTCTTGCTCAGAGGGATCTCGCCGCCAAGTCTCAATACCACGGTCTGCCTGGTGGTCGCACCGTTCTTCTGATCGGTGATGGTAGCTTCCAATTGACTGCTCAGGAGATGAGCACTATGATTCATCACAAGCTGGATATCGTCATCTTCCTAATCAACAACAATGGATACACCATTGAACGATGCATCCACGGGAGGAACCAGGGCTACAACGACATTACTCCTTGGCGCTACCTCAAAGCACCGGCACTTTTTGGAGCTCCCGAGGAGGGCGAATACGCGGCACACACGTGGGAAGTTCGCACCTGGAATGACCTGGAGGGAGTGCTAGAGGACGAGAAGATGTTGAATGGAAAGGGAATTCGGATGGTGGAGGTATTCATGGACCAACTCGATGCGCCCAAGTTTTTACTATCAGTGCTGGATCGACAGATTGAGTTGGAGAAGAAGGCGTGATAGATGCTAAGATGATGTTATTTGACTGGTAATATGGTATTTTAAGCGAGATGATATCGGCGATAGGCATTAGCAGTTTTCTACTATGTCTATGTTAACGCCGATGGCCGATGGATTGCGGGGAAGATCGGCAGTCTATATGAGTATGATGAGTATGAATGATAAACAATAGAAACTGGCTTATAATTGTACTATTTAGTATTTAACATAGCTCATCCTGTGTATACTCCATCTACAAAATGTCCAACAAAGACATAACAATCGAAACCAACGAAAATGTCTCCTACACCCCCCAACAACAACGCCGCATCATCCGCCGCATCGACAGCCGGTTGATCGTGATGCTCGGCTTCCTACACACGGTGGCTCTAATTGACCGCGGCAATCTAGGTACTGCTTCTGTGGCTGGGATGATGGACGAGTTGCATCTTGTCGGAACGCAATACGTATGTCTTCGATACTGAATATAATGTGATGTACTGATGAATATAGAGCACGATAGCAGTCGCCTTTTTCCCACCATACATCTGTCTGCAAGTGTTAGGCCCAATCTTAGTAAGAAAGATCGGGCCCATTCCGTATCTTTCTGGGATTTGTTTTATTTGGGGATGTGTCATGGTGTGCCCCCCCTTGACCCTATTAATATAAATCATGTCTATACTAATTAAGGGCAGCTATCCGCCGGCTTCGTTCAGAAATGGTCCGAAATGGTCGGAATACGCATCATAATCGGCGCGCTGGAGGCAGGCTTCTTCCCGGCGAGTGTATATCTGATCGCGACATGGTATACGCGGTATGAGATCCAGAAACGGTTTGCGGTGTTTTATCTGCTGGGCTGTGTGGCGTCGGCGTTTACGGGGATTATGTCGTATGGGATTACGTTTATGGTATGTTACCTACAAGATTACCCTCCCTTACAGGGACTATATTGATGTTGATGATGATATAGCGCGGTCTCGGGGGTCTATCAGCCTGGCGCTGGATCTTCGTGATACAGGGCTTACTTGTGTGATTGCGAGTATCAGTTACTTTGTGTTGATCGACTTTCCGGATAAAATGAAATCAAAATCCAGCAACTTCCTCTCATCAGCAGAATACGCCTTTATCACCACCCGAATAGCCCACGACCGCGCAGACCTAACACTCGAACCGTTCAATCTAAAAAAATACCTCCTCGCATCTGTCGACCTCAACATCTGGTTCTTCGGACTAATATACTTTTGCACCACGACGACTGCCTACGCGATAGCATACTTCATGCCTCTCATTTATAGAGAAGGAATGGGTTTCTCGCAGGGCGTGTCGCTGTGTTTGTTTGCGCCGCCGTATGCGGCTGCGGGGGTGGTTATGTATGGCACTTCGTGGGTTGGGGATAAGTATAGAGTGAGAGGGTGGGTGATTGTGTTTAATGCGTGTTTGACGCTGGTTGGGTTGCCGTTGATGGTGAGTTTTCTTATATTTTACTGAGTGGTGTTGATGAGATAGGGCTTTACAAAGGGCAATGCGCCCCGGCTTGTGGGATGTTTCTTTACGACGATGGGTGCGAATTCGAATGTTCCTGCTGCCATGGCATATCAGGTATGTCTCTCACAATTCAGATAAACTCGTTCTAATGAAGAAAGGCAAACAACGTCCGCGGCCAATGGCGACGCGCAATCTGCAGCTCCATTTTCGTTGGCCTCGGTGCATCTGGCGGGATGACGGGATCGCTGGTGTTTCGATCACAAGACGCACCGGAGTATACGCCTGGTATATGCACTTGTATTGGGTTAACGGGGTTGATTGTAGTTCTTGTAGGGATCCTCTCTGTGAGGATGTATGTGAGAAATAAAAAGGTTGATAAAGGGGAGTTGATGGTGCAGGGGTTGGAGGGGTTCAAGTATACACTTTAGTATATGTGGATATCAGGATGTGAATGTATAAAGTTGGATAAAAGTGTGGATATCGGATCTATGGTTCTCAAGCGGGGTAATATAATATATAAACGCCCCTCTTTCTCATTGTAGAATCAATGTCTATTTCAATTCTATAGTGATCAAAATGGTTGAACCCTCCTTCACCGACAAAACAGACTTTGAAAACGCTTCGAAAGGCTTCATCGCCACTCTCGATGCACCCCTCATTCACTCTAACAACCGTCCCATCTGGAACACGAATGCCTACGACTTTCTCAATGCAGAATGTCCATCTACTGCAAACCCAAAACTCTGGCGACTGGCACAAGTCACCTCCATTCACGGACTGTTCAAAGTCACAGATGGAGTATACCAAGTCCGGGGTCTGGATTTAGCAAACATGACCATCGTCGAGGGCAAAGAGGGGATTATCGTGATCGACCCATTGACGTCTGCGGAATGTGCCAGCTCAGCATTAGAGCTATACCGGAAGCATTGTGGAAACCGACCCGTAAAAGCCGTGATGTATTCCCATTCGCACATCGACCATTTCGGCGGTGCAAAAGGCGTCCTCGAGTTGACAGAGGATATCCCCATAGTCGCCCCCGAAGGCTTCACTGAAGAAGCAACTAGCGAAAACATCTACGTCGGCAACGCGATGCAAAGACGCGCAATGTACATGTACGGGACTCGTCTCCCCAAAAGCAGCGAGGGGCCACTCGGATGCGCGATTGGGATGGGCGTGTCGATGGGCTCGAGCTCGCTGGTCCCACCTAATACGCACATCACCGCCACAGGCCAGGAAATGGTGGTTGATGACGTCAAGTTTGTGTTCCAGATGGTTCCGGACTCGGAAGCGCCGGCTGAGATGAACTTTTACCTGCCTGAGCGTAAGGCGCTGTATATTGCGGAATGTGCGACGCATGGATTGCATAATATCATCACGTTGCGGGGTGCGCAGGTGCGTGATGCGAAGGCGTGGGCGAAGTATCTGGATGAGTCGCTCGTTCTATTCGGGGAGGAAGCAGAGGTGTTGTTTGCTGGGCATCAGTGGCCGACATGGGGGAGAGAGGAGATCAGCACATTCATCTCGCAGCAGCGAGATCTCTATGCGTATCTCCACGATCAGACAGTTCGGATGATGAATACCGGCATGACGGGGATTGAGATAGCAGATATTTTGACTCTTCCGCCCGCACTGCAGAAAGCGTGGCATACGCAGGGCTTCTACGGGTCTGTCAGCCATAATGTCAAGGGTGTTTATCAGCGGTACATGGGCTGGTTTGATGGGAATCCTGCTCATCTGTGGGAATATCCGCCTGTGGAGAGTGCGCGACGATATGTCGACTGTATGGGTGGTATAGAGGAGGTGGTCACCAAGGCTGAGAAGTATGCAGAAGGCGGCGATCTGCGTTTTGCTGCTACTCTCCTCGGCCACGCTGTTGCTTTGGATGCGAATCATGAACGAGCAAAGATGCGTCTGGCATCTGTTTTTGAAAGGCTGGGCTATGGAGCAGAAAACGCCACATGGCGCAACTTTTATCTCTCTGGCGCTCAGGATCTTCGATTAGGACCGTTCGTTCCGCCACCAGGTCAGATCAAGTTAGCCAACAGGCTGAACCCACAGCAATCAGTTGATCAGTGGTTCTCTATTCTCTCCGTTCGAATGAACGGCCCCAAAGCGGCAGAAGAATCATTTGCGATTGATATCCATGTGCTGGACGAGGAGAAATGGTGGAGGTTGATTGTCAGTAATGGAGTTTTGACCCATCGGAGTGCTTCTGATAGGAAGGATCTGGTTGGAAAGGCGGAATTGAGCTTGGAGATGAGCAAGAAGGAACTGGGAGGTATTTTGAATGGGGATATTGATAGTGATAGAGAGGGTTGGGAGTTGCTGCTCAAACTGCTGTCCTTCGTGTCGTAATTACCGCATTGGGAAGACGCATATCCCTTGATAGGCAGCACCCCCTTTCAGGCAGCACTGCACACAACAACAGACACGATAAACAGACAGACTAGCCAGAAATTGAATGAAACCCACCGTTGATAAGAAATGATGCATCACAATGTTTAAGCGAGATCACATGAAGGCCACTTTACATGTCGGTTCAGACATAAAAAGCCTGTTTTCTTCAGATACAAAACAGCACCGCTGGACAACCCTCGATACTCAATTTGAACCAAACCCTTAATGATTATCCTCGACACCGTCTATCCCAGGCAAGATGTTGACCAACTTCCCCCACGAAATCCTTTTGATCATAACCGGCCACCTGGATCGGACCGATATCATAAACCTTGCCAAGTGCAATCGCCAACTCGACCTAAACATCCGTCCTGCGATTTTCAGAGAAATTGAGATCAAAGATAAATGCTTCTGGACCCTCAGCCATCTCGTCCACCTGATGTTGCGCAAACCAGCATACGCACAAGCAGTGTGCGATCTCCGCATAACTCCTACGCGTGCGCCATGCAGATGCGGAAAGTGCAATGACATTGTTCTTGATCGAGAGTTGATAGAGCCAATACTGAAAGCTAGCGTCGATGAAACCGAAAAAGAAACGGTCTGGTACGAGGACTTGACCAAAGGAACAAACGCAGACGCATGGGTTGCTCTCCTTCTGCCCCACCTGACGAATCTCCAAGCCTTCCATCTACCGCTTGAGTACTCGCCCTGGATTGACCAAGTACTCCTACACGCAGAAAATTGCAAGGAACTGTTCCCTGAAGAGCCGCCTCTCCTGCCACGCTTGACCAAGATTTATGCTATCTGCAGTGAACCGACCAGGCGTCGAGGAGGAGGCGCTGTGCCGTTCCTCAGACTGCCATCTTTGCGGTCATTTCGTGCCATATGCAGCGTGTTGGAGACGAGGAAGACGCGAGATTTAGAGAAGATGCCGCAGGGCTTTTCCAACGTTACCGATATCTTTATAATTGCGATGGCGTCGGAGCGTAGCTTGCATTGGCTTATCAATTCCTGCAAACGACTCGAGTACTTTTTGTATATCCAGACAACGGGACGTGTGGCTGCAGCGAACAGCCCGAGCCGGGTTTGCAAGAGTCTCTATCGCCATCGGGAGACTCTGCAATTGTTGGCCTACCGTGGGTATGACGTGGATATCCCCAGGGTGGGCCAAAAAGAAGCCTCCAAGTCGGATGTTGAAGACAGCAGCGACGACGAAAACAGCGACACCGACCTCAGGGACGAATTCCTCGGTTCCTTGGCCGACTTTTCCTCTCTGAGAGGCATTCACGTTCGTGCGAGCAACATCGTCGATCCCATTGCTGACCCTGATCCTACCCACGACATGCGCCGTCTGAGTGAATACCTTCCCTCCTCTCTCGACATTATCAATCTATACGACTTCACGTCCTGTGATACTTTCCGTCTCACCACCCAACTTGAATACCTCGTCTCCATCGCCAGGCAGCACTTCCCATGCCTTGTCAAAATCGTCCTCGGTGTGGATTTCCCCGCCTTTTCCTGCAATAGCCACGAGTCAAAGCCTCCATCCAATGGTTTATCCCCGGCTGAGCAGCAGCTGAGCTCACTGGCAGGTCATGAACTGTACACAAGTTTGAAGAAGCTGTGCACGCTTTGTAACGAGGCGGGTGTTAAATTTCGGATTTCTCATCGAAAGGGAAATCGTCAAACTTTGACGGATATAATTTGCGGATAGTGTATACAGTAGTGTATTACTTCATCATCTATCATATAAGAATAAAGAACGTCTTAACCCAACTAGATCTAGTTATGCGGTGATCTGCAGAGGATAAAGAGTATGATGATAAACATCACGTGACATAAGCCTGACGTCTGTCCATCTCGAATATCAAAACAAAGAGACACAAGCCAAACTGCAAAATGGCAGACAACCTCCCCTTAGAAATCTGGTTGATGATAACCCCCTATCTCAACCACATCGATACCTTTAACCTCGCCAGATGCAGCCATCGACTCTACGCCGCTCTCCAACTTGAGATATTCACCCATATCGAAGAAACTAGCAAAGTCGGCTGTCCCTGGTCCCTCGAATGTCTATTCCGCCACCTTCTAGAAAAGCCACCCCACGCACAAACCGTACAAAGCCTCATCCTCGGCCCCTGGGAATCTATATGCGAGAAAGAAGGCCACGCTTGGGGCCCATTTACACCTGAGGCACTTTCCGCCGATGGTCTGTATGAGCCGCATGATTTCTGGCAACGCCGCATCGAGAAAGAAGAGAGGTCTTGTTATGGACCTATTCGGAAAGTGTGGAGATCTATCCTTATGCTGCAGTTTTCAGGCTCTGCGATGTGTACTCGGCTTGCGGAGATGAGGGCGATGGGGAGGGGGCCTTGTCGTCTTCTTGATTCTTGCGGGCCGGATCTTGGGCCGGGTGGGTATCTGTCTCGGCCTTTTTGATGATTTATCACTTTTGAACTGTATTTAGTGCCCGGGCCCGGATTACCTCGCCTCTTACTCCGAAGAGGGATTGAGAAGGCCTTTGTATATACAGGGCAACATTGTCCACATTGCCCACGATATGAGTCAGTTTTACAGCAGCCATACAGATAATAAAGGATATTTAACCTACGACTTCTACGATTGTACGAAGCAGATCAAATGTGCAATAAGCGCACGTGAAGACATCCCGAGATGGAATTCCAGACGTCTGTTGATCCTGAATTCACTTCTAAAAATTATAACCACTCTTCCAAAAGAAATCCTGCTTCTGATAACCAGCTATTTTGATCATCTTGTTACACTCCATCTTGCATCATGTAATCGTCAACTGTACAGAGAGCTGAAGCTCGAAATATACCGGAACATCGAGTTTACGAAGAACTGTTTCTGGGCTCTCAGCCGGTTAGTCTATGTCCGCCTCAAAGATGAGGAGAAGGTACAAGCAGTGCGAAATCTATCTGTTGGACCCTGGCAGTCTCAATGTTACGAGCATAATGCGTCCATTTGGAGAATTCCCGGTGTGTGGAGCCGAAGAAAACCCTAAGAAATGGAAACGTATTTTGACAAGAGGTTCTGGCCATGGACTAACGACAGATCCATGGCTAGCTATGCTACTGCCTCAATTGACACGTCTCGAGCGACTGGAAGTGAGTTTTGATGCAGACTCCACTTTCACTCTTCTGCTGCTCCCCAAAGTGATTGCAATGCGGAATGAAATTGATACACCGCTGTCCGGTGGGATCTTGAACTCACTTAAGGATTTCCGTGGCGTTTGTGTAGAAAATGAATGGGAACCAAGCACTGGCAAGAGAGAAGTGACGCCGATTAATGATTGCTTCCTGCATTTACCGTCGTTGCGCAGTTTCCACGCTGTCCATGACATACTGCCCCGCTCTGAACTTGCCAAGAAGCCAGTCTTGGATTTTACAGAGCTTGATATTCATGTAATTAGATCGGGAGAGGACATGCCCCGGCTTCTGTCCATGTGCAAAACGCTCGAAAGGTTCAGCTATGTCCAGAGACATGGAAAACTAAGTACCGAGACCTGCTATCTCATCATAAGGATAGTTTGCGAGAATTGATATTCCTCCCTTTCAATCGAGAGTTTGACCCCGATATGTCCGACTTGTCAGAGGACGAGTATGAAGGAGAAGAAGTATACGAAGACCACCCTCTGCACAACGAATTTATCGGATCTCTTTCTCAATTTACCGTCTTGAAGGAGATCCACCTGCGCACACACATTATACTCGAATCGGAAGACAGTGACCTCTCTCGTGACCAACGCCAGCTCATTCATAATCTACCGACCTCGCTTGAAAAGTTAGATATCGATGAACTGACCGACATTGGCCCCCATGAGACTCGCCGACTGATTGCCCAACTCGAGCAGCTCGTCTCCCAAGCCGGGCAGAAATTTCTACGCCATAAACAGATCCAAATTGCCGGGGAATTTCCAGACACCCCGCAAGACGACGATGAACCCTGGCCTGAAGATGTGGCTCTATACACGGATGGAGTCTGGGACGAGGGCTTAATAGACACACAGCTCGTTTCTGATATGAAACAACTGTGTAGGATATGTGAAGAAAAGAACGTTTTATTTACTCTCTGCTATCCCCTTCTTGATCCTGGGTTGTTTGAGAAGATTCAAATTGATTTGACTTAAGTGCATACTGTGTGTCTATCCAGTCCGATTTTATTGTTGTTGGTTGCATATCATCTGGAATGAGATTCAAGACATATGTATGAGTACTTTTTACTCGAATCTATTATACTCACTTGGTCAGATCCAACTAGAAGTAGTACATCGCCTTTTTAGATCTTTGGGTCCAGGAACTTGAACCCCACAGCGGCGGCAGACGGACCGTCCCGCTACCCCACATCTCCACCTGCCATTTTAGGTTGATGAAATTGTGTCAACATGAAACGTTGAGTCTGATCTTTTGGATACTCTGAGAGTTATCTTGAAGATGGAGTCGAGTATTATGGGTACTTTCCTTGAGCACTAGAGTGTTTGAAGGTGATTGGCTCGGAGTGGATGGATTATATATTGAGTGTTGAGATAAAAACGATTACACGTATGGATGAAAAACGTTGAAGTAAAGAAGCATATACACGTCCACCTCTTGAACAAACGGTGAGGTTTTAAATAGCAGTCTGGGATGGAATGACTAGGATATCGTTCTTCAGGATAATCCTAACTATTGAACTGCTATGAATGTCTGTATCCTCGAAGCCATTCCGCAATAAGCATATGGTTTTCCTTTTCTGCGAATTTCGCTGCGTTATGACAGATAAGAGATAAATTCTCACGATCACCATATGCATTAAGCAGCAACTGCAGCATGTCTAGTCGGCCATGCTCCGCAGCTCCGTCTATTGCTGTTCTGCCATCCTCTTCTGCGGCGGGAGCTGCAACATCTGCACCGCGTTCCAAAAGTTCTTTTGCTATTTGCATTTGGCCTGTAAGTGCGGCCGCCTGGAGAGCAGTGACACCACGTTTTCTAGCTGGTGGGGCGTTGATGTCTGGGTTGCGTTCCAGTAGGATGGGTACGATCTCTGTCAGCTTATTTTTGATCGCCTCTTGGAGAGGTGTACCAATATCATTTGTAGATGGTACGTCTATATCAGCACCCTTATCAAGAAGAAACTTGGTAGTAACAGAGTCGCGCCCTTCCAAGGTTTTTTGAAGCAATGTTTCACCTTGATTGCGGTCCTGTCTGTTGATATCAGCACCGGCCCTGAGTAGGATATCGACAAGCTCAGTGACACGCTCTTGATCGACGTCTATTACTTGCCATGCCTTTGAAACCTGGTCAATATAAAAGTCCCAAGGTAACTTCGCTGTTTCTTCAAGCATAAGGTGAAAGGTTTCGATGTTGGTATCCGCCCTCAGCGCTGCAGTTACGAGGGCTGATTCATCACCCCAAAGAGTATCCACGGCTGCCCCTGCATTGAGCAGCATAGTGATAAACTGGCGAGAGCTGCTGCTTTCAATAGCTTGGATTAACGCGCTTGGCGGTGCGTATTCATCGCAGGAAGTCGGAAGATTAGGATCAGCTCCATTGGCAAGTAGAAGAGCTAGGATGGGATAGCACTCCTCCATCTCATTGTGATCGTTTGAAAATTCCCCACCATATACACACCAACCCAGTGCAGTTAAATGCTCCGAATAGCAATCCTCGGCAGAGCAATATAGCGAGATGTTTGGGTCGGCTTTACTGCGCAGAAGATATTCAATTCCGTCAAACCACCCTATCATAACAGCTGATTGGAGAGCTGTACATCCAAAGAGCGACCTTGCATTCACATCTGATCCCTCCAATAAAAGCACCTCGAGGAGTGGGATGCTTTTATGAAACACCGCAGCTTCAAGTGCAGTTCTTCCCAATATTTGCCCTGCGGGAGCATTTGCCTGCGCCCCCATCCCAAGTACCTTCTTCAGTATATCGATATCACCGTTAACTGATGCTGCTTGCACGGCCGTCAGTCCAGCTACAGGGGCCGGAGCAGCATTGATGTCCGCACCGGCAGCATACAGAAATCGAACGACGTGAATATGCCCCCGCAATAGAGCTGACTGCATTGCCGTTAGTCCCTCGGACCACCCTGCTGGCGCATTCACATCAGCCCCAGACTTTATTAACATGTCGCAAAGTTCCAAATGGCCACATTCCGCTGCCGCTTGGATAGCTGTTCGGCCGTTGAATTTCGCTGCGCTGGCATTGACATCTGATCCGTACTCCAGCAAAATACTGGCGATCAGCAAGTTGCCTTGTTTTGCGGCTGTCTGGAGTGGTGTATCGCCATAGTCCGGCGCAACTCGAGAATCGGTATAAGCTCCATGGAAAAGCAAAAGAGAAACAAGTTCAATACTTTGGTTCTGCGCAGCATATTGAAGGGCTGTGGCAAATGTGGCTTCTGACCTCTTTCCATGCAAGCGATATGGATCGGTGCTACGCATCGCATTTTTCATCAAACATTCTTCCACGGAATGTAGAATGTAATAGGCCGAGGCCGGGCAGAAGGCGACATTCGCACCGTATCGGAGAAGAATCTTCACAAGAGATGTGTCATTTGCCTTTGCGGCTAGCTGTAGTGGAGTCTGTCGATATTCCGCAAGCAGTTCAGTGATAATTGGATCGGGGTCAAACTGCTCAGTACTTTGATAAGACCATCTCCAGCCAGACGTAGCATCCACGTTAACTTCTGCGCCCGCAAAAATCAGAGCCAAAACCACCTCGTGATGGCCTTGCGTAGCAGCTGCTTGCAAAGCGGATCCGCCATGCTCAAGTAAAACATTATTGACATTCGCCCCTGCACGTAACAGTAGATGAACAGCCTCCAGGCTTCCTTTCGAGGCTGCACTGATTAAAGGGAACCCCCGTCCTTCATTCGTAATGAAGGCTTCGGGATTAGCACCAGAAGCCAGGATCAAATGGAGAATATCGAGTTTGTCCGAATGCCAGAGAGAAAGATGAGAACTAAAGTTTTCAATATCATGGCGGCGAAGGACCAAATCTGCCCCTGATTCACAAAGCAGGTGCACCATCTGGATATCTCCATTGAGTACCGCGATTCCAAGTGCTGTACTGCTCTCGTGTACCCAGCTAGTATCAACTGTATTGGCATCAACGCCAGTTCTTATAAGCGCCCCAGCGATCTGCTGATTTCGTGAACTGACAGCACTCAAGAACAGCTTGCTAAGAAATATCTTCATCGTCAGTGACTTGACTTGGGAGAAGCGAGTAATTGTCGAAAGATCTATGTTTTCGATAATCCAGGAAAGCCCTTTATCAACTTGAGATGGGTACAGAACATTGTTCGTTGATAAGAAGACAAACAGGTTCAATAAGGTGGACATATCAAGCGAATCTGTGTGTAAGATGTCCGGACTGGTCATAATAACACTGGATGTGGCGTCGTTCGGGTCATCGATAAGATATGATTTGAAACGAGACAATGCGGTTTCTTCTCCATCATTCTGGTTATGCCTTGGAGGTGCAAGCAGAGATGCAAATTGCAACGCACGGCTGTTGGAAAGGTTATTTCTCTCTTGGAAGATCATGTTGAAGTCGGGTAGAAAGTCTTGTGGTTGCAAACTGGGCAATAACATGTCTCCTGTCTGCCCCGGAGTAAATACGGGAAGCTGTAGGTTGAGGGCAAGCCCACTCCACACTATTAAATTAGCCTGAGTCCCAACCACTGTATAAATATGATGATACCGATTGATTGTACTTCCAACTTGAACTGAATCCAAGGGAGGTTGTCAACGCGAACTCTCATACAAAGGAGTTCATCATTTGTTGGAGGTGGAGTGACAATCTGGATATCCGATGGGGTCGGAATATCTTCATCTAGCCATCAATTAGCTTCCTCTATGGCAGTTGGATGAAGAAAATAAATACCCAAGTCCATAGTAGACATGTCCGTCAAGCTGACATTTCGTGAAGTTTCCTTCTGCACTGTTTTATCATCCAACTTCCTGTCATGTTTCAACACAGCACTGGGCTTTCCCTGCAACTCCCGTTCACGCAGTTTATAGCAGGTGTACTTCCATTTACTCGCTTTTGTATTCTTTCCGATCCCCCAGTGTTTCAGTTGGGTTGTATATTGCTTTATGCTACACGCAGGCCAGTCAGACTCAAGGTTAACAACAATAATAGGGTAGACTGTACCTTGCATTGAACCCATACTTATTTCTCATATACTCTCTTGTCCGATTTAAACTCGACTTTGGTGCGAGGAAAACTGCGATTATTTCCCTTTTGTGCCTGTTCCATAATGCCTGGTGGATTCGTGGTGCTCGCTTGGGCATCATTGTGTTTTTTTGCGAGAAAATAACAATTGTGAAAGATAGAATAGCTTATGATAGACTCTGACTGACAGGAACTGCCACAGCCACAGATAAATATCTACTCACCAGGCAGCAGCACCAAAAGGTATGTCTCTGGCGGTCTAAGACTTGGAATTGATTGGCAGCCTCATTAGTCTGACAGGGGTGTATCTCATGAAAACTCTTCGCGAGGCTGTGGAAAAGGGGCACCATCCTGGTAGTATCGACTACGACGCAACCGATCAGCAATTTCATAAGTCAGACTAATTGCCCGATTTGTATATTTGCATATAATAAATGTTATATTTAGAAGAACTGTTGCCAAAACATAAAAACACGCGGAAGTAGCACAATCTATCCCTGTAAAAATCTATGATACACCATGATAATCCCACCCTGAAACAACACTAATCATACAGCTGACTTGCCAGATCGACAGATATAGTAATTAATTCACCGCAATTTGAAGGACACATCGCTTGCCAGAACCGTTCTTCTGGTCACGCTTATCTCTTCCTGGTACACTGTCTCAATGCGTGAGTATAACCCCAAAACAGCCAGACTATAATGACTTACTTCTAGAGCTATACTGGCTACACAAACCAGACTCAAGATCAAACTCTTGATCGGTATTGCTTGTCCGAGATGGCGAAGTTCTGGGGTCGTATTTCACTGGGTGGGAGTCAACACGGAGACATATTGTAGCAAGACAAATGTACATACATATAGCAGGCCGTTTGTGCCGTCGTTTCATGCATTTCCAAATGGGAGGGATCAATGGTAAAAGAACAACGACGAGTAAAGAGACAAGTGCGATGACTGCTTCCTTAGACCAACCCATTGTTTGGATTTAAGGAAGTTTTCATCGTGAGGAGAGAGGCACTCATCCCCCTTTTATTTCATAGGTCTAGCTATCAAAATAACATAAAATCCTCTACACAGACAGAAGAAGGACGTTTTGGTTCGATCCAATCGAACATTCGTGTGCAGACAGAGCCTTGTTGCTCAGAATGTTTCTGATTGGTCCGTACCTTATTTTCCTTCGACCTTCCAGTGGGCCAAAATGGATTAAGTCCGGAAAGTCCAGTTTCTGGAAGATTTGGTATGGACCAATAGGAAGCATTGATTTGCTTTTTCCATGCACTGCGCCGCAATAGACTAAGTAGACTACCTCGGCTGCCATGCGGCTGGGCCTGGAAAAAAAAAAAAAAAAAAAAAAAGGAAAGAAAGAAAAGAAAAAAAAATCTTGTAGTACCATACTACGTGAACATTAAACAGCGGAGTGTACTGGTCGAAACAATATAACTACTATATTTTTGAAAGGGATTATTCAATGAGCTACCCTAGTAGGCTTATTATATACTGAAATACTAGTAAGGCAGCTGTAGCTATAGACATGGTTATGGTTCGTGGGCGGTTTATGGTGGTGGTCGATAGTGGTTGATACCTAGTGGTGGTTGTTTGGTGGTTGTTTGGTGGTTGTTTGGTGGTTGTTTGGTGGTTGTTTGGTGGTTGTTTGGTGGTTGTTTGGTGGTTGTTTGGTGGTTGTTTGGTGGTTGTTTGGTGGTTTTGGTTATTATGGTTACAGGGCTCTAATTACCACTGCCTTCCCCAACTTAGAAATCTAAATGTGATAAAAATTTAACTATAGGCTACTGAAAATAGCCCTTTAAATCTGCTGAATACAAGCCTAATACTACCTATAAATTATAGCAATCGCATGGTGAAGAATACAAGACAGAATACTCAAGGGGCAAAAAAAAAAAAAAAGGTCACATGACCGACTATACTGTATCAGGAATTTAGGGGTGTGGATAGAACATAAAGCATGTGGATGGATGATAAATTCTGGACATATTACGATTTGGTTTCGTGGACCCCTTTTCAATGATAGTCTATTACAACTCGCCTTTTTATTTAGTCATAGTATCAATGTCTAGGTACCAGGCTACCTGCAGCCTCAGTCGAAGTCCATGACGATTCAATATTCAGTGAATTCCCATTTTGCATATTATGACAAGTAGCTGAGATAAATTGAAATTACCTTTGTTGGGTAAAGCCCCTCAGGACGCAACAACAGGCCTGGCCTCTCCATCAAACTCGAACCACGCATTCTTAATATCACCACCCAGTCCCTTGTTATTGCTCTCGTGGATATCAATCCACCAGCTCGTAAACGGTCCCACCAGTGAATAGCCATCCTTTCCATGCTGCTCCCCAATCGTTCCATCCGAGTCACCAACTGCCATAGTCTCAGTGTTATAGCTGAACGCGACAATCTGCTTTGGATGCGAGAAGCGATACGCGGCTCCGTGCTCATCGTAGATGGTTTCCGTGGCCTCATGAGTCAGAGTTACATTGAGCTGTTTAGACTTGGTGGTTGCACCCTCAGCGAAGAAGCGCACTTTGGTGAGTCGCACGTCGGCCTTGCCTTCGAAGGGGTCGCCGGTCTTGCGGGCGATGTTCACCATCAGCTTGATGTTGCCTGTGGAGCCGGGCATGAGGCCGCCCACATCGAGCTTGCTGAGGGGGTATTTGACATTGGTGAACGGCTGGCGGGGTCTGCGGGCATTCTTGAGTGTGAGATGCTGCTTGAGGAGTTCCACCTTTGCTGATTCCAGTAGGGCTGCGCTGGAATGCGAGGATGAGTAGTCTGACAGGTTAGCAAAGGCGTTGAAGTTGGTGAGGAATTCGAAATCCAGTGCCTTTTGGGCGCGGTTGAACATGAGCTGCGTGTCGGTGAGAGCGTCGGTGTAGAGGCGCTTCATGAACAGGACCAGCATTGGGTTCTCGGTTTTCAGGTCTGAGAGCTGCTCTGAGATGCCTGTTTCGGTGGCGTCGATGGTGTTTCGGTCTTTTTCGCTCTTACGCATGAGAGTCAGGGCCGAGTTGTATTGCACCACTGCGTTGTTGCGCTCTTTGATCAGGGCTGCAATGTGTTAGCTCTATATGGCTTTGAAGGTGTCCCACTTACAGATATATTTCTCAAACCTCTCCTTTGCTGTTTTCGCAGCCGCATCCCCATTTTCCAGCTTGTCCGCAATACTGTCGATCAGGCTATCCAAATCCTCTTCAGCCACGGCGAGCTTGGTCGTGTCGCCTTCTTTCAGCGTCACCTTGCCATCGTCTGACGTTGAGTACTGGTCGTACAGCCCCTCCAAAGTAGGTTTCGTGATCTTCTTGATCTTTTTGATGACGTAGCTCTTCTTCAGCTTCTCACCAAGGTCATTCTCAATCTTGGTCGATGCATCCTCATACAAATCCATCATTTGCATCCCAGCCATAATAGGCATTGCCTTGCTCGGCGTGAACAGCACCTGGCCGATTGCCGAAACCGCATCCTTGAGCGAGACATTGAACGCGTCTTGGATCAGCTTTTGAACAGTGTCCACTTCGCCCTCGAGTGACTTTCTGGCTTTGTCTAGTGGTGCTGTCAGATATTCAATCTTGGTTGAATTTTCTTCCACGACAGCGAGAGCGTTCTTGTAGTAATACTCGTTGGTGCTTCTTCTCTGCGCCGTGGCATTGGAAGCAGACACCAGGGCTGTTTTCTTTTTATCAGCATCATTCGACGCCTCCTGATAGTCCCTGTATGAGTTTTCCATGGCTGCTGCATGCTCGATAAAGTCTTTCAGGCTGTTTTCGTATGTTTCGAAAGCCAGGTTCGGGATGATGTCTCCATCAGGACCGTAGAAGTCGAAGCCAGAGTCGATCTGCTTGCGGACTCTGCTGGCTTCATCACGAATAGCACGTAGCTGTCTGACTGCGGCTGGCTCTTCGTTCTGCTTTTTCTTCCAGTCTGGGTCCTTGTCGTCGGATACAGGATCAGTGGCATGGATAAACAGCCGCTTTTCAGCTGATTCGTATGCGTCCGCAATGCTGGAGTCACAGATGTTGTCTTGATCGCCTCCCAGAAACACCAATCGCTTTTCCAAACCAGTCAGGATCGACCTGCTTTTTGCCGTCGACTTTGGCGTACCCAGGAAGTACAAAACATTGGCTTTATCAAGCAGCATCTGACACTGGCCAGGATGAGCAAGGCAGGCTGAGCTATCAAGAATCTTCTTCACAGTGAGCCATTTGGAAAACACCATCCCGTCTCTCCCATCTTTGCCATTCTTGCCATCCTCCTTGTCTCCACGGGCTCCGTGGCCGTATTTGCCTCGTTTCCAGACTGCGCTCTTCTCGAGGAGCGCGAGTCGATCATCCTCCTCGTCCGTGACCTCTGGCGGCTGGAAGGCCTTGTGCATTTTGCCAAGTGCTTTGTTGAAAGCACTAAGCTCACCCTTAAAGGCATCATCGGTGGACTTCCAGTCGATTTCGTGGACTTCAGTAACATCCTTCTCTTTGGAAAGCGTCACAAGCTCCTTCAGGGTTGTCATGAACTTTTCATCATCTTTGAAACTGTCGGGCCATTTCCAGTCCTTGCCCTTGCCTTCCACCATAATGGCGTGGAGGTCATTGATAAATTTAGCAATCTTTTTAATTGGCTGTCCTTGTTCTTCGCCTGTCTGACCAAGGAAGATCTGAATGTGGCCGCCGTTTCCTCCATTTCCGCCATCAGCCCCGGTATCCTTACCAGGGACAGGAGTCGGACTGAATCCAGTGCCACCGGAGACTATATCCAGTTAGTATTGTCCTAGTCTTGCACACGAGTGAAGATAACTCACCATCAAGCTTAAATTTCTCCAACCCCTTCTTATCAATCATCCCATCCTCCACACACAATACAATCTCCCCTCCTGAGCCACCAGTGGTATTCTCAGCAGTCCCATCACCACCAGAAAGGCCGAAGCCTAACGTCTTCTCATCGCCGCCTAGGATAAGTTCATGCGTGAAGAGATGGAAGCGTGTGATGCGGTGGTGTGGGGTAGGAGGGGCAGGGGGTTCCTCGGCAGACAGATATTTTTCCAGAGAGTATTTCTCGACATAGAGGATTTGGGTTTGAAAGGCATGGGCGGATTCATTGTAAGGGGCGTCAGAGACGGAGAGGATGAGGGAGGGGTTGACGGGGGGATATTTGATGGTGTCGAGGTCGATTGAGGGCATGTTGGCTTTGGTTTGGAATGGAGTGAGGGGGTGATAGTATACAGTATTCTGCTATATAAATACTTGTAAATAAATACATTCAGCTGTTGTTGGATCATCGCATGAGGGGTTCGCTGGCAACAAACTAGTATAGCTGCATCGGAGCGGGGGCAATCCTGCAGGCCAATCAGACCCGCATTTCCACCTGCAGAGTTGTTGCTTTTCAGCTCATGCACGCTCGTCACAGTCTGTGCTGAATTAATTCTGGCTTATTCTTCGTCAATTGGATTAGCCACCGCCGAATGCGGAATCCTGCAGCTGTCCCGTGCTCGAGTTCAGCTGGGATGTGTTCGGCTTCATCTGTACTTGGCGGGATATGGGTCATTCGGATGATGATCTTTGAGTCGGCTGAGCTGGCAGAGAATATCTGGCCAGGCCTTCGTATCGAGTGAATATCAGTGACACGGTAATTTATACGTCTTGGTATAAGTATCCCGACATTCTTATCCCTATACATTGTACTACACTTCCATTCCTCCTACTTCATTTCACTCCATTCAATCCAAACAATCTCATCAACATGGCCCCAAAATCCGTCACCGAAGACTGGGACATCCTCGTCTCCTACGCCGCCGGCGATGACCTCAACAATCTCCTCAAAGATGCCTGGTCGGGGCCTCTCGGAGCCAAAGAGATTGATTACACGGACGACCACCTTGGGTATAAAGTCACGATGCACAAGCCGCAGCTGCAGTTTTCGACGACGGACATCAAAGCTACCCTGAAGATTGAACTTGAGGGGACCTTTTGGAGCAATGACTGGGGTGATGATGATGAAGGCCAGACGTACAAGTTTGAGGATTTCGGGTATAGTCTTTCGATCACGGCGCCGATTAAGGCAATTGATGGAAATCAGACTCTGCATGTGAGCAACACTTTGAGACTTGGGCGAGTGGATTGCTAATTCATCTCTATAAAGGATGCAAAGAGTAGCATCGTCTTCGAAGACAAGACGGATGCCAGTGTATACCACATTATCCTGCATATGCAGAACGAAAACCTCGAGTGGAAGTCCATCGATCCTCCAGCCAGCGTGGATAAGGCCGGCAAGACACTGGCAAAGAGGGCTATTAGAAAGATCGAGAAGGACATTCGCAGCCCGCACAACACCCGCTTCCTCGATATCAAGCTGGGAGAAGTGAACAATATCCCCAACGACAAGTCGGTGAAGGCTGTCGCGGATCTCTTCCGGCCCAAGGCCTTCCAGATGTCTACGCGTGAAGGGGCTTTGGATATTTTCATTCAGACAGTGGGTGGCTATCAGGAGGGAAAGAATGGTCCTGTCTTTGCTGTTACGGATACGCCCTTCGATACCAAGGATTACAATGGCGCCATCATCATCTCCCACCGACTCTTCCAGGATAAATACCTCGTGCCCCAGATACAAGAGCACTGCAAAACACTCGCCAAAGGCGACGATAAAAAGGGCAAGGTGACTGCAAACAAAGTCGACTCGGGATTCCAGCTGGAACTGGTTTTCGACAAGGTCAAAGCCATCGCATCGGGCGGTTATTCAAGTGGGTTTTTCTCGGATGATAATGCAAGATCGATCGATCTCAATTTTTCCAGCCATCCCGTCAAGCTGAACATTATTAATAACAAGGATTCCATGCCCCAGGCGTCGTGGGAATGGGAACACTCCTTCGAGGTGTGGTGGAGGTCCACGATTCACGGCGGTTTTGACGTGGCGGACAGAGTGGTAGACGATTCATCGACTATTAAAGCTAAGATTGGTGATGTGAGTATCGAACTCCCAAGCCACATTATACATCAGGACTAACGCCATCAGAACCGTTCGGACATCGCTACCCTGAACGACAACAAACTCGACTTTGAATTCCAGTTCAAGGACGAGAACCAGCCCAAGATGACCATCCCAGACAGCACGACCAGCAAATACAAGGACCTCAAGGTCAAGCTGGATAAGTTCAAGTTTGGCCTCGATGAGCTCCAGTACTTTGCCAGTACTAATGTGTTTGCTCCTGGACTGCATTTCATTGATCTCAAGACGGTCCGGGCGCCGCATGATGTGTTTGTTATGGGTAAGATGAAGTCGAAGTAGATAGTCTAGTTGAATTGGGGCTAGATGCATTGTTTTGAGTAATAATTCGAATGACTACATTATTCCACATTACATAGCATAATACAGTAGACGGTATTCATTCTTACTGCCATTTTTCAGTCTTTCTCCGTGCTGGTAGTATCAACAACTCAGAGTGGACACAGCGGAAAAAGTACCCGATATGGCGCCCACCCATCCCCGCCGCAGATATACACTAATGCAGTGTGACTGATTCTGCGAACCTATAGCAGCCAATCAGACACTTACGTCCATTAGTATATAGTTTCACTAATTTAGCCTGACACTTCACGACTGGAGAACCTATTTCTCGTACATAATGTAGCCAATGGGATGGTTGCGTTGGGCGCTATTTACGTATCGCTTCGCTAAATAGCTAGGCGTTACTCGGTGTGGATATCTGCATGATGAGCTGGTTTTCCTCAGCTGAGAGCGGGGTAGCTGAGAACAGCTCAGGCATGCAGTGATCCAACAATGAAAGTGTCGATCGCTGAGCTTGCAACACGAATGAGCTGAAGTTCCCCTCCCTGGCAATGCGGTGGCGTCGACTTCAGCTGGCGAGTGCAGATACGACAGTGGAGAATGGCGCTTATAAGGGCGTATGCTGTTATCCGTAGTACCTGAGCTGTCATGTCCATCATCCATATCTCATCTCCATTCCCAGACCGACTTGATCAAAATGTCAAACCGCTACATCGACAAGTACTACGACAATGACTTCCTAACCGAACTAAGCCAGACCATCGACGCCGATACTGGCAACGGTGCCAAAATCCAAGAGTTCCTGGATAAAGAGAAGGTGGACTTTTCGCAAGACCTTGCCATCTTGGAGAAGGCTACCAAGGTCGGGCCGGATTTTGATATTCGCTATGCTGGTGGTGCGTATGAGATTGAGAACCGTACTGGGGGGTCGGAGTTGTGGGTGAATTCTGTGAAGAGGAAGATCTTTGGTATGTCTTGTTTTGTATAGAGGAGTCTGGGATGGGGACTGACTATTGTAGTTGACGGAGTGGAGGTCAAGTCCCAGGAGAACAAGGACGGCGTGGTCTCGTTCACGACTGACAAGAACGACGCTTTTGAAATTACCTTTGACTGTGCTGTTGGGGAGGGTGTCACTGTTGATCCCTCTGAGCGCTCTTTCACAGGCCATGTCAAGACAGCCACTTCTTCCGACCCAGCCCCGGTATCTGGCAAGATATATTACCCCTGGGAACAATTCGTCGGTGATGTTGATGCCAATGGAAAGGAACCCTCGCCGGCAGAAAAGGCACGAGAAGCAGCAGGCCTGAAACATCTCGCTGTAGCTCTCGACCTCGTCAAGAATCCCTCTAATGTCTTCATTGAAGAACTCCCAGATGACGCTCACGCAGAGCACATGCCCCCACCAGCCGCACTGAGCAGGCTGATGATGGTGGCCATGGCACCCGGTGACCCTCCCGCACCACCCCCAAACAGAAAGCCGAAGAAATTCTTTAGAAAATCCGCAATCATCCAGCACACCGTCAATCTGACACCAGCAATGCTTGTCATCGCCGTCGGGGCGGGTATAGGAGCGGCTATCGCAGCTCCTCCCGCCATCGCTGTTTCAGCAGTAGGCGCTGTGGTTGGATACGCGGGCAACCAAGCTATCAAAAAGGCGCGAAAGGTATCCCAGAACAAGCTCACCGCGTGGGTAAAGTCCAAGGGTCTTTTGGACCGAGAGCACTTCGAGAAACTGCTCAATGAAGCGGCCGAAAGGGCAGCGAACGCACCTGAGTCAGAGGGGAAGCACAGCGCAGAGATTGTCCACGACGCTATAGACAAGCTGTCTAATGGTATCGTGGACACCATCTGGGGGGCTGAGTATCGAGAAGCGGCGGAGAAATTCCCGGGTTTGTTTTATCTTGGAAAGGCTGAATTCAGGAAAGGATTCGATAAAGGCGTCAAGGAGTGGATCTCGAAGAATCATTCGGACGCGTCTATCTTCGACGATATGCGGGGGAATGTTGAAAAGATCCTCGGAGATAATGCTAGACGGTCAACGCCGGTGGACGTGCACATTGCCAATCTCAAAAGGGAAATGAGGATATTGAACAAGGAGAGACAGGACCTACTCAATGATATTGCGAGTAGCTGGAAGTTCTCTCTCCCTGACAACCGTGAGACACGGGAGAAGCACCTCAAAGAGCTGACGGCTGAATTTGACGCGGAACTGGAAAAGGTCAAAGATTCGCTGGTTGATGAGAGTCATGAGTCGGTTGAGCATGCTGACAAAGCTATTGAGAAACTGCGCGAGCGTGTCAAGGAGCTACGTGAGAAACATGTTGAAAGGCCTCATGAAAGGGCGCATGGGGAACATCATCACTAGGTGTATTTCTGTATTCAGTTCATCCATATATGTTTTTCTGGCAGTTATCAAAGACATTTTTCATAAGAAATATCAGGAACTTGTAAGAGAGGGGCGCTCATGTATGTTTTATCGACCCTGAATGTTGACATGAGATGGCTAGTATAGGCCACCAGCAATATTCGGATATCTCTTTCAGTCGAGCGGTATTTTATGGTCAACAGTTTGATATCTTATGTCTCAGTGAGATTATGAACTCATTTCAGTACCCCTGAAATAGACTTGACAAAACCGGGCGAGCGGGCTGTTACCTGGGCTCTGCTGAGTTACACCCTCTCCCAGAACAAGAATGATCTGCCATGCGGTTCAGGGAATACTCTTAAAAAATCAAGAGTGTACTATTTCCTCGCCAGGGAATTAATCCCTGGTGAGACTGAGAAATTCGAACTGGAGCATACCCACGCAATACTTCTACTTGCTCTTGTCAACACGGGCTTTGGAGAATAGACAGCTGCGTGGCTGTTAAGCGGCCGAGCTGCTCGCATGGCGATGTCTCTCGTCTTACCACGCTCCAGCACTGCGAGGATCATTGACGAGCGAGAAAAGGCTATCATTCTAGGATGTTTTATCATCGATATCTTAGTCTCGTCTCGAGTATCCCGCAGGCCATGCATGCACCCTGATGATCTCAAACTCGTCGGCTTTCTGGAAGAGAATTACAGTGGGGAGTGGACTCCGTGGCCTAACATCATGCCTCTCTCACAAAACGAGGGGAAACCTACGATGCCACCGAATGAACCCATGCGTAACTAGAGTGAAGCGTGTTCGAAATCCTTCACGGATATCAGGATTCCAGCGGACCAGGCATACCTATGATCCAGTCTACAGCTACATGACCCAGCGGCCTTCTTGTCAGATTGTGTCTTTGTCTGGCCAGACTCGAGTGATTCCGAATCTTCAATGGTCTTCTCTCACACGCCTGATTCTTCACTTTGGGATTCGTGGAGTATCGAACAATGAGGAACTTATTATCTATTTGATGATATAGAAAACCTATTGGGGAAGTAGCATTTGAGTCTTTTCACTAGATATATAGTATCCAGCTATATTGGAAGGCATATAAGTATTGCTAAAATATCCCAAGTTCTATGGATAATACAAGTTTCGTTGTTTATCTCGATATAGTCCGCCAGAAGCTCGATTATACTTTCAACTAGGCGTGGATGACCACGATTTATTTCTCATCATGGGCACTCAGATCAGCCGTCTTAATAGTCAGTGAAACACGTTGCAGAGAAATATTACATATGGACTATCCAGATGTGTTTCTCGAATCACCCGATTCTATTTTTATGGCTACCGGGCAAGAGCTGGTTCTCATAATGAGGTTCCGAAGGATTGTCTGATTCTAAGAGTAGAGATATCAAATCTGTGTGATGGTAGATCTCAATTCAAACTCAATTCGATTGTCTTGGACTTATGATGACAGGATTATATTCAGCAGCCAACTCTTCAATAGACCTATAACTCTTCCGTCTTAGCAAGAGAGGCACCGAACCCGATAACGCCGGTGGCGACCCCTAGGAGCTCGCTGATCTCTGGAATATTGATCGTGGAGCTGCTGTCGCACGACCAGCCATACACATATCGTAACCGGGGAGTAGAAGGAGCGGTAGCCGTCCCGCTCTTTCCGTTATAAGGCTGCCCAAGACGAAAGTTGTCACTGATCTTGGGATTCCCAAATCCACCGCCACCCCCGCCACAGATTTTCTTGTCCTGATTGATCCAGAATTGGAGCGAATTAAGACCGCGGGAGTCAATGTTACCCGAAACACAGACCACAGCCTCGTCCTCGCCCACATGAAGAATCCTTTCAGTCCCATCCTTGTTTCCACGGAATCCACTGCTCGTATCTCCGTGCCAAATTTCGAAACCATTCACTCGGTCCCAGGCGAAGAGAGAAATCCTGGTGATCTGGCCGTGCTGCTCGGCAAGCTCGCGGTCGTTGAAGTGCTTCATGTCAGCTGCAACAACCTCACCCATGGGTTCGGTTGTATTGCAGATGATTTCCCGGGTGATGGGCTCTTTGTTCCTGTTGATGAACTGGGGCCATTGTAGCGACGGTGCGAGAAGGTCCTTAATCTGCTGTCGGTAGATGGAATCGGCCGAATCCCGCAGGTTTTCGTAGAACCGATCCAATTGAAGGTTCTCACGACTTCGTGGAGGTGGCGGAGCCCAAGGGCTTCCCGGATGTGTATTCGTTTCGGACCGTTTGTGGACACCTCGCTCAAAGTCGTAGACATTGCGGAATCGAATTTCTTTCCTTCGCATCGGCTCTACATCTACCGACTCCTCATCTTTGATTCTCTCTTCCATCCGCCATTTGATGCATCTGGCAAAGATTTTCTGCGCCGCGGTCGTGTACTGCTTGATGTGTCTTTGCAACTCAGCGCGGTGGACTTCGGTGTCCTTCCCTTGATCGCGGGCCTCGGGATAGATCTCATCCCAAAGGAAGAGCTGGTCACGGAGCAAAGCAAGATGCAGAGTAGCCATGGGGACAAAATACTGCAGCGTCTGCCACGGCGTTTCATTATCAAGGTAGTCCCGCTTGATGATGGTAAACTCCCCCAAGAGATAGGTCAATTGCTGGCCCTTTTGACTGATGCCCACCGAGGACTGCCCATACCTTCGTATAAATTCCTTCAGCCCCTCGGTCTTTCTTCGCAAGTCTGCTACTGCTTTCTCCTCCAGAACCCCTTTCACAATTTCCCTGACACCGGCATCGATTTGGTTCAAGTTGTTGGCCTCATCGTCAGGCCATAAAAGGCCCGTAAGGGTAGCTAGTAGACCACCGATCTCGGGGATCATACCAAGACCGGTAGTCACCAGAGTCTTCGTCAGCTGGTTGACACTGACTGCTTTGAGGACAATGGGACTGGCTTGCCATTTGCCAATGTCTTCGATGGAATCTGAAGGTGTTAGATTGTTGACAAGAGCGTCGAAGTCGAATTTGAAATACTGCTCGTCAGCTACTGGGTCCGATGGCCAGCAGTTGTAGACATGGGGTTCCGGCGAGGTTCTCGAGATAAGATAACATTCAGATTGGTAATTTTTCAGTCGGAAGCAACCGGCGTACGCACCACTACCCGGTTCAATTTTGAAATAGTGAAGCGGGTTGGTTTCGTCATCTTCGTTTGTTTCCACGTACGGCGCCATGCCCGACCTGGAGAATAGCACTCTGCCCGTCATCCAGCTTTTGATATAGTAATATCCTTCGAACTTTCCTTTGCCAGGAATGATGTACCAGTACTGATCGTTGTGCACGTAGTAAGACGGCCATTGGTCAAAATAGGGGGACGCATGGTCTCGTGAGAGCAAGACGCAATTGCTTTGGAAGCCAACGATACGGATTGACCTGGCTGGGTAGGGAATGACGATCTCTGGCTTGATGATGGAATTCATGACAGAGTCTAAGGAAAATAGATTTGGAAAGTCTTTTGCAGTTTGAATGGTTTCGAATTATGATCGAGAGTGAATGTGTTTGAGTTGAGCAGATAATCGACTGGAATTGGCCAGACTTATACACCTTTGCGAGCAGGTAATAATCTCGCTTAGCATAGTCTTCTGACAACACATCATTGAAGATGGACAGGCGACCAAACTCAATAACCGACACCCAGCAGGCAACAGCAAGTAAACGATCTTTTACATTCCCGGTGTACCTTAGATCGCCAGGAATTTGATATCCTCAGCTCGTCCTTACCAGAGCTGAGCGGGGTGCGGGAAACAGACTGAGCCAATAATATCCTGTTCCAAGGTGGATCTTTCGCAATAGACAGCGGGAGTGGCTGTTCTTTGGCCCCACCTTAATTTCTGAAGAATCTGATGGCCAATCAGACTAGAGGCCAAGTCTCCAGGACGAACTTCGTGGCTGAAAACGGGCACCTGCCACAATGTGCCCGACGAGGGCCGTGCTCCATCTTCAGGATGTTGACGGTTTCCACGAAAAGGTTGACTTCGATCAAAAGGTTTTGAAAGGTTTACAATCTGACACTACAAATAACACAGGCCAAATGTGAAATATCAGTCTCGGACATATCATTAAAGAAATAAGATAACACATAAAACATGGGTCGGAAAACCATTTCCCCTCAATCAGTGCACCGCCACAACTAGTGGAAGTTATTCGACCAAAAGTCAGCCAAGATCTCCATACTATGACATCAACCCATGATCCCCGATACCTCGTTCTTAAAGATACTTCTTTCTTTGGTGAGTGAGAGATGTGAATAGGGTGTTCAAGCACGCTGTGTTAAAACGTAATGACACCATATATTATCCAGAATAATATGTATAGAAATTGAGTCAAGGAATACCGCCACCATCCATTCCCAAAACTCAACCAACAACAGGAAATCTCGCTCTCGCAAAGCTCAATCTCGCTTTTCTCTCCAGCAAACGATATGATCTTCAATGATCGGCCAAAGAAGCCTGGCCATCACCAAATTCAACAAGATGTCTATATTCTGTGCTGATCACAATATCATTTCAGGGGACTACTCCAATTATCGCATTAGCAGCAGCAGTATATAGTTTATTGTCTGTCTGATATCCCGGTCATAAATAGCACATGAAAGTGCGATATCCTGATTCAAAAGGTGGTCCAATTGCTTAATTTCTAGCGATGAAGATAGTATCTTAGAAGACTGAAAGAGTGCGGGCGTAGGAGAAATCAAACAATCCTAGCCGATATATATATATAATGGAGAAAGTTCACAGCACGGCTAGATGGAAGTAGTAATACCAATTATCTGGGCTTGTATAGCCATACTAAATTTCATTTTGTTCTCCAACAGTTCAGAGAGTGACTATCATGATATAAGACCCAGCCGTGTATTACGATATGTAAGATTCTTATTAGTTTTTATTGTTGCCATTACCATATGAAAAAAAGAAGAAAAAAAAAAACACAACCTTGTCAAAACTGGGAATTTCGTCTTCTAGCAATTCTCCTGGCACAATTATCAATCTCAGTTTTGCCCTCCGGAGACGCAATAAACCTGAGAGCCAGCTCCTCCACTTTATTCAGTTGCTTCCAGTCGTCCATTCCGATTTTATGCAGATCATGTACTTCGTTTAGTCGAGAATACAACCCTCCAACTCGACGCTTTGCCATGAATTCTTCATGTTTTCCCTCCGTATTCGTCATTTGGGCTGCCATGTACTTCACTATGCCAAACCCCTGGGCAGGATTCATGTGCTGTGGCTTTCCCGTGCCAATGCTGACAATCGCATCGAAACTCCTTCCCTCACAAACATTCTTTGCTTCGTCGTACACCTCAAAGATGGGATTATTGCTCATCATGCCTCCATCCCAGTATTTTTGGCCATTAATCTCGATCTCAGGAAAGTACAACGGTGCTGCTGAAGTAGCTCTGCATGCTTGCCATATTTTACAGCGCGTGGCTCCTCCCGCACTAGAGTCGTAAGCTCTCAGTCGTTCAACTTTATCACTTCCCTCAAGGACGGCGCAGACAAAACTATCGAATCCTGCTTAGAAGATTTTCACGTGTATCGATGCAAAGGTATACTTACGTTTTGCACTGCGTATCTTGAAGCCCTCCGAGGAAGGCCTCGGATGGAACAATATGGCCCTGTTTTAATGACTCTTTCTCTGGGGTACTTAACCACTGAGATACGACCTCTTGAATTGCTCCTTTCAGTATGTCTCCAGAGAACCAAGGCCTGTTAAACGCAAAATAGAGGTAGTCAGGGCCCCAGCTTCGCCATCGGCCCTTCTTAAAAATCGTTGAGGCCATAGTCTTATAAGCCATTTTGCAAGCGACAAGATTCATTCTCTGTTTCCATTAGCTTGATTGCGTTGACTCAGCCTTGGTCTGACTTACAAGGCGACCAAGCATGATTGCCAGGAGGCTAGTCTCAAATTAGCTAAACGAAAATCACCCATTCGGTCCTGATCAAAGTCCATGTGTTTACAGAGGAAGTAGAGACCCCCAGAAGTGGCATAGATGCTATATATTACAGGAAAAAAAAGAGGAAAGACAACTCACCCTCCAGTGCTTGTTCCTCCGATGAGATCGAAGTAATCACAAGGCCGTAGAGCATCCGGACTATTGGGAAGGTCATATTGGCGGACTTTCTCCATAATAGCCTCAAGAACAATAGTAGAAAATAGCCCTCTGACGCCCCCGCCATCTTTTCATGTTAGACCTCAATGTTATCTGGCTGGAAGGGCAACCGCAATACACACCTAGAGACAAAATTCGGAGACCTGGTGTCTCTGATGACGCGTGATCATCCACCAGATGAACAGGTGCAGGTAGAGCTATAGCCTCCGATGAATCTTGAAAACTTTGCTTGATAGTAGGAACATTCGGTAATATTTGTGCAACTTCACTGTTCTCATTCCGAAGACCTGGGGCTTTGGAAACCATAGGATCCTGAATCTGCCTTATAATATAGGAAATTGAGTGTATCAGTCTCCTACAGTCACTATCATCAGAGTCATATCGAGCCAGGTTGGCGTGATTTTTGTTGAGATGCCAGTTCTCGACCCACGGGAGATCAAGAGTTGCGGCATCCTTGGGTATCAAGACACTACTCTCCTATGGTATATTAGCCACACTTTGACGCTGCGCTTGTTGAAGAGAAACAAGGGTAGGAATAACCAATAAGTCTTAGTACCAATTTCAATATTTCGCCATATTCACACTGAGCCCGCAAAAAGATATATAGCTCTGTAGGAAAGAGGAATTCAGACTTACTCTAGTGACCAGGTTGGTTGTAGTAGGCACGGCTTCCCAGAAACAAGCGACTGGGAGACGTTCTCCACCCAAAGAAGCGAACTGATAATTTATCCGAGGTATCTGATTCCGCCAGTCCTCTATATACCACTGTACGATCCACTGATTCGATAGGCCCCATGAGATAACTCTTGGCAGGGCTGTTCCAAGAGCAAGCGAACGAATCACTTGGATATCGATCACATTATAGTGGTCTACTCCAAGAAATACAAATCCCTTAATAGATGAATGGATTTCAGAGACTCTTTGGCGCTGGTTGAAGGTGAGGTGGGTTGAAACAAAAAGCTAGTGGAAGTTAGTTTCCATAATTAAGACATGATAATCCACATTGAAACTTAGACGTTTAAAACCAATAGTTATTTGCTATGTTCAGCTACCAAGGCACAGCTTTAGAAAGATAATGAATTTTTTTCCAAGCTGAACGCCTCTGGAATATCTCAGACGGCGCTATTGAGCAGGCATAGCTTGAATAATGTAAGGAGTACTCACTTGTTTTGCAACATACCCCCCAAAACTATAGCCAAGCAGTATAAAAATATCCTCGAAGCTCTGCTCCAGGTCATTATTCCGAGACTCAGATTTCTCAACATGTCCACTTACATATGATGTTTTGGCTCGGTCGTCGACAAGCTCGCTAAGAAGAGCATCGGCGGCGGCCTTCGGCGTGCCGGAATAACCAAAGCTTAGGATGCGCGCTCCCTTCGGCAAATGTTCTGGTAGAGAATCACGTAACCAGAAAAAGGATGTCTCTTTTGATGTCCAAGACTTATTCCAGGATCCTGCCAGTTCATGGATAGCTATAATGCTAAGGCAAGGTCGTTAGCTGAATCAACTACTTTGACCACTCCAACTGTGGACATACTTGACGCGTTGATCTCCATTTCTTGGGGCAGATTCATTTTCAAAAAAGGAATCGTTTACCACATGCAGCCGAGCAGCCGTCAAGTTCTCACCACCGACGGTGCCGAAATCCAATTTCAACAGTGGCAAGCGACTCACTGACCGTTGGCTATTCTCAGAGGTGCCTGTCGTAACGATACCACTATCTCGGTCGCTTTGTTGCTCTTGGTCTAGAGAGTCCATCGGAATTTTTGACATTGTTGTGGAAAAAACTGAAAAAGTTTGAATTGCTTGGTGGGAAACGTCGACGACGAGTCTTCTTTCAACGTGTCTCCTTTTACATTGATGTATTGCTCCAAAACTTGTGAATGGGACAAAGGTATAAGGATATCAACGCCCTTTTTGATGAAGACCTCAGTTACACTTATATATACAAACAACCAAAGTAGTTAGCTCATCCTTGGATTGCGTCACCAGTTCATCACGCTCAATCTCCCCTAAATATTAATGTGCAACGCAAAAGTCCGCTCTGGATATTATGCTTGTCTTCTTGTTAATTTGACCAGAGTGTTATATTATCGATACCAGTTATCATTGTGACGACATCATTGCTTATATATAGTTGGCAACTCTAAGTAGCTCGGGTGAACTGGGATTGGTCAGGCTAATGAAGGTTGCACCAGATGACTACCGAATTCTGGCTATACTCAAACTTCTAGAGCACGTAGTAGCCCAAATATACTAAGTTATTACGTTCTAGACCTCTTTCTAAACAGATGTGGTTTAAAGAAGTTTTCTGCAGCTGGACTGTCACAATTTTGCTCAAAAGACCTACCAAACAGCACAACGCGAAATTAAATTATTTATATTGCCGAGGACAAAATCCAGTCTTTTTTTTACGAAAAAGGCGAACGAGATTGATAGTGTCTAGATGATTCTTCTTCTGTGCCATCTAATATACAGGCTCAGTTTTTTTTCTTGAAGATCCAATTCTAGAATTATTCTCTCTGTAGAATGAAATCATGACGAACCTTAGGGTAGCTATTTGTTTTCTATCTTATTTTTCTACGGAACTTATTTTTAGGATATCTTATGGTTCTCTCTTTATTTCCAATGTTTGGTACGAAGCTTAAATCTTGCCCTATCATGATACTATAGAAAAAGCATATATTTGAAAGGCATCATGCGCATGGGCATTATGGGACCCCATGGACCAAATAGTATGATGATAGAGCTTCAGTTGACTAAAGTGTTTCTCCTGAATCTCTTATAAGCTCAATTAAAAATGCCTCCTTTGCTGGAAGTAGCGCCCAGGTCGACAGATTTTCATCCATATACACAAACCCGCGACTTCTCTGAACAAAGGACGCATCCAGCAGATGTTTTTTCTGTACTACTCATCCTTGGTGATATTGTGGGACGAACACTTGGACAGGCTGCCGGCGGGTGGTTTGGACCGCCATCCGTTTCTTTTGGTGAGTTGGATCTCGGATGTTTGGTGTTTCAGGGGGTACAAGAGGGACTAGAAGAAATAACATACATGCTTGCTAATGGGAATAACTCTAAGGGTGGGTTGATTACCCAATCAATGCATGTATGTCGGCGTTCGGCGAGAATAAGCTCATGCCAATACCTGACACCCAGTGTATTGCTATCAACGGAAAGACGGGATATGTCAGGGTCAATTCCAGCTGGGTCTCAGGAAGGATGGTCAGAGATTATGACAGCTGGATGCATGATAATATAAAAGATACAGCGAAGAAATTGATCGATGAGAAGTGACAAACATGAAGATAGAAGCGGAGGGAAAAGGAAGACCTGAACCATCCCAACTTACCCAGGTTTGTGCCTCAATCTATCAGGCTTCTTCTAACGCAAAAAAAGCGAAGGAGGTCTAGGATTGGATTTATGGTTATGGATTTCTCGTTGCGATTGTCCAATTAGGGATAGCGGCAATTCCATGTGGTCTGTTTGGCGATTGGGGCATTTTGATGATCACTGCGTGTGGCATTGCCTTCTCCTCCGTTACAACCAGTCTAGGCCAGTGGAAAAAAGAAAAATGGGTCTGCTGTCGTCTGAAAGAAGGCTCTAATAAGAATGTTGTTAACACACGCGGAAACAGAAGCCAACATGCAAGTATCATCTGAGGGGCCGAGGGATAAACTTGAAATCAATTGACAGTGACGAGAGTCCAAATACTCTTGACTGTCTATAGAAATACTTTGTGGGCGCTACCAAGGATGTGGACACTGGCAGTATTATAGTTCTCCTAGACGGGCTTGATGAATGTTTAGGAGACGACTCAGCGTTTCTACCCCAGACCATCTACCATCATTCCACATGCCCAGATTTAAGGGTAAAGTCTCTGCTCACCTGCCAGCAACTGACCTTGTTAATAGTGTGTTCAGTTTAGAATTGATGCTGAATCTAGAAAAAGATGATCGGTGCTCAGCAGCACTCAGAATTGGCATTGCCAATGTCGCGAACGACCGCTGGGGGGAGTTTGTTAAGACAAAGGGAATATCCAGAGAGGCGACAAAATCTAAGCTTGGCACGATGGTCTCATCCAAGTATCAGTACGATCCCAAACACCTCTTCTCGACACTACTTTTTGAATTTCGCCAGTGGCGCAAACGGGCCCAGCCACTCAAAGAAAGCCATTAGATCCAGGTTTTCGAGGATCTGGCTACAAATACATACGACACATATAGTATGATCTTCGATACGTGCGGATAATGCTTCAAATTGTACTTGTTGCAACAATTACATTCACACTACAAGAGACAACATTGCACTCAGCATCAGCGATAGGACAGACTATAGAGACTCATCAAGATCTGCGGCACCCTTTGTCTCTTCATATCGCAATTCAAGACACGCTGCAAGGAAGACAATAGGCCAAATTGCTTCGGTCACTCCCCGCTGACTGCTATCAGGGGATGCTGCCTCAATTGCTAGTCTACCGCTTTCAATAGCTGGGTTGAGAAGTTCAATCCCCCCGTTTGACGGAATCCATCCGCAAGATGGGCCACATGCGCATTCAAAGCCATCAGTCGATCTGGATGGTCATGGGGCGTGAGTCTTACCGCTCTCTCAGCGGCTCTGTTACTATACTTAAAAGTCTCGTCGCCATTTGCTCTTTTCTTCATCTCACAGTAGCAGGCAAAAAGACCCCAACTCGAATTGGCAAGTAACCTGCCTATTCTAGGTTCCTCCTCACTGCTGGTGTCTACAATCTGCCTTGCTAGGCGAGTTGCATGATAGAGATCCGAATCTGCCCCGGCTTCAGTGTATCTCAATATTCAACTTTGGCTCAAAGAGCCTAACAAGATGTTGGGATTCTAAAGTCCGTTGAGAAATCTCATCGTAAATTCTTTCACGTCTGAGCTAGAAGGAAAGCTGGAACAACAAAATAGCGATGCAGCGTGATCGAGTGGGAAATCGGGATTTCGAGTATTTATCAATGGAATTAACTGTAGGTCATCTGAACTCATGTCTCGGACGCTACTGTCCCTGAGATGAATGAACCATTTTGAGAATGCGTACTACCCAAAGCCAAACCGATCTTCGTAATAATCGAGAGGCTCAATCTGCTTATCGACTGGGGAATCGAAGTATTGGTGAGGGGTCATGATTTTGCCTCCTGAATGGACAAGATATGTACCGCAAGCAGGTGTTGGCAATGGTTTTATCGCACCACTCTAAGGCGCCATTGGTGACAGGAGCTCCATGCGCAACCAAGGTCTTTGCTAATCCTAGCTGTTGTGTGTTGATGGCAACTTCAAGCGGACCTGGATGGGTGCTCCTCGGTCGAAACATGATATCGATAATAACCCTGCTCTGCTGCTCTAGTGCCCAGTCTAGAAGGTAGCATGCCAGTTGTTTATCCTTTGCAGAGATCGCATTGAGAATTATGTGGTCCCCTACACTCAGCATGATGCTATTTAGAGCTCCAGCACTTGCTAGATACTCTGCAGTTTCCATATTTCCAATGCGGTAGAGTGCGAGCCCCAAATCGGTTGCTCCAGCACGGCGTAATGTGTTGATCATTTCGATATTTCCCACCTCAATGGCAGCCCCAAGCGGCGTACTCGGAGAACGGCCAAATGCACCATAAGCATGGTTGAGATGAATATCAAGTTGCAAAAGCTGGATAGACGATTCAAAATCTTGTTGGTGAATAAATTTTTGAAGGCTCGCCGAGTAGTAATCTTGGAGTGCGAGCCCCGTTACTGCAGCTCCAGCATTCAAAAAATCCCTACATACATTCAGTTGTCCCTTGAAAAGTGAGCATTCAAAAAGTGAGCCAAGTGGTCTTCTGATACCATTAGATGTCCAGATTTCAATTGGAATGTCAGGATCGGCCCCAGCATCCAGAAGGAACCTAGTAGCAGATTCGTGTCCGTAGTAGACAGCTATCACTAGCGGATAGGCGTGAAGGTTTCCATCTACAAAGTGTGGATTGACAACAGAATCCGCGTCGAGTAGCAGCTCCAAGATTGAAACATGTCCTCTAGCTGCTGCTAAACCCATAATGTTTGTTTGAATATCTTTTCCACCAAATGGCACGCTGTGAGATGCATTCACATCACCTCCTCGGGAAAGTAAGATTCTTACGGCTTCAGCGCGGCCTTCGTCAACGGCTAGCCCTAGTGGAGAGGATGAAGACCCACCAGGAAGTTCGGGATTGACGACAGCACCATTTGCTAAGAGTAACTCGAGCATTGGAATATCTCCTGCGTAAGCTGCTATACCGAGGACAGTCGTTTGGCGTTCATCCCTTGCCCCGCGTAATGGCTGGAGTGCATTGACATCGGCTCCCCAAGAAAGAAATGACCTTGCCATTTCCAAATTGCTCTCGTGAACAGCTTTACCAAGCATAGCCCCCCAGTTTTCGTCATTGAACTGGATTCTTTGATTAACAGTAAGAGCTGCATCCACGAGTATTCTGACAACAGAGGCATCGGACGTCTCTGCAGCAGCCTTCAGTGTATGGGAGGATATCGCTGCTCCCCTGGACAAAAGAATATCCATCAAACGTTTATCTTTGCTTGAGGTAGCCCTTTGCAATGCTGAATGTTTCCCTAGGTGCTTGTTGGGTTGGGCATGGTATGACAACAACAATCGAGTCATTTGGTGAGAAACGGAGCGGGCATGACGGTCAGAAAAAGCCACATATTCTAGAGGCGTTAATGGCCTCAAACTATCATCCAACATTGGGGTATGCGGATCCATGCCAGCCTTCAATAGCATTTCAACGGTATTAAGATCCCCTGTTTTCAGCGCGCGCCCAAAGAGCCTCTCGGCGGCAACACTTGCGGTGATACTTGATATAAAAAGAAGCTCTCTGGTACCTTCACGTGCATCTAGGCCAAAGCCCTGGAATAGTCGCATCATTATTTTATTTCGGAAGTCAAGAATATTGTTGGATAGAAGATAAAGAAACATTTTTTGGCACTCTTGTTGTCCGATTAGATGGTCGCTGCGAAGGAGCACTTCAGATGATACGTAATGCTGCCCTTCATATTCTTCTGGCATAAGCACAGTCAAGCATTTCGCTATCTGTATGCCGCTTCGATTATCTGCCCAGGGGAGAATTGATTCCATTTCTCCAATCAGATACGATTTAGGGATCTGCATATCGTTGCTGTGGAGAGCAAATTGACCCGCGGTCGATACAGATGGCACATATTCTAATCCTGTTAGCATGTGACTCAATGTGATAGCTTCTTCAACCTCTTACCTGGTCTACTCTGGCTTCCAGTAATTCTGAGGAACTGTTGCCAAGGAAGCTCGCGGGGCCACTCCAATATAACGTTGCCGGATGGCTCAGGGGTACAAACAACAATCCCCTCCGGCGTCTCGGGAGATGGAGCTAGGATAAGTCAATCGAGCAATACCTTTTTCCCCCAGAAACTCCGAGTCTTACCGGAATATAGTTCGACTGTTGATACATGGCCATGGCGAGATATTCCTTTCCGAATCCTTTCAGGGAGGTATCGTTCCCCATAAACAAATACATCGCTCTGGCGCTTTCTCTTCTGCAATTTCACATTGATGTATTTCCACCTCTGTGGGTTCATTTTGTATTTCTTGAATCCCCATTTTGTAAATGCCCTCTCGTATTGCTTTTTGCTGCAGGGTATCATGTTAGAGAATTCGAATGCGAACAAGCGATGAAGACTAAGGTTGTACCTTCGACGAAATCCCCGCATCGACTCGAGTTTTCTTTTGACTTCGTGGAGTGTTTTACCGTCTTTTATGTACAGCTGTTCAATCTCAGCCTTATGCGCTTGCCAGGTCGAGTCCGCCATGGTTACCAGCGGTTGGATTGATCGATTTTTGGTGTAGTGAGATAACAACAATTTAGATGAGGTGAAAGACTGAAAAGATAGCCAAGGCAAACAGAAACTGCCAACATCACAGGCGAGTAGCTGAAGAAAAGGAGAGGAATTTTGGGAGTGGACGACTTCTTATGGTCCATTCATGACGAGGCTGATGTCCCTTTCACAAAAGCAATATGGTTTCGACTGTGGCTAGATCCCTCCGTAAGATTAACTGGTTGGCTCTTTCAGACTCCATGTTTGTAGGCAAGGTCTTTCTGGCCAAGCCATACAGTGCGTTTACGTCGTACGTAGCCTTGTTGGGTATAATCATGGCGATAATCAGCCATCTCTTACGAAATGTGGGTGGGTCGGAGGTTGTTGTCTTGTTAGCTATTCGCTGGTTCTTGATTATGTCAGGGGAGATTTTGGCATCCAGCCAATGAAACCATGGGATCGTCGTTGCCCAATGCATAGCGGGGCCACCGATCCTTTCAATCCACACTCTTACTGGCTCGAATCCAAAATCTCTTTGGCATGATCTGTGAATAGCCAACTGATCATACGCGCGAAAACCAGGCAGCCTGCCAATCACCATAGCTCCTGAGCTTCATGGGTGGAGCAATCATCAAAGAGCCTTTTTTCTATTGGTGATTCACAGCGAGGCGCAGGACCGTCTCAACCCATATTTCATCTTACTATGTACACGTCCAGGAAGCTTCAATCCCAGATATGATCCGCCCGTCATCTGCATTCAATTGATTTTCCTTGCCCCAGTGCTCGTCTCATGAAGTAGAGATCAATATTTTTGGGGTATAAGTAGAAGCATTTCCTGTCTTTCATCCAAGAAATCATCCAGGAAATTCCCGTTGTTGCTTTATATTAATATCTTGACTGTTTTAATTTCCACCGGCAAACCCTTGACCACTGAATACTTCTACTATGTCGCGCATGTCAGAAGTAGATGTTGATCCCCTCAACATCCCATACATGGACAACAACTATGCCCCATACCCTCCTACCTTTTTTCAAGACATGCTTCAGCCATCCCCGGCCCAGGAGTACAATCTGCCAGGTCTTTCTCTACACAATGGCCATGACATCCACCATTCCCTCTCCCACCCAGGTGTCTTCCTTCCGCATGATTTCGCTGCCACCCCCAATCCGAGCAACTGCAACACTATCCTAGGTCATTCTGTCTATGGGAATAGTTCCAACCTAGCTGCAGGTTATCCATATGCGGAGCCAGACCCAAGTGTCACTGTTCCAAGTGTAAACATATCTCGACCCGAGGCGACGACATTGCACCATCCGCTCCCGCAAAGAATCATATCCCCCCACCAAACACCCTCTCCCAGAAATAGCAGATCCAGGGATACCCAAACTACTACCAGCCAAAGGCAAAACAGGTATGCAATTCACTCAAGCTTCTATCTAGCCCTACCCAGAGGTCTGCAAGCTAACAGACTAACTTTACTCGACTTCATCAGAGCACAACTCCCTACCAACTCGTTTCAGTGTCGTTGGGAAGGATGCAGGCGTAACTGCTCATTCGGCCGCAAGGCAGAGCTGATGCGTCATATTGAGCTGCTCCACGTCTCTCCGGGCTCGTATGAATGTTCGCGTTGTAGTCGGGCATTCAATCGGAAGGACAATTTGGCTGAGCATATGCGGAGTCGTCATGCTGGTTCTGGCTTTTAAATCTCTAGCAAGTTTATGGTCGCGTTCGTAGCGTGGTAGCTTTGGTGCATGGGTTTTCTTTCTTTCCTTTCATTTTATTGGTGTAGATGTCTTTTCGGTGTCTTCTCGGATATAGCAACGGTATGAGCAATAGGTAGCGTTGTTTTCTTATGATGATCCGATATTCTCGATGTAGGAGCTGTGCATAATAAAGACATAGAATCATAACAAAGGTCGTAAACATGTTCATTAGTTCAAGCTCTGTAGAATACATTCCCCTCAAAAAGCCTCCGAGCAGTTCGATACACGGCCACTCTATCCACATGAACCGTCCCATTCTTTCCCATCCCCAACACCGTCTCTGCCGTGATGACTCCGGCAGGATGTCGAATCCGCCAGGGAATAGGAGCAGCAATCTGGTGTCCTTCAACTGCCATGCCATGTCGTGGGGTTCCATCTTTCTGTCTGTCATTGGCGAGGTCCCATGCTATGGTCCCGTGGATACTCATCGCGGCACCGATACATACTGCGCCCGTCAACTGCAAGCTCGGATGGGGTTTTCCCATGCTGAAGGATAGAAGTGAAATGTCGGCGTCATCATCCCCCGCTGAGGTGAGGAGTGCGATCTTCGGAGTTCCCCTGACCAATCCCGCTGCATCTAGGTCTTTCGCTAGTCCCATTTGCACAGCGCCCTGACGACGGATGTCTTCAATCGTGGATAGAAAGACGTTATTGCCCTTGTCTGGCCATAGCTTCTGCAGGACAGATGGTAGCGAAGAGGCATCGACGAGGACAAATGGGTTTGCAGCGTCTATCAGACTAGCTCGCACCGCAAAGGAGCCGGTATATCTTGACTGCACAGTCAAAGTCTCCTGCGTTGCACCGGTGGGGAACAGCCGTCCAGTCATGCTACCGGCTGGATTCAGAAATGCGGTCTTGATCGGACTCGATGTACCCTGGACACCGGGGAGGGAGTAGTCGCCGTCCTCACGGAAGCGTCCGTCTGGAGTTAGTTGGACTGTCTCGATGATTGTCTGTTCGGTGTTGGTGTTGAAGATTCGGATATCCATCTTGACATCATTAGTCTGTGTTTCTCCAGCGTAGTGTGTTTACTCACCTCTGAATCCCCAGGAACAGCTTCCACAATGCCTTCATCCAAAGCAAACGGCCCCACGCCCGCCAGCATATTCCCGCAGTTCCCCGTCATGTCAACCTTGGCCTGGTCCGGCGCAACCTGGACAAAAGTATACTCGACGTCAACGCCAGGACGGGTGGATCGTGCAACCACTGCCACTTTGGAGGTGGTTGATGTTCCTCCTCCCATGCCATCGATCTGGTTTGTACTTCCCTGCACGGAGCCCATTGCAGAGAGCAGAATTTGATTCCATGATGATGGCGATTGGGGGAGATCTTTCCGATGAAGGAAGAGGCCTTTTGATGTTCCTGATCTCATCCAGACTGCTGGGAGGGTGTGGCGGCTAACATTTCGAGATAGTTCCTTGGGCTGGAGGAGGACTGTCGGCACATCTGCAAATATCGATGATGATACTTTGGTCATGATCGTATGGAAGTAGTCAAACTGAATATATCGTGTCTATGAAGGATGGGAGAAGTCTGCCCAACTGAACTGGTGACATTATCCAATGCATTTATATTTTCATGTTATCCATCTAAAGCATCTACTTGATGTCATGAGAACTGATGCTATTTCGACTTCCGTGGAGTCCGCGGATTGAAGATCCCGCGGCAAGAAAATCCCGTGGACAACCAATGACCTAAGGTATGTACTAACAGACTAGAGTATAGGATATCCTTATTTTTTATTTAGGGAATGATATATTTAAGATAAGGTATTAATTTTCTATTGATATAGTATATCTATTACATATAATAAAAGATGGAACCAAAGGCAGTTTGATATCTTCAAGAAAATGAGTTATTTCAATTTGCACGCTAGTCTGCCGTAGCACGGCACATGGATAGATGCTTTCTTTTCCTTCTCAACCCATGGAACCCATACCCCAGAATGAAAAATCTAGGAATGAATAAAGTTACATGACAGAAAAATGCGGGGAAACAAGCCTCGAGAATGCATAAATAGATGCAGGGAAGCCTGGCATTTCTGCACTGCACATCATTGCCATTATGAATTCTCAAACGGAACAAAAGGCAGCTACCCTGCCAGTCTACATTCTTGCCATTGTGACTTCTATGGGCGCATTTATGTTTGGCTATGATCTTGCTTTCATTGGGACATCGATTGAGTTGACTGCTTTTGAACAGTGAGGTTCTTCTCTTCTCTATAATATATAGCATCACTGATACATTCTGTAGAGACTTTGCACTGCACGATGCTACGGCGTCCGTCAAAGATGCCTTCGCAGCAAACATTGTCTCCTTACTCCAAGCTGGCTGTTTCTTCGGTTCGCTCGCTGCAGCTCCAGCAGGCGATAGATTCGGTCGTCGGTGTGCACTGGCACTCGGCACTCTTGCCTTTACTGCTGGTTCTATCATGCAGGCTGCATCAATGGGCAATACTTCTGTCATGTTCATTGGTCGATTCATCGGTGGTCTGGTAAGCATCATCCCTCCCCATTCCCGTCCATCCACTAACCTCGATGTATAGGGCGTCGGCTCCGCCAGCATGCTCATCCCCCTCTACACAGCCGAATGCTCCCCGCCATCCATCCGCGGCCGTCTAGTGGGCATATACGAAATCGGCGTACAGGTCGGCACCTGCATCGGCTTCTGGATTAACTACGCCGTCGAGCGGACCCTGCCCTCGACTTCTTCGCAGTGGATTACCCCGTTTGCGGTCCAGCTTATCCCGGCGGGACTTTTATTGCTCGGTTTGGTGTTTCTGCCTGATTCGCCGAGGTGGATGGCGAAAGCACGTGGGAGGGAGGGTGCTATAGCTACGTTGTCGCGTCTAAGAGGGTTGCCGGCTGCGCATAAAGCTGTGCAGGATGAAGTCAGGGATATATTCCATCAGCTTGAGGTGGAAGAGGAAAGTACGCATGGTCATAGGAAGTTAGCGGGTCTACGCGAACTAATGCAGCCGGGCATCCGGAATCGACTTGCGCTGGGTGTGGCTATTATGGTGTTTTTCCAGATGGCCGGGTCGAATGCGATCAATTACTACTCTCCGCGTATCTTTCGCTCGATTGGACTCACAGGGACGAGTACGACACTGGTGTCGACGGGGATATATGGTATTGTGCGGTTAGTAGCTGTTTTTATCGCGATGTATTTCGTGGTGGATCGGTTTGGAAGACGGCGCATGTTGATGTGTGGGAGTGCAGTCATGGTAAGCATCACCACCAGAATCCATTTATACAAAGCTAACAATGACAACCAGGCCTTCTCAATGTGGTTCATCGGCGCCTTCATCAAACTCCACACCCCCACCTCCGCCTCCATCAGTCCCGGCTCCTACGCAGCCGCAGTCTTCATCTTCATCTTCGCCGTCTCCTTCTGCTTCAGCTGGGCCGGCGTCCCCTGGGTCATCTGCGCCGAGATCTACCCCCTGCGTGTACGAGGAATATGCATGGCCATCTGCGTGGCAACGCACTGGTTATTCAATTTCGTGATTGCGAGGAGTGTGCCGTATATGATTTCGAATATTGGGTTCGGGACATATTTTGTTTTTGGGGCGTGTACTACGCTTTCGATTCCGTTTGTTTGGTGGTTCGTGCCGGAGACGAAGGGGTTGAGGTTGGAGGAGGTGGATGAGGTTTTTGGGGGGAAGAAGGTAGTGGGGGATGGGGAGGAGGAGAAGGGAAAGGAGAGAGGGAGTGTTGAACATATTGAGGCTGTTTGATACAGTTATATTTATGTACAAGTAAGATGTTAATTTAACAGTGTATCCTGCAATGAACCATTGAATCCAAAGAGCATATCATCGTCAAGAAGCTCAGTATAGGGAAATGCACCAACAGGCACCGGAGCTGGCATAGGTACATCCATGTATTCGCCAGGATTATTCCCCTGCTGCCGGATGAAGCTCTGAATGATCATGTTCATATCCAGGTCCAACGCTTCCGTCTCAGGGGCCATCTGCACGTTCATATTCTCCATATATGGTGAAGTTCGTCTGGCCTGGTGTGTATCTCTCTCAAATGTATCCTCAGGGAGAGCTCGTTCCTGTGAACCATGTTCATCTACATCCATATTCACCCCCATCCGCTCCATCAAATGCAAAATCACCTTTTCAGCCCGCCGCACAGCCCAATTCGTCTCTTGATTCTTGTGAAAAATGGCAATGCACGTCCGGAGATTCACATGCGCCCGGCTCCCGCCTTCTTGCTGGGCTGCTACCCGAACATAGATTGTCGCTGCGACGTACGTAGCGTAGGATATGAGATACGGTGCTCTGCGGATGGAGAAGCTGGTATCGTATGCTCGAAGTAGTTGGATTATATTTGCTGCTGCTGTTGTGCAAGTTGTAAATGATGTGACGGCGACGGAGGGGTCGGTTGTGTGCAGATGTCCTTCCGCTACGAAGGGACGGTGGAGGAGAATGAGGAGGACGTTGTATAAGGCCAATAAGGAGAGGATATGCGGTGGTGGTGTGGTTTGGCCGGGGTGGAATCGTAGATGAGGTGGAAGGGCAGCATGCCACTGCTTGAGTTGGGTATCGAGTGAAGTGAGATTGGCGATGAGATCTTTACGGGAATGGGTTGAACTCCGTTCGGAGTAGACCTTATTCAAAACACCATTCAGAATGACGGACAGCTTGCACAGTTCTTTAAACGTAGACACACTATACGCCGGCGACCCTGGATACGGCATGACGGTCGAGTACGCAAACGGCTGCCAGTGCTCGAGTTCCTCGTACTGATCCAGGAACGTCAACGAGACTTGGACGTCAAAGTCCTGCAGACTAGCCGGTCGTCCTTGATACAGCGACTGGATCTTGTCAACGATAAACGCACCCCAGAAGACGCGACGGCGGATTTCGACATCTTCCTGTGACAGGTGGCGCATGTTTGCCAGCATCGTCGGGTCAACGTGCATCCCCAGATCGATAATCATGCGAAAGGCCGTCCCGGCGTATAACCACGCTGCGCTGCGTTCATCACCTAGTGCAAACATCGAGCTGGTCATCACCAGTAATGCCTGGATGGTTGTGATCTCACTCCGATCGAGGGCTCCGCCCAGTAATTCCCTGACGCGCATTCGATATCGCCATCCAGCAGTGCGGACATCGTCTGGATCCCGGCGCACCTCGGGTCGATTGCTGAATTTCGCAGCACCAAAGTAGATCGCATTGAGAAGGAGCTTGGAAAAGTAGGGACCATTACATGCCATGTCCCGCATAAAGGCAGGTCGATACGTGATGAGGAACGAGTGGTGCTGGCGGTTCCAGTGTAAGGAGAGCAGATGCATCCCCAGGTCTGGATCAACGCCATCAAAGTCCAGCTTTCCCTGTTGGAGATTGAGTGTTTCCAGCTGATCTAGTTCCTGTTAGATAGCTCTATATAAGATGTGGGAAAGACTGACGTTGATATGCAGCTTCGCCCATCAGCTGCTTGCGAATGTGATCCACAGGGATCTGAGACTCGGACGGCACGGTCTGGTTGTCAGTTCGGGCATCTTCAAATAACGTACTAGTCAGTCCGTGGTAGCTCGAGTCTCCATTGGGAGAGATCAAGATGCGCGATACTGCAGAGTGAGCATTGGCCTGTCTGGTATCGTCGGTCGGTGCATCCAAGGTCGACATGGACAGCCGCGGCAATTCGGGACTGACAGGGCGGACATCGCCAGTACTCTCCGATCTGGCATCATTTCTGTCGATCTCTTCCAGTCGCTGTCGGAGTTCCTGATTCTCCTCTTCCAGGTGCGAAACCCGGGCTTTAGTCGACCGTGGTCTGCTTGTCCCAGATGCATAGACGCATTCCTTTGCATACCCGGTGCAATTGGAGCATGACGGCTGCTTGTTGTCGCATCGCAGCTGAGATTGTCAGGCAGAGCTACAGAATTGATTGATGTTGCTCACCTTACGTCGCTGACAGAATGTACATGCCCTAGCTGCCCTGCGGGGCCGGATGCGAGATGATTTTTCCATGGATATTTTTGAAGTGAAGAAAAAGAAGTGAAGATTGTCCGTGGAAATTGTAAAGCGGGGTTGTGCTTTCATGCTTTGCCGCGGCAACTTTTGTTCCGCGGCTCAACGAGAATTCACCACAATATAAGTAACGATACTAAAGGAGGATGTTTTATTCCATCAATCATTGATTCTTCACGTCATGGCGGCAAATTCCTCGGGAGCTGAAACTAAAAAGGTTAGCATCTATCGCTCATCTATATATATTCCACCCAATTGACTAATCTTAGCACATCCCCCATTGGGTCTCGCTTGTCTCCGGGGGCGTCGCAGGAGGCGTAGAAGCAACAGTCACAGTATGCCTGCTCTCATTCTAATGAATTCAATCTCTAATCTTGCAGTATCCATTTGAATTCTCCAAAACACGCGTCCAACTCCTCAACCAAAACGCAACATCGAACCCATTCAAACTTATCTCTCACGTCGCTCGAGTGGAAGGCGTAGGCGCTTTGTATACCGGATGCTCCACACTCGTCATCGTATGTATGCTTACTCAATGACATATATCGATATGTCTAACCGCCACAGGGAACAACCGCCAAAGCAGGAATCCGCTTTCTCTCGTTTGACACGATCAGGAACCGTCTATCTGACCACAATGGGAAACTCTCAGCCAGTCGTGGTATACTGGCCGGGATGGTTGCCGGTGCAGTAGAGAGTGTATTTGCTGTGACGCCAACAGAGAGGATAAAAACAGCTTTGTAAGAATCAACCACAATATCTACGACTCTAACTAACGAAATCAGAATAGATGATGCAAAGCAAAACAGACGATTCAAATCCAGCCTTCACGCCACATCTGTTCTTGTTCGACAACATGGCATCACAGAGCTCTACCGTGGCCTTGTATCTACGACCGTCAAGCAATCTGCCACATCTGCTGTCCGCATGGGTAGCTATAACATTCTCAAAGAGACAGCCAAGTCTTACGGCATCGCACCAGGCGTGGTAAGCACTTTTGGCATTGGCGCATTGGCAGGTGTAGTCACCGTCTACGCCACGCAGCCGTTCGATACCATTAAAACTCGAGCCCAGGGGGTTCACGGAGCGGGGATTACTGAGGCCGTACGCAGTGTAATGAAAGACTATGGAGTTAGAGGATTCTGGAAAGGGAGCTCGATGAGATTGGGGAGGTTGTTGCTGAGTGGGGGAATTGTGTTTTCGGTGTATGAGCAGGTTTCTTCTGTTCTTATTTCTACTTGTAGATAAATAGATTTTAGATTCTACTGTTTAAATTATTCTTCATTCGAGATCAGTACCTTTCGTGGCTCTTCCGATTAAAGTGAAGACCGGAAGATGAATATGGGACTTGTGATTATATATTCCTAGACGGCACTATCTATACAGTCTATTTTAATATTAGGGTGAAACCCAACGTCATTTTATCTCGTCTCAATATCTGTTTCAGGATTCCTGCAGACAGCATAAAATGATTGGAAAGTAATACTCAAGCCCACTAAGATTGGACTAGAGCATATTGTTTGGGTCGACATCATGTGACCATATTTGGGGGCTCCGTCTCAGCTCTGACCAATATAACTCCATATTCCTATTGTCTTGCCTAGCGTTTGGTAGCGACCACAATGCTGGGTAAATTTGATGAGACAATATTAATGCCAGCATCAGCTCCTAAAGAGATAGAAAAGCATCCTATGTGAGTCACTCTGCGCCTCTGGGTGAACAAGTTTGTTTCCTGCAGTCTAATAGAATTTGACCGTGCTATTATGGCCTACCTTAAGTCTATAGGACATCATCCTAACAAGCTTGCTGAACACTTATTAAACCAGCCACATATTGAGCCTTTCTAAGCCCCAGAGATGAAAGCTTCTTCTTATAGTACTAGAGGAATTTGAATGTGAGATGGGAATCATGGGATCTATGGCTGTTATATAGTAGTAATCAGGGTTTATTCTTCTTTAAGAGATGGCTCTTTATATGATAATTAAAGTATTAAATTTAGTTAAGACTAATATGATCTGTAGAATTTCCCTTTAGAGATATAGCTATTTAATATTAGCCTAGGATATCAGAATTATACTACTACTCTATATGTTCTTTTCCTTTAAAGATAAAGTACAGTGTTAAGGTAAAGCCATCTATTCTATAGTAATATATTTAACTATAGAGACTAGCTCTCCTATCTCTACTGTTAGATTACCTTATTTAACCTAATTAGGCCTTACTGTCACTACCTTTTAATCTTTTCCTAGCCTAATTAGAAGCTAGTTTTATTAAAGTTATAGATATTCTAAGCAGGAATCCTAGTAATGAATGGCTCTAATATATTATACCAGTATTAAATAGGACTAGGTGGTTGGTGTAAGGTAAGGTTAGTGCGGCCATTATAAGGTGCGCAGAGTTTTTAATAATTTATATAAAAATCCCTGGCTAACGCACTGATATTGGGCTTTTCCTAGGTTCTGGTGATTTGTATAGCTTTAGAGATATGCCTCTCTTCTTCAGCATTAAATTTAGCTATGGTGGTGGGGTATGGGAGGTTGAATAGCTTCAAATTTATTGTTTACGTGGGATTTTATTGTATGGGTGTGGCGGACTAACATGGCGAAGGTCATGTGTGTCCGCTTACGAAGGGACGGCTAATTCCTATTTTCAGGCCCTATTGCCAAGGTTCTAGCGGAGTTAAATTATTGAGCACGCAGCTTTAAACTGAGAGCCGCTGTAAGTTGTATCTGTCTTGGTGAATAGACTGGAACATATTCGTATATTATCAAGTTGCTATGGGATGAGCTAGTGCAATAACACTTTTACTGGACGGCAGGCCAACGCTGATAAGATCTTGTTTCATCCTCCTCAACCATATAGTGGGTAGGGAATATACCGTTGCAGAGAATTAGCGCCTCCCTAAACAACAATTAGGCATCCGAGGCAGCCTTGTCTGATGAGGCTGATAGAACACGTGTAGGCCTCTTGTTTGAAAGAGATCCCTGTTAGTTGTGACAACTCAGGCGCAGTCCCGAATCACGCTGACCTATGCAATCCAGGCTAATAGCAACAGAATGGCGATATAAAGAACAAAATGTTTACCTTCAAGCCAGGAACGATTTGAAAAGAACAGTTCATCTCTTGTGTGTTCTGCACCTACTTAGACTGAGTCTAGATAAATTTAGCAACACAGTGTATAGCATTTATCTCCTCACCCTCTCATCAAGGTCTCAGTTACAGTCACATTGGCAATTTGGGTCCTTGGGCTATTTGTAAGTCTTTCCATATTCGATTTGCAAGGGCATCAAGATTGATTTTCCTGGAAGTTTCTCATCTAGAACCGCAGCTTGGAGTCCATCTATTCCAAAATGTGCTACATAATATATCACTTTTCGTGTGGCCATAAGAGCCAGCCTCTTCTGGATCTTCCAATTTGCGGATGCAGCAAAGAAAAAGTCCTGGGTCTTTCCGAAGATTGTGGGAAGCATAGAAGGTGTGTTTTAATTGTCCCAACCAAAAATGAAGTATTGAAGCTTAGAAGAGAGGTGATCAGGCACCTAAAAAATAAAAAAAGGTCTTGGGACGCTCTGAATCGGGCGGTAGCAATAGCAGAAGCGTCCGAGGGGCCAAAAGAAATAGATAATCAGAATCCTAAAGAAAAGGATCAGAAAGCATAGCTTGATTGGAAAGGAACGAAGCTATCCATGGATCTAGACAAGAAGAAACGTATCGAGTGAGGCAAGAAGTAGATAGTGTGCTCCCACTAGACCACTACCTGGTGACCCATTTCTGCCTTTCATAACACGTAAGGCTTTTAGAACCCACTATGCTTTTTAAGAGGTTAAAAGATTCAGACTATCTGCAATAAAATAAAATGTTTCGCCTGTAGTAAAACCTATGAGAAGGGAGTTTGATCTGGATGAGACATCTTGATTTTTGCTCTATGCTGAAAGTCTTCACAATTTAATGTTGCCACTTTTTATGTTGGCGGCTATTTAGCAACTTGGTCAGGTGCAATGTAAGGATGAGTTAACTGCGAAACACATTAGTGAACTAATGTATTCAACTAGCGAACTGCGCACACAGCTGAGCCGCACACTCTGTATTCCTATATATAATGGCGCTTTTTAACCTACAATATCTTAACAAGGACTTAACTATTTAGGCTTGTATTCAGTTACTAGATTGTTAATAAATATAACTGGATAGAATCATGGCTCGGAACATGGCGAAGTCAGGGGAATGGGAATGCAAGCCGACAGGAAGATAAATGCAGGGTGTGGGAAGCAATAAAGAGGCGGTGGTGTGAAAGGTGGGAGGCGGCCGCGAGGAGCACCTAAGAGGCCGTCCCTCAACCCCCAGATAAAAAGATCCTGCAGCTCCATATCGGTCTGTACAAGGCTGAAAGCTCAATATTTACCCAGATTCGCACGGGAAAGATAGGACTGACAGACTTCCTCCACAAAACGGGGATGCCTGAGGTGAGATCAACAGCATGCACAAGCTGTGGGGCGAATAGAGAGACAGCAAAACATGTCATCTTCTACTGCCCTAGGTACCGAGATACCAGAGAAGAGCTTAATCTTAGAGGAAGGCTGGACTTCCACGGATTGCTCACGACAGGGAACGGGGTGCGGAAGTTGACACGTTGGTGGTTGAGAAGGGAGGTGGTGACCAATTCAGGCTCGCCAACAGACTGATCGAGGGCTGAGGTGCAGCATCAGCAGAAAATGGTACAAGAGAGATGTAAATAGAGCGAGACCCGGACATTAGGGACACAGGGTTTTTCACCCAGCGTGGCCAGAGGCCCCGCACGGTTTTCCCTGAAGCACTAGAGATGGACCGGATGGCACAGGCCAAGCGGAGTAGCATTTAATAAATATAATTATAACTTAAGATATAACTACTTTTTATCTAAAATAAATATATGCTATGTTCAAATACACTGTAATTTATATTACCTTGGTAATTATAAAAGTATGATAATTAAAAATTGGTACATCAGCTCTCTAATAGGTGAGTATATATCCTCTGAGATAGATACTAAATTAGTTTAAATGACTGAGATATGACAGGTTTCAAAAATGCCATTTGTTATGAGAATATAAGAATGCGCGGCCTGGCCGTGTGCAGTTCGCTCATTGATTACATTACAGTAACTAATTTGTATTTAGATGATGTATTCAGAGCTAAACTAAATCTAGCTTAGTCCAACAATATTTCACTGCCACGTAGGCTTGCTGATCTTGTAGCTTGACGGCTAGCCTCTAGCAGAAGAATAAATATGTCAGTAGGTTACTCTATGATGACAATATTCTGTCTCAAAATAATTAACTGGCTTTTTGTAATTCATTGCGTTTCTTCAAAAATGGCTCTCTCCGTTTTGGGTGCTGAACAATATACACATGCCCAAAGAGCAACAGCATTGAAGCTCTTTCGCAACTGTCCTCATGTGGGGAGGTTACTTGGTGGGGTCAGTGTTGAGCTAGTTGATGGCATACAGCTCCCAGAGAATGAGGTTATTGACCTGAATGTACATGGCATTGAATCGGGGTATGCTGGCTGCGATACCCCTCAAAAGCTTTGGGGATCATTATCAGTATGTCCATATCTATTGTCAACGATTCTACTGTGCTGTGATTGATTGCACATCGCTAACATGGTGGATTTGGAAGCAAACCAACACAGCAGGTCACAGAGATACCTATGGAAGAATCATGTATATCCCCAATCATTGAAGGCCAGATTCCACTCTCAGTCCCTTACGAACTTCCAGATCAATCCGTTCTCTGAGCCAAGAAAATGCCTTGACGATCGCCTGCTGCTTAAGAGGCCATTTCGATATACAGGAACTATTTGAAGATTTTCTCGCAAGAAGCCCATCGCAAGTTGGTATTTCCTTGATGATCAACAGCTTGCTTTCCTCTGCTATTGGCCTCACTGGCTGACTGAATGAAGTTCAAAATCCCATACTCCATTCGTAGTGCGCAAGAATCACATCCGGCCTGGTGCTGGTCCATCAAACTGTACGGTCTAGGATCATCAAAGACGCCGATGTTTCCTCTGACCCCTCGACAGGACTATGGTAGGTTCCCTGTCAGCAGCGACATAGTCATATATCGCTCAAGCACCGTTGTTGCACTTTCCTTCGACCAGCACCAGAGAGACCGCGACGGTGGTCCTTGGCGTGTACTTGTCCTTGCAGTAGGAAAATACTATCGGAAACGCACGAAGATATCTCTCAGGGCCTCTGGCACGAACTCAGCATGTGAAGCTTTCCTTTTGATGTTTTTGAACGGATTGACGGATTCACGACGAAAGATGCGTGCCATATATGAGCAGATTATGGAGACGACCAAACCAAAGGTAGATTTCCTTCGAATGCGTGGAGTGCTTTAAGACTCATCACTCGGTCAGGAGAGTATCCTTTTTGATGAGGCCATTCAAGATGACCTCCTCTTTGAGGACTCAACGTTTTCACTATCCAAAATCTACTTTTGGGCCTTGAAAACCATTGAAATACTGAATGGAAGCATCGAGGCTCTCTTGGAAAAGTGGGAGGCGTACAAACAGTTTCCATTGCTGCAACATGATTCAGGATCCGAAGGAGCAGCCGAAGCAGACAATTTCATGAGCTCTTTGCCAGAGGAACTTCGCCAGGTGGTACATCTTATAGAAGAGGAGATGGAGAAATTTCGAGAGATGATAAGGTTGAATGAGAGGCGAAGGAATGAAATCCGAATGCAGCTGCAAGAGGTAAAGTATCATTTCTACATTCTCTACATCAGGATCTGTCGAATTAACGGGACAACGCTTTACAAACCATGCTAACCGGTGACCGTCTGAATATCAACAGGTATTTAGCGCATCATCAGCGAGGGAAGCAAGGACGGCAGTCATACAAGGCCGATATGTCCGCACATTGACATCGGTCAGTAACCTATTTTCCTGGTCTCGAGAATGCTTCAAAATAGAACTGACTTTTTGAAAGATTTCAACTGCCTTTCTCCCTATCATGCTAGTGATAGTATGACCTCATTCTAAACACGAAATAATCAGTTCCTAACAAACTCAAACACAATTAGTCAATCTTTTCCATGTCAGTACTGCCTAGCTCGGCAGATCTTAATACTCTGGCCACCGCAATGCCGGCAGTCTGTGTCCCTGTATACATCTGCGCCCTTGTCTTGACCGGTGACTTGGATATCACCAAAATCAAATGCGTCATGACATCAGCATTGCGATACTTTGATTGGATGAAAAGTATGTCAGAAGTTAAGATTGCTGAGGTTTCATACATCTGCGATAGTTCAATAATTACTGATATTTGGCCTGTTAGTCAAAGCAGCTGGCATCCTACACTGGATGGCTAGAAGTCTGCATCTTCTGCGGGCTCAAAAAAGAGACCACAAATATAAGCAAAGGTCGATGCCATGAAGGCTGCCACTACTGAGAAGTAAGGATGAGACTGGTTCACTTCCTACAGACACCACCAGGTTGGCTCAAAGCTCAAAGTTTTTTGTGTTATTATTTATTGGAATTATAGGTAATGGACTGTGTTGGCCCGGGTATGGATTTTTGCCAACAAACTGTAAGCCATCGCCTGTGCTATTTGAAGGCACTGATCTGCCTGTCAAGCGAGGAAGCGCCTCAAGAATAATACATACATACTTTCTTAGGTGGGGTAAACAGGGTGGAAATGCATGATGATTATCCCGCGCAGATGTCGTGATCAGCAGTCCACTCGATGAACCCCGCTTTATGGATCTCGTATATAGAATAGCCGACCACCCACCCGATATCCCGAACAACCATCATCATGGAAGTATCTAGAAATGAACGAAGAAAATTGAGGTCTAGATCGGGTTGTCAGACTTGTCGATCGAGAAAGGTAACTTCCCGTCACTTGTGTATACCAGAATACTGAGTGTGGTGTAGGTAAAATGCGACGAAAGACCAGGCGGATGCGACAACTGCGCCAGATTGAGTCTGCCGTGTGGATCGGGTCGTCAGGTGAAGCCATTGAACGCGAAAAGGACATTTCGCTCTTGTACTGCGTGTCGAAGTGCGAAGGTCAAGTGTTCTGGCGATAGACCGGTTTGTCGGGGGTGTCAGAATAAGAAAGCGCAGTGTGTTTATGATGATGCTTCTGAGCCACGATGGAAGAGGTTGATGAGTAGAGACGGGAATGAAGAGAGTTCGAGTGTAACTGAGACTGTGGAGGTTGATTCGCCTCCACGAGATGAAGCTATATCAGATCTTCCAGAGTGGTGAGTGACGTCTAGTTGAATATACACAAGCTAACCATACTAGGTTGATATCGTCTGAGTTACCGGATCCAGATAAGATCCAACTTCTTGTCAATGAATACTTTTGCAATATTCATCCACTACGATGCTATGCCTTCATTCATCAACCGTCATTTCTTCAGAGACTGGATAGTGGTCTAGCGAGAGCACCACATCGACATGCACTGCTGCATATCATGTGTGCTTTGGGGGCTCAGTATGATAATCATATACACACAATAACCGAAGCTAACGATGTAGATTCTACGCACTCGAGCATCAACCATCTCGATCCACCCTCCAAGTTGGAGCTGAATGGGCCAGAAAAGCACAAAGCTTGATACTGGCCGAGCTAGACCGCGTCACAATCGACAATCTCATGGTAAGTCTCCCCAATAACCTCACATCAATATTAACGGTATAGGCAACCGTACTCCTCCACGACCACGCCCTCCGCATGGGCAACTTTGCCAACGCATTCATCCTCAGTGCTCTGACGACACGGATGACCCAAGCTCTCCAGATAAACCTCGAATACAACACCGACATTCTCTGTACTGAATCTACCGGTCTCTCGCTGACAATCAAAGAGTCCCGCCGTCGACTCATGTGGAGTTGTTACGTGCTCGATGCGCTGGTTGGAAGTGGCGTGGATCAACTCACTCTCATGGATGAGAAACATATCAAGATCCAACTACCGTGCAATGATCGCAACTTTCAGCAGAAAATACCATCCATCACGGAGGTTCTAGAACCAGGCGAGGTACTAAGATTTATTCCCCTGGAATTGAAGCCAGAACATGCCGGGCGGAATATGGGAATAATGGGATATTTCATCCGCCATGTCGCAATACGAAAGCGTGTGGTGCAGTATATCAAGCATCTGGATATAGCCAAAGTACCATGGGCTGCTGATTCGGAATTCGCGGTTCTCGACAAAGAATGTCGAACGTGGTATGAGTCTCTTCCTGCGAGTTTGCAATTCACTCAAGAGGCGATATACATGCGCAAGACAAGCTCGCAACTTGGTGCATTATGTGTGCTGCACTGCGCGCATTATTCGACCATCTGCGATTTATACCGACTCGGTGCGCCGGCCTTGTATAAACTGCGAGCTGCGTTTGACTTTCCACCTGAGCAGAGGGATTTTCTGCGTCATTTACAAGAAATACTATTCGATGCCGCTAAGCAGATTGCTATTATAATCACTGAATCGGCAAAGCATGGAACGAGGATGTTGGCGGATTCGTGGCTGCCGAGTATCACCTACGACAGCTGTCGGATTATGGTGTATCATCTTACGCAGATACTTGATCCAAGTGAGCAGAGCAAGGCACTTATGCAGGAGACGCTATCACATCTGAAGAATAATATCGTCGCGTTAAAGAAGATGCAGTCTCTTAATGCTATTGCTGAATCTCTCTGCTCCGCTGCTACAACTATGGTGGAACGGTCTGGTATCGAGTCGGAAATTGTCCGCCAGAATAACATCATCCCCGACGATCCGTATTCATCGGCTGATGAAAGCACTCATTCGAGTCCTGGGACCCCGCCGCAGAGTGCGCCTGACTATGTGCTTAACCCGTTGTCTATCTATCGCATGGCGAGAAAGTCTGTTCCGGAACGACATGCGCCGGAGAAGAATACGCCGAGTATACATATACAGAATCGGAGTGGTGATCTAGGGCGGACACCTCGTACTGATACGCAGGATAATGCTGTTTCTGTTGATCAGGCGAATCTGGACGAATTGCAGACACTGTTCATGTCGGATCTAGGCTGGGCGTGGCAACCAGCTGATACAGCTGTTGGATCGGGCATTGAAGCTGGTTTACTGCCATGGGCGGGGGGAATTCACAGTCAGGGCGAGTCATGGCTACCGACATTTCCATTTGATAGATAATATAACACAATGAATATATACTCAGATTACTCCGCATCCAATGGGCAAACAGGCGGCGTATCATTAACCTGAATGCCACCCCTCTTCTTCTCCTTGCTATCGAAAAACGGCAACTTCCATCCTCCCTCGCTCTCCGGCGCCGCCAGCCAAAGTCTCATCAGATGGCGTCGCACAGCAGGCTTCCCATCCTCATCGACCGCACCAGGGGGGTGATCCTGATACGCAGTGCGAGAGTGAAACACATGCGCATTACTCACGAATTGAATATCCCCCGGCGCGAGAACCATATGCAGCGCCACCGAAGCACACGTCTCATCCCACACCTTCATCGCATATTTCTGCTTGTCCGACAGTGGTGGGATCACAGCGTCCGGACCGGTGTTGTACCTCGCTAGAGAAGTGACGTTGTTAGGGTCGAATTTGGCGTAGACGCGTTGGCTCTTTGGGTCGTTTTCAAGGTACAGAATGGCTCCTTTTATCCACTGCTCTGTGCCTTCACTGACCTCGCCCTTGCGGTCAAAGTACCAGTTTGGTGTGGCCATTGTTTCGATCACGTCGGGGTGGGTTTGTTGGAGGATGTTGAAGACATGATGCGTAGATGCGATGTCTGACTCGCCTCCAGAGAGCGATTTGGCGATGCAGAGCAGACCGACGAGATCTGCGCCGTCGGTGTGGAAGAATTGTCTTTCTCGTCAGTATATATATTCAGTTTATCGATGGAGAACTCACTTAGCGTTGGTCCGGTAAATCCTCACACGATCAGTCTTGGTCGGATCCTCGCCTAGATCCTTAACATGGCCCAAAACATGGCCTCGACCATTCTGACTGACAAAATACCCCAAATACGTCCCCAGTCCCATATACACGGTAGCATTCTTCCTCAAATCCCACTGCCGAACCGGCAATCCCCGAAACAGGAAAAACCCCTTCCCATCGATAAGATCCTTTCTCAACTCCTCCATACGCGCCGTCAGTGTGGGAAGAGGGAACAACGCCTTGGTTATACCCGTCAAAGGCGTATCGGCCGCAATAAACGCATCCGCCGCAGCGCTGATCTCGTCGATCTCTGCGGGCGTGAATCGGTGCGTCCATCGCTCGGGATGGTCGGTGTATGTTTCTGGTTTCCAGACTGTAGGCCCCGTGATTTCTTTGGGGAAGTCGGCGTATGCGCGGACTAAGCTGGGAGTGGGAGGGTGTTGGCCAGATGTTTTGAGGCCGTCGGGGAAGGCGGAGAGTTTGGAAGTTGCCGAGCTGGCGGGGGACGAGGTGGATGGGGATTCAACGAGAGAGGGCATTTTGATTTTGATTTATTTCGTCTGATTGATTTGAGAATTGGGAGATGTTGGGGTATTTATGCGCCCCTCTCACCCCTCTATATATCGGCTTGTCGCTTCGGATTGTCGCTTCGATGAGCCGAGTATCTGGAAAAGTATTCGTGATAGTGGAGTAGGATAGATGAATAGTATTACGGAACATACTATTTATAATAAGATAGCCATTACTCTGTATATACGAATAAGATGCCCTGGTCATGGAACGTCGAATTGCCAATAAACCACCTAGGTAGGGCCTATCTCTCTACATACGGAAGCTTAGGTTTGTCAGGGCGTGTTTTCGGCAAATTCCCAACCAATAGACACTATGGCCGAGCGGTCTAAGGCGGCAGCCTAGAAAGCTGTTCTCTTCGGGGGCGTCGGTTCGAGTCCGACTGGTGTCGGTTATTCGCTTTTGTTTTCTTTTTGCCTTTTTGGTACTCGCAGTGGGTGGAGAGTGTGGAGAGCAGAGTACTAGCCACTGCGCGGTGTGCAAACAAACTGTCTACGATGGCCTTCGTTATGCTGGGCAATTGTTTATATTTTCTTCCTCAAAGAGTTTTGGGTTTTAGCCATAGCTCGGCAAAACAAGATAGTTCATCCGTAACGTAAAATGTTGGTTTTATGATGAAACCAATTCCTCTGTGGTCGATAATAGAATTTGGCATGGAGCTTTTCAATCAATGAGCAGATATATTGGTTAAAGCAGATTGAGTTTCAACAAAGGCACTATGGCCGAGTGGTCTAAGGCGATAGACTTGAATTATCACAATAATTGATATCTATTCCATTCGTGGGCGTCGGTTCGAACCCGACTGGTGTCGTTTCTTTTTTTTGTTTTTGCTTCTTTCATTCCCGCTGTCCTCATGATTTTGCAAACTGTTACTCTTCTCGGCCCCCCCACTGAGTATGATATGATAGCCGTCAAGAAAGTGTCTTATTGGTAGATATCATCGCTTCAAAGCTGTATCCTGTTTCGGATGGAACTCAGTATTTAGTACCCAGAAGTAGGACGGAAACGAGGCAGTATCGAAAACAAGCCCATCGCTTGTTGTGGCCACGAGAGCAATAAAGCCAGACCAGCAGCATGGGACATACAATATGCAGGATAACACATCAGGATATAGAAAGGCGACGATGTACTGTACATACTGATTGCGATTAAGGTTGAAGCACCATGGGGAAGTTACTATGCAGAAGACATCGGGACTTTACTTTTGATTACTATGTCCACGAAAAGTGGCTGGATTATAAAGGCTCCATACTGAGGTCGGGTGAGAGAATTTTAATATGAGATAATAGGCAGGCCGCCAATTCATCAATTGATTTGGTAGTTACACAACGATCGTCTAATATCTCCAACATAGGATTAAACCCATGCTGACCAAGAAATCTTTGTAGGACCATGAGCTGTTCATGTCCCAAAGCTTCATTGCCACACCGCAGTTATGCCACTCATAATTCTTAAGTTGCTCCAGGGCAGTAAGTAGCTGCATTGGAATCCTCTGTCTGGTAACAGTAAGTATTATCACCCCCGTCTGGACCAGCGCACTGTATTGAAAGTGTCAGTCTTCCTTTAGAGAAAAAGTCAAGATAGCAGGGGCTTTTACGCTGCCGTAGTCACAATCGCTAAGTATTATGAGTCAGTTTGAAGATCCAGGAACGACCAATATTTAACCAATTACTTACGTGCCTTCCACCTCCCAACCTATCCGACACTTCGTTCCATTGCATTTCTATTTATTATCAGTAAACAGCCGTCTGTAAAAAAGGGTATAATATGTATCATACACCGTCCTTCCATGATCGCTGGACAATGTTACCCCCGTCCTCTAGAGATGGGGCAGGTGAGGCCATGACCACTGCAGAGCTAGTCACAAGAGCAATAAAAGCGGCGTAGAGCTTCATTGTCACGAGGGCTTCCTGAGGTAGGTTTCGTTGAATTGATAAGAGATGTAAATTTCTGAAGTTGTTGATGAAGGACACTGATACTGAGTGATTCTGGGTGGTTTATATAGCTTTTATGCTGCCTTGGTAACTAGTAATCTCTTTTTCACTCTTCTGTTGAGCAAATTCTTTCGTCATACTTCGTATATCTCTGGGGCTGAGGACGGTCTAGTTGATTGATGTTAATCAAGGTACAGCCTTGCTATCTGAAGGATCATCGATCGTCAACGCAGGAAGTGTCTAGGCCATGTAATTGTACCGGTACAACAAGGCAGTGCTGTCCAAGGCTCGTAGCCTTGTTTATACCAAGAAATGCTGACAATGACTCTGCCGTGTACATAACTGAAGAGCCGATCTTTGTTGATCTTTGACCAGAATCGGTAGGCTGTGGATTTGAGCCGCATAACCAAGGCATTCTCATTCTCAATATATTTTTTCGGCCCTAGTTGTGGGATTTGTATGCTGACGGATGAAGCTATACATACTCATGTTCTCCCATGTTCTGCGCTGGGCAAATTCTGGAGCTTGGCCGCAGTCCCTCAACGGACTTGAGTTTTAAGCTTAAACTGTTCTGCCACAAAGACCAATCCCGGTGTGGCCGTAGATGTGAGGCATTAATACACCCTTGTCAGCCAAGGGTCCAACCCCGCACTCGCCCGGAGGGTCTCCTATGCCTACGTAGTATATCCCAGGAATCCTATGGGGTATCTCAGCAAACGCACCACCTATGATAGTTTATAAAACTTTCAGATGTCGTAGGAAAGGAATTGTTTCCCTGCCATGGCGGGAAGAGGTGCAACACACACGTCACATCGATGAATAAATATCCTGTGAGTCTCTCTTGGCAAGGCTGAACTGACAGGAATCTAAGGCTCTGACAGGCTGGCAAGAAGACTCTTTCTCTAGTTTCCAGACAAGCAATGCCACGAAGAGCCAAAAAAAAAAAAAAAAAAAAAAAAGGAAATTTCCCTTCACCATAAATGTAGGTGAGCCTTGTCAACTGGGCCCGCAACCTGGAGAATATTGGTATTTGACTGGTGGGAATCGACGGGGCTCATCGAGGCTCTGTCCAGACGATCCATCGATCCTGCTCAGGCATTAGGGACTTGGAAATATAGTACACGCGTTGTTCTGACATGACCTGCAGAAGATCTTCTATGCCGGAGGATGATTGGATGTTTGCGTGGTCGCTTGGCCGATGTATATATATCCATGCTATGAGGAACCGAACAGTTTACAAACACAAACCCAACCTTACTATCTCACGGAATACTTGAATATTATGGGAAGGTTAAGAACCCAGCTTGAATGATATACATCGAGTATTCCTTGTCCAAATAGCTGGTATAATACCCAACCCTCCATCTGGATCGGATTGGGAACAATGGATTGGTGCAGAAGAATCGGTTTAAAAGGCGATGCTACATGAGACAGAAAGCCCAGTAGAGGAATGAAAGATGATTCCTGTAGCAGTAACGCTGTGTAATGATTTAACAGTAAATCATAGCCCAGTTAAATTATTTATATAGTTGTTTCGAGTCACGTGTCACCAGGGACAATCAGGTGATGCTCGCATCTGCGATGTTTTGATTGTTTCTCTCCATCGACTAGACTATCCTCGAAAACAAGAGGAATGCTGGTCTCATCTCAACTCTCATAAAGGGGATATTGAAGCGGCAGTCTCCTTTCATCTACGTGTCAAACAATGTCGCGTTGATGAGGAGGAACACTGCTTATTTGGCAGCTACAATGTGTGCATACCAGTCTACGTTAACTCATCCGACCACCGCGTCCTGATTCGAAATCCCTTGCCGTTTAAGATAGGAGAGGACAATTATCCCGGGAATGTGGATGAGAAACTGCGTTGTGAAGTAGCTACCTACATCTGGATTCGTAAGAACTGCCCAACGGTGTCTATCCCTCATCTGTATGGGTTCGCATTTCCTGATGGACGGACTGTAAGTTATTATGAATTACATTTGTATGAAACTAAGGTGTATATACTAGTTTGTCGAGCCATCGTCTATGTCTTTCTTTCCTCAACTCTGTTGGCGTGTCACTCGCACCATTCGCTCATGAATTGGGCTGCCCATGATATGCCCTTACATCGGGATGAAAAGACGCAATGCATTATCAACAGGATATATGATCATCAGCTTCGTCGAACATGTCCGTATGCTGTCCGATTCATGGGCAACGCATATTGAGGACAAAACACGCAGACGGAATCTATTCAGTGACCTTGCAAACATCATGCTCTCACTGAGCCGCATCAAACTCCCCCGAATTGGATCACTCACAATGAACAATGATGGAGTCATAAGGTTGACAAATCGGCCACTAACACTTCGACTGCAAACGCTGGAGAACGAAGACATTCCCACGATCCCACGCAATTCAACCTACGAATCCGTGGAACCGTATCTTTTAGATCTACTACAATGCCACGATAACCGAATCAACTACCAGCCAAATGCCATTCACAATCTGACAGATGGTCAAGAACAGCTCGCTGCATTGACCATGATGCGCGGAACCCTTCATCACTTCATCTCTCGACAATACCGCAACGGCCCGTTCGTACTTACTCTATCTGACCTCCACCCCAGTAATATCTTCGTCGATGAAGAGTGGCATATCATCTCCCTGATCGATCTGGAATGGGCATGTTCGTTTCCGATCGAACTACAAACACCGCCTTATTGGCTGACTGGTCGGCCGATCGATGATATTGAACATGGAAAGCAACTAGATACTTTCAAAAGAGTTATTACTGAGTTTATAGATGTTTTTGGCGAGCAGGAAGGTCCCGATGAGCGTCAAGCTGATATTATGAGAAAATGCTGGGAGAGAAAGAGTTTCTAGTATTTCCAAGCTGTGCATAGTCCAAAAGGACTTTTACGGAGTTTAACGAGCATATTCAACGTGCTTTTTGCGAGGAGCACTGTACACAGCGTGTTTTTGATTGAGTTGTAAGTCCATACTGGTGTGTTGGAGCTGACAGCGTGATTGACAATAAGGTGGAGGAAGAGGGTGTGTACAAGGATAGCCTGCGTAAGCGGTTTGTTGATTTGTAACGCTGACTGAATATCCATGCTTACATGCAGATTAAACATCTATGATAGTTGTTACATCGATAATTGGTCTATCGGGATGACTTCAACCACACGATGGATGTCGTGATTGCATCCCCTCTTCCATTTGTAATCACTCCTATATACCTATATAAACATCTCTCTCATCAATCCACTAACATTAGTCCATCATCCCATCTACACTACAGCAATATCAAAATGCCCGACAAAAAACTCCACCTCACAGCCTTCATGCGCCCCGTCACCCTCCACACCGGAGGCTGGCGGTACCCCGGCGCCGCCCCCGACGCCAACTTCAACCTCTCCCATCTCAAATCCTTCATCACCAAACTCGAAGCCGCCAAATTCGACGCCTTCTTCATGGCCGACCATCTCGCCGTGCTGAACATGCCCGTTGAAGCGCTCAAACGCAGCCACACAGTTACATCGTTTGAGCCGTTCACGCTACTCTCCGCCTTGTCGGTGGTGACGGAGAAGATCGGGCTAGCGGCAACTGCGTCGACGACGTACGAGCAGCCCTATCATATTGCGAGACGGTTCGCGTCGCTGGATCATTTGAGTAGCGGCCGTGCGGCGTGGAATATTGTCACCACGGGGAATCCGGAGTCCGCGAAGAACTTTAATCTCGATGAGCATGTTGAGCATGCGGAGCGGTATAAGCGTGCGCGGGAGTTTTATGATGTTGTGACTGGGCTCTGGGATAGTTTTGCGGATGATGCGTTTATCCGCGACCAGGAGAGTGGTGTTTTCTTTGATCCGGAGAAGTTGCATGTCCTCAACCACCGCGGGGAGGAGTTGAAGGTAAGAGGGCCGTTGAATATCGCGCGACCAGTCCAGGGATGGCCGGTGATCGTGCAGGCTGGACAGTCGGAGCCAGGACGACAGCTTGCGGCGGAGACTGCTGAGGCGGTGTTTTGCTCGCCGCGGGATATTGAGTCCGCGAAGGCGTTGTATGCGGATATCAAGGGGAGGGTGGTGGCTGCTGGGCGGGAAAAGAGTCATTTGAAGATTCTGCCTGCAGCGTTTATTGTGATTGGGGATACGGTGGAGGAGGCGAGGGAGAAGCGGTTGAAGCTGGATAGTCTCGTGCATTATGATAGTGCCATTGCGTCGTTGTCTGTCGTGCTGGGCGCGGATGCGTCTGGGTTTGACCCTGATGGACCTCTTCCGAGTGAACTGCCAGAAACGAATGCCAGCAAGACAGGCAGAGAGGGTGTGCTGCAACTTGCAAGGGATGAAGGGCTTACTGTGCGGCAGCTTGCGCAGCGATATGGAGGGTTTTCCGGGCTGGCGTTTGTGGGCACGCCACAGACGATCGCGGATGAGTTGCAGACGTGGTTGGACGAAGAGGCCGCAGATGGATTCACGGTTGTCTTCCCATTCCTGCCTCAGGGACTGGACGATGTGACGCAGAGGCTGGTTCCTGAGTTACAGCGACGAGGCATCTTCCGGGATGATTACGAGGGGTCGACGTTGAGAGAGCACCTGGGACTTCCCAGACCGAAGAATCAGTTCTTTGAATAGTTCATTCTGTATAGGATATAGCTTCATGTACAAGTCATTCAGGAACAGCAGTCTTAATGCCAAATCTCTGTCCCAGCACCACCATCTGCGCAATCAGAAACACACTCCGCAGTGCCACGCCATCATTGGCAGTAAACGCATTATCGAATAGCTTCTTGGCCACCTTCCACTCGATAAATCCTAATCCCTCGATATTCGTCTTCGTAATGAGCCTGCTTATCATTAAATGGAACGGTCCGTTTTCTTTAAACCGGGGCGGGCCGAGGAATGGCTTCTTCTGCCGGCCGTAGATCTCGTCTGTGATGAATGGTTTGACGGCTTCTTTGAGAATGTACTTTTCGGACATATTGCCTGTGTCCGGATCATAGCGGATCTTCAGAGCCGGGGGCAGACTGTTGACGTATTGTGTCAGATGGTGGTCGAGAAAGGGGGTTCTGCTTTCAACGTGATGCACCATGTCAATATTATCGCCCAGATAGCGGAGGAGGGCGTTTGCCAGTCCGATTCTGGTCGTGATGTACAGCGCTGTATGCAGTGGATGCCACTTGTACATCATCGAGGATAGAGCATGGCTGTCTAGACTCTCCACCAGAGCGGTTTCAGGGTGTTCTGTCAGTAAACCATCCGTCCAGTCTGCCATGGGTAGCTGATTGACAAAGGCAATATTGTTAGATGTGCATGTGTTGTTGGACATATTCCTCGCAGACGGCGGCCCTTCATTCACCGTCTCCCCACTCCATATCAGTTTTGAAATAGCAGTCTTCAGCTGTTCCGCCGTTGGGATAGGAGATGCCCATGTAAGATCAGGCTCACGGAACCGATCCGGCACCAGAAACGAGTATCCGCCAAAGTTCTCATCAGCGCCCTCACCAGTGATGACGACTTTGATGCCGTGTGAATGCACCATTTCCGCCATGGCCAGCTTGCCCGTCCCATTCGTATCGGCAAAGGGCGCCTCACTGTGCCAGACCACATCTTCAAAGCGGCTCGCGATGGACTCTTCGGTCATCCTGATCGGGTGGAAGTCGACGCCGAGCCAGTCGGCGGTGCGTTTGGCGATGTCGGATTCATCGACGCCGCTGTCTTTGTCGAACTGGACGGTAAAGACTTTGAGACGTTTGAGTTCGCCGCTTGCTTCGTCGCCGAGTTTTGCTCCCTCTTCTTTCATTAGATGGGCGATTATGCCGGCGACGGCGGACGAGTCGAGTCCTCCGCTGAGATAGACGCCGACAGGGACGTCAGCTCGGAGTCGCACTCGAATCGCTTCGAATAAACGGTCTCGAACGCCTTTGATGCATTCTTCTTCGGTCCGTGTTTCTTTCACGGTCTACCCAGTCAGCATGTATATATCACGACCAGGGGGGTCAAGGGAATCACCTTATCTGGATACTCGACATCCCAATAAATCTTCTGCTCCGTCTCTCCAAAATGCCTACAACTCATATAATGACCCGGCAGCACCCTCCTAACCCCCTTCAAGAACGTCCTCTTCCCAAACATCCAACTCTGATCCTTGAGACTATAAACATCCCACTCTGGCTTCAGACCCAGCGCCAAAAACGACTTCATCTCTGTTGCTACCAGCAGCCTCCCATTCACGAGTGTATAATAGAGTGACTTAATTCCATATCGATCTCGGGCGGCAAGGAGCAGTTCCCGCTTTGCATCCCATAGCACGAGAGCGAACTCGCCGCGGAGGTGGGAGAGGAAGGAAATGCCGTACTTCTTATACAAGGCGATGACAATCTCACAGTCGCTGTGGCCCTTGAAGGTGAATGTGTCGGAGAGTTCAGCGCGGTATTTTTCATAGTCGTATAGCTCGCCATTGACGACAGCGTAGATCCCACCAGATTCATCGACAAACGGCTGGTTGCCTTCCGGGCTGAGATCGATAATCGACAGACGAACATGGCCAAGGCCTGAAGGTCAGCGTTGCATTATCACCATGTGGCACGAGACAGGGAAAACACACCCACGCGGTAGTCGGGACTAAAATAAACACCACGAGCATCCGGGCCCCGATGCTTGATGATATCTAGACTGGCATCGAGCTGTTTTTCGACCTTTTTCTTCCTCTGCGGCGTTGCCGTGATGAACGCAGAAAGCCCGCACATTATTATTCAACTGTCCGTGAAAAAGGTAAATGCTGAATGGATGAATGCCACGTCAAATGCGGACCCCCCTGCAGTATTTAACGTACCACGGCCGCACCCCTCGATGCAGCAGCAGCTTATGAATCATCCCTCAGCCCAGTCCAGTTGCGTGAACCCACCAAACCATCCCATTGTGTCAGGTGCACGCGGGAACCAATGCCCGAACAAAGCCATTGTTGGAGGGAGTCGCACAGCTTCATGCGCCGGTACGTCCAATAGTGGTCGATGTCGCGCTGGTGGACCGATACTTTCTTAAACTTGTTTCATCCACGGCTGCGTGATCTGTCAGCGGGACAACTCGGACTTATGCGCGCGCATGGACGTGGCTGGCTGAGGTTGTTGGAAGGAATGATAAATTTTGTAATGGGGTACGGCGATCAGATGTTTCTCGCACAGTGGATTGTTAAACGGGTCAGCACTCTCTTGTGTGACGAAAATCAAATGTTGGGGTAGTTTTATTATTGGCTGTGGGCGTGTTTGGGCCCGATAGAGTGGATTGTCTCGATTGGGAGGAATGCATATCATATGACGGTCAATGGTTGAGAATGTGTCAAGATACGCTGCCGATTGTTGGGCTGCATAACAGGTCTAATGAATGATGATTCACCTATACACTGCATAAACATCCAATCTGACAGATAGGTCACTATCATATATCTGACAGATGCATCACAATCAGTGAATATGCGATAAAGATGCAGGTCGTGCTTGAAGGATCAAATAGATCCTTGATCCCTGTCTTAACAGTGGTGGAGTGCATTCTGCGACTTAACGACTGCAGTGGCTCTCCATCTACAACCCAGGCATGGACTAGATCGCCGATCGACTCCATCGCGGCGTCCCGCGAGCGCGTAGCCATGATTCAACATGATTCAACTACGCGCCCATTCTTGGACAAACCATGGTAACTTGAAAGTGCCCACATGTTCGATCGACCCCGTCTCTTCACGGGTCCTTCGACCCGCTTTCAAAGCGCGGCAGATTATTCGATCGCAGGATAGCCACTCCAAGCCAGCCAGATATGAACACATTTCCACTATCAGTGGGCGCTAATTATAGATCAGCATCTCCGCGATGCATACAGATTACAGGGTCTTCGGCCCATTGTACTGCAGACAGATAGCCTGCCAGGCTGTCTCCATGGAAGCTGGCTGAGGGGTATCATAAGATATCTTATCTTGTTGGGGGTAATTACAAATATCTACAGCGCGTATTCAAATCCCAAAGTGGACCTGCACCCTCATCACGCCCTACACAGTGGAATTTGTCAGTTGTCGTTGTCAACGTAATAACAGCCGTCGGTACTCCCGGTCTATAACTCATGCGCTTTCTCCAATCATCCATGGCCTGCCAGCCTATCGAGATCAATATACATGTATCCACCAGTATCTAGCTTCGGTGCTGACTTCTTGATGTCGGGATTTGACATTTTTGTTTGCTTGCCTAATGACCTCATGATCATCATCGTTTATTTTGGCCCCTTAATCAAGTTGTGGTGGTGGTGGTTGGCGCCGGGGTACATGCTCCATCCACCACGACAACCCGTGAGCGCGAAACGACGAATTCCCAAGCACGCCACCCCCTCTCCTTGGTTTTGAAACGAGTTAGAGTCCCTCGAACCCGTTTGCGTGCTGAATTGGTCCCGTTTCTTCAAAGCCCATTTTCCATCCGCCCTCAAGCCAGCCGCAGATTGCAAGTCTGCTCCGATCGCAAGATAACCACAAGCCAGCATGGGGTTTGGCTCAACCAGAATACGAAGATTTACTTCGTTACAACAGTGGACGCTGGCTATGGGATGAGGGGCAGCAACTTCGTGATAGATACAAGGTGTTCAACCCCATTGCACTTCAGAAAGTCGCGGCCCAGAGCGTGGGCTCCAACACCTGCATCTCCATGCGAAAGCTAGCCGAGTTGTCATGGATGATGGGAAAATAGCCATTGCGCGGATTCCAAACCCGAACGCTGGGCCTGCCTTCTACACCACCGCGTCTGGGGTTGCCACGATGGAATTTGTTAGTTCCCCGTTGAGCCGTTCTTGCGCCGTTGATCAAATTGACCTCAATCCTAAGCCCGAACGATTCTTCCACTCCCAGTTCCCCGGTTTTATTCATGGAGCAGCAATGCCGACAATGCGATTGGCTCGGAATACATCATCATGGAGGAGGCTACAGGGGAGCAACTTGAAGGCGTATAGGATGACTTGGCTCCTCGCTCGAAGCTTGCAATCATGAAAGAACTTACTCTACTAGCCTCTACGGCGCAAAATGACCCAGCGGCTCATATTCAACTACTGGAAAAGTACCTCACAGTCACACCTTACCTTCTAGACCTTGGTAAAAAATTCACCCGGTCCACTCTCTGGCACACTGATCTTTATTCTCCGAACCTATTCGTACAGGACAACCGTATCACGGCCGTGATTGACTGGCAGGAAGTCTGGCCTGGCCCCCTTTTCCTCCAAGCCAAACCATCGCCACTGGTGAATTATCAAGGAGAGATCCTACTCAGCCGTCCCGATAATTTTGACACACTAGATGATGAGCACAAGACCCAGATCAAGCAGCAGATTTCCAAGTCCACTCTTTTCCAGCTTTATCTCATTGAGACAGAAGAGAGGAATCCAGCCCTGGCTGAAACATACCATCTGGACCATGGCAAGACAAGACGCCTGACCATTGAATTTGCTGGCAATACATGGGATGACGATTTGGTCTCGTTCCGGGAGGCGCTTATCAACATTGAAAGGTATGAACCATGCCTAGAATTGGGAAAAAAAATCTAACAGTTTATCCAGGTATTGGCAAGAATTCAACACACATCAACCTTGTCCCATACCTTTTAGCACAAGCGAGATAGAGTCATCTAAGGATGCAGAAGGATGGAATGAGGTCCAGGATTTCTTTGACAGTATTGTAGGTCTTGTAAAGCTTGTAAAGCGGGATGGATGGACACATAGTGAGACATTTGAAGAAGCTGTTGCTTTCTTCTCAACATTGAGAGAAGTGGGCTTGAAGAATATGAAGGGCGAAGAGAGGGAGAAGTTTGACAGACAAATTGGGTGATGGGCAGACAGAAATCGTCGTCATACTTAATGAACGGGATTATTAAGCTATGCAATGGATACCAGCAACCAATCGGATCTGTGGCAAATGAGTCATTCTCACTCATTCCCACTCATTGTGGGTCTGTGGATCATATTTCCGAAACGATCTCTAGACCATCTGGCTTCAAGATGGTGAGATCTGAATACATACAATATCATCTCGACTCATAGTAGATAATAATGATCAAGTATGATTGTAAATGACTAGGAAGAGGTAGTATATAAACGCAGACTGAGAAGTAGATGTTGCTGTAGACAAGCAAGATGAATCCTCAGTAAATGCGTAAGTGAATTTCATTGTTTCATTTCTACAGTTGTATATGAAGAAAGCAATCACCAACCCAATGAGGACTTGGCAATTCAAGAGCTGACATCGTCTGATACTCACCTATCCTTTACCCGTCATTTACCATCTATACTGTACCCTGTTGGGCTAATACTACGTACCAGTTTATCATGAATGCCCCACTCAACTCCGCAACTCCGAAATGCCCGGACCCGCCAAACTCACTTTCTCACTTATAAAAACCCATCCCCTTCTCATCGTATTCCCTCACCATCCATCTCTACGGAACCATCCGTATCCTCTTCCTTTCACTAATACTTCCTCTACGGGTCCCAGGACCCGTCTAAAACATCCAACGATGCCAGCCGCCGCCGCCACCGGAGCATCGGCCGCCCGCCAGATCAGAGCCACCGTCATCCAGATCGGTCGAGTCTCTACAGTGTCTTCCGTCTGACCAGTTTCTATCTCCGTTTCAGTTTTCGTCTTTTCAATTTCCCGATAGCGATTTTCTTACGGCGCCGTGTTTTTCTGATCTTGATATCCCGTTTTTGCCGCCTACCACTACTGCTTCTTTTGACGATTTTCCTGATATCGATACGTTGATTGCGTTTCCGAATGCATTGAATCCATCACCTATTCCTGGACCTGATTTTTGCTTTGATCCGATTCCTGACTTCGGTCAGAGCTTGGGTGTCGAGTCTGCTCCATGTATGCACCATCTATCACCCATCATGGAAGGACCTCACTAATATCTATCAGACCCTCCACAACCCACCCACTCCCAACCATCCCCAATGCCAGCTATGCCAGCTCTCACCCCCCGCTCCAGCTCCGCCTCCTCCCGCGACGCCTCACCCAAAGACTCCTCGTCCTCATCCTCATCCTCCTATCGCGTCTCCAAGCGCCAAATGAACACCATGGCTGCGAGACGATACCGTCAGCGAAAGGTCGATCGGATGAGTGAGCTTGAGGCCGAGTTGGAGAGCGTCAAGCGGGAAAGAGATGAGTTGCGGATGAGAGTTTCCAAGCTGGAGGGTGAGACGGAGGCGCTGAGGGGGTTGGTTGAGAAGAAGTAGGTAGTTTTTGTGTATAGGAATCTATTCAATTGTGATATTTTGGAACTATTTCATAATATGCGTAGTTTAGTGGCTGGAGTGGCTGTTGATGCTTTCATTGATAACTAAGGGAGGTGGCGGAGCAGTGTGATATCTCCACTAGAAGAGTAAATTTCCACAGTAGAAATTTTCTAAAACACAATAGATATTATCAGGAAATGATCACTAGAAAGCTCTGCATCCTGGAAATGTGTTAAATAATCACAGGTCAAAGGTTTGTTGGTCAATGATTTAAACAGCGACCACGGGAAGAAAAATAGCATGCAATAATAATTAAGCAAACCCAAGTGGTACAATTACTACACTTCAAAATTTATATCTAGCAGGATGATTCAGATAGTCCCAGGAAAACACTGATCTTCGGTAGTAACAATTCAGATTATGCAATTGGTTTCTGCCTTGACTGTACATATCTATCTCACTACGCAATGAATACATTATCTACACGAATTAACAGAAAATTTGACAGTAAATAACCTCTTGAAAACCGTTTGCAGGAATAATCTAATGCCCGATTTACTTCTCACCTACACAGCCCTCTTCTCCCGACTAGCACTTTGCACACTCTGCACCTGCAGAAAGGCATCATGTCCTTCAGAATATTGTGGCTATGGCAATTATTTGCATAGGTAAAGTACTGAATCAAATGATGTCATTGATGTAGTACTGTGTACCTCTTTCCCTGCCTATCACCGAATAGGTGAAGACGCATCCGACAAAACACCGAAAACTCTCGACACAGCCCTGTGCAGGACCTTGGCAGCTAATGAGGGATATATCACTCGAATTGACAGATTAAAGGAAAGTATCGCGGAAAACCCGAGACCCGAGACAGAAACCAACACCACCACCAGCAAAACCAACATCAACATCAACAGCCAAGACACTGAAGCAAGCTAGTCCCTGAAATCGCCACACTTGGCAAGAGCCAGAGACAAGAATAGCCCTATCCCTTGGAATCGATCTCGACGGGTGATAATCATTGCCGAAATCGGCTACCTTGCCTGGATTAGCTTGTTTTAAGCGAGAGATTTGGCCCCAAGCCTCAATGGGGCCGAATTGTTGTGATGAAGGGTTAATGGGATGAAGGTGATAATGTGGTGATCGGCACTCGTCTATTCAGCCGAGTAGAAATGAAGAATGTCGGAGATAATTAGAGATTAGATCGATCAGGGTCTGAATGAGATGAAATGCGATTGATATGGCTATTACTATGCATGTATTGGTCTTGAATTATTGCATACAATTCATGTACTGCAATTGATGTCTGCTTGATGTTTATCAAGATCCGTCTGATAATCAGAGAGATCTAATCAATCAACTCTGGTACACAAGGCGCAGTAAAGTCTCCAGTGCAACTCCACAAACTACCCGTTTGAGGTTCTTCTCTGCACATCCAAAGGGGCCAAATCCTTCGAACCAGCTTTGATATCCGTACTCTACACACCGACTGAGACAATGCACAGGTGGAAAAGGTATTCTGTACAAACACTGAGACTTGCACAGATGAAAAATCTATATAAACCGCATTCTATCCCATCTATCTTCTCATCATCATCAACGCATCTTCTCTTCTCTTCACAGCTCTACATCTCTCTTCAGATATCTTCACCATCACAATGAAGCTCCTTTCTTTCCTCCCCTTCTTGGCTTTCGCCTCTGCCGTTCCCTTTGGCATCAACCACAACCAGCCAAAGTGCAACCCTCACGAGCCTAAATACAAGACTCTCTCGAAGAAGATCACCAACGGACCCAGCTCCGTCATGGCCGTTGCCTGCAGACCCGAGATTGACGGTAGCACTCCCTCTACCATCTAGCATAATACAATCTAATGATATACAGACTGCACCCTCTCCACCTCCGAAGCCTACTCCGTCAGCGTCGCCGTAACAGTCGGCATCGACCTCGGCGTTAACACAAAGACAGCCAGCGCAGGCATCGGCGCCTCCGTCTCCTACTCCACCTCCAGAATCACCACCGACACCGGCGCTGCCACCTGCCCCAAGGGTGGCTGGACTTGCGGTCTTGCCATCACTCCCTCTGTGCTTGAGGTCCATGGCAACCTGGACTACACTTCTCCTGTCGCGAACCCGTGCCTTACTCCCAAGCCTAAGAGCGGCGACTACACCGTCCAGTACCCGATGAAGGACTCGCAGGGCAAGCCTAGAATCACTGTGTGGGCGTGTGCTTGCCCTGACAGAAAGGGATGGGCTGATAAGGGTGCTCCTAAGAAGTGTCCTGCTAACTGTGGTGGTGCTATTATGGAATAAATGATACCCTGAACCGGAACAAAACTGTATATTCAAGTTATGTATTAATCATTTAATATGAATCAGCGAAATAAGTCATTTCATAACTTATGCAACTTCTACATCAATCACTGCCTCTTCACCCATGACTGATTGGATGGTGATATATACAGCATCAGCACTTTTCTGTGTTTCTATAATCCTTTCTCCAAGCTCTCCTGTAGGAAATGGTATATCTTCTCGAGTTTCGCCCTCTGGCATGGCAAGACTAAGCTGATGGCCATTCTGTGACACCTTCATATTATCAGCTGCTGACCTCCAATGGATTAAGAAGGTCTACCGACCAATCGACATTTTATCTTATGGACAATAGGGATGTCCATGATTTCAGTCATTCGATAATGCCCCTCTCTATTCTCTCCCGAAAATAAATCAATGCCGAGTAGTGATGCCTTGGTCTGTCCTTCTGTATTGAATATCGTCATCATGTGAATCTGACATGGTCGGCCATGTATGAACACATAATCCCCTGACTGGAGGTCGGAGCATTTCCGGTTATAAATGGTATAATCCTAGATGTGTTATTTCTATTCTATAGTGGATGTACAGGTGAATGCATACTGTAGAGCACATTATAAGATGAGCTACATTGTAAATATTTGAGGTTAGGAAGGTATATCGTCATTTCTATATATTCGCTCTGGTGCGGGGTAACATTTATCTGATGAAATGTATTTTTAGAACAGAGTAAATCAACTTAAACATGAACAGATATTCTATACAGATACAATCATCGTGATATATTCAAAGTATTTTAATATCCATACCAATCCGGACTAAGAAAGCCACTGGACATAGAAACCAATCATAGGTGTAATAGCAAAGGAACTTGAACTGAATGAAAGATTGACATGGCCCCAATTTATTCTATGATATATACAAGGTAATCAAAACATTCTCATCTATAGATATGATACGTTTAATCCGTTCCTTCGTACTTTATACCGTGATTGGCTTGGTAGGCATGATCAATCTGACTACTGCCTCAGGCACCAGTCCACAAACCCCTGTGGGATCATTGATAGACTTCCACGCAGTGGATGCATAACATATCGCTAAACTCTAGCCGAATCCCTATCATTCCCTGAGTGAACAGTCACGCTCGTTATGAACTTGGTATATTGCAAGTCCATATTGATAGTCCGACCGACGACCGTGGGATCTGAAGTCTGCCCGCTATTTCGGATCAGCTCAATGTCGTCATCGAACCAACTCCGTAATTCCTGGTCTGTGGGATTCTGTGTATTGCTTTGTGGCGTTCGTGTCAGACTGCCGGACTCAGTCTCACTGTCTGAGGGGAAGTGGTGCCGAAGGAAGATTCGGAAGGAGGGGAGGCAGTCGCAGATGATAATCAGAACGGTTTCTGCATTTCTACATTCAAGTTAGAAGGCCGCCAGCGCTTATTTGCAGGATGCGATAGACTCACGCCCAGAGAATCGGGGTAGCCATGTGGTAGGGGTGGTCTGATTGCCAGAGGAGATGGTGTACCGTAATGACGCGAAAGATGCTCGTGATGATCGTTCTGGCTGGTTAGTATCTTTCCATCTACAGTTATTGATCTACAGGTATAGAGCACTCACATGCAGCCCAGGAAGAACATCAGAACCACACCCACCTTATGCAAAGGCCGCATCTGCAAGTCCCAAACTAATGGTATTGGCGCAATGATCATGAGAAAGTCGGTAATCACATTAAACACGGAACTGGTCAGCAAGATCGTCAACCGATCGACGCAGTGTCCATCTGTGATGGTCGAGTCCCATGCCATCTGCAGTGGCCGGCAGCCGAAGATGTATAAGATAACCAGTACGACACTTGGGATGACGAGAATCACGCTGATGGAGTAGATGTACACTTTCCAGAAGACTCCCAGCGGGTCGAGACGGTAGTAGATGGTTAACAGACTGAGCTTTGCGACGCACACCATCGGGATGAAAATGGCGATGATAGCAAGAACGACCTGTTGTGTGTCAATTCCAATGATGGGTCGGATTCGAGGTGTTTTCCCACATCTGTAAATCTCGTCATCTCATTGTCGGAGAGGGTGATTTCGTGTTTTCCGATTCCTCCATCGCCGAAGCCATCTTTGTTTTATTAGCAGAGGCGCAGAAAGAATATGGATAGCAAGCTCACATAGAGTTAAAGACTGAAATGCCACTGCCAGAATCTACAGCAGGTCAGTAGGCATCCGCCAAGATAGCAGACCATGGCTCACCCATGCAGTAATCGTGAATACTACAAATGTTAACTCTATTCCACTGATACGAATGCTTAAACTTACTATTATGAAGGCCGGATTGTCTGGATATGCGCACGCTCGTATAAGTATATAGGGCCAACGAGAAGGTTCCGGTAGTCAGCCCGACGATTACCAATGCTTGATTGATTGCCTGGAAGGACGTATGAGAAAAGCCATCCCGAGAGTATAATCTGGCGAGTCCCTGCGTCGCCATATTCAGCGACATGCTTCGGCACCATTGGACGGCTCCCACGCGAGTTGAGAACAATCATGCAAGTAAGAAGAGAACATCGAGGCAAAAGCAAGAATTTTCATGAATGATTACTTAGTAGCTGACAATAATAGGAGAGGGCTGGATTTTCCACTCGATTTTCTTAGTGTGAGATGACTCGCCAGCCATCCGATCGTGGATATGCAGAAACCACCCCTGATTAACAATGATCACGTATCACCCATTCACACCCAACAGCCCAACCAAACAGCGAGCGCTGTTCTAACAGCCAAACTCTAATTAATTATCCAGCATAGCCATTGTAGCCTAACCTTATCTTTGCATCTCTAATTTGCCGAGATTTTCCCGCGATCGTCACCAAGATGTCAGAATTCGATCGTACTACTCGCACCGCTTAATCTATCTGAAGCTTGGCGATGGCGTTTTTTCTCATCCAGGCGTTTGTTCAGAGAACCGTCCGAAAAGTTCCTGGAGTGAAGAGGGCTGGGGTCACGAACCACCCTTGGTAGTTGGTAAGGTACTTTGGTCTGTAACCCCGGCGTGAGTTTATTCAACGTCAAATCTTCACCAACCCTGGATAGAAACGTTTCGAGCAGGGATAAATGACCGGTTGTGCGAGGCTATCAATCAGTGGCCAGGGCCTGAACGTTGATTGGTAGTCGCAAATTGTGCCGTTGTCTATCGTTTACTAGCTAGCTGGGGGTTGTGCCATAGCTTCCCCGGCCTAGGGCTTAGAAGCAGATCCCGAAACTCTCCTTTTCGTGGAAATGGCAAAGTTAAGTATGTGGGTACGAGATGAGTTAATCTTCTTTTCATGGCATGTTTATTCTTGCTGGCTGTATAGGCAGTATCGATGAAGAGAATTGCTGATAGATTGACCTGAATGTACCTACTTTTTGGGGTTTGGGGCAGGTCATTCACTATGCGTAATTTGTATGGAGTCTGGTTCAATCTACAACCCGTGCTGGTGGGTCGATGTCTTAGTTATCAATGGAAATTGTTTCCTGGGCGGTCTGACAGTGCAGCTTAGACGATTTTAAACTCGAGAGGAAAAAGATGACTACTTGCACGATGTGTTGGTTCTAGAAACGATGATGGCATATGTCGTAAACAAGACCTCTTCGATCCAGCCTCACAATTTGAATTAAACCCGTAGTTCTCATTTTTCAATGAACCTTGGCTGTCGATCAAGATCCTCAAACAGTAGACAAGAACGATGGTGCTTGCGAGCTTATATATGGGCCTGCGCACCATGGATCATTTTTCCGAGATAATTCCTGGAATATGAAACACCAACCCGGACCCGACTGCTGGACCCTGGAAATGGACGTTGTTCATTGTGTCAGTCAAACTGTCATTCCTGCATAATTGCGGCTAAACGTTTCCTACCCCTGATTCTGGCTTTTACCCCCTGGCTCACTATGCGGAACCGCATACCAAATAAATCTTAGCTTGGCGGTCGCATGGCATTCTGGTCATGTGTAAATTGCCAAATATGGCAGGTTGACACCCTACCGGACAACTTCCGTTGAAGCCCAGTGGCAACTTGGACATTTTGTCTCGACTATGGATATGATGCTTTGAATGTATCTATTTTACTGGGGATTTGAAATTGATAGGATGATCTGTTGAAGACTTCGTTAGTTAATTCCCGCACAGTGATTACCTTAGCAAGATTGCTCGCACTCCATGGCCCATGATCGGCCGGCCAATCCGATAGCGCCTTTGACCTATTTAACTGGCTAGTTTTGTATCCCCGGATTCAACCGCCCTCTGCCTAGCTGATATCTATAACCCGAAAAGAAGAACTGCCGATTGTAAATCGGTCGTAGTGGACTCACCGTCCTGAAGAACTAGTCTCAGGGGTTGCTAGAGGTCTCTGCTAAGGGAAAACTGACCATCTGCAGTGTGATATTTGCGGAGGAATGTGGGGGTAGGAGCCGAGCCGCTGCCCCGCGAACTGAATACTCATTGCCAACATATAATATGGCAAGGTTGCCCCTGGTTAGCTCGAGTCGACACAGCTCTGGCTGACGAAAGTTGAACTAGAGTGCGTGGGACACAGTCTATCCCGTAGAGGGTTTGGAGGGAAGAGGCCGTATAGTCCTAAATGTGTTATTTCTATTCTATCATAGACATAGGTGAGCTCATACTGCAAAGCACATTATAGGATGAGTTAAAATGTAAATAACTATGATGTTAGGCAGATATATTATGCAGAGTGCGAGGTAATATTTATCCGATCAAATGTATTTTTAGAGCAAAGTAAATCCATCCAAACATAAACATATTCTATACAGATACAATCCGATATATCCAAACTCCTCAATATTTCCCCTTTAGCATCAACCACCCAATCACCACACATCAGTAGCTTACTGAGGGGCGCCCTTAGGGCTGAAAGAAGGCGTAGGAGTAGGAGTGCTGTGAGGAACACTGATAGACGCGGAGGGAGTAACAGCCGCCTGCTGGACGAAATATCCAGGCAGGGCCTTACGGAGATGGAACTGGGCGATCGCGTGGTTGTTCGAGAGAATCACATCACCCTTGCTGACCTTCTGGTCTTTGAAGACCGTTTTGTCTTTGAAGAAGTAGAATGCGCTGCCGTCGCAGACGGGGACGTTGACTGCTGTTTCGTCGTCGGCGCCTGTGATTTGTGTTAGATGTATTGTTATATGGGTGGTGGGTGCATAGATGATGTAACTTACTGACGCATTCGCCTTTGTCGCCCTTGACGCCGAAAGGGCTGGACTCGCCGTTGCAGCCGAGTGCGTTGTAGAATCGGAAGCGGCACTGGCCTTCCTTGTTTTCCTCGACAAGAACTGTTGGTGGAATGGGTTTCGAGCTGGGCGTCGAGCTGGGGGTGGCGGCAGTGTTGGTCCAGTCGGCAGAGGCGGTTGCAGTGCCGGTGAAGTCGGTATAGGCAGCAGTGGTGGTGTCAGAGTGAGCTGGGGCGGCCAAAGCAACGCCGGAGAGGGCGGCAGCGAGGGCGAGGGACTTGTACTGCATTGTAAAGGTGTAGAAAATGATATTAGATAGTAGAGTAGATTATAGTAGAGATGATTGTAGACTGAGATTGACGATGGAGTTGATTTCGACGAAAAGTAGAAGCTATTTATCACAATGATCAGATAGATGGGGGCGGTGCTGAAGGATGGCGATCTGCAGCCCCAGACTCGACGAAACAGCACTGCCTGGGAGGATCGAAAATAGCCCTGAATAGCTGGGGATAGATCCTTCAAGTGCAGATCATCATTGATCCTTTTGTTTTTAACCTATGATAAACAGCTCTGGTTGATAGACGGTGGCGTTGCTTGGCAGGGTTACATCCGTTGTGAGTTGTGAGTGTTGCCCTGTCAGACGGGGCGATGTTTTAGCACATCCTTTATTCTATCTTTAGTCAGATTGAATTCTTAATTTTGGGTTATTTCTCGAGGCAGTCAAGATATCACAGTTAATGTGATATGTGATATGTGATCTATCATACAAAGAAATACAAACATGCCAGCTATAATAGTAACCGCCGCAAAATTAGATGTGATAGCTGACATTTATGTTATTCTATTAACCATAGTAAATATACCTCTATCCTGCGCTGTTTCGATGAGAGTTCATATTGCATTCAGTAAACCAGAATCATGCTGTTCGAGTGGTTGTGGAAGTTTCCCGTGCTGTAAGCATACTACGTAAGAGAATCCTTCGAATAATACCTCTCTGTTCCTGCCATAATGTATGTGCAGTGAATACAAGGATTTAACTGGCTCCGGGCTTTCCGAAATCTAGATCCCTTCCTATACCGCCACACTTCTATAAGGTATCCCCCTCCCACGGTGAATCTGTCTGCGTGCTTTCATCACATAGCTTGGTCGACAGATTATTCCAGGCCGTGCTGCTGAGGAGTATAGAATATTCACCGTTTCGAAGACCCTTGCTTTGCTGGTCGGACAAGTTACATACCTTGCTGAGTACATATTCGGAGTTAGGGATATAATCTGACATATTGTCGGGTGTATTTTCAAGCAGAATAAGCATGACCTCCTCTACTTGGCCACGAAGGGAGCGTAGATGGGTTAGACTCAAATTATTCGAAATGGCCCCAGGGTGACACTACAGCGCGACCTGTGCAGTTTATAAAGCCCATTACTAATAATGACTCTCCAGTTTCCCACTGTTAAGCTGGAGACCACAATTGGTATTTATGTCTATATGTAGCAATGACCACTAAAGAAGCTGGCGAAAAAAGTCCAGACATTGAAAAATATGCCAGTATCAAGCAGTTTGAAGCTTTAACACATTAGCTAACGAGATGCCCTACAATTTAGCAGTAATGAGCTTCAGTAGACTGTTGGTATCTGTGGCGTCTGTTTAATTGTTTTCATTGGCATTGTGGCTTGCATTGGAATGCTTATTGTAGCCTTGTGGGACGCGATGACTGGTAAAGTCTTTGGTGTGTTATCCCCCGCTTGCTCAGGCCTTATCTATAATGTGAAGCATGACTCAGTAAAAACTTCTGACTCATTTATTTATCGTTATTCGATAGTAGAAATGGCGTCATGTTAAATCTCGTAATCGATGTTGATATATATTATGGTTGAACATTTGACTGTAAACTTCATCCCCCTCATTATTTTATTGAAGCGTATCCTATAAAGGTTATTCTACAGCCCAGATCTTTATTCGTAAAGTGCACAGTATAGGCCGACTGTAATATCTTCTAGGTAATTACTGACTTTCTCTGGCTGTGATAGCATGCTCACCTACACAGTGCCATTTGACCTGTTTGACCTGTTTACACTGTTTGTCTCCACATTCCTTCTTAGGCTCAGTATCCGACCCATCACGCTTTACCCAATCGGGTGAACCGGTCCTTTACTTCCTGTGGCGCATTGCAAATTCAATCTATATATTCCTCTTTTCCCCAGAAAAACAACAGGGAGTTTCAATTAATATTGAGTATTTGTCTGATACAGCGGAACCAACAGCCCCAAGACCAGAAGAACTCCCCCGGGTCCATTATTGCGGATACTACATACAATGACCGTCAAAATCGAAACCACCGACGCCGTCGTCACCGACAGAGGGGGCATCGTGGAAAACCGACACCGTGTTCATGCAGCAGTTGTCGACTCGAATGGAAAATTGCTCTATGCAGTTGGCGATCCCACACGCATGACGCTGGCCCGATCTGCCGCGAAACCATTCCAGGCGCTAGCCATTCTTGAAACCGGGGGCTTCGACCAGTTCGGGCTCGACGATGCTGATTTGGCGCTGATGTGTGCGTCGCATAGTAGCGAGGATAGACATATTGCGCATGCCCACGCTATGCTCGGAAAAGTGGACGCGAAAGAAACAGACCTTCAATGCGGTGGGCATGCTGCGTTGTCGGAGGCTGCTAACCGGGTGTGGATTAAGAATGATTACACGCCTACCGCTATCTGCAATAATTGTTCCGGGAAGCACGCTGGGATGCTGGCTGGGGCGAGGGCACTGGGTGCTGAATTGGAGGATTATCACCTACCAGCCCATCCTCTCCAAGTGCATGTTCGACGCGTTGTTGAGGAGGTCTGTGAGCCCGATGCGAAGCTTGTACGATGGGGTCTTGATGGGTGTAATCTGCCTGCACCAGCTACTCCTCTATACACCTTGGGCAAAGCCTACGCTACCCTCGCAGCAGCAGCAGATGCAGTCGCAGCGGATCCTACCTGTGATCCCCAAACACAATCCCTGGGCCGGATATACGGAGCCATGGCACAATACCCCGAGCTCGTTGGCGGAGAGGGCCGATTTTGTACCGACCTTGCGACGGCATTCCAGGGAGAATTGATTGGAAAAGTCGGTGCGGACGGATGCTATGGCGTGGCGATCCGAGCGTCGCAGGAGACGAAACGGCTAGGAGGCGATGGTGCGTTGGGAATTGCTGTGAAGATTGAGGATGGGAATATGGATATTCTTTACGCAGCAGTGGCGGAGATTCTGGAGCAGCTGCAGATTGGAAGTCCAGAGATGCGGAATGCTCTTGATCATTTTCACTATCCTAAACTATGCAATACGGCTGGTGTGGTTACGGGGCACGTTTCTCATTCGTTTAAAGTGCGGTCTGCATTGGTTTTATAGAGGATGAGATAAGAATGAAGATTGATATTCATGGTTACTGTATATAGCCGGTTTCCATCGGTCATCCATAAATTTCGTTAGAACAGCAGAACTCGAACTTCATTTTCATACTTTTTGAAAATTCCAATTGACCAAGTATGGGCTGGAAATATGCTTGCTTTATACACTGATGATCATCCTTATTTCCTATCGCCAAATTTGGCCCACGCTTCCTCAAAACCGGCTCCCCGTACCCACATATCGCTGGGGATTTTCCCTGCCGCATCGATAGCTATAATGATGTTAGAATAGAAAATATCAAATTGTAAGAATCTTACCAATATTGCCAATCTTGAGCCACATATCGCCCGTCACGAGTAAACTCCTCTTTTCCGATTCACCCTCATAAGGCTGACACAGTTCCTCAGCAAGCGCCACTGCGCGGACGAACTTGGCGAGATGGCCATCATCAGTGCGGTGTGTATATGCCTTGGTAAAGACCTCAGGCCAGCCCATGTGAATTGGGTGACTGTTCACGTCATCTATCTGTGGCTGAGGCATATTGCGAGAAGCCCAGATGAGGAGATCCATTCGGCCTTTCATTTCGAGGAGGCGGACTTTATTTTGTGTGCATAGATAGGAAGTGTCCATGAAGGCTTTCAAGAGGAGGGAGAGATTCACGGCGTGGATGTAGAAGAAGTCGAGTTTTATTTGTTTTTTGGGGTTCTGGGCTGTTGCGGTCCAGTAGACTGGTTTGATTAGGCTGGATGTTGATGATAGCGGGTATGATAGACTTACTGGCTGTGTTGATCATCTCGGCCATTTTATCCTCAAGCTGATCTTCTGATACCGTCCACTGACTGCAGTGTTGGATAACCTCATCCCGAGCCCGCTTTAGAAGCCCCTCCTGGAATTTGTCACTATCCTCATAATGCACAGACGCAGCAACCTTTCGATCTGCCCGCATCCGATCCATAATTTGAACGAGGGTATTGTTTGAATACCGTCCTATTCCACCCGCAGCTTTCTCAGCAGGAGTGAAGAAATGACGACCTAGATAGTCTGCATGGACAGAGGCCTGAGCCAACGCTTGGGCGATGATAGCCGGCTGCTGGAACTCAACTCCAAAGCCTAGATGGATAATTGGATGAACAAGGCCAGCGAACATTCTCGACAGAAGGGATTCTGCAAGTTCATCGCCAGCAAAGAGATATTGGTTGAGTACGTCCGAAATGCCCTTGGCGTCGATCTCACGCTGAAAGAAGGCGAGGTAGTTCGCATAGTGTTCTTCCTGGTACATATGCTTCATGAACTCTGTTTTGTCTGTGAAGGACGCAATGACCTTTTCATCTCTGGGCATGCAAGGTCTCTGGCGTCTATCCTCCCGCTCGTATTGATCCTGGATGGTCTCGGGGGATGCACCGAGTGCGAAGATGGTGAGCATGAAATGCACGATGTGATCTGGTTAACATTAGTCTCGTTTCGGCCCAGTGGAGAATACTTAAACATACTATGAAACTCGATATCGTTCACGTAGACATGGTGGTTTTCCATATCATGTTGCAGGACTTCGCTGACCTTCCGGGCAGATGCCTGACTGAGGCCAGAAGTACCGAATACTCCGGCATTATCTGGGGTCAGCCAAATTTTAGTAGCAGTGGCCATATTGGGTGAGAAGATAGAAGGACGAAATATGAAGGGAAATGGATTGTTACATCGTCATACTTTTATATTTATCCAGCATTCAATAGCTTTTGCGAAACCCGAGCAGAATTCGAGTGATGGAGTGCATTATTTAGATGGGAATCCAACATGTTTAACTGATTTAGGCTTTCGCATCTCGGCTTTCGGGTTTCGCATTTGATTCGGGATGGAAACGTCAACTTCATCCCGACCGCCTCGCATTCACAACTGCAGTCAATCAATTCAATATGAGGTCTACGCTTGCTTGTCAATGGTGTCGGTAAGATCTTTTGCCCATAGAGATGCTACCAAATGCTAAAAAATACAATTAGAAACGCCAAAATCAAATGCCACCATGATGGCTCTCCTCCCTGTCGGTCTTGCCGGTTGAATCCAGGAAGAGATTGTGTCTTGAGTATTCCGAAATACCGGTCGAAACGGGGTCAAACTTCTCATAGGGTCAGGAGAGATCGGTTATCTAGAACGTCTGGGTCTTTGGAAGATGATGAGAATCAAGGGATGAGTATTGGCCAGTCTTCCAACGGTGATATTCGAAGGCGAGATGAAATCGACGACCCTTTGCCCGGGCTGGATAAAAAGCTCCTGGAACACGCATTCTATCTATTCGTTCGTCTCTTTCCAGAGTTCGGTTTCTTTCATCAGCCAACTTTTGTCAAAGGTTTGGATGATAAGAGTATCCCGACTTTACTGCTCTGTGGCATCTTGTCATTGAGTGCCCGGTTTATCCCCGAACTCGTTGCTCGCTATGGCAGTCCCGCAAAGGCATGCGAACACTTTGCCACCCATGCCCGCCAAAATATCATGGGCCATGTCACAGCAGCCATGGACATCCACACCGGCCAGACACTGCTCATGCTGAGTTTGTATGACTGGGGAAATGGCGATGGCTCGCGTGCGTGGATATACAACGGGATGGCCACGAGGATTGTGCACGGAGTCTACGCGCAGACAAAAGAATCTGCGAGAAGCAGTCCGTCCTCACTGAATAATTCCCGGGTTGAAGAAGCGTGCAGGACAGTATGGGCTTGTTTTCTGCTTGACACGATGATCGGCTGTGGGAAATGCCAAGCGTCTCAATTTTCAATGAGTACCAGTGGCACTCCCCTCCCCTTGGGCGAAGACCATTTTGCGTTTGGAGATGGTGAATCGTGTCAGCCTGTGTTTCTGGACATGTGGGATCTGGAGAATGATGACTACCAGGGTCTATCAACAGACAAGATGGGATGTGACCAAAGCCTTACTCTGATCATTCGAGGCTTCTACATCTGGCAAACTATTTCAGCTTGGGTTTCGACCGGCGGGAGAAGACGAGAGTTTCCTTCATCAAGAAAGCCTCCATGGCATGGCAGCTCATTTTGGTCTCGCAGCATGGCGGCGGTAGAGGATTGGCGTTCATCGCAGTCCCCTCAGTTGATATACTCTACCTCAAACGTGAATCTCTCAGTATACATCTCCCGCGGTGACGGTGAACGATTCGCTGTGATCAATCTCCTCTACTTCCTTAATCTGATCTTTCTGCATCGCGAATATATCCCGTTCATTCCACATTCGACCAATCGTCCCCAAGGGCCAATAGACCCTCCACTCTTAATGGAAGACGCTCCGCCTGGTTGGTGGGACCAAAGTGCGCAGGGCTTATTCACAGCTGTATCGAATATCATCCAGATTATGCAAGAGCTTGACCAGCGTGGCGTCCAATTCCAAACGCCATTTACCAGCTTCTGTGTCTTTAGCGCAGCGACAACCCTCGCATATGCAAACACATGGCCGCACATGGCGCCCGGCCTCGATGCTCAACATGCCTCAGATCTTTTCTCGTGGGCATCCGCGTGGTTAAACCGGGCGTGCAAAATCTGGAAAGTCTCGAATGGCTGGTATAGAACCATGTTCACTCTCCGCAAGCTGTATACACAGTCCAAGGTGAATCCGGCTGAACTTGTCGATGTGGGGGGCAATATGTTACCTCGTCTGGCAGATAACATCCAGCGACTGGCAGGGTCTGAGACTCTGGAAGTAGGTGATATTCCGACTGCGAATATCCTCTTACTGCTTCAGAGACAGCAGGAGCAAAAGGAGAACAGACCAACTTCACCTGTCGAAGCCGAAGAGAACGATCCCCTCGGGGAAATGATGCTTCTACCCTCGGACTTTATGCCCGACCAGGACTTGTTTGCTAGTATTCTTTCAGATCCATCTGGGGATCGCATTCGTCCTTTTTTCGACGCTACACTGTTTGCTCCACAGTGATGCTGGCCAAATGGAATGTTCCTTTTGAATCTCCATGGCGTGTCTGTGATGCCAAGTTGGTAGCTTCGCGCCTAAGCCGCACCGCCGATGTCGACCTTCCAATGGTGTCCGATTGCTGTTCGACTCCGGGGGGGGGGGGGGGGGGGGGGGCATTTCAAGAGATAAATATCAAGCATACTGTCTACTTTTCAGCAGTAAACATTTTATTCAATTGCACAACATCAACTATTCAAAATGCAGTTTGGTTCTTTCCTCCTCGCTGCCACCCTCACCGCAGCCGCCAATGGGGACTCTAAACATCATCAAACAAGGAAAGGATTGTGACCTCGATGTAATCGACGTGAATGGGCTTTGCTGGAGTGTACAGTGGCTGGAACTATACATGATGATGCTATTGGGAGGATAATAATAGAGAAAACCAATTTGTATATATTCTCTGATGAAAAGTGCTGATATGCCAAAAGCAGACGCGTACCCACGCGACTTGTATATAGCACTCGCGTTCGAACAAACAACCCAAGACGTACGCGTAGAGTACCTCGAGCAGGACTTGAATTCTTTTCCTCCCAGCATCCTTTTCAAAAACAGGTTCCCACTTTCTTGGTCAATACGCATCCTAGGTCGTATGGGTATTGTGACGGAGCGAGCCTGGCATGTCTAGGTCTCTTGGGAAAAGGTGTGCTCCTGATTTTCTTCTATCAAGATAGTATACTGACTGTACAAAAGTGTTCTGAGTGGTGGATTTGCGCGTCTCACCGTGGGCAAGGATGAGGTCCCATTCGACGTCCATCTGGAGTTACTGCGCGACTGCTCCCCCTACTTCGAGGATCTGTTCAAACATCGTGGCGCCGAAGATATCACTGAGCAGCCAGTTTCCTTTCCCGACGATGATCCCGATCTCTTCGCCCAGGCCATAAGCTGGATGTATCGCGGGAGCCTTGCTGCCGAGTCGGATTATGGTGTTACCAAACTCTTTTTATTGCGACTTTGGGTTCTCGCGGGCAAATTACAGATGGCAGGGCTACAGAACAAGGTGATGTCGGTTTTCAAAATAAAGCTGGACAGAGCTCCACACATAATCATGGGCACTGCCTCGATCGATTATGTCTACGCCCATACCCTGCCGGACTCACCACTGCGTCGATTGGCAGTAGATGAGTGGGCGAGAAACGTGAAGAGGGAATTGTTCTTGTTTAGAAAAGAGAAATTTCCACGTGCTTTTGTCGAGGACCTGTGCTGTGCTTTGATTGCGAAAACGGAAAATACTGAGAGGACGCAAGATGAGCAGATTGGCTTCGAACAGCGCTATTTCGTACATCCCACCCCTTCGACGGACAAAGATGGCGATGCGCTTCCACCGAGCGCGAGAGAGAGCTCTGAACTTGTCACACGCGCCACTTCCGCCCAGATGGAGAGCAGGAGAGTCTTGAGTCCTGTACCTCGCGTCAGCATGTCTTCCCTTTCTAGCTGCCGGGCCCCATCGCAGATTTCTCCGACGGACGCCGATTCGCAATTGGAAGGCCCGGAGAAAAAGAAGGTGAAAATTGAATCAGCCTGATACATCTGAGCTCTCTTGTCTATCAAGGTATGAAGGCGATCTCTAAGAATACTCATCGACGCTGCTTTCTAACACTCGTGTCTTTGATTCAATGATTTATAGAATGAAACACTCGATTTATTGATCTCTTGTTCCAACATCCACCTACCGGGCAAGGAAACGTAGATAGTGCGTATGATTGTGAATTTCCCGTCCATTCAATATAGAATGCTTCTCTTTCTTCAGAGCAAAGGATTCGTACCAGTTTTCTTTGAGATGCACACACCCTGACAGAAAAGGGCTGTATTATTCCGATATGGTGAGTTGTCTCGGCTTTGTAGTCTATAAAACGTACAAAGAGCGCTTCCTGAATGCCAACATTGTAGAACAAAGGGCCATTGTATCTCGGTTCCTTGGCTTGATGAAGAACGCGAAGTTGACTTTTTGTTCGATGGTATCAGACAATAAAACCGCATTGTATATATAACAAAGCAGTGCCCATCGCTCTTTTATCCGTGTTTCGCATGTCAACAACATGCCTCTGAATCAATTGTTTCATTCTGCCAGCCAGGAACAAAGACTCTTTTGGACATGAAAATGTCGATGATTCTTTGATACGCCATTGCAGTCATCCTTTATCCTATCGAACATAAATACCACCTGGATATCCTGCCAAAAATCAATAGCCATGGATCAACTACAGTTTTACGAGTATCTGGTATCAACCCAAGATCAGTTCCCCCGACCTCTGTATTCACAAAACACCAACAACAGCAACAACAACGAACCAAGCAGAATGCCAGCCCAAAAGTCCTGGTGGATTCTCATCAGCTACAACAAAGCTGCCCCGACCTCCTACGAAGCCATCGCCAACTGGACCGCCATGAAGCAAGTTCTCGACAGAGGTGTGGCCGCTTTGCTCGATGGTGAAATCGCCATCTACCCGAACGAAGTTGACGCTGTGCCTGGCAAGCAATTGATGGAAGTCAAGACGGAGGGCATTCCTGACTCGGAGGAGGACATCATCAAGGCTGCGGCGAATCTGGCACAGCAGACGCTCAATCAACTCATGACGGGCAGCCCGACTGGTACTTTGCCGTATGTTAAGCCTGCGTTGCAGTTTCGATAGGTTACTGACTGGATAGGATTTTGATGTTTACTTGCGAGTGAGGGAGAAATATGGAGTTTCGTTCGAGGTGAGTGTGCTTTGTTTCTCGACCGACGCCAAATTGGATCGCATTGACGAGAATATATCGACCAGCGAGAACATGGGTCGTCGATATATAGCGAAAAGATCTCCGTGGGTGCATTGCATTTGGACTTATCGAGGTATGCTTTTTTATATTGGCGCAACGTGGAGGATTCGGGATAGGAGAATAAGAGTGCATCGAATTGAATTAGTATCTGAATTTTGATCTTCTGTAGATGACTTCTACCAAGTAAAGAATCACAGTATGCCCACTCCATTGATCAATCACTCGTCTGATGAATGGTTATCCCAGTGAATCTATTTACATTCATCTGGTGGTGCCTTCCTCACGAATATAAATACGGTCTCGTCCTTTTTGTGTCCGCCCCTTCCCTCCCGGCTATACGACGTTCGAAGGTCTTGCGCCGCCCTGCTCTCGTGGCCTTCGCTCGACAAAATATATCTCCTCCTTTGAACACCACTTCAAAAGCCCTTTGGTTGATACAATTTTGATTATACCACCATGTCCAATCTTTAGCTTTGACTTACCGGTGATCAACCATTTATCAGCGTCTGCATTTCCCGGACCCCCCTGCCAACGACTTGGATGGGCGCATCCCATACGGGATGGCCTTGGGGGTGTACATGATCATTTTGATCACATTCTGTCTGGCATTTTGGTTCTGCTCCTGGATAAAGTACATGTGTGTATAGCTGTTCGTTCTCACTGTGTGAAAATAGCTGATTCCCATGGCACCTGTTTTAGATATTCAACAACGGCCACCGAGCACATACCGGTTCTTGAAGATGGCGGGAAATATATGACCACGTACAACCAAGACGCTAGTTTTCCACCCATTATACTCATATCCATACCATTACTAACAGATAGATTGTAAGGTATGGAAGCTTCGCGTAGTTTGGCAGATTTAATAACATGGTGGCTGGGATGGCAATGAGAGATGTTCCTATGGAGTGGTATACAGGATTTAGGACGACTTGTAGATGCAGTTCGTTAATGTATGTGTCACTTCTATGTAATAGCTGTATAACATTACTCGCTCTTGGCCTCCTCTTCAACATACGGTTCGTCTTCTTGATAGACATCATACTTGTACTTGCTTCCAGTATGATCATCTCTCAACCCCTTCTGTCCCTTTCCAAACACCTTTTCTCTCGCCGTCAGCTGTTCCTCTGACAACTCGGGATAAATACCTCGCCTCCTCAACTCGGGAATAAGTAGATCAACAACCTCTTCAAACGTCCCAGGCGTAGTAACGTGTCCGATATTAAACCCATCCAAATCAGCCTCCTTCACCCATCTTTCCAATTCATCGGCGACGGTTGTAGGGCTACCGATAGCGACAGGACCAAGTCCACCGATAGCAGCACGCTGCGCGACAATTCGTGGTGTCCATCGTGGAATTTCCTTACTCGTCGTCGTGAACGAGTTCAGGATACTAGTCACCTTATGCGTCTCCACTGAATCAGCAGCAGTGATATCCTGGTCGAGCGGAATCTTGGAAATATCTATCCCCGTCCATCCACTGAAAAGCACCAATCCACCAATCACAGAAGCATACTTCTTCACCTCCTCATACTTCTCATACGCCTCTTCATCCGTCCGTCCCACGATCGGCGTAAACGTAGCAAAGAACTTGATGCTCTGCGGATCCCTTCCCTTTTCCGCCGCCAGTTTACGGATATTATCGATGCGTGGTCTGAGCACGGAAGGCGAGTGCGAGGAGACGAAGATCGCCTCGGCGTGGTTCGAGGCGAATTCTGATCCCGCGGGCGATGTACCGGCCTGAAAGAGGAAGGGCGTACGCTGCGGCGAGGGATCAACGATGTGTCGCGTGTTCAGGGAGAAGTATTTCCCCTTGTGGTTGATCTGGCGGACCTTGTCTGGGTCGATGTAGGAGTCTTCGTCGGGGTTGGGGGAGACGGCGTCGTTGGACCAGGAGCCTTCCCAGAGTCTGATAATTGATAGTTAGCATACCTAGATGCGTATTGTATATTATAAGCAGTGGACATACTTGTATAGAACGCGCAGGTATTCATCAGCCTGTCGATATCGCTCATCATGTTCAATAGGTGTATCCAGACCAATTGCCTTGAACGCAGCCTTCTTCCACGATGTCACGATATTCCACCCAATCCGCCCATTGGTGAGATGATCGAGTGTCGAGAAACGTTTCGCAAGAAGGAAAGGCGGCTCAAACGACGTAGACGAAGTGATTCCGAAGGCAAGATTCTTCGTCACGGCTGCCATTGCTGAGATGGGCTATTCCCACCATTAGCATCATAGATACACCGGTCAATAGATGGATGCAGGACATACAATTGTAGGATCCGTAACCGGCCACTGTGCAGCGCGCCGAATACATTCGTCCAGCTTCCCCTCGTAGGTGTCATATCCGCCATAAGTATCAGCCAGGAAGAGGGCATTGATGCCACCTCGTTCGAGGAGTTTGGCTAGTTCGATCCAGTATTCCAGTGTGCGCTTTGTGGCGGATTTGTCGGCGGGGTTCTACAGTCGTCAGTATCAGGAATAAAATGTAGATATTGGGATGTATGAGTATACCTTCCACTGTCCAGGCGATAAATGCCCAACAGTTGACATGTCAAACGCATTCAGCAGGATTTGCTTCTTGGGAGCATCTTCGGTTGGTCCTGTGCTGCCCATTTTGATGATTTGTTCTATACAGTTTGGATAATGTTTATTTTTTCTTGGACACACTTGTCCGTCTTATAGATAGTGTACCCCGCACGATATCAGTCTCGCCATTGAATAGCTCCCTCGCGTGATGATTGTAAACCACTGACGAGAAACAGGGATACTAAGGCGTCATATTCCCTAGAAAGTAGCGATTGGGATGTCTCATACTCGGGATATTTTGAACGTTTTGGATATTTTCCGGAGTGTCTAACTAAACAATTACGAGATCGAGCCATGGTTGAGATTCTGCAATGCAATGCAGATGTCATGCATGTATTGTGTTTCTTTTGTTATCGTTAAAGTGCCGGCATCACGCAATCTTGGATGGAGTGGTGAAATACGGCAGTTGCCCCTCATTATTTCATATTTTTCTTTCAACGATAAATATTTAATTATATTTCACAGTAAATCAAATCGAGTAATATAGACAACTACATCCTATTCTGATCCTTCCCATAAACCTGCACCGTCTGTCGAGACTCCTCCACATCACTCGACCCATACCCTTCTTCCTTCGTCTTCTCCCTCTTGAGTAAATACCGTATAACATGCGCCATCACAATCAAACAAACCGCACTCGCCAATGTAAACGAATACCCCTTTGTATATCTCGGCGCCTCCACAGTCGGGAAAACAAGTAGCGGCGTCCACACCGTCGTCGACTGCGCGATTGTATTCGTAAACACCAGTGCCAACGATCTTTCTGTCGCGGATGATCGCATTTCGCTATTTATCCACCCGTACAGAACACTCGACATGGCGACAGATGAGTAGGTCGTTGCGAATGCGAACCACAGGGCGGATTCAGGCACGTTCCAGACGACGAGGATGATGAGACCGATTATGTTCCACGTGTGAGAGATGGTGATCGCCCATGCTGGACCCAGGATGAGGTCGGATGCGAAGCAGATGAGCAGCGTGTAGAAGATTCCCAGCGCGGGGGAGATGGCAGAGAGTTCGTTGAGTCTGCTGGTGGAGAAGCGCTTGAGGCTTTTCAGCCAGAGGAGATAGCCTCCGACGTTCGTGTTGAGACAGCCATTCCAGAAGAAGATGTCAAGCAGTAGAAAGGCCCAGAATTTCCAGCTTTTCAGGATGTTTGTGAACGAGCGCAGACTGAAGCCCTCGTCGATGCCGTGGCCGGCGCGTTTGAGTCGATCTTGCGCTATCGCGACATCCTTATCCTTGAGCACGAATTTATTCGGTTTATCGGGCGTGCCGGGGAGAATAAAGTAGCCCAATATACCGACTGGAATGGTGATGATCGCACAGATGATGTACATCCATCGCCAACCGGCTAGTCCATGCACGCCATCCAGACGCGCTGATGCGCCTGCTTGAATGAGACTAGCTGTCAATGTGCCCAGTGTGAGGCCAACGTAGAAACAGCCTCCGCGACGGGCGATCTCGTCCCCGCGATACCAGGCGCCTATCCATACAGTTAGTTTCTATATATGCTGCAGTATAGATATGGATAGACATACCAAAGATATAATGCATCCCCGGAAAAAAAGCCGCCTCAAACCAACCCACTAGAAATCGATACGCAGCGAGTTCGGCGTACGACGTCGCTCTGAATTGCAGCAGTGTGAAAACACCCCACGCGATGTCCAGAAATGGAATTACCCATGAGATCGGCAGTTTGGTGAATAAATATACGAATGGGAGTTGGCCGACCACTGCGCCGACGGTGTACATGGTTTGCAGCTGGACGAGTTCATTTCCGTGGAGGTTGAGGTCTTCTTTTACGCCAGAGACGTAGGCATTGTCTGGATTGTTAGTATTGAACATGGGATAAATGATGGAGTACGTACTGATGTTTGCTTGATCAATGTATTTCACCCAGTAGGAAAGAAACGCATAAGGAACGATGAGCAGGTCGAGTTTGAGGATCAGCCATCGTTCGTCTTGAGTATCTTGGTCGGAAAACCACTGGATGTGATACCACTTTTTACGCTGGACGGTCGCCATTTTCTGTATTGGTGATAAAATATTAAGTAGATTCGATGTTTATATAAATATACTGGGATAGCCTGAAACATGAAGATGCCACTGCACGCGATGGTTGCGTGACAGATAAAGCGAGGCCAGAGCATCAACTCCACCGATCTTACCAGATCAAGCATTTACCACGAGTTGACATTCAAGATATGACAGGATGATAATATGATAAACTTGTGCTGTCAGTGCGGCCAAGAATCATGTCAGGAGGGGAAGGTAAGACGTGCTCAACTAGTCGCATTGGAGAACACGAATTATGCAACAACCTTTCTTGCCGTACAGCAAAGTTTTTATGAAGGTATATGGATGGCATCTGTCAATTTCTTGTGTGTATTTCATTGGGTAATTAGTGATTTCAACACTTGCGATTTATATTGTGGCATTTTTCACAACGACCAATCAACATCTTATGCACTCCGACCCGATTCGAAATTCCCAACATCGTTCTCTGGATTTCTAGTCTTCTTGATGCTACCCACAATTTTTCTACCAATATTTTCACATAATATATTATACTTCTTCAACAACCACCTCCATCTATCTTCCCGGGTCTTTTCACAAACCCTACCCACCATATCGAAGATTGCGTATTCCAAAGGAAAGTGGCGAGGTCCAGCATTGTAAAGCCAATCCTGCGGGTCAAGAGTTTATCGCCGTAATATGCTGGCTGTACCGCAAAGACAATGACTGCGCAGACGACCATCTTCCAGATCATACTTGATGTGGGCGGCGCTTCCTTGATAAATGAGACAGTGGCGAACTCACTGTAAGAAAGATAACATTCATATAGGTAAAATACTGGATGTCAATGCTTTGTTGTGGGCTGATTGCATTCATTTCCAGTCCCAGCTGATTCGATATACGGTCTCGGTGGGAGTTGAAGGCTTCAGTGAGGCGGGTGACTTCGGCCTTGCACTCAATGATGTCGTGTTCGGCCTTTGCCTGGAATACGAACATTCTGTTGATGATGTCGCGGTATTTATCTCGTCGTTGCTGGTCCACTGGGGCTGTTCGGTCTGACGGTCTTGTTCTCGAGAATTCGAGTCCTGGTTAATGTGTGGGGGTCTTTGTTGAACCTTCCCGTATGACCTTGGTGATCTCCGGAGTACTGCTATCTATCTTGCACAAGATCGTATGAAGCAAAACCGGTTTGAGAAACTTTCTTTGCTGCTACACAAAGCGGCATGTTTCGGGAATATTCAGCCACTTTGTAAGTTGCGAATTTGTGATGTGGTCTGTACTTCGACTCTTGCCTCTTGCACTGTCACTGACCTGTGTGGCTGTCTTGCATCAGTCCAATCCCATCCTAGATATATCCGCCGGGCATTTAGAGATGTTACGATTCTCCTTCTGGGGATGGGTACTTTTCATCTGTGGAATTTATCCAAGTTTATTTGATAAAGAATGATACCATATCTTCTCCAGACTACACACTGTCACTGTCACTATTTAATGCTCCATTGGCTCATCGCCACCAGCATTCTCCCATTCCATCGGCTCATCGTCTTGTGGATCTACCTCCATATGCTCAATTCCCTGTCTGTGTCGCTGGTCGAGTCCTCTCGAGGCAGGATCAACGGCAAAGTACACAACGATTCTTGACCTGCGTACATCTTCTGTGACATTCGTACCGTTCGGGGACGCCTGGTAGTCAACATACGTCCTATGGGGACTCGCCGGATTCCTAGAAAATGCCAGAGTCAGCACAGCCTCCGAGACTGTTTTATCTATACTCACTTGCAGATAACAACGTGGCCAGTCCTATCCGGGCGACGATACGCGACTCCCACGACACTCGGCATCCCCAGGTTTGCAGGTACCATGGCCTCAGGCCTGCCCTCTGGATTTCGAATAGGGCCTCCACCGCCACTATTGCGGCCTTGGAATGCCCATGACTTGAAGTTCAGATCGAGCCTCTGCAGGGCAGTGAGAATGTGGGCCGTGTCTAGACCGCGTGTGCCTGGTGTGGGAACGGGCATGTCGATGCGTATGGCGATTTCGTGGGGGGTGGTGCGAAACAGGCGGGCGGCTGTCACGAAGAAGCAGTCGACGCGGATGGGGACGGCGGAGAGATAGTTGGCGAGGTCATTTATTCTCTGTAGTGTTTGGTCTGCCATGGTGCGGATGATCAATGATGTGGATGAGGTACAGTAATGGATATGCAGAAAATACTGTATAATTGACGGGCAGCAAGTCCGAATCTCAGACACCATACGTGATAATACTTATAGCTCTGAGAACCGGTTGACACCTGAAATATTTGGTTTCTTACCCCTCCTAACCATCGACACGTCAGCATCCAGGACTGCTGTGATCTACCTGATGGACTGCATGCAATGTAACCTCCTGCCCAATGAGTTTTATGGATGCAGCGGCAGAACATGCACGGATATACCGTATGCGGGGCCTCGCATAAGCGATTGGGATAGTCTGTCGAGGCGGGGAACTAGATGGCCTATCACGTAGTGATATTGCTGACCTGGGTACCTGATCTGCGCACATGGTAGCTGAGAGGTTCAGCTTTGCGATCATAGGCCTTGTACCATGCATGGGTATGCTGCTTCTTTTCCGGTCATTAGAGAAAATCTTTTCAGTTCATATTACATTCATACACTTTTGGCAGTAGCGGCTTCTATAATCTAAACATAACGACAGGCGCATATCTAAATCTTACCATTAAAAGCGAAGCTGCTGGAATCCCCTGTCTAACAACATCTGCTCTATCTCTCTATGCCCCTTTGAGCTGGCGAGATCCAGCGCAGTTCGTCCGTTGTTATTCTTCAACCGCGGATCAACTCCTGCCCTCAGTAACACTCTAACAACCTCAACATGGTTCTCATTCGTAGCAACATGCAACGGCGTCCACCCTTCGTCCTGGGGTGTGTTTGGATTCGCGCCTGAGGCAAGCAGGAACTGCACGATACCCACACGGCCATTGCTCGCAGCGATATTCAGCGGAGTCCATCCAGCCTTGGTCTTGGTGGTTACATCAGCCCCGTTTTCCAGTAGGAGCTTGACAACATCGAGATGATTCTTTTCCGCTGCTCCATGCAATGCTGTCCAGCCGTTGTTATTCGTCGCTTTTATGTTCGCTCCCCGTGATAGGAGTGCCTTGACGGTGTCAGGGTAGCCCTCGCGCGCGGCACTTCCGATTGCCGTCCATCCGTTCTCGTTGCGTGTTTCGATGTCTACCTTCCGGTCGAGTAGCGCTTCAACGACTTCCGTATGTCCGTTACTTGCTGCAGCGGTGACTGGGTTCCATCCATCGTTACTGCGAGTGTCTGCCGGTGCACCTTTCCTCAGCAGCAGCTTCACCACATCAAGATGGCCATTGCAGGCGGCAGAGTTCAAAGGACTCCATCCATCAGAGCTGCGGATGGACAGCTTCGCTCCGCAGGCGAGAAGAGACTTGACAACATCTAGATGGCCGTTGCTCGATGCAATATGTAGTGGGGTCCACTTGTTATTGTTCGACACATTAGTGTCTGCTCCTAGCTCGAGGAATAGCTCAACAATTTCTTTGTGGCCAGCAAGAGCAGCAGAATAAAGTGGTGTATGTCCACGATCATCAGCGACGGTCTTGTCTGCGCCATGCTTGAGTAGCTCCATCACGATCTCAAGATGGCCCTCACTAGCAGCACCGTTTAAAGGGGCCCAGCCAGAGGAATTGGGGATGGAAACATCTGCGCCTTTGGCGAGAAGCAATTTGACCACCTCCAAGTGGCCGGAGTCTGCTGCCGCATTGAGTGGTGTCCATTGATTATTCTTCGAGGCGATGAGGGTATCCGCGCCGTGGTCGAGGAGGATTTTGACAACAGCTGTTCTGCCTTCGTTGGCTGCAAGGTATAACGGCGTTAAACCGTCTTTATTAACGATATTCACTTCTGCTCCATGTTCTGCTAGAACCTTGACAATCTCTGCATGATCGGATGCTATTGGCGTCCATCCGTTTGCATTAGGAATGCTGTGGTCTGCGCCTTGCTCGAGAAGATATTTGACGATATCCAGATGCCCCTGACTCGCTGCTGCATTTAGAGGCGTCCAATTCTGGGAATGTGTCGTGTCTGACTTGTTCACTCCGGCTTCAACAAGTGTCTTGACCGACCCGAGATAGCCTTGTTTAGCCGCGGAGTAAATAGGACTTTGGCCGTCACAAGAGGGAACATTTGGATCTGCCCCGTGCTTCAATAAAACGAGGATGGCCTCTGGATGGCCAAAGGTAGCAGCTGCATTGAGTGGCGTCCACCCGTCCTCGTTTGGCGTTTTATAGTCTGCCCCTTTGGATATGAGGTACTCCAGGATCTCGACATGACCAGTCACAGCAGCCGAGTATGCGGGTGTCTGTCCGATTTCACCCACGGCAAAGTAATCTTCTCCGGCTGCCATCAGTCGTTTTATTTCGTCGAAATCGCCGTTACGGGCTGCAATGTTGAAGGGCGTAGGCCAAGGACCGTCATAGCTGTCATCATCGGACTCGTCATTCATAGCTTGTGCGTATGACGGAGGAGGGACAGAGTCATGGCTATCTTCTTCCGGGGCTGTGTAAGAGATGACTGGTGCAAAACCGAACGAAAACGAAGAGAATGACTTTGCTGACTCAATCAGACTCTCTGATGTGAATACCAGCTCATTTCTTTCGACTTCTTCTTCAGATAATAACCACGATGCATTCTTTGCAGCTTGCACCACCCCCTCGACATTTCTAATTTCAACATCCAGAACAGCAAACGCCGACTTATCCTGTCCATTCTTTTGCAGAATATCAAACCTAACTCATCAGCACACTCTCCTATACCGACGAAAGAAACTCACATCGTCCTCCCAACCCTCAACACACTACAATTTCCCTCCAATCGCCCCTTATAGCTCAGGATCGCCCTAACACGCATGCCCAACGCCCACGCCTTCGAATGAACTTTGAAAAACCTCTTCTTCTTCCCACTATTCAGCACCGGTTCAATCTCTCTTCTCAGTCCCTGAATCGTCGTCCCGGTGCAATCAAGAGTCTTCTTCAGACTAGGCCACATCCCAAAACTCGCTGATTGATGCCCCATAAACGCAGCTGAGTGCGTGCGCCATGTTAGGCTTATCTCGTCCAGGAGTTGGGATGTCTGGGTTAGGGTGGTGGATACGCTGGACAGCGCTTGGTCTGTATCGGGGGTTTTGTCATTGAGGATGGCTCTTGTCCAGGATGTTATCTGGGGGGTTAGTCTTGCCTTGGCCATCCAGTGGGTTACGTACCTCGTGGCAGGATGTTTTTAGAGAGGCGGCGGTGGATGCGATTAATAGTGGATCCATAGTGGGATGTGGTTACAGTGTACTGCTATTCAGGCTAGAGAGTAGAAATAGCTGGATGTGAAGAGTTGAGGTTGAAGTTGAAAGGGACCTCGTATAGAGACACGTGATTTGTCTGGACGGGCGATCTTCTCGTATAAAGTGGGATTTAGGTTTTGAATAATCATAATATTTGGGGCACACCGATTTCCTAATTTAGTTCCACTCTGTTGTGAATTGTATTTCGATAATGGTGGTTGGACTGTAGGTGTCCGTTCTACAGGGTTGACCTATTCAAATACAGTCGTCTATGAATGTACTATTATGTATAGGTATCAATTACAAATGCATCATATCCAAAACACTGCTGGTATAGTTCCACAGCACCGTCGAGTAATCCGTGCAGAATGTATACCCAGTGTAGTACGTGCTCTGCTGTCCCTGCAGCGCATACAACTTCTTATAAAACCCATCCCGCACGTCATCAATAGGAACCATCAGCGTCTCAGGCGAGTGAGAGGCGAATGCTGCAATCTCAGGCTCCTTAGTCGAGTAGGTGCCTGCCTCGCCCATGCGTTTGATATCGTTGATCACCATGTTCTTGGCATCCTCCGCGGTGAAGTTGGCTTCGGCAACGATCTTGGTCATGAAGTATCCTGGCACGCCGGAGTATTCGAGTTCCCACTGGAATGGAGGAAGAGGGAGACTGCCAGGCTGGTTGTCAGGGTTGGTGTTGGCGACGTTGATGCCGTCGGGGATGCCAGTGTTGGTGACTGCGGCTGCGTAGTAGTTCTTGTGGAACCATTTGGCGAACAGGGAGGATTCTTCAGTACGGAGGTCGAATCCCTTCAGGCTGGATGGGGTGGGTGGGAAGGCGATGAGGAGTTTCTTTGCCCGGATGAGCTTGCGACTTCCATTGGCGCTTTGGATGACTAGTTCCACGCCGGTGGCATTGCGTGTTGCCTGAGAGACGGTGGACTCGTAGAAGATGTTCTGCTCGTCGATGTAGTTGGCTGCTTTGTCGAAGAGTACGTTGGTGCCGTTCTTGGGCCGGATGTATCCTCCTCCCAGCAGGGCGTCGATTTGGGGAATGCCAAAGTTCTGAATCACGTACAGCAATGGGGTATCCAAGAGGTTGCCCACATTCTCGGCAAATGTGAAAATCAGATCCATCGCTCCTTGCAACGCGTGGTCTTTGACGAATTCCCGGAACGGGCGGAGAAGCACTTCGGGGACTTCGTCGGGGAGATAGTATGCGCCAGTGGACAGATAGTGGAACTGCTCGATCGCGCCGCGGTAGAGGGCAGCTGCTGCGACAGTGCCTAGGATCCCATTTCCAGGCGGGACCTTCTTTCCCGTCTTGAAGTTGACATGCTCGCTGATGATAGAACCCGGCAGCAGGAGTTCGTGGTCGACGTTGAGCTGGGCGAAAAAGTCCTTGGTGATCTTGTTGTTGAAGTATCCCTCCACTCCGTAGTTGACGTATTTTCCATTTGGCAGATATAAGGTCTCAGCATGGCCTCCCAGGCGTTCCTTTTTCTCCACGAGAGCCACGCTATGGCCTTGCTCTCTCAGCTGTACGGCTGCGTATGTGCCAGTTGCGCCACCTCCGAGAATCGCAACATCGCGGGTGACAATGTCCTCTGCGGGGATATCGGCAGGAATAGCAGAGACAGCCGCGGCTGCCAGAAGGCCAGCACTAGCCAGGTGGGAGGGAAAGAAACGCATGGTTGCTTGTCTGGACACACGGCATATTGGGCTGCCTGTCCTAGTTATAGCCCCTTGGACTCCAGCTGTTCGGTTCAGCTCAAATATTCAGCTGAAAATCGGAGAGAATCCAGGAATGTAATTGGCCGGAACGGATCGGAGATTGGGTCGTTGATGGCGATCGACAGGAGGAAATCGATAGTCGATGGAGCAGGAACCGGTGGGCGATTCTTGTTTGGCGCCTGTTGTGTGGGGACAAAATGGCTCAGATTGTGGTTCTTGATGAACTTTTCAGCTGAGATGATATCCCCATTCTGTTCCGCTCAATGGAGAATAAATGCATATCATTGGAATTGCAGATTCAGTGACGTTGAATGCATAAAGAATTTGTGTCCGTTCGGAGGATTTTATGCAGAAATAAGGTTAATGATCTTGTGCGACGCATAAACGGCTATACTCAGATGTACGCATGCCCTGAGACATGCGTATTGTGGATACTGCTATTCACAAGAAGTTTCAATGGGACATCTCCAATGGCTTCTGAGGGGATGAAAGAATGGTGTACTCTGTCTAAGCTTCTATTTATATTCAGGGAGACAAAAATATCTTGGAAGGTAGAATGAGGCTGAGACAAAGGACCGCGGTTGCACTCGATATATATCCGTGGTCGGCCCGCTAACCATGAACCAACACTTACCACTAGATGCTGACATTATCCAGAGATTGCAAAAGGAATTTCTATATGATCACAGGTATTTCTCGCTGTTTAATCGTATCTTGTTCTTCTGACAAGATTAATCCTCAGCGGGGCACTTTCAGCCAATCACATGCTTTCCACAACCCAGTCAAATGCCCCTCATCTCGAATCCATCTCCGCTTCCCTTCCCCTCATCATCACAACATGACGATCTTGGCTCAGCCTATCGACAATGGATGGACTGTCAGCTGCTGCCAATGCGTTTGCAGTCATCCAACTGGCTGCCAGTGTTGCAGGACTGTGCGCCAAGTATGCAGCCGGTGTCAGGGACGCAAGGCGCGACATCTCCCGGCTGCAGGTCGAGACGGAGGCTCTGCAGAGAATCCTCAAAGGGCTGGATGAGACGACAATAGGAAGAGCCTCAAGTCCTTCATCATCAACTTCGGACGATCTTGCCTTTGCAGTGCAGCAATGTCAATTCACCCTGTCGGATTTGGTGGCTCGTCTGGATCCTCCGGAAGACAGCACGGGAAAGAGGTTGATGAGCCGGTTTGGGCTACGGGCGCTGAAGTGGCCATTGAAAAACCATGAAGTCGACAAGATCATAGACGCATTGTCTCGACATAAAACGACGATTGTATTGGCACTTACGCGCGAGCAACGGTGGGTGTAGCTCCATCACTAAAAGGCTGTTCTGACCTGGATAGGGAAAGCACAACTGCGATCGAGAAGGCCTATCTCACGGACCGACTGCCCGTCGCTGAAGATGCTGCGTTCAACTCCCATCTCTGGGAACAAAAGCCTCGCTGCCTCGAAGGAACTCGGGCTTCTCTGGTGACGCAAATCAAAATATGGAGCCAGGGTCCCTGGTCGGAACCCATATTCTGGCTCAGAGGAATGGCCGGCACGGGCAAGTCAACCGTTGCTCTGACCATCGCCCATCACCTCCACGAAAATGGACTCCTGGGAGGAAGCTTCTTCTTTTCGAGGGGCCGAGGTGACCTTGGGAGTGCAAGGAAGCTGTTCACAACTATCGCTTCTCAGTTAGCGGCAGCAGCTCCTGGATTCAAAGCTACTCTATCTGCGATTCTATCAGAGTCACCGAACATCATACGAGATGGCCTTCAAGATCAGTGGAATAAATTGATTATACAGCCTCTCAATGCCCTGCCAACGACCGAGAAGCCAAAAACTTGCGTTATGATCATTGACGCTTTGGATGAATGCGACGATGAGGATGCAATCAGACTGCTCCTTAGACTCCTGCCACAAATCAAACTCGTCACTGCGGTGAGACTTAGAATACTCATCACCAGCAGACCAGAGAGTCTGATTAATCTTGGCTTCCGGCGATTACCTCAAGACGACCACCGAGACTTTGCTCTCCATGAGATTGAACCAGATATCACCGAAAAGGACATATCTCATTTCCTATCGACTGAATTCGAAACCATTCGCCTTAATTACGAAATAGAACAAGAGTGGCCTGACATTGAGAGTGTCCAATTACTGGTGAAGAAGTCGAGCTGTTTATTCATCTACGCTGCCACTGTATCCCGGTTCGTCCAGACGTCGAAGTATTCTCACCCCGAAGAGCGCCTAACTCTTCTTCTCGAGGGTAGTATATTCCCCAACTCGCCCGAGGGACAGTTAGACGCCATGTACATGCAAATCCTGAAGCAGTCTGTCCTGGGTGACAGCGACGGTCTCGAGAAAGAAGAGCTGGCAAAGCATTTTCGCGAAATTGTCGGTTCAATCGTTGTTCTTTTCGATGCGTTGGATGTATGCACTCTTTGCGAGCTGATCGGCCACCCAGAAAAAAGACTACGAGCTGTCCTGAGCAATCTTCACTCGGTTCTAGATGTTCCAGTGACTGGAAATCGCCCAATTCAACTGCTGCATCCTTCATTCCGCGACTTCCTGACAAACCAGAAAAGATGCACGGATGAACTGCTCTGGACCGACGAAAAATCCACACACAAGGACCTTTTTATGAAGTGTATGGACGTTTTGAGCCAGCACCTGAAAAGTGATATATGTGATCTCAAATACCCAGGAACTCTCGCAAAAGACGTCAAGAAGTCTAAGATCGATTCAGTGTTCCCTTCCTTTGTTCAGTACGCCTGCCGGTACTGGATCGACCATTTGATAAAAACAGAAATCACGAATGACTGTACAAACGTGGTTCACGATTTCATGGAGACACATTTCCTTCACTGGCTTGAAGGTCTCAGTTTGATGGGCCTGACTGCCGAGGGAGTTCTGATGTTGAGTGCTTTGGAGAAAGCGATCGTGAGTCATTGCGAGTTTTTATTTCTAGACGAAGACTGACACTATCCAGACAGCATTGGAGAGTCGGACACTGGAAATGATTCAGGATGCAAAAAGATTCGCTTTATCAAACAAACCAGTCATTGAAGAGGCGCCGCTCCAGATATACTCTTCTGCGCTCCTTTTCACACCAGAAAACAGCCTCATCCGAAGATGCTACGAATCCTATATTCCTGCATGGATATCTCAAAAGCCTAAAGTCTCACAGAATTGGAGCTCACTGTTACAAACCATTGATTGTGGGTCTCGCTTGATGAAACATGTTTCCATCTCTCCAGACGGCAAGCTTATTGCATCAAGTGCATTGAGGGGGGAGGTGAAGCTATGGTACACAGCGACAGGAGCACCGTACTGCGTGCTTGGAAATTCTGATCTGTATATTGCAGATTTGACATTTACACCCGATAGCTCAGCTCTATTGATTACTTCCGACTCGTCTATTGTGCGTTGCAATATTCCAACAGGGGAGACATCGGTGATGAGTATTCCTCAAGGCTCGGGTACCACGAGAGGCCGGACTGCACTTTCATCTGACTGCAGTTTGCTTGCACTAAAGAACGGGTATTCTCAAATCGAGATCTGGGATATGAAAGCTGAATCAATGACGTCGACATTTATGGATCCCGACTCTTCTCTCATTACCGGAGCTGCCTTTTCACCCGATGGGAAGCAGCTGGCAACTGCTAACCATAAAGGTCATATTTATATTAGGCAGTTGGCAGCCGGGCTGATGGTTCAGAACCTCTGGACTAATGAGGGTAACAATTCAATTGCCTTTTCGACGGACGGGCAGTTCATCATCTCATGGTCATCCCAGCAATTAGGCTTTAAACTGTGGAACTGTTCCACGTGGGAGATGTATAACATGGAGACAGGAAATGTAAACATCTTAAATGTTGCATTTTCACCAAAAGAAGGGTTAATCGCCTGTGTCTGCACCGGAGACATTGTGAAAATCTTTAATGCCACGACGAGACAAGAAGTTGGTTGCCTCACGGGACACCTTGGCTATGTGACCGATATTGCATTCACGCCAGATGGGAAATCTATTGCATCTGTTTCTCATGATGGAACATTGAAGATATGGGACTCCATACCCGAGGGGGCAATTCCGGTCAATGATAGTCTTATGACTGCCGACCAATGTGAAATATCATTCGATGGCCGGTTTGCAGTTTCATCTTCAGTCAATGGCACTGTTAGGATTCGGAATCGTGCGACAGGATCTGTTATCCATCAACATGAGTATAGAGAATACATTAGACAGCTTGTATTCTCACCCGACAATACGTTGATAGCCGTGAACCCTGATTATTCTGAAACCACGGTGGTCGACATCGCATCCGGAAGAGCAAGATTTTCAATCGGCATAGCTGATGACATTCAGCGTCGAGACGTCGCATTCTCACCCGATAGCAAGCTGGTCGCATATGCCCAGGGTCATTCTATCATTGTTAAGAAGACTCTGACCGGAGAAGAGTATTGCACGCTACACGAAGACCGTGGTGGGGTCATGGCCATCGCATTCTCTCCAGATGGGAACGGGATTGCCTCTGGGTCGACAGAGCATACAATGCGTGTTTGGAGTATCGCAGCAAAGGAGAAATCTTACACGCTTGAGGTAACAGTCGACGCAAGACTCGATGACGGTTATCCTTTCGCGGATATTAAGTTCTCTTCCGACGGCAAACTGGTCGCGTGTGTATTTCCCTATTCATCATCAGTAACTCTCTGGGAACCTATCACCGGAGAGGTTCGTAGCTACAAGCCCCAGCCTAATACGAGTGTAGGCTATATTGCCATCTCACCTGACAAGAAACTCATCGCAGCCTTGAAAAAGGGTGGTCTCGTTGATATCTGGGATATTGCAACTGGAGACAGAGTCAGAACTTGCGGAATTGAACATCAATTCCCGTATCACATTTATTTCGATTCGATATATTTTACTCCGGACGCCATTTGTCTGAAAAACATCAAAGGACTGTGGAGTCACCCACTCTCGGATGAGTCGGGTACGAAATCAGATTCGGCCAATATGCATTTTACAGGGACGTGGATCGTCTGGCGAGGACAGAATATTCTTCGACTGCCCCCTGGCTATCGAGATGCAGTGGTGGCGGTGCGAGGAGACGTGATTGTGCTTGAAAATGGAAATACGGCAGTAATAGAGTTCGATAGAAAGGAATTGACATTCTAGTGACATGCCGACTATCCTGTTCGTTTGCCTTGGTAACTATTTAGTTGCCTTCTCTAATGAAGCCACGGGATCTAGAACACTCCCAAATGTCGGTGAAGATATTTCCAAGAGAAAAACAAAGCATTAGGGTTGAATCTGTTTAAGATGATGGGGGAAGCTAGTACTGATTCGAATCACAGGACTTGTCGATAATAGGCAATTGGAATTCAGTTGAACATTGCGTTGAGGGGGACTGTCCACTGGACAACGTTCGGTAGGAGAATATACACGCGTGCAGGAGAAGGGTTACTGGCAAAGAAGCAACTTATACCAGACCAAAAGCTCACCTGCAGAATAGAGCGGCATCACATTTACCAAAATCATCCCAGAATGGCGGATCCATGGAAGGAACGCTCACAAATACTCAGTCCTCCATTGCGGGCTAATAATGCGTCATACCTTTCCACAATTCCACCCCGGCTAAGCAAGTACGCACGGCTCGCGGATGATGCGACGATCCAATTCCATCTCGACACAGTCGGCGTAGACAACATTGGCATCGTGGATGGAAATTTGACGCCATGTGGAAATCTGGCCGCGATGATGTACCCCGACGCGTTGCCAGACAGACTTGGCGTGGTGGCATACATGCTGGAGGCAGCGTTCTTTTGGGATGGTATGTTTGTTCTCATTGCTTTGCTTTGGTTGAAGCTCATGTAGATAGATTTGAATTGTCCAGAACCAGACGAGGTATGTCTACGCTGGTGGCGGTCTACAGCACAGCTGACGAGAGCAGTCGACAGTCAAAGACTCTGTATCGAACTCCCGCAGAGAAGCGCATATGAAGGGTCCTGTATGGAAGGAAAAGATGAAGCAGGCGTTTTCCAAGGCCGTTAAAGGATTCATCACCGTTGACCCAGTAATGGGCTCTGACGTCCTACGTACATGGAATACCTGGCGAGCAGCAGAAATGGATATCCATGGTAGGTTTGATCAGTACAGTACACTTGACGAGTATGTGGAAGATAGGATCCATGATCTGGCTTATCCGTAAGTTATGCAGAGAATTTGGTGGTTGGATTTGCTGTTGACTGGTCTAGTTGTGCCATGGAATTCGGGAAATTTGCATCCAATCTCAAACTGACATTTGACGAGGAGGAGTCAGTGCAGCATGGCATTTGGCCTCTAAAACCACACGGCGTTTACTGCAACGATTATCATTCCTGGGATAAAGAGCTAAAGGCCCATGAAGATAGCGATGGGAAAATCCCCATAATCAACGCTGTGGTAATACTACAACGTCTCCATGGACTTTCTGTCGACGAGGCCAAAGTATATCTTAAAAACAAATGCTTCGAACTTGATAGAGAATATCATCGCCGGAAGGAGAAGTTCATCACAACGACGGAAGATGGAATATCTCCTTCGGTGCTGAGACTTCTTGATCACTGCGAGCAGACTACTACCGGACATACCATGTGGGTAATGCAGTCCTATCGCCATAAGGCCCCTGGTGGTGATGGATACCGCGAGTACTATGCCAGCCGTCTCAGAGAAGGGGCAGACTTTTCCAATGGTGCCAAAGCTAAGGATACAAAGACCGTGCAAGAGGCCCAGTACTGTGAGCTGACGATGAGAGTGGGAGATGGTATTGATAATATACAGCGTGATGATGATTGTGCAGCTTAAGAATCTTCATCAAAGTCGTCGAATGGGAAATGATCTCTGGCAGTGATGGCATCTTGCTCTGTCTCTGCCAATTCAATCGTCTTCTCCTTAATCTGACCAACTTTTTCTTTGGCTGCTTCATAATCCTCATTCTGGACCCAGCCTATTATATCAATCCCGATGCCATTTCGCATGTAGTCCATCGCGGAATCGATTTCTTTTTGCTCTGCATCTAGACCAAGGACTTTCCGTATGACTTCATCTGAGTATGTGATAGGTGGTGGTGATCCACTGCTACCAGGGAGTCTAGACCACTGCTGAAGAGTCCGAATGATATCAGCCTGCAGACTAATCCAATCACCCTCCCAGGGAGTACCAGCACTTTCCAATAGCTTTTGATGAAGTATCACCGCATCATTAAAAATAGCATAAAGATGCCCCCCATTGATCATCCTGGTAAACTCAGCATAGAGGAAATGAACCAATCTCTTTCTGAACGTCTCTCTGATAGGACCCTGTTCATCGACAGGCATGGAGTCAATATCAGATGGCAGGTCAAGAGCTGGCTGCACGAGAGCATCTGACTCCGGATCCCCGTAGTTCTGTATATGCTTCGGTATTCCTGCTACCATGGAGAGTGGAAGAATACTGCTATGTTGCCAGTCGATGAGTCCCACCACTTCACGCTCTTCGGAAATAAGAATGTTGTTAGGTTGGAGATCTGGATGGCGGAGGACTGGGCGGTTAAGTTGACTGCCAGGCTTGAAGCCCAGATAGGGGGTTAATCTGAGGTAGTCGGTGAGTGCTTGAATGTGAGTGTCTGGGTGCATTTTAGCAAAGTTATGGATCTCTCGGTATAAACGCTCGTAGTGGAGGCGAGGTTTTGCGTGTTGTTTTGCCCAGGTGAGTTCTCGTTTGCCGACGGCTGTATAGATTTCATTTGGGGATGTCCCTGCTATCGTTAGTACAATAAATTATTCCTTTCTGGATATACGTACAAGGCCCTCGATCAACATCTAACTGAGTTCTTTCTCCCTGCCACCAGGTAAAATGCGCAGAAGGTCCTATACAGAACTCGCCATTCGAATCCGGCAAAGGCACCCTCTTCTCAGATGGAAGGTCTTTCTGGTAATATAGACTCCCACACGCAGGAAACTGTAATGACTTAAACTTCGTCTCCATCTCAACAACCTGCTTTAATATCTGACAAATCTCCTCTGCCGTCATCTGATACCATATCTCACCCAGAGGCATTCCGTTTACGTTCTCCATGATGATGTATTCCGCCCCAACTGGATTCCGGTCTGTGGAACACCATGCATAGATCTTGGGTGTAGGTATCCCGTGTAACCGGAGATAATCCATCGTCGCGACTTCGCTGGCCACAGCATAATGCTTTGGTACAGTAGATGGGTATGGGAGTCTGGCGATGACAGACTTTCCGTCGTTGAAGGTGGCTTGGAAGAGACGGTTGAAACCTCCTTCTGAGAATTTTGTAAATGAAGTTATATCAGATGCTGGACGGTTTAAAGAGTCGCTGATGACGTTCTTCAGAGCTGGGATGTTGAATTTATGATATCTTTCTCTGAGTCGTAGATGTTCATTGTAACTGCTACCAGTTAGTATTGGAGACAATGGCTAGGATTATACGTACATCCATCTGCCAGAGGTATATCTGAAAAGATCATCTTCGGAATAACGAATTGCTGATGCAGCTACCTTCCTGATTTGTTGGCTGCTAATGCGCTTGGGATACAAAAGTCGAGTCCGCAAGGGATAGATCAACTGTCGAACAAGCATTGTATGCACATTTATATAATAAAAGTCAAGGCTAGGAAAGAGTGTTGCTCATCGTCGAATGAGACCCAGATTGACGTAGTCAAGTGAAAGCAGGGATGCGTCTGGAAGAAAGTAATTCCAAATCATCTTTGGTCACAATCGACACTACAGGGATATATGGACGAGGCTATTCTTCTTAGTTAAGCATCGATTGATGGCACACATGCAGCCCATTCTTTGGATAAATGTCCATATGCATCTATTCTTAGGTCTGTAGGCATTAATCGCCACAGAAGATATCCATATTGACCAATAGCCATATGAGTCTTGGCTGATGCAACCATGTGTCTGCGCCTCATACCTGGAGCCCAATATCCGATGATACGACCATTTCCCCAACCCCGCATGCCTCGCATATAAAGGGGCGGAAATGATCGTTCCGCCAAGGTATGCATGTATAAAGAGGGGGGTGGGCAAATGACAGTCGATTCATTTATCATCAATCATCTCAACATGTCCATGCCTAAAGACCACCCATTTGTCTATTCTCTCTTTGGGGTTCAGTATCCCGGTGACAGTCCAAATGAGAAACAACAATCACTCATCGACCGTTTGGATCAATTAATCACTCCCTCGGCCAAACACGTCGATCGCATTATTCAAGATGGTATCTCTACTGGAATATCCGGCGGCAATACCCGCATCTGGCTTGGATACTGGACATCCAAAGCCGACTTCAACGCCTGGTGGCAGCAGCCCGACACTGTCGCCTTCTGGGCCTCCCTACCCCCAGATGCTGGTGTCTGGCGAGAGATAGTGACTGTCTCTCCCTCACGAACACAATTCAACACGAGTGCCAAAAGCCAAGTCGGACAGGGGCATCTCGGGGCATCTACTGACCACGGCACGAAAGTCGGGTATTGGGGGTGTTATCGCGACCGGATGGAGGATTCATCTCCCACGGAGCGTTTTCAGTCATCGCTATCTGAAACGCCAGAGCCACGACGGGCGAAAACAACTGATACAGTCCGCGAGGGCCGTTTGCGTTTGACGCATTTCCCGGATAACCTGTGCTTCGTGGTAGAAGGCCAAGATCGAACTGGGATGACCGACGAGGAAAGAGCGCACTGGTTTGAAAAGCTGGATGGGCCGGTCGAGCAGTGGATGAAGGATCTCGAGAATGCAGGCCCCGAAAAGGGTGTTCTCGATGCGAGAATGTGCTATGACCCTGACAGTGATATAGTCCGGGATAAGCCTCCCGTGCATCGTCGTTTTGCACGCACTATCCAGCTGTTTTACTTTCGTGATCTTGCAGCGATGGAGCTCATCGGGAAGACCAATAGTGGGCATGTTGGGCTGCGGATGAATTTTATGAAACCGTATGGGCCTCGAGGGCCGCTTTTTGAAAAGGGAAATATGGTTCTCTGGGTTGAGACGAGTGTTGTTCGGGCACAAGATATTGACTGCGAGTATGTTGGCTGCGTGGAGGGGACGGGCTTTCTGGCGTATGATTATCATGCTGCGTTCAAGGATGAAGCCAAACTGTAGTTCAATTATATTGCACGGGTATATGAGAATGCATTGTCTTTCAGTTCATATTAGCAGAAGCATTATTTCTTGCCATGGCTGAACGCCACAGGCTGTGTCAAGTGCGCCATTCAACGTCTGACCACTGATAGACAGCTACTAACTTTGGTGCCCGTACTCTTTCAATAACAGTTAATATGATATGAATATATTTGCAATTGTGTCCCAGGATCATCAGGTTGTTATCAGATTTTATTATTCGCGTTCTCTTTACCCAGAGGTTGGCCATCGCATCATGCATGGCGTGATTGAAGAGATATTGATATCATTTACCCCTCATAACATCTATATAGGACAGTGTATGGAACAGAACTTCTTTTCTGTCAACGATAGAGATCATACATCATGGCTAAATACCTTGCCATTCTCAGTCTTCTTCTGCAAACCACTACTGCAGACTGGCAATATCTCTCCCGACCAGACCTCTCACCCCCAAAACTCAACATCACCGTTCCATCTCAATCCACTGAGCCAGGCTACATTTTCATCACAGCAAATTCAGGCTTCACAGATGAAAGTGTCGGCCCCGAACAACCAGCCGCATACATCTTCCACGATAATGGGGACCTAGTCTGGTCCAGCGTCGGCTATCTCGGAGGAACCGTGGTTGATTTCAGCCCGACCATAGTAAACGGCAAGCCTGTGTTACGTGCTTTTCAGGGGTTACTAGACCCATTCCATGGACGCATGTATGGGGATCATGTTATTCTTGATGAGAAATACCAGACGTTACAGGTTGTTCGCGCAGCATCCCATCAACTGGTCTCCGGGCATGAGTTTGAGGTTGTGAATGGGCGGACTGTGCTGGTTGAGGTGCCTGTTTCTGTTCCCTTTGACCTATCCCCGTATGGAGGCGTCAAAGGTCAGGATTGGATTCTTTCGCATGGATTCCAGGAGCTCGATTTGGAGACTGGAGAGTTGTTGTTTGAGTGGTACAGCCTGGACCATGTCAGTCCGGATGGCAGTTCTCTGCCGTTGAAGACGAGTGGTTCTTTTAATGCATTCACATCAACCAATGCGTGGGATTACTTTCATCTCAACAGTATCGAAAAGGACGATGAGGGGAACTATCTCATCTCCGCACGCAACTACGCAGCTATCTTCAAGATAGACGGTGTCACTGGCGATATCCTCTGGCAGCTTGGAGGTCGTTTTGGATCAAATTTCAGCATTCCTGATAACGTGCACTTTGCCTTTCAGCACGATGCAAGACTTCGATATCGTTCACCTGATGGCTCTATTGAACGCATCTCCCTCTTCGATAATTCAGCTTCATCGTCAGCTCGCAACATCAGCGCTTTCTCACGCGCACGGCTCATCGAGCTTAACCATACAGCTGGTACAGCGAGCGAGTTACGCACCTATCCAGCGCCTGACTCCCTTCTTGCGAATTCACAAGGCAATACGCAGTTCCTAGATAGTGGGAATATATTCGTGAACTGGGGGCAGGCAGGCGCTGTCACAGAGTTTGCGGAGAATGGAACGGTGCTGTACCATGCGTATCTGGACTCAGAGCCACATAGGAATGTACACAGCTATCGTGGATTCCGAGCGAATTGGACTGGATTGGCGAGTGAGGATACCGCGCTTGTTGCACTGAAAGCGGGTGATCGTGTGTTGCTGTTTGTGTCGTGGAATGGAGATACAGAGGTTAGATACTGGCGGTTTAATCTGGAGAGAGATGGTCAGAGGTTGTTGTTGGGAAGGACGGAGAGGACTGGGTTTGAGACGAGTTTTAATGTTGGTGTTGGTGTGAACAGTGGGGATTCTTTCTGGGCTGAGGCTATTGATGGGAATGGGCGTGTTCTTGGAGAGAGTAAACCTGTTGGTGCTACTGATGGTGGTCCGTATGCTGCTCGACTACGCGAGTTGGGGTTTACTGATCTATACAAAGAGAGGATGGAGTTGTAGTATTCCAGAAATACTAAGCAACAAACCATTCAATTCACAACTACTCTAACTAACAAGCAAATAACACTGCATTTTCACCATCTTCTCACCCTGTCCATCCATCCCATCCACTTTCATCACCACCTCAAATCAAGTCCAGATTTAAACATACTTGACAGTAACCTCACCACCAGAAACAGAAGAAGAGGTCAAAACCTGACCATTCTGCTTGATATCCATAATAGTAGCACCGTCAGGACCGACAGTCTCACCACCAGTCGTCGCCTCAGCAGAGCTAAAGACAACAGTACCAAAGTCGGCAAACGGAACAAGGCTGGAACCAGACTCAAAGTCCTCAACAATCCATTCAGCGTTGTATTCGCACAGGTCACCATCAACACCACCGTTGAAGGTGTGAGTAACCGACTTGCCGGTGGTCAAGTTCTCAACGGTAGCAGTGCCCGTCGTCTTGGAGCTAGCATCGACAGTCACCTTGATCTTGTCGCCGGAGGAAATGTCGAAGTTGTCAAAATTGTACGCGTAGTCGGGGTACCATTCGTACCAAGCGTCAAAGGAGACAGAACCGCCCTGCACGCAAAAGTCGATGCCGGTTTGCAGAATCGCAGACGAGCAAGTATCACCGTCGATACCGACCCAGGCGGAGGCGCAGGATTGTTCGAAGGAGCTGCCGCCGCCGGAAGGAGTGGGCACGGTGAATTCACCGGTGACTTTGTTGTAGCCCTGGCCGATGAGGACGGCACCGGCCCAGTTGGAGCTGTATTCGGCCTGCGTGGTGCCGTTGAGGTGCAGGGCTTCTTTGGTGTCGGGCTTGTAGGGAGGGTGGCTCTTTTGCTTGCGAGCTTGACGGTGGGCAGTGCGCGGAGCTGCGAGGGCAGCGCTGGCAAAGAGGGTAGAGCCGATGATGGTGGAGAGCTTCATTTTGGTGGTTGAGGTGTAGTTGTACTGGTTGTTAATTGAACCCGGGCTGTTGTGTCTGATTGAGATGAGTGCTGATGAGGAGAGATCGACGGTGGACGAGCATCAATTTATAGATGAGTTGATCATTCTTTATCCGCCAGAAGCCATGTTGTAGATATCAATCCATATTGCTATCTCGAACAAGAATGAAGTCCGAAACGATGTTACCTCGACGGTGAAGGTCTCACATTGTGCAGAGTTGACGCCGAAGAAGACACAAAGCATGCTGAAGAATAAATTAACGATAGATTTCGACAAGACAAGTGCCTTTTGATCTCGTCGTCCACAAATCGGAGATGCTCATTCTGTCAAGCCACAATCTATCCTGCATACAGACCATCTTCAGAGAGGCAGGTACCGGACGATGTTATCGTGCCTGAATCATGTTGTTATACAATGCATATCAGTCTATACCGTATAATCAATATAAATATTCACGGATGGATCGGCATATCAAGCCTTGCCAAGGTGTCTTCTCTTCATCAAGCCTGAAGAGTTGTAGAGATGCAATCAATATCACCGGCAGCTACGGAGGCCCGACGGATGCTGCAATTAAACTGATAGTAGGACGATATATGATAAGATAATATCAGATTATATTACTGCAGTTATTGAATGAGGGGTAATGATTGCACCATGATTAATTTATTTATTAACCCCACTTTAATATCTACTTTCCTGTTTGGGATGTCATCATTCTATTGCATTATCTTCTACTATATACTGATTGCACTTTGGCCATATCTATCTGTCTATATCATCTATATTTTCTTTATCATTGATCAATCCAATCCAGTCTCTTTCCGCCTCTTTATTGTCCTTTCCCTCCACCATCCATCGTTACAATTAGCCACGATCTTGCCAACTGATTGTGATCCTCGCAGCTCCCCATTCACCATATGATCAACATGTCCAATTCGTTCATGGAATTCTCGTCCATATCCACTTCCGTTAGCTGTCACCCTGGTTGCCATATACTCCATTGTATGCCTTGCAAACCACTCTGGCCGCGTCGCATACGATGATAGATCTGGTCCGTCTACCGGGGCAGTCCCAATATAGTTGCTGGCCCATTGCTCGTATGTGATTTTCTCTGGTGGATATGGATATTCCAGACCATCCTGTGATCGAAAGTCGACGGTTATCTTCTTCACATTTCCTTTCCATTTTTCAAACGGCTTATATGCGCTGCTTGTATACATTGGCCCCACGTTGATAAAATCCCATGCTAAATCGAATATGCCAAAATGTATTCCATGCCTGCGCGCTTCTTCGAAGACATCGTCTAGTGGTTCTATCTTCTTCTCCGCGCAGTGCCCGAACAGGCGGAATGTAACGTGCACTTCGTCAACGTGGTCGGGCAAAACTGGGTTGCGGAGCCATGTTGGCCAGATTTCTGTTTCGTTTACGATCATCACATCGACGGCGTATATGATCGGGCCGAGATTTTGGAGGACAAGTTTTGTTTCCTCGTGGATTTGGTGGTTGACTAACAGCAGGGACGGGCCGGGTTGGAGATGATGCTTTACTTTTTGGTACCTGAGACAGGCATCGCCGTAGTTTCCTGTGCGATGTTTCTCGCGCTGTTCTGGGTTGGATGGGGATTGGGGGGGCGGACTATGCGAGTTGACGGCGTAGTGGAGGATGATTTCGCGGATATCCCAGGGGAGGTTGAGTAGAGGCATATTATGTTAGAGTGTGAATATCAGACTAGGTGTCTTATTTTTTGTGCATTAGCTGGGAATAGATAGTTCTTTTTAATAATATCGATAGTCCAGCCTTGTCAACAGTTAGCTCCGCTGCCAGATATATTCTGCCAGCCTCGCCGCCTGGCTCGTTCAATGAGGCTGTGTTGGCCCCCACGACCCAAGACCTGATCCTGAAATTGAGTCTATCCAATACCTACTTATGCTCTTATACCTGTCATAAATATCTATCCAAAATGTCCATCGCAATGAAGCCAGCCCTATCCAGGCAACGTGCGGCCCGGCCTAGACTGCACGGGCCCCGCTTTGCGGCGTCTCAGGCGAGTCAAGCAGTCATTGATTGGAGAGCGTCCGGCTGTCACAGCCTATGATCGTCCGCAGTGGGAGATGGAGTGGGGCTGGTGGGGCGTGACACCATCATTGCCGCCGATGATAAGAAAATGCAGTCAGTTGGAATTGATGTTGTGCAGCGTACATTGCATGTTATATTATATTATGTATGTGAGAATGAGTATATAGAAGATCAGAAAAAGTAGAAAGAAATGGGACGAGTGATATCAAAAAAGTGGGGTTATTTATAGCTGGCGAACGGTTCTGTCCGGTGGTCCGCCAAGATGTTTAGTCGCTGAGTCTCGGGCATCATTAATCTGGTTTTTCCCCTGCCAATCGACAGTAACGCTTCCTTCATCTCGCTTCTCTCTCTCTCTTTCTTCCTCTTTTCTTCCTCGTCGCAATCCTCCAAGGAGCAGATTCTTCCTCGCCATGCGTCTGTGATGCCGTTCATCTTCCCCTCCTTTTATCTTTAATCTACTCGTGACATGAAGTCTATGAAACCAAAAATGCCAATGCTTACGGCCTCCCGCCGTATCACCGTCCCGGGCCTTGTGCTCTTCGCCCTCATCGTCCTCTCCGTTTTGAGCCTCCGAGGCCCTCCCAACGCTCGTCTTTTATCACACACACCTTCGTTTTCTTCTTCTCCACCAGAAAATGAACCAGACTACTGGACCTGGGATACCGTCTCCAGATTCCGTCCCTCGCCTTCCGGCGCTCCGGCCAAGGATGCTTGTGCTGCTTTTCCCACGGAACTCCTCTCGCGGGTCCAGGTCGTCTTGAAGATCGGCGCCTCGGAACCCCGCGACCGTATCGAAACGCAGCTCGCCACGGTCACTCGCTGTATCTCCAACCTCATCATCGTATCCGACCGGGACGAACAGATTCAATCGCACCATGCTCACGACGTCATCGGTTCCCTGCCCGTGTCCTACCACATCAACAATACCGACTTTGATGCCTACGAGACATTGTCGAGGAATACCCAGCAGAGTAAAATTGACGGCGCACAAGGGTGGAGATTGGACCGCTTTAAATTTCTTCCCATGGTCGAACGGGCGTACGAAATAAACCCGTCGGCGAAATGGTTTGTTTTCCTCGAGAGTGATACGTTTTTGTTCTGGGATAATCTGTTCCGACTGCTCGATCACTACAACCCCGATGCGCCTGTTTATATGGGCTCTCCGTCGCCGGGTAGCCGGGATAAGGATGAGACGACTTGGTTTGCCTACGGAGGTGCCGGGTTTGTCATTTCGACTGCCGCGGTTCAGAAATTGGTTCACCGGGAGTCTGGGCCGTACGGGGAATACACATCGCCATCGTTGAGTGAGCGTTATGAGGACATGGTCCGGGGAGACTGCTGTGGTGATTCCGTGCTAGGATGGGCTTTATACCAGGCGGGCGTGAAGTTGACTGGGCTGTGGCCTATGTTCAATCCTCATGCGCTACATGGAATTCCATTCGATGATGCGTACTGGTGTCAGCCGGTCATCACCCTGCACAAGTCGCTGCTTAAGGATTTGGAGGGTTTGTCCGAGTTTGCTCTGAAGTGGAATAGAAAGGTTTGTCGATCCACTCTCATGGGCTGTTTTCACAAATGCTAACGTGGATAGGAACCTATCCTCTATTCCGATCTGTTGGACTACCTCCAATTGGGCACATTTTCCCAAAGAACCGAATGGGACAACGGTGACTGGGGCGGTTGGCAAGAGCCCGATTCCCCAGGCCACGCTTCGATGGAAGCATGCAAAGCTGCCTGTCATGATCACCCAACATGTCTTCAATACACCTACGACTCCTCCGGGCATTGCGTGTTTGTCGGCACAGTGCGACTCGGAGGAGCCAAAAAGGCCCTTCCCGACGGCAGCCGGCTTTCGTCCGGCTGGGACGTCCAAAAGATCGCAGCATGGCGAAAGGCTCGCGAGTGCGAGAAGCCGTTATGGATGAAACCAAGCATCACGCGGATCTTTTAGTGCGGGTGTAATTATATGGCGTTGGGATTGGCTTTATATATACTGCGATTGTAGATTATGTCTTGGTCCTTCTGCGAATGGCCTGATAGATATGACGAGATAATGATAAACTCAAAATACTACTCATATCATGATACGTATCGTCTTTATAACAATCTCTGACTAACTCTCCCCGCATTCCTGACCTATCGAGATCGCATGTTGAGATCGCGTGGCGGCGGAAATTCCGCTGTGGAAGCATTCCGATCGTTCCGAGCTTCCGATAGCGCTGGTTTGGCCGGTTTGGGAAAGAGATACGCCAACCAGTGACACTGCATCTGCAGTTACAGAAGCTTCCCCAGACGACGCACAGGAACCGGCTATTCCTGCCTGTCTAGTACAAGGGAATACAGGTACTTGATTGTGTCTTAAATAAGAGCTTCCCCTCTTCTTTCTCTTCTTTCTGAATTCCATTCCTCACATCCATCTACTCACCATGAATCCTCATCCTCTTGCTCAGCTCTCCGAGTCGGAGACAAACACCGCTCGCGATGTTGTCGTTGCTTCGCATCCTAACACAGTTATTGACTTTCGGGAGATCTTCTTACTTGAACCTCCCAAGGCTCAGTTGCGTGAGTTCCTTGCGCTCGAACACTCTGGCCGCCTCAGTCCTACTACCCCGCGTCCTCCCCGTCTTGCCATCTGTCAGTACGACATAATCGGTGCGGATCGCATTCCTTCTTTTAATGAGTCCATCGTCGAGATTCCATCGAGGAAGGTCACCAGCCACCGTGTCGTCGGCAAGCAGCACCATGCTTCTTTGACTCTGTATGTATACAAACCAACCCGGCCCTTCAAGCTATACTAACGCACTTCCACAGGAGCGAATTCGATACTCTAGTCGAGAGATGCTTCGCATCCCCTCTTTTTCAGAAGGCCTTGTCGGAGTTCACTCTCCCTGAAGGCTTCGAGGTCATTATCGAGCCCTGGCCATACGGAGGACTGGACCACACAGACGAGAACCGGCGATACTTCCAAGGTCTCTGCTTTGCACAGGACAAGCGAAAGAACAACCCCGACGCCAACTTCTACTCTTACCCACTGCCCTTGATCCCCGTCATGGATGCTCACACTCAGGAAATCATCCGTGTCGATCGTCCGGCTACCGGTGGTAAGGGCGAGGGTCTGTTTGACCAGACTTTCAAGCGCGATATTATCGGCCACTGCAAGGCGTCGGACTACGTGCCAGAGCTGCTCCCTGAGGGGACGAGAAAGGATTTGAAACCGTTGAATATTGTGCAGCCGGAGGGTCCTTCGTTTCGGGTTACGAATGAGTCGCTGGTTGAGTGGCAGAAGTGGAGTTTCCGGGTTGGCTTTAATCCTCGTGAGGGTGCTACTATTCACGATGTGTGGTATGATGGCCGCAGTATCATGCATCGGTTGAGTGTTAGTGAGATGGTAAGTAATTCCAATTCCACCCGGGATGTTGGTATCGGCGGCTGACCTTTTGCAGACTGTTCCATACGCCGACCCTCGTCCTCCGTTCCATCGCAAACAGGCTTTCGATTTCGGTGACGGTGGTGGTGGAAACATGGCCAACAACCTCTCCATTGGATGTGACTGTCTGGGTGTTATCAAGTACTTTGATGCCATCATGACTGGACCTGATGGCACAGCCCAGAAACTCCCCAATGCTATCTGCTTGCATGAACAAGACAATGGCATTGCCTGGAAACACTCCAACTGGCGCACTGGCCGCGCAGTCGTTACTCGCCACCGCGAACTCGTGGTTCAATTCATCATCACCCTGGCTAACTACGAGTACATCTTCGCCTACAAGTTTGACCAGTCCGGTGGCATGACAGTCGAAGCCCGCGCGACTGGTATTCTGAACGTGGTCAACATCGACGCCGGAAAGACCAGTGATTACGGAAACGTGGTCAGCGGCGGTGTCCTGGCCCAGAACCACCAGCATATCTTCTGTCTGCGTATGGACCCCGCCGTCGATGGACCTAACAACTCCGTCGTGATTGAAGAGTCACACCGTCAGCCCATGAACGCTGCCACCAACCCCAACGGTAACTTCTACAAGGTCACAAACCAAACAGTGGAGCGTGCGTCCTGGCTGGATGCGGCTCCCGAGCTCAATCGGGTTGTCAAGATCATCAACCCCCACAAGACAAACCCTATAAGCGGCCACAATGTTGCTTACAAGTTCACTCCTCTCGCAACACAATTGTTGCTTGCGGATCCCGACTCGGTCCAAGCCCGTCGGGCACAATTTGCCCAGCACCACGTCTGGGTGACAAAACACCGTGACGGTGAGCTCTACGCCGGTGGTCGCTACACGCTCCAAAGTCAGCAGGAGGTCGAGGGTGTCTCTGACGCCGTCAAACGAGGAGACTCGGTTGTTGATACCGATGTCGTCGTCTGGAACAGCTTTGGCATTACACACAATCCCCGAGTGGAGGATTGGCCCGTCATGTAAGTTGACTACTATGCCTTCTTGATCGACGAAACTAACAATGATAGGCCCGTTGAAACCTTCCAGGTCATGATCCGTCCATCCGACTTCTTCACGGCCAATCCATCGCTGGACGTGCCCTCGAACCAGAACGGCGCATCGCGGGTGGTCCAGTCGGAATGCTGCCGAAACGCTCAACTCTAACGATTGAAATAGAGTGTATTTAGTTGTATATATAATGAATTTCTTATGTTTTGGTTTGCATATGAATTTACTATTTTAATTTGCCAGAATTACTTACGAAATTGGATTATTCCATATTCAATGTGCTCGCATCGCACGGTTCCTCCCGTATATACAGGCTGGATTTCAGAAAGAGCTCTTCTATATGGGTCGGCTATAGATCAAATACCTAGCTACTGTGGAATTGCGATTGATGGCAAATGGGACTTGTATATATATATGGCTAGAATTGCTGACGTAGTCGTCAAGCAATTCGTCTTGATCAATCGAATACGTACTATTCGAGAACCTACTTCAGCTACTCATTGCGCATACCCAGTGAATAGCAGTCGAATCACTTGCTACCAACCGATTCGTATACCACCTCGTCAAGTGACTTATTCGAAGCCGGTTACAGTCATACTAAAAAAGTCGTTTTTTTCTCTATTCCTTTTTTTTTTTATAAGACAGATATATAGAGACATATTTATCAATGAGGAATTTACGTTTATTTAAATTGTCATGGTATGGTATAGAGGTAGTGAAAATATATATATATAATGAAATACCCGACGGTAATAGAAAAACAGCTGAAATTTTCAGGATGACTAGACATGGATCTAACTATATCAGGCTAGTACCACTACCTAAATAGGCCAGCCTGATATAAACCTATCGGGGGACCCGCCCAGTGCAACGCTAAACGAAATAGGAAAGAAGACTAATAGATTGGTTTTTAATATATATCTTATGATAATAAGTCTGATTCTTAGAGGAAGGAGTAATATATTTATTGATCACCTCTAAAAGAGGGGTATGGGATGATTACATCATTAAAATGCTATGAAAATGGTAGGTATACATGACATAAGCAGCTCTCTTGGCAATATAGCAACCATCCGTTACAGAAGCGTGGCAGAGCGTAGCGAGAGTTGCAAAGGATTTCTGAATGGCGTGATCTAATTAGCTGATAAAGAATAACTTTTTCATGATTAAAAAACTGCAGAGATTAAGGCTTTTTTTACTATTTTGCTACAGGTCAATTTTGTATGTAAATTGAAATGAAAAAATTGCCGCCGCCATGGGCCACGTGACTAATATACTAAACTACAAATGGAAGGGGGCGTAGCCTGATCGGCGCCTGGGGTGTGTACGGATCCAGGGGTGAGTCAGGATCGATACAGGGTGTGACAAGAGTTCTACCCCTTCTGTCAGCTAAGCTTAGATGTGATCAAATCACAAACTCTAATTGATGCAATTGGTCCCAATGAATACATAGTTCAGCTCGCCATCTCCACTGTGATACCTGTGCTTGAGATGAAGGCGACCTATGAGACATAGACTCCTGCAGCCCTGCTTATTCCCCCAACTAAAATCCGACTTTGTTAAACCATGGTTATCATTCGAATGAAATCCAAGGGATGATCATGATGTAATCAGACAATAGCAGGAATGCTAGGAAATAAAAAATAAATAACACCATAATGTGAAGATTCGCCGCTCTGGGTTTATTTCAGTGGAATATTTCTCCTGTTCTTTTGCCAACTCCTGACGCAGAGTCGTCTCTGCATGGATACAGAATCAAAAACATGACTTTTATCAACGGGCTGTTTTCCCGCCTCTCTCAGCACCACGTATTCCAACCTTTACCCAGCGTTGACCCGGCGGACGATGTCCCAACCCCCCAGAAAGACTTCCGTGCCTATAGCGTGTCTCCATTCCAGCTGTGGCTCAATCGCCCAATTGGCCAAATCATCGATGGCACCTTTGATAATGAATCTCTTCCTTATTTCTCCAAATCTACGGCTTATCTGCAGGCTCGGTTCCGACCGTTAAGTGAGGGAAGGAAATGGGAGTTTTTCTGGCAGTGGGATGTTGCTGGACTTTTGCTCATAGGGGGCTTTCTAGAGGTAGGAAATTACCCCTATAACTCCGGTATATATAAATAGAGATGCAATCGTCTAAATAACAATCTTCATTCCAGGCGTGTGCCATCTGCGCGTTGCTCGCGGCACCCTTTGCTCTCCATTTGTTCCTGCAGGACCTCCACAACGTAAGCTACCTTGTATTTTTGGCAACCGCTACCTTCCTGGCCACATTATCGCGCTGTGCCAAAGATCAAATATGCCGAGTCCAGTCAAACCAGATCGACACGATGTTGCGTAGCGCCATCTTCCAACATGGGCTACGGTTATCCCCCGAAAGCCGGAAGGCGTATCCCGCAGGGAAAATCATCAATCTCAGCACAAATGATGTCAGGTTCATCAAGAACTATATACTCAAAGTCCATGAGATCTGGAGCGCTCCACTGCAGTTAGCATTCATTATGGTCCTTATTGTTCGGCTCATTGGGTTGTCCGGCCTATGCGGTATGGCTGGATTGATGCAGACGGCAGTCACTTGCTAACAAGAACGGCCAGGAGTGATAATTATGGTGCTCTGTCTTTGTGCACAAATGTTCGCCAATGTGGGTATGCGTCGTTCCATCTTCCAATACAGTTGCATCAACGATGACCGGATTCATTGTTTTCGGGACCTGCTGTATGCAATCAAGGGAGTCAAGCTTCTGGCCTATGAGCCGGTCTTCTATAAGATGATCCAATCGTTCCGCAAATCACAGCTGGGAGCATTAACCACATGGATGAACTTGACGTTCTGTCTCTTCACTTCCTTTAATCAGGCTGTTCCTGGGATGGCAGCGGGGGCGACCTTTCTTGCCTACTATCTGCTTGATGGCTCACTATCCCCAGAGATTATATTCCCCACTCTCGCCTACATTAATATGTTATATCAGCCAGTATCCCAGACTTCACTGTCTTTCTCCAGGCAGTTCTCTATGTGGCCCTGCTGGGTGCGGATCCGTGACTTTTTAAACTCAGAGGAGTACACCGATTACCAGATTTCAGAAAGTGTGACACCACTAGCGCCTGCCATCAGCATGGACGATGTGATATTCTGCTATCCTCATGCCCACGAAGAAGCTGAGGAAAAGTATCACACCTTCACCGTTCGCGATCTCCACATCCAGAAAGACCAGTTGACAATGGTCATTGGTGAGACGGGCAGCGGCAAATCCAGTCTGCTTGGCGCAATAATGGAGGAGTTGACTCTCCTCTCTGGAAGAGTGACGCGAACAGGGGATTTGGCATATGTATCACAGAGCCCTTGGGTGATCTCCGGGACCTTGCGAGAAAACATCACCTTTCTCAAACCCTACGATCAGACCCGCTACCGCCGTATTATCGAGGCTTGTGCATTGGAGGCTGATTTTGCCCTCTTCCCGGCGGGTGATCAGGCGTCTGTCGGGGAGGCCGGCAGCAATTTGAGTGGTGGCCAACGAGCCCGTGTCGCGCTTGCTCGAGCAATGTATTCGGATGCGTCGATTCTGCTGCTTGATGATCCGCTCGCAGCCGTGGATAAAGCGGTGGCCGATCGTCTATTTACAAGTGTTGTTCAACTGGGAAAAACAGTCGTTTTAGGTATGTGTTCTTTGAATTGTTGGCAAGTGCAAGAGCTGAGTTATCCACGTATCAACAACCAGTTACAAACCAGCTATCATATCTCCCCCGCGCCCAGAATGTGATTGTCCTGGAGAAGAATTGTGTGACTTTCCAAGGAAGCAGCCGGCAATGGATGACTGAGCGAGGTGCGCAGCTACAGTTCACTGCAGAATCCGGCTCAGACCGGACGGATGATGCGGCCATCCAAGACAATCACAAGATCGACGACACTTTTCACAGGGAGACAGCTGCACAGGCCCAGGATGCCGCCTGTCTCATTCAAGCCGAAGAGAAGGCATCGGGGGACGAGCGGATTCGGTTGATCAAATACTACGGGGAGCAGATCGGTGGCCGGAAGCAGTGTGCCCTGATTGCCGTGACGGTCATCCTCCTGACAGTCTGCCGGGCAATATCGAATTACTGGTTTGTGTGGTGGGCCGAAGACCGGCTACAACTGGCCAGCAATATGTACCTGGCGGTGTATCTTGGACTTATCGCGGTGCAGGCCTTGATCACCGGCATACTGGGTCTGATCCTGGTCCGTGGGAGTGTCCGGGCAAGCCATCACATCCACGACGGCATTTTGCAGAACCTGCTGGCAGCCCCGTATTCATTCTTCCAGGCCCAGCCGGTCGGGCGAATCGTCAACCGACTCTCGGCCGATGTCGAATCGATCGACGCACATATCATGAACGGCATTGATGGGTTGTTGATGGCAGGGACAACCTTGGTCGCATCCCTGGCTCTGGTGGTCACTGCTGCGCCCTACTCGGTGATCGCCATGTTACCGTATGTCTTCATCACCTTCTGGATTCAGAACCGGTTCCGCAAATCCGCTGGGGAGCTGAAACGCACCCTATCCATTCTGCAGTCGTCAGTCCTGTCATTGGTGAGTGAAGTGCTCGTAGGCTCTGACACAATCCGCGCCTATCAAGGGGCCGATGCCTTCTTCGAAAAGTACTACCTCGAACAAGATCGGGTCCTCTCCGCGAGCATTATGCGCTCGTCTCTCGACACATGGCTCACCACGCGGGCTGAACTGGCCTCGCTCTTGCTTCTGGTGGTCGTCGGCATCCTGGGCCAACAGGGCGTCATCCCGACGGTGGAGGCTGGGTTAGCCCTGGGAACTTGCATCAACATTGCCAAGAATGTCGATCTGATGGCATGGGCGGTGACGACGTTGGAGATCGAACTGAACTCCATCGAACGTCTACAGCACTACCATGAGTTCCTGCCTCGCGAGGGAAATATCGACAGCGGCTGCTCCCCCGAGATACTCCCTGCTGAATGGCCGTTCAATTCCCGCATCCAGTGCCATGATGCTTGCCTTCGCTATCCGTCCCGTGAACAAAATGCCCTCGACCACATTACCTTGGACGCTGGCGAAGGCGAACGGATCGGGATAGTAGGCCGTACGGGCTGCGGAAAATCGACTCTGCTATCCGCCCTACCCCGACTCATCGATCTCACCGGTGGCACGATTTCCATCGACGGGGTAGATATTCGGAAGATCCCGTTATCCCGTTTACGGAACGCAGTCACCACGCTCCCACAGGAGCCGCTGCTCTTCCATGGCTCCCTGCGGGACAACCTGGATCCGAAAGAGCAGCATCGGGATGAGGAGTTGTTGGAAGCACTGCGGGTGTGCAACGTCGATGCAGTGTTTGCACTGCCCGAAGCTGCGGAGCAGGCCAAATTAGACACGAGCGGGTTGCAGATGCGGGTAGAGAGTGGCGGCTCCAATATGTCCGCCGGACAAAGACAGCTGGTGTGCGCAGCGCGGACGGTATTGCAAAAGCCGAGGGTGCTATTAGTAGACGAGGGTGAGTTTCCAATTTAACAGTCGTCATCAAGCACCTGCTGATCACAATGAATGCGTACAGCAAATGCAAACATCGACGCGGAAAGCGACATATGGCTCCAACAGGCACTGCAGAATCTGCCGCCTACGACGACGATTCTGGCCATCTCACATCGGGCATCGAGCCTGGCCTGGATGGATCGAATTCTGGTGATGGACGGCGGGAAGATTGTGGAGCAGGGTCATCCAATCGATCTGCTGCAGCAAGCTGATAGTCAGTATCGACGGGTGGTGCGCCAGGAGGGGGCCCTGGAGACTGCCCAGGGATGGTTAAAGTGATCGACCATCTTGTCTTGCCAATGTCGACTATGGCCACGCTACCTTATGTTGCAATAACCTAATTCCTGAAGAACCCGAACTAGGGAGGTAGATTAAAGCAACTAGAGAAAGCACAACGAGCCTTCACTCATGTATTCGTCGTCTGTGCCGTACCCACTGGCTATATATACTACTTGCATCAAGACCAGAAGATCAATTGCGGCCTCCCCCCCGTAACACTCTCTGGCAACAACCCCATAAAACTGCTCAACGTAACCCTAGGTGGCGACCACTTGCCCAGAGTTGGATGGTCATCCTCCTGCACCGGTTTCACCTCATGCATGTTCCGCGAGTTGAACAGACACAAGTCTCCCTGTCCAGGACTGAAGGTATAGCTTCTATGCCCCTCCACCATACTCGGGAAATATCCATACGTTGCTGGGTCCCTATACCGCATGGCCTCGGGCGACCACTGCACATCGTACACAAGTGTCTCGCCGCCTCGGAAATCGGCACAGTACAGATTAAACACGGCTTGCCGGGTGATGCGGTTGACGATCCAGTCCTCGGTGGCCGAGTCGAAGGGCGACCAGTCACAGTGGATGGGGGTCGATTTGTTGATCACCCGGTAGATGCCAGAGAAGTAGGTTCTCCCCGGCCCTTCCGAAGCCCGCACGACATCCCATTCCGGCACCAGCGAGGCGATGTGTGCCATGATCCGGGCCCAAGGGTTATCGCCGACCTTTTCCGTTAGTTGGTCGTGGAGAGGAGCGTTTGCGGCGGCCTGCTCGAAATACCGATCCTTGACTGGGTGTTTTGATATTCTGCCTTAGCCTTTTAAGCGACGTAGAGGAGATGGAATGACCTACAGCCGGCATCCCGGTTCTTGAAATCCTCTTCAGACTGCGCCTGGAATTCAAACTGGGCCACACCCACCTTCTCCAGCGGCGGGCCTGCGACGTGCTGGTACGGTAAGATTCGGGGGCTGACCTCGTCCGTAATCTTTTGCGCTACTTCTTTGGACAGGAAGCCTGGCTCGTTGATGGCCGGGGTGCGGCCATCCAGGAGATCCAGGAAGGCCTGACGGGTTAGAGGGAGGGCCTCTTGCCGCTGCCAGGGAGAGACTCGGAGAGGACCGTCGGGCCATGGGGGGTGAATGGCAGTACCGGTACTTGGAGACGATGAGGAAGTAGAAGTCGCAGTAGCCTTAGCAAGGGCGCTGGCGGACAGATTCCTAAGGCCCGAAATACAGACTCGGGAAGAGGGAAGTAGGAAAGTCTTGGTTGCCAGCATTGTGAATGGCAATGACCATCAAGATGGGGATAACAGAAAGCAGACTCATAATCAGATGTGTAGAGGCATAGAGTTGATAAATAGAAAGCATACCCAGGTATCATTTGTAACATGCGTGTAATTTTCACTTCTCGCCTGTTTGCCTTCTCCATGGCATGCATGTCAAATGTCAGCTGCTGTTGAACGATCCACAGTGCTCTTGCCTTGTTCGACTGATGAAGGCAACTAATAAGAGATCTGCCCCGGCGTACTGCGAGGGGGGGAAGAAAAAAAAAAAAAAGGGCATAAAAGAAAGCCGATTGTAGACCAGCAACACGCGTCAAACTTGTTCACTCTGTCCATGCCAGCCATGCCTCCCGTGCAAATTCAACTGACCATCATTGGCTGCGGCACTCTGGGCCGTAACATTGTCGACGGTCTTCTGCGATCTGTGTCTCTCCAGCCAACCAAGAATTATCGCCTGTCCCTGACCACTCGCAACCCTCAGCAGCTGTCTGGTCTTCAGCGCGACTATCCCACTGCTCTGGTCACCGCCGACAACAAAGACGCTCGCATCTGGCAGGGATCTCCTCCATCACCGCTTCACATAGTCGTGATAGGCACTCAGCCGCAGTACACTGCGAGTGTGTGCCGTGATATCTCTGAGGCTTACATGAGTTTTCACCGCAGCCCTCATGTTCCCGTCGTGGTCACGGTTTGTCCCGGAATCACCATGTCACAGCTGGCGCAGGAATTGCCTCCCAGGGCGCCGATCGTGCGGTCTATGCCCAACACCCCTGTTGCCGCGGGGCAAGGGGCGACTGCTCTTTTCGCCAACCAATGGGTCGACGCGAAGTCGATGAATCAGGTCGATCATGTCTTTCGCGCCATCTCTCCGACCGTCGAGGTTCTGGACCGTGAGGAGATGATGGATGTTGTTGCTGCTGTGTCGGGGTACGCCGCATAGGTCCCTTACTGTTTCGATCCCGTCTTTGATGGGCTAACACCCTGCATGGATATACAGATCTGCCCCCGCTTATGCCTTTCACCTCATGCGCTCCCTGGCTGACGCCGCGACTGCTCGAGGCATCCCCGCGCATGCTGCCCAGGATCTCATTGTCCAGTCCTTTCTGGGGGCAGCGATGTTAGCCCGGCAGTGCCCGCCAGAGTCGCTGAGCAAGTTGCTTTCGGATGTTTGTGTGCCCGGTGGAAGCACTGCCAAGGCAATGGCCACGCTGGACAACTATCGGGCTTCGGAGGTAGTTGACCAAGCGGTGCAGGCTAGCTGGGTGGCTAACCAGGCCATGGGGGATTCATGGACTCGCCAGAATGATGGCACAGATGATCCGGCGAAGGCCACGCATAAGATCTAGGACTACATCTTGTACTGGACTTGGTTCTGTATTTCACTGCGATTATTGCCAGACAATCTGTCTACATAGAAACTAAACGTCAAACGCCTCCAGGCAAGCCTCCACCATCGCTCGCCACCCCCCAACCTTATCCTGTTTCTGCCCCCGCGGACAAACTTCGACAATGGCCCGCAAGTAGGAAATCCCCTCCTGCATGGTCTCCTGCAACGCAGAGGTATGTTCTGCCTCGTCCAGCAGCTCACCTACCCCACGAGCCTCGCACCGCTCCTCAAACATCTTACGTAGCCGTTTCTGCTCCTCCGCAGCACTGGCACTGCGCTGGCCATTCCATAGAAATGCCCGAGACGGATCCCACCGCTGGCTGGGGACAACGCCGGAAAATTCCCAGTCAAGGATCGCGGTAATGCGTCCGGTGGATTCGTCGTACATGATATTGGCCATATGGAGGTCCTTGTGTGCCAGCACGTAGCGCGTATTGTTCAGCTCTGGATGCTGACCAAGTGCGTCCACCCAGGCATCCAACCGGGGGAGAAGATCCCGGAATGGTTCGAGGGATGGATGCAGGCGGATGATATGCTGATATGTACGGATCGACCCCGCAATATATGCAGTGTACGATTCATAGGGTCCTTGGAGGTTGAGGGTGTCAACCGATTCAGAGGATGGGAAGTGCCGAGCCACCTCGGGGGCTTGCCAGAAGGTCTCCTCGACCACCCGACCTGGAATGACCGCATGAGAAGATGGGGAGAAGGCAAGCCCCGAGATGCTGTGCCAGGACTGTTTGTGAAGCTGCACAAGGATATCAATGATCTGGTCGACAATCTGTTCCAGCTGCCCCTGGGACAGGTCATCATAGATCTGATGCAGAGCCTTCCCCGGAGCACGCCCCAGGAGTGAGAATTCATGCCCGAGTAAGTTATTAGGCGTGGCGTCATATCGGATCACTGCTGGGATGGGGATGGTAGTGTTCTCCCGCACCCAGGTCATCACGGCCACTTCATTTTCGGTCTTGATACGGGGAATATGCTGGCCTGAAACGCGGAGGATCAGATCAACAGAGCCATCGGGGGTGATAGCGAGGGAGGGAGAAATGGCCTTTCCATCGTCGGGGCTGAATGACAAGACATAGATCGAGTGGTATTCGGCTGTGACGGTCAACGCTTGGATGGCAATGGGATTCGGGAGGTGCTGAGACGCGGCAAAGGCACGTAGAGTGTCCTCTGCAAGAGCTGGAGGGAGAAACTCGACCGGAGTAGCCATGATGCTGGTTTCTGGATAGTGATGAGTTGATAGTACGTGGTGGTAACCTGATAACAGATGGGCAGAGGCACCCCCCACACACGTGATTTGCGGGGTACTATCGGAAACGTCTCATGGCATTCACGGTGTCTTTTTGTCTCATCCGCTCGAGGATCGTCCGCCGCCGTCACATCACAAATCCTTGGCTGCATCGGTTCATCCAGCCCGCCGCGCGGCCCGTACCTAAAGGTGGGTGGGGGTTTATAAGCGCTATCCCGTTGCTTTTCCACACTACATGGATATGTTACTGGATGATAGACATGTCAGCTGGACCCTGTAATCGTAGGATTACTCGATTGAACGTCGATTGTTACCACTTTCAGCTTTCTCACTCGCTTATCACATTGGTCAATACAGTGAGGCAATTACTTTTGGGCAGTTTTACCGCTCTGATCATGCACAGTGATATATAACTTGCATTTATGTGTAGATCAAGAAATCACACCTTCATCGACATTCAATAGTGAATACAATGAGATCTTCCACTGTAAGTATTAAAACAATACTAGAAAGGATTTCCCAAATTGACATGATACAAACTCCTTACCTCTAAAACTCTATGATCAAGGGGCTGGTTACTCTGATTACACAGTATTTTTCATTTTGCAATTCGTATCGAGTAGGAACATGGTGGCTGGCTACGCTGTGGAACATCTCTGGCGCACCTCGAAGACTGATTTTCAGGTCAGGGGAATTCGTGTAGTTACTGACCGACATGTTAGTCAATAGTTCAACGAGTCTAGGAGCCTGGTCAGGACCCTAAAGAGCTCACGGAGGATACCCCTCCTCATGCTGACGATGATTCCAATTCCATGCGAATACTTGCACTCTACTATAATCCAGTCTCTAATACTGGGCATCGATTCAATTGCTTGATTGCAAAAGCTTGTGGACGCAAGAACTATGGCTAATTCGAATGAAGGGAGACACACGATCCATGGTCTCTTCACGGCCATGGCCTCGTGCCACCCCAATGCTGCTGCCATTGAATTCGAGTCCTCGGTCGCAGTCAGCTATCACGACCTGTCCCGTCAGTCAGACCGACTGGCCGCGGTGCTGGCACCGATAATTGAGCACGGCCAGCTCGTCCCGGTCCTGCTGCCTCGATGTCCGCTTCAGATTACCGTGATTCTTGCGCTGAGTCGTCTCGGAGCAGTTTATGTGCCCTTGGATCCGCACCTCCCCTCTGAACGTCTACATGCCATGTTGACTCGCCTCGATCCCCCGGTTGTGATGACCAACGTTGTTCCTTCCACTCCCGCCTCATGGTATGAAGCCTTTGAACGCTGCGTTGTCGATCCCTCGAGTTGTATGAAAACAGAAGGATCCGATGGCCAGCCTCCCCGGCGAACCGTCAACGCCGATGATATTGCCGCGATACTGTTCACATCAGGGAGTACAGGGCTACCAAAAGGCGTTCTTCTGACCCATCGCAACCTCATTGACCCCGTGGTGGCCCTGGGGCGATTGGAATCCATGGCAGCGGGGTCACGAATCTTCCAGTTTGCCTCTTGCTCGTTCGACGTTCATATGATTGACATTCTAGGCGCCCTGATTCATGGCGCATGCATCTGCCAGGTGTCGCAGGAGAAAATGCTCGACCGGTTGTCCGACTGGATCCAAACCATGCAGGCAGACACCATCCATCTGACCCCCACTGTGCTGGCCACCATGAAGCCTGAAGAAGTGCCCTCCCTGCGATATGTGGTGACGTGCGGAGAACCGGTGTCTGCCGAAGTTGTATCCGCCTGGGCACCCAGGGTTGTGTTGCGAAACCTCTATGGTATGACTACCTACATTTCTGGCCGCATAGTCCAAGACACGAAATGACATGCTAATCCATCACAGGCCCGTGTGAAGCCTCCTCGATAGTCTCGCAGCCCCTGTCTCCGAATGTCGCGCTGGCCAACGTCGGCCAAGCCTCACCACATGCCCGGATAACCATCTTGGATCCCATCTCGCGCCAACCGGTGGCGGCTGGCCACCCCGGAGAGATCTTTGCGGCAGGAACCAGCGTGGCCGCTGGGTACTGGCAGGATCCTGAGAACACTGCCCGGAGCTTCTTCGTTCAGCAGCACGAGAGCCAAGGCTTTACTCTCACTCCAACTTGTCAGCCAAAAGCCGGCGAGCCGGCATGGTACGCCACGGGCGATCTGGGCTACCTGGCCGTTAATGGGGATTTGTATCTGATGGGCCGAGCCGATAGACAGGTCAAGGTGAACGGCCAACGCGTGGAGCTCGGGGAAATCGAGAAAGTACTGAGCCCGCATGTCGGCTGGGCTGTGGTGCGAGCTCGAAAGGCCGATGGAGATCAGACACGATTGTTTGCTTTTGTCACTTCGAGCAGAGAGCTCAGCACACCTGATGATCCCCTGGGGATCGATGAAAGTCCGGTGGCGATGGCCCTCAGGAAATCACTATCAACAGCATGTCTAGAAGCCCTACCAGCGTACATGGTTCCATGGATCTTGGTGCTGGATGCAATGCCCCAGAACCGAAGCCAGAAGGTCGACCATCAACGACTGGAGGCTCTGCTTGAGTCTCGTCTGGTGCAGGAGATGGAGAAGCTGGATCATTCCGCCCCTTGCACCGACCTGGTCTCGCAGGTCGCGTCAATCGTCAGTCATCGTCTACGACACACGGTTCCTGTCGACGAGGATCTCCGAAATTGGGGCCTCTCCTCGATGGACGCATTATTTGTGACACGAGAGATTCTGAAGACCACTGGGAAGAGCATCCGTCTGAGAGACGTATTCCATCACCACACAGTGGAACAATTAGTTCAACTAATCGAGTCTCGCGACGAGGAAAGCGAAAGAACCGTGCCTTCATTGCCCCATTATTCGGCGGCCTCGACCCGATTCAGGGCTGCGCCGGGCCAGAAAAGCATCTTTAATGCTCATCAAGTGCTTGGAAATGGCGCCTACAACTGTAATTTCATCTTTGACTTGAAAAGACCTCAAATCAATCTCGAGAGGTTCTTCGATGCAGTGCGTCAGATATGCCGGGTCCATGAATCTTTGAGGTGCACGTACGAGCTGGACGATGACGACGATGCACAAGTCAGTGGAGTCGTTCATCCACCAGAGAGCCTACTGCCAGTGCTTGTCTATTTCAACTTCTCTCAGCTGTGCGAGATGGCGGCCAGTAGCAACATCTCTGCCATCCAGAGCACTGCCCAACAGCTCATCCACGAGGTTGGCGATGCGTGCATCGACGTCTCCTGTACTTCCCCTCTGCGAGTGTCCGTATATGAAATGTCAGCAGATCTCCAGGATGTGATGATCCACTTCCGCGTGCATCACCTTGCCATTGATGAGTGGTCGTTCGAGGCTCTGGTACAAGATATATTCAACCTGTATTCTTCAGGCGAGCCATCCTCATTGCTGCGAGCTTCCTATCGCGAATCGGCCGCACAACAAACCCAATCCATGGCGGACAGAGAGGCGGATGATCGATCCTGGTGGGCACAACAAGCCGATCCTGCCTGGTCGGAGTCATGGTTAGAGGGCCTGCTCACCCGACAGGGAGAGTGTTCAGAGGTCCAATCGTCTACGGCCATCTCCGATGGGAATCGCAGTCGCTTCCACTGTCGTCCTCTGCCAACCAGCGAGGTCGAACGCTTTCTGTCGTCGTGCGGCAAATCCTCCACCCGGTTTGATTGCTGGCTTTCCGTGTGCCAGGTGTTTCTTGCTCGCATCGCGCAGCGTTCGCAGTTTCTGCTGGGAATTCCTACATCCACGCGACTAGAGCATCCCCGCTATCAGGACGTCATGGGCTGCTGTGTGCTTGCCATCCCGTTGCCCGTGAGGATCGATTGTGACCAGAGCTTCCGGAGTGTCCGTGACGCCACTCACGATACATACTGGGAAGCGGTTTCCCATGTGCAGTCCATCGAGCAAGTTGTGGATTGGCTGTCGGTTGCAGACACCGACAGGGCCTTGACCGAGGTCGTTTTTGTCTACCATGACAGATCCCAAGCCGGACAGGTCATGCAAGCTGGAATATCCGCCAGCAACGTCAGCCGGGTTGATCTGGTGACCAGAAGTGGCCCTTATCCTCTCATTCTATATGTCGATGAATCAACGGCCCAGTCGCGCGTGATCGTTGAGTACCAGCAGACGGCATTCCGGCCCGATTTCATTGCCAGCATTACCGACAGCTTCGCAAATATGGTTCGCCGACTGGGCACTTACGGTCCTGATACTGTCTTGAGAGATATCCCCTTGTGCAGCGACGAAATGGAAGAAGCAACCATGGTGCATTCTACCACTGCCATGTCTCTGTCTCAGCGGTCCAACCTCCTGGACCACCCAGAAAGTTGTTACCTGGATGCCCTCGTGTTCAAGGCAATCCATCAGCATGGCGATGCCGTGGCCATTGAATCTTTCAACAGAAGGCTTAGCTTTGCTGCCCTCGGCCATCGTATCCTGATCCTGGCAGCTGAGCTCAGGGCATGTGGCCTTGGACCTGGCTCGACGGCGACACTGTTCCTGGAAAAATCGATAGAATATGTGGTGGCCATGATAGCAGTGCTATACACCGGTGCTGCGTTTGTCGCGATGGATGTCCACGAGAAGCCGGCTGTGAACCAGTCCAAGATCGACGTGGTGCTCCCCCGGCTGGTCATCACCGACGCCGAGTTTGAAGGCTCGGCAAGGCAGTTCAGGATGCCGTCCAATGCATCCTTCGTCTTTGATATCGGCCTCGTCGACTTCTCGAAACAGCCCACTGAGCACCCAGAGTTCGTCGAGGCACCGAACCGCCATCCACCAAGCGCCGCCGCAGCATGTTTTGGATTCACGTCGGGCTCCACAGGAGCTCCAAAGTGCTTCCAGATCAACCATCATTCAGCTACTGCATCCGTCATGAGCCATATTGGTCTGTGCGGGATCCGCCCCAAGGACCGAGTAGCCATGCTGAGCAATGTGACTTTTGATGTTTCACTGGCCGAGATCTTCGTCACCTTGGGTGCCGGTGCGAGCATCGCCGTAGCTCCACACGATCGATTCATATCGGACCTTGGCAATCTCCTGAATGCCTTCACTGTGTCCCATGTGATGACGACCCCGACCCTGATAGCCCATCTGGATGGGTCGAGCCAGGTGCCATCCATCCGTTGTCTCATTCTATGTGGAGAACCCATCCCTCTAAAGCTGTTGCAGCGATGGGAGCCGCAGGTGAGTATTCTTGTGGGCTGTGGTCCTTCCGAGGCTACCATCAACACGCATGGATATTACATCACGACGGGCTCTCCTCGCCCGGGCCATAAGAGAGGATCTTGCATTGGAAAGCCGATTCCCACAGTGCGTGCGACTGTCATCGATGAGTTCGGCCATGTTCTTCCCACGGGCTGGGTCGGAAGGCTTGCCATCGCAGCACGAGTCCCTGGAAAGGTGGACCAGCTCAGTGCCGGCTATCTGCGTCCAATGAGCGCTAATAACCGTTTCATAGAGCATCCCCGGTTGGGACGGATGTACGATAGCGGCGATGTGTGCTCTATCGACGCCGAGGGATATTTCTATCTGCGAGGCCGGGTGGATGACCAGGTGAAGATAAACGGGGTTCGATTCAATCTCGGTGAGGCCGAGTCGACAGTGGATCAGTCCCTGCTTCCAACCCAAGGGCAGGGTGTGTTGATCGTGGGAACCCATCACTCGGGCGAGGGTGCGGTTCTGGTCGCCTTCGTTGGCGAGCGCGAGTCGTCCAGCGAGGAGAAATCCCCCCGTGTACTACCCTTAGACAACCAGAGCCGCATCAAGCAGTTGAATATTCTTCGTGACCGAGTATCCGACGCCCTGCCGGCTGCCATGGTTCCTCGATATTGGATCCCCATCTCCCCAATGCCCCGCGGAGTCACGGGCAAGGCGAACCGGCCCCTACTCAAACAGTGGTTCGGAGATTTACAGCAGACTGATACCGCCGAGCAATATGCATCTCTGGTCAGTCGGGAATGCGAGCACCCGCAAGATAGAACTTCCAGTTTGATGGATTCACTGCGCGAGTGCTGGGCCACTGTTCTTCCTGCAGCCGCAGGCGTTTCTGCGGATAGTTCCTTCTTCAAGACCGGCGGAGATAGTATCACGGCCATTCGCTTCTGCTCTCAGGCTCGCCATCGCGGGGTCCAGGGCTGCAGTGTGCGTCTGATGATGGCCCATCCCACGCTCGCCGGATTGACAAGGGTCTTGACTCCGTTGCAGATGGAGACAAAGGGCGAAGAAAGCAGAATTGCTACAGCGACAGTGACCAAGGAAAGCTCGGTGGAACAAGCCAGGGAAGACCCGATGGACTGGTTACGCCGACATTATCCAGGCTACAACGAGAGCATGCCCAAGCGTCTGTTGGATGCCGTGAATGCTCAGTGCCACGATCAAGAGTCCAATGCTGTTGACAAGATCTACTCACCGAGTGCCATGCAGCAGACGATGCTCGCACAGTCACTCATCGATCCAGAGCTCTATGCCACCCAGTTGCTGCTGCGTTTCACCGGACCGTTGGACGTTGCTCGTCTTCAAGACGCCTGGACTAGTGTGTGCCAGGCCCATCCCTCTCTGCGGACCTGCTACATCTCCCTTTCTAATGGTCCTCTGGAGTTTTTCGCTGTCGAAAGGAGGTCTGCAAGCTCCACCACTCATTTCTGGGTGACCGAACGTGTCCCCCTGACGGATGATGAACTCGAGAAGGAGCTACTGACAATCCGAAAGTCCGCATTATCGATCTACCAGAGAACGAGTGCTCTCACCATCTTCTCCCTCGCAACCGAAGAGCATCTCGCTGTTCTAACCTGCCATCACGCCGTGGTGGATGGTTGGTCACTAAAGCAACTTCTATCAGATTTCGCCAACGCGTACCAGAATCAGCAGCCTCTTGATCCTGGCCATTCGTTCTCCATTTTCTCGGCAGCTCTTCAATCGCGAGACAACAGCAAGGCTGTGGAATTCTGGTCTCAGTATGTCGCCGGCGGCCAGTCGGCCTCTCTCGTGCAGGACGGGGGGTGCCAAGCTGTCTCAGGTCAAAGGAGGAGCTGTCAACTTGAACATCGACTGAGCTGCTCGACAGCTCAGGCCTTGCGCGATGCCGCAATGCAGCATGGGACAACACCGGCGATTCTCTTCCAAGCCGCATTGGGCGTGTCGCTTGCTCGCCTCACGGGAACAACCACGCCATTATTCTGGGTGACCTCAAATGGCCGCGACCCAGACATACCGGATGCTCTGTCGACGATTGGCAACTTTATCAATGCAGTCCCCTGCCTCGTCCCAACCTCTAAGAACTGCAGTGTTCGTCGCTTGCTGCATTACCTTCACAGAATCTCGGGTCAGGCTGCATCCCATTCCTGGCTGCCGGCGTCGAGTATCCTCCCTTCGCTGCCAGACGACTCCCAAGTCATTGACACGATACTGATACTTGAGAATCACGATCAACACGGTCGAGTTGAGTTTGGACAAGGACTCTATCTTGAATGCATCGGAGGCCGGGAGGTCTCCAACGTGCCACTCTCGGTCATTGCGTGTCCGGATGATAGCGAGATCTCGGTGACGGTGAAATACGATGCTTCACAAGTTGCCAGCGGGAGGGCATCCGGGGTGCTTGAAACCATGACCCACGTCGTGGAGAACATGGTGTCATGCAACGGTCCAGACCTGGCAATCGAGAATCTGATTCGCGATGGCACGTATTTTGAACAACGTCATGTTCTGCAACAGGTCCAGGCTCTAGACCGGATGCCAGAACAGGATACTCTGGTCTCTCTCTTCGCCGCCTCGGCCCAAGCAAACGCCAAGTCAACAGCTCTGGTGACGCCAGGGGCGTCAATGACCTACGGGCAGCTGGACCAACTTTCCTCTCGACTGGCCATTGATCTGCTTCAGTTCACGCATGGCCGGCAGGTAATCGTGCCCATTTTGTTTGCGCCCAAGCCGACGATGATCATCGCCATGCTGTCCGTGATCAAAGCCGGAGCGGCGTATTGCCCGTTGGACATGGGCGCTCCACCGTCCCGACTGGAGTACATGATGAACGCCGTGAATGCATCCGTCCTGCTGACCGACGATGACGGTTACCCATTACTGTCGCCACAATCCCGGGCCAGCATCCAGGCGATCAATCTCGACGGGCTACAATGGACCCTCTGCGATGGTCGTGAGGTCGACCTCCCTAAAGTCTCCTCGGACAGTCCCTGCTACGTGCTATTCACGTCCGGATCCACGGGTCAGCCCAAAGGATGCATTCTCAGCCATGGCGCCGTTGCAAGCTCCGTGAAGAGTGCGGTGCCTATTTTCCAACTAGAAAAAACAGACCGTGTGCTCCTCTTTGCCAATTATGTCTTCGATGCCTCTGTGGTCGACATTTACGGCAGCTTGGCCCAGGGTGCAGCCCTATGCCTTCTTCCGGATGAACAGACCAAAACAGACATGTGCCAGACCATCTATGACCATCGGATTAGCTTTGTCCATCTCACTCCGACCATGATTCAATTCCTGGATTTGGACCGGTGCCCGTCTCTGCGCACCGTCGTCTCGGGTGGCGAGATGATCCCTGAGGCCCTTCGCAATCGCCTTGCCGGCCGTGTTCGATTCGTGGCAAACTATGGCCTAACGGAAACTGCAGTTCAGGTAGCGACCAGTGTCACCACAGAGAGTCCATGCACCAAGGGAACCTACTATCGCCCCTTAGCAGGAAATGTGGTTGCTGTCATGAACCCTCGGGGAGAGGTCGCTCGCAGAGGCGAACCGGGCGAAGTATATATCGGTGGACGGCAGCTATTTCACGGCTATCTGGGAGCTCCTGCTCTGACAACAGCCTCGTTAGTCTGTGTTTCCTCTCTGGACAAGATGCTCTTTTACCGCTCCGGCGACTGGGCCCAATATACAGACGACATGGAGATCCAGCTGCTGGGCCGCGGAGACAATCAGATGAAGTACCTGGGCCAACGTCTCGATCCTGTTGAAGTCGAAACGGTTCTCAATGATGCCCCGGGTGTTGCGATTTCAGCGGTAGTGCTCGTCAACAGCTGTCTATGCGCAGGTCTGGAACGTCAACCTGGAAAGCCCCTTGATCTGGATACCGTGCGCAGCTATGCCCAAGCCAGATTGCCAGAACGAATGATGCCTGTCCTGTCCGAGTTGTCCCAGGTTCGCTTACTGCGCAGCAAGAAGCTTGATCGCGCAGCCGTCGCCCGGGAAATTTCATGCATGACGAAACACGCCTCAAACCCGCCGGGAACAACCGGTCAGTCGAGGTCGATACAACTTGCTGTGCAATCGGATGTCCAGTCTTCCGCCCTCAGTGCGGCCGTATCATCGATGGTCTCGCGCATCCTCTCGATCTCCATTGCTGACATCCATCGGCCCTTGATTCATCTGGGGCTGAACTCTCTTGGCTTCGTTCAACTACGGCAGATGATCCACACCGAGCTTGGTGTTCCCCTGTCTTACAGCAGCTTACGCGCTGCTGCTACAATTGAAGGAATATGTCATTTGCTCCCTGAATCCGGACCGACTCGTATCGCATCAGCACCAGAGACATCTCGCGAGGAGGTCGTCAAACCAGTCATTCGTCCCGGCCGTTACCCAGCCATTCCAAGCCAGGAGAGTATGTGGATGGCGCAGGCCAAGCGCCGTGATGCGACATATGTGGTCCAACGGGTCTGGGAAGTCCAGCGGACATCGTCCAGTCAACTGGTAAACGCGATCCTTGCTCTGGTCCGAGAGTTTGAGGTTTTCCATCTCACTTTTGAATTCGACGGCAATGAAGAGCAGTTCCATCAAGTCCTTCATTCACATGCCCAGACCAGCGTCGGTGTCCATTTTCTTGAGCACGGTGCGACTCCTCAGCTGGACCTCCCAGATCTGGACCTCCGCACCGGTCCTTTGTCCGCGTTCCAGGTGTACGAGCGGGCTGATGGTGTCATCTACCTGCATACGGCCATCCATCATATCCTGGTGGATGAGTTTACAAGCGGCGTCCTGAACAACGCGCTGGAGGCCATGTTGAAGGACGCACCGGTTCCTGACGGCTTCGGAAGCACCACCCAACTTCCCAAGGACAGCACCGTTCCTCATCCAAGTGAAGCGCAGACCCTGTGGGCAAACAGACTCGCTGGACTCTCCGCCTTCCCAGGAAGCCAGCACATCTCGCCGTCGAGCATTCGAAGCGAAAAGGCCCAGCCTTATCGTCGGATTCGTAAGAACATCGACATGCCGCTACACCAGCAGACAATGGCCTGTCTGGGCTCTCACATCTTACGAGAACAACCAACCTTGCTGGCCCTGTTCCAGGCGACACTCCACCGAGTCTTCAAGAACCGCGAGGTAGCACTGACTGTCCCAGTCAGTATGCGTGACCGACCAGGCAAACCCTATCTCACGGCTCTGGGCAACCTCACCGACATGGTCATCATCCGCTCCCGATTGATCAATGACGACTCTTGGTCAAAGTTGCTTGACCGCTGCGCTCAGGAAATACAATTCACCAAAGCAAATGCCGTGCCGGCCAACTGGATCTGCTCCTGGCTCAAGGTAGAACTTGCCGATTTCCCTGTACAGTTTATCGTGCACCAGACTGGTACTACCGGCCACCATTCATTGCTTCAGGACTGTACCTTTGACTTGATCGGTCCCAAGCAAGCATCTTCCGGCTGCATGGTTCATGTATTTGTCTCGGAGACCGGATTCGAGATTCTTGTTGACCACAATCCTCTCGTCTTGACGACCGACTCCGTGAACGATGTCGTAAATGCCTTTGCAGACCTCCTGGAAACCTTCCAACAGCATCTCTCATTGGACTTGCACGAGTTCACTGGTCTCCCCCTGTTTACAGCCTCACGGGAGGGCTCAAGCGACAGCTCCAGTGTGATCACATCTGCAGCCTCAGTAGCCGCCTTGTCGTCGTGCCAGTCTGTAGATAGCCATTGCTCACAGGATGGTACGCTTGATAACGACCCGCTGCCGGAGCCCAAACCAGATTCGGACCAAGCTGGCCCACGGGATATATTGCAGACCTTGCTGTGTCAGATCCTGGACGTTGACTCTCTTCATCCAGATCAGAACCTGCGCGAAATCGGCCTCGATTCTTTCCAGTCTCTCGTGCTCATCTGGCGTCTACAGAAATCAATCCCCGGATCGTCATTGGATCTTCAGGCAATCACCGAGTACCCAACTTTGTCTGGCTTAAGTGAATATCTCTTTGGAGTTAAAGCTGTCACAGAGAAAAGAGCACCAGCCAGCTCCATGCAACGACGATTCTACCTGCTACAGGAAATCTTTGGTGATGCAACATATAGCCTGCCCTGCAGCCACGAATTAGTTGATCTGTCCCTTGACCGTGTTATGCGCCAGCTGGAGGTTATTGTGCAAAGCGAGGCTGTCTTCTGGTCGCGCTTTACCTACGAACAGACACTTTGGCAGGTGGCTTCGGACATGCCTCCGTTGGCTTTTGTGACTCATCGCTTCGATGACGAGGCTGAGAGCACAGCATGGAATCGCATGTCTCAGATATGCGTGGATGACTTCCAAGAGCCATTTGATTTAAGCAGCCCCCCTCTGATCCGTTGTCACGGATTCCATTTGCCGGGCAACAAGCAGTACCTGTACATCAACATGCACCATGCCATATCCGACGAGGGATCGCTTTCCCTGCTCCTCACAGAACTGGAGACTGGCCAGATTCGTACCCAAAAAGAGCCCAGTTATGCCTATCAGGATTTTTCCATTTCCGAAGCGCGTACACTTGCAGACAAGACATACATCGCGGCCTCGCGGGCTCACTGGAAATCAGCACTCGGATTGGAAAGCAGCATCAGCCCAATGCTTCCTCTTGGTCCAACCAGCAGCACTTCGTCCGTCGGTGTCGTCGGCCAGAAATTCAACATACCGGAGAAAGCCGCAGCCTACGCACAGCCAGTCGGGGGCACTTCATTTGGCACATTGCTGTCTTTGTTCATGATCACCGTGCTTCTGGAATACGGATGCAAATCCCCAGCCGTCTTGATTCCTGTGTCAAGTCGCCCAATTGACTCCAACAAGCCTATCTACGGCTGCTTCACAAACACGCTCCCCATTCGTCCTGTGCTTGATCCAGAGTCCCCAGTCTTGGAGAACACGAAACAAGTGTTGCGTGGTCTCAACGGGGCGTTGAAGTACTCGCAGACACCGTTCGAGGATATCCTCGAGAGTCTGGATCTTGATGCCAAAGTATTCGAAATCATGTTTGTTTATCATGAGCGCTCCTCTGAGCTTGGTCGCTTTCGACCAGTTACTTCTCGAGTGTTGGGGAAGGTCAAGTCGGTCACGGCAAAGTTTCCACTCACCTTCTCGGTAACATTGCTTCGCGACCAGTCGCCACTCGAGCTAGATGTGACGGTTGACTTTGATGCCAGGATGCTGGCGCATCATGACGCCCAACGCCTTGTCGACTCCTTCCGTCGCACTCTGCTTGCTTTAAGCGATATGGAAGATCCGGCAAGCATGGTTACTGCCAGTTTGAATCTCCCACTAAGTGGGGAGTTGCAAACCCTGGAAAGCTTCCATGGGCCCCGAGACCCAGAGGTAAACACGATACCATTGATCCATGAACAGATCAGACAGATGGGGTCAAGGGTGCCTCAACGTACTGCGATTGTGTTCGAAGGTGCGACCTCCAGTACGTATGAGGAACTTCTCACCCGGGTATCAACGCTCGTTGAATGGTTACAACAGCACCACGGCCTTCCCAGCGAACCTGACGCTACTGTTTGCATTTTCAGCGACGCCTGCATTGATCGCATAGTCTGCATCTTGGCCATCTTGCAACTCGGGCTGGCATATGTCCCCCTCAACATCACGAACCCCGTTGACCGAAACATGACCATCATCCGGGATTGCAAGCCATTGGCGATTCTAGCCCCAGCGGCGGGAATTCTGGAGCACGATCGCGAAGTTCAGAATCTTCGCAGTCAGCTGGCGGAGGAGATGCACGGGTGTGCCCAACTTGTTGTGGTCCCAGAAACATTACGCGACATCACCGATTCCCCGTCAATTGCCAACAATGCTATAGCTCGACCGGACCCATCTGTATTGGCTTACGTTCTTTACACCAGTGGATCGACGGGGGTGCCAAAAGGTGTAGCTGTGGATCACCAGGCTCTACGCAGTTCTGTGAAGCAACATCGCTGCATTTACCATCTACAAGACACCAGCCGTTTATTACAGCTTGCGCCGTACACATTTGATGTCTCGGTGGTAGATATCTTTGCCACTTTATCCGCTGGTGCCACTCTCGTTATCGGCCGCCAGGACTTTCTCCTCTCCCGTTTGCAACAGGCTGTCGCCGACTGGCAGGTCACACACATTGCTACGACTCCGACAGTGGCGTCTCTGCTATCCCCATCGTTATCACCGTCCATCCAGGTCCTAGCGCTCGGTGGTGAGCCCATGACCGAGCCAGTCCGCGATACCTGGGCAAGGGAGACCAATCTCCTGAACGTTTATGGTCCCACCGAGACGACCGTTAACGTGATCAGCCGTCAGATGAACCCAGATACCGCTGTCTCCTGTATTGGCCGGCCATTGCCCAATGTTCTTGTTTATATCCTGGATGACGAGTATCGTCGTCTCGCTCCTGGTATGACTGGCCAACTGGCCATTGGAGGAGTGCAGGTTGCTCGTGGTTATTTACGTCCGCAGAGTGCAAAGCCGGCCTTTATCACACATGGGCAGCTCGGGCGGCTTTACCTGACTGGCGATCTGGCCAAATTCAGCGTCACGGGAGAGATCATCTTTCTGGGCCGACTCGATACGCAAGTGAAACTACGGGGACAACGAATCGAGATTGGCGAGATCGAAGCCGTTCTCAGCAAGGAAAACCAGGCCTTGGTGAATGCTACCTTCCTTCGTAAGGATCAGCATGGTGACACTTTGGTGACTGCCTTTGTCCCCGTGACCAAGGGAGATGAGCACAAGGACCGCATTGCTGGACGACTCTCCCTTCTTGGTCAGGATGGAAAATATGAATATCGTGATGCCATATTGAGCATGCATGCGGCCGTCCAATCCAAGCTTCCTCCGTACTCCTGTCCGACGTATTGGCTGCCAGTGCATACGTTTCCCTGGACCCAGAGCAACAAGCTCGACAGGAAAGCGCTCGGTCAGTGGATTCAAGAGCTCGACTTTTCGCTCCTTCAATCGTGGAACATTGCGCACCTGAGAAACCCCAGTCAGAGAATGGATTCTACATCACACCATGAGCATGGAGATCTGTTGACCAGTACCGAGGCGATTGTGGCGAGAGCCTTTACCAAAGTGCTTCAGATACCAAACATTGGCCGGTCCAGCGACTTCTTCATCAAAGGTGACTCTATTTCAGCCGTCAGAGTATGCACTGCCATCCGTCAGTCCGGTTATGAGATCCGCGTCAGCGACATCTACAAGCATTCGGTAGTAGCAGATTTGGCTACCTTCCTCGACGCACCAAAAAAGTCACGCTCTCGGCGGCGCAACAAGCCAAAATTATCCCTGTCGTCGCAGACGACCATACAGACGACCCCAGTAATCGACTGGTTTCTGCGGGCCCGGAAGAACAACATTCACTGGTTCAATCAATCACATGTCATTCGGTCGAAGGGGCCGTCGTGGACTTTGGATCATCTGGTGCGAGCATGGACTCGTCTCGTGATTATCCATCCCAGCCTTCGTATCCGATACACGCCAGATAAGAGTAGAGAGAATTGTCTTAGTCTGGCGGATCCCACATCCAACGACATTCGGACAGTTTCCAAGCAGGCAACGAGTCTTGCCGATGTTTCTAAGTTGGCAGACGAGTTGCAGGGTCAATTGAATATCTGTCACGGGCCCATTACTGCCATCGGTGAGTACCATGTGCAGGCAGACAAGTACTATGTGATCGCGGTACATCACATGGCAATTGATGTCGTGTCTTGGAGCATTGTCTTTGATGAACTAGAGCAACTGCTACAGGGCCAGGATATCGCGCCGGAACCAGTCAGCTTTCAACAGTGGTCCGACGAGCTGAGAGGTCGACGGGATTCATTACCTGCGAGTACCCATGAACTGCCATCTGATGCGAACAAACACCTCTTGGGCTATACGGAAAACAACTGTGTGGAAAACACCATCGGTAACAGCCAATATGTGCATCTGAAGGAACACGGATTGGTTGATCACATTATGCAACTTTCCAACCATCTCGACCACGTCGGCCCCGTGGATGTCCTTCTGAGTGCGCTGTTGATTGCCTTTTGCCATTGGAAAGGCGCAGCACCCGTAGAAATCAGCTTCGAATCACACGGACGCGATCTCACCAGTGACCAGACCGATTGGTCCCGTACGCTTGGATGGTTTACCTACATCATCCCCATGCAATTCGACATTGATCCCTCCCAACCGCCTGTGGACATCATCAGAATCGTACGGGAAACTCGAGCCCGTTGTCTGGACCAGGCGGATTTTGCTCGGCCTTTCCCCTCGTCCCTCTCGAATACACGGATGATTGCTTTCAATTATCTCGGCGCTTCATCGCGAGGCAGCACTTCCCAAACCTTTGAGCATGTGAGCCTGTCTTCAGGCTCGGTCGAAGACCCGAAAAACGCACGCCTCTCGGCCTTGGACGTTGAATGCTCTATTACGGATGGCGTGCTGGATCTAGGAATCATCTTCAGCAAGGCTGTGTTCGATACAGCATCCATGGAACAGCTTCTGGAACTATGGACACAGGCTTTGCAGCAACTGATTTCCCGGAACCCCGGTCCAAGCATGAATACGCTGCAGTCACCTTTGACGACCCCAGTTGCTGGTTTAACACGCAATGAGTCGTTGCAACTCACAAAGGACAGTCTTCGGCCACACAACGTCGACTTCTCGACCGTAGCCGACATCATCCCTGCGACTGACACACAAGCAGCCATGCTGCTAGCAGGTCTGCAATCGAACGCATATATGAACTACTGCGAGTACGAAGTGGAAGAGGCCTCGGGAAACTTCGCACTGTCGAAGATGATAGAGGCGTGGACGAATGTGCTCTCCCAGCACTCCATCTTCCGCACTGTCTTTGTCCCTGGATCGCACCCGCAATCTCGATACAACAATGGTGTGCTGCAAGTCGTTTTGCACGCAGACCAACTCGGTCCAGTCATTTCACAAAGACCACACAAGTCTGTCAAACTGGACTACGGCGTTCTACCATGGGCTTTATCAATCTACCAAAGTACCGAATCCAAGAAATACGTGATCCAATGGACATGCCACCATGCTCTGATCGATGGCTGGTCTACTGGCGTCTTGCTCCGCCAGGTTCGACAGTTCTACGAGACTAGAAGGGTTGAAGTACCGACTGCGCAGTTTGCAGATATCTCTCGTCATTTCGCCAACACGGATATCAGTGATAGTATCAGGTTCTTGCGCAATCAGCTGGAGGGGGTCACTCCCACCCTGCTCACATGCATGACCAGCGAGAATAATGCCGGTCGCAACACCCTCGGTCTGCGAGCTTTGGAAAAACGGTTGAGCGTCAATTGGGACGATCTGCGCAAGGTAGCCGCCGGATATTGTGCTCCGATCAGCGTCTTCTTTCGCGCAGCATGGTCTCTCGTTCTCTCTCGGTACACAACCCGAGACGACGTGGTTTTTGGTTGCGTGATACACTATCGGGGTTTGGACTATCGGGGGATCCAGGAAATAATAGGCCCATGTATCAACGCAATTCCATTCAGAGTCCAGATTGACTGGGCAGAGAGTCTCCAAGATTTCCTTGAACGTGTCGCTGAGGAAGCTGCGGATATCTTCGAGCACGATAGTCTTTCTTTGCATCGCATTCAGAAGGCTGCCGGTGTTACCAATCTGTTCAATACTACCTTGTTGGTACAGGATTATCCTCGGGACACCAGATCATCGTCTTCCCCATACAAGCTGCACCGCCGAACACTCCAGGAACCCACTGACGTTGCCTTCCAACTCATGGTTGAGCCAACCTCCATCGGGACGGTTCGTGTAGGTGTTGACACCACGTTGGAGCAATTGCCCAACGACTTCCTGGACCGGATATTGACGAGCTTTGCACGGTCGCTGGAGTATCTCGCGGCGGCTGATCAGTGGTCTGGCACTTCTCTGAAGGAGCTCGATCTCTTGGGCCCAGAGCACTTGCTGGCCATCGACCGCTTCGGCTCGGGAGATAAGTATGCATTCGATGAATTGACTATCTGGGAGCATCTTGAATCTCAAATGCGCAAAACCCCCGACAACACCGCTATCGAATTCTGGAGTCCAGACTCGCTTCACGATTCGATTTCATACCACCAGCTGAGGCAAAGGGCAGAAGACGGAGCCCACAATCTGGCCGCTGCTGGTGTGAACCGTGGCAGCCTGGTTGCTGTGTACATGGACCGTTCAATTAATGCCATTGTCACTCTTTTCGCCATCTTTCGACTAGATTGTTACTACGTACCAATTGATCTGGGGTCGCCGCCAGACAGGATCAACATGCTCCTTGACGAGGCCCAGCCTCGCGCAGTGGTTTGCGTAGCCGATGACTCTCATCTCTTCGAGAACGCCCCCCTAGTAGTTCATCTCCACCACCTTCAGCGTCGGGTCGATGGTGGACAACTCGAGCTTCCCAAGGTACAGGCCAGCTTGGATGATCCCGCGACGATTCTCTTCACCAGCGGTTCGACCGGTCAACCGAAGGGTGTTTCCATGCCTCATCGTCAGGTTGCGGGATATGCAATGACTATGATCGAGGCATACGCATATACCGAGACAGAACGCATTTTCAACTTTGCGCGGTTCGTGTTCGACGTCTCCCTCAGCGACATTTACGGTGCTCTTTTCTGTGGTGCGACCCTCTGTATTGCTCGACAGTTGGATGTGTTCAGTTTTCTCCCTTCTATACTTGATCATGCCCAGATTACGGCTTTGAACGTTACCCCCTCCGTAGCTTCCTTACTCGATGTGGAGGGTCTGTCCAGTTTGAGACATCTCGTTATCACCGGGGAAATGGCCCGGTCTTCTCTCGTTGAGCAATGGGCAGGGCGCTGTCGTCTTGTCAACTCCTATGGTCCTACCGAGGCCGCTGTGATTACTTGGACCGTGGCCGAGGCAGACATGGATGCACGTTGCATCGGATCTGCTGTGCGTGGGATGAGTATTTACATCCTGGATGATCATATGCAACACGTTCCACTTGGGGCACAGGGCACGATCTGGTGTACTGGTCGCCAACTATCGCTTGGCTATTTGGGCCGGCCGGAAGCCACAGCTAAAGCATTCCAACGTAACCCGTTCGGAGCTGGCGTTCTCTATAAAACAGGTAAGCCATTCAATGAGGTCATGGATGATCGTCAGCTGACAGTTTCCTTTCAGGCGATCTTGGGGCCTACGATCGAACGGGTCGCATTATTTGCTTCGGCCGAGCAGATAATCAGGTGAAAATTCATGGACAGCGGGTCGAACTTGGTGAGATTGACCATCAGTTGTCGAACAACGGCGTAGATGTCGTGACGCTCTTGTGTGATAATCCGTCGCCGCCGAAGCTGGTTGCCTTTGTCAGTACAGCTGGACACACTCAAGGTGCTGCTGTTTCTTCGGGGCGTCCATGCGTACTCGACGGCCCCGAGTCCAGAAAGATGGTCAGCGACCTTCAAAACCAGGCACGACAGAAACTTCCTCAGTACATGGTGCCTTCCGTCTTTATTCCAATTTCGTGCCTGCCCCTGAGCAACAACGGAAAGGTCGTCCGGCCAACTCTGCAGAGTTTGTACCTCACATTGAATAGTTCACGCCATCCAGAAAGCTCTACCTCAGAGACTATTGGACAGCATCATCGATCGAAAGCCGAGGCTCATATTTATTCTATTCTTCGCTCCCATGGATACGATAGTCTGGCAAAGGATGCCGGCCTCTTTCCGGGATGCATGGACTCCTTCACAGTCATTCTCTTCCTCATCCAGCTTCGACGAGACTTCGGGATCACTTCTCTGAGTTTAGAATTCATCATCCAGAATAACACCTTCCGGCAGTTGGCAGAGGCTCTACAAAAGGCGTCACAACCTTCTCGAGATGATTATGACAGACCGGCATCGGACCCAGAGCCAAACAGTGGTCTCTTACGATTCTCAACACCGAGTGGAGCAGACCGCCCCAAGCTCTTCGCCATCTTTGGTGTTCATGGTCTTTCCGTGATTTTTAGCAAGCTAGCTGCCCATCTGCCCTTGTTAGACATTTGTGGAATTGAAAAGATCCAATTTGGTCGACCAGAGAAGTACCAAAGTATCCCAGACATGGCACAGGACCACGTACGTTATCTCCTTCTTCCCACTTATCTGTTCTACTTCAGACTGACATAAACCTCTGCACAGTTATCCATCCTTCGGCATGCCCAGCCCCATGGACCGTATTACATCTGCGGTTACTCATTCGGCGGTTGCGTTGCCCTCGAAATGGGGCATCAGCTCCGTCTGGAGGATGAGGAGGTTCGCCTTATCATCATTGACTCACACGCCAACTACCGCCCAAAGTTCCCCGCCCAAATTTCAGACGAGGACTGCGAGAAAGTGTTCAATATCCCGACACTAACATCCTGCAGAACAGCCGATGCCATCAACATCCGCGAATGCATGGTGAAAGAATTGAACTACAACCTGGTCCTTCACACAAACTACCTCGTGACGAGGCGATATGAGGGTCGTGTCTTGTTCATCAAGGCCTCTGGAGAAATGGAGAAGACTGGAGGAGATATGTTTAATGGGTTTAAGGAATTGATGCCGGAGATTCGAGTCGTGATGGCGGACGGGATTCATCGGGACTTGTTAAGCAAGCAGCAATCTGTGAAGCAGATTGCGCATGCAGTTGAGACCTTTATCCAAGAATAGTTGTTCTGTGGCGCTATCACTTTACTAGCATAGTAGTGAAATATATCTTGATATAGAAGTAATACCAATATCTTGATGCTACCTTCACATCTGGAATTGCTCCAAAAAAAGGAACATATAGAAGTAACTATGCACTTCATAATACATTCTAAAATAGATGTACCTACAGCTATAAGGAGAAGAGTACAGAACAGGTGTATATTAAACATACCATTTATATATCCACATGAGGCGTTGTAGGTTGCGGGCTTCAGCAAACATCTTCAGAACGAGAACGCCAACTGCCGACCTGGAGTCGATGCGAATCCCGGTTTTTGCCCACCGCACCCCACGATGGCGGGTGAGGTCGTAGAACTTGAAATCAAACACGGGCCGCTGTATTCCTCGAGTTGTCTCACAACCCGGGTAGCAAACGAAGTGCAACTACCGGCAGCCCACCAGGTCCGGATGAAGGCTGTGGACTCGTCGGTCGCAAGTGCGTTGGGATTGGTTAGGATGCTAACAAGAAGCTTGTCCTGGAGAATTTCCCCCCATGGCTCGCCAGACTTGGTGACGAGATATTCGGCCTGAAGAAAATTGGAGTATGGGCCGTCGTTGAAGGGTATCGTATTATGTGGATGTCACCCTTGTCCTCAGCTGGAAAGAATAATAGCCCCGCATGGCTGTGGCTGGCTGAACATCTGGATGCCACACGCTCTGAGTGGCAGCTATGGACATGACCCACCGCCGCTAGTTTAGTTGACCGCTATCAAACTGTCCCATCACGACGCCTTCAGCTTTACACTTCATGGAAAGTGAGGCAAAAGCGTTGTTCTATCAACTGATAGGCTTGTAGGAAATCTGTCCTATGTACGGTAACATTCAGGAGTTGACAGGAAAGACTACTAGAAATGCCCGGATATCCCTTTTAGTCTAGCGGTATCTTTCGGTCGACAGAATCGTAGATTGTTGATCCTACTGACGCGGCCTTCCAGTTCAGCTGAGCGATTCTCGAAACTCCGGTGGACTCTATGTCTGTGACTTATATGCCAGTGGTTAGGATCCACCTTCAGCTCTGAGTATTAGGAAATGAATGGGCTGTAGCCATATCCCCTGAAGTTGGATATAATGACCATTCTCCCTTCATCCCCAAACAATCTACCATCTGAGAAGCACCATGCCTCGCGGGACACCACCTCGTACCGTCGTCTACTACCAGACGACTACCGTGCAGCTCGACGATCTTGTTGCCTACATCGACGAACAACCCATCAAGCAATCCCCAATCACCCACCTCATCATCGGCTGTTTTCATCTCCGAACAAATGGATACCTGCACCTGAACGACTACACACCCGACAATGAACATTTCAACCACATCTGGCCTAACATGAAGGCACTCCAGGAGAGGGGCGTCAAAGTCATGGCCATGATCGGCGGCGCCGCACAAGGCAGCTTCCAGGTCCTAGACGCGGAGGCCTCCTTCGAGGAGTGCTATAATACGCTCTCCACCATGCTTAGTGACTACAATTTCAATGGCATCGACCTAGACATCGAAGAAACAATGTCCCAGGCCGGCGCAAGTCGGTTGATCAATCGTTTGACTGTCGACTTTGGACCCGACTTTGAGATATCGATGGCCCCCGTCGGAACCGCCTTGCAGGGTGGGGTTGACGGCTTCTCTGGCATGAACTATTACGACTTGGAGCAGGAGCATGGGGAGCAGATATCCTTCTACAATGTTCAGCTTTACAATGGGTTCGGAACCATGGCGACCACTCAAGACTACGAGGCAATTGTTGACGCCGGGTTTCATCCTTCTCGCGTTGTGGCCGGTGTTTTGACTAATGAAGCCAATGGAGGGGACTTTGTCGATCTGGAGACAGTCGGCAGAACCGTGAGAGCGTTACGGGCCAAGTATCCCGATTTTGGTGGTGTTATGGGCTGGGAATATTTCAATTCTGTGTCTGGGGGAGAGGAGCGTCCGTATGAGTGGAGTGTTGAGATTTCGAAGTATCTGAACTGGATGCAGTGAGCTTTTGGACAGATGATATAGAAATGTGCGGGTCGAACGTTTAGTAGCAAATCAACCAGATTTCATAAACTAGTTATTAGCAAGATTGCTATAAACTCCGGCCAATGAGAGACTTTTGCAGTTACTCTAAGCGGGATCTGCCACCAAACCGCATTGTTAAGTTCCATTCTGCAGATGAAACCGAGTTACCTGACCCAGATATTTTAAGGGCTCATCTGTCAGTTGCTAAACATACTGGATGCAACTCGGATGTGTGAGGATATCGACAAGTATATTGAGGAAATGGAAATGGCGCCTGGTTTTGAAGCTCAGATTGAGGAATGGTTAGCGGGGGTGGGAGATCAAGATGGCAAAGTAGAATAAAAGGCCCGTATACGGTTCAAGATACAGTATCACTTCGAACTCTACTAATTATGTACCTTGTGCTTTGTTGGTGTTCAATGACATCAATCTGACATGAGTGGCATGTGGATTGGCCACTGGCTCAAGTTGGTCCGATAACCTTAAATCAATTACGACTGTTTTGTTGATTCATCTCGAGGAAGTAATACATGGAAAAAACAAAACAAACCCGAAAAATAAAAACAAGGAAGAGAAGAGAAGAATGAAAAGTTCTCCTGCAGTGAATGTGGTCTACCAACCCCGCTTTGCAGTCCCCGACTGTTGAGGAACTTGACCCTCTCACCTGTCCAATCCACCAACACGTTGTCAAACAACCACGCCAGCTGCCTGATATGGGTTCACGACCAAAGCGAACGCTCCAAGGAGCAGCAAAAGAGAAGTCTGAAGCAAAAAAGGCCAGGACGGAGGCAGCCAGAGACCCGATCCAGGTCCAACGAGACCACCTCGCTGCTGCCGCTGCGGCATCTGGAACGATAGACGAAGCAAGAACGCGCATCGAAGGATATGATCACAAGAACAAAAAGGATAAAACGGGCAGAATCTTGGATGAATGTCTAAAGGGGTTCCCGAAGGAGGGCCGAGACAATCTGATTGTTGACATTTTGGGGCGGGATGATGAAGGGTTACAGACGCTTGCCAGCGAGATCAGAAGCTGCATTTTCATTCCACGTCAGTATGGACTATGTGTGCAATTGTCAGGCTTCTAATAGGTGTACAGTGAAAGCCAAAGGGGGCAAAACACCCGCCCCGTCACCGTCTCCATCGGTCTCCTCATCATCGTCGACATCCGGGAAAGGAAAAGAGAGCATGATAAAGCAAGCGACAAAGCCGCGGTCCCGCCAGGCGCGGCTAAAGAAGGCCTGCCTGGCCAGGGATAGCAACCGATGTGTGGTTTCGGGCACACACGATGACAATATGGCCGAGGCTTTGCTTTCCACGTTGGAGCGAGATAAAGTGCGGGCCGCACCTACGCAGTGCTGCCACATTATTCCGTATTCGGCAGCCCCTGAGAGCACTGGTGAGAATGTGGACACTATCGACGTATGAACATTCTCCCCGAAGCATGGCATAGCTGACATTCTATACAGTTGCAGCAAAAGGCAAAGACCTGGGCCTACCTCTATCGCTACTTTCCCCGAGTGAAAGAGCTGATTGATGTTCGCTTAGCGGGGGCCATTGACACCCCACAGAATGCCATGACGCTTATGTCAGACATTCATAGTAATTTCGGCGATTTCAAGCTTGCCTTTGAGGCTATCGATGTTTGTGTTTACCATCCCCCAATCATTAAACCGGCTCACTGATAATATTGATAGATGAAGGAACACACCTACAAGCTACAAAGTTTCAAATTCTTTCCCCAGGCATATGAAGTCTTCCTGCCAAAAGACCGCATCGTCAAGTTTACTTCCGCCAATGGAACGGACCTGCCCGATCCAGACCTTCTGGCTTTCCATCTCGCCATTGCAAATATTCTACACGCTACTGGCATGGGAGAAGAAATTGATAGGTTGATTGATGACATGGAAGCGGGGGAGGATCTACCAGAGGGAACTGGTCTTGAAACCAGAGTAAATGAATGGCTAATGGCCACGGCATAAACCAGCGGACACATATCATTTAATATCTTAAGCTTCTGTTTTGACCAATCTCGCACTATTTCTCATACATTCTTGCTACCTCAGCTTGCTAGAGCTGTGTACAGAATTGAAGTAGTCTGTATGCACTGTTCAAATCGAACAGTTCCGGCAATATATTCACTGCTTAGACAACTCGAATCTCAAAGGACGACCGTGCAGGGGCTCGGTATACTCAAATTCATTCTACCCCACCGGTGACAATGAAAAGGATGAGATACCAGAGACACTAGAGAAGGCAGCTGAACAATTAGCCAGGGTATATAGTGACTTTTTGTCAATAAATGATTACTAACGCCCAACTTGTTTTATCCAAAAGATCCGCTGTAGGAGAAGTATTGAGGAATGCAAGCTAAGATAGGATACCTAGTTGATTCATTCTCAAGATATCTAAAACCGCCTACCGTCTGTAACCCACGGCGAACATAACAATCCAAAATGGGTAGCCCACATTTGCAGCGGGGATTATTCATAGAGGTGAGCCTGAAGATTGCCTTTCTCTTGCAAGGGTATTTGCATATAGGATATGAAGGCATTAACTTTAAATAAAAATTGAACTATATCTGGGTTCTATACAAGAACCTGAGAACAAAGATCAATGACGGCCATGAGGGCCATGGCCAGAAAGGTGCACATGGGCATGGCCATTACCGACCTGGACATTTGGCACCGAGTCATCATCATCATCCAGTCCGAGCTCTTTCAACGCATCCTCCAAGTCCATGGACTGCTCATCGTCGTCCATTATTACATCTAAAAGTAGATTAGCATTTTTCCCGAAAGAAAAAAGAAGCACGTAAACTCACCATCAACGACCCAGTGTTGAGTGTTATACGGATCCAGTCCACGCTTCTTCACGTCCTTTGCGGCAACAAAGTCGACGCGGCATTTCTGAACCGGATACGTCATGATCATCTTGTCATCGTTCTGCACTTTCACCGGGGGCAGACTCTGGACGCAGAGGGCGTTTAACCCCTTACCGTTCTTTTTGATCCTCCAGCGGTCGCTCTGGAGGTTCACACCCCCAATCACGTAATTCAGTTTCGTTCCTGGATTGACGCTGGGGTTTTTTCCGTTGGGATCGTCGTAGATTACGCCTCCCTTGTTCATGTAGCCGCCGATTTTCTCATCGTTCTGGCTACCGTAGAACAGGTTCACGCTATATTGTCGCACATCGTTGGCCAGTTTGCCGTAGTGGGGCTCGTCGCCCCCCCTCCTGTTGCCATGGTCCCTGTCTAGGATGTTAGGTATGAAGCCATTGATATCTCTCTGATAGTCTTGCTGCTCAGCCGGTGCGCAGGCGGTTGCCTAGATGTTGTGTTAGTATACTCATCGGGAACATATAAAATAGCAAGACTTACAGCTCCAGCGCCTCCTTGGTGGCAGGCATTGACTGCGATGTCTTGTTAGCATTATTCCCCCTCCTTTATTTCAAGGGAACTCACAAGGAAACTCGTCACAGGACATATCATTCTTCCATCCGGTCATCTTCCTTGCCGCAAATTGGTTCTTGTCCTTCTTGACTTGCGCCTGAACATCCTCCGGCCACAATGACTTCTTGAGATCAGTGCATTGCTTTTCAGGACCTCCTGGTTGGCCACAGGACTGCACTCGATTGGATTCCGAGGGGTCTTTCCAGTATGTGAGCAGCATCCAGTTCGATCCCACGCCAGGAGCGTTTTTGTGGCTGTCCAGGTAGCCCTTGATGTTGTTGCAGATACCTGTGAGCGTCTGCGTTTTCTTGTTCCCGTTGGTCTTCTTGTTATTATTGGCCACCGCCAGGTCGGGGAAATAGTCGCAGTTGTAGAAGAGTGCTGGAGGCGGGTCGCAGTTGGTTGTGGCTCGCTTGGTTGACCCAATGGTACACAAGTCACCCCCGTCATCTGTGACAGAGTCGTTCGTTCCGGGACATGCCATGAGTGCGCTGAAGATGGGCTCCCCGTCGGTGCGGGGGTTGACCGCAATGATGTTGCCCTGATCTGAAGTATCCCAAGCTATTGGAGGATCACTCGAGCCGCTGTAGTTGATGTCGTCTCTGGGCGTGATCTTCACGTTCTTCTCATAGGGCATGCATTTCTTGTCGATCAGAGTGATTGCATCGTCTGGCGAGTCGAGCTCGAGCTTCTCCGAGCCCCAGTAGATCAAGTCGCCGGGAAATTTGACTTCGGCCTGCACAAACAGACTGTACAGATAATCGGCCCAGTAGCAGAAGCTGTCAGAACTGGAGCCGGAGCTGGTACTGGTGGTGGTACTCGAGTCGAACCCAACGCTGATGGTATTCTCCACCCCGGCAGTCACGAAGCCTCCAGAGAGCTTTCCTCCCAGAACGGAAATTCCGAATCGCACCTTGGGTGTGAGGTTCATATTTATGTGTCCAGAGGCGGTGGCAGAGGACTCAAACATGGGTGTCACCAGAAAGGCAGGTTCCTTCTCCCGGTCATTGTCTCTCAGACCAGATGGCTTGACTGTCGCATCTTTCGCGTCGGAATCCTGAGGGAAGTAGACTTCTGTTTTCTGGAACTCGACTCCCACGCCGGCTTGCAACTCACCGGCGAAGGTGAGGGACGTGTCGATTGACCCGGTGACGCCGAGCTCTGGTCCAATGTTGATCAAACCCTTGATAGATAGACCAGAGAATGGGATACCGTCGATCAGATCGGCCTCTCCAGTTGTGGATTGGAAGGTTGCTTCTCCGCTGAGCTGGAAGATTAGCTCAGCACTGGGATTGATGGAGAAGTAGGCATAAGAGGCAATCATCTTGGGGGCTGGCAGGATGGCCCCTTCGAAGTAATAGGCGTATTGTGCATGCAGACCGACTTTGAGACGAGTATCGAGATCCAGCTTGTATGGACTGTCGCCAGAGCAGTTCTGGGTCAACTCTAGAAGTTTCACACTGCCGTCATAGGCCAGAGGAAGATAGCCTTTTTCGGATTTGACGATGCTGGTGACTTTCTCGAGCCAAGCGTCAAAGTCGCCGAACCAGCGCTTCTTGTGCTTGGCTGGGCTGTCGGTAATCTTGTCCCAGTATCCCTGGAGATTGGTGAAGTCCACGCGGAAGTTGACATCGCCTTTCTCCTCTTCACCTGCGGCGGCGAGGTCATAGTCCACCTTCATGTCGTAGACCTGACCGGCAGACCGAGGAAGCACATTGCCTCTCTTGGTTGTCGATCCGCGAGGCGTCAGACTAATGACTCGTGCATAGGGACCGGCAGCTCCGACATTCGCAGGCATCTTGACAATCGTGTTCGAAGCACCTCCGGAGAAGATTGAGTGGCATCCGGTGTCATTCTTCAACAAACTACTGCACTTGATCTGATATGTCTCTTCGACGTGGTCAAAAGTATCATCTCGCGAGCCAAACAGGTTGTGCTCTGTTGTAGAGCGCTTGCTATGCAGCGCACCACCGCTATCGTCGAGGAAAGTCCATTGATCAACCAGCGACTGATCATACGCATCCGTGTCACCATCGATCATCACAAACCCAAAAGGATCCTCGTCTTCAATATCCGACGCTTCGGTATTGGCGCCTGGCTCGGTTTTCTCGTACCAGCTAACGTTGTCTTCATCGGGGTACTCGAACAGATCAGCTGGATCAACCGGGGCCTCTCCACCTGCGCTGGGAGGATCGCAGCACATGCTCATCATTTCATCGTCGCCGCACCAGTATTCCCCGACTTGTCCATGTGGCACGTCGGGATTCCAGAGCTGGTTGCGACGTGTCACGAGCAGTTTCTTTTCGGGGCAGGATTCACCGCAGTTGGCCCAGACGCAGTTTTTGAGCGTGTCTTTCGAAGGACAGCAGAACTCGGCCGTGCCGGTACAGTATTCGTTGTTCTGGTTCAGATCTGCAAACGTTAGATGTCTACGACATATCATGGATGATAGAATGAAACTCACTCGGTCCTGCGTTAAGAGAAAAGTTCGAGAATCTGTACCAGCTCTTTTCACATTCTTCATTACAGTCAGTCCACGAGCACTGATCCAATTGGTTCAGGGTGGAACAGCAGAGCGAGCGCGAGTTGACAGTACAAGGAGACGAGCCAGTTCGATCGTTGTAATGATCTCGAACAAGTTCAAACTTGTTGCCCCCACACGTATCATCCTTGCCACCAGTGCAGAAGCCGTCCGGCGATCCTCCAGTCCAGGAGCACGTCGGCATGGCGTCGGTGGGACAGCAAATGAGTCGGTATTGAGAGTCCTCGTCTTCATCCTCGGTTGTATCGCCCGTCTTACAGAGCTTGTCATCGGGGTCTGAGATGACACCAAGAGATCCCTTATGGACGTAATCCAGAATGCTGTATCCCTTTTTGCATGAGCCACGGTTCCAGTCCACGCAGTCACTGATGTAGCAATCACCGCCGGTGTACTTGTTATATGAATGCACCAGACTCTTTGCGTCTTCGTCATTACTATTCGACCCTTGAAGCAGCGAACCCCCATCAACTGTCTTGCCCAGGAGGGCGCTCAGTGCTTGCCAGTCGTATGTATCCTGGTCGTTGGACCAGATCATCACACCACCCAGACAATGGTCATTCGCATAGTCGACCTTTTGCTTAAAGGTCTGGTTTGTGTCGAACGAAACCCACTGGTTCTCGTCCCAGGTGAGATACATGACTCCAGCTTCTTCTTCCCACACAGGAACGTTTTCCGAATCAGTGATGATTTCCTGGATCTCCTTGTACGACAAGATTCCAGAAGTCTGGGTGCAGGTGCCGTTTGCGCCGCCTCCACTAAACGGACAGCCGGGCTTGGTACAGCTGGGATCCGAGAGCGTGAACGACCGTCCGTAGAACCCAATTCCCAGCACAATTTTGGACGGATCGACGTCGTTTCTCCACAGCAGATCCATGGCCTGAGCAATCTCTGTCAAGTTGGTGTGCGCGCCGACGACCTTGCCGATGTAGGGATCGTGACCGTCCCACACACCGTGGAGATCATACGACATCATATTACACCAGTCGGCTCCACTGGCAAGGTACTTGGGCACGTCAAAGTGTCTGAGATACCAGTAACTAGAGGGGATGGTGAAAGAAAGCTCATAGTTTTGTCCACTGGCGTTGAACTCATCTCGGATGGTTCTGAGCAACTTGGCAAAGTTCTCTGTATCGTCACTGTTTCCTCCTCGATCATCGGCACCGGGATACTCCCAGTCGAGATCTGCTCCGTTGAGTCCATACTTCTGCAGCATGCGGACGAGGTTCTTCGCGAACGACTTGCGCCCCTTATCAGTGGCTGTCATGTTGGACCAGAAACCCGACGTCTCGCCATCACTGAACGACCATCCGCCAATGGAGAGCATCATCTGCAGCTGAGGATGATGAACCTGCAGATAGGTAAAGTCCTGCATCAGACTATCCATATACCCATCATTATCATCCATTAGATAGAGCTCCCACCCGTCTCTGTCAGCATTGGGCTGGAACAGACCAAATGACCACACCAAGTGCGTCAGACTCTGCGCGGGCAGCTGGTTCGGCGTCCAGCCATCACACCTGCGACTGTTACTCGCCCAACTCTCGTAGTATCCGATCACCTTTTTCAGCACATCGTTCGAAGAACACGACGGCTCCGTCGGCGAGCCGCAATTACTCTGGCAACTCTTGTTGTCGTCGTCACCCTTGTCGCAGAACTCGCTTGTTGTTCCGCAGAATCCGTATGATGAACAGCAGACGTTCAGGGGGCATTTGGCGCCAGCAGTGGCAGCCCATTTGCCACATTCGGCTTTGGCGTCACAGTTACTGACGCAGTTTGCTTTGCTGCATTGGTCGTCGGGGTCGTAGCCGCAGAGCTACATTATTAGTATATGGAATTCAAGGAAATATTGAATGTAGAACATACACCTGAGGCTTCACCGGGTTTCACACCGCAGCATGCACCGTTCACACAGGGACTGGTGGAATTGCACACGTAAAACTGAGCCGTAGCTGTAGAAAAGATATTAAAAAGAATGAATAAGACCAAGAGACGCCACTCCCATGAGCGGGAGTGTCTACTCTGGCTTGAGTAGGCCATGTTCAGAGTGATTCATCCACAGAATCAAGCCATGCGAGGAAGAAAGAGAAGAAAAGAAGGACTGAAATCATAATATTCTACCATTCACATCATAGGATCAAGCCCTTTTCAAAGGTAACAGAAAACACGAAAAAAAAAAGAAAAAAAAAAAAAAACGCATCAACTAAACTAGACCGTGTTCCATCACATTGCTAAGAATACCAAGACCCGAGATCCAAAGACAACAAGCCATTGTCCGAATGCTTAATCTGGCTTAAGCCTTTTTGCTCTGAGACATTCAATCTCCATTAAAAGGTTCGGAGCGTGAAACGACCAAGGATGATCTATTCGAACTAGATGTGTGCTTCGGCTGCTTGGCAGTTTCTAGACGAATAAGAGTCCTTGATCCGCAGAGTCTTCTAGCAGATGCGAAATCTGTCGTTGCTTTGTGATACAGTAAACCACCGATATAAGCAACGCCGATATAAGCAATATTCCGATATAAGCAACAACGCAACGTGTCATTTTTGATCCCCCATATTAAATTGCTTAGAACACCAATATTAGATAGTTACTACAATTCTCTCTTTCTCCCATACAAAATTGCTTATATCCATCTCCTTAATAGGCTATTTTAACATCAAGTCCCTACCCATCATGATAAAGTAAAAGCAGACATGTCAATCAATCTCTACTAGCCAGAAAGCCACCCTCCATGCCTACCACTATTTAAAGCCTTTTCTCTCCTATTAAGGGCTTCAAAATTAGTTTAAGGAGATATATAATTAATGGATTACCCCCTCCTCTATCTCTTAAATCCTTTCCCCTTAGTTCACCTTCCTTAACACCCCAGATAACTCCCACTAGGTTAGTAAGAAGTAATGATATATAGAGAACTAGCCAGAGCTAGAAGGGGCACTTTTTAAATAGATATAATGGGTAGAGGGGCAGATTACTATATCATAAGAGGTTATATAGGAGAAAGTGAAGTAATATTAGCTATCTCTTTACCTAGGGAAAGAGATGCCTCCACTTTTATCTAGCTAGCTTTAAGGCTTTTAATCTCACTAGAATATAAAGTATTGCCAGTAGTTTAGTGAAGCTGGGAGTTTTAATAAAGATTTAAAGGGTTAGATGGCTTTAATCTATTAACTTTTAAAGTTATATGCACCTTAGGATATCTTTAATTATAATAAAACTGGCCTATATTAGAGGATGGTTCCTGACTACAGTTTATCTATATATTTAGTGCCTAGAAGGAAGAGAAATAAGGTAAGGATAATAGCTTATTTCTATATTAATTTAGATGCCTCTAAGCGCCTTCTAATCTAGTTTATTAGAGGTATAAAAAGACCTTGCGCCTTTACTATAGCTAAGATTAATATTAAGAATCTAGGTTGCTTCTAGCATTATAACCTAAAGGCCTGGATGATGAATACTATCTTTAAAGAGTGGCTTTACTAGTTTAATAGGAGAATGACTGGTTGAAAGGTTATTCTCTTAATGGATAATTTCTCTGCTTATAAAAAAGCTATTAAGGATCTTAATCTAGACCTCTAGAATATACTGATTATATGGCTTCCTCCTAATTCTATAAGCTATTATTAACCTCTTAATCAAGGGATTATTCATACATAGAAAGTATATTAGAAGTAATAATAGATTCTTTATATAATAGTATAGTTTGATTAAGGATATGATCCTATATCTATAATAATAATTCTATAAGTAATTCAGTGGGCAATTCCTGCTTAGGATCTAGATATAACTTTAGATATAATTAGGAATTACTTTAAGAAGGCGCTTCATAAAGAAGGAAGTGAAATCTTAAATTCTGAGGTTATTAAAGATATTTCTCTGGGGATTGAAAAGATGTTACTATCTAATAATATTAAAGAAGTAATAGATTTAAAGGAATTCTTAAACCCTTCAGAAGAAGAGGTTAATGATGATTTAATGGATATAGATAAAGGTATTCTGGCTAAGTATTTGCCAGAGAATAATACTGATCAAGAGGATAATGCTGATGAAGAGGCCTAGGAAGAACTACCTTAAATCCTAATCTCTAAAGCTTTAGAGGGCCTATACAAGCTTTGTTTATATAAAGAACAGCAGGCAGGAGGTAATACTGGCTTAATTCAGCAACTTATTTATCATGAGCAGACAATTTTGCAAAGAAAAATGAAGGTACAGCAACAGAGCAATATATGGAGCTTTTTCAGCAGTTAAATGTGTATATATATATTAAAATATATATTAAATTGGTAGCGGAACTCATATAAATTGATATAAGCAACTGACCGATATAAGCAACGGAGTCGCCTGCGCCGATCTGTTGCTTCTATCGGTGGTTTACTGTAATTTGTGATACAACACTAATGCAGGTCCCATGCGAAGTATCCAGTCAGACTATCGAGTGTCCACTTTTCACAGTCTGGCTAGTAGAGAGTAGTAGAGTAAAAGACTCGAAACGAGAGGGGGGCTGAAAGCTCGTCCGAGGCAGCCGGATCGTTGCATTCGGAGCACTTGAGTTGAGATTTACATTTATATTACTGCATCTAGTAACATGCGGCTAAAGCCTTTCAAACCAGAGTTTTTTAATGAGCTCGTTGGGTAATCGAGGGGAGTTGCTCGCTTAGGCTCACTGCCACAGTTCCACCGGTCAAGGGACCAAACCCTGGTTTGATCGAACAAGATTTTCGCAGCTCTGCCAGACATCGTCTCCGAGATTAAATTGTGGATGTGTCTTCTGTATCTAGTAATTGCCCTGCCGATCGCCTCCATTTCGAGTCCCCTGGCGGGTTGATCTATAACGGGCCGGTCGTTCAGGTGGATCCAGGGCTCGTCCAGTCATGAAAAACATCACAGGTGCATGTCTCAATATTCAGACCTAATGTGGTGAACTGACTCCATTCGGCATCCAGCATCCGTGCCAAGAGGAGTATTCGGCCCTATTTTGGCCCCCAATACGGAGTTGATATTGTTTCTAAAGGATGGTGCTTGCTCCTACAATTAATTGTGGAATTTAGATTTGATATCGGTGGAGAGATGTCCAAGACAACCACTAGCGAGAACATGCGATACGAAGGGAAACAGTGGAAACGCGAATTCTTTCTTCGTATTCTCGCGTCTATGATTCTCCTTTTGTGCTGCTAGATCAAATTAGATTTTATCGCTTTCAGTGAGATATATGCATTTGCTTCCACTTTATCTGCCCTGGAGGTGCTGCACTGTTCATTGTCTCCTTTCGCAATGAGATACCTCCCTATGTATCATATCTCTATTGGCGTGATAATTCTGTTCTTTGCAACTCTTTGTATTGCTGTTCCCAGTTCTAATAACACCTACATCTATACTCAATCTTCTCTCGGCGACATCTCTGCCTCCAACGATTGCATCAGTGCTCTCACTGCAAATGTGTCTTGCAATGGGGGCCTGCAGTCTGCAGTCCTGCAGACCAGTACATGGTCGACAAACGGATTGAAGCAGATGTGCGCCGACGACTGCAAGTCGTCTCTTGCGGATTACATCTCCACCGTCGACGAGGAATGTGGCACGGAGAAGCAGTACAATATCTCAGGAATCATGCAGACTGCCTCGGAGGCCGGAAGGAAGATGCAGTGGCAGTACAATGCGACTTGCTTGGTTGATTCTTCTTCTGGGGAGTACTGCAACACGCTGTTCCAGGGAGGAGGTAACACCAGTGTCTCCGATATCAAGTGCAGCAGTTGCTATCTGAACTATCTATCGACTGTGATCAACTCCAAATGGGGCCAGAGCCTTTTCAATCCATCTGTCCTCACTAATCAGGTCAGGTTGTGCGGTGCAACTGGGTATTCTGTTACGTATACGGCTCCTGCAACGTCCATCTCTGCCTCTGCCTCGTCGACAGCCACCGCAGAGGTGCAACGCTGCAATCTCAACGATAGCAGCACAGTAACCTACACGGTTGAAAAGGCCGACTCGTGCAACAGCATCTCCGTGGACAAGAATGTGTCCACAAATGCCCTCGTTAACATGAACGGCCTAGGAAGTGGCTGCGCCTATCTGGTGACAGGACAGCGAATCTGCCTGCCTGATTCCTGCCAAGTCGCACGAGTCGGATCAAACGATACCACCAGCTCAATAGTTTCGAAAATGAGCAGAAAGGTCACTACGAAGCAGTTCCTCTCGTGGAATCCGTCATTAAGCACCGTCACCTCGAATTTGAGTTATGCTGCTGGCACTTATGTCTGCGTTACTCCTCCTGGCACGATGGAGTTGGACGGTTCTTTTCCTCTCAAGACCGCGAAGACTGCTGCGTACGTTCTCAATCACCTCGATCAAAAAGCGATAACTAACTGCTTAGGCCTGTTCCAACTGATGCTGTGACGACATCCAATACAAACTGCGGGCTCTGGCACAAGGTTTCCGGCACCGACGGCTGCGATACGATGGGGTCTGACTTTGATATCTCCATGACGGATCTCAGGTTTCTCAATCCCCAACTTGACTCTGACTGCAGACATCTATGGGTTAACAACAGTTATGTATGATCTACCCGTTCTACTTGTCTTGAATCAGTACTGACTACTCCAGTGCGTCCAACCCGTTGGAAACATCAAGACCTACTCTGGCTACTCTTCCTTTGTGGCCAACACCACTACAAAGCTCACCTCATTTTCCAACACGATTAATTTGAACCAGACCAGGGCTGTGAACAGGACAACCTCGTAGGTCCCAGCCCCCAGTTGCCCCCAAACACATCTAACTTGGCAGATACACTTTCTTCTCATGGCCCACCAACACCGTCAGCACCGCGCAAAACATCAACAGCACCGAACAGGCAAGACTTGCCAACTACACTCTCTGCGACCAGGTCTACTCTCGATACAACATCAGCGACGATCTTACTGATGAAATGTACGATAACGATGCCTGGATGTCCGAATACGACCGCGTCTGCGAGCTCAACCCCAATATTCCATTGCCAACAAGACCATTCAACTATAGCATTCCCCTTGATACTACTACTCAATCCTATGTTCCTTCGTCTACGGTATCCCCTGGATCAAAGCCAAGTACCCGCCACGCAACTTCCACTGCTGCCTCTGCCTCCGCTACCTCGACAGGGAAAACCGTCTCTCCAGACGGTACTTGCGGTACTCAGGGCGGATACACATGCGCTAGCTCAACTTTTGGCAGCTGCTGTAGTAAATATGGAGACTGGTAGGTTTTTTCAAGTTTTGATTAAGGGGCTTCAAACTAACCCATAGCAGTGGTTCTAGTGACGACTACTGTGGAAGCAACTGTGATCCAGGCTACGGATCTTGTTCTCAAGCAAGTTCCACTTTCACTTCTAGTGCAACTGCTACTTCCGCCTCCTCTACACCGTCAGGGAATATCTCTTCGGACGGTACTTGCGGCACTCAGGGCGGTTACACATGCCTTGGCTCCAGTTTTGGCGACTGCTGTAGTAAATTCGGAGACTGGTAAGATTCTTTTCTTCACTCCTTGGTTCAATCACGCCAAACTAATCATATCCGCAGTGGCTCTAGTGATGATTACTGTGGCACCAACTGTGACCCAAACTACGGATCCTGTTCCAATTCAGGTTCAAATAGCAAAACCATCTCACAGAATGGGCTTTGCGGTGTCCAGGGCGGGGCTACCTGTCTTGGATCGACTTTTGGACAGTGCTGCAGTATCAATGGAGACTGGTAAGTTATCCTTCGCCACACTGATTAACATTTCTCTGAACTAATTATTCGAACAGTGGCTCTACTGACGAGTATTGTGGAAGTAATTGTGACCCGAAGTATGGGTCTTGTACTTCGAGCACCACCACTGCAGCGTAGATGTCGTTTAGCTATTATTACATATAAGATTTATCTTCTACATAGAAATCCATTACCGTATTCTCTATTAGGTATTCTTGGATGAAAACAGGCAGCAAAACCCAAAAACCAGCCAAGTGGACCTTGGCGGACCGTTAAACGAAGCTAATCGTGATTAAACACCACCCCCGCCAACTGATAAACTCCTGCCCCCCATTTGAGTTTTCTTTCTTCCTCCCTTTCTCTCTTGTATCCAAACCACTTCACAATGAACGGGCGACACTGGCCAGGAGGTATTCCCTCCACTATCCGTGCTCATCCAGAACCACGAATGGAGCATAGAGAGTTCGACCTCGCCACACAAGGATTCCGACGATTTATTCGCGAACACTGGGCTCCTCGGAGAGAGGATTCCAATGAAGAGGGTTTTGAATATGAAGACGCCCAGCGACGAGAATTGGTGGTCGCGTGGGCTTCTGTCGATCAGGGCTATCGTGAAGTAAGCCTACAGGTTCTATATACTTTTTCGCTTTTGCTAGAATGCTGACCGCAAGGAAGAATTATCAAAACAATCCCATTGACCACGAGCCCCCATTTAACAAGTACGATGGATCTGTATGTCACTAACAAACAATATCATATGGCTAAATTTGATGCGATTACTAAACGATAGCAGGATGACTGCCTCCGCGGCACGCCATTCCCCGAATCAACAGACCTCTACTACATCGCAACAATTAAAACACCTCAAGACCACAACCGAATGATCAAAGCTTTCCTTCTCCAATGGGAATGGAACTATGACGATCCTATTAACCCAGTCAGCAGTCCAGTGGCCATGATTTCACCCAGCGCTACCGACAAACCCATCACCGCGGAGACCTTCAAATTGGCCCGATCAGTCGAATGCCCTGACTTCAGTGACATGGGGATGACGGTCGATGGGACGGTGATATTCAACGAGATTGGCACCGCAGTCTTGGTTGATGATGTTACGCTTCAAACGGGGTTGATTTTGATGCTCAAGCCCCACACCAATGGATCGGTTGAATTTGCGGCTCGTATGCGGCCTGAGGATGTAAGACATGTGTGGAATACTCTCGTTGGTTTGGGATGGGGTCTTGAGGGGGCGATTGAGAGAGAACATGTATCTGAAGAGTGAGTTACCCCTTTTTGGTGTTGTTAATGCGTGACTCATCTGTGCAGACCCTTTGATATGGAACCGCCTCTGCCTGAACTTTTACTTTCTCGATTGCATAACGGAGACAAACTCAGTCGCCAGGAACTGGAGGAACGAATTGAAGAGGTGGCCCCGGGGTTCATGGAAGCTGAAGAAGAAGGGGGTTCATTCTATGATATCAGTCAGATTGAGTTTGATCAATAAGTGCTCCCATCGTTTTATCATTTCTGTTATCCCTGTTTTGTTAGTCTAAATATCCAGTTTATGCCCAGGAAGCTTGGTGCACATCGAACATAGTTTGTGCACATAACTAGGGGAGAAACATTAGCCGCCTGTCAACATCCCGAGTTTTTCAATCAACCAGCCAGATAAACAATGGACTTAATATGTATATCCCCAACCAGAACCAGAAATATTATTGCCATTGGCTTTGTTCTCTCATCTATAGTAGGGCATACGTTCAGCATGGAAAGTTAGCCATAGCGTGTCAAGATATAAGCTGTCGAGATATATCTGTGCACAACCCAGACATTCCGGAAAAGCATCTTTTAAATATGGAAAGTCGCATTTAGCACCACATGCAGACTAGTCAGACTATTGAAGGTGTTCCCCGACCGCCCTCTGTTATAGAGAAGGTGTCCCTTATATCAATCTTGGGTGGATCCTTGGTATTTTTCCTGTAGAATTGCCTATCCATTATATAGTATTTACCAATCTACTATACCCCCCTCTAAGTATCTAGTATACCCTTATATTTCTATTATTACCCTACCAATCTATATTAGATCCTATATAAACTAGTATTATTAAAATTATTACTATATATACTTTCTAGCTATCTAAGAATAATTTTTTTTGCCCCCCTTTATTTGAAGGATTCCATTGCGAACGTCTCCTTTACTGACTACTAGCAACAGGCCAGGATCTAACTGCTCCTCTTTCCAGTGGTACCCATGATTACTGACCAGGAATATAGCTGGACTAGGCTATTTTCTCTACCGCTCTTAATCTTAAGGCTTACTTTAAATTATTTCATAAAATTATTATCATGTACACTGGGGTCTATAATAAGTTTATTATAAAGGGAATTAATATGGTTAACTTATTATATATAGAGTATGATATAGAAACTCCTGAAGAGGTATAGAACGTAAGCACTTACCATTCCAGCTTGTCTTTTTTGTTTTTTTTTTCCTGCCGCTTCTCGACAGGCTAGAGTTGAGTCAAAGCATGAAAGGATGTCGCTAACAAGAGCCTTTAGATCGTGGACCAGAAAAAATAAGGAAATAAGTCTATACACCCAGGCATAATTGCAGGTGTCCATAGCACTGTCAAGGAGGTAAGTATATCTTTTCTAGGCATCTGTCTGTCGCTAACCTGCCCTAGAAACAGGATCAACTCTTCAGAGATCTGGGATGGACCGTCAAGGAAAAGCAAAGCTCCCTCTGTATTTCGTTCCTGCGAAGCCTGCCCCGGCCGTGGCTGCAGCAATCATAGCCTCCAGCAATACATCAAACGAGGCAGCGAAGAAAGGTATCGAGCAGTCCGGCAAGTGCCTCACCCGGAAACTGGCCGAGACCTCGTGTATGGTAAGTCTGACTTTCAGAACATGCCTAGATTATCAATACGGTACTAACGATACAACACCATAGTTGAACGAATTTGATGTGTTTACCTAAATGCGATGTTACGGCCTTCCTGGGCTCAAGGCTCATTGCTACCATCCTTTATGCTTTCATTCCGAAACCAGCCCTAGGAGATCCAAGTATTGGATCAAATTTCCACTAAAGGCTAAATCAATTCCCAATTATGTCATTCGTTCCAATACCGAATTCAGAGAATTCAAGTAGAATAATCTATTATCAGTCTAGATGAGCGCCAGTTTCCATGACAGGAATTTACTCCGCGCACTCGCCTTCAAGGGCAGAAGATCACAGACTACGAATGGGTTGCGCCTGATTTTGAAGACCAGATTGAGGATGGTTAACGAGGGTGGATCTACCAGAGGGAACTGGTCTTGAAACCAGAGTAAATAAATGGCTAATGACCACGGCATAATCCAGCGGACTCATATCATTAATATCTTAAGCTTCTGCTTTGAGCAATGTCGTATCAGACAGACTAAATATGTGCACTGAAATATTTAATAGAGCTATATTTTGCATTGATTATCACAGTCAACAAGGGAGGTACTTCTTGAATTGCTATTATTCACAATTCTATATGAGGCTCACTCTTTGGTCAACCTAGATGACTCACCTACCCTTTGTAATCACTAAGGAAAGAAATCGTTGAGATAGAAACTGAGACTGGAGTGGGTGTTATGTTGGCCTGCAATATATATTTCTGGTACCTGGGTTAATCAGATTTTTCAACCACAATTCTTACATAACCAGTAGTCTCACCAATAGACACAATCTAAAAAATAAGACTAATATGTGAAAGATAACAGTTGCCTTGCAATGATATCAAGCGAAGATCCCCTCCAGCGCGAGGATTTCCCTTTCCGGTTAGCCTTTTCCTCTTCCTCCTCGGAACGTCGGAATCGCCAACTTCTTTCCTTCTCTCTTCCTGCACAGCACGACCACCACTACCGTTATTATTATCAAAATTCCTTGTCTTATTGTACAACGCATCTCCACGCAGCCAGCCCTGATAGTGGAGACTCCGGAATTTGTCGAGTTATGCACAATGGACGTCTCATCACCTGCCAAGCGAGGCGGCGACGTTCCGGATCAGCCTCGGAGCAAGAAACGGGCCAAGTACACTCTGCGCGCTTGGTAGGCTTTCTTTTTTTCTGATCATCAATGTGCTTTTTTGGATGTAGGCTAACTGAAAGTTCAAGTAATGAGTGCAAAAGACGTAAATTGAAATGTAGTGGTGAATCTGTCTGTTCCCGATGTGTCCGAGATGGCACGGAATGCATCTACGCCAACGGCAATCTCACGCCTGCTCCGGAGGGGGATTTCAAAGACGACAGGTTTGTCTCTAGTTTGCCAGATGGTAGATGCGACCTTGCTAATTGAAGCAGATTAAACACTCGATTCAAAACTGTCGACTACCAGATTGAAACTCTCCAGCGGGAGATGCGGACACTCTCAGAGCGCATGCATGAGCTGGAGTCGAATTCGCACACAAATTCGAACTCGACCATGTCTACGACTAAGGATGGACCAACTTTGAACTCTTCATCTGCTCCGTTATCTACTCACATTGGACTACATCGGATTATGAATGCGCCCAAGTCGCCTTCCTATGTGGGTCCCACGAGCGCGGAGTTTGGTATAACGGCGCGACAGAAGCCACCTGATGATAGTGATGATGAGGACTTGCAATCGTCAAGTACACGCAGTGCAGGGGCATCTGAAGCAACAGGGCTAACAGATGACCCGCTACGCAGTCTGGGCCAGACGGAAGCTCTACGTCTCGTGGGGGTGTACGAGAACACCGTCGGGATAATGTACCCCTGTGTCGATCTGGACAGCGTCCGAGCGTATATCATCGACTTTTACCGAAATGACGGGTGTGATGTCCCAGCTTCTCCGTCGAAAACGGAGACAGAGCAAGATTGGTTCATTGCGCGGGACGTGGAGTTTTTGAAAATCCTTCTAGCTACGGCTTTGTTGGCGGAGTCGCATGGGAGGAGTGAGAGGGCAGCGCAGTTGGCGGATAGTGTGGAGGATCAGTTTGCGAGTCGGTTGAAGGTTGCGCAGGTTGATATGAAGGAGTTGTTGATTTTGACGTTGTTGGTATGTATATTTGTATCTTTTCTTGATGAAATTGCTGACTGAATAGTCTATTTTCCATTCTTATCGTGACGATGAAGTTATTGCCTGGCGGTTAACTGGTATGGCTGTGAGGGGAGCAATGGAACTTGGGCTGCACTGTCAAGATACCTGGACGAAGACGAATGGCGTGTTTCCAGGCGAACTCCAATGGACCTGGGCTAGTCGACTGTTCTGGTGTATCTACGTCCTCGATCGCAAATGGTCGTTTGGAACGGGTCTCCCATTTGCTATTCAAGACTCCGACATGGACACCAACCTGCCTCAACCTGGGACGGCAACGCCATACCTGACGTGCATGATATCCTACGCCCGACTAAGTACCAAGATCTGGGAATTGGTGGTCGGCTGGCGCAATCGCCCTCGATCCAGTATCACGGATAACTGCGCATACCTCGATTTTCAGGTTCAGCAATGGATCCAATCTATTCCCAGCGAGTTGCGCTTCGACCCGACATGGCGTTCAACTTCTGGGTCTGACGAGACTGACAATATGACCATGTTACAGGTTCTGCTAGCTCTACAAGCTAACCAGCTTCGCATTCTGGTCTACCGTCAATACCTTCTCACAACGGAGAGCATCGATGGCGACGTCTCGGGCGCCTCCATCGCCGTCGAGACGGCCAAAAGCACGGTGCACATGCTGGACTACTACAGTCGCGTGTCAAACATCTACTTCCAGCGACCGGAGCCATTTAACTACTTTTTAATTTCGGCCTTGGCAGCCCTCTTCCTAGCCGTGTTACATGCTCCTACACGTTTCAGCACCGTGTGTCGGCCCGAGTTCTACGCCGCGGTGGACATGGTGCGACGATCGTCCACGCGAGCCAGGACTTCCCGTCGGTTACAAAAGATCATTAAAAGCTTGAAACTGATACAGTTGAATTTGGGAATGTCCAAATCGACTCGCTCTGGTGATCGTCGGCGTGATAAGAATATCGGTCCTGCTCAGAATCAGGAGTCTAACACTCCTTTGTCATCGACGACTCACTCTCATACGCCACTGCAGACGCCGGGTATACCCACTCCACAGCCATCGGCTGGCTCGCTCTGGTCTGTGTCGTCGCCGAATACCGTTCCACCAGGTGACAGTAGTTGTGAAGATTTGACGAGCTTTTTCGAGATGGCGGGTGGGTTTTATTTTGATCCACGCGCGGTGACTAGTATGCCAGATGGAAATGGGCAGGGAAACGGAGAAATATTGGAGCCGGACGTGGCTGGTTTAGATGCGTTTCATGCAGAAGATGAAGCGTTGACAAGAGTCATGGCTGGACTAATGTAGCTTAGCCGAGGGCCGCATGTATATATTGGCCTTGGACCCTGCTCGTCGGCAAAAAGAAAATAAACTGATGAGTTGGAGAAGCGATGCTCGCCACGTGCTGGATTTATCCCGAATAAGCTGACAGGGTGGTTATATACAATATGGTCTGACACGTTATTTGTCGCAGATTGGTGTGGACCAGACACTAACGAGATTCCGCCACTGGGACCTCTCGTCTAGCGTTTCGCTGATGCTCCATTCTATAAACAGTGGCTTGATCAATTGAAAGGTCGAGTTTGACCATATTATCGATTAAACTAGCGGGATTATCTACCATTTTCCGGGCTTGTGAGTCCCGGTTTCAGTTGGCAAAGTGCCTGCATATCTTTACGATTCCAGTGAGGATCCATCGAGTTAATCCATCTTCGATCGATTGGTCCATTCATAGCAGGCCAAGGGCCTGAGTGAGAGAGCGTAGACTCCACTACTCTCACAACAGTCACCTATTCCCCCGAAGGTCCCTCAAGCACTGTATCTAATGCAGGTGCGCTGCCGAAATTTGGAGTCCCGTCAGAGTTCCAATCAACCTCTAAGGCCATCGTGTATCGGGTTCCATCGCAGGCTCCTTCGGGGTTCGATTCGGCATGGAACACGTTCCAGATTTGTGTGCCATCTGGGCTATTGAAGAATCTGCTACTGTTAGAACCGACATCGCACGTAGGAAGAGGTAGGTAAGCGGACTTACCCATTATGACCCGTTCCATAATTGCCATTGGCAGAGATGAATACCGGACCACCGGATTTCGTCCATGAGGTTGCCTCAAGCGGGTCGCCTGCGCCGTCGTACGTGAGGAGCCCGAGCGAGTAGTTGGCTGTCCAGCAGTAGGAGGCTGAGTAGGCTAGCCACGTTTTCCCATCGTGATACAGTGGCGCAGGGCCTTCGTTTACTGGTACTTCGACCGTTTCCCAGTCCTCGGTTGGCTTGGAGAGGGTGTACGTTGTTCCGAGCGTGGATGGGTCATCGAGTGTGGCGATGCAGAGGGATTGAAGGCTGTCCACCATACAGGACCAGACGAAGTAGTTTTTGCTGTCTAATCTGAGCACTGTTCCATCTATGCCCCATTCTGGTGTTAATTGTGCGAGATAGCTGTATGTGTCCCAGGGAGAGGAGCCGCCCTTTAGGACGAAAGAGCGTTGGTCGTCTAGAGTGTCGCTGCTGCCGGCTGTGTAGAAGATGTACCATCTGTGTATGTTAGATTGGTTCAATATAGCGTATGTGAGATAACTTGCACGCCATTAATTTGGTGGATTTCTGGTGCCCAGACGTTGCAACACCTCGAAGCTGTTTCATCTGTCCAGACGGTTTTCACTTCGCCTGCCTTGAGACCTTCAAGTGTTGTAGCTCGTGTAATTTGGATATCTGTCCATGTTGTCGTGGTCAAGTAGTAGTATCCATCTTCATATACGATAAACGGGTCACTGCCGTCGGTTTGCTTGAGTGGATTGATGAATGTTTCTGCCGATACGGTGGTAATTAGGAGCAGTAATTGTAGGATTGCTCGGAAGAAATGCATTTTGATTCAGCCTCTGTCGCGTGCATATTGTCTAGTTGAACCTTTAGCATCATTTATATATCCCTGTCTAAACCCCTCAACCACGTCATATCGACCGTCAGCTAATACGTTGTACAGAAGTACAAAAGCAGACCATCAGACCATGGCAGCGATTGGTGGAACGATAACATGTCAAGACCCGGCCACATCTTGTCCTGAGGGGAAAAACCAACAACGTCTGAGGCCAAGAGTCTATTTTATATTACTTTGCTGAGTCCATCGGATAAAAGATCAAGTTGGTGTTTTAACCGATTCTGCAGGGGATTTTGCAGATATCCTGCACGGCAATTGAATCGGTCCCCCACATCTCACTCCGGGCGTTCGGAGACTCCGCATGAGGTGATTGATGACTTGATTCTTGTTCACTGGATTTGCAGTGTTCGTGGGAAATCCAAAATCCCCTTATCGGAAGATCATAAACCTACCATAGCTATCAATTGAATACCATATGGAATACTATACTAAGTAATTAAATAAATTACTCACTAATATGTTAGTCTAAAGTACTACACTTAAATTACCACCCTTTAAAGAGATAGTAGGATACTATACTATTTTGTGACTAAATAATTCACTGCCCGTTCTACCAGCATAATGATTTGAAATTGTTGTTTTTGCAATTTGCACGCTATGGCTTGCTGTAGACGCAAGGTTCTTGCAGAATAGCGTGGCACACGAGTCGGGTGAACCCGATGGGTTCTGAGGCGAGTTCATCTGGATTTCTTAACTCAATGAGTTGAGTTGGTCTTTTTAAAAACTCGACTCGATGAAAATAATCAATGAGGTTGCGTTCAAGGCGAAGGGCCCACCTCGACTCGTCAAGTTGAAACGCGAGTTAAGATGGCCACCTCGATCTCGACTCGTGTGTCACGTTATTCCGAAATATACCTAAACGCCCCTAAAGTGAGACGTGTGGATATTCCACAAATTATGATACATCTCTCCTGATAAGCCCTAAGAATGAGATACCTCGAGGACATATAACAGCCAGCGTACCCAATATAATGGCAAGAAATCAACCCATCGCTTCAAGCTATTTTGTGCTCCTCAGACATGGCGTTGTTATCTCTTGTCTCGCTGTCTCTCCTCTCCTCGCTGGTCCAGGGATATGCTAACCCCGGATCATGCTCTGGGGCATGCAATGTCCATGACCCTGGATTGATTCAACGGCAATCTGATAAGGTGTATTATCGTTTCTCAACCGGTAACAAGATTTCGTATGCATACTCCTCTTCAATTGAGGGTCCGTGGACAAATGTTGGTTCAATGCTGCCTGATGGGTCGTCAATCGATCTGGAGGGAAATGATGATCTCTGGGTATGTGATTTCCTCTCGAGTGTCTCGATTGTCGTCCTCCGTTGCAACATTTGTTTTTGATTGGATGTTGGAGGTGCAACAAGCCGCAAGCCATGATATACTGAACCATACAGGCACCTGACGTTCAATTAATCAACGACGTATACCATGTGTACTATTCAGTATCGAGCTTCGGATCTCAGAACTCTGCAATCGGGCTTGCCACGTCCGAGACGATGGACGAAGGATCCTGGACCGACCATGGCTCGACCGGTGTTACCTCCAGCTCATCCAAAAACTACAATGCCATTGACGCCAATGTATTGAATGATGGCGGCTCGTATTACATGAACTTCGGTTCGTTCTGGGGCGACATTTACCAGGTTCCTCTGAACTCGGCTGCAACGAAGGCTGCTTCGGCGTCGTACAATATCGCGTTTGATCCGTCCGGTACCCATGCCGTCGAGGGGTCATATTTGTATAAATATGGTGACTATTACTATCTGTTTTATTCGGCCGGCATTTGCTGCAGCTATGACACATCGCGCCCTGCCAGTGGTGAGGAATACAAGATCAAGGTTTGCCGTTCTTCATCGGCAACAGGCAACTTTGTAAGATTTTTCCAGTTGTATGATCATGTGGATGAAGCTGATTGTTCAAGGTCGATGCGGATGGCACTGCCTGTACGAACGGTGGCGGAACCGTCGTTCTCGAAAGTCACGGAACCGTTTATGGACCTGGTGGACAGTAAGTAACCCTTTTTGCTGCGATATTCAAGTTATCAGGATATGTTTGTCTAACTCTCTATAGGGGTGTTTTCACCGATCCTGACCTTGGCCCTGTGCTTTATTACCACTATGTCGACACCACAATTGGCTATGGCGATGGCCAGAAGTTGTTTGGATGGAACAAGATTGACTTTTCCAGTGGATGGCCAGTTGTGTAGATTAGGTCTTGTTGGTAGCAAGATGGCAGACCTGCTGTCCAGCTCATCGGACACTTGCTAGTATAATAGCTGAATTGATCCACAATGCTGAAGCATTTCGATTCTCTTCGGAGTGAGACGCGTATTCAGTGCAGCAGATGCTGGCAGTCTACGTGAAGACGTGATGGTGCGAGTGAATGAAGAGGCGTTGGTCACGGGGTCATGCCTTAGGCCTTCGAATCCTCTCGAATTCGCATCTAGTTCTTTAGGCAAGCAGACTCTGGGATACTCATACGCCACAAAACAGGAGTCCCTCTAAGAGAGAAATGCCCGGTTCCACTAAAGGCTTTATCCTGTCACTCTTGAGTGTGTTTATGCTTTTTCGCTACTGCCCATGATATCCATCCACCGCTCTGTTGACCTGGTCAGAACCTCGATCCCTTCGTCCATCACTTGCGTCAAGGGTTTATGAATATTGGCTCTGAGATAGTCATACCAGGGGTCCAACACCAGCTTGTTGACGTTGAACTTGGTGACTCCTGCCTCGATGCAAGCTCTAGATAATTCCGGAGAGAAATCGTTCGTTCCATGCAACACGAGGCGAGCGCGCCCATTCAGCGCCCGAAAGATTCGTTTGAGACTGCCAGAGTTAAGCTTGTCAGCGACCCCTGCCCGAAGGAATCTGCTATATTCTCACCGTTCCATGTCCAGTTGTGGGCCCTTCGGACCATAGTCACCGTGAAGATTGCCAACACTCGGTGCAAGAAAGTCAACTCCTGCACCTATAAACTCTTCGACATCCTCTGCGTTTGTCAAAATCCCTGCATTGAGAGTTCAGCTGACGATTTCATTCATCTTAGGACTCTCAACCGAGCCTACCTGCTAGATCCCCAGTGTCCATAATACCATCCTCGCCGCCCTCAATCCGCCCTGTTTCGGCCTCGACGGAAATACCTTTTGAGTGACAATATTCTCGCAGAGTCTTGGTCTTGACGATGTTTTCCTCTTTCTCATAGTGGCTCATATCTACCATTATTGAATCGAAGGGAAGCGTATTCGCTACTTCCTTAATCTGATCCCAGCTCTGCGCATGGTCGAGATGGATGGAAATAGGAACCGAGGCGGATTTGGCTGCTGCTGCCGCTGCATGGACAAGAGATGGTGTCTGAACGAGGGACGAGGGAAATAATTGAATGATCAATGGGGACCTTCGATTTTCGGCTGCTTTCACAAACGCTGTAATATGTTCGACATTATACCTGGAATTATCAGCGCCAAATCATAGCAACCTCACTATACTGACGTACACGATTGCTGCCAGGACACCGTATTGGCCCTTCTCTGCTGCATCCAGAATTTGCAGTGTTTTATTTCCCGTGCGCCAGTCCATTTTATGAATAGTAGGTGGCACCTAATTGATGGTCAACTGGAGGAGCGAGAAAAATATAAATACCCATCCTCTCCTTGTTGATCCCGCTGCGATCATCCGCTCGTCTCGAGGCATGGTTGGAGTTGCCTGATGCGGCATCACTAAGCACTCCCGCGGATTCGTCTCTTCTTTCCCCACCGACCGCACCGATCCTGCAGCTCCGAGTCGAACTCGCCAACTCGAACCTCGTCGCGATCGGGACGTGCAGCAAGCACGCATCGCTTGACTGGCCTACTGTGTTTGTACATTGTGCATTTTTCCGGTTTCTGCATCGCTCTATAGCGTCCGCTGTCAGAAATCCTAGTCCGATCCACCATGTCCGCTGTCACGCAAGGAATCCCGCGTGGCGTTCGAAAACCACGGAAGTCCCGCGGCCGTGGTCTGCGAGCCACTACTGGATGGTTAGTGTTGTCTGCGGAATGTGAATCCTATAGTATCGCTAATTGACTCGGCTACCAAAAGTCTAGTCTGCAAGCGCCGTCATGTGAAATGCGATGAGGTATGTTGATCAACCGATTTTTCAGCAGAATCAGACCCTCATGTTCTTCTTCCCAGGTTCGACCTCAATGTGGTCCATGCGCCAAAGGGCAACGTGGCTGCGTTTATGGGAACAATGGTGATGGCAGTGATGCTGCTATTTTACAAATTGGCCGCACATCTACGACTCCAAATCCTCCAATTGACTCTCCTACTCCAGTCTCTCCCCAGGTTCACGAGCCTCTTCGGGCGCTTGTTGACGCGTGCCACCATGAGAACCAGGTGCAGCACCAAAATGCCCACTACCAAGAATCTCTTTCAAGGTCTGCCAGCTATCGAAATAACCAGACGCTGTCTCCTTATATAGCTCCTCTTAACCACGGTCCCGTCGCCTCCCCAATCTCTCCACACGAATACGTGCTATCCTCCGGCACTGATTCCTCCGTGTCAACGAGAGTTGCTCCGCTGAGTTGGTTCGAACTTCTAGCCAACGACGCAGCAAATACAAACAGAGACTTTTTTCTCCCGTCCCATAAAAGGGCTCCATCCGCGAGAACAGGAGAAGGCTCTGGCGATTCGCTACAAAGTCCAGTCTTCCAGCCCCGAAATCGAAGAGAGAGAGAAAGCTTTCAAGCAGCATCATTCCAAAATGATCCTGATATTGAGGATAGATTGGTCTCAGGGCCTGCGGAAGGGTCATCGAATACATTGCCAGACGACCCATCATCATGGAATACAAACGCTCCCATTCAACTGTCACACCAGGAGTACCGGATGTTTAACCACTTCGTGCGTAAAATGAGTTCATGGCCAGACTCGTTTGACACCTTCAAACATTTTGCAACTGTTGTCCCTCATCTAGCCCTCAGGAATGTTGGTCTCATGAAAGCACTACTTGCATTGTCTGCAAGGCACCTATCGATTTGCAATGAGACAAATGGCTATCATTTCAGCTTCGACAATGCTGGTCGGGGCATGCAACTGAATTCAACAGACACAAGGCCCGCCTCCTCTTCTGAAATCGATCGCAACATGGCCGTAGAATATTACTTTGAAACTCTTCACTATCTGAACAAGGCCATGCGGTATCAGTCATATGCACGCAGCCATGAACTAATAGCGACTGCTCTCTTAATCAGCACGTATGAAATGATCGACGGTTCCAATCGAGATTGGGAGAGGCATCTTAAAGGAGTTTTCTGGATTCAACGATATCAGAATAATGACGGTGAGTCTGGAGGGATTCGTCAAGCAGTCTGGTGGGCCTGGCTCAGACAAGATGTATGGGTGGCCATGCGCGAGCGGCGTCGGGTTTTCACCTTTTGGAGGCCCAAAAAAACAATCTCTATGTTAACAACCGCGGAAATGGCAAATCGCGTCTTCTGGGTGTTGGCGCAATGTATCAACTATGCATCGCGAGAAGAGTCCCAATCGTCAGACATACAGAGCCGCCTGGAACGAGGAAACGAGCTACTCCACATGCTGCAAGAATGGTATGATCATCTCCCGCGGGAATTTAATCCTCTTCCAATTGCGGAAATGTCGGGAATTTTCCCTGCGATATGGGTCCATCCTGCTCCCCATGCCGCTGCCCTTCAAGTGCACAGTCTGGCCCGGATTCTTGTGATTTTGCATCGCCCCTCCATTGGTGGACTCCAGGACTACCGGGCCGGGCAAAAGCTTCTGACAACATCTGTAAACACTATTTGCGGGATTGCTCGGGCGATTGATGAGGATGAGGAGGCTGCTAGTCTGGTTTCTCTACAGTGTCTCTTTGGAGGTAAGTTTCCATCGGTTGGTTTTCATGGTATCTGGATTCAAAAGGTGACTTATTTTTTCAGCTGGAATGAGTGTTCATACACCTCACGAACGAATTGCACTGCTTGACCTCATTGACACATTCCAACGGCGGGTCCGTTGGCCGGCCGGCTCTTTGAGGAAAGATTTGGAATTCGAATACCAAAAAGATGAGCTATCCGCCTTCGCCGGATGAACGTATCATGATCCATAAACACTTATAAGACCCCGACCGACTTCGCATGACATGCCATAAAGGTGTTTGTGAATACCATTGCAAACCTATTTTACACCGGACGCCACATCATCATAATAAGTATAACAGAGAGTATCATATACGCATGTCTCGTGAAACCAGGAATAAACTTCGCCCCTCAAGTATAGCCACCTCTACTCGAAACCGAGATTCTCCTCCGATAACCACTGACGAAGTCTGAACATACCTTCGGATGATATGGCTCGCTATTGTTGCACAATTGACTTGGCATGGCGACGCATCCAAATGTGCAGCACTATGAATAGAATCACTCCTAGTGCTAGCATTGCGGAAATTACTGCGAAGCCCATGATATATTTCGGGCTATCTGACTTGGGGAACAGGTACTGTGGTGCTGTTAGTCCGATAAAAATTTGCTCCTTTGCTTTATTCACCATACCGAGCCGTATATCTGAGCTAGGTTTCCCAGCGCATTCACCAAAGCCAAGCTGACACCTCGTGTTTGTGGGTTCATATTGGCGAACGCCGATGAAGCATAAGCAAGTGTACCTCCGTTGGTCGACCACAGACCTGCTGCCATCAAAACAAGGAGAGCGTATCGTGCTGTGTAATCATAGACGAGACAGACTGCAATTGAACAAGCGAGCGAAAAGGCCAGCCAGCCGGCTATGATAATGCCTCGCCATAAAGGGACCTTGTCGCTGAAGTATGACGTGACACCAGTGCACACGAAAGCCACGCCGTAGATTGGAACGGTTAGGAGGTTTACTTGCATTGTGGATGAGCTGCCAAACAGACCTTGCACAAGAGTTGGGTAAAAGTACGAGAGAGTGCTAGAGCCGACAATAACCTACCCAGACATTAGCACCTTCTGCGTTATAAAGGAAAGGCTTCTTACCATGTATCCGACGACGAACATCCATGTCCGCCAGTTCTTGACAGACTCAACAGTAGCTTGCCATGGAGTCAACCGTTCACTGTCCTCTGTCATGGCCGTTACATTGTCTGCCTCCAAGCGTGCGACGGCAATATATCGCTCTCGAGCTGATAGGCGCTTAGTCGTGGCAGGGAAGTCTGGAAGAATAAACACGGCCAATAACGCAAACCCAACAGTAGCGGCTCCTTCGACAATAAAAAGCCAGCGCCATCCTCTAATCCCATGTACTCCTTCCAGACCATTGACAATACCTGCTGCAATCAAGCCGCCGAAGGCCCCTGAAAGAACGGCGGCTGAAATGTATATACCGAATCGCTTGGATTGCTCTGTTCGTTTATACCACGATGAGATGACGAGAAGGACGCCCGGTGCGAAACCAGCTTCCACGCAACCTACGACCTGAGGTCAGATCTTTGAAACATATGATGTTTGAGGAGGAGTTTGGTCTTCGAAAGCAATAGCGGACTTACCTATTATTGTTCGCAATACAACGAGGTGCTTGAAGTCCTTGATGACCCCCATAACACATGTCAAGGCCCCCCATATGACCATGATACTCGGAAGGAATATGGATGGTTTTGTACGACTCAGGACAAGACTAAATGTGTTTTATTATTATCAGGGTCGGCACTGTCGAGGGGTAACGAGAATAAGGTGGGAGGCTGCTCACTTGCTGGGAACCTCGAACACAACGTATCCGACAAAGAATACCACGAGCGAAATGGAGTATTCGTTGGAAGACAGGTTAAGATCTTGCTCCATCCCAGATATTTTGGCGTTTCCAATACTGCATCGATCATTGTCAGTGGCAGAATCTCCTCGTAAAGGCCCGTGCTCTCAAGAAGGACATACTTTGTTCTGTCCATGTAAGAAAGAAGATACATAATCCACATCGTGGGCAAGAGAAATAAATCGACTTTCCAGACAAGTGCTCTCTCTTCCTCGAGTGAGAATGATGACGCATTTTCCTCGGGGGCATGCTCTACTTCCATCGAGGCAATGCCCTCCTTGCCATCAATATCGAGATCACCTGCCATTATGCAGAGTATTGTAGCCTCGTACAGAGGAAGGTAATGTCAAGAGCTTATGTGAGAATCGATGGAAATGAGAAGAAGACAAGTATAATAATATCCTGCTCTGCAACTAAGGACCTATGGTCCGAGGCCGTCACCGGATATTTATGCTGCCGCCCCTGACAGGAGGCATCTTCAGGCCGGGATACCATGATAGGAATCATCAGCGGAGAAAGGCGCCACAAAAAGGATGTTGACAAGGAGGTATCCCTTGCAGAACCTGAAATCGTCGAGTGATGACATCCTCTGCAACCATCCGACTCGGTGGGCAGTTCAGCAAGCAGTAAGACGGGAGCCTACTCGATGCTTGCCATAAAGCAACACTCTCGTCTCACACATCGATACCCACCCCCGCAAAATCATCATGCTTCCCCCGCAAACCTTGTTCCCGATCTGTCTTTCCGGAAGAATGTGCCAGGCCGGAGGCGAGAAACCTCGACTCGAGGCTATGGAGACCCGCCCCGGCTCGGTGTTACTCCGGGCATATAGCAAGCTCTGATTGGCCAATATTGACACGCAGTCAATCGACATTCGCACATGACGTCAGGCTCTATTTTCATTCTGGCCAATGTCGATATCGTCAACATGCAGGAATTCTTCAGGTACCGCGATGCGAAATTCCGGGCGATGCCTCGAGCCGAACATAAACGTGTCATACCACATGCATCCCACAGTCGGGAGGGAACCGATGGTGCCGTGATGGTCTTTTCCTGCCTGGTGGAGAGAAAGTCGCTTCGAGCTATGCTATTTCCCTCGCCGTAAGGAGTATTAAAGCGAGCGCTTCCTTTCATCTCACTGGAGAATGCACCTTTCATTCATCCTTCTCCCATCAAATTCAAGATCTTTCACTACCAACAATAGTTCCACTCTCTAATCTTTCATCGCCATCATGCCCCCCGTCGCGACCGAGAATCCTACAATGGAGCCTACCAAGGCCGAAACGCCCGCTCCATATCTCAGCACTATGCCTTCATCGGATTTCAGTTGGCAAATAACACTAGCCGAGAAGGTCGTCGCAATTACAGGCGCCAACCGTGGAATAGGCTTGGGCATTGCAGAAGTTTGTCTCGCAAACTCAGCCAAGTTTGTGTATTCTCTCGACTTGATGGAACCCGGTGAGGAGTTTGAGGCATTGCAGAAGCGATACACAAATTTGCGCTATGTCCAAACAGATGTAACAACGGAGGACAGTATTGAGAAGGCCGTCAATCAGATTGTTGAGGAGACTGGGCGCATAGATGGCATGGTTGCCAACGCCGGAATGACCAAGCACCAGCCGGCTCTGAAATTCGACCGTGAAGAGTTAGACAAACTGTTTAATCTCAATGTGGGTGGTCCTCTTCTTGCTATGATAGCATCTTCTCTAACAAGGGCAGGTTTTCGGTGCATACTTCTGTGCACAGATTGTCGCTCGTAAATTTATCGAGCTTGGAATCAAGGGGTCAATTGTCATGACTTCCAGCATGACCTCCTATCGACCAAACAGAGTGAGTGCCATAAAGTCCGATGTATATCCGAGATGCTAATTGATAATTCCACAGGCCGCTCCGTCAGCTCCTTACGGTGCCACAAAAGCTGCTGGTGAGTAGACGCACTGCATACCTCCCATGTTCATATCAGTCACTAACATTTGTTCAGTTCGGAATATGTGCCACACCCTGGCGATGGAATGGAGCAAGCACGGCATTCGCGTCAACAGTGTTTCTCCCGGATTTGTTCGGACAGCGATGACATACTACGTCGAGAGATCACCGGACTGGGATCTCAAGATGCAATATTACGGTGGCATGCCTCGACTTGCTGACCCTCGGGAACTGGGTGGTGCATATGTTTATCTACTTAGTCAAGGAAGCTCCTACACCACCGGTATCGATATTCCAATCGCTGGTATTGTCGGCGCTTGGTAGATACAAATATCATATGATAACTCCAGTATATATATATATATATATACCTTAACTAGTTTTCTTTTCAAATCAAAATATTTTACCTCGATGCTTCAAGGATAGCGTAATTGGCATTATGGCTCTCGTCGATTTCCTAACTCTGCTTTGTTTCCAGTTGAGTCGCAACTTCCTCGTTTGCCATCGAGACCGACAAGAGAAAATGAATCGCCATCGCCTGGGGAAAAAACATCAATAACCAACACAACACAACAATCTACCATCGAAACTCATTGACTCCCCCACTAGAATCCGGGTATCCCATCATCCACGTCCGTCAAAATTCCCTGCGTCCAAAACTTTGAAGAGATATTCACCGAAGCCCTCCTTTTTATCTTTCTCCTACTCACGGCGGTTATGGTTCTTCGCTTTCTCTTCGGGGTGATACGCATATTTGAGCTGTATCTTAGAACCATCATCTTCGATCAGTATGCATACCCTTATATGTAAATACTGCGCTATTGGAGAAGCTAACGCGCTCAGCTCTGATCATCGTCGCCGCCGCATGCGGCTGAGTGGGATCGCGCCAGAGGCTGAGATGGATAGTGAGGATGGATTGCAGGATTCGGATGATACTGAGAAGAATTGTGTCGAGTGAGATCATGAACGCACGTGCCGTGTAGGCGGAATGGCTTTTTATGGATTGTCTGATCTATACGTTACTTGTTCCTGTGCAAAGCACGCATGGCTATATAAGATTATAATGATACAGCACCAAAGCGAGAAGTATGAACTGGAATATCCAGAAATAGCAATTTATCTGTTCGTCAATCTCACTATCCAATGAAGCAATATATATGATCGATACCCCTCTTAGAACTCCAGATTGAAAATATACGCGCGCTGAACCCGTCTGCTATATTCACTCTTTTTCAGGGCCACAATATCAAACGGATAATCCTCTAGATCGGTAAACCTCCCTGGATCAATTCCTTTGGTCCGAATACAACAGCCACATCCGGATGTGCAATGGCCTCGATGATGCTCACGCTTTGTGTGACGATACTGGGTGCAACATCCACACTCTCTCCCACAACACCCTCCTCTTCTGGCACAATCTGTCTTTAGCCAGTTGAAGAGAAACCAGTCTGACCTTCTCCTGGTGACTGTGAATGCCCGGCCTAGAGGTCCCTGGGGCGTATTTCCCTCTACATTCCACAGTCGTCTGCGACAGTCGAAGTATTGCTGATTCAACATAACAAGTTCTTTCTCAAACGCAATTGTCTCCCCCTCATTAGACTTTGAAGATGAAGAAGAGGAGGAGGAAGAAGAAGAAGAAGAAGAAGACAACTTCTGCGCCTTTCGCAAAGCAGCCAACTCCTCTTTCACATAAATCTCCCTCTGCAAAATCCATCGTCCCTCAATATCAATCTCAACAACACTCTGGAACCACTTTAGACTGCGTTTATTATAGTATCTTGCATTAAACAGCTTCCAGCGCATCTCCTGCGCCGCGTCAGACAGTCCCCATTTTTCAAGCGTCTCCTCCGCCTCTTCGACTGTGTCGATGAATTGGAAGGTCAATTCGTTTGCGCTGTTGATGATTTTGAGCCGTTCTGGTGTCGATTGGCATGATTTGAGGTGGGGGAGGAGATCTCGTGCGTCAGAGGAATATTTCAGGATACTATGTAGGTTATGTGGTTTTGCTTTGGGCTCTGGTTCTGGGTTTGGCTGTTCTTTTGGCTTCCATTTTTGTTTGAATAGACCCATTTTGGGGCTGCTGCCTGGATTGTGGTGGTTAAGAATAGGCAGATGGGGTTTTCATCTAATGCCATATGTCGGGATCATAAATATGTCAGATGAGTTCATAAAGACTAGATGATACGAAGAATTTTCGATGTATTCACTCTATCCATGGTTCTCGTATAAAAGTCGAATTCCTGCTTATACTATTTGGGATATAGCACCCATCATCATAGTGTCCCATTAGAATCTCCCAGGTAAGTCACAGATGTCTATAGCAAGCACCTTCACTAAATCACCCTGAATAGTCTATATCAATAACCTCTCAATTAAAACCATCAAAACTCCTAAAATGGCCACTGAAAGTCCCAAGACCTGCTACACGGACTGGATTCTCGTTGGAGGCATCATCATATTCTTGCTTATCCTCGCCTTCTTTTTCATCTTCATATTGCCTGTGATGGTGCAGTTTTGGCTGGAAGGCCTCGTCTGCCAGCAGTATGTGGGAAGAATATTAAATATTGTTGGTAATGGTCGTATCCATCAAGAATAGTGCCGGCGAAGGTGTCGCTGCAGTTGAACAAGGTCATACTTGTGTAGTTTTCCAGTGAGCATTTCTTTGATATGAGTTCTCATTGCGTGCTGGCATTGTACGCTCTGGCTGTAAAATCAGCCAGTCAGTGTTGATGTTAGGGGAAGCCTGAGATACACAAAGTATATTTCGCCATGGCCTTTGCTGTGCTGGTGGGTGAATGAGTATACAACGGCCATATCAGACACATTGCTCAGTACATCCTGTTTCTCCGCCGAATAACCAATTAAACCATGCACAGCTTGACTCCCTCTGCCTCACATATCTCCTTAACTCCTGCAAAAGCTTCATGTATGTCAGTCTAGATTCTTCAACATTATTGATCGTTTCTTACCTTCACCCTCCTTCCCATATGTCTGTAATTCAATACCCTCCAGCAAGGGAAAGTCTGGTCTTCGTAGAAGCATCGCATTCAGCCCATTCACAGCAATAGGATAGTCCCTTTCCTGCACATCTTCCAAACGGAAATGCTCGAGACTATCCGGAAGAACCTCATCCAAAGACACCGTCGGCTGGTCGCCGTGACGGAAATCGAGCAAAATACGCAGTGGCATGCAGACCTCACGCAGGCATTCGAATTCCACCAGCGATCCAAACCACATCTCGTCCGGGTCCTCTTCCACGTCGTCGTACTCATAGAATATATCCGCACAACTGTCATTGGACACCCATAGTAGCTCCAGACTGTGTGTCTGAGTAAGCAGAGCATCGTGGATCAGCTGAGGCCTCCACGCGTAGTAAAGAGCATCGTTAACGGCGAGACATCGGTGTTCGTACTGGAAATGCTCCAGACCCGCACAGGCTGTGATATAGTCGGCCATTCCATGGTAGCCCGTAGTGGAATTGAGAATCAACTTCTTGATACTAGAAGATCCAGGAGAAGGCTTCGGCGGCGGATAGTCTTCAGCATCGTAGTGCAATTCATCATCAGCCTGCTCGTAAATCGCGCCCGCTTCAAAGACCCTCATGGCTGGGAGAAGAAAGAAAGGGAAGAATTCGCTCGCCGGAAAGCTGCAGTGGCAGTCACCGTGCTCGATCTCTACTTCTTGGAGATTCTGCAGCGGCATCCCTGTTGGACAATGGTCGAATGTGACTGAGCGTGTCGCGACTTGGGATAGAACCCGGATGATCCACGTTGTTGGGTAATCGCCATACTCAGCTTTGAAGCGTTGCAGATTCGGAAGGAGGGTGAAGATAATGGCCATCCAGGCGTCGCCAGTGGCTTTTCTTAGATCGCCTTTCCATCTCTCCAGCTCCTCTTGGTCGGTGGTGATCTTTTGCAGGATGTCGTCGTAACCATCTGCACCCCAGCAATCCTCGTCTTCGTCAAAGCCCAAGCCATCGACGCGTAGGTCATAGATGGCCGCGCTGAGTGCAGGGTTCTGTCGCAGAGAACGCACAAAGCCTTCGAACTGCTCTCGGTCTATCCTCAGGGTCAAGTCAGAGTAAATCTCCGACGAGAACAGATCGCGCCATCCCCGACAGATTAGTAGGATGTTTCGTCTGTCGGAGAAATCGTCGATGTATTTGTATATCTCAAGCAGTATTTCACTGGGAAGATTGTCCATTTTGTTTAAAGACAGAAGTGTGTTGAGTTGTTGACGTGTTAACCAGAAATCATATTTGTCGGCGAATATGGGGGCCATCTCCAAGGCGTATTGATCGGCCGGTCGGAGAGGTACGACAGTGACTGCAGTATGTATACATCTCCACAGATAAGAAGCCTACATGGCATTTGTATCCTTTGTCAAATGATTGAAGACACTCTAGGTGTTCATAATGCCATTTTCCAACTCAAATCGCAGCTAGGAGTATCCCACGGGAGTGATAAGGGTGTTGATCATGGGACGAGTGAAGTTACAGGGATACTATCAGGATGGAAATACGATAGATAGCGGGTGATCTTCATTGCGAGGCTGAGGTTTCTATATGAAACAATTGTTGGTTGATCAGCTCCAGCCTTGTCCAATCCATCCATCCTTTAATATAAAGGCAGTCGCATCCCTTCCCTACAGCAACACACATTGCCATGACAGACTCCAACCCTCCACGCCGCTACACGATAAGTCGACCGTCCCTATCGCTGGGGCTGTCGAGTTCCCCGGTTGATGTATAACACAGGTTGGGGATCCATGTTCATACTGATGGTTGATATATTCCCCTAAACGATTTCAGAATCCTTCTAGAAGGATTAAAATGATGAAAATGATGATGATAATACCTAGTGTGACGAAAGTTCCGGTGGGAGCGAGCGCCAGCGCCATACCGTCCAGTGGCCAAACACTTGAAAGTCATTTCGGTTTTTTAATGACTGAACGTGTTGAAATATCAATTCCATGAAGATTAATCATGGTGGTCACCTTTTTAGTCGAATGGATGGCTTCCACTGAACGTTTTGAGCAAGGGTTGTTGATGAAGGATAGAAGTGGATGAAGAAAGATGATAGATTTATATATTGGGGAAATGCGATATATTCACGGCAACTACATTCAATAGAAGCACAACTCTTATCATTCCAGGAAACAATCAATAATTCATAGATCGAGAAACCTATTTTGTATTCAATCTATCCAAAAATAGCCGATAATGACTGGCGATGACTCCTCGGTCGGTTCCGCTCTCGGCCGAGGCCCATTATAAGACTCACTCGTAGACTATCTTGACTTTCAACACATTTTGTTATCTTCAATATGACACCATCGCAAAAAGATAGTAAGTTGTCAAAGCACAATGTCGGCTGGCGACGTGTGGTCAGGAATTTCAGTCCATCGTAAGTCTACCCTCGTTATGGTGACTAGGCTAACGTTGCAGATGGTTTTCAACCACCATGGGAACTGGCATCGTGGCTATTCTATTTAATATTATCCCCTTCAAAAGTCCAGTCTTATATTATCTGTCAATCATATTCTTCCTCCTTAATGTCATTTTGTTCTTTGCAGCTCTTGGACTGTCGATTCTGCGATACGCATTATACCCCGAGATATGGAAAGTGATGATTCAAGATCCGACAAACTCTCTCTTTCTAGCTACCTGTCCAATGGGCTTTGCAACGCTGCTAGAGATGTGGATATTCATCTGTGTCCCTCTATGGGGAGATTGGGCGAGACGAGTGGCGTGGGCATTGTGGATTGTCGATGCTGTTGCTGCTGCGTCGGTTACCGTGTCTCTTTCTTTTATACTGTATGCCCTCATTTCCAATCTCTTATTATATATACTAATAGGTAAAAGTATTTCTCAAAAGCACATCACCTCCCTAGAGCGGATTACTGCCCTTCAATTACTCCCAATAGCGGCCACGATTGTCGCTGCAGGGACTGGAGCTGAAGTGGCAGAGATTCTGCCTGATTCTCATCGTGCGATGGCTACGGTGTTAGTATCTTATATTCTCTGGGGAATGGGAACACCATTAGCCATGGTTATTCTGGTTATTTACTACCAACGACTGGCAGTGCATAAACTGCCTTCGAGAGAGACAATTGTCAGCTGTTGCTTGCCTCTTGGACCGCTTGGTTTTGGTGGATATGGGTATGTATACGTTCCATCAATATATCTTGTACTAACAGAAATAGCATCATGTATCTCGGAAAAGTCGCTCGAGAGTTACTAGCGGATACGAACATACTCGACCCGATCGCTGGGAGTATCGCGTACGTGTTCGGGGTACTTTTGTCTCTCACCATGTGGAGCTTTGGGCTGATCTGGCTCGTCTTTGCACTGGCGACGATCTACTACAGCTCTCCATTCCCCTTCAATATGGGCTGGTGGGGATTCACCTTTCCACTGGGCGTGTACGCAGCCAACACGATCCAACTGGGGGTCGAATTGGATGTTACGGTCTTTAAGGTTTTGGGGACGGTAAGGTTTCAGATTATCCCTCATAGAGCTTGACTGAAATAGCCAGATATTGAGTGCTGCTGTCTTACTGCTGTGGACGGTTGTGGCGATTCGGACTGCGGATGGAGGATGGCGTGGAACTCTGTTTTATGCCCCGTGTTTGCAGAATCTCAAGACCAAGGAAGAGGAGAATATGGATGTTCTGTCGCATCGGCAGGCATGATGTTTAGTATTCAGTAGATATACGCTTTAATAGATATATTCTTTAATCGGTACTCTCCGTCTACTCTTATCTGTATCTCTATCTCCGATGTCGGAACAGGAGAATAATGGCAAATAATGGAGGAAGACTGAATGTCAGCCAAAGAGGGGGTTTGACATGCAAACTCTAATACCTTTCTTGATCGCCTCCGATTCGATGCTGGTGATGATGTGCATCCAGATTGCCTCTTTGACCGCGCGATGGCGTTTGATCAAACTCAGGGGCGTCGTTTATGCGGGGAAGAAAAATCTCTATTCTCCCCCGGAATAAAGAACGCTCATCCCCAGATCTTCAGATCGAATTCATTCTATTTCAAATAGAAACGGTTCTCTTCCAATCAGAGACTTTCTGATGATATCCGGGCCTTTCCGCTGTTCCTTCCAACGCAGTCGTCGTCCTCCTCGTATTCGGCCTGACGACTCCAATTCGCCCCAATCGCCCTGCTCCAACTCGTCCTTTTCCTCCGCTTCAACAGTCTGACATCCACTTCACTTCCATCCATCATCCTCAATTCTTTCCAGTTTGCTTGGTGTTAATTTAATGCCTACCCTCATGTCTGTTCATGTCACATCCCGAAGATTCCTATAGCGCCACCGTCTTGGAAGGTCATGCCCACAACTCGCTCGTCGCCGAGTACGTCTTTGCGACCTTCATCGGCCTCGCCTGGTGCAACGCCATCGAGCTCATCATCCTCTGCCTCCTCACCTTCAAGCGCTACCATGGCTACTACTTCTGGAGTCTCCTCGTCGCCTCCTTCGCCATCATCCCCTTCGGCCTTGGCTACATCCTCAAGATCTTCGGCATCTCAAACACCCACCATTACCTCGAAATCGCCATCGTCGATGTCTCGTGGATTTTCTTAATCACCGGCCAGTCGCTGGTTCTCTGGTCGCGATTACACTTGGTGCTTGATAGCCGGCGGGTGCTGCGCGGGATTCTGTATCTGATTATTACGAATATGTTTATCCTGCAGATTCCGAGTTTCGTGCTCGAGATGGGGACGAATTCGGGGTCGAAGGGCTTTGCGCGCGCGTTTAACGTCATGGAGCGGATTCAGCTGGTCGGGTTTTGTCTCCAGGAGCTGCTTATTTCGGGCCTTTATATCGTGGAGACGGTGAAGCTGCTCAGATTGCATCCGGGCGGCAAGTCGAGAGGGATTCTGATTCAGTTGATCATCGTGAATGTCCTCATCATGCTGATGGATGTCTGTGTGGTCGCGGTGCAGTATGCGAGTCTGTTCACCTTTCAAGTTACGCTCAAAGCGCTCGTCTACAGCATCAAGTTGAAGCTCGAGTATGTCATACTGGGCCGACTGGTGGATGTCGCGCATTTACGATCGGATTCGACGCAGGTTAATACGGATAGTTTGAATCTTTAATATTGTATATATTGTATATAGATGTATTAGACTAATACGACGTAATTATCATAATCAACTCATACATTCCCCAGTAAGTAGTCTAGTTGGAGAACTTTTCGGGCACTTTCTTTCTATACCAGAGTCAGTATCCATCTATCTAATCTTATATCGTGTATATTATAGTCATACCCAGTGAATTTCTCAAACTGCTCACGCGCACCGTCGGTGATCTTCTCGTTTGTTCCGCGCATCTTTTCAGGGTCGACCTTGCCACCGCCAAACTTGCGCTCTGCTGCGTCAAGGGCTGTGCAATATTAGTACCTCACTCTATGGTGTTTTCTGCTTATGAAGGATACACACCCTTGTCGAGGTAATCCTTCTGGCCGGAGCCGCCACCGCTGCCGCTGCCGCTGCTGCCGGATTGCTCGCTGGAGCCTTTGCTGCCGCCGAGCTTGGAGGCGAGACCGGAGAGTTTGTCCATTTTGACGTATATTATGATGGATAGGGAGATAGATAGGATGTAGATGAATAAAGTGGGTATAATTGGCAAGAGTAAAAGGTAACGGAGATCACGCCCTTAAATACCCAACCGAGTGCTACGATGAGTTATCGACTTTCATCTCCCCACAAAATGCATCCATGGTTACGAGACAGCCCGTCCAGTGCTGATTCGTTCCCTGGATCAGCCACATAGCGTCGCATCGTCATTGTGGCCGATCTTCATTCGCTCTGAGAGCCAAGTAAATTAGTGAAGGGGGTCTGTGGTTATTTAATATTGCTGTGATATAGTTATTTATGCAAGGTCTTTTGATGGGATCTATTATGACGGCTGTGGAATGTGAATGGAGAGGGCAGTAAAGTCCGAATGTGGATGATAGTGGGGCGATGGTTGACGTCATGCATCCTCTCGTACCATCATGGATGCCATCATCGGAAATCAGTATCTGAGACAGGGGTAGTATTCGATTCGATTTCGATAACTGAGATATGTAACTAAAGAAGGCAAAGTGCATTTCCGGATTCCAATGACGCAATGGCCAGCCATCGCCCCTTTCAGTTCCTGACTCCGACCAGGAACGCCATGAGAAATCAACGCCCAGCATTGTAACAGACACGCTTCGCTAAAACAAATGACAGACAGTGGTATACATCGAACAGCATAAAACAAAAAAAAAAAAAAAAAAAAAAAACACAGGGGTTCATAAATCAAGAGCACGTAAATCAAATCAAATAGATCATATCCAATTCCCCTCCTGCTGCTCCGTCTTCAAGTCAACCTGCCACCATTCGAGGTCAGATTTACCAGCATCGCTTGCATCTCGTGAATGTGTCATATACGAGCTACCACCCTGACTCGGACAACGGCTGGGATGTAGCGACGACGTCTTATACCCAAACGGATATACGCTACTGGATTTCGATTTCCTCTGCTGCGAGTCTCTCTTGAACTTTGTGAAGAGCGCCTTGAGAGCCGGCAGATTCACAGCCACAGTGGCACTCTGGATCTCGATTATCGTGACGATGACCATCTTTGCGAGGGTGTATGATATATCGCCCCCATCGATCATTTCTTTCTGGATGTAGAAGCGGAAAAAGGCGGTCATGACGGCTGTCGCGCCGAAGCAGATGACCGCCAGCACGGATACTTTTTGTTTCTTGCTCATGTTCAAGGAGAGGACCATCGGGATTGGAAGGAAGAGAATTATCAAATCCGTCATGATATTCTGTGTCACAGATTAGCGAATGAACTTGACTACTCTAACAGATACCGAGATGCAACATACCAAACCAATCGGAAGCATATTCACGATATAAGGGTCAAGGCATTTCGCGTATGGATATGCGGCGCGATTGAACAGCGCTTGGAACGGATCGCATTGTAAGAATGCCAGAAGCCAGTTCGTAATCAGGACCATCGTGTTTAGCACCATCGTCCCATATACCATTCGCCGGAAAGATATGTCGATCGAGAGTCGAAGGTAGAATAGCAGAAACGCTTGTTTAATTGTCCAGTGCACGAACATGTAGAAGATTTCCTCGATGAAAAGCCACTGTCTTTGTTAGTTATATTTTTCTCGGACGGGGAATGGACCATACCGTGGCTAAACTCGATAGTTGCCTCTCTGAGAGCTCATTGCGATGTCTTGTGAGGTTAGTTTTGCTTGTTTACTTGATGAACGCAACTTACAATCCACATCCATAATATAGAAAAATGTACATAATCGCTTGCTGAAATGCATTTATCAACTGCAACACGTTAATACCACTCAACTATCAAAAGCCAAGTCACTCACCAGCAAAAATAAAGCAACCGCATCATCCCAACCCCATGTCATCAGTCGTATTCGACAGTATATGCGCAGAAAAATCGATGAACATCCGATAGCAAACGCTACGGATATCACCGCGTAGGTTAAAGGCTGCAAATTTTCAAAGGCCATTTTGATTGTCCAAAGTTAAACACATCGCGCGGGATGGGATGATCTTCAATAATAATGAAGATGCCTGCATCTTCAAGAACCTCGTTCCAAATTTAGCCTTGCCGTTCAAGCGCGCTGGAATGCCTTACTGTTTGAACACCTCCGCATCCATTGGACTGATAGCATCATTCCGAGGCAGTTGACCAGCTACTAAGCAAGATTCATACATAATCAATCAACCATGTTGGCCTGTCCGTCCCAAGTGTAAGGCGGATTGCAGCGGAGGATCATGCTAAGTGGGTAGTGAGATGGGGCGAAGTTTGTTTGATCGACACTTTTGCGCATTTTGACGGGAAAACATAAGACGAAACGATGGCGAAACATCAAGTAAATAAGCACATTAAGCAATGCCTGTCTAGTGTCATAAGATTCGTACATTAGACGGCTCGTTTCCTGTGAAAAATCCTTATGACAACTGAGGTTTCTGCCTATACTTGAGTCATATTCGTCGCAAAAAATTTTCGATATGAAATTTGCTATGGATATTCATAGAAACATAAGACGAGTTCGGCAAGTTCCAAAGGTAAAGGTGTCTGCAGCTGTCAGCCTATATCCCTGAAATTGAAAATAATTTTCGGCACTTCGTTCCTTGTTGAAGATCGTCAACATCTCCATCTTTGTGGCACGTCTTAGCCACTTGTTATTTTTATTTTCGCTCCACAGAACCTATCCGTTGCAGATCAACACCATGTCAGGCTTAAATTCTATCTCCCGAACACACTAATTCGTTGAAGAACGGCTCAACCCAACCCGACGGCTGCAACCTGCGTCCATGCTTTTCGAGTGTGGTTTGTGGAACAGACGACCTTTAATTTTGACGACAAGTGTTTACCATCTTGATGCTAAAGATGTCGCTTCTAACAATCGGTTATATTGGTTGTCTCTTAGTGTGTTTATCTGTTGGCCAGAGACAACGCGATGGTTTGGTGACATGGCTAAAAGATAGTTTGCCACTCGAATCGAAAAATAGAAGAATTATGGGATATCTTACCCATCATTTGTCGGGGTTTGAGAGATTCTGCCGTTAAATCGAACAATTTCATTGGGTGTCATATTTTAGTGATTATTTACGCGATGTGCTGATTAAAAACACAACAACAGATCATACATAACAGTCTTGACGAGATCGCTTAATGCTGCTCGACCTTGATGACTGTGGCTGAGTCAGTAATTCTGCTAAGTAGATGAGCTTCGAAACAGACATACCTTGCAGTTGATCGACACCGACAATTGATAACACAGCTTACGTACAACCCACCTTCCTAATCAGGTCAGCTGGTCAGAAGACAGATGTCACAAACTTACATCACGATTTGACGATAATTCTTATTCAGCACAAATATCCCGAGTCAGAAACCTGCTGACAAACATAAAAACATGAAAACTGGTTATTTTGTTTGTTTTCGTTTTTCTTGTATCCGGTTGAACAGAAGCATTTCGTAAGGGAGCTCTAACACTTCCAGGCACTTTGGCCCGTGTCGGAGAACATTTAGTAGCCGGCAATGTCTAGGATCAGTATGGCCTGCGTCTTTTGCGAGCTGCTCCCGTCCTCGTCACGTACTTTCTACCCCCTTTCCGGGCCTACCAACCAGTCAACTTTGAACAAGGCCTAAAGTAGAGACTCAGGGCAGGTTATACCGGAATATCGAGGGGAATATAAGCTTGAGTTGGCGTTGTGCTTGGTTTGGGAAGCAGAGGGCGAAGGCATTTGCGAGTCAACACACTGCTCAACCTGACGTGGCGCTAGCAAATGAATCCGGTCAGTACGCTGGATTCGGAACGCTCAATAGAAAGGGTTTACTTGTTTCGAAATTGCAGGATGTTCTGCATTATTGATCTCAGCTTTCTCTTGAAGCGGTGGCTGAGTGATCGGGCCGACAGTGGGAATGGGGGCTGTGAAGCCAGCAGCGTTGCCAAACGGCCTTATGTTCTTCAATGGCTATTTTTTAATCAGTATAGACTATAGAGGGACATATGGAGTACGGAACTTGCGGCTGAAAATCTCGAGGCGTGTTGTGTGTGTTTACTGATTTATCACCTAACGGCTGTCGGTTGAAATGCTGAGGGTGTGTGGTCGTCAACAAAGCGTGCATAGTAGGATTGTTCCAAGGCTACCGAATAATTAACACAAGGCAAGAGAGCATAAAGACAAGCCTTACAGTAGGAGTAGCAGTCTGAGCAGTTGAAGCCACAGCTATCGAGTTTGAGGACAAAGGTCTGAGGCCTGAGTAGCTTGGATCAACTGGGGCTCCGCTGTGAACGCTGTTGATAATCCTCTTCTCAGCTTGGCGCTTATCAGACTTGCTTTCAGTCAGCATGTTTGATTCAAACACAGCTGAGACTTAGCGTAGATCTCACAGCCGTTTTGTGGTCTCGGCATCGTTGACACGTCTTAACGATCCAAGTGTTTTTCTTGCTTCGGAATTCATCAAGCGGCCTAAGACGATTGCAGTTACTACACGATCGGGGCAACGGAGATCCAGCCATATTGCCAGCGCTGAATTAAAATCTGGCAAAAGGGCATTGAAGGGGAGAGGAGAGCCAGAAGCAGATGACGCAAAAGATGGGGGACACGCGTTGGGCAGGCCAGGAGAGGAGCCCTAGAAAGTTGCCCTAGGTTCCATTTTGGGACGCGACGTGAGCTTCAGGTCTCATGACATTACTTTTGATTTCCAATAACAGTGCATAGATTCTGACAGACAATCTTTGAGCTTTATACCCAGTCAAAACCCCCTCGGCTTCTCCAACGCCCACCTCAAGCTGCCCTACGACAGTGTCTGCTCAGTGCCATCCCAGTCCATCGATTTGGTGACTTGAAATTCCATCCCTAGTACGCATAATAAAGAACGGATTCGTCGTTCATCTGACGGATTTCCTTGTTTGCTCGGATAAGCCAGAACCTCATGACCCAAGCACTCATGGCACATGCTATCGAAAATGCCGCGCTGGAAGACATGGCAATCGTATAACGTGGCCCATCAGAGGATGGCCAGAGATACTACACATGTCAGCTATCGTCGAACTGTTATTGATGAATCGAGGTACCCACCGGAGTCCAAACAAATGAAACATTGGCAATTGTGTTAACGATCGCTAGGGAAGCTGCCTTCTTCTCCCTGGTTTGACCACAGGTACTGGAAACCCATCCCAGAACTATGCTATTTACTGCATACGTCCCGATAGAAAAGATGACCATAGCAAAATACCTCGCTCCTGTGTTCAGCGTGGCACATCCAAGGACGAATCCAACAATCGCCACGGCTTTCGCACTGGTAATGTGCCAGGTCCGTTCGTTATACTTTCCTGAACTCCACGACCAAAAGACGGATATTATACCAGCAATAAGATAAGGTGGACATGTGAGCACAAGGGTGATGGTCGTGTTGAAACCGAGTGTCTCGACAGCTGTGGGGAAGAAATTCTTGAATCCATTCGCAGCGAGGTGCATGTGTTGCATGAAGGCAAAGAGCCAGAGCTTAGGGTCTCGAGCGGCTTCTTTTAGTCCACTGAATGTGCTTGTCTCATGGCGCGCATCGACAGTATCTGCAACAATGCGTTCGTGAGCTAATTGTCGCTCCTCAGGGGTAAGCCACCGTGTCTCGCGAGGGTCATCCGGCAGGGTGAACACTGCTCCTATCGCGACCAGGAAAGTGACGGCTCCCTGGAGAATAAAAAGCCACTGCCAGCCACTGATACCAGCCAAATTATCCATCCCATGGAAGATTCCGGCAGCTATGAGACCCGCAAATGCAGTCGCAAGGATGTTGCCCGTGTACAGGACAGAAATCCGAGTGGCAATTTCCTTTCGGGTATAGAAAATAGAGAGCATATACAGGGCGCCTAATCGACCCTTAGACTGAAGGCCTCTGTTTTTGGATGTCACTCCACTCACCAGGATAATAGGGCGTTTCCGTGACTCCCAGGAAGAAGCGAACCAGGAGTAGCCCAGTGAAATTCTTTGCAAGCGCAGTCAACGCACTGACAATCGCCCATAGAGCCATGCATCCAGCCATATAATACGATGGCCTCACACGGGTTATTATCATGTCTAACTATGTTAGTATTTATCCAGTAACGGTTTAGTTGCATACTGACTGCTAGGAACCTGCCCGAGAAGATACCCAACAAACAGAATCGAAACGCAGGTTTGATACTGCGAGGAGGATAGATTGAGATCCTCTTCCAGATCGTTCAATCGAGCCAATGCAATGGCATTCCGGTCAAGATAGTTCAGCCAGTACATCAACCAGAGTGTGGGCATAATCCACATGTCGAGCTTTCGAACGAGTCTGATCTCAACTGGGTTGGTCTTCTTTTGGGCACCGGAATAGTCTCCTTTTTCCTTGATACCACGCTCATCGGCGGTGTACTCACTATGCGAGACTTCTGGCTTCGCATCCCCGATAGCCATATCGTCATGCTGGTTTTTAGTTGGCTTTGAACTCCGAAAGAGTGTCATTTCGATGGCTAGGCCGGCACAGAGTAAACAAAGTGAAAAGATACAGTTCGATGATGCAATGGATATCAGAACCATACTTTCCGGAAGGGGTATTTATATCCTTATATTTGCACCACTCCTCCAACATGGCCATGGCCACATCGCTCCTCTTTTCACAGCTTATTGCATCCAACTCAACAGCACCATGGGATGCGGGGTTTTCAGATACCATCAGGACACCTCCAGCAGCTTGAGCTTGAGCTCTGCATCATTTGAGCCAATCGAACAGGGCAGTCTATCCCGTTAAAAGTTCAAAACAGACGAACAAGAAGATGCCCAGGATCCCAATGCAATTTGAAGGTATATCTCCGGGTTGCTAGAATTTCCCGCATAGAAATACACTTCACCACAGGTAAATAAATGCCCAATCAGACAGAATCCGGATCTCCCCACCACGGAGAAGATCAACCCTGGTGTTTATGGACCAAGGCGGAACATAGCAACGGTACCGATACGTGAGGTCCAGTCATCAATACTGGGCCGCTCAAGTTTGATAAACCTTCCCACAACTTGCCTCCATGTTAAACTCTAGTCAAGAATGTAGGTAGTACATCCGTATTTCTCCGATTTCAAACAACCTTCAGTTATGTATCGGATCCGATATATTGCCAAGGACAATAGATACGAGACAGGGTTTCCCCAGACACAGCCTCCTCCACAATCTTGGCTACTTCCACGTGTGACCAACCGCCAAAGAGCTTTGCAGTCATGGGGTCATAACTATCGATAGTCCTTTGGTAGACACATAACTATAACTGCTGTCCGAGAGCTCGTATACTACTTTAGATGTCTTGGGTATGAGAAATGAGGACGGTATGCTTGCTTGGGGGATGCACCCAGACCGTTACAAGACGTGCCAAGGGAGTGCTGTCAACGAGTGACGCAAGTCGGGTAGATCTGCTAACACAATATCTGGACAGAAGTATATAGAAGACGTCATTTCAATAGGCCGGATTTTGGATTCCATCATGCCACTTCAGTGCCAAGGCGCATTCCCCGGTGGCTTGGAATCGGAGCCAAAGGTTGGAAATGTAATCGATGTGGATATTTGTAGAGAGAAAGCTGCAAGCAGGCCATTCAAATCAACTTTTTTTCGTGCCTGCGATATCTGACAGGGTCCAGAAAAATACTCACTAGGATTGATCATCTTCGTGGTGGGTAGAAACTAGGTTTTAGCCATTCACGGTTTGTTTGACTGATGCGGATGGCTCGTTCGATGGTGTCTGACCAAGCAGCTAAAATCTTTGGATTGTTGAGGAAGCAAAGTCAATTACTCCGACTTTAGAGAGACATGTCATCTTGATTCTGTGTGCAGTTACCAATGCCGTCGGTCATTATTAAATGATCATCTCCTCTCAGCCACTCATCCATAAGAAGCTCTTTCGCAGTTGGTCTTTCTTCGGGCGTCCAACACAAAGCCTTCCGTAAGAATTCAAGGAAACGTGTCTTATTATCAGCAGCAAGTCGAGATTCACGAGATTCTAGAGATTGTTCTGGGATTTCTACCGAGCCCCTCCAATTACCTACAACATATTAAAACTGGTATACAGAAAATTTTTGGGACCATAAAAGTGGGATAAGCTTACCGTTCTCGTCCCAAAACTTGAGGCTTTCTTTACTTCGCCTAAGAAACTCGACTGGAGGCGGTCCGAGAAGGGAAATCATCTCTGCAAAACGTCGAGCATGGTCGGTATCATCTGCAAGGGTTCGATTCTTGAAAAGATGCCCTTCCTCGAACAAAGTCCATGCCTATCCGAGCTTAGTGGATATCAGGACGCCCGATCGATATTCTTACTGTCTGGCCCAGAGCCCATATGTCTACCTTGCTATCCCAATCCATGCCCAGCATTACTTCTGGTGCCCTGTATACATCTGGCATGATGAGGCCGGTTTTTTTCCCTTCAGCTATCCGTGCCTCTCCGAGATCAGCAAGAATTGGTTCGCCTCCTGTCAATGGCATCGCACGCGTGGCATAAACTGTACGATCGCTGAGCTGCTTTCGGGGAGCGGGGTTGGAGATCTCATCTTCTTGCATGTCAAGCAAGATTGACTCATCGTCGATACCCAGAAGGATATTGTTTGGTTGAATATCTAAACTCAGTTAGGATGGCTTATTTTGCAGATATAGCAGGACTTTTCCTTACCAGTATGAATGACTTTGGCTTGATGAAGGTAGTCCAGTGCAATAAAGATAAATCGAAGAGCAGGTCGAAGGATGTTCTCTGGCAAAAAATCACCCTCAAGACAGTGTATAAAATCGCGCATATCAATGCCGGTGGGTTGATAAAGGAGGCACTGATGGACTCCATGTGGCCCAGGGATTTCAAACGAGTCAAGGACAAGCCGGACATACTTTTCACCACCATGGATATCATGAATGGCTTTTAAGTGTTTCGAGATTTGCACTTCTGGGAGCTGCTGTCTCGTTTGAACATGGACTTTCAGAACCAGGTATCGTTCATTACTTTCACCTATGAGCTTATGATCCATAGAGAGTACTTATATATGCATACTGTAAGTCTCGACATAACCATACCGTTGACGAAGAGCCGAAACCGAGTTTCGTGACAACCTGATATTGAGAGTTGAAAACCTCGCCAATGTGAACTGGATAGTAGCACTCCTTCGCGTAAGAAGGAAAAAATTCTTCCTCGAATCTTTCGGATGAATCTAAAATTTCAAATCCTGAACGTGGAAAAACGCGTGGTTGAGACATTCGAATTGAGGTCATCCTCCTGCGCTGGGAGAGGGGCAACAAACGGTAGCTCACACGTCGAGAGATCAGACTCGAACGTGTGATCGCGCAGATAGATGTGTTATATGAAAGCAGTCTCATCGCTTTCTAGCTTTATATCTGCTGATTTAGTTATTTCTTTGTGTAGTATGACCATATCGTCATGTGTCAACAAACCAATGAAAGGTAAGGCAAATATATCTTATCACCTGACTGTCGCATAAGATATCGCGGTGGTGCACTCTCTATAGGCACCAAGTCATTGCAAGGCACTTTCTAATTTGCAAGTTATGTGCTATATAGTATTTGCTCCGCTACGCTCCGCAAATCCTTCTTTCTCTTTTTTTCTACCATCATACTTTGAAGTTCCGGGGAGTTGTCCTGCTGCTCCGACGGTTGGTCCATGGGTGAAAGCAGGTTGTCCTGAAGAACCGACGATGCTACTGCGATACCATAGCAAGAGGTGAATGGGAGTGAAAAAAGAAAGTCCACCACTGCCAGTCTGAGTTGATGATGGCCTCACGCGGGCGAATAAAGATTGTCTATTGTCAGCGGCGTTCTGCCTGCGTCCTACGTCGAAGGCGAACCCGTGTTGATGCTGACGATAACAGATATCATTATGGACTGAAATCAGGGTGCTCTAATCCTGACTTTTGGGAGCAGGGAATTGGTGAAAAATATCGAGTCGATGGGGAATTGGGGGCGGAGTTATACCAGTTGGATGAAGAAGATTGGGTGGACCCTTAATAGACAAAACGAGGCCTTATTTGGAGCCATTGAGCGTCATAGTCTCTGATGCTGACCACAACGCCACCGTTGATTATCCCCACATAATCTGACCATTATTGCTTGCTTTTTCCCCTATGACATGGCTATCATGTGATAGCCCCTTGACCGACTTGGCATCCTGCTACTATGCAACAATGAAGTGATGAACATGCCAAAAGTGGAGTCCAAACTAACAATGTGACTTGTGAGGATGTCAGGGTGAACGTGAAAATAGGGGATCCTATGATCTCTCCAATGTGTTCCTATCTTGGAATGATTTCCTTCTTGGAACGTTTTACTCTTGTGTGGGGAGATTGTGATCACCGATGTGGGCTGGAGAAAACACCACACTAGGTGTATTTATGACCTCGTGATTACATTATCATGCGTAGGAGACATGCATGAAACAGCATATGCAACAGATTGTACATATCTCATTATTGTGATAGTCTATTCACTCGGGTTTTACCAGTATTCCCGACGGCATGCAGCTGCACTGTGGTCGGACTCCGGAGAAATATATATAGATGCCAGCGCATGTGTAGCCCAACCTGAAGGACTAATGGGATAATAAGTTTATTACTATTTGATACTATCGAGGATTTACAAAGTAAAAAGAAACATGAGAAGAAGACATGATACGATCACCACCATGTGCTTATTGCTACTGCTAGTCTAGATGAAAGATGACCTCAGACATACCGCTAGGAGATGAAACATAGTACAAGTACTAAAAAGTGCAACGTTGGCGATCAAGCGATGCCATCCAACACTGCAGTGATTGATTGAATTGATATTAAGTTGCAGAAATAGACACTGGCGGTGTGTGTGCTTAGCAGCATAAGGCTGAAATGTTCTATGATAGGAGTTATTATTATTATTGACAGATGAAGAGGCTGAGCAGAACCAGGCATTCAGGCCCCCCATGGGCCCTTGGCAGGGACCGTAAGCGAGATTGCCATTGGCTGCAGCCAAGGCTGTGCCTGCTCAGCTCAGCTCAGCCCTGCCAACAATGCCCCGAAACAAATAAAAAAACGAATACGACCTGCCAATTATGTATTATCCCCGGCCATCGTGGAATAAATGGAAATGATGGAATAAGTGGGAGCACCCTTATCCTGCTGCCTGATGTGTGCACCGCGGCCCTGCCCGAATTCCGCCTGTTTTGGGCTTGGATTCTTCCCCTGTCAGGATGACTCGGAACGCGCCCGGATCGGCCGGTAAACAAGTGGACTCTGTGCCTGTGGGACGAACTGCTGCGCTGGCCGGTGATTTGCGGCTGGCATCTGCATTGTTTCTAAGGCTGTTCCGAGGATCTCGCGGGATCGAGGAGGCGCTTGTTATTTAAGTGCCCTGGTGCCTCCTCCATCGCTGCCGGTTCTATCTTCACCTTCCCAAGGTTACACCCTCACCATGAAGTGGACGACCCTTACCGCTCTGGCCGTGGGCCTTGCCCCAGGTATGTCGTCTCATCTCATCCTCCTGAATACAACTAACCTCCCTAGTTACGGCCTCCCCCGTCGACATCCAAGTTACTCCTCGAGCCCTTCCTAACGCGCCCAGTGGCTACACCCCCAAGAATGTTACATGCCCTGCTACCCGTCCCAGCATTCGAAGTGCTTCGTCTCTATCATCAAACGAGACCGAATGGCTCAAGACTCGCCGACAGGAAACCATTCAGCCCTTGAAGGATCTCCTGAACCACCTCGACATCTCCGGGTTTGACGCCAACACCTACATTGACAACCACAAGAGCAATGTCTCCAACATTCCGAATATTGCCATCGCCGCTTCGGGTGGTGGTTATCGTGCCATGCTTAACGGTGCTGGTGCCATCAAGGCTTTTGACAGTCGTATCTACAATGCTACCACAAAGGGACACCTTGGAGGTGTCTTGCAGGCAGCTACTTATGTCGCTGGTTTGAGTGGTGGTAGCTGGTTGGTCGGATCTATCTACATTAACAACTTCACCACCATCTCGGATCTGCAGACATACGAGAAGGGCGCTGTCTGGCAGCTCAGCAAGAACATCTTCGAAGGACCCGACACCGGTGGTATCCGTCTGTTCAGCGAGGCTTCGTACTACAAGGACTTGTACGACGCTGTCGAAGGCAAGACCGACGCCGGATTCAAAGGCTCCCTGACCGATTACTGGGGTCGTGCCTTGTCCTACCAGTTCATTAATGACTCCAACGGTGGTATTGACTATACCTGGTCCTCCATTGCCGAGACTGAGGACTTCAAGGCTGCCAAGATGCCCATGCCGTTGGTGGTTGCCGATGGCCGTGGCCAAGGCGAGTTGATCATCGGTAGCAACTCGACCGTCTACGAATTCAACCCCTGGGAGTTCGGCTCGTTCGACCCCACTGTGTACGGATTCGCCCCGCTGGAGTATGTTGGATCCAAGTTTGAGAAGGGAGAGCTGCCCGACAACGCAACGTGTGTTCGTGGATTCGACAATGCTGGATACATTATGGGTACTTCATCTACCTTGTTCAACCAGGGCATGCTGGTCCTCGACAACTCGAGCGCGGTCCCCGATTTCCTCAAGTCTGGCGTTGAGAAGATTCTCACTGCCTTCGATGACCATGATGACGATATCGCTGTTTACTCCCCCAACCCGTTCTATCGCTACCGCGATGCCAGCACCGCCTATGCTGGAGCTCCTGATCTGGACGTTGTCGATGGTGGTGAGGACAATCAGAACGTTCCTCTTCACCCCGTCATCCAGCCGGAACGTCACGTCGATGTGGTTTTCGCTATCGACTCCTCTGCGGACACTGACTATAGCTGGCCCAACGGTGCCTCTCTCGTAGCTACCTACGAACGTTCTCTGAACTCCACTGGAATTGGAAATGGAACCGCTTTCCCATCTGTTCCGGGTCAGAACACCTTCATCAACCTCGGCCTCAACACCCGCCCGACCTTCTTTGGTTGCGACCCGGCCAACATCACCGGTGAAGCGCCCTTGGTGGTTTACCTGCCTAACTACCCCTACACCTTCTACTCCAACACTTCGACATATAAGATGACCTACTCTGATGAGGAGCGTGACAACATGATCACCAACGGTTACGAAGTGGTGACCCGGGGTAACGGTACCGAGGACTCGAAATGGCCGACTTGCGTTGGCTGTGCCATCATTAGCCGATCGCTGAACCGTACCAACACTGCCGTTCCCGAAGTGTGCAACCAGTGTTTCCAGCAATACTGCTGGAACGGTACCGTTGACAACTCGGACCCCGGTGACTACGAGCCTACCAGTCTCATGACTGTGGCTTCTGGATCAAGCAAGTCGCAGTTCAACCGCACAGCGGCGTTCATTGCATTTGCGGTGGCCATTTTTGCGACCGTCTAAGATACCTGAGAGAAACTCAATATTTGCATAACCTTATCACGAGATTATGATTGGTAAATAGTAATTTATTTGTTCATATTGCATAGTACGGTGTCATAAGAGAAATGAATGCATACTTCATAGATTGCTCCACGTAAGGATCGCCGATCAGCTGGCCTCGGCTCAACCTAGCCTCGGTGGGTATAAATAGCTGCTAGTGTTGTTGTTGTCTTCCACTTCTCCAGCCTCCATTTTTCACCTTCATTCAGACTCAAGATGGAAAACACAGACTGGTTTACCCTGCCCGATGGGCACAAACTGTACGAAAGAACATGGGAGGTAGGTACACTATTCTACAGTATTCCACACCGTCTAATAAACAGGCCCCTTCTCCGCGCGCCCATCTCCTCATTCTCCACGGCTACAGCGACAAGTCCGACAGCTACAATGACTTTGCCTCGGCCCTGACCGCATCGTTCCCAGTCCGCATCACAGCTTTTGACCGTCGCGGATGGGGGAAGAGTGTCCATAAATCATCACACAAAGGTCTCACAGGCCCGGCAACCCAGAGCCTCGACGAAGTCAACCGATACATCCACCACCTGCGATCGAAATACTCTACCGAAAACATCCCCCTCTACCTGCTCGGCCACAGCATGGGCGGCCAGGAAAGCCTCTACTATATCCTCCAACAATCCCTGCCCCCATCCGACATTCCCGACCAACGACCGCACATCTCCGGCTTAATCCTCGATGCACCGTATGTCGGCCTCGACCCCGAAGTCCACGTTCCCCAACTGCAGGTGTTTTTCGGGAAATTGCTTTGTCCCCTCTTGCCCTGGTTCCAGGTGAAGAATGAAATCGACCCGACCGCTATCTCGCGGGATCCGGTCGTGAGAGAGAATTTCGCGACTGATCCCTTGTGCCATAAGACGGGGACTTTGCAGGGGTTTATTGCTATGTATGTTTTCTCTGCTTACTGAATTATCTTTCATCGAGTGTGTATACTAACTGCTGCAGGTTCAACCGGGAAGATGCATTAACGGCGTTATCGGATAAGTCGAAGCCGGTCCCGGATGGATTGAAAACATCGCTCTCCATCCCGGTCTTCTGGGCGCACGGAACAGGCGATAAGGTGACCTCGTTTACCATCTCGAAGAACTTGTGCGAGAGACTGGAGATTGAAAATAAGGAATTCAAGGCGTACGACGGATGGTATCACAGTTTGCATCTTGAACCGGATGGCATGAAGGAGCAGTTCGCGAATGATGTGGGAGAGTGGATTATGCGCTCGACTGAGGTATAGACGAGATACATGAGGGACGCTATATATTAGAAATCACGACATCCGACCGATGAGGGGAAATCAACTCTTCTCTTCATCTTCAACCATCTATCTACTTTATATAACATCAATACTATATACATTCCCAGAACATGACATTCACATCAATCCCCATCCTCGACTACTCTCTCTCCCTCTCCCCAACCACAAAACCCACCTTCCTGTCCGACCTCCGCGATGCAATCGTCAACGTCGGCTTCTTCTATCTCAAAAACACCGGCATCTCCCCGCACGTGCAATCGCGTTTCGTGGACATCTCAACAGCAGTGTTTGATATCCCGCTTGAGAGAAAACTCGAGATAGAAATGGTTAATAGTAAGCATTTTTTGGGATACTCGAGACTGGGCGCCGAGATTACGGCACAAAAGATGGATTATAGGGAGCAGTTTGATGTATGTTTTCTCTTATCGTGGGTTGTTGGGAAGTAAGATGTTGATGGTATAGTTTGCGACCGAATTACCCCCTCCTGGGCCTGATGAGCCGTTATATCGCAATATCCGGGGACCGAATCAGGTAAGTCCATCCATATAAAAATAATACTCTATCCTAATAAAGTAGTGGCCCGATGAATCTGCCATCCCCGGCTTCCGCACCGCAATAGAAGCATATCTTTCCGAAATCCGCCCATTAGCAGAATCATTCGAGATTCTCTTCGCAGAGGCCCTCGATCTCCCCTCAAACGCTCTCCATCGCTTCTTCGACGTGCCCCAACAACACAAGTTGAAACTAATCAAATACCCGCCCCCGCCGCCAGAGTCAGATACGACAGTGCAAGGCGTAGGCGCGCACAAGGACTCGGAATTCCTCACCCTCCTCCTCCAGGGCACGCCGCATACAGGCCTCGAAGTCCAGAATAAAGCCGGCGAGTGGATCCCCGCGCCGCCGATCGAGGGGACGTTGGTGGTGAATATCGGGCGCGCGTTTGAGGCGCTCACGGGGGGTGTGTGTACGGCGACGACGCACCGGGTGAGTCTTTCACGGGAGCATTATGTCGATGAGGAGGGGAAGAGCAGAGGGGCACGGTTTTCATTTCCCGTGTTTTTGGGGATGGGGTTGGATTTGTCTGGGGAGAGTGTGGAGGATTTGGGGATTCCGGGGCATATTAAGGCGACGGTGAAGGAGGATAAGGTACGGACGGATGCGCAGGGCACGTTTAATAGCATGTTCAAGGGGAGGTTTGGAGAGGGGACGTTGGTGCATCGTGTGTTGAGCCATCAGGATGTGGGGAGAAGATGGTATCCAGAGTTGTTATCGTGGGCGTTGAGGGAGGAGGAATTAAAAGGCACGAAACAATAATTGCCATGTAGTAATTCCTCGCAGAACGCATCTCCTCCTTGGTAGTCTTTGTATATATAACTACCTTATCTATATACGCTACAGATAGTGTATGTAGACCCACGAAATGAAGAACAATAAAGCTGCAAGATCACCTGGCCGCCTCCAATGAGTTAGAAGCTGCAGCCTATCTCAGTGACTCACTGTGTGCTATCTGATCGGCGATCTAATGATATCACTTCTCAGCTTCATGTAGATCATCGCCAAGCTTGTCAACACAGCCCCGCTTCCCGGATATTTCTTCACATCGACAACAACATCAACACTCCCAATCATTCAATCAACCATGGCCAAGTCACATCAGGTACCCCCGGAGATTTTTCTTCAGATCCTCAAATATGTCAAAAATGGCAAGATACCACCGTCGGAACAAAACGCCACACTCAACAGCCTCCGCCTACTCAACCGCGCCTGGTCCCCCAGCGCCACTGAGATCTTGTATCGCGACCTCAAAATCCATGGAAGTGATCGAATGGACCAGGATCTCCATCGGTTATCGGTGTTGAAACAAATTAAACAACCACAGTTTTCACCACTGGTCAAGGACCTCACTATTGAACTCTCGCTGCATGCCAATGTCGACGACGAAACCTCCATGGATAATTTCCAGGACTTGTTCACGACCTTGACTGAGTCATTGCCAGGGACAGTTCCAACGCTGAAGAACCTCGAAAAACTTCATCTGATTCTTTATGGGAGCTATGACAGGACATACCTCAGCGAGCAAGACGAAGTATGTGTGTTGGTGGGCAACGCCCTCGCCCAACTTTCCGAGTCAATTCCATGGGAATATTTCGGTGCTATCGGGAAATCCCTGGCTGTTTCCAAGTTATCGAATCTGAAAGACCTACGTGTGGATCTTATGACTATCTGCGATCTGGGAAATGCGATCGACGAAGCAGAGAATACAGATCGCGAAATCTTTGCGTCCAACATCTCCCAACTGCGCTCGTTAGACTTGACAGTTAGCGTGCCTACATGCTGTGGCTTGTGCGAATGCATGGCCGAGTCATACAGCAAAGACCACCCTTTCACTGATTCATACGAGTGGGTATGCAATAGCAATGTCATTCCCCGCCTATTCGAGTATGGCATTCCAAACCTCGAATCGCTGAGGATCGGATGCAGCCCGTGGACAAAGGCGTATCTGGAAATGGATGACTTCTTCTCCAAACTATCGTACACCAAGTTGCGGGATCTTCGTCTCGGGAATGTCCATATCTCCACCGACACTCTACTGAAGGTTATGGACATGAATCGCGACAGTCTCGAGGAGATAATGGTTACATTTATCGATGGTACCGATGCCAACAAGGAAGCCATAGAGAAGAAGCTCAGTGAAATGCCGAATCTCGTGCTCGCCTCTATTTGTGCGCAGAATGGTCGAGGTGCCATCCGGTTCAACCGGAAGCGAGGAATTCACCATCGAAAGCCCCCCAAGGGTGTTTATAACTAGATACACTTGTACAATGCATTATATGACTCCAAGTTGTTTGTCGGTAGAGCGCTTGGGCCGCTCCTGGGCTCTACCAGCTGATCTTGCAGCTTCAATGTTCTGCGTTCCGGTGGGTCTAGTACACATTATCCGTACCGTAAGGTAGATATCGCGTACAAGTCAAGGTCAATGTGGAGAGTCCATCCTAACTTGATAGGGTGAGGTGAGCTTCTCACCTTAGAACTAGCGTGGCACACAAGGTAACTCAACAAGTTCCAAGCTGGGTTCTAAACTCTAAGGTGAGTATGGGCCACCCTCCTTATAAGTAATTTATAAGTAATCTTTACGCTGAAATATCTACCTATTTTTTAAGATAATTCCTAGAAGCTACTAGAGCATGCATTTATTCCTACTCCAAGGAAAGAGTAAGAGGTTTCTCATTAAAGAATGCTCTATATTAATTACCATAGCCTATAGAATATATATATTCTTCTAGACGCTATTTACAATTAAACTATGCGTTTATTAGAAGCACTTTATGGTTTATTACCAAATAATAATAGTGGTTCCATGATCTCGAAGAGTCTATTCAAGTTACATGTAACATGGATCATCGCGCCACGGTGGCCAAGCTCATTATAAGCTGACCCACTGTTCATCTTAAACAGGCGACATGGGAGAAATGGGTGAAACTGAAGATATAGGCATGTGGCCAGTATGTCATTAGTTACATTCCCATCGAGTTGCACAGTGTATAGATGGTAAAAAGTAACTAGTAGTCTCATCTAGGAAAAGTATGCTGTGGTTGAAAGAGGAAGAAAACATTCTATGAATAATAGAAAAAGAGTAATACAGAACTGAGTCAAAGGTTGCTAGACTCTTCACAAAGTAAAACCCCAGTAGAAGCCAGAGTTTCACATGACCGATATTCACTATATTGGGTCGTCACTACTGAAGGCGCAACTAGAGTCATAGCGCTACTAGATAGTCATGATCACATGAAAATCTACAAGGCACACCTAAACCACCAAAATATGTCATATTAGATCACTAGCCGTGGAATGTAGTTGAACATAATAAAAATGGCACTCCAGACACTCTAATTATTATACAGTGTCTGGGGTTCCATGTTTGAGTATTTTCCAGCTTCCTTAGCAAGCGTGATAACATTGACTTTAGGATTGTATTTGGTACCGTAGTGCGGGCCTTGCCCCTCAAAGTCTGTCGTTTCTATTCCGTGGATTCGGCAGGTGCAAAGTCTTGTATGATTTGATTTTGAATTCTGATGACGAAAGGGCTACGTACTTTAGCTACTCCAAAACAGAGCTTAGCCAATTCTCTTATATGAGCTTTCCGGGCCACCAATGCTATCTACTTTCTGTAATAGGAACATTATTTTACTCAAAGATGACTCGAAAAAAGAAATCTATTCCAATCCACGCCAATCGGAGGCCAATCGATATCAACGCTTGGATACTCGGAAGCAGTATTGCGTCCTTAGCCTCAGCAGTTCATTTAATTGCGGAAGCCAATGTTCCTGCCCCTCAGATCCATATACTAGAGTCTCGAAACACTCCTGGAGATGGCATAACCACCATTGGCGATTGGGTGAATGGATACGACCTGAGGCCTGGATGTTTACCGAATTTTCATACTGGTTGCATGGAAAAGCTGCTCGCTTTAGTACCTTCCGCCAACGTTGCTGGAAGTACACTCTTGAACGAAATAGAAGAATTCAGACACCGCAAAACCAACGACGATGCCCCTGCCACACATATCTTGACCAAAGGAGAAAAGGGAATCAAGAGAATGGAAACCACAGGCCTCGGCCTGAACCTAAGAGATCGAATGAAAGTGATGATGCTCATGTTGCGGTCCGAAGAAGGCTTAGCCAGAAGACGAATTGATCAGTTTTTCAGCAAATACTTTTTTGAAAGTAGATTTTGGGTTGTTTTTTCTACCGTGTGGGTTTAGCCGACAAAAAGTCCCAGTGCCTCAGTGGATGCTAAGAGAGTTACTAACTAGATTTACCTTCCAGCCGTGGCACAGTGCTGCCGAATTTCGTCGATGCCTTCACAGATATTTGCCAGAATTTAAGAACCTGAACGTCCGGAAGCCTCTTGACTGTACCCAGTTTAATCAATTCGAGTGGATCGTCAGGCCGATCATCCGGTTTCTTCAAAACCAAGGAGTTGATTTTCGACTTTGTACCAAGGTGACGGATATCGTGTCTCGTTCCGACAGAGACGTGCAAACCATTTCAGCAATTCATGTATCAATTGATAGTTTTGAGGAAAAGATTACTCTTCTTCCGGACGATATCGTTATCGCTTCCCTCGGATCGGTCACCTCGGGCTCATTGAGTGGTACCAACGATCGCCCACCCGTTCGGGAGTCCATGACAGCCGAAAGCGATTTGTGTGAAAACTGGTCACTCTGGCTGACTCTGGGCACAAAGTACCCGAATTTTGGTGATCCGTACAATTTCTGTACTCGAGTTGCCGAGTCCAGGTTGGGAGCATTCACAGTTACCCTCAGAGATCCCGAGTTCTTTGAGCGCTTCGCTGTTTTGACGCGTGACAAGCCTGGAACGGGAAATCTAGTATCGCTCAAAGATAGCAACTGGAAGATTAATGTGTGCCTACTCCGCCAACCGTTTTTTACCGATCAGCCTGAAGACATACAAATCTTCTGGGGATATTGCCTTTGTCCAGAACGCGAGGGTCAGTTTGTGAGAAAGCCAATGCTTTACTGTTCGGGACAAGAAATAATAGCAGAACTACTGTGGCACCTCGAATTTCCGTCGAAATCAATCCTCAAGAATTCCACTACCATCCCGTGTGTGATGCCACGCAGAACAACGTCCCTCCTGCCTCGGATTCGTGGAGATCGTCCAAAGGTGATTCCAGAAAACATGGCCAATCTCGCTGTGATCGGCCAGTTTGCGGAAATACCAGATTGGACAACCGCTAGTATGGACTATGGAGTACTGGGGGCGCAGTTAGCAGTGGGCCGTTTGATGGACCTTGATCAGCAGGAACTGATGATAAAGAAAAGACTGTGTTCTTCCTTAAAACTGTTAGTTTGACCCCGTTTGACAGAGTGATAAATTGTACCTATACTAGTCCAAGGGCCAGATATTATGAGACAAAATGATAGTCAATTTCAAAGTAGAATGCTATAAGAGCGTATCTAGGAGTTAATACAAATCTGAGGCTCACTTGACAGACTATTAGGGCAATTCTTTTCTCGTGCCTAATTTATGGAACAAGGCGAAAGCATCGGCGCGCGCCGCATCATTTTGAACCAGAAGAGGATAAGGGATGCAGCCAGCTGATCTTGCCTTTCATCGGTTCTTCCGTTTGAATATAGTCCAAAATCTGCCCTTTCCGTATTTGAGGCGCCATAACATACTTCAAAAACAGGTCTTCCACAAAATCTGGAATGATCAAATATCGAGAAAGCACATAGTATATCGAGTTTGCCCAAGTGTGCATACGCGTCTCCATTCCCGAGTTTGTCAGGTCATCCACGAGGGAGCATGCTGGGCTTTTTCGAATGGCCTCGTATCTCTCAAACACTTGCGAGAGAGCAGGTGCATCCGGGTTTCCGTTAGGCGCTGCGCGCACGGCTTCTCGAAGATGGTTACAGAGTATCACAACATCTTGAATACCGTTGTTGAAGCCAAGGCCGAGATGAGTCGTCAGCTTGTGGCATGCATCCCCCGCCAGCACGATTCTCCCCAAACTCCAGTGCTGCACGATGCCCTCTTCAAGGTTTGTCATCCCCTTTCCCAGCATTCGTGGCCAGACATCCTTTACCTTGGTAGTCCGGGTCAGAGGGAATTCCGCAAACTCCCCAGCCAGAGCTTCACCGTCTTGTTCGGTGTAACTGCTGTGCTCACTGGTAGGCTTCGGCAGTCGTTTATATAGGAAAAACCACGCACGTTCAGGCCCACTGATATACATGATGGCTTTATCCCGTGTTTGAATGTCATATCCTAGTCCCGACGCAGAAGGTGTATGAAAAGCTCCAAACAGGAGCTGGTAAGTCGCTGTGAACGGGTTTTCAGAGTCCCAAGGTCGTGATGGATCGTCCTTGAGAGCAAGCTCGCGCATTATATGTCGCGTTTTGCTGTGAACGCCATCACAGCCTATGACGATGGATCCATTATAAATGCTGCCATCGGCACACGTCACTTTCACACCGGTTGTGTTTGATTCGATGTCGACTAGTTTCTTGTTGGTCAACACCTTTTCTTTCGCGGCCGTGGGTAGGCAATTGTACAAGGTTTCAATCAACTGAGCGCGATGAAAAGCAACAGGTCCATAACCATGGCTGATGGAAGTGTTAGTGAACAGCGGGAGTGAATTTATGCGACGACTTACTTCTCTCGTACCCGAACATACCGTGGGCCTTCTTTGAACACATGTCCGTCTGTGGTGAAAGACAAATGGTGGTGCATTTCGCCGCCAATGTTTAATAATTCGTCCAAAATGCCAAATTGATGCATGACCCTCAATGTATGAGGGTAAACAATTAGACTAGCGCCTTTATCCTCGACAATGGCCGGTCTGCGTTCTAGGACGACAAAGTCAATGCCAGCGAGGTGAAGTGCGTGTGCAGCCGTCAGTCCAATGGGACCTCCACCGATTACTATAACTTTGAAGCTTTTCTCCATATTGCTGTTCTTCTATGGATGTGTCGTATGAAATCGACGAGGAAAATGGGACAATCTTCTATAATCCTGCGAAGACAAATTGGAGATGCTTTTCAGCATGAAATATCATGCTAGTTAATCCGATAGGAGATGTTGCCTTTCGTCAAAGAAGAGCATGTTCAAAAGGGCCCAGGGGTTATTTTTCAAATTATGGACGCATGGCGGATTGCTTGCGGTATATGGGACCCACCAAAAGATACCCCGAAAGAGTTGCTCCGCCACTGATTAGCCTGGCGATCACATTTTTTAGTGCTGTGATCGTTCACCAAGATTGCCAACAATATCTCGGCAAAAAGCAATTTGCAGCCAATCGGCGCTCGGATGACATAGGTTGGGAGGTGACTATGTGGCTAACTATTTTCTATTGAGGTTTGGGGCTGATCACTTCGGACCAAAAAGGGTTCGATAACTCTTCGGACTCTATTTGGATTGTATACATCATTGACAAGCATCCAAGACTGCTTGAGCGGATGAGAGAAATTGCAGCCATCTCGGGTGTAGAGGCGCCTCAAAACGAGACAATATTAAAGCGATTTGACAATGCGAGAGCGGCCCGGAAACCGATTCACTGAAGCTTTCAAATGATACTAGGACACGGCGTCAGCTGGTCCGCAAACGTTCAGGAATTTCAGTCACTTACGCGTGAGAAGTCTTGGAAGCGTCCAAAAACTCGCATACTGCTCAAGGTGCAGTCGGAGGACGGTTCTGTCGTGATCAATTTGAGACAGGAGGCTGGGAGTGGAAATGGCGGTCGACTTCCTGTGGAGGTCGATGAAGATGAGAGCAGTGAAGATAGTGAATGTAATGGCTGGGTCTACCTGCAGGCAGAAAGAGCCATCCCATTGTGCTGCAATTGAAGCAATATCTTGACAAGTCTCGAGAACTCGTTGCCAGCTCATGAGCCATTCATCCTCCCGTGTTCGACCGCAGCCCAAGATAGAGAGAAGTAGTTGCGCCATAAAGAGATGAAAGACAGTGATGAGTCTCGCATGATGGCCTGCGTGAGTTTCATCTGAAAATGCGTTGCGTTTGGGATTGAGCCAACCAGGTGGCAGGGCTAGGCGAAGCGCAGCAAGATGTCGCTCGACATTCGCGAGGCGTGCAATTGTTTCTTCTTGAGGGCGCAACAAGTGCACTCGTGAGACTAGCCCAGCCTGACGCATGGCAGCGACAGTAATGATGTGGATGTTTGTCAACAAAGTTTCTGGATGAGACGTAACTGTAGGAACTAGTTTCCACAAGCCTTCAGAGTCAAGAGGCAAGTAAAGTTCTTGGAAAGCATCTGTACCGTTTGAGGACCAATTCGATTGCCCTAGGATCAAGGATGTATTTACTAGGCCATCCTCGATCACATACGGCGTTCCTGACGAAAGATTGGTATAAGAATCGAGCCGGTAGATGCACCACCACACCGACCGCCATTCTTGGAGATCTTCCTTGCCAATGGCGCTCCAGTCAGGATAAAGTGCACACATATTTTCGAGGCGATCGAGCCCTATTCGATAGGCCATGCGAGTCAATCTTCCTATGCGCATCCAGGATTGGTGACCCGGGAACTGATGGAACTCGTAAAAAGACAATATACACGCCTTCCGAAATTGATCGAGGGATGGGGAATCGCCAAGTATATCCTGCTCTAGTAAACTCGAGCTCAGCAGTAAGTCAACGTGGGCATCAAGGCTGGGTCCGTCCACAGGAAATGTGTATCCGGTAAGTTTTGCTGTAATTGTCACTATTGCAGAGACAAGCCCTCGATTGCATAGCGAGGTATCATAGGCATTCAGAAACCGTTCCTTTGAGAGTATAGGATTCGCATCTTGAGCAATGTCAAAGTATCGTTCGAGACTGCAAGTATCACTGGTCTCAGCGTGGGTCTTAAGCAGCGAAAGTGGAAATGCATACAGGTACTTCTCTTGCTCTGGGGAAATATCCAACTGGTTCGAGCATCGAGGGTTGCTGGCTGTATCTTGAGGAGATTGAGGAGACAGAAAAGATGACTGTTCCTGGAGCAAGTTTCTGAGTGGGGATGTAGACTCTGCTGGGGATGGATCATTGTTTGAAGCTCGAGGGGTGACGAGAGAGCGACGGCGACCTGTATGAAGTGTATGCCATATTAGCACAAGATCGACTTGCCGCAGAAGAGAGATCAGTTACCAGAAGACCTTGGTGTTCTCGACGCCAGTCGGGTGTGATGCGAGCCGCGCTGGGGGCCAGGCTTTCGCCTTTTTGCTGTGTAGGTGCAAGTTTCCCCGCGCTCGAAGCAGCGAGAGCAAGTCGGATGTCCCTGATCGCCTATGGATGGCCGTTTAATGGATGGACAGAATTTGGAATGGCTGAAACTCACATTTCACCTTTTTGCTAGACAAAGCATCAGCGTGAGTGCCCACTGAGAGAAGACAATGAGAGAACAGAAGACAGGGCTTACCGTATGCACATATCACAAGCCCTCAATGGAGCTCGGGGTTGGCTTTCGCTGCGGCGCATTGCTGAAAGTGGATCCCACTGGGAAGCTGCGTCTGCCTGGGGAAACTCCATCTTGCGTGGGACTGATGGACAGAAGAAAGAAGTTGAAGTTATTCCGAGGACAGCTTCCCGCCGGATGGATCATCGGGACAATTGCGGCACGTGCCTTGAGATCTTCCGGTAGATGCTCCGACGCTAGTCCGTATTGGGAAGAGCAGTTGATGACCTGACCGTTGTTCTTGAATTGCTTCACGCGACTCTCTAATTGTTTCAACATCTTGACACTTGCCAATCTATCAACTAATATGCCGTCATTTTCTCATCTTGTGCGCTTCGAATGCGAAGAAGATGGGAAGCCTTACTATGCAGACCTGGGACCTGACGCCGACGGACCGCCATCTCCGGGGACGAAGGTAGATGCATTTGAGTCTCTCGAGGAGCTATCTAAGGAGGATGGAAAAGGATGCCTCACTGTGCGCAGGGTAAGGTACCATCTGCTGGATATAGGATATGGCTGATTGATCGTGTGAATAGCTGTTACCGCCGCTTCCTAGAGACAATATGCCGATATACTGCGTGGGGTTGAATTTCAGAAGCCATGCCAGGGAAGCTAAGGTGAGGCACTATCATCTCACTTTTGGAATATATCCTAACTGCTGACATACATAGCTTAAAATCCCATTCTACCCTCCACTCTGGACGAAGCCGGCAGCGTCTCTTGCGAATCCTGATCAAGATATTCCCGTGAATGATTTCTGCGCGAAAGGCCTTCTGGACTATGAGGTAGAGTGGACATACCCTATGGCAGATACGATGGAACTGACAATTGTCTTTTGTAGGGAGAACTCGTATTCGTGACCTCGAAAGAATGCCGGGATGTGTCGCCGAAAGACGCGAAAGAATATATTCTGGGCTATACAGTCGGCAATGATCTGTCATGCCGCATGTTTCAACTACAGCAGAATTCCGGAGGACAATTCTTCTTCGCCAAAGCATTTGATAATTTTGCACCAATTGGTCCGACTCTGATTAGCCCGGAGCTGTTCGACAGCGGCACATTCAAAGTAGTCACCAAGGTGAATGGGGAAGTACGACAAGCAGCCGATCTCAAGAAGGATATGATATTCTCCCCAGAACAGATACTCAGCCACATGAGCCAAGGGACGACGGTTCCAGCAGGAACGGCTGTCATGACCGGGACTCCCGAAGGAGTGGGCGCATTTCGTAGCCCCAAAGTCTTCTTGCAGCATGGCGACGTGGTTGAAGTCACGATGGAAAAGGTTGGGACACTGAGAAATAGAATCAATTTTGAGTAAGCGATCGTCAGCAATTTTGGTCTTTTTTTGCTGACGGTTTTTCCGAGGGTTAACGCGTTTACTCGATTTGTTGTATGGGTTCAATGGATTGTGCTCCAGGTAGTTACGCGGTGGGTTTGATTTAGTTAACATGGTTATTACTATTTTATGATAGCAATTTATTTTGTATAGTCGTACTCTGATCGTGATTCACTGGCTGTACCTCCAATAAAATTTCGGTATATCGCATATGGTCTAAGACGGAGATTCTGTCGATTGCGAATTTCAATTGAAACCCCGGTTTATCCTGAAAAGTGGCGTTGAAGATCCGCCGAAGTGGTCCATGGAAGTTCCCCCGAGTCAGATCAACCGAAGCTGAAGGCAATCAACTTTACTATATTACACCGTCTATCACCATAGACAAACGCTATCAATCTTTTCTTTCTTCCTTCAACTGAAATGTCATTTATATTCAAACTTCTTTTTACCACCCTCTCCTACCTCCCACGGTTCATCCGCGAACGCATCATGCCCGACATGTTGATCCCAGCTATATCCAACAACCCAAACAAAATCCAGCTCGATCGGCTGGGCCATGTCTACTTTGAACATCCTGATCTTGACATTTTCCGAAATTTTGCCAAGGATTTTGGATTTATCGAGGCGAGGAGAACGGCGGATAAGATATATTACCGTGGATACGGCAAAGATCCGTACGTTTATGTAGCGATGAAGAGCAAAGATGGGAAGCCGAGGTTTCGGGGTCCGGCGTTTGTTGCTCGCTCACAGGCCGAGTTCGAGAAAGCGGCCAAGCTGGCTGGGTTTAGTCCTCGCGATCTAGATGAGGCGCCTGGTGGAGGGAAGATGATCACGTTCAATCGGCCAGATGATACCTTCTTCCATGTTATATACGGGCAGGAAGAGCGTACTGTCGAATCGCAAGAGCCAACTGGTACACATGAGCAACAAGGCCCCTTTAACACGGCCTTTGAGAAACCACGAAAGGGTTCGTCTATCCTCCATTTCATTCACCAACTCTTCTAACAAGACAGGCAAATTCCAACGCTACCATCCCGGGCCAGCCCTCGTCCACAAAATCGGCCACTTCGGCTACGTCGTCCCCGACTTTGACCGCGAATTAGCCTGGTACACAGACAACTTCAACTTCGTCCCCTCCGACATCCTCTACCACTGGGACTTTTCCAACATTGACGTCCTCACATTCATGCATCTCGATCTGGGGAAGGAATATTCCGACCACCACGTCTTCTTCATGCAGCGGGCTGAACCACACGTTAAGAAAACCTTTCTCCACCACACCTCGTACGAGGTTACAGACTTTGACACGCAGCTTATCGGCCACGACTGGCTAGCGAGGCAGGGGTGGAAGAGTATCTGGGGCGTAGGGAGACACGTGCTTGGAAGCCAGATATTTGACTATTGGGCTGATCCGAGCGGATTCAAGATCGAACATTATGCTGATGGGGATTTGGTGAATGAGGATACGCCTACGGAGAGGGATTTAGTTGGGCCATTTTCTGTTTGGGGACCGGAGGTGCCTGGTGATTTTAAAGAAAAGGGAGCATGATGATGGTTGATTGACTAGATGAGATGAGAATACAAATGCAGATGGTTACTCGACAAGACCAACAATTCTACCAGAGACATTCATCGGACCGTGTTTCGTGTATCCAACCCCTAGGTCCTTCACAATCCGGATATCTTCCAATTCAGTGTTATGCAAGTCCACATCAAACCGTCTCACGAACGCAGCAATAGTCGTGTAGAGTTCGAAATACGCCAGACTGCTCATTAGCTGGCATTTATCAGAGAGTAGGGGATAGCATACTTCAATCCCAGACACATCCTACTTCCACGAGTAAACGAGACGATGAACCGACTGAGATGCTCGCCCTTTTCTGCTGCTTCGATCCAGCGATCGGGGTTGAAGGCTTCGGGGTCGGGGAAGACGGTGGGGTTTCGGTGGACGAAGTAGGAGATTGTGCTCATGGGGGTCTGGCTATTAGTTTACGAAGAATAGTAAAGGGGGTAACATACTCCAGGTGGAATGGTGTAGTTCTGATACTGCAATGCTTCCGTTGGAGCCACACGGGGGAGACGAATAATGACTCCATATGAAAGACGGAGGGATTCATTGACAACGCCAGTCTATTTATTAGTATAGGTACGCTAAGACATGGATGTACATACCAAGTAGGGCAGTCTCTCCAATTCAGGCCACGTAACCGGACTAGTTGGAGTCGGCATGACCTGTTTCAACTCATCTCGGAGTCTACTTCGCATCGCCGGATCTCTCGAAAGATAGAACGACATGACAGTCAAAGCCCGAGAAGTCGTCTCCGTACCGGCAGATAACAGAATCAAACTCTCATCTTTGAGTCGAGTGGCTGTCTTTTCTTCAGCAGGCACGTCTGGGTCGGTCAGTCTGTCAAAGATGGTCTGCTGTGATGATTTAGCATGACTCTTTTCTTCGTGCGCGGACAGCGTCGCATGCATATTCGTCTGCATTTGAGCCAGATTCGGTCTTCCTGGTTGGAATTTACACGCCAGCCACAGAGGAGCAATCTCCAAAAGGCGCGGCAGGAAAGGGAAGAAGCGGTTGATATGGAACCAAGCAGTAATGTCGTTTACTGTGTTTCTCACGGTGCTGTTGTAGTCTTTGTGGGAGAGATAGTCCCAGCTTCGGCCATAGCAGTACTGCGTGATGACATCTGCTGTTAAGCCTGCAAAGGCTGCATCGAGCTCGACAATAGATTTGTCTTTGTAAGCTTCCTCCAGACGGTCCATCAGCTTGTCTACCTTGGACTGAACGAGCGGTGCCAGGTCGAGGATGGATTTCTTGGAAAAGAAGTTATTCAGAAGAGCCCGTCGAAAGCGGTGATGACCATGACTGATGGTGGAGACCATGGATGTGTCTGCCATGAAAGAAGAGACGAACTTGGGATCTTTCTCTCGAATGCGACTGCTGGAGGCGTATATCTCATCGTAGTAGGAGGGATCGTTGATGTGTATTTCTCGTGGATTGATTCGGACAATTGGGCCTGAGGGATTAGTATGACGTGCATGTATGGACGTAGATGTGGAATACCATATTTCTCATGCATCTTTTCAATCTCCCAGATGAACATTCCATTGCGGATGATATCGTGGTAGAACTCGTATAGATGGGTGATGGCCGTGAGTTTGGGGCCAGGGAATTTGCTCAGAGGATGGAAATAGAGACGATAGATGCTCTTGACTGCCAGATAGACGATGAGGCTGGCCAGAAGCCAGGGATAGTAGTCGGACAACATGTTGGGTCTGATGGTTCGTACAAGACAGGATGATGGGGAAATATATAGCATGAACCTTACTATGGTTCATAGGGGGAAATGTATCCGTCTATATGCATGGCATACCCATCCTTATCTCAAAATAGGGAATAGTAATTACCCCTCCATGATGATACAGTCAATAGCATGCATGTCATACATTGTGATGAACACGCCAAGTAGCAAAGATACCCCTCCGTGATGCATCAATCACGGTGGAGCAATTATATTATGCATCCATCATAGGCGACGACAAGCCGATCGACAGTGTCTGTCTGGTCTGGACTGCTCTAGTATATTTTAAACTGCATTAAACAGCATAACGGCGCTGCACGTACTTTTCCCATGACGAATAATCCCTGCTTGCCGCTGTCATATGTTTCAGCAGGGATGCCCAAATTACCTGCAGAAAGAGGGGAACCTTGATTCTATCATCTATCGTATTATCATTCATTATTTAGTCCATCGCACGAATATCAGTATACATGACTCTATCGCTACCCCTCAGTTCAACACCATGCAGTCCAATGCCTGTCCACCTGCCACGATAGGCACCATCTCCGTCTCGTCCGTCGTCACGTCCAGCACCGCCGGTCCCTCGCTCTGCAGTAACCACTGGATGCAACTGGGCAGTTCCCTGGCCGTCGTGCATCGTATCCCCCGAATCCCCACGCTGTTCGCCAGCATCACGAAATCCGGGTTCTGCTGGTGCACAAAACACACCCGGCCATTGTAAGCTGCTTTCTGCATCTGTGCTACCATCTCCTGTTGCCCGTTATTGAATATGATGGTCTTGACGGCGATATTATACTGTGCTGCCGTGGAGAATTCCTGCAGTGACATGCCCAGCGAGGCATCCCCGTCGATGTTCACCACCATCTTGTCTGGATTGGCTAATTTGGCACCAATCGCGGATGGAAGACCGAAGCCCATCGTTCCCAGACCCCCCGAGGTGACCATGCTATGCGAACGATGCCATTGGAGGAAGCGAGCCGCCCACATTTGATGCTGGCCCACGCCGGTGGTGACGATGGTCTGCTGATCGAGCGATTGCAGCTGGCGGTCTAATTCGATCACAATCTGCTGGGGGAGACAGTGTGTGCCTTTATTCGTGGGAATGCTGGGGAAGTGGGTGTGTTTCCAGTAGCGGATCTGATTGAACCAGGCTGTTCGTTTATTATCATCGTGTACGCGAGAGAGAAGGATAGGCAGCGTCTCGGCCAGATCACCAACCACCGTCTCGTCCGCTGTGATCACCTTCCCTGCTGTTTCAAGACTGATATCGAACTGAACTATTCCTCCAGTCGCCCGGTGTGCAGCCTCTCTAGCCTTGGGTGCGTATCCGCCTGCATTTCCCACGGCTCTTTCATCTAGTCTGGCGCCCAGTGCAATGACAAGATCGGCATTCTGGATAGCATAGTTGGCGTACGGTGTTCCGTGCGTTCCAACCATTTGCAAAGCCTCATCGCGAGTCTCGTCGAAACAACCAAGGCCGAGTAGAGTCGTGGTGACGGGAATGTGCGCTTTGTCAACTAGACTAGCTAGAAGGGATGGTCCATTACTGGCATTCAGCACTCCCTGGCCAGCGCAGATAACGGGTCGTTCAGCGGTATTGACAAGGTCCGCAATACGGTCGATGGTGTCGTGCAAATTGACAATGCCGTTTGGACTACCCACTCTGGAGTGAACCTCCTTGCAGAGAGATGGCTGTAGTATATCAGGTATATAGACCGCTTCTCCGATATTCTTGGGAACGGCTACCAAGACAGGCCCAGGTCGTTTATCCCTCGCAATCCTGAACGCTTCATCGATAGAACCAGGCAGATCATGAATATTATTAACACAGACACTCCACTTGGTGCATGGCTTGCTCAACGCCGCCACGTCGATCTCTTGAAAGGCCCTGGTGCCCTGGACAGACGTGGAAACCTGACCACAAAATACCACCATCGGCGTTCCATCCAGGAGGGCGTCCAGCATAGGAGTCACGACATTCGAAGTGCCAGGGCCAGAGGTGACGAGGACAACGCCCGGTTTGCCACTTGCTCTGGCATATCCCTCGGCCATGTGGCCAGCGCCTTGTTCATGGTGGGAGAGGATGAAGTCGATTTTGGATTTGTAGATCCCGTCGAACAGAGGAAGAGCAGCACCACCGGGGTATCCGACTGTCTGGTTAGGATATGAAGTTCAATAAGGAGGGGACATACAGATATGCTTGATGCCATGAGCGTAGAGAAGTTCCCGAAGGACGTCTTTTCCAAGGAGACCAGCGAGATCTTTGGTCTGCATTGTTAGTTTTATGAGTTGAGTTACTGAGGTATTGATTGAGTTATTGATACTGCTATTCCGGACTATTTATGGCCATCATTACTGATTATAGTGTCTTTATCTCTGTCACTCTACATTGCCTGGTATGCACTGAGTTACACTATGTAACACTGCACTATTGACAATGTGTCACGCTCACTGCCGTTCTAAATATTCCTTTCTGCTGTATCCATTCAAGCATACATATGCAAATGCCCTTGCTTCAATTCAAGACATGTCCAAGAGTCTTATCATCCAATAATGTAAAACACCTCATACAGCAACGACCACAACAACATCATCACGGGTTATTATAAGTGATATGAGGAATCTTGTACTCCCTCGACATCATTTCCGAGCCGCACTATCACATTCTACAAACTGGAATGCAGCTTATATGTCCGACAATCGGATGATGATGAATGATGCACAGTTGATGCTATTGGAATGGACACACCGTATAAAGACATACTAACCCTCACTGGTAATCTGCATCACCATCACCATCAACATGAACCACATCCACCAATACTCCGTCTTCAGCGCCCTCATGCACGGACTGGCCTCGGATGGCACCACTCTCTCGCACATTCTCAAAGATACCAATCACGGCATCGGCACCGCCTGCGGCATCAACGGCGAGATCATCATCCTCGACGGCAAGGTGTACCACTTCACCTCCAAAGATGAATTGCGCATGCTCACGCCCTCCGACACGACGCCCCTCATCGTCGCCACCGACTTCCAGCCCACCATGACCAAGTCGCTCTCCACTCTCTCCATGGCTTCTCTCCAGGAAGCCTTGTATCCCTACCTCCCTTCCAGACAGAACAACTTCATCTCCCTCCGTCTCGACGGCACTTTTACGCACATCACCTACCGCGTCGTCAATCCGCAGCTCGCTCCCAAAGAGCCGCTCATGCAAGTCGCTCGTCGGCAGACGGTCAAATCATACCATGATATCAAGGGGAGTGTGTTTGGGTTCTACTCGCCTCCGTATACGAATGGTTTCAGCATGGCGGGTTTCCACATACACTTCCTCTCGGATGATCGGAAAGCAGGAGGCCATGTTTTGGATTTTGATGCTGAGAAGATCACGCTCAAGGCTGCGGTGGGTACGCATTTGCATCTTGAGCTGCCAGGTGGTGAGGAGTTTAATGAGGAGCCGATTCAGCCTTCTATCGCGGAGGACTTGCCTTTGGTGCAGAGATAGGAATATAAATGGTGAATTAGTGATTAGACTAGTATACATATGTCTAGTTTAGTTGCCCTTGATAATCTCATCTGCAATCTTCTCCGCCAGCATATCTATTCCAGTTAGCATCTCATCCATAAGAAAGAAAGAAAGACTCACAAACTGTCGACTGAGGATGTCCCGGCGGCAAGAAAGGAAACGCACTCGCATCGACAACCCTCAACCCCTCCACCCCAAACACCTTCGCCTGGCTATCAACAACCGCCATCTCGTCTCCCTTCTTGCCCATCTTACACGTACACCCCGCATGCCACAGCGTCATGATGTTATCCTTGATGAACTCAAGAATCTCCTGATCGGACTGCGTCTTCGTGCCGGGATAGTACTCCTCGCCGATGACGACGGGGGCCATCTCCTTGCTCTGGAAGGCAGAGCGGATGCGCTTGAACATCGCCACGGCCATTTCCTGGTCTGCCTTGTCGCTGAGCCAATTGAGGTTGATGATGGGGAGGTCATTGGTGTCGGAGGATTTGAGGGTGACGTTGCCACGGGATAGAGGCGCGACGAGGACGCCGAGGATGGAAGCGTATTGGTAGCCATCTTTGGGCTGGGTCGGGAGGAGGTTGGAGAAGTTGCCGATGTATCCTGCGCCGGAGATGTACTGTTTTCATTAGATATGGTCATTTATTTCTGTAGAAGGAGATGTACCTCAGCTTCAGGCCAGTCGTCGGCGAACTTGGCCAGGTCAGTCTTGGTCTGTTGGGAAAAGGCAGAGCGAAGCGAATCTGGGATCTTCTCCCAGGCAAGATAATCAGCAACAGGGTTCGTGAGAGGACCAGACTTGGTGGTGACAGAGCTGAGGAACTGGCCAGCCGCAGCAAGGAGATTCGTGGCGGTGGTGGTGAGAGTCGGCACCTGCACCCGATACGAAGGCGCAAAGAACGGATGATCCCACAGATTCTGGCCAACCCCAGGGAGGTTATTCACGACCTCAATGTTCTGCTCCTTGAGCACATCGGCCGGACCAACACCAGACACCATCAGCAGCTGCGGAGACTGGAAGGCACCCGCAGAGACGATCACCTCCTTGGACGCTGTTAGAGTGAAGCTACTCCATCCACTCTGCACCTCCACGCCCGTCGCCTTCTTCCCCTCGAAGATGATCTTCTTCGCCAGCGTGTTCGTGTATGTCTTCAAACTGTCCGGCTTGATATCAATCAAAAATGACGACTGCGAACTACTCCTTGTCTCGTCCTTCGGGTTGATCGTCGATGAGCAGAACTGTGCCCCCATCAGCTCACCCGAGTTGAAATCCTCCTTGTCCTTGATACCAATCGCGTTCATCCCCTTTCGCATCCAGGTGGAGAAGGGCATCGCGTAGTTGGAGTAGGACACTTCGAGCGGTCCGCCCTTGGGGTCGAAGGCGCTCTCGTCGTATCCGGTTGTCGCATTCTGGAACCGCAGCTTGGTGTCGGGGGGCGTGAAGTGGACGCTCTTCTTGTAGTAGGGCAGGGTCTGGTCGAACTCGTAGCTGTCATCGTCGACTTCTTTGGCCCATTGTGACATGGATTCTTTCGTGGGTCTGGATGGTCAGTATCTATCCTATAGTAGGAAACACAAGACATACCGTTGGTAGATCATAAAGTTGAGAGCCGAGCTAGACTGTCAGTATAGACATATATACCATATATAGAAGACTTACGATCCACCCAGACACTTTCCCCGCGCATAGTGGATCGCCCGGTTACTCGCACCCGGTTGTCCCTCGGTGACGAATCCCCAGTCGATGCCAGCTTTGGTCTCAGGGTCTGATCCAACAGGCAGCACGTCCGCAGCAGGGACGGCAGCGACGGATTCAAACTCATAAGTCCCGCCCGCTTCGACCAGCGCCACCTTGAAGGACTGCTGGGCGAGGCGTGTGGCCATTACATTTCCTCCGGTGCCACCACCAACGACGATGTAGTCGAATGTCTCATCGCGACGGTCGAGATGGGAGATGGGGTCTTCACCACCAGGAGAACCAGAGCCAGTCACGGCCCCTAGAGCCAGAGACTGAAAGGCGAGAGAAAGTGTCAACGCTCTCAACATGTTGTCTGTAGAAGATTCGACAATGGTGTTGGATAGGTGTTTCAGGGGGCGTACGGTATATAAGCATGACTGGATTAACCTCAAATATGCGTCATATAGAACCTCGGATAATTGATTCAGGAACACTGCGATCCTCTGCGTACCTGCAGCCCATGATTGAGCGACTCAATATTGAGATGTTTAGCATTCCCAGTATAGTTGTTCAGCCGACCGAATCAGATGGCATCATTGGGACATTTTGTGGGACGCATTGCCTTTTCGGGAGTAAATGATGCCGATCACCACCGTTATTCAGACACCGTGAAACGGCCAGAAATGATGACGGAAGCTTGCATCTCCCATTTATGGGCTTTTTCAATTCTTATAATTGATGGTTCATCTTCATGTGGCTTATCTGGTTGTCAGTCGATCTGCCGACCCAAGAACGTGCAGTATGTCGATCTTTCTGGACGGATTCTGATAAATATATCTGGAATTGTTCTAAGTAGATCTATATCAAACATTCCTATTTCATGATGCTCGATCTGTTCGTGACACATGTTGGTTCCATCAGGGTTTTTTGCACTGACTATCTACAATGAACGCTAAGAATAGCCCCGTTCCACAATGGCTTGCCTACTATGACATTCCTTGGATATACTTGCAAATCATCATAGCATCAATGATAGTCTATAGTTAAACATTATACCATAATTATTAGACATTATATAGTGGATGGCCATTGCCGTCATCATTCATAGCCCCCCGCATTCCACACATCATGATATCCCTTTATCACACTCACCTTGTGACTCGGGGTTAGACAGTGATAGCCTTCTTACGCACTCTCCATCACAAACTTGGTGTTTTGGATTCCTCGCTTGCGCTGAACATGGCAGATCCTGCATCCCCAGATAAAAAGCACAAAGTAGAGGATTCTAACACATGTCAGAGCTGATACTGCAGAAATCAAAGGAGACTTACGCTGAGAGAAGAATCACAATCGTCGCAAAAGCCTCGACTCGGACCAGTTTCTTTTCGTCACCCTTGCCGTAGCTTGATGGTCGCCTAAAGTCATAATAATGCTCCAGCTCGTAGATGTACCAGACAGACGTGCATGCTTGAGCGGCACAAGCGAGGAAGTCAAAGGTGATGCTCGCACCCGGGTGGACGGCGCAGTTGAAGATGACAACAACGAGAATGAAGATGCTGGACCATGCGAATCCGTAGGCTGCCTGTTGTCGAAGATAGACTATTAGAACTGGAATCTAATGGCAGAGTAGAGGGCCTACCGTTCCCAGGTTACTGCAGGCGAGTGACGCCGTAGGCCCATCCCCATATGCTATTCCACCGTCCTGCTGTTGGGGATAGCCCCAGGCAAAGCAGATGAGGCCGATGAGGGAGAACAGGACTGTCACAAAGCGCACTGACAGAAAGGATAGCCATCGCTTGTGTGGCCGGGGGACTGCCTCGATGCACCAGGCGGGTGTGGTTTGCTCGTAGAAATTGGATGGCATTATGGATAAAAGATTTAGACGTGTCGATTAAATATTTTGGTTTGTAAAGGATGAAGGTACCTGTGATATTTCTTAAATATCTTGTACAATCATCAACACAGCCTCGGGATCAACGCCAAGGTCTCGGCAGACGTAGATATAGTTATTTCCGTATACGAGGAACCAACAGATCCGGCTGATCCAGCGAATTATCTGTCATTCTTTTTGCGGAGAAAACCCTGCGCTGGCCCTCATCTTGGTCAGAACCAAAAGGATATCAGTGATCTCCATCGAATAATGGGTTGAAGGGAGTCAACTTCCATCTGGCACAGGCTGTGCAGCACTTCGGACCTACATGTGGGGCATTCGACTCTCTTTAGATCATCAACAGGCATAAGTATCTTATGGAATTATTCTACATAACAGTCTATGCAATAGGAACTGGGTAAGGCTATCAGTTAGCGGTGAGTGATGCAGTTATTTTAGTCATGCTGTTTAGATCGATGTAGGTGCTGAGGTGCCTGCTGTGAATCCCTTTATTTGTCTCCAGTAAATACAAAACACTATTTCCGCCGGACTTATTTGAAGAGTGTCTATGGTCGGTTGGAAGGCCAGCAAAAAAAATTGAGGTACATGCCATTGTCACTTATTTCAAGCCTACTATCAAGTTAATTAAAACCATAGCGTCTACGATATTTCACTACTCTGGTTTAAAATGTTGTTTCTCAAGGCACGGGAGTTTTCAAGATGATTAATTTGCGTCCTGATGACATTGCATAAAGCTAGAGAGTGAAGCAACATTTGCAAAACCATGCCCTGGTTGCCTATTTAGAAAGACAAGCAAGTAGAATATTAGGACATGAAGAGAAATAAAATAGAAAATAAAAACAAAACGACATAAATACTGAGACGGTTTCAAATAAGCATATGATTACTTTTCATAAAGAATCCAGGAGTTTGAAATCAATCACAGCGTTAACAGATCATGCCTTCCATGCCATCGGGCCAGTGCCCTTGACCATTTAACCTCTGCACGCTACAGAGCTACTGTTGGAGGAATCCTAACGTGGGCCGATTAACATCCAAACAGAGACAGGCAAATGAAATGGGAAAAGGGTAGACTCACAATCTTAGGCCAGACAATAGCACCCTTGCTGCAGCAGAGGCGATCACGGCTATCGCAAGTGTCATGATCTAGTGCTTGTGAGTAAGTTGACTGGGTAGACAGATTGTGCTGCTCACCTTTGCCGCATCGAGTTCCAGCTATGTTTGGCACAACATAGCCAGTGCAGCAAAAACAGCCGGGAGGACTGAATTGCCTCTTGTCTAGATCTCCTTCATCCGGAGACGCCTCGGCAACAGAAAGGCTGGTGAATGCGAAGAGGGCAAGAAGAATTCGGAAATGCATCGTTGAGGGGTGGTTGGTGATGGACTACAATACTGATCAGTGATTTTGGTGAACAATAATCATCACGAAGCGTCAGTTGATGTAGACCAAACAGACTGATTTTAAATAAACCCAGCCGGAGTCTAGAATATTGAGCTGCAAAACCGGCCCTTGGAAGATCATCCAAGCCATGGCTTTGCATCATGGATACCTCACCCACCACTGCGAAAACAGCCTAGGCCGTGCTTCATATTGGTAACCTATACTATGTCTAGCACTGGGATGAGCGACGGATTCAGTTAGCCTCAAGCTCTGATTGCTATTAGGCACGATCTACAAGTCGAGCATCCTCAGTGTAGGTTGTTTTGCGGTTCATAAAATTCTGTCAGACTGCAGGACCCGAAAAGAAAAGGGTCTATACTAGGCCCAGGCATAATTGCCAACGAAAGAGTTGATTCATCTGTTGTCGAAAAAGAACGATAAAATGGATATAATAAGATAGCTAGCAGAGGATAGCCATGGCAGAGTCAGTTCCATGGGCCGATGGTGAAGAGTGAATAAAAGCCCATCACGAAGAACACGTTTGTGGTCTCGATCGGACATTCAACGTGGCCAGTCCATAAATAAACATTACAGAAACACGAATCATTGATCTGAACAAGCCTTGGGCTCGATCTAGATCGGTGGCGGAGACTGAACAATCATCGATTGTCTGGCTCGGATTTCCGCGGTTTGGATTCAGCTCGGGGAACAACCGCCAGAGGTGAATAAAACAACTAAATTCATAGAATATTGGCCTGGCAATCTCGATATAATCATATATGCCAATCCCTGGTCCTAATTGCCAGACAAACAGTTTGCGACAAAGCACGGCGATCCAACAACGATGCCATCTACTTTTGGTCGCCAGCTTGCCGCGCTGGGACTGTTGATATTTCTATCAAGAGGTTTTCCAGCACGGCAAGCAGACAGCATTGGCCACGTGGATTTCCAAACGGACTCGTTGGGCCCCATTGATGCCGTTTACACCTGGGTCAACGGATCTGATCCGACCTGGAAGAGCAAGAGGGACTATTGGCATCAGCTCTGGATTCAGGAACAGGATGGACTGTCTCCGAATATCACCAACAGGCAGAGCGCAGACAGAAACGATCAAGGCGATGGTGCCGCCGACGAGAATCATTTCCGAGACAACGACGAGCTGCGCTATTCCGTGCGCTCTGTCGAGCAATATGCGCCCTGGATCCGCCGCATCTACATTGTCACCAACGGCCAGGTGCCCTCCTGGTTAGACGCCGACAGTCCTCGGATCCAAATTGTCCGCCATTCGGACATCTTTCAGAATACGTCGCATTTGCCTGTCTTCTCTTCCTCCGCCATTGAAAGCAACCTCGACCGAATCCCCGGTCTCAGTGATTATTTTCTCTACTTTAACGACGATGTCTTTCTGGGTGCACCCGTCTCGCTAGATGACTTTATCACGCCGGCTGGGGTGCAGAACATCCACCTGTCCCACCCGGTTCCACTCGGAGATGATGCATATCCGGAGTATTGGTCCAAAGACCGCCTTACGCCAAAGAGCCCCGACGAGTTCGAGGACTACGGCTTTGTGGATGATGGGCAGGGGGGAGTAAAAACTGAACAGCTGTTAGGGAAAGCAGTTATCTCCTCGCTATGTGAGCAGGACACAGAGATCCCGCAGTCTTTCCTTGACGAGATCTGGGCATCAAACAGGACAGCACCGGACAACAGCAAGCAGATCAAAACTGTCGCACTACTGGATGCAATCTCGCAATGCCCCAAGGACCATGACTTGGTAGCCGATGCCATCCGCTCCGTCATCAAGGCATTCAACGGGCGATTCCAGCAATCGAAACACCTCCGGAGAGTCCCGTCGCACATGCCGCATATGATCAACAAGCACGTCTTGACCGAGCTGAAATGGATGTTTCCCGAGGAATTCCAGCTCAACTCAGCGCACCGGTTTCGACACCCGCATGATCTACAGGTGGGCTTTGCCTATTTCAACTATCTAGTCAATCGACCGTATTTCTTGTCTTCTAAACTGTCTGCGATGCGGGATCAACACCTTGCCCTTGGCCGAGAAGGTAATCTTCGAGCTCTCGCGGATGTTCTGTGTACACAAAGCGACCCAATCGGGTTTTATGAATCTATTCAAAAGTGTCTTCAGCATCGCCTCGCGCCGACCAACTCGGAAACAACGGTAGCCATGTTTGCCCAGGACGTCGAATATTGCATCAATACGGTAACGTTACCACCTGACGTACAGAGAAAGGGATATAGACTGAAGATGGGAACCGATGTGACCTTTCACATGCTGGGAGATGACAATGAGACCACCCTGTCCCAGCTGCAGTCGACGAGAAACCGACCAACCAAATTCATCTGCCTTAATGACGACATGAAGAGTCCATCGCTCGATGTGAGACGGGCGTTTATCCAGTTACTGCAAGACCTGTGGCCAGTTCCCTCCAGCTTCGAGAAAGACGTCGGCGCACTCTTGAGCAAAACACAAACCTCTGCCTATCAGGTGTCTGTTATAATGCTGTGCCTTTATGGGTTCATCGTGCTACTCTGTTTGTTGCGGCCTGCGCAAGAAGACTTGATACTAGCTCGGGTGTATAATTAAGGATTAGTTTTGATCCCAAGTCTTGTTCCATATGCAAGAACATCCATGTTAAGTGGCATTAATTATGACCGGATGAGATCCCCGCAAACCAAGGGCCAGCGAGCCATGGTAAACGAGCACATGAAGCTATCAGGTATGACCCAGACTTACAAGAGTGCCGGATCCAGGAAACTCTAAGTAATAGGGCCTCGACTGAACTTTTGTCAAGAGAAACATTTCATGTTACTATAAATGCCAGATGCAAAATTCATTTTGCCTCCTTATTGAGTTCAACTGGAGTCCAATCTTTCATGATGGGGTTTTTCCTGATTGCGCTTTTTCTGCAACGCTACATTTCGCCCACTTTGGTCCTTTTTCTCTTCGTCTATATCAACTTGACGAGTTCAGAATGCATTTCAGAGCGAGCTTCCCCAACCTGCCCAGTGTCCTTGATCTCTCTCCCTAGTGGCACACCAAGCCCCATTCCACAAATCCAGCATCAGTTCACCTCGGAAACCCAATCCGATCGGCTCGAGAGAATCAAAAGGCAACAGGCCGTGAGGAAAGCATTCCAACATAGCTGGACAGCCTATAAAGACCATGCCTGGCTGTGGGACGAACTATCACCCATCAGTTGCGGTCGTCAAAACCCGCTTGGGGGCTGGGCAGCGACGCTGGTCGACTCGTTGGACACGTTGATCGTAATGGGTTTAGTCGAAGAGTTCGAAACGGCTCTGCAAGCCCTCAATGAGATCGACTTTTCCACTACGAAAGCACTGAGTGTGAATATCTTCGAGACGACAATCCGATACCTTGGAGGGCTGATTAGTGCTTATGATCTCACGAACGGAAAGCATTCCATCCTGTTGGAAAAGGCCCAGCAACTGGCCGACTTTCTGCTCAAGGCATTTGCTACATCCAATCGAATGCCGCAGACACGATGGGAATGGATCAGGTAACAGGAATAACGCCCATTGCCTAAACGGAGCTCACCAGGTGTAGGGCTGTTTTCGAGTCTTCAACCGAGTCCAGTGAAAGGACCCTCCTTGCTGAAATCGGTTCGTTGGGGCTGGAGTTCACGCGTCTGTCGCAAATAACAGGCGACGCCCAATATTTTGATGCTGTTCAGAGAATCGCCGACCGTCTACACAGTACGCAAAACCGCACCCGGTTGCCCGGTCTATGGCCTGTTTCGGTGGACGCCCGGACTTGGAGTTTCTCGAACTTCTCGAACAGTCACTTTACAGTCGGCGGTATGGCTGATTCTACCTATGAATACCTCGTGAAGGAGTATCTACTTCTTGGGGCACAGTCAGATCAATATCGTGACATGTATATCCATGCCATCGAAGGGATCAAGCAGCACCTACTCTTCCGCGGCATGGACAAAGGAGGACAAGATGTACTCTTCGCCGGAGACATACGATTCAACTCAGGATCTGGTGAAGAGGTTTTCGAGTATCAAATGGAGCACCTCAAGTGTTTCCTTGGGGGTATGGTGGGACTTGGAGCCAGGGTATTCGGGCGTCCAGCTGACTTGACTATCGCACGGAAGCTGGTGGATGGATGCATCTGGGCATATAATCTCATGCCTACGGGTATAATGCCCGAAACGGTATATATAAGTGGGTGTAGAAACTCAACCCGGTGCGAATGGAGGGAAGAAAAGTGGCACCGCGACATCTTTGGGTGGCCCGAGGAAAGGGAAATGCCACCAAATTTACAGGACGCTGTGCAGCGGGTGATTCAACAACATGGACTACAGCCACCGATCCTGGAAGTCGCCGATCCAAAGTATCGTCTGAGGTGAAGTATAGGATGTTGTTGATCAAGACAGTGTCATGCTGACCTTTTCCAGGCCTGAAGCAATCGAGTCGATCTTTACCATATACCGAATTACCGGCGACAAATCATTACAAGACACTGCATGGCAGATTTTTCAGAACATCGAGCGATACACCAAATCAGAGCACGGTTATGCTGCGATCAACGATACGCGCGACATCAAGACATCAAAGCTAGACGTCATGGAAAGCTTCTGGCTTGCCGAGACGTTGAAATACTTTTACCTCATTTTCTCAGATCCAAATCTGATCAGCTTGGATGAGTACGTCCTGTAAGTATATAATTTCTTCTGTACCTAGGAAGCCAATGTCTAATGATGCGTATAGTAATACCGAAGGACATCCGTTCAAGTATATACATGTAAACGTTAGATCATGAAAATGCAATGGATTCAACCAAACAACCTAAACTCCAATTAGGTGATCTAGACAAGGTCCACTGTCCGTTTTAGATATGCGCTCAGTCCGTACCAAGAAAGCGAGTCGTCAATACGAAGTGGTGCCAGAGTTCAACGCACCGTGGGTGAAGATGAGCTTCGCCACCGACGAACCATGCCATCCATGGATACAGTGAAAGCATCGCATAGCACTTTAATTCCTCGACCTTATACAACCGTGACGCATGAATGTGGATGACATAGATCTAGACCCCCGAATTCCTGTTGCTTGGATGCACAACGTTTATTGATCGGGGATATAATTTTTACATTCTCTCGTAGCAATTCCTTAGGAGAAAACAAACAAGTAGACTGACAAGGAATGGTTATCGAAATGATTGCAGCCATTGCGAATGAATATTTCCCTGCTGTTCAATATGATCAGTTAAGATGGGACTCTATCACCACTGCTTGGCCCACGGGACTGGTCACCGGTGGCTACGATTCGCATCATGTACAGCTTCCACTCCGGGAAATCCTGCCAGTCGCGCAGGTGCCTGGGCTATCATCATCATCGGATCAAGCCAGTTATCCAGACGGTTGGAATCATTATCTTCCACATTTACAGTCCCAAGTCAACTCCGGAGCACAATCGCCTGGCACAGACATATTTCTCTACGGATGGCCCGACCAGGCAGACGACACCATCTGTGGCTGGGGCTCCAGCGAGCAGCATACCCGGCGAGTCCGGAAGGAATTCGCTGGACTACTCAAGACATACCAGGTGGAAACGCTGAATGATGCCGGCTGCGGGGATGTCGCGTGGATGAGCATGATCGATCTCCAGGGGGTCGACTATGTCGGTTATGATCTATACGAGCGAGCAAACTGGGCTGAGCTGCGACAACGTGGTTATCAACTGAATATCCTGGATATCACCGCGAATGAATCGCGGCCGGCCGACCTGCTGATTTGCCGTGATGTTTTCATCCATTTGCCCAACGACATGATTCTTCCTGCGTTGGAGCGATTCCGTCGCTCGGCCTCGCTGCTTCTCACCACGAGCTACACGAGCGACTCGAGGACAAGGCAAGGGGAATTCTCCAACTTCCACCGCATGAACGAGCCCAGCCTACGCCATGCTAAGCTCGATCTGACGCTCCCTCCGTTCAATCTCGGCCAGCCGCTGGTTCGGATCCCCGAGGATGCGCCTAACAAATATCTCGGACTCTGGAACATGAGTCGACTGCCAACTGGCCCGTAAGCGATACTGAGGTGAGGACGGGATGAGTTATATCGGTGATAGTAAGGTAGGAAGACAAGCATTTGTTCATCTAGCCAATAATACATAACCACTGGGCGAGTGTAGCCAAGATCGCGTGTACAGTAATAAATCAATGATGTATTTGTCCATCATCCAAGGTCAACGTATAGTTGTGTGGTCTATGGTACGCAGTGGCCAAACCCATGGCATCGATACGGATGATCTCTTGGATTTGCAATAAAGATCTGGTCTAATCATGCCCACGAACATATTGACCTTTGTCCCCTATAGTGTTCCTTGAACAAAGTAGCAGACTAGCCTTGCCGTTTATCATGGCGCGTTCTTTCTTTCTATGTGTGCTGTTCTCGCTGGCTCTTGGAGAGCGCGACTGGCCATGTAAATCCTTCCAGACAGGCCATTGGCAACCACCCCATCTGTCCCTCAACGCGACCGGGGAAACAGACCCCGGATACCTTTTTATAGGCGTGCGAAAGGCAAACGAGGCGGGCACCGCTCCGACCATCTTTGACCGCAATGGCGACATGGTGTGGCAGGGCCCGCATGGGGAGAACCTGAATTTCAAGATGCAAAGGCTGTTCGGCCAGGATGTGATCACATACTGGGATGCACAGCCAGATCTCAGAGTGTTGGGATACGGAACAGCGCATATCCTCGACAGCACATACAAAGAGATCTACACCGTCACGCTGCGCGATAACTTTCACACTCCCAGCGGCAAACAGTTCGACTCGTATATCGATGGCCATGAGCATTACATCACGCCTCAGAACACCATGCTCGTTTCAGCTCTCAATTTCACCCAAGCAGATACCAGCCATCTGAGAAGGGGCACGCCCGACATGTGGGTTTTGGACTCGCTCTTCTACGAGATCGACATTAAGACAAACAAGGTCCTGTTCAAATGGGATGCACTCGAGCATATTCCGATCTCCAAGTCCAGTGTCTCCGTCAAGGGTGGAAAAAAGTTGCATGAGGCCTGGGACGCTTACCATATCAACTCGGTGACTCCCGCCAAACATGGATATGTGGTCAACTTTCGGCATATCCGCTCTGTTTTCTACATCAACAAGGACGGCTCTGTCCGGTGGCAACTGTCGGTGCGTATATCTAAGCTTCCTGGTGTTGGGTATATCCGCTTACCTAGTATATAAAAGGGTGACAATGAGAACCACGGCGACTTCAAGTGCGACAATATCACCTTTGCATGGCAACATGATGCCCGTGTTTACAACGAAACCGACGAAAGCCTGGTCCTCAGTCTCTACAACAACGCTGCCCTCGACCATGACGACCCGGGCCCGTCAACAGGACTAGTCATCCACGTCGATCTCGTCAACAAGAAGGCATGGAGAATCCACGAGCTGACCGATCCCACTGACCATCTGGTGAGTGCCACGCAAGGCAGCTTCCAGCTCCTTCCCAACCGACCAACAGCGCACATGCTGCTGGGCTACGGATCCATACCCAAACTCAAGGAATACGACGCAGACGGCAACATCGTTCTCCGAGGACAATTCGGCACAGATAGATTTTCGGCTAATGCCTACCGCATCTTCAAATTCCCGTGGAGAGCGACTCCGCACTGGGATCCTGCTCTCGTTGTCAATCATACCACTCCGAATACGACGGATCTCTACCTGAGCTGGAACGGTGCCACGCACTATGACAACTGGGCCATTTTCTCGGTCCCGTCTCAGACTTCAACGTTGCTAGAAGGCAAACATCTGCTGGTGCATGCACGAACCGGCTTCGAAACTCACGTCGTTCTGGAGAATAGCGATGCCCGCTTTATCATTGCGGTTGCAAGAGACGGTGAGAGAATGTTGAGCAAGTCCTCCATTGCGGACTTGGGCCAGGGGAAGAATCCTGTTTGTCCTGTTATTGCAAGGAGGATGGCAGACTCTTAATGGGGCCTATCTAGATAGGTTAAGGTGCATAAATTATCAATCTCTCCGTCACATTGACATGCTATACGATGTAGCTAAGCAACCTTTCGTATATTTGCCCTTGACTAGATGAGACTTTATGTAGTATTTCCAAAAGGAAATTCTGCCACGACCTGGGGAAACGTGTACTTCTTAATCTACTTTCTTCCGGCAATCCTGGGCACATCGGATTCACGTTCGATGGATATCGACGATCTTTGAGGTTGGTTGAATGAAGCATCGTAGAACTGAGGTTCTCTTTTGAAGTGGGAAATGCTCGAATTGGGAAAGGTCTTGCGTCGTGTAGCAAGCTCCCCACGTGAAGAATGATGTTGAGGGGGCTAATAAAATGGGAATTATTGGTGGGTGGCAGGATATCAATTTCTTTTTGATGGTTGTGGGTGTTTTGGCATCTTCGCTCCGTTACTGACATCTGACGGCGGTACTGATATACCACACTTTTCGGAATATGCGTTGGTCATTGTTGAGCAGAGCTTGCAGTGTTTTTCCAGTAGGATATATAACTCTAACGTTAGAATCTATGATCCTCGGTATATCCAGATACAGGGCTATAATAGTAAGCTATGTAAAATCATCTTGACTCACTTAGAATGACTAAAGTTCAACCGCATCCATCCAATCAGAAGCGGCGAAAACATAAAGCACCCAAAAATACGAACTGATCTTCACTGGGGCGTACTCGATTCGGTTGAGCCTCGTATTCTCCCGCTCTATTCGGAATTGATAGACCAGTAGCAGACACCAACAGCCTCAAAGGTCGTCCAGATGGAGAACTAAAAGTGCTGATCGTCTTGGACATTTCTGGGCAGCCTGACACAGTGCAATAGATAACTAGCGGCTGATCAGGCTCGTTTTGACGATTGAATTTGTGCATGTTTTGACGACAGACAATATGGATATCCTCTTTCCACGGGCCGACGGCAATGCCACCAGCTGTCAAGGCGATATAGGGACGGGACAGTGTTTGCCCTCGGGGAGCTGTTAGTTTCACACTGTATTTTAGTGGGACAAACTAACATCTTAGGCCCCGGAATACAATACCAGAACAAATGCCCGACTGGCTCTGGTGATGAGGTATTCAGCTTGACACTATACAAATCAACAATTCTAACTCCAATAGTGCTGTTTAAATCGACATTGCGATGTCCCTGAAGGAACCGGATGGTGCAGGGACTCCTCCTGGCAGACCTGCGATGGCAATTTCTACGTCGGCACAGGGGTATACCATCTCCTCCAACACGATGATATCGACTAACATCAACAGCCGCCATGGCCCTGTCCTGGCTCGGACAGTATCAAATGCTGTGTCAAATACGCGAATATGAACAACGGAACATCGAATGCAACAACCACGACCCCCTCCACCCTATCTACAGCAACATCCACCCCGACCACAACCTCATCTTTGTCTCCTGTCACATCCCAGAACACATCCGGATTGAGTGGGTCACAGATCGGTGGCATCGTGGGTGGTGTCGTTGCCGCCTTTCTGATCGCCGTTGTCATTCTAGCTGCGGTATTCTGGAGACGACGAAGACAGGCTCCGGCTGAGTTGAGGGCAGACAGTGAGCATACAGAGCAGTCGGGATATCAACGAGTGGAAGAACCAGAACAGCCAGACCGTACGAGTGATATTCCGATGCTGGCTGGCGTTGAGAAAAAAGAGCTGGATGGACAGGCTGTGCACAGACCGGAAGTGAGGATTGAGAATACATTTGCCGAGTTGCCTGGATCGGTACAGCTGGCAGAGTTACCTGCTGGGGCAGTAAAGAGGTGAAAAGGATTGATCAATGCGTTCAAGGAGTTGGATTCAATAAAATATGGAGCACAGTAAGTAGTAATAATAAGTAATCATATGTAATCATATTGTCGTGTTTATATACCAACCGGGTACATCTTTAATTTGGAAATCTGATGGTAGTACAGAGCAATATCCATCAGTCAGAACCACAATATCCATCTATTTACCATCACTAACTATATAAAGTGTTCAGATCATGCGATAATCTATAAAAAGAAAAACGATAAGATAGACGTCGACCCACTCCGGCCAATCACATCCCCCAGATTACTCCACGCGGCAGAAACGCCCAAACACCAAAACTGCAACTTCCGCATTCATCGCGACGTTAAGTCTGTTTCACCATCTTTGCATGTTTACTTTTGCCTCCAGTCGCCCATCATGGATCCCTCCACGTATATAGACCCCCAACTCACCGTCTCCGATCGTCTGGTGGTCGACAACCTGCTCGACGACATCAAGCCGACCGGCAAGCACCCCTGAGTCTCTCCCGCCCGTAGTTTTCCACTAACATCTTCCAGGAGACAAACTCACCACCGAAGAAACCATCGAGAAACTGGGCCATTTCAACGATGCATCCCATGCTGGCTTTGATCCGACCGTGTTCCAGTTGTGGGATCTTTCCTATCTCAAAGCGAAACTGCCCCCGGTCATCCAGCAGCATGTGTTGCTGCCGTACATCGACTGGGCCAAAGGCATCGTGCGAGTCCCAACGGATGTGGTCATGGTAACCCATCTGATCCTGTACTTTACCACTTTGGTTCCCTCTGCCTTTTATCTGTATTATCGCTTTTCGTGGTGGCACGGTGTTCTGCACTGGATCCTCCAGCTGTGGTACTGCGGTGCCTTTACCCTCATGAAGCACCAACACATCCACGGCAATGGTGTCCTCTCGTCCAAGTATGTTGTCTTTGACACGCTGTTCCCCTATCTGCTCGATCCCATGCTGGGTCATACCTGGAACTCGTACTTCTACCACCATATCAAACACCACCACGTCGAGGGCAACGGTCCCGACGATCTCAGCACGACCATGTTTTACGATCGCGACAGCATCGCTGACCTCGCCCGCTATGTCGGTCGCTTCTTCTTTCTCATCTGGTTTGATCTTCCCAGATACTTTTGGAGAAAGGGACAGACCAAGTATGCCCTCAGAGCTGGTTTCTGGGAGTTGAGCAACTACTTGTCGCTGTATCTGCTGTATAACTATGTCAACGCCAGAGCGACTGTGTTTGTCTTTCTCCTTCCTCTGACCGTCATGCGACTTGGTTTGATGGTGGGCAACTGGGGACAGCATGCCTTTGTCGACCCCATTGACCCGGACTCGGACTTTCGATCCAGCATCACCTTGATCGATGTTCCGGTGAGTCTCTCTTCTTACCCTATATGTAAGATATAACTGACCCAAACAGAGTAACCGCTTCTCTTTCAACGATGGATACCACACCTCGCACCACTTGAACCCTCGTCGCCACTGGCGCGACCACCCCGTTGCCTTTGTCAAGCAGAAGGAACGCTATGCCGAGGAACGCGCTCTTGTCTTCCGTAACATCGACTACATCTTCATCACCGTCCATCTGATGCGGAAAGACTACCCCCATCTGGCCAGGTGTCTCATTCCGATGGGCGACCAGATTGGCATGACCATGAAGCAGCGAGAAGACATGCTGCGGAGCTGGACTCGCCGATTCCCCAAGCCAACCAAGGCAGCTTGATTGTTATGCAAGATATATAGTCCGTATGTATTATAATCGTGTATTATTATAGAATGATAGATAGAATAAAAGTCATGTCACATCGGATGAATTATGGCAATCTCGGTCTTTGCTCCAACCGAAACTCCGCCGATCGTCATTCGTATTCGTACAGACTGCCATTTTGGTTCGTGTTCGTTTATACATCCTGGCTTCTATACGCGTATTCGGATTCATCGTGGAACTCATATTCCTGTCGAATGATGTCAATAATTAAGAATAAATTTATATAAAGCACTCCCCATCCTGCTCCTCACCCCAGACATTGTCAAAATGCGTCTCTCAACCATCAACATCGCCTTTCTGGCGCTTTCCCTTCAAGTCCACGCAGATACATCTCCTCCATCTCCGGAACCCATTCAAGTAACCGAACTACCTCTTCCCCCTGTCGTTCCCACCGATGCTCCAGGCTCCTGCTCCTCCAAAATCAACCCCCACCACACAGGATGCATTGGCAAAACCTCCGTCATCCAAGGTGGAAGCTTCCTTCCCGATGGCAACCACGTCACTGTCGCTGTCAACTTCACCGGTGCTCCACCATCTCCTAGTCCTGGTAGCATCTACACCGGCACACAGCTGATCCTCGTCCGGACCAACGGGACGACCTTTTCCAACGGCGATGCCTGGAAGTGTATCACCTGCGGTATCCCAGCGGGCAATCGAAACGGAAGTAAGGAAATAAAAGACTATCCGCAGACATTTCACGATGGAAAGCGTTTGCTGGCTGGGTACAACATCATCCAGTCGAACGCAGATCTGGCTAGTGATGAATGTACCCCGAATAACACGTTCATCTACCCGATTCGGTGGAACAATAGACCAGATGGATCGGGGAGTGGTGGGACGATTCGCGAATTGCGGCTCCATCCGGATAATGTGCATATTGGGTTTAATTCGTTTGGTCAGTCGAATGGGGTGCTGGATCAGTTTGGATACTTTGCGAGGCTGGAGTTCAATCCTTCGCCCGAGAGAGGAAGTCCACGAGTGCCGCGATATGATCTTGTGGAGGTGACTCGGTTGTTTGATCCGAATGCGACGCAGTTTCTCTCCGTCGATGGAGACCGTCTCGTTATTAACAAGTCTGCTGTGACTGTTGGTGAATTCCGGGGCTTCACTGGCCGTGGCGATGAAGTTACGTATGTTGGCAATTCATGGGAGTCGTCGAATATCGATCTTTTTGCTGCTCATCTCACCACCGGCAAGGTCCGTCGTCTGACCAGCCATCCTGGATATGCTGATCCCATCGATGTGTCGCCTGATGGCAAGTGGAATGTCATCTTGGATACCCGCAGTAACAACCGCACGATGTTCATGGCGGGAATGCGCCATATCCCAGCCATTACTGATCTGGTTTCGACGACGATTGCAGCGACAATCAGGAATAATGGACCACGTCGGTTCTTCCAGCCGTGGTTGTTGGATCGAGATGGCGATCGTGGGTCTTACTATGGGCAACAGATCAATGCAGCTGGTGATGGCAGTCCTGGGAGTGCCAATGATCCCGAATGGAATGCGATGGCCGATCCACGATGGTCTCCGGATGGCACGAAGATAGTCTATTTCCAGGCATTGACAGTTCCTCCGGCCTGTGGAGGAAGGAATCCTCTTCCCTGTCCGAAATCAACTGCGCCTGGTGGACGAGTTTATCGGCTGATGCTGGCGACTCTAACCAGTCGTAATCCTGTCCATCCAGAGCCAGTCAAGCCGGTTTCTGACATTGTCCCCTGGGGTGTTCCGTACGAAGCAGGCAGTGAAGCTGCGGCTCGTCCGTATCCTCCAGCAGGCAACTATACACTGCATGGACAATCATCCGGTTCTGCTCATGTCACATTGGCAAATGATCCAACTGCATCCTTCATCAACAGTGTTGCAGTCAGCTATACCAACTTCTCCGATGATGGCCTTAACTTCATCTCCGGGAATGAGAAAGTCACCATGACTCCTCTATCGGTAACACTCCAACAAGTCGACTGGTACTCCAACCTCACCTCCACCGGCAAATCAAACAGCACCAAAAAGACCAGCCCAGACGGATTCCACATCCGCATGGATAGCATGACCAATATCTTCAACGCCAACGGGACCTTGACCACCACTGTTGACGGAGTGGTGTATGAACAGCCCGCCAACGGGACTTAGACTTAGCACTCTGCATGAAACGGATATCTTGGCTTCTCCTTTCTTCAGACAGTAATTTAGTAATCCTGAAGTGCAGATTAACTTGGCATGTTGCAGCTTCTTCTTGGCTGAAGCGTGTGGGGATCTGAAGGACCCTGAAACTCGGCTTGTCACCGAGTCGCTTGGCTTTATTGTACATAGTATATATAAGTATCTGTCTTGTCAAGTAATCTTCGAGTATATTCACATCTACATTCTTTCTTCCTACTGTATTATATATATATTGTATACTATGAAGACTTCTCTTCTTTCTCTCCAGCTGCTGGCCAGCTGTGCTGCTGCTCTTCCCCATGCAGATCACAAACGTGACAACACCTCCTGGAATCCCCCGTCCAACTTGGTCACCCCATTGAACGAGGTATGCATCTGTCTAACATATAATTGATCTTGGTCTAAATCTTTAGGTCTGGAAACACGAAATGTCCACGTACAGCGACCCCCTCGGCTTCAAAAACTACGGCTTCGATCAGGTCATCGACGGCAAGGGCAAAATCAACTACTGTGTACGCTGGGAGTCCGATGGAAGCGTCTCTCTTGCCCAGCGTGAGTCCGTTGAAAAAGTCATTCGTCGTTCGTACAATCAGTGGATTGCCAAGTTGGCTGGGTTTGACGGGTGGCCGTATGAGTCTGCTGATGTGAATGTTGTTGGGTGGGCGGTTAAGGATGAATCCCTTTTACAAGGGGATACGTCTGGGATTCAGGTTTATACCGATACGGATGATGATGGGGCGCCCCAGTGTGCGCCTGCTTGTGGAAGGTTCTTTCATCAGGATGGAGATTATGCAAGTTGTGATGCTGGGGCTGATCGTCACTATGGTGTGTTATCTTTTTCTCACAAGGATGATGGTTACTGACTATACCAGACCAGAGTTTATGGTTGACAGCCGGCTTTGAAGGAGGAGCAGGAGGCGATTGGGGCCAGCGAGTGGGCAGTGACTACTTTATGCAGAATATGGACAGTGACAATATGCACATCTATCTCCATGAAGTTGGACATACATTTGCTCTTGATGGTATGTCACCCTTATTCTGTTCTAAAGTATATAGCTAACAGAATAGATTTCTACGATTGGACTCCCACCGGACAGACCAGCTTCATCATGAACGCTGGCAGTGCGACTGAAATCACCGAGTTCGATACGTGGATGGTTCGTGACTGGTGGAGGCATCTGAAGTCGAGATATTCTCTGTAGACTATATACCGAGTATCTACAGCTCTTTGTTGCAGTTGCATGTTGTCTGTCCCAGTGGCTTGTATCCCTTGTATCCATCGTCAACAACATCAGCCAAGATCTTGCGATACCCCTTCACTCCACCCAGATAGAATGGAATCCCGTGTCTCTTTCCTGCGATGTTATCTCCTGTAAGCCACGACGAAGTCTTATCAAAGAGTGTCTTTGAGCTCATCTCCTCGCACATGTCCGTCCATTCCTCTTCCGCAGAGGGTTTGACTTCCACCACCGGGCTCAAGCCATCCCCTATCTTCAGTCCCGTGGCACGGGAAATAAGAGTTGATATAAAATTGATCTGCTCTTCAAGGATTGGGGGGATGTTGGCAAATGGGGAATACGGCCCCGTGACCATGAAGAAATTGGGAAAGTCGACGACGGAAATACCGAGATAGGCGGTTGCCCGCTTCTCCCAGTGCTTCTTGAGTGTTTCCTTCCGGCCGGTGATGGGGAGAACGTTGTACGTCCCCTCTACACCATCGAAGCCGGTGGCGCAGACTATCACGTCCAGATCGTATGCTCCGTCTGTTGTCTCGATGCCGGTCTCGGTGATGGCCGTGATGGGCGTCTCTGTGGTGTTGACAATGTCCACGTTCTCACGGTTGAACTTCTCGTAGTAGTTGGTCGTGCAGAGGGGTCTTCTCGCGTAGAGCTGATTTGGAATAAGCTTCTCTGCCTTGACAGGATCCTTGACGATCGCTCTGATCTTCCGCTTGATGAACTCGGCTGCTTCGTGGTTTGCCTGTTCGTCCACGGCGATATCACCAAATGTCCCAAACATAAAGTCAAAACCGCCGCCGTGCTGCCATCCTTCTTCGAATATTCTCTCGCGCTCTTCTGCATCAACGCTCATCGTTGGTATGGTCGTTTCTCTGGCCCCGAGGCACCAGGTGGTGTCTTTCATTTCCTTCCACACCTTCTCGTATCGATCATTGATCGCTTGTCTTTCTTCTGCTGAAATTTCACGCTCACCAGAGGGCACGACATATTGAGGCGTTCGCTGGAACGAGACTAATCGGTCGACGTGATCGGCCACGGCACTGATAATTTGGACACCAGTCGAGCCATTTCCAATAACTCCGACACGTTTTCCCTCTAGACTGTACGGTTCTGGCCAGGCTGACGTGTGAAGGAGATCTCCCTTGAAACTATCAAGACCGGGAATGTTGGGGTAGTTGCGCGTGTTCAGCAACCCCATCGCGGTAATGAGATATCGTGCCGTCCATGTGCCCTGGGTCGTGTGGATAGTCCACATCTGGGAATCCTCATCCCAGTCTGCAGCCGTCATCTTGGTGTTGAACTGCATGTGTCGTCGAAGATCGTGACGCTCGACAACATGTTGCAGGTACGCGAGAACCTCTGGCTGTCGCACATAATTTCTCTTCCAGGGATATTTGCGAAGATCCTCTAGATCCCAGGAAAATCGATAGACAACAGAGTACGTACTGAAACCGTCAGATGTGGACTGGACTTTATTCTTCGCTGAGCATCAACATACTCGGATAACGCGCCCGGATAGCGATTCCAATACCAGGTTCCTCCAACATCACCAGCCGTATCGATGACTTTGACAGAGAGATTCTGATCAACGAGCTTTTTGCACGCGTAGATACCCCCAAAGCCAGCGCCGACAACGAGAGCGTCGAAATTTAGTTGAGCCATGGTGAGTTGGGTCGATGGAGAGGAAATGCGATCGAGGAACGCTTATAATACCCAACCCCTCTTCCAATGTGACTGAAAAGAATACTTTGCATTTCTCGCTGGTCATCTGCAAGGATGCTACCAGGATGCTCCAACACATGCATAGCCGCGGGTATTCCCATCCATAGATCACGGCGGTGATCCTGGAAAGTGGGTATACTTCAGCTGAAATGTGGGAATGTGATATTTACCTACGCTGTGATAGGTGCGTTCTACCACCTGGTTAATATCTTCCCTGGAGATGCATATGCATGACCCCTCTTAATGGACGCATTTAGTGTGGAAATAATATCCGCAAGCCATCAGAGATTTAGCCATGGACATGTGAATTGAAGAGTTGGTTACATATTCCCTATCTAATCATCAGGCAGACCTAGCCTACTTATATGCAATACCTTGTCCAGTGAAAAATCTGCTCCATGCAGGCCATATCACCACTCATATTAGTGATTCAACTTTTAGCGGAATGGATATTATCACGGCTAGAATCATGAGCTCTATTGGTTTGATAGAGCCAGAAGGGCCTATCTAGTATGGCAAGCCCCATATGTGAGTCGAAATAGTACATATATGCCTATTTAATTCAATGCCTGCTTCCTTATTGCTGGGAGACATTGATAGACTCGATATCATCAAGATAATTCCCCTTAGAATCTCTGTAATCCCCCCAGTTTGCCTGAATGGCCTCTTTGAACTTGTCGGCATCTAAAGCGGAAGTTTCAACTCTTGATTAAAATAATCAGCCTCGGTCTGGGGAAAAGGGTGATATGGAAGGACATACGTAGCCGTAACAGAGTCTTCGCTAACAGCCTCAACCTGGCCTTTGGTGAAAGAACCACCCATTTCTCGCACTATGTCTTCCAAAACCCTCAACAGGAGGCCCTGTCTATTGACGCATGAGCAGAGAGTTGATATGGGTGTAATGTTGACAAGACATACTCATCACCAGGTTTTCCAAAATAGTAACAACTGCAATTGGTATCGATCTCAATGCGCTGGTTAAAAGAAGGTTAGATGATGCCCGATTATAGGGGATAAAAAGCCTACAAAGCTGGACTGTTGTATGTGAGTATCATACTGTAAACAAGGTAATAACGTGCTATCAGAAACTTACCATCTTGGAGTAGTTTGTGAATAAATAAAGGAACTCAATAGAATGTAGTAAGACAGAGTATGAGAGAAAAATGCGAGGATCATTCTAAGCTGGAAGTTGGCAGCTTTATATAGGCTGTTCAATTTCAGCTGTGTATGCCGATCAGCAACACAGCCCGCAAGTTCCCACCCAACTTGACGTCAAGATCCAGAATATGCCATGTTATGAGCTGAACAACCTCAGCCGCAGCTGAAGAACACGGTGTTTCTCTCAGGCCCAACATTCATCCGCAAATACAGCCTTTCTCCCCCTGCTCTCATTCGATACTCATCTTCCAAGAGGAATAAATCGTCTACATTCATGGGATGTTCAAAAGTTTCTTCACTATCAATTGGCAATGAAAGGGCTTCAACAGTTGATCTAGTATGTAACTTCAAGTATATCTATCTATATGTATAACTGCAGTTACTTCAACCCATTCTGGTTCTCTCCTAAAGTACTTTTTCTCTTTTTATTCAAATTTACCCCCAGAGTAGGGGACGGAATCCGTTCTGGTATGAGAAGATACAAACATTAAGTCACTTTAATTTAACCACTGACAGAAGACCAAGAGATTTCGTCGAAAATGATTTATTTTGGTGTTTTACATATTTTATCTGTAATGTCATTCAAACGAGAGTTGTTTTGAAGACATAAGGTTGTTCTACGATAACTGTCGGTTATATATATCCACAACAAAAGAACAAATAGTCAAAATAGTTTTGATACACCACAATCCAACTGATAAAGAGGAAGTTCAATTAAATTACTATGACTAATGACCATAACTATTCGATATAATAGTTTTAATATTATATGGATGCTCTGCAAGATCGATGCCAAGACCCCAATCCGGTTAGCGCCATCGACTGATTTTGTTGTCTTTTGTATGGCTTCATTTCCTTTCCAGGACAACCATGTCTGCGGCTCTTTGGGGCCGTCGCGCCTTTGTCTCCCCTCATCCTCATCTTCGCATCTCTCTTTCTGTTCTACCTCTGACCCGCCAATCCATCTCTCGCCATGCTTTCTCTACCGACTCCTCCAAAAACGAGCCCTCCCCATCCTCTCCGAAATCCTCCTCCTTGACGCTTCCCTCCAACAATTCCACAACTGTGATAGCCCTCGAATATGGAGTCAATGCTCCTCGAACCACGAGACCCCCTGAGCTCAATCTCCCCGAGCGTATCCCCTCGTCCTCAAAGCTGTCCGCCAAATTCAAACGCTTCATCGGAATCGGACGAGCCTACGCCTCCTTCTACAAGACGGGGCTGAAAAATGTCTACCACAATTATCGCGCCTCATTGCCTATCCGTCGTGCGTTGGGACTCTCCCCGTATATTCCTGTCTCTCCTCCTCCCACCCTCTCCACGGCGGCCAAAACGATTGCCTTTCGCAAGGCGATCCACACATTCAACCTCAGCCGGTCGCATTTTCAACTCGTCCGTCGATCGGCCGGCGATGCCCGCCGGATGATCCCCTTCACACTACTCCTCCTCATCTGTGACGAATTGACGCCGATTCTCCTCCCCATCATCGGCAATGCCATCATTCCCCTGGCCTGCTGGACGCCCGGACAGATCGAAAAAGAGCGGAGCATCAAAACAACACGCAAGCACGGCGCCATGACTGCCCATAAAGCCGACCACCCCGATGCCCAGACTTCCTTTTCTGCTGGCTCAGAACAGGAATTGGAATTGCTGGCGAAACAATATGCGAATGCGGAGTGGGCCGAGAAAATCGCGTCCAGCGAGGGTGTTTTGAGGGCGTGTGCTGTGTTCAACCTCGTCAAGGCGCATGATCGGTTCGGACGTCTGCCTCTCGTCCCGCAGGTGTATAGGCCTCGTCTCAGACGCTACGTGGAATACCTGAACGTGGATGACTCTTTGATTCGCACCTCTGGCGGAGTTCAAGCCATGGATGCTCTTGAGGTGAGACTATCCGTCGAGGAACGTGGAGGAATCGATGTGTCCGAGGGCAAGGTGGGAGAAGAGGCCGAGAAAGAGGAGAGATTGTGGTTAGAACGATGGTTGGAGAGTAGAAGAGAATCATGATGATGATTGATAGAACTGTATAGTAATGTATGATAGACTGCGTCTACTACAGGGATCATAGAACATGAATGTATAAACGATTCAATTTGATTAATCAATCCGTTGTTTGTTGATGCTATTCCGACAACTGCACAAGATGCCCTCCCGTCTACCGTACATTATCTCCGGCTTCCCATCTCCGATCGATTCATCATTCCCCTCACTCTTATCATTCTTCAGCTTCGCAGACAGTATCTCCAGATCTAATCCATCTAGCCATGGCAGTTGACTCACTACAGTGGATTTATCTTGGATAGCCATTGCAATTCGATGGACGGTTCTTGCTATACGTGCCGACGTCGGCGCATCCAATGCGACCGATCGCAGATCCCCTGCGGAAAATGCGAAAAAGCAGGAATAGAATGTTACGATAAAAGACCTCTGCGATGGGTAAAAGGTGTTGCTATTCGTGGAAATCTGCAGGGTGTGTCGTTTGAGGCTGGTTCTGGGACGGTTGCAAAGACGTCGAATTCGTTGATGACGCGAAATGGTAAACTTGCGGAATGTTCAATCTATTTTGAGTCTGATTGCTGATTAGGTGCAGGCATGTTGAATGGCCCGGCAATGACGATGCAGTTGGTTCTGGAAGATCCTTCCATGGCGAACCTGGACGGAGTTTCTCGATATTACCTGGACTACTGTGAGCTTTCGATCTACACTATAGCGATTGGGAATTCTAACTTCCGAACAGATAATGACCGCATATGCAAGCTCTTTATCGTGTACGACAGCGACAAGAATCCATTCCGAAGTCTGATCCCTCTCGCCTTGAATGACGGAATCCTTTTAAAGGCTCTTCTTGCTCTGGCAGCATGCCACAAAGCCAATACAGGCCGTCCATTCTACCATACAGAAGAGTCAAACTCTCTGGAATCATTTAATGCCCTTCGAGATACCCTGGCCTTCAAACACCAGGCTATCCAGGGTCTTTCCCGTACCCTGCAAGATGCGCAGGTCGCCAAACAGGATACTACTGTCGCTAGCATCTTTCTTCTGATCTTTTTGGATTTGCTTGAGTCAGGAAGAGATCGATGGAATGTTCATCTGGAAGGTGCTAAGAATTTGATTGCACTAAACAATCAGCCATCCGAGTCGCCAGCTGGGATTGGGCCAGACCCGGGTCGAACGGTCCAGGACATACGAAACTTTATAACCCGGCAGATTTATCTGTATGTGATTGAAATAACTATATAATGCCTACTGCTAACTGTTCCAGGATCGAAACCCTTGGATCAACCTTTGTACGGCCCGGATTATTATCCCAAGTTATCTCACCGGGCCAGCTATGGATGATGCCACAGGAAAACGTGGAACAATCCTTTCTCGGATGCCCAGAGTATATATTAAATGCCATTCAATACCTCTCGCAGCAACGAGATATCATTCTAAGCTTAAACCCAGTCGACGTCGCAGGAATTGACTACCATATACAAAACCTGACTACTGTGCTTGAGTCGATACAGAACTTTGACTGCTATGCCTGGGCGTCAACTCTACCACAGCCACAATCGTCTTCTGTGAGAGATACCCATCATCTTGGTCTTCTATCACAATCATACAAAACCGGTGCACTGGTTTACGGCAGACGAGTCCTCGATATACTCACCCAGGATGTTATTTCCCAGGATGATTTGATTTCAGAATTAATCAACTTGATCGGTGCATTGAAAGATGATAACGCATTATACAAGTGTGTGCTCTGGCCTATTGTCATGATCGGCTTCGAGTGCCAATGGCAGTCGCAGCGGGATTTCGTCACTGGCTGCCTGGAACGATTCTGGACGGACACTAGCTGCTTGAATGCAATCAACGCCGCCAAGGTTCTACAAACTTACTGGCAGCAGGGTGATACTCAGGAGCCATTTTCGTCACAATGGATTTTCAATATTGGATGCTTCGGTGGTGACTGGCTTCTCATATAATGATATTGGATTGATTGGCTCTGCGAAACTGGGGATGAGAAAAACTTTGATTCATTCTAAAAAGGTATGCGTCATGATGAACACAGAACAACTGAGCCTCTAACAAATATTAGAAAATCATTGAATCACCGACTTGAAAGCCTGAAGGAGATCATTTTTCAGATCCTCCCAGTTCTCCAACCCAACACTGACTCGCAATAACTTCCGATCGACCCTGGAATCCGACAATGCGCGCCATTCGATCAACGACTCGACGCCCCCCAGACTGGTTGCGTGCTGGAAAAAGGAAAGCTTGGTCGGGAGGAGTCTTGCGAACTCCTCGCTCTGCAAGATGATGGAAAATACCGGCCCAAAGCCATTTGGCATTTGCGTCTTCATCCATGGCTCGTCTTGGAGACTGGCGTGGTATATCTTCTTGAGTACCTTTTGCACGATACTTGCTTCACTGCCTGGGGCAGCGTCTGGGGTATTCAGAGAGTTGTTGAGCCATGAAATCAGTTGCGTAGAGTTCTGGCTTGCACGTTGCACTCGCACATCCAGAGTCCGGAGACTGCGTGTGCCCAGCCAACTTTCCATATTACCCATGACATTACCAATGGCCAATCGATCTTCGAACAGTTGCTTCAGCCAGTCCTTTCGCTTGACGACAAGGACACCACAGAGGAGGTCACTGTGTCCACCGAAATATTTCGACCCAGAATGCATGACGATATCAGCACCCCACACAAACGGGTCCTGCAGCGGGGGAGGAGCAAATGTGCTATCAACAATGAGATAGGCACCCCGTGCGTGAGCCTTTTTGGCATATTCCTCAATGCTGAAAGCAGTACCGTACGGGTTCACCGGTGTTTCGAGCAGAATTACATCACCTGCTTCCAATTGCTCACCAGGACAATCGAGGCTAAGCTTTTGCAGGCCTGAAAGACGGGAGAGAACGGCGATGACTTCATGACTGCCGTGATAGCCTTCACCTACTGATATGCGGCGCGGGTTGAGCAGGATTAACGCAGCGTGGAGGGCTGCGAGACCAGTGGTGTAGCTGACTGCATGGCCGTTGAGGAGAGAAGACAGGATAGCCTCGAAGCGTGTTGCATTCGGTGCGAATTCCCGGGAGTATACATAGTTCTTCCCGTTGAACTCGTCCTGAGGGAGTTAGTTTTGGATGATGGAAGATATAGGCACACATACAACGGGGTCCACGCTGGGAATCAAGTTCTCTGGCTCATTGGGGAAACGGAATGTTGTAGATAGATGGATGGGAGGTGCGACATCAGTGACCAGATGCAATGGATCATCGGCGTGTAGTGCCTGAGTCGAGGGGTGAATGTGCGACATTTTGGAGTGAGGATGTGAGGGCGGAATGCAGATTCGAGAATTCCACGATACTTATAATCAACGATGCTATACACGCAGTTTCTCCACTCCCTTCAAGTTCCTAAAAGAGAATCAAAGACTTCATCACTTCACAATGGATTGCCACTTCTCTTCCCGGTCACGGGTACCCCACTCCCTTCCTAAAAGAGCAACAATGGTAGCGGGTGTCCAATCATAGTGCGCCCTGCCTACCCCACTACCGTCAACTTCCTAAAAGGGAACAGAGTGGGTCATGAATTCTGAAGATATACAAAGAACTGAATAGATTTAATCGATAAAACTCGACAATTATTTCTGCAGATCATTCAAATGCCCTCGTTCCCTGACAGTCTGCGCAATCCGCTTTCCAACATCCGTGTCCAGCGCTTCAAACCCACTAATCACCCCCTCACGGTCCCCCTTACCCATCTCCTGACTCATCTTGAATTTACCCTGCAATCTGTCTATATTGATCTCAATGCCTATGATGTTCTTTTTAAGAAGTTCAATATACCGATCTGGTGCGTCTGATACAAGCCACGGCTTCACTTTCTCTCCCGTACATCCCATGATGGAGGTCTCGGCGTGGTTTGTGAGATCCTCGATTTGCTTCTGTAGGTAGGAGCCTGTTTCACCGGACTTGGAGTCGCAGTAGACGGTTATCTTGCCGTAGGCTTGTACAGCAGCGTAGTTCCATGTGGGAACGACCTTGCCGGTGTCGGGTTTCGTCTCGGTGTAGAACTTGGGCGTGACGTAGTGATGGTGTGGGCTGTTGAAAAGGACGAGGACTTCATCGGACAGTTCTAAAGTGTTGTTTCCTTGTGCCTTTGATGCTGCAAGAGCGTCCATCAATGCCTTTGCTTGTGGGTTCTGCTTGGCCATGTGGCCGCGGAGGATGCCATTTGAGGGTGTTTCGGTTGAGATTTTTGGGACATCGAGGATGAATGGAATATGGCTGGACTGGATAAGAGGATAGGAAGGTGAGCTGATGGAAGTTGTCAAGATGCCCAGGGGATTTTCACGGATGAATTGTTGGAGGATGGGGATGGATGCTTCTGCGTGGACTGGACGGAGATACATGATGAATACAGTGGAGTATGGAGAGTATGGATATCAACAACATGCGGTAGATATCAGCCTTAAATAGCTATCTCGAAGAACACGATGACTCTTCTATAAAGCACCAATGGCGAAGGGGCAATTAAACATGGTATCCACAGCCCCACGACACACAACTTCTTCTTTGGGCGAGTCACTAATTAGAGTATATTTTGTCATAGCAGTAAATATCCCCACTAGGCCGAATCAGCCTCCAGCCTGGAGGAGATGCAAATGTGGTTTCCAATGCGCGTTTATGATTGCACCATTTCCCCGATTCGCCGCTGTGAATGGCTACAGTCACCGACGGAATTGTTCCATGGTAGACGGTGCTGTATGCCCCTGTTTCCCTGCATCTTTCGACCATATCATGAGAAGATTCGATGCCAGTGACGGAGATACTCTGTTCTTGGGATAGGAATTCCTGCATTGCTCGGCCAAAATAACCGTTACCAGAGCCAAGTTCTAGGACAGTACCAGATGAGCCATGCGAGAGAATCTTTTCACAGATAGACTTGGTATCGACAGATTGGATGATTGTGTCATATTCCTCAAAGGAAAGTCCATATTGTTCACTGGCAGTCTCTCCTCTCTGAAGAAGACTCGTCGAAATCAAAGTATCGATCAACGCTCGCTGGCCGCCAGGAAAACACTCCCAAATGCATTTATCCTCCCATTCGTTGTCTTCGGGTAAGAAGACAGATGGCATGGGATTGACTTCAATCACAACAGGATCACCGGTTGTGGGTACACGAATATCGACATTACACCACCCCTTTCCTGAGCTCTTGTTGGTATAGAATGCTTCGATAGCTGTTGCCTGTAGTTTCTCAAACAAAGCAGGATCGTCCTTCCGGTTGAGTATCTCGACGCTTGTATCGTGGTGGAATTTCGTATCAAACGTCAAGAAGCCGGTATGAGGGTTGAAATCAGAGGGATAGATGTATCTCTCTGGTGCGAGCGGAACAGGAGTATTGCCAATCTCGACGATCACGACCGAATGGTCCCAGCCTTGGATGAATTCTTGAACGACGACATCATCTGGGATCGGAATGCCGTCTACGCTATGCGTCCAGGTTCTAGGGCTCTGTTGATACTCTCCAATGCATGCAGAAGCTCTTCTCTATCATGGCAAATGGATTTCTCGTTTATGAACTGACTTGAACAGCCCGTTGACGGGTTCACAAAGAACGGATAGTTGGATATCCCCGGCACTCTCGGAGTGCCCAATCCCCTCGCATCACGATAGAAATCATTTTTCGTCCGAAGGAGAACCTCACTCCACACACCAGCAGCAGGTAATCCAAACTTTTCGAAATACTGGCATGCTTCAATCCCGGCGACATCGTCTTCATACTGTCCCCACATGAAGTTGAAGTAAAAGTCGAAGTTTTCTGCGATGGCAGCGTCGATCTGCTCTTTGGCTGTTGTCTTGTGTATCCATCGATGCTCGAATGTATGTTCGTCGGTGAATCTGGATGGATCAGCGCCTGGATCGTGTTGGGCGATGCTGTGATTATCCGGATATGCAGATTGGAGGACGCATATTCTCATCTTGAGTTGATGATAAAGATGATTCTAAGAGTAAATATGAAGGCCTAACGCGATGTCTGGTGTTTAGATCAAGTATACCATCTACTTTATATATGTACCTCTGGAGGTGAGCTCGTGTAACATTCGTATTACCTCGGAGCCATCGAGCGCAGAGTAGCTGTGCTAAGAACCCCTCTTTAAAGGAGAGTGTGGTTATACAAACCCAGGATGAATAAACAGGTCATGGGGTAGAACGCTTTGCCACTGATAAACAGGATATATACTCCGGATTCAAATATGGACTGAGCTATGCAGGTCAGATGAGCCTCCATTAGGGAATATGAGACCGACTGTAACGGTTCATATCGGGGGTTACCAATTAATTAAGAGACACTGCCTCTAGCATACCCAAGACGTATTGTCGAAGATCATGTAAGATTGAGAATTATAGCTGACTGAATAGGAAATCCCAGTATTTGTGGTCGTGCTTAATACGGATAAAAATAGCAAGGATATCCCGTTGCGGATGATGAATTCATGTAACCAATAGGCCTAGATGGTGATCGAACATCAAACGTGACATCCGTATTCCAGAAATAGAGAGTGCTTATATCTTCATCAGAAATTCATGTCATCTTTATTCCATCAACTAAAGATATTCAATCAGTATCAACATCACAATGCGCATCTGCGTCTTCCAATCCGCCTATCCAGACGATGATTCAGCAAAAGACTCGGACCCTGGCTATTATCCACACTATTACACAGACATGCACACGTTTGAATACCACTGAATTCACAAAGATACTGCCAAACAGGAGATTGACGCTGTTCTGGCGACGGATTACGATGCGTACTTTAGCTTCATGTGGGGTGAGTACTCTACTGAATAGAGAATGTCTACTAACTTCATAAAGAGCGTATGAAGATCATGTAGCAAGAATCGAAGCAGTTCAGTATCTCGAAAGCAAAATCTCCTGCTTTGGTGGAGTTCCCAGTGCGTCTCTTTTGCAGACAAAGGATGATTTCTATACTGCTGCTCGAAAGAAGGGATCGCCTATTGTCCCGAGTAACGATCTTTCTCGCTTTCCGCTGTTCGTCAAGCCGGTCCATAGCTATGCCAGCCATGGAATTGACGACAGTTCACTCTGCTTCAATGAAGAGGAACTGAAAAGCAAGATTGCAGCATTGGATGCAAGTCTCGCCCCGCATCGAGATCGCAGACCATATTCAGTTAAATCAACCAGACTTGGGGAACTGTCAATCCCATCTGATATTCTTGTTACCGAGTATATCCGTGGCGTAGACTACTTTGTCGTCGTATGTCAGATTGGCGATACTGTATTCCCCCTCTGTCCAGAGAAGTGGCGTCTTCCACCATCGACGCATGGGAAGCTGGATGTCTTTCTGACTCCGCAGATGAAGTATCATGCCGAAACAGATGTTGAACTACTCAAGCAAGACAACGATCCTATCCTTTACGACGCCTTACAGAGTACAGCTCTACAAGCCTGGAAGACCTCCAACACCGGTGCCTATTGGAGCCATGTGGACATGCGCGTTCGAGCAAATGGCGAGATTGTCGCTCTCCAAGTCAATCCGATGGCTGGGATATTCACACCACCAGGAATCCATCCCGTTCATGATCCATCAGTGACGAAGCACTTTCCGGGTGGTCATCGCTCGCTCATCAACTGTGCTCTTGCTGTCCAGCGCATCAAATCGAGCAGGTTGTCGAGGGAGATTCAGAATACGCATGATCAGATCTCGGCTTCGTATGATCGCTTTTCCGACTTGTACGACTCCAAAGCGTCGAGTCAGACACGGACTGTGCCGATCATTGAGGAGTATATCTCCATGTTTGGCTTTGATGGAACTGTATTGGATCTGGGATGCGGAACAGGGGCTTTTGGACGTATCCTCCATCAGCATCATCCAGATCATCCCAAGTTACCCGGGATTGAACTTTCGCCCCAAATGGCAGCACGGGCTACATCATCCGGTGCCTATGGGACTATCTTTGAAGGAAGCATCCAACAACACGTATCCAGCATCGGAAGAATCGACCATGTTGTCTCCTGGTACGCACTGCAGTTCCTCGATGAGGTCGATCTCAACTTTGCCCTCACTACGTGCTTTATTAACGCAACTCAATCCATCACCTTTTCCATCGATGAAATCCCAGACAAATACAATGAGGATATCAAGGAGGCTGGTGATGCGCACATGGTTCAGTTCAATCATGTTGCTGCGGTTGAACGATTTGGAGTTCCTCATGGCTGGAGATTGGCGCATCGACGGAGACAATTCGCATGGAAGTCTGCGCATACCAAGTATGATGTGTATAGTACTGTCTTTCGATATGAGAGAGTCTAGATAGTTGATCTATTTACTTTGATTTTATTCATAAATGCATACCACAGCTATCCAATAAACCATGGCATATCTCAATACCCATTTAATTATACAGAATACTGGTGTTACATACAACCTAGAGCGTGACGAGTATATTCGCCACATAGAAGTCATCAGTTACACACAGCTGCACAGGAATACAGGATCCCCATCCAAACGAACGTTGCAATAATCATCAACTAATGCACCGACAGAGAGAGGATGTGAGGCTCTCACGTCAGCGTTACATCTATACACGCTCAAAAGCATCACCAACGACACTACAGACTCATGTTCATCATGGATCAATTACTCTCACGCCTGACAGGCAGTGGTGACAGTCCTCCAGCATTCTTGAAAGTGCGATCATCCAGAGCGTTTATTATTTTGGCGGTTGTTTTTGCGATCTTCACCGTATGTCCATCACGTACTCGAGTCACACAAGCTGACGTTTTAGGACATCTTTCTCTATGGATTGGTATGTCTCTTCCTGAAGATGGAATCAGGCTAATGGATAGATTGTGCCTGTTGTTCCGACGGCTTTGCAACAACGAGTTGGGTTGTCTGAAGATGATGGTGAGTTTTCTCTGCAATCAAGATGAATCTAACAATGTACAGAGCAGCGATGGATGTCGATTCTACTGGGGCTATACGGAGCCACCTTTCTCGCGGCATCTCGTGAGTAGTTTCTATCTGATCTCTACCAGACTGACAGAATAGCTCTCTCTGGCTATCTGGCCGATCGCATCCAATCCAGACGAGGCCCTCTCATCCTAGGCCTGGTAGCATTGGGCGGTGCAACTGCCATGATCTGTGTGGGAACACATATCGCACTCTGGATTGCCGGTCGATTACTGCAAGGCGCATCCGCAGCTGTCGTCTATACTGTTGGGATGGCACTGCTGATTGAAACAGTCAGTAAGAAGGACCTGGCACAAGCGATGGGATATGTCGATCTGGCTTCGACGATTGGGGTTTGTGCCGGTCCGTTGCTCGGGGGTGTCTTGTACGAGCGCTGTGGATATTATGCTCCCTTTGGACTGGCATTTGGCTTGATTACGCTGGACATTGTTTTGCGGCTGGCGTTGATTGAGAGGAAACATGCGCTGCGATGGACGCAGCCTCAATTGCCGTCGACAAGATCGGAGAAGACAATGGAGGAGAATATCACACCAGGTCAACCGGAGAATCCGGAAGAAAAGACACGTCGCAATCGGCTGGTGACGCTGCTCTCATCGTATCGCATGATTGTGGCCATCTGGGTGTCTTTTGTCGTCTCGATCGTGTTGACTTCCTTCGACAGCACCATTCCCCTCTTCGTGAGAGACACGTTCCACTGGAAGCAGACAGCGCAAGGCCTCATTTTCATTCCACTGGCTATTCCGCATCTTTTCGACCCCCTGATTGGCTTCCTCGTCGACCGATACGGCTTTGTTCGACGATATGTCGCTGCAGGGGCACTTCTTGCATCGGTTCCTCCCATAGTTCTTCTCCGTGCCGTGACGGAAAACACCATGCACGATAAAATCATCCTCTGCGCTCTCCTCGCCTTGATCGGCCTCTGTCTGGCTCTGCTGGCACCGCCGATCATGGTCGAGGTGTTCTACACCATCCAAGCCAAGGAGGAGGAAGATCCTCGTATTTTCGGCACAGGTGGCGCCATCGCCTTCTCGTACGGCCTGATGAACGCGGCCTTTGCGGCAGGAAGCATCGCCGGGCCGTTTTTTGGCGGTTTCATTAAGGATGATGCGGGCTGGGGCACGATGGGCTGGGCGATCGCGTTGTTGATGGGTGTTTCGGTGGTGCCAACCTTGCTGTGTCTGGGGGGATTGTGGACGAAGAGAAGCATCTGAATGGACCGTGTTTAAACTGTTTGTGGCTTAATCTCCGGTGGTGGATGTTTTTCGCACGGGGCAATTTCGGGGAATTTATTGGATTTATTGTGGAGCGAATCTTGTTGTCACGAACCGTTGAATCGGTATAATAGGGGTTGATGTCATGAGATATTTCTTATGCTCGCCACTATCACTTCACTCCCTCACTTCAATTGCTGAAGAGTAAATACTCATAGTGCATACGTAATGTCTCTCTCAACTCGTGCTCTCCCCCCCTCCTTCGAGGTGTTCGACAACAGCTTCTACAACATCACCGGCTCAACACCAAAACTGTCTGTCTTGCTGGAGAACAATGACTTCCCCTTTGCCCACGAGGCGAGTGTCTACACCCCCTCCACCAACGAGCTCTTCATGACCAGCAACATGTTCACCGACCCCATCACCAAAAAAACCACCATCAAGATCTCCAAGGTCAGCCTGGACAGCAACCCCGTCACCTCGCAGATTATCAACACCACCGTTCCGCTGGGCAATGGCGGCATCAACTACAAGGATGGCATCCTCTGGTGTGGCCAGGGCACGATGAATGAAACCGGCGGTCTGTTCCAGATGTCGATTGAGCCACCTTATACGTCCGAGCTGCTGGTGGGCAACTTTTACGGCCGTCAGTTCACTTCCATCAACGATGTTGTCGTGCATAGCGATGGCTCGTTCTGGTTTACGGATCCCATCTACGGTTATGTCCAAGGCGTCAGGCCGAAGCCTCAATTGCCTAGTCAGGTCTATCGGTTCGATCCCAAGACCAACAACACCCGTGTTGTGGCGGATGGCTTCGATCGCCCGAATGGAATCAGTTTCTCGCCTGACGAGAAGATTGTGTACATCACCGACACTGGCGCGACGATTGGAGATGGATCAAAGGATCCCACCAAGCCTGCTACTATGTATGTATACTCTATGTCCATATCAGATGATACTAATAGGATAGCTACGCATACGATCTGACAACCTCTCACGGTTCAACCTTCCTGACTAACCGCCGTGTCTTTGCCATGGCTGACACTGGTATTCCCGATGGCATCAAAACCGACATGCAAGGGAATGTGTATGCTGGCTGTGGCGATGGCATCAACGTCTGGTCTGCCGGTGGAATTCTCCTTGGAAAGATCCTGGTCGACAACGGCGCTGCCAACTTTGGCTTTGGAAAAGGAGGACAGTTGTACATTATGAATGAGAACAAGGTGTACTTTGCGCAGTTGGACTCTTCGGTCAAGGGGAGTATCTTGAAGATCTAGTGCAGATGATATGATGTGTATGATACTCGAATGAGTCTATATCAGGAATAGAATTACTCATGATCGGCGATCGGATATGAATGAATGTAACATCACACAGCTTACTGAGGGCTGGTTACCGCTGTCATTGAGGTAGAGCGGATGCACCAGTCGGGACTGATTCTGACAACTCTATACGAAGTTACTGCACATGCCAGTCTATCTTCCGCGTCATTCTGTAGTTGAGGTGATCAGATCCAGTACTACTGCAGACGCGACTGACATCAACCCCTCCGACTGCTGATCTACACTCTTATTGCTTGATGAAGATATCCGTCTCGGAATGGTAGACTGACTCAAAGCTTAGTACAACGTTGAAGACGAGGCTAAATTCTGACATGAGAATCATCGCAACTTTTATCTCCGTCCCCCGATGGTACAGAGTATCTGATTTGTGTGCTTGAAAATAGTGAGAATTGTGCTACCCATGACGTTCTGTAGCAGGGTAGCAGCCAGAGTTCCAGGACGCAAGATGACATCTTTTGCCACACGATATTGGATGGAGCCTTCCAAGACAGTAGAAGAAATGCTGATTTGGATTCAGCAGCGAACCATGGACTCGATTCCGTATGAACACGTGTGGTTGCAGAAACTAAAAGAACTTAGTCCTGACTGTGCTACTGCCTGCAAATTTGAGAATCTCTTGGTTATCCAGCCTCAATCAAAACCTCACCCCAGAACGATTGGGAAATTGGTTGATGGTGGCTTCAACGTTCGGCTTCACAGTTATGATTTTGTTCTTGAGTGTGGTCTTGAAGTGGATCATATCAATGCAACAGCCCATTACGAATATGATTGTCTCAATACAGACCGTGCAAGCGCGATTGTGAATCAATTTGCCAGTATCCTAGCACTGATACACACGAACCCAGAAGTGTCTATCTCCGCCATTTCAGGGATTTCTCCAGGGGATCTGACACAGTTGCAAAGATGGAACAAGGCTACTCCTGGCGCAGTTGATCTGTGTGTTCATGGTATCATTCTGCGACATACTTTGGCACATCCTAATTCTCTTGCAGTATCTTCATGGGATGAAGATATGACATACATTGAGCTGGATCGACTGTCTTCTAGAGTGGCTGCTTGTCTCCGAAAGCGTCACATAGGACCAGAGTATTCTGTCGCCCTCCATTTCCAAAGATCCTCATCTGCTCACCACGCTGAAAAACCTGGTACTCGTTGGTGAACCGATGAAACCAGGGGATGTTACCACCTGGGCCGACCATGTCCAGTTGGTAAATGCCTATGGTCCGTCTGAATGTTGCATTTCCAGTGTTGAGCAGTTCTCTGTTACTTCGACTTCTAATCCTGCGCATATCGGAACCAGCAGTTCTGCGGCAACGTGGATTGTTGACCCTGAAGATCACGATCGACTACTTCCCATCGGAGCGATGGGGGAGCTTCTCATTGAAGGTCCTATTGTGGGTCGGGGCTATCTGAATGAGCCAGAGAAGACATCTGCTGCCTTTATCGACAGTCTTCCTGACTGTGCTCTATCCGAGGTAGAAAAGACCGAGTGTACAAGACTGGTGATATGGTGCAGTATAGTCTCCAGATGGATGGATCACTAGTCTATATTGGTCGCAAAGACAACCAGATCAAACTGAGAGGACAGCGATTGGAGCTGGGAGAAGTCGAGTATCAGATCTTACAATATGCGGTTGATGTCAAAGATGCCATTGTGGAGCTTGTGATTCCAGATAGACAGCCGATATTAATTGCCTTTCTCTGGCTTGGAGATGAAGCTGGAGATGATGAGATCTTGGGAGACTTCAACAGTACATTCCAATCCGTTGTTCAGATGATTGAAGCTGTCCTCCCTGATCACCTTCCATCATACATGATTCCATCTCGCTTCCTGCCACTGCGTCGAGTCCCACAAACATACACCGGCAAAGCGGATCGAAAGCGACTGCGAGAGATGGCAGCGAGTCTATCACCAGAGCAGATGCAGTCATTTCAGACAGCGACACGAAAACAGCGACTGGTAGCTACGACAGAGTCGGAGAGACTGTTGCAGGAGCTAGTTGCGAATGTTCTGGATATACATCAGAGTGAGATTAGTCTGGAAAGTAACTTCTTTCAGTTGGGAGGTGATTCATTGACAGCGATGAGGCTGGTGTCTTGTCTGCGGAAGATGTGCAATGTCAGAGTTACGGATATATACAAACAGCCGGTGTTGTCTCGACTGGCAGAGAGAATGGATATAAAGATTGCCTAGAAGTATGCGAAATATATAGTTGAATTGAGTCACTTGATAAAATATATTTAGTTGATTTAAAGCAGCTTTGTAACAACCGATACCGGCTGTCATCGACGCCCTATATGTCTGTAACCGACACTATCCGATGAGTCAGTTCAGATATAAAACATTAGATATCTTCTAAAATAATTGTCACCATAATCATCATGTCTCAACAAGCACCATACGGTAAGTTATTGATTATCTATCATCGCGATCTTACTGACGAATAGTCACCCTTGATGTCTTCACCTCCGAACGGTATGCAAATATATATCCACCGCCATCTCCAAATCTAACAACCACAGCTTCAAAGGCAACCCCCTCGCAGTAGTCGACATCAGCAACATCAATCTAACCCACCAACGCAAACAGCAAATTGCTCGCGAATTCAACTTCTCCGAGACGGTCTTTCTGCACCATGAACCAGGCCAGAATCCCCGGGCGGAGATCTTCACCCCCGTGAATGAGATGGAATTCGCCGGCCATCCTGTCATCGGGACTGGCCATCTTCTATTTAAGGATATTTTTGCTGGACAGAAGAGTCTGACGCTGGAGACCAAGGCTGGGCCGGTGGAGATTGAGTATGATGGGCAGAAGGTTGTGTCTGCGGGTGTTCCGCATAATATCCATGTCCATGAGAGGGAAGCACCGGTTGCTGCGCTTGCGAGTGTTCAGGATGTATTGAGTGCTTCTGATATCAATGGGACATATCCTACCGTGTCGATTGTCAAGGGAGTCACATACGTCCTGGCTGATCTGACAGAGCGACCGGATGTTTTCTCCAACATTGCAGCTGGTGCAAGTCCAACCGTCGATCTGGATGACGGCTGGAGCCCATCATTCGTGGGAACCATGTACTATCGTCAGCTTGAGTCTCGCACAGAGGGAGATCCAGCTATCTGGAATCTCCGCGTCAGAATGATTGCCATCAACTTGGAAGATCCAGCATGTGGCAGTGGATCGTGTGCATTGGGTGCGTTCCTCGCTCTACGAAATGGACAGCAGAAACATCGGTTTTACATCGATCAAGGACTGGAAATGGGGAGAGACAGCCATATCATCGTGGATATCGAGCTGAATGCGGCCAGGAATGGAGTGGAGAGAATCAAACTGGCTGGTCCTGCAGCGTTTGTGGCCGAGGGAAAGATGTCTGTTGATTGATTATCGATTGACATAATGCTATCACGATGAGAATTGGAGTACTCCAACATATAACACAGACATTGATAGGCAATATGAGTGATTTCTGAGTTATTGCATGGGGTATGCTTGATCTATCTCCAAAGATAAGATACTCCAACTACCCCAACTGCGACTATACGAAAACAACCCCGACTGTTATCTTGAAGCACACGGCTTTTATTCGTGGCAGCAGGGTATCTCGACCCCAGTTTATCTTCTTACCCCACAAAGTTATCTGGCAGGGTATTAGGGATGTATTTAAGCGGCAGTCTCAGGACTGATCTCTCTGTCAACCATCATTATGTCGCTCAATGAAAAGGATAGCATCACTCCGGCTGATTCGTCTGACGTTGAACTCGGCCAGAGCAAAGATGTTGGCGAGGAATTCGAGATCTTTGGCCAGGGAGATGGCGATGTCAACTTTCGCACCGTCGAGTGGGTGCATGCGTCCATGATCTTTCTAAAGAGTGAGTCCATCAATTATCAACCATCGAGATCCAATCTAATTGCTAGTCATCTTTGCAACCGGTGTCCTCTCCATCCCATCTGTCATGTACGATTATGGCGCTGTCCCTGGTTCAATTCTGCTGGTCTCCTGGACGGGATTGAATGGATATACAGCCATCATCCAAGGCAACTTTCGCAACCAACACCCGGGATGCCATTCGATTGGCGATATGGCGCAGATCCTCGGTGGTGTTCCTCTGCGAGAACTGGCTGGGCTGCTCTTTGTTGCTAGTAATGTGGTCTGCGCTGCATCGGGGATTATCGGTATTTCTGCTGCTCTCAACGCACTGTCTGTCCATGCTGCCTGCACTGTCTGGTGGTCATTGATTGCCACTGTTGCCGTCTTCTTCCTGGCGAGTGTGCGCAAGTTCTCGCATATCAGTTGGCTGACCTGGGTGGGATTTCTGACCATCTTTGTTGCGGTGTTGATTGTGGTGTAAGCATCTTCTCTAATACTCCCATACTGATAGAAGTATATCTAACTGGACAGAATTGGCGTCACTCTGAATGATCGACCAGCTGCTGCTCCTGCCGGTCCGTACGAACTCGGCTTCAGAATCGTTGGCAATCCAGCCTTTATCCCCGGCATCTCAGCCTCGTTGAACATGTTCGTCTCGAGTGCAGCCACGTCTGCCTTTCTGCCCGTCATTTCAGAAATGAAGAAACCGAAAGACTACAATAAAGCCGTGTTTCTGTGCATGGGCTTCGTGACAGCCGCCTATCTCGCCTTCACGATGGTCCTGTATTACTGGTGCGGACAGTGGATTGCCTCTCCATCACTGGGCAGTGCTGGCCCAACCGTCAAGAAGATCGCATACGGCGTTGGCCTGCCTGGCCTGCTGATCAGCGGCTGTCTGTACGTCCATGTTGCGTCGAAATATCTCTTTGTGCGCATCCTGCGCAATTCGGTCCATCTGCAGCGCAATTCCTTCGTGCACTGGGGCACCTGGCTGAGCTGCACCGCCAGCCTGTCGATCGTGGCGTTTATCCTGGCCTCGGCGATTCCAATTTTCAATTATATCCTGGCGCTGGTGGGCAGTTTGTGTTTTGCGCCGTTGGCGATCAGTCTGCCGGGGCTGTTGTGGCTGTATGATCATGGGCATAAGCGGAGGGGAATATATAACATCACCATGTATGGGATCCATGTGTTCATGGTGGTGCTGGGCCTATTTATGACGGTCAGTGGGACGTATTCGGTGATCAGCCAGATCCAAGAGGCGTATGCTGGAGGGCAGATCGACTCGGCGTTTTCGTGTGCGGACAATAGCGGGACTGTTTGATGTATATGAAGCTATCCACAACAGATAATAACCATCAAAATGAACCATCAAATAATCCCAAAAAACCCTCCAAATAACTTGGAATAACCTGAAATTAAATGAACCCTGCAATACACTGCCCTCACCGGTTAATTAAAAGAACCAGCCAGACCAACGGCACGGGAACCGCCAACGTTGGAAGCGGAAATGACGATCACCACAAGCGAATCGATCGCCACAATCCCCTAACTTCTCTCTTCCCTCCCTTTGTGCCTCTTCTCCCTCTCCTCCATCTCCCTCGTTCTGATCTCTCTATCATGAGACTTGTCCTATAATGCAGTCCATCGCCAAACGCCGCATGGCCAACTATGCCATCGCCATCGCCACCTTCCTGTCCGCCGCCTTTCTCTATTCCCTCGCCAACCGCCACCATCCCGAACACGCTCCCTATATCCCAGCCACCGGCGGCAACGCACCCTTGAAAGGCGTCGTCAACGAGAAGGAACAGCACAACAACACCCCGTGCTATGTCGATACCGACCTCATCAAGACCCTGGGCTACGAGTACGCCGGGTACGCCCGCTGGGAAATCGCCGTCGTGCAGACGGACAATTTCTCGGGCTTCGAGAAGAAACTCGACCTGCCCGTGCCGTCGGAATACCAGGTGTTGAAGCTCAACTCCCCCGAGCGCAAGCTGGCCCTGCCTGCAGAATACTGCACGAGCAATGCCGTGATCGAGGCGCCCATTCCGCCCCGGTCGCGGGTCGATGCCTCGTCGCTGGTGTTTGGCGTGTCGACCTCGCTGGAGCGGCTGGACGAGTCGCTCGATGCCTTTGCGCACTGGGCGGCGGGGACGAATACGAGGATCATCGCTCTGGTGGACTCGCAGGACCACTGGAGCCGCGTGCAGCGACGGGCTGCTCGCATGGGCATCAACCTGACCATCATCAAGTCGTCGGAAGACACGCTCGACCGGTACTTTTCGCTCACCCGCATCCTGCTGCAGAACCGCGAGTCCGCCGACTGGGGCGTCATCATCGACGACGACACCTTTTTCCCGTCCATGTCCAACCTGATCAACGAGCTGAAGCACTATGACCCCTCCAAGAGCTGGTACATCGGTGCTCCGACCGAGAATTTTGCCCAGATGAGCATGTTCTCCTACATGGCGTACGGCGGGGCCGGTGTCTTCCTGTCCATGCCGCTGCTCGAGCAGATGGACGAATCCTTCGATGAGTGCTACGCCTGGAAGGACGACGGGGGTGACAAACGAGTCGCTCGCTGTGTCTACATGCACACTGACACCAAGCTCACCTGGGATCACGGCCTCTTCCAGCTCGATCTGTGGGAGGCCTCTGGCTTCTACGAATCCGGTCGCCGTCTGCCCCTCTCCATCCACCACTGGAAGTCCTGGTTCCACACGGATGTCGTGGGCATGGGCAAGGTCGCCTCCATCTGCGGCGACAACTGCCAGCTGAACCGCTGGCGTATCTCGGACGAATGGTTCCTCATCAACGGCTTCTCCATCATCCAACACTCGTACCCCGTCTCCGACAAAGACCTGCTGGCGATGGAGCAGACCTGGGACCCCAGCCCGTGGGCGCGTGAGGAGGGATACACATACAGTTTAGGACCACTGCGACCGATGGACGAGCAAAAGATCTCGTTCCGGCTGAAGACGGCGACCGAGGATGGCAACCGAGTGCGCCAGATCTACGTGCTGGAGCCGCCAGAGGGCAACCCCGACCCGCCGCGGGTGCTGGAGATTGTGTGGAGAGTGATGAACCAGGAGTAGACGGATTTTGATTCTTGTATATAATATTCGACGTATATAATGTGTTTTTGACGATAGATGGACTGATAAATTGATAACTATGTACTTGGTCACTGCTTCGTGTCCTGCCGGTTTTCTCTACAAACTCGGCTTTCGTCCATACGCAACGACCCTACACGATTAGCATCCACCACCCCATCAGAGAAAGGAAACTTACACCTTGGTATATGAATGCACGCTAAAATCCCTCAACTGATCCTTCACCAGCGCGAACAGAATCTTCGTCCGGTCCGGACTCCAGCCCAGCACCTGCGTAAAGAACCGCAGCCCATACGCCTCCACCGCCGCCTGTACGTGAACCATCTGATACTTGGCTACCTCTTTCAAATACGGATCAGCGGGCCAGGGAGTAAAGGGCAGGAAATACGTCCGCTCATGCACGTCCACAAAACCGGCGTCAATCAGAAAGCCCTTGAGCTTGTGGTAGACTTGTAGTTCTCGTCCGTTCTTCCGACTGGCGTCGTTGATTCCGCGCAGCCAGTCCATGACGGGGGAGTCGTCTTTCAGCGTGCCGTCGTCGCTCCAGCCCCAGACGGCGCTTTCTTTGAGTTCGAGATACGCGCCTGGTTTGAGGTGTGCGTATGCTTGGGAGATGAGACGGGGCCAGTCGGCGACGCATCTACTTGATTAATATATACAGATATTAGGGGATAAGGGGACATACCCAGCGAGGTTGCGCGAGTGGATGAAGTCATACGTGTCTGGCTGATCTAACCAGTCAGACTCGAAATCGTCAATTAGAAAGTCGATGTTGGATGGTGTCCAACCGGGCTGGATGGGACTGAGGTCGTTTCCGATGACTCGCGCGCCGGGGAATTTACTGCTGAATGAGTATATACAGCATAGAAGATGGAGATGAAGACATACTCGGCCATCTCAATCGCCCAGATACCAGTGCCGGTTCCCAGGTCGAGGATTTTCTGGGGATTTTCGATCGGAGCGTTGTAGAGCTCTCCTTTCATGAGCATCAAGTACCTAGATAGTTAGTATACGCATATACAGGAGTATATGTGTCTTACAAGTGATGGACGAGATCCAACCGATCCTGCTCGTCCTCGTCGTTGGGCATCATGTAATGGTTCTACAGAGTCAGGCAATCCCAGCCAGAATAGAGAAGATACATACCGCACGACTGCTGGGATAGCGTCGACCGTTTTCATATTGATAGTCGATGATACTCGACGTGATGGAGTATGTTTCGAGGAATTCCTCGCTGTAGTCGCTGTGGTCGGTGGTCTATTCTGTTAGATGGCTCTTTCACCAGAGATGAGGACATACCGAGTTGCCATCCTCGTCAAACTCTACAGGATGCTGTGGCAGAATATCAGCCGGCTGATGGTTATCTGCGGGTATCTGTGTATCTGGCTGAGCTGCTTGTATAGCTTCTTCCGTCAAAGGAACTGCTGGCTGTGGCGAGGGCTGTGCAGTAGTTTCGGGAATGGCCGCAAGGGCCGAGTCGGTATTCTGGGCCGGCAATGAAGACGCCCGGGTCTCTCGCGGGACATCAGGGGCAAACGAAGGCAGAGGGACGCTGGATTCTCTCATGATGGCCTGATGGATGGATGGGAACAGAGAGAGAGCAGCGGGGATTTAAAGGAGTAAGAATGCAGAATGTGAGGAGTCGAATGTCACTGGCGCAGACGATCACAGTTCGTAAAGAAGCAACAATCAGATGCCAATAGCACGGGTCAATAGTGTGTTTATTTATTCTGGGGTTGACCTGTCACAACTCTATGACCAATTTTATACCTTGTCTACTCTCCTCTCTCTCTATTATATTCTGTCAATGTCTCATAATTCAGATAATAAATGATTGTGCGACCCAGAGCAGCGCGATACAGCAACTATTCTCTAGTGTTCCAAACTTCCACCTGCCATAGTGAATCCACTTTCCAATAGTGTCCTTTAGTCCACGGCCCATCCGGCCCATCGGATCGTCTGTGCCCTGTTTTTGGCACCCGATGGCGCTACTGGGTCTATCCCAGCTCAAAAATACAGCCTACAGGATGGCGACCTCCTTTCCACCCTGCATCCATCGCACCTTCTCACCAATTCCCTCGTGCTCAAACACCTCGTGCAGCTCTGCCCCAAACTGCGTGAAATGCTTCCACGCCTCGTGATGCATCGGCACCAGCACATCGGCTTGGATCTCGCGGAATAGCCTAGCGCCCTGCTTTCCGTCCATCGTAATCTGCGTCGGCTTGCAGTCGGGCTCTAAGCTCAGCGGCACATGCGCATTGCCCAGGTTGAACACTGCAGCACAGATGTGGTACTCGTCGGCCATCTTCTGCAGCTCTTCCACGTACACCGTGTCGCCGGAGAAATAGATCGCATTCGGCAGACCGTCCCGACCAGAGCCAAAGTCCTCGCCGGTGATGATGAAGCCCGTACATTCCTGGCCTGGAACGTGCTGCGTGGGAGTCGCGATGATTTGGAACTTTTTGCCCCCGATCACAGCGTCGACCTTTTCCCATGGCTTCATGCCACGGACAGCAGGGCGGGGAGAGAGGTTCTTTGCACCGTCCATCGTGGTGAAGACGTGGCGACCGTCGAGGAGCTGCCGACCGATGGGATCGAGATTGTCGACGTGATCCTCATGGCTGAGAAGAACGGCGTCGATGACGGGGAGTTGATCGAGACGCAGTGCAGGATCCTCCGAGACAGACAGAATGACGGGAGGAAAATCCCAGGAAGAGCCCGCAGGAGAAAAGAAGGGATCGGTGAGGAAGTTGACTCCGTTGATCTGGAGAATGGCAGTCGCAGTGCCAATATGTGTGGCATTCAATGTGACGGGCATTTTGACTGTTGTTCAAGCGACTATTTCAAGAGATGGAATGGTCTGATTGATGAGATGCATGTATGAGAAGGCGTCCAATGCTCCTTAAATATCCAAATAACCAGCGGAATGAACACAATTATCAATGATGATAAATACAATCGAAAAGATCCGAATGCTGAACAATAACGATGATTCATGTGGATGGATTATGAATATAGATCCTGATTTCCCAAAGAGGAAATAAAAATCGCCAAGGTGGGATACCGATGTTGAATCATCCACATTATTCAGTCTCATACAAACTGCCAGCTATGAGCTGCTTATTAACCATTTCTAAGATCAATAACGCTTTATACAAACACTATAAAGCCCTGTTCTTCTACATCAATTGGCGTGTTGGTTGTATCCACTAAGCAAACCATGACCGACTGCAACCAAGTCGAATTGACCCGAAGCTATACCGCCGGCGCAGAGGGCTTTGATACCCCTGGACATGGTCCGGCCATCTCCAGACTACCCAGCCTTCAAAACCTTCCCGACTATGAAGTATACTGGGATGTCAACGACGCGCAGAATCCTCGCTCATGGCCCACCTGGTACAAAGGGCTTGCGGTTACCGCGATGAGCGTTGGTGCCACCGTCGTCAGCCTGTTCAGTACGCTGTATACATCAGGAATACCGGGGATAGAGGAAGAATTCCAAGTATCCAAACTCATCGCCCTGCTTGGGGTGACCACATACCTACTCGGGATGGCAACAGGAAGTCTGTTCGTTGCGCCGGTCAGCGAACTTGTCGGCCGCCGGCCTGTCTACATTGTCTCCATGCTTATCTTTCTCTTGCTAGTCCTTCCGAGTGCTTTGGCTTCCAACATTGGTGCTATTCTGGCGAGTCGATTCTTCGGAGGCTTCTTCGGAAGTGCCATGATGTCCAACTCTCCTGCGTCGGTCAATGACATTATTTCCTCTGAGCATCGGGCTCTGGCTTTTGGCATTTGGTCCATCGGCCCTGCCAATGGCCCCGTGTATGGCCCGATCATCGGTGGCTTTGTATTTGAATATCTCGGATGGAGGTGGACGAATTGGATTGTCTTGATCCTCGGGGGTGCAGCGTTTGTGCTATTATCTTCGATTAAAGAAACATATGCGCCTGTAATCTTGAAGAGAAGAGCAGCAGAGAGACGGAAAGAGGCGGGAAACGACATATGGTGGACGCGATATGATGATGGACAGGCTTCGTGGCCATTGATCAGAATCAGTCTGTATAGACCACTGAAGATGCTGTTCACAGAGCCTATCTAGTATGTCAACTGACACTCACCATACATCATAACTCATACTAACTGAACAGTATGTTCTGGGATGGCTATGTGGCCATAGTCTACAGCATCCTCTATCTCTGCTTCGTCGCCTATCCCATCGCCTTCCAGCAAGAACGAGGCTGGTCACCAGCCATCGGCGGGCAGGTTTATTGTCAGCTTCACTACGGACACCAGACCCTTGGCCACATTCATAAAACACCCCGGAATCAGTAAAGAGAAGCAATCGCCTGGAGAGAATTGCTTCCTGGTATGTCCAGCCTCGGGAGTCCCATTTTGATTCACCCACCTTGATTTCACATTTGCATCGGCACCTTCCAATGCAATCAGTGTTGCATAGGCATTGCCATAGAGATGGTGCCCATCGCACTGATCTGGATAATCTTCTCTTCAACCTGGTGTTGTATGATGCACAGCCTGCCTACCCAGAGATATCGGATTCCCATTTTGGAGCATGCAATCATGGCATGCCGAATGGTGGCAGGTAGGAACGCCTTTTTCAGAGATCCTGCTGTTTTTAGATTACCGATATTGTTGGTTCTGGCCTCGAGAGGTAGTTGTTAACTTACTCCCCATACATAGGTCAACGCAGCATACTGACCAAACCGAGGGATTTTGGCAACACATTCGTTGGTCACGTCAATCAGTCGAAAGCCTGGGGGATGAAGGTCTGGCAATCTTGACGACATGTACTGTGTTTGCTTTCACAATCACCAAGCCACGAAGCAACTGCTGCCCAGCCTGAGCCCATCAGGTTCTTTAGTTTATCGATTCTTACTAGGCGAACGTAACAAGATTGAATGAAGACAGAGTTATTCTATGATTAAGCACAGTATACTTGGTCCTTGACATCTTATTTTCCAGTAAAGTAAATGCATTCAATTTTCAACATACCTACATTGCAAACCGAAAAGGGATTCCTGATGTTACTGGCTTCAGCAGCCAGAACCTTCGATCCTTTACAAACAATTTTCAACAAATACCCGTATCCCAAGTAAGTAATAATACAAGAGATAAGGCCAGTATGTAAAAAATCGGCGATTGGATTAAAAGCGAAGATTGGTGTGTCAGGCTGAATTAGCCGCTGACTGTGCCACTCATGCTTGGGGCAAACTGCCTCTTAAAATAATATAAGGACATCTTCCAAGGCAGTACACTTGGCGCAGTGCTAGATATCGCGCAAGCCTCAAAGCCACGCTTCCAAAAGCACGGAAATAAAACAACACCAAGGTAACTATCTAGGCAACTGTTGACAATCTGTCGATTTCCCTCCTCTATCCCTCAGGTGCTTCACTGCAAAGAATTTGGTGTAACCCTGCGTGGAATGCGATAGGGCCGTTCAATCAAGCCGACAATGCCATGACGCAAGTGCCCTTCTCGACCTGAGCAAAGTCTAGTAGCCTACTGAAAAGTGAACTACAAAACATGGACGCAGTATATCCAGTCGATAGGCGTAGCTGAGACGGGGCGCTTGACGACTGGACGAGCGGCACCGAAATGCACCTCCAACGAACTCAACCATGTTAGACCCGCGACCACTGCAAGAGCATAAAAGACGGGCCTCCCGCTCCACCAGCCGTCGAGTCCTCAACATTCTTATTGCCCTGAGACCGCCCAGTCTAGCAATCTAGATTACACACGTCTTTCGAGATACCGACCTCTATACGTTCTTCTGCAGCCTCAAACTACATCGATTGTCCAGTACAGTTCTTCCGTCACGCTGCTGAACAAGCCTTCATTCCTGACATCTCAAAACGCTCAGTTTAGGTCAGCAAAGCCATATCGTATAGGCAAAATGTTGGCAGGAAACGGCTGTAACGCGGAACTCTGGCAATTCTCGCAACAGCTCTATCCCGACCTCCCTCCAATCGAGGCGTATCTCGCACTTCATCGCGACTACGTGGCACCTTTGGTGGGACCAGTCATCAAGGGCGGGCTTACTGCAGCCGAGATCTACGTTCTTTTGAGAGATCCTACTTCAATGATCGCCAGAATCCAGGGAGCTCGCCTTAGTATGGAGTGTGTGGAGCGGCTTCATCCTTACATCAAAAGCCTTTTTGCAACCTCGCAATCAACAGTCGGAAATCTCACGGCAAACGAGAAAGAAATCTCAGCCCAGCTCACCGCGGGAATTTGGACGCGATACAAAGCGGGTACCTTGGGCCAACCGAACTCGTTTGTTGATGGCGTTGACACGGCGGTGGGGGGTGCCAGCGTCGCCGGCGAAAGCGTGAAGAATATTCCCAAGGAAATCACAGACAATAATAGTTCGGCAGCTTCTGCCAGCTCTGGCGCCGCGGAGCCGCTGTTCGATCGCATCAACTACCTGGAATGCTGGAATACAGCGTTGCGAACGATCCAGACTGCCCAGGCACAGCGGATTATCAAATCTCTGGATGTCATCGCCGAACAACTCGGAGATAGGAATTGCATCGCTGTGATGGGCGCAGGTGGTCCCGAAGGCTTTGCTCGACCGATATACGACTTGATCAAAATGAAGGTCAACAAGGTCGATGTGGCGGATCGCAAAAATCATCGCTTCTTCCTCTACCATGACTCCAACAATTGGCACCACATATTCGAGAGGTTGACAAGCGAGAATCCACTGCCGCCGGAATTCATCAACAATCCCTGCGACGACCTCGACCATGCCTGCCTGTTCATGCGTGAAGTCCGACAGAAGCTCATCGCGAAAGATGAAAAGCGCGGAAAGGGCATTACATTCCATCTAGTCATCCCATCGTGGTCCAAGCTCCAGATCAAGGAGCCTTTGCATTTCCCTGAAGACCTCTACCCTCTACAAATTGAAGGACTGAAGCACGGTGGCAAAAACCAGGTCGAGTTGAATCTTCCAGCAGCACCCGCTGGACTTCTCCATGGAGTCTCGAATGTTCTTGACCCCAACAACTGGAACACCATTGCAGGGGGTGCCAGTGCCGCAGTCACTTTGCCAGCCGTCGGCTGGGGGGTAAACGGCATATCTCTCGCTATTAGCCTCGGTGTCGGCACCCTTACAGGAGTGGGGCCGCTTCTGGCTATGCCGCTGTGGGTGGGAACCGCGCCGTTCGCTATGGGCATGTCAGCTCCAATCATTCATGAAACGGTTCATAATGCACTCCATGAAGAGGACCCTAGGGTTCTAGGGTCTACGGAGCGCTTGCACATACGGCGACGGCGTTTTTAAACAGGGGGTAACTGGGAACCCTGATAATGTTTATCACCTATGTCAACACCTATCCTAACATATTTTCTCAATCTCTGCAATGGAATTCTTAAAGTGCGTCTAGGTACTTGGTCCTATTTTATTTTGCTGAAGTGAACTTTAAGGTAGTGATACATAAATTTAGAAAATGGTTGCTGTAGCTCCTAGACGATGCTATAATGAGTGAACCAGATCTTGTAGTAGAGGGCCCTCAGCCGAATAGCGATAGTTTTCATCCCGAACACCACACACAACCCTGTCTTCTCCATCGTATTCGCCAATCCTTCTCAAACGCTGCACGCCACCAAAGATCCACCGGTGATGGACATGTTGTCAAGACCAAACGCCCCTCCAGATGTGATGGATGTAATCAGTTCTTTCTTGCTGGAATCAAGAGCATGTCCTAGATCATCGCCTAAAACAACTATAACAGCAGATATACTGTCAGTATCATATCTTGTACTACTTAGATCTTATTCCAAGCATAGTAGACATACTTACCAAACAGAAATCCACCGACAGCAATGTTGTGGAAACAAGCCATGTATAGTAACCAGTCTTGGTATCTTCAATTGACTTGAGCAAAGAATCAGGAACAGCCTCTTTGTTTGCAGCATACTCAACATGCCCCATCGTCGTATCATCTTTCTTCTCATCCATTTCCGACTGGCCGTAATTCATTGTTATACGTAGCGGATTGGTAAAATATTTGAAAGAAGATAGTGGCTGGATCTGGCAAAGGAAAGGCGAGACCGTTTAATATCATTGTCACATTATTTACTTTGTATATACAGCTTGGCCTAACCAATGATCAAACATGTGATACTCCTATCTGTCACTGCGGAGGAAAACTGGGGAATCCGGGGAAATGCGGGGAAATAATCGACTTTCCGTGGTTTCTTGCCTTTTTGGTTTTATCCGGCAATCCAACCCGACAGAATGCGGGGGTGCCATCACCAGCAAATCACAGTATTCCTGCATAATTGCCTCGAAAGTGACAGACATCATTATTAAATCTGTTTATTTCCCTCGCAGCTCAATCTTGTCTGCTATCGCCTTTCTTGCACTGTTTTAACGAATCGAGTATTCAACACTGACATCGACGTCATTGAGTAGCTTCATCGTACGAGAAATGCCGAAACTCACCATAGAACCTTGGTAATTGTGTCTGTCTGCAAGATATACTACAAGCTAACTCTTGTACTCGGATAGCCAGAATTGTCGCAGTATGTGCCTGTCTCTATCGCATATCTCCTGCTAACAACGCGCAGAGCGCCATTTGAAATGTAAACAATGACATCAATGCACATTCAAACGCCGATTCTAACCCCGACAGGCGACGGAGCGCGACCTGTATGTGCCCGATGCAGGGAACTCGGCGAGGAATGCAGCTCCAACAGTCCGGTTATTCGATATCGGCATGGTCTTAGCCAGTATGGACTGGAGTTTTCGGATGACCAGCCATGGTTGACTACAAAAACGCGTATGTCCATCTTCATTTCACGTACATGACTAACTGGTTAGATCTACAATTTATCGACGAATCTCCGCATCTGGCATACTACTATGACAACGAGCAGGATCAACCTTATGCACTGTCATTACAGCATCGTCAATCTTCTCCGTCACAGAAACAATCGGACACAGGAATTGACAGTCAGAATAAAGCAAAATCACCAAAGGCATCAGGCCCTGCCACTCCCCCCCGATCCAGTCGCTCATCTGAAAACTCCCCAATCGACACAAAAACACAATGGCCAGATCTACCTCGCTCAATCTGGTCGCACAAAGACGTGCAGGAGGCCTGTTTAATGCGGTATTTTGTCGAGGAACTGGCACAATGGGTACGTCGTCATCTGCCCAGCAGAAGGTACTCTCTAATGCATCAAGTTCGACTCGTGCGATTCATCTAAGCACTTTGCCCTTGTTGTTCCTCACAGAGCGGCAACTTGTCCAGCACTTCTATATTCCATCTTCTCAGCCTCAGCACGGTATCTCAGCCGAAGCCAGTATGCCACTGGCAAAGATGTCTTGTTTGCGGGGAAAAGACTGCCATATCTCAGAGAAGAGACTGCCCTCGAATATCAGAGCTTATGCATCTCCCACTTGATGGAGTTGTCTGGCGACACCGCTGACGTGCACGATGAGAATCTCCTGGCTGCTGCTGTTATCCTACGGTTCTATGAGGAGGTGGATGGTGTGTATCCATATGTACGGTGATTTTCATGTCAATTTCTAACGAATGTAGCACCACTCGTGGGAGTTGACGATGAAACATATCTACGAGGAACGCATGTATTTCTCAATGCACAAGCCGCCACAGCCGTCAGAGATGATGGGCTTCAACGAGCTGCATTTTGGGTTGGATTCCGACAGGAATTCCACAAAGCATTCCTGCAACAGCGAGTCTTCCAGTTTGACTTGAATTGCTGCAATGACTCGACGTATAGACTGCTGGATCCAGTCGATGACTTCACCTGGGCGAATAGGATCATTCTGCACTGCGCCAATGCGCTGATGTACTGCTACGGCGAGCAGGACCGTACGATGAAGAACTACGACGAGCTGGTCGAGTATAATCAAGGATGGCAGGCGTTGACTCCACCGACTTTTAATCCCATTTACTGCAAGGAAGCGGATCGGTCAAAGGGTGAGGTATTTCCTGAAGTGTGGTATTTGGACGATTGCATTGGTATTGTTTACTATCCTTATAGTGCAAGTAATATGTCTGACGGTTATAGTCACTGCGATGCAGCATTTGCATCTGGCAAAGATCCTCCTGACGGTGTTTAATCCCAAGATTCCCCGGTTGGGTCCAAGTCGGAGGGCAGCAGTGGCACAGAGAGAGGTATGTTGGTGTCTATCAAGATGGTTAATACTGACGATTCAGGCCGAGATAAAAGCCAACATGTTCCGGCTATGTGGGATAGCACTGTCGAACAAAACAGCTCCTGGATTTATCACAGCCTGTATGGGTGTTTCCATGTGTAGGTATTTATTTCATTTATTAGAAGTCAAACACTGATGACAGCAGGTGGTGATCGAATAACAGACCGAACAGAACAGGATGCTCTGCTGGGGATACTGGTCAAGACGGAAGAGACACATGCATTGTCAACAAAAGCGGCCCAGGAGCATCTGAAGCAGGCGTGGAATAATTCGATTTCTGATGATGTTGTTTAGAGGATGTATAATGGGATAGAATATAGACAAATGGATGAGTCAGAGTTAATATATGCTAATCTCTGATTGGTCTGATCGGGTCTGACTCAATAGATAAGACCAAATATATAAACCAGTTCTCCCTTGTCTATCAATATCACACCAAAGCAATGCTGCCCTTCCCTCAACAAGTCACCGCTGTCATCCTCCCATCCGAGGTGCAGCCCATCCATACCAAGCGCCTCATTCTCCGTCCCCTCCAAGATGGAGACGCTGCTGGGATCTTTGCCATTCGCTCTCGTCCAGAAACGGTGAATTTCCTGTAAGTATATTTCACTGTAGCCAGAATTGCCTTTATTTCCAGGCTTGTTCTCTGGTGTATTTACCTGCTAATTCTTCAGCTTCCCCAAAATACCTGAATCAAGTATCGAGCAAACAAGAGCCTGGATGACCAAGAAGATCATCACGGACCCAGATGCGTCTGGTGCAACAGGTCGACACTTTGAATTTGTTCTCATCCAGAGAGATGATCCCGAAGAGCAGATTGTCGGGGTTGTCGGGGTGAATGGATTGGTCCCGGCACCCTCGGTGGGATACGGTGTCCATCCTGATTTCTGGGGGAGGGGATATGCTGGCGAAGCCTTGCAGGGCCTCATCAAGGCATGGTGGGAGCTTCCACGGAAGGATAATATCGTACAGGATGATGGCGTTAAAGAGAAGCTGTATGCGGCTTCCAACTGTGACAACGTGGGCAGTATCAAAGTGTTGCGGAAGAACGGATTCCAGATATACGACAAAGTGCCGATGGAGGGAGAAACTGTTGCGATGATGTATCTCGTGAAGCCAGAATTGTAGAATATTTCATTTGATGCCTAGTTGTACGCGTATAGCCCAGACCCAGCGGATCCGCGTACCCGTATTCGTTTAGAAGTCATCTCGTACTCGCATCCAGTATATAAAGCAGCTCCAGCTTCAGTTCTATTTGCTATCCACAAAATGCAGCTCATGTTGTTCCTGATATTTCTTCCCTCCAGTCTGGCATTGGCTCAGAGTCAAAGGTATATTCTCCGTTCTTCACAATCTGACGGTTCTAACAAATCTAGCAACTTCACGCCCAAAAGCCTCCATCGTGGAACGGTCCCAACCATCCCGACTGACGCCTACCATGAATTCACTCTCGATGAACATCATCCGCATGCTACACTCGATTATGGCGCCCATGTTGCCGGTCTCCCGTCAGTCCAAATCGCGGCGCTGTCTGGCCCCGTCCAAGTCGAGGTGAAATACAGCGAGCAATTCTCCGGCCTTCTCGAGCCCCTCGCCGATGGCCCCAGCACTTTGGTCTCGAGCCTTGCCAATTCCTATCGCGTCGAAACCTTTAACATCACCCAGTGTGGACAGGTCCAGTCCTCGTTGACCCAGGGTGGACAGCGCTGGCAGGCCATTAGGTTGATTACCAACGGGACCGTCGCCTTTCAATCGGTTGGCTTCAAACCGACTGTCCAGCTCGACGATCTATCGCGTCTTCCGGGGCAATTCAAGTCTTCGAATTCCCGTTACAATGAAATATGGAAGCTGGGTGCTCGTGCTGTGTCTCTGGCTTGCTTCGACGAGGGATCCCAACCGTCCATCTGGAATGTCTCCAGCGACGGGGCGTTAGTCTCCAGCAGTGTCCCAAGTTATTCCACAAGTGCCTGGAACTTCGCCAACTACACGTTAGAATTCGACGCTCAGATCGTCCGCGGCGGCCTGCAGTGGTCGATGGGATACAATTTTGGCATTCGTTCGCAAGGAGGGATCCTGTTGAACCTGGCTGGCAACTACCCCGTCGAGTCGACCTTTGCCAATACCAACAAGACTCTTTTTCCGCCTTCCACCGTCAGTCTGGGCTATGGGATTGCGTTTGTCAACCAGACGACTATCTCGTCGTATGCTCTCGATACCTTCTCTGTGCCGTTTGAGGTTCGCGAAGGAGTCTGGCATCATATCCGCAGCACCATCCACTCCGGGAGCTTGTCCGTTTCGATCAACGATCATCCCGTCTTCAATGTCCCGCTGAGCGATTACTACATCGGTGGTGGCTCCATCTCAACTTCAGGGACGTTTGGATTTGGAGCATGGCAGGACCAGTCTGGCCTGATCCGTAATGTCGCTGCTCATGACGGTACTGGCAAGCAAATCTACAGCAACGCCATGACGAATGCCTCCCAGGTGCTTCCCGAATACGGAGTGCACGAGAACTATTATTCGACCTGCGTCGACGGCGCCCGTCGTGATCGTCTGGCCTGGCTAGGAGACTTCATTCACACGGTGCGCATCCTGAGTGTGTCCACCGGTCGGATTGACCAGATACGAGGCACGTTTGAGCAGCTCTTTGCCTTCCAACTGCCCAGTGGCCAGCTGCCCATGGCACCGTCTCTGGGCTATTCTCCGGATACAGATGCCACCGCGTTTGCCCTGGGCGGCAGCCTCGGATTGAGCCTGTATCTCCTTCCTGACTACCATATCCTCGGTCTGATCTCCGTCGTGTCGTACATGGAGTCGTGGAACGATGTCGACTTTGCCAAAAAGCATTGGTCCACTCTGTCTAGTGCAGTCGACTGGCTGTCCAGCCAGCGCAGCAACACCACCAGTCTGGTCGACTTTTCTCGCTATGTGACGGCATTCCTTGGGCCTGTCAATGGAATCGCAGTCAATGCTGCTGCAGTCCAGGCCTTCAAGGGAATGTCAATGGTTGCATCAGCCGTGGGCGACAACTCCTCTGCGTCAAAATGGGCGTCCATCGCCACCTCCTTGAAGACCGCAATCAACACCCGGCTGTGGAACGGCACACTGGGTGTATACTCATTGGCAACCTCCCAACCATCCGACTTCTCCATCGCTGGAACCGCATTCAGCCTGTCATCCGGCATCGCCAACAAGACGCAGGCCCTTGCGTCCATCTCACATCTCGCTAGCCTCCAACTCGGACCAGGATACAAGGACGCCAGCACCGTCAGTTCAAACGACCCAACTGCCAACATATCCCCAAATACCAACGGCTTCCTCCTCCCCGTGCTCATGGAGCATGGCAAAGCCAATGAGACTCGATTCCTCCTGGACAATCTCTGGGGCGCCATGTTATCAAACGAGTCGACCTTCTCCGGTGCCAGCTGGGAATACGTAAGCCAGCAACGCAGCCCAGGGCTGGGGCAGTACACTTCCCTCAGCCACCCGTGGGGAGGCGCAGCAACGTACATCTTATCGCAACGTGTTGCAGGTATCAGACCGGTCGAATTTGGCTACAAAACGTGGATTGTCGAGCCGGCATATACCGGATTTGATCTGGATCATGTTGAGTCTACTGTTCCCACGCCACATGGTGACTTTACTGTTTCTTGGTCGGTAAAAGACTCCTTGTTCACGATTCGAGTGGATGCACCGGCGGGGACAAACGGGCATGTTGTCTTGCGGAAACATTGGGCTTGTCCAGACCTGAATGGCAGTGGGAAGTGCCGTGGCATGGGGGATTTTGTCCGTGAAGTGACTGGTGGTTCTCCAATACAGTTTGAGGTTGAAATCCCTTGGGTAAATCTACAGAAGATGTTTAGTTGATGGAAAGTGGGGAATTTATGTATATATATATTTCCTGTACAGTGGAGGATAGCTTCATTTCAACATCAGTAGAACATAACACGTGACAATATGAAGCAAAAAATAATAAAGACAGCAAATATGAGAAATAAGATAAATATAAGGTTGCATTGGGTTACTGCCTTAGGGCATAGGGCTAACCTAAAAGCAATTTGCCACATCGGCCTCAACGGCGCCCCATAGCCAGGCAACTGAAACAGCGACGACTTTCAGCCAACAACGTTTCTCCTATTCCTATCATACATGATATAAACATCTGCCTATCCACGGGAATGGATGCGCATCATGGCTCGTAGACAACATCGCAAGTCCCGCAATGGCTGCATCGAATGCAAGCGGCGTCATGTTAAGGTACAGTCTAGCTTCGATATCATGGACAACACTAACTGGGTACAGTGTGACGAGAAGCGACCCATCTGCTCCAACTGTACAGTCTCAGAAAGAACGTGCCAATATGCAGATCCAGATGCACCATCTACTGTGTCCAGCGCACACGCATCTCCCGCTCCGCCCGTCGCAAGGACATCCGCCCAGGATGTCCCCGAAGACGTGGAGCATAAGTGCCCTCCAGTGAACATGGAGCATATTGAGCTGTTCTACCATCTATCAACTCAAACCATCCATTCATTACGCCTAGAACACGAGGGTCTCGACGTCTCATTTTCCGATATCATGAAAGAGCTGGTCTCCGCGCCGTATCTCATGAACGAACTGCTCGGCCTATCCGCCATGCATCTCAGCACGCTGCATCCGGAAAAACAAAATCATTACCGACACCAGGCAGCAGAGCTACAAAATCACGGTCTATCAATATTCAACCAAATGAAGCCTGAAATCAACGCCGAAACATGTGTTCCCATGTTCGTTTTTTCTGCGGTCCTTGGCCTGCATGTCATGTGCGAAACATTTGTCTTTCGAGAGATTGAATTTGAACCATTCATGGACCGGTTCGTTCGCTATCTCTCTTTGCATCAAGGAGTTAGGGTGATGACGATTGGCACATGGGATTTGCTAAAGCAGAGTGCTCTACAGCCACTGTTAAAACAGGGGGAAGCTATTCCATCTGGTACTGAATCCGGACATACCTGCGCGAGACTTCTGGATCTCATCAAGGGAGCCTACCTAAGTCATGAATACATGGATATTTACGAGAAGGCCATATCAGCTTTGCAGTCTGTCCTCAGCGCCGCGCAGTCAGATCTGAACGGGAGGCCCAATATCAATGCTATTATAACTTGGCCGGTGATACTGCCTCCTGGGTACACCGAGCTATTAAGAAAAAGAGAGCCGTACGCCCTCATAATTTTGGCTCATTACGCCGCGCTTGTCCATTCTCGCCGCGATTTGTGGATGTGTGGTGATGGAGGGCAGTTTTTGATCGAACTCATCAGTCGACATCTAGGGAGTGGATGGTCCGACTGGCTGATATGGCCTAATTTGGCTATAGTTGACCCGGAAGGCGCCATAGCAGGAGGTTGAAGTGAAACATGATTGGAGAGCAAATTACAAGACTTATAATACATAATCAAAGAAATCACAAAAAGCTCAGTCCGCACAATAGAAACTCTCAGCCGAAGTCACATTACCTGCTCCTCGGTACTGCACGCGTTGGGGATACGGACAAAGGATCCGATTGTACGTCGCTCCGTTATTCAGACGATACTTCACTGGAAGACTATCCGGCGCAGTATCAGACTCGACCCAAGCAACCAGGCTATCGAACATGGTAGAGGGCTGTCCTCCCTGACCGCCATAACAGTGGCCCATCATTGGGGCTTCAAAGAGTCGATAGTACTCGTTGACATTGGCATCCCCAGCCGTGACAGCTTCATAGTACGACCTTGTCCCGTTGGGAGGGATGACCTCATCCATCTGCGATAATCAGCAAAAAAGCACGTTTGAAGGAAGGATACTACGTACCAAGCCATGATAGGTCAGCATCTTGCCGCCGGCATCGCGAAACCTAGATAAATCGGGATTGTCGGTTCCAAATACCGTCTTCCACTGCTGGAGGGACTTGCGGAAGAGGTGGTCGAATTGCTGGTGTGTGAGGGTGGATAGGTTGAAGTTAAGGTTCTGTTCAACGAGCACCTGAGCCCATTGGTTGTACAACTCAGTCGATGAAGCAGTGCATGTCCCATTGGCACACTTCGTGTTTGCTGGAGCGTTTCCCCCTGCCAGGGCAGTTCCAGGATTGAAGCCATACCACAGGAACTGGCCATGTGGATCTCGCGCTCCGGTCCAGGTGGCATTGGCAACCTCAGCGGCGACAGTGGAAATGTTCATCAGGGATCCAGTATCGGTGCAGTTGATCTGGGTTCCGACAAGAGTGAACGGATCGAAGGCGCATGAATGAGGATCGGAGAGTATACCATCCTTGAGGCCATCGGCACCATCACAGGCCGAGACTGCGGCAGCTGTGACTGCGTTAAGCTCGCAAGGGTGTGGATACTTGCCCATCTGGTTCATAACGAATTGCGCCCAACACCCTCCCAGAGAAACCTGCGGCCAGTTGATTGCCGGAGCAGAGGCGACGATACCATCATACGCGTCTGGATACAACTGGGCTAGAGCTAGACCCTGTATCCCACCCTGTGAACAACCAGTCCAGTACGAGTACTTGGGCTTCGATCCATAAGCACTCTCTGCGAGGTTCTTCCCAATGAGTGCTGCATCGTTGAGGGAGATGGAGCCAAAGTCGTGAATCGCATCGTAATCCAGCATGCCGTCGTCCAGGAGGGCCCAGTCCGCAGGGCTGTCACTTGTGTGTCCTCCATCCGTCGAGACGACGGTGTATCCCTCGGCCACCGCCGCAATCATTCCGTATGTGGTAAGATCTGTGAGACCAGCGCTATATCCATTCCCTCCCACCCCCTGCATTCGTTCATTCCACGAGTCGCTGGGTAGGAAGACGCCGACGTTGATGGTGTCATTTTTGCCGATATGCTTGTAGGTCACGGTCACGTTACAGAAGCTGGTATTATGCGCCGCGACGCCTTCATGGTTATAGTAATACCATTCAGAGATGTACTGGGAGACATTGGAGACTTGGTTGGCGTGCAGTGACAAGACTTGGACATCGGGGATCAGAGGATATGAAAAGGCCTCAGGCGAGCACAAAGAGGGTGAAAGACTGTTCATGTCGGAGTGGGGATATACAATAGAAATGACTTTTAGAGAAAGGAGTGTGGCAGAGTTTCATTCAAGGATGCGCTTGTTAAGTAGCTTGTCAGGTATATACATGTTGCTATTCTGATTCTGCATCCGAATACGCGTATTCCAAGTGTTCAAAGTTGATGCCTCGGAACAAGAACCACGATTCGTGATACTTGGCTTGTTAAGATAAAAGGGATACGCGTATTCGGGATTGATTCAGGATAGTGGGGCAGTGGGGTAAACACTTCATTTCTGGTCAGAGTTAAAGTGCAGCAGGGTTAGAACAGTAGTTTCTAAAGATTCGGGAACTTTTATAGAGTCCAATGCTTGAAAAGGATGGATTGGATGTATTCTTCAAATGGAAAGATCTTCAAAAAACGGTCTATATGGAACGACAAGCAAATGACGGAAATAGATACAAGAAAAAAAAGATAGGGAAAACCGTATCATACTGAATCCGTATGTGCAAGTGGTATGCTTCCCTCGGTATCTCTAGCCACATTCAACTCACTAGGATACCAGATATAAAAGATAACCATGACAATCGACATGGGCACACTATCAAAGATATACATGGTCCATTCATGCTTGAGAGGATACCCACTATTACCCATGATCTCTTCCACTATACGGAAGATCGATCGGATAAGAATCAACGCACTGACAGCATACAGCATATACAGGTATCGCTCCCAGGGAAAGCCAGGTTTGCGGCATTCCACCGTGGGTGAACGACGAAGACGCCGTGCGAAGATGATGGCGGTAACCCAGAAAAGGGAAAACGACACGAGTTGAATTGCCAAACCCCCAACAATCATGACCTTTGCCCATTGAGGGTATCCCATTACTGAGAGCGCAGAGGAGTTGCCCTGGACGACAAAGGACAAGATGTCGCCCCAGACAAAGGTCTTGGTAAGGCGAGAGACTTTGATGATGGACAGATGTTCTCCTCTGACCCAGCGGATGAGACGACCAAGAGTCATGTAGATGGAGGCAGCAAAGAGCGTAGGGCCCAACAATATGAACATGCTAGAAATAATGTAAGGCCCCAAGGTTGTTGTGTCATTATGTGCCATACAACGGCCAATGTATCCGATGATTTCAACTGAGTTGTTATTAGACTGGTAAATTGTGCAAGGCGAAGAGACTTACATAGTCCGCCAATGGTAAATGCGATACAAAACCATGTTCTTGTTCTGTAAAGCTTCCAGGAATGAAGACCGGTCGTGACAACAAAGATGAGCATGAAAATGACCGCTGCAGCGATGGAAGGAACATAGTTCCAAAACTGATAGGAACGAGACACGAGGTGGTTCATAATGGGCTGAACTGGGGTGAAAGACAATCGTGTATGTAGAGGATGTTAACAGAAGAAAGCATATCTTTTAAAGCAGAGATTACCCTCTGAAGTGCTGGGTAAATTTTATTTTTATCTTCTATTCTGTCCATCTCGATTCTATACGCGTATAGAAAAGACCCACTACAGATAACTCTAAACACACTGCCAATCAGCAGTCTCTACTCATTCCAAAATAGGAAATGTTCCCGTCGGCTTCTATACGCGTATAGAAGACATGCCACAAAAGTGATACCCTGAAAGATTTTATTCTCTTTGATGAAAAGAATCAGTAAATAGCCCTCAAGCACTAATTAGGATTGCCAGAACCTCGGAGATGAGCGAGAACCACGAGTACATGGCACACTAGGCTGTATCATGTATGAGGCAATGGAATAGCGGCAATTTATGTGAGAAATCTATTTTACTCGCGCCTATCCTATGAAACTCCATTATGCAGGGAGGAAACTACGCGGTGTGGAATTTTTTTCCTTGGCTAATCCCACATTTGCAAGAGAGATATATAAAGTGTTTGTAAAATGCGTGCATATATCTAGTAATATGTAGTACAATGTTCAATGAACTATATCCGCGCGTGGCTGATTTGATGATTCCTACGATGAGAATGTCTTGTATAGCGCTTCTCAGACGTCCAGAAAGAAGGTGGTAGCTAGATTCATCACGGGTCTACTCCGGCAGCAGGGTCGTCATAAATGCCAGCATTGCAAGGTATATCAGGTGGCAATAGAGTCCTTCGTGCTTGATAGAGGCTTTGTCTTGGAGACAAGACCTCCAAGAGGCGATAAAGGAGCGATAGAAGTGTCTCCGTATAGTCCAAATGGTTCAACTTCACCCTTTGCCACGTCTCTGCCTCGTTTAGCACTCTTGAAAAGTTTAACATATCTAGCATGATGGGTGGCATCCAAGAGGCAGCTTTGGAAATCGCATCGCTGCTAACGTCGCATAGGACTGGGGAAACATGCCCTTCATTCCCGCAAAATAGGGTGCGTGTGCCCTTTTACATTGCTAATTCAATGTCAAGCCTAATAATTGCTAGAGAGGATAAGAACGATCATCCAGAAGTGAAAAATGCCAGAATAAGTCAAAATAGATTTAAGTTGCGAAAGCAAGCATTTTCACGTACCTCAGTGGCTTCCAACGCCAACGCACGATCTTCCGGCATCAGCCTGGCAATCCCACCTCGCAGCTGAATCACGCGATAGAGCCCTTTAACCCGGGTGTCAAACTCAAGATGGTGTGGATTACCGCTGCAGAGTGAAGACAACGTACACCGATGCATGAGCGCCGTGGAGGCGAGTCGAGCTGTTGAGGGAAGGAAGTGAGACACAGGTCGCCCCACAGTATCAGTCGCGGTATCACGTATCCAGATCCTGGAATATTCAAGACACGCTTGAGCTGTATGGAATTCGCCTGCTTCTTGGCGGAACAGCGTTGTTAGCCCTTATTGTTGCCTAGTATGACATGGGACCCGATGGTGCGCCTGTCAGAGCCCCCCTATCCCAGTGGGGCCCTGGTCGATAAACTGGGGCACCATGGTGACGGGGATGGCTTTATGCTACTCTAATAGTAGGCTGGGCCATCGAGGCTCCAATAGATAGCGCAAATAATGCACGGAGCACTGTTGGTTTATGATGTTGACGCTGGCAGTTTGTTCGCGTCAGCTAACAGACCCAGCCTCATGATTGGGGCATAATGTATACACCCAAATTCATGCACCACATGCTGAGAGGATGAGTTAGTCAGCTGTGCTGTACATGAGAACTAGTTATGTGTTCTTTGTACATAGAGCGAAGGATCATTGGGGACATCCCAAAAGGGAAGCCGATATCTGATTGGCCAGGCATGGGGAAACTGGATGGCGAAGCTCACGCCAGCCGGATGCGCTAATCTGAAAGGGGCAGTCAATGGCTTATAGGTTGGTCGAATGGGGTGGGGGGTAGCAAGACACGGGCGTTTATTGGCTCATATGGCCGCAGCCAGTCTCCACTTACAGGATCAGGTCGAGGGAATCAAAGCCCTGATCCTGAGATTGCTAGACAGAGTCAACAGAACGGGCGACTGTGTGCTAGATAACATAGAAAAGGGGAAAAAGCACCATTCTTAGGGGAAATGGACTTCACTCCTCACTCTCACACTGTATCATCAACTTTTAATTGTTGCATGTGAAGCTCTCTATATATATCACTGCACACATAATCACAAGTGATACAACAAGTCCTTACGCACAGCAATAACACAGCCCAAGCTGGTGATGCTCTGATTGACTGCTGAACAGTACTGTAAGCTACCTGTGATGATAGACAATAACACATGCATCAGCAAGACTTATGTTATCACGAGCGGCAACCCTGGCCTAGGCCTCGAGACAGCGCGACATCTTGTTGCGGCATCAGCCGACTGTGTTGTGCGGAACCTCGAGGCGGGAGAAACTGCAAAGAATGACATCGAGAAGACAACCGGCCGTAAAGGGGTTGTCCAGATACGTCACTACCATTTATCCAGGACGATCACACATTAACCCCTGTATTAGGTACAGCATATAGATGTCAACGTACGCATCTGTACAGGCCTTCGCTAAGAAGATAACAGTGGGGCTCGACAGGATCGACGGTTTCATCTGTAACGCAGGGCTCATGATCGATGCGTGGTCACAGTCTAAGGGCATGGAGACGAGCATGTTTGTCAATGCCATCAACACGGTCTTCCTCGGCGCTCTCACGATGCCTAAACTGAAGGAATGTGCCAACAAATTCAACATCAAGCCAGTCCTCATCTTCATTGTCAGTGTACTTGGCTACATCGTCAACGGCGAGATAGACAACAGCCGCAAAAGCATCATCTTTGACGGGCTCAACGACCCGAAGCTGGCCAGGAGGGACGCGAGGTGAGATTTACACTCACATCCTATTGTCTGGCATTATAGCTAATGTGTGATCAAAGATACGCCCTCACCAAGCTCGTGGAAGAGTGCGTCGTACGCCAGTTTGCAGGCCTATGCCCTGTCGAGCATACAGGCGTCGTCATAACCATGGTCACGCCTGGACTCTGCAGCACCAGCCTAGGCTGCCGCGCGCGAACCTTTACTAAGATCATGCATGAGGCAGTCCGATGGCACGAACGGCAGAGGAGGGCCAGAAGCTACAGAACAACACCTGGCACGAGCTTGTTTCCAGGCTGGAGTCGGTGCAACGCGGCTAAATTTCACAGTTCAAGTAGCACTATTGCGTATCAATTTCCTGTAACATTATATCTATGATTCGGACCTTTAATACCGCCTTTTTAGATTGTTTCTTCCTGCATTTGTATGATTTCTGAAAGCCGAATTACTTTTGCTTTCATTAGACCATCTGCCAGTCACTCCTTACCATTAAGAAGTACGACTATAACACTCACGTAATACTAAAAATTGACCAAATCACAAAGTTGTGACTGCTTGTACGTTTATAACGGAAATCTGTCTCCGTTGTGACTGGCAAGGCTGCAAAGATAACCAGGATAATCCTTGTAGATTTGAAATGTTTATTAATTAACCCAATTTCTCGGTGCACGACTCGATTTTCTCCGCTAATTGATGACTGCTCTCAAAAGAATCTCCTCTCCGCCGTATTTTAATTATGGTAAACATCACCACTTCCATCACAACCCAGGCCATCGCATTTCTCACCACAATGGGTGAAGATAATCTGCATTCCATTAGAGCTTTCTTTGTTCGCACCCTAGCCAACCATGCATCCTTGAATCACCAGTGCCGCCGCTTCTTCTCGAACGGCACCGCTGCAGATGTTTTTGATAAAAATCGAGAGAAATATCACCTTCTCGCGCGGTACATCTTCGACATTCAGATAATCAACCATGCTAGTCAATTGGGGCTTTTCCATAATTTGCTGGCAAAATATAGCAGGATACTCGCTACTATTTTGTGTATACCGGACATTGAAGAGGTAAAGCATGGTCTGTGGACCTTCGGGGGGGTACTCAATCAGGGAGCCCCGCCGTTCAGGATAAACGATGACAATCTTCCGATCACGCACCATGAAGCGAAGATCATATTCGAACCATACGGGGAGCAATTTTACCAAGAGCAATTTGCATTCTGCCCAATTACATTGAAACGAAGCAATATGATTCAATACACCGGACACAGAAACAATTGCCCACTGCCATATCTTGAACACCAACTCCTTGCACCGGGAATTTCACGGGTCGAATTGGAGAAGCACCAACTCACGTGTACAGATGGAAGCAGTTATAATAGCAAGCCGGTATGCATTGTTGTCAAAGAGCTGAATGACGAAGCAATCAAATTAGACAAAGTGGCATGGGAGGGAAACCTTGATCGATTGCTGAGTAAACGGGATAAGTCTATAATAGACCTCGTTGCCACATTACAGAGTGGTGGTGCATACAGCCTGCTTTTCGAACCCGCATCGTGCAATTTGTCTGATTATCTCTTTGGCTTAAAGGGAAGAACGCCTGACGATGCAGCGGGAAGGTACCGAACATTTATCAATGCAGTTTCTATGGCAGGCGCGTTGGCATTTCTGCACAAAGAATTGGAGGAGATGACAAAGCACTCGAATTACTCCTTCTACTATCTTGACCTCAACCCACGCAGTATTTTGATTTTTGATACCAATAGGGAGAATGAGACATGGAAGATGACCGACTTTCGTGTGTCCCGCATCAGGGGCATCGATACTCGTGCCGAATCAACACAATACCTAGAAAGGTTGGGGAACCCAACTAGTCCGAAAAAGCCAGAGCCTTTTAAACGCCCTGGCTCGGACGAAACATATCATGCACCGGAGGTCTCCGCCCCAGAGTACTCCGTTACCTGGGAGAGTGATATCTGGTCCTATGGCTGTATTCTCGGCTTGGTTATATCGCACCTTGTCCGTGGGCCCCGTGGTGCCAGAACGTTCCGAAATATATTATGGCTCAGTGCACGAGAAAGACGTACTATTCGATTGAGAAAATGGTTTCTTTCTCACACGATTGGGGAATGGTTTAGTGAATTGGAACGATATATCAACAATGCCTTATCTCAGTGGGACATGGATGTACTTTGTGAAGCTCTCCGATATACGAGGGAGACGATCCTTAGAATCGAGCCTAAGCAAAGGCCTTATGCTGCAAAGATAGAGCAGCAGTTGGTCGAAATTGGTAAAAATCTTGTGAAGCCGCAGCCAGTGATGCCACTTTCGACAGATTCTGGATATGCCTCCGACCCCCGAGCTGACAACATAGAGAATAGAGTTTCTCCAATGCAAGAACCAATTCCTAGACCAGCAAGTGGTTATAAAAATGTCTTTGCCCAGCTGTCTCCGAGAAAATCCCCTTCGGCAGTTCAGTCTACTTCAGAGATTTCCGAGCTGGAGGATGCGCAAATACAGGGAATGAAAGGCAATATCACTGTCGCCCAGACCAAGGATGCTCAGAAATTGAGCAATTCCACCATCGAACGCCATTCCTCTTCCTCCATTGTGGACTTTCATACGATGAAAGATATGAAAACGACCATTACTGACTGGTTCCTGTTCTCGCGCGGAGTCTCCAGCATGCGGTCGTCGGCAACCATAAAGGTGGTGTATAGAATCAAATGGGACCCATTCCAGTTTTTCCAAAGCCAGGGGTACAATGAGGAGCCGGCCGATGCAATCGTGGGCGTTATTACATTGACTGGGTCTGCTGAAAAATCACAGGCTCTGACCTGTTCGCAGTACATGCGTCAGACGTGGCCATCATCTGGACCGCAAGTCTTGCAGTTAACCCAAGATACGCTCCGGCTTAAACCCAACCATGAGCATTCCTGTAAACCCCAAGTGCCACAGTGATGAGTTCAATTTGACTGATCGATGTGATTTAGGTACACTATCGGATGGAACTAGACTATATTCTTGTATTCATTCGTCGTCAGACTCGCAGGCATCATACTACACCGTGACAGCAATGGGTCCTTTTGAATCAGTGGTGGAAATAGGTCAACAGTATGCATGGCTTAGCGCTGCTCTTCATCCATCTCCATTTGAAAGCGGGTTGGCATTTAGTCGGGCGTTTATCAAGAACATCGGCCAAACTGAGTATGACACTTTCCCCATCACGGAATCAATGCTACCAGGAGACACCCTTTGCGAGATGGACATTGGGATATACAAAGGGGTTCAGAATCCGGCAATACCCAATGGAAAATGCTGGTACAATCTGTTTCGGAACCCGGTGGTCGCAGAGGGATTTCCCATCTCCAAACGACAGCCCATCCACGATGGCCTTGAGATACCACTCCACATGATGGCAGTGCTTCTACAGACCAGGCAGGCTGAGGACTTCTCTGGCAGGGTGGTGCTCAAAGGATTCTCGCAAATGCTGATTCAAGCTGAATGCCATCAGGATGTAGTACTGTGGCATTCGATCTGCAATGAAGCTGGAAATCGCATATCATATGCCGACAGCACATCGTTTGCCAGGGTAGATAGCGGTGTCTTTGAACTTGGAACAGCTCGCCATATCATCGGCTGGTGCTCCGATGTGAAGGTGATGGCTGGTGCGAGGGATGCCAAGTATGACTTCGCAAACTCTCGACTTCCCCGAGCAACTGAAAACTGCATGCTCAGAGATATTTCATTAAGCGGTGGGCGGATAATCAGTGGTGGAGAGAAGGTAAACATCGGCTACAAAGACACCCCAGCTCATGCTGTCCGCAATGGCTATATCCAACGGCTTAAATGGGTCTCAAAAAGGCTTCTCGTGCTGTGGGATGAGGAGGATAAACGAGGATGGTTGATAAATGGTATGACTGCTCTGCTCCATTTGGTACGCGCGTCTTTGAACCAGGACAGTCAAGACGAATTCAGCTCTGCGTTTATGCTTGATATGGCAGAAATACGTGAGTCAGCACGGCCTTACAAGTCTCAATCAGCCGCTGCTGTTCTCATCAACAAAGAAAACATGGGGTTGAAGATATATCCGGATGGCAGCGACAGCATTGTACTTGGAGACCGAGTGCAGCACCTCCACGGACTGTTAGAAAAGATCATTGATTATCAACTATGGGCTTCTCAACACGAATGGACTTCTATTGAGTCAGTCTTTCCCCACCATCTCGAAGGCTGGGATGCAAAAGACCTTATATCAGATCGGGATCCCATTTATCCTCGAGAGGCAATGCTCCGTGAGGGGGGAGAGCCTTGGGCAGGATTTGCCCGATCTGTAAATGCCGTGACGCTGTTCGGACGTGGATTTGGTGATATCATGCAACCATCCAGTAGTGCATTTTGTCCCGAATGGATCAAAGTGCCAAAAGGAATGTACTACCTCGCAGCTCCAGTCTCCGACCTCATAGAAGTGATGGAGGCATATGGGGATTCGCATTCAATCCCGATCAAACTAACAGGCGCGATAAACTGGCACAATTCAGCAAATGCCCTTGGCATGTGTCCATGTTTGAAGGGAGACCTAGTTCATACCCACCCTGTTCAAGTACTTGCTCCATCAGATATGGACGTACAACCAGTCGACGATAAGCCAACTCCACTGGTAGCGGATGGTGCCGTGATATTTGGTTACAATGAGACGTTCCAGCTATCGGTCGAGGTGGATAGATCTCACCGGCAAGGCAAGCCACTAAACAGAATCATGTCACTAGCAGACAGCGGAATTGGAGAAAGCCTGGGATCATCAATGGGGACGAGGAGCAGGGAGAGCTCGACTCGAGGCGACTCCGCAAACACATTTTCTCCAGTCCGAGTGCCTGCACCTCCATCATCCAGCTCAGGGAGTCCCATATCGGAATGTGACTTGGTAACAGCAAAGGATTATAATGTTGGTATTGTGTGTGCATTGCCAATTGAACTTCGTGCAGTGCGTGCCCTGTTCGACGCCAGGGGACCTGACTTGGAGATTCCCGATAGTGACCCCAATCACTATGCTCTGGGCTGTATAGGAAAACATCGTGTCGCCGCTGCCTGTCTTCCTGACGGAGGATATGGAACAAACTCCGCAGCAGATGTAGCTTCCAATATGAGAAGAAGCTTTCCTGCTCTTGAATTCTGTCTGATGGTTGGCATAGGGGGTGGCGTCTACTCTGAAAGACATGATATTCGGCTTGGTGATGTGGTTATCAGTAAACCAACTCATACTAATTCAGGTGTCTTACAATATGATATGGGAAAGACTCTACAGTACGGTGACTTTCAGCTGAATGGATCTTTATGTCCACCCCCAAGACGCCTCATGACAGCCATCAGTGAGCTGAGATCAGACCCTGGGTTACCTGACTATCCTCTTGAGGGGTACCTGGATACCATCTGTATTGCCAAGGGGCAACATCGATATCCTGGATTCGCACAGGATAAACTGTTCTCCTCTGACTATGCCCATGATTCGACAGGAGGCTGTGATAAGTGTGATCCAGCATATCTCATACACAGGGATCTCCGAGAATCATCCCATCCTTACTTCCATTACGGTCTAATTGCATCGGGAAATCAGGTCATGAAGGATTCAAAAACGAGGGATGAGCTGGGGAAGAAGCATGATATTCTTTGTTTTGAGATGGAAGCAGCAGGTATTATGAATACCATGCCTTGTCTAGTTATCCGTGGTATCTGTGACTATGCCGATTCACACAAGACAAAGGAATGGCAGGGATATGCTGCGGCCACTGCTGCTGCATTTGCCAAACTACTACTGACTCGAGTGAGAAGTGTCAATTCATAATAGAGATCAATGGAAGTACATAGTGTTTTCGATTCCTGCATCCCGTACATGAATCTTAACATCCACCTTCAGAGGCATGGTATAACCGAGTCTTTTACATTCATGGTTATTACTGCATGTCAACCATAAAATACCGCTAGACTAAAAGAAAAAGCCAGTCATTCCTAGTGGCCTATACTAGTCATTCCATGTTAACAATCAGGGTTGACACTGCAATAGCCTTGCTGAAGCCCGGTCTACGATCGACCCACTGGATGCCAAGAAATTTTCATTTTAGTCTAAGTACCAAGTCACTCCTACCAAGGGTGTTATAAAGTCTAAGGCGGAGAAAGTTGAGAAGAATATGCAACCTGCTTACTATACGTCATCAGACCCCACATTGGTGTTTCTGCGCTCTGTCGACACAAAGTGAGTAAGCAGCACACATGGAAGGCCCACCAGGACGGACAAGGGCGAAGAGACATTTACAACGAGTGTCGGGACTTCGCCCTTTATTAAACAATTGAAAATGGCTGATAGGATTAGTGCACCATCCGATGGGAATAGGATTGCCCTTTCAGTGGGCTGCATATCGGAGCCGTGTGAAGTGCGGTCAGCCGAAGAAAACTGGGCTGGTCTCACTGACCCGGTGCGTCGGCGAAAATTGCAGAATCGATTAAACCAGAGAATCTATCGTATGCTTCCTCTTATTGATGACCGTGGCATTGGGCTGATCTCGGATTGGCGTTCCAGGTCGACGAAGACGAGCAAAGCCTCCTGCAGACACTCAACCAAACACTGTTCCCACCGCATTGGAGCGATCACAGAGCCCTACAGTCACGGAAGATCAATGTGATGACGATGACCAGGGACGCATGAACGCGCCCGCAAGCAACGAGGGAAGAGAAACAGATGTTTTTCCATCTGAATTGAGCATTCGAAGGCCAGGATCAATACACAAGATGAGTCGGACGGAGATCTTACAGATCATGGCACAATATGAGGCTTCGGCGCGTAAAGACTACTCACTAGGTTCTCCAAGAGTCGATCAACTCTTGACTCTGATCCAGTTCACTGTGTTTCGAGCGCTTGTGGAGAATACCTCTATGCTGGGATTCACTATGGACTGGCTAGATGAAGAAACCATTTCCCCGTGGTATGCTGGTGTATCCAAAACCCGAATCAGTTTCTGCCCGACGAGTCTCCGTCCGACTTCGTTGCAACAGGAGATTTCCCACCACCCGTGGATAGATCTTTTCCCAATCCCCCAAATGAGGGACAATCTATTGCAGAGATATGGAGACTTCGATGAAACGGATCTTTGCAATGACCTTGTTGATTTCTATGATGTTTCAAACGATGAGACTGGGTTGATTGTCTGGAAAGATCCATGGCATCCGTCCGGATGGGAGGTTAGTGAGACTTTCTTGCGTAAATGGAACTGGGTTGTCAAGGGATGCGATGACCTCGCCAAATCCACCAACTATTGGCGTGGAATACGCGGAGAAAAACCTTTGGTGTTCGATATTTGACATTTGTCTTGAAAGATGGAGTATGGCATTGGAACTATTCCCTTTATTTTAGGAAAATGAATACAGGCCTACGAGGTCGTGAATTAGTCGCTACTTTATAATGGAGATTCGTGTCATGTTTACAATATTATCTTGTGGATTTATTCGCAGACACTTGCGCAATGCTGCGCTGCTAGTATAGGTTGCAATACCTTTACACAAACCTCGAGGTAAACACTTTCTGCCGGTCAATCGCCTTTTACACTTTAATCGGCCTTTGCTTGTTACTTTGAATTTTAGCCTGGCAAGCTGCTTATCATACGTCACCTGAAGCATGGGTAAGCTAAAAGAAAAACTAGAAAGCTGGTTCTGTCTTCAATTACTTGGCAATTGTTGGCCCACTTTCTCAGAGTCCAGCGTAAATCCCATTTGCTTTGGAGTGGAGTCAGAGCACCACAACGCTACAAATACTAGAGGGAGAATTTCGTGGCCCTGGTATTTGATATGCACGGTTAGGGACATTTGAAGGAACAAGATATAAAGCTGTGTTGCATTCAAATAAAAATAAGAAGCTGTTTGCTGCACAATGGTAATGTGTGTTGATAAATTATTTGGTAAGCTTTAATTCGACGAAGGATCCTCTGAGATTTCAATGATATATTTTATAAGAAGGTGGACACCAAGCAAATACCAGGGTCTGTCAACTGAAAGGAAAAACTACGTAACTACCGCGCATGTTCGGTAACAAATACCCCTAGTTGACAGGAACACAGAATGGAAACTCGATATCAAACGGGGGGGCCTTGAATTCAGAAGAAAGGGGGGCCCCTAAATCCTGGTACGAGGGATGATGCCTTGAGGTACCAAGGCATCTACCACAAGACTAATATGTTTCTAATTATGGGAACCGGATATACACTTTTAACTCCTCTGTGCGGTTGAATCGCTCGTAGTATGCCGGCACTTCTTCAATGTCGATCGTTGCGGATTCTATAAAGCTCGGGTGTGCTTTACCGGTGTGAATCATCTCGACCAGGTGCGGGGCTATTGCCTTGGGATCAACTGGTCCAGCTTGAAACTTGAGCCTTTTCGAGAAGAAGTCAGACAAAGGGAAGTCCATGCTGGGAGACATGAGGTGCCCTAGAGGCGCGCCTGGAGAATCCTCCTGGGCCATCCAGACACCGACTTGACCGATCCCACCTCCAACATGAGTGGCAGAAATCATTTGCTGGACAATGATGTCTTGCTGATGCTCCAACTGAGGATTCAACGCTTCCATACCAACACAGTCAACTGAGCGCATAACGCCGGATGGCTCGAGCGCAAGGATTTGTTCAACTGGATCGGATTCGGCAAAGTTGATCGGAATAGCCCCAATTGAGACTGCACGTTCCAGCCGCATAGGAACATGGTCAACTGAGTATACCCGCGATGCACCGCGCATAATAGCAGAGTAAGCGGCAAGCAGGCCCACTGGTCCAGCGCCAAACACGGCAACAGTATCACCTGGCTCAAAGCCCGAAAAATCAAGCGCTGTCCATGCAGTACCGAAAATGTCCGAAACGGTGAGATAGTCCTGTTCAACTGTCACATTTGTGGTGTTGGCGGTGACTGGAATGGGGATAAGATTTGCATCCGCAAATGGGATCCTGGCGTATTGAGCTGTTATTGGAAGTTAGCCATTGTCTCATCTTTGGTCTACTAAAACCCGTAAAATTACTTTCGTTGAAGGGCAACATACCTTGAAGACCGTCGGACAGCGCTGCTCCATTCCCGAAATACTCGAGCACTTCAGGCTCCATCTGAATTTGCCCGTGGTTTGCCGTATCAGGTATGATCACGTAGTCACCCACATCGAATGCTGAAACCGCGCCCCCAATTTGCTCAATATAGCCAACCGCTTCATGACCCATTGTCCAAGGTGGCGTGCCACCGGCCACTCCGTGATAAACGTGAAGATCCGACCCACATAGTGCAGACATCGTGATACGAACAACAGCATCGGTGGAGTTTTGAATCACTGGCATTGGAAGGTTCTGCACAGTCATCTGAAAAGGATTGCCCTGGTACACAACTCCCCGCATGGTAGCGTTGGTTGTCGCATTAACAAGTCCAGCTAATGTCATATTGAAAAATTCGAAAATGGAAATTGACCGCAGGAAATCAAAGGGTTAAGGAACGTGTGATTGAAAGTCAGGGTATTTGGGATTTCTGTGGGATGGTGCTGTTATATACCAATTAGTCGTTTCTTGGCTCCATCGTTATATACTGTTATCTCCGTTCGTCTCCTCTTGGCAGATGACACCGCATGTCATCAAGGGGGATTCATTCCATCTGATTGTCAATTGAGCTTTAGGCCGGATACTAAGATTCTTGGACAAAGTATCTGTAACAAATGGAGAGCAAATGGGAAATGCAGCTGAGACAACGGGTCTACTTCCAAATCCGTGATTTTTGCTATAGTTACCTACCTGCCATTTGAAAATAGTCTGCTTATTATACGTCATGAAATGTGGGGACCATATTTCATGGTTCACAGTCGTTCCAGCATTCTGACTTTATCTGGAGTTTAGCAGAGTAAGCCTTGATATTCATAACTAAATGCTGAATTCAAATAATTGCGTGCCTGGGACATAAATAAAGACCGCTATCCCTTACGATTTCTACTGCCTTCATTCACATCGCTTCATCAATTCATCTCCAGCAAGCTACCATCATGCCTTTGCCTGTTCATCCTATGGCTCGCTCGCCCCTTGATCGCCATCGTCAGTTGGCTCCATCTGCAGCGGTCCGGGTTTCTCCACTTTGTCTTGGTGCTATGAACTTTGGTGACGCGTGGAAAGATTGGCTGGGCGAATGTTCAAAGGAGACTGTGTTTGAGATCCTTGATTACTTCGTTAGCCAAGGCGGCAACTTCATCGATACTGCCAACAACTACCAGAACGAAGAATCCGAGAAATGGATCGGGGAATGGATTACCCAGAGGCAAAACCGTGATGAACTCGTCCTCGCCACCAAGTTCTCCAGCAGCTACAAAAACCATGAGGATGACAAGCTTCAATCAAACTATGGCGGCAACAGCGCCAAGTCTATGCGTGTGTCCTTGGAATCCTCACTCCAAAAGCTGCAAACGAGCTATATCGATCTTTTTTATCTTCACTGGTGGGATTACAGTGTTTCGATTCCCGAGTTGATGCATAGCCTCAACGACTTGGTCGTCACGGGGAAGGTCATATATCTGGGGATTTCTGATAGCCCCGCCTGGGTAGTTGCCAAGGCCAATCAATACGCTCGTGATCATGGTTTACGCCAGTTCTCTGTATACCAAGGTCTTTGGAACGCTTCCATCCGGGATTTCGAGCGAGAGATCCTTCCGATGTGCCGTGATGAAAACATGGGCGTGATTCCTTGGGGAACCCTGGGCCAGGGCCAATTTCACACGGAAGCCGGGTTCAAGGAGCGGGAGCAGAACAATCCCGGGCGCAAAGGACGGGGTCCCTCGGATGACGAGAAACGTGTTTCCAAGACCCTAGAGGCAATTGCCAATGCGAAGAAGACGGATCTTACTAGCATTGCCCTCGCCTACGTCCGCCACAAAGCCCCTTATGTTTTCCCGATTGTCGGTGGGAGAAAGGTTGAGCATCTCCGAGGGAACATTGATGCATTGAACGTATCCCTCAATGTCGAGGAGATAAAGCAGATCGAGGAAGCCTATGTCTTTGATCCTGGCTTCCCTCATACCTTGCTCAGCGGCACTCTTTTCGATGGTAGCTCTCCACGTGCTCCTGACGGCCCCGGAGACGTGTGGTTGACCAAGTTAATGGGAAACTTTGACTGGGTGCAGCCAGGACGGCCAATTGAGTGGACTAGAAATGCTCCTGATTCTAGATAACTTTTAGGCCAGAAACAAGATTGTTGACCACCTTTGAAAATGCCAAGGCAGTTTCATTTCCAATACATCGAGAAATGTGTTCTTTATTCATAGCGGAACCAATTCCCAGAGAAATGATATAGTTGATGTAGATGAATCAGTATCAGAACTGTAAAGTACATCCCTGTACGACAGTTACCCTCGACAGAATGTCTTTCTCTTTCCTTCCACCTCTCTGAGCGCACTTTGCACTCTGTCAACTAGCTCTTTCTCTTTCTCTACCCCCGCACTGATCCGGACGATATGCTTCTCCAATCCATTTTTCTCCGCCCAGTCCAGCTCATCCAAGTGTGCCAGTTGAGTATATGGAATTGCCAGGGTAAAATCTGTTCCCAAGCTAGGACCCTTGGATACATCGAGTGTATCGTAAAAGACAATCGCATCGTCTGGGTCGTGGAATATGATACTAAACATACACCCGTAGCCGCCATTCCTTCGTTTGACTTGGTCATAGAATACCCTCGATGGGACCATGCTGGGATAGTACACTTTATCGACCAATGGGTGGGCCTCGAGAAGAGTGGCCATGGTGAGGGCATTGCTATTGGACTGATGGACTCGTTGTTCAAAGTTCGTAGCATTATTGGCTAGGACAATAGCGTCGAGAGGGAAGAGGAGATCTTCATAGATGGAAGTAACTGCCGAATGGATCTCGTGATAGTGAGGGGAATTCGGGTTGACGACGACACTGTAGCTGTTAGTCAAGAATATAGCCAGCAGTCATAGAAAGATACCTTCCACCCATCACGTTGCAGACTCCACTGAATATCTTGGTCAAACTGGTTATGACCACATCGGCATATGGGAGCACATCGACATTGACAAAAGAGGCAATCGTCTCATCACAAGCGATGATAAACCCATATCGCCTGGCCAAAGCGTGGATACGAGGGAGATTGGGAGATTTCAACTGCGGATTGGAAGGCAGTTCGCAGAATAGAACTCGGATTTTATTTCCTGCTTGCAATGAAGCCTCAAGGTTGTTCAGTTCCTCTTCATTGCTTTGGCTCAGCCAAGTGTACCGATTATACCCGCTTGCTTCAACGCAATGGAGGGTTTCAGCGTATGGCCATCTATTATGACACATGTTAACGAGTGCTGCAATGCAGTGATTCTGGATAAACCTGCCCATAAAGTACTGCTTCGGAGTTTGTGCTGTCTGTCGGGATCAATGCCCTGATAACAGCTGCGATAGCACACATTCCTTTGGGATATAGGAAGACATCATTGGTCGTGACTGGGCGATGGTCTGGTTTCTCAGAAGTGACAAAGTGAGAAATGAGCTGTTTTATCGATCTCTTCTCGACTATGCCTGGAGGTATTCTTTGGGAAATAAACTTCAAAAATGGCGATGTTTCAAAACGAGTGTTGTTGGAGTGGGAAGTCATCGATGGGAGTGCGACAAGGGAACATTCGGCATGGCGGCTCGATATGCCATCACCAAAGATGGCCCAGAAGTCCATAGCAGACGACAAGCAGCTTTGGGGCAGAATAGCAACTGAAAAGGCGAGCCACTGGGCCTCGATATCCTTTGATTCAGGCAAAGAGAACTGCACCGAGCAGAAGGACTGGTCTGGGTATTTAGCTGCTAACGTTGCTATAAGTCTTCGAGAGGCATCACTGGAAGGGAATATCAAACATGTCGTTTGATCAGATAGGGAAAGTCTCGCAGATACAGCGTCGGTCAGATTCTGCACCGTCTGGTGCAGATAGAACCTGAAGATATGAATCATACTCGAAGTGATTGTGAAGGACTACCGACCTTGGGTAGCAAGATTGCAGCACATCCATGGCCCATGACTGACGCTCTCTCCATATCCATATCGAGTCCCATGTTGGCATCGAAACACTCACAGCCTAGTCTGTCAGTACTTTGTCTCTTGAAATACAGAGAATCGTACGTGTTTATCATGGAGCGGCATGGCTGCCCCAAATGGGAGCATATGCGGGGAACTCATCGTGACTTTATGTCGACAGTGGGAGTAGAAACAAATATTCAAGAAATGGAGTCTATGGTGAAGTAGTTTGATCTGACCAAAGTCGGTGTATGGAGTATATCGTGCTATCTGACGTGTTCATGCATGACTTGTCACACCCCGCGTTCGTCACTTGACGTCTTCCTCTGTATGCTTTCCTTGGTTGGCATATCTTTCCCATACAGAAAGATGGCTTTTTTTTGCAAAGACAGTTTTGGAGACCCCTCCGAATGTCATTGAGGAAGCCTTCCACCTAGGCCGGTCCCAGTGGATGGAATGTCCTAGAATCGACGATTGGAAATCGTCCTCTCCGTTTCCACTTTTTCAAGAGCTCAACATCCGCATCATCAGTAGAAATGCCACAGTCTTGGCCATTCTATTCCTTCCAAGACCAACTGTCGTGCGAAACAATAAACATCCTCCGGATTACTTTGGCTGAACATCAGCGCCAATCTCCTGGGCCGGCAAAGTCCCCGCTAGAAATGCATCTCAAAGAGTATGAGTGTGAGGCTATTGCCATGACGGGCCGTCGGGTTGGCGATGAGCAGGCGACAGGCCATACCTGCGATCCATCCGAGGCCATTAAACGTACTGGAGGTGACGGCCGATTATATTCGCAGCCACTCTTGGAACAGTTAACTTGGCCAAGGACAGCGGCAACAATAACGATAAACTTTCGATTGGAAATACTTACACAAAACTACATCAATGATGCCATGTCTTTTGCCGCAGTCGATGGTGATCATATACCGGTGGTCTTTCTTGCACAAGCAACAGCCCATCCGGGATTTGCCACTGCAATTAACATCGGCATCCCACCCGACATTCAATGTTTGTCGACGTTACAAAGACACATTAATTTATAATCATCAACCATATTAGCTCGAGTAAATATTTAAAGGCTGGTCCCCCTGATAGAATAGGACTACGCTCTATACTTTCATTCCACCACTTCTTTTCTATACAAAATGTCCAGTGGCACTCGATTTCCCGCTCGCACCCGCGATGAAATGCCCACTCAGGCTGAGAAAGATGTTCATGATGTCCTCCACTCGAGACTTGCTGAGATGATCGGTCAAGACAATAAAAAGGTATGCCGAGTCCACTGAGTGCCTACTTGTGCTGATTAGCAGGTCATCTGCTCGCCTGATGGAAAACTGCTGGGCCATTTCCAGACTGCCACCTATACACCGGCCTTTTCCAAGTCCTTTTACGACACCATCGGCCAGCTATACGCACTTCCGATCGAGCCCAATGTGAGAGAGATCTGTGTCTTACTCTCTGCAGCCCACTTCAAGTCCAAATATCCGGCCTACGTCCGCGCTCCGATGGTGAAGCAGTTTACCACCTTGACGACGGAGCAAACTCGTGCTCTCATGGCCGGGGAGAGGCCTGTTGATCTGAAGAAGAATGAAGAAATTACATTCGATATTCTTCAAGAGCTTCAAGTCACTCGTGGACCTCTTTCCGACGAGACATTCAACGAAGCTGTCCACCTGCTCGGCAAGGAACAGACTCTGTCTGTCATCTACTTTGCAGGTCTGTATTCAATGATTTCCATTTTGGCCAACGGAGCGGATGTCGGTCTTCCATATGGAGAAGATGAGGTTACAGTCTGATATTCTCAATATGCTTTACATGATCCAATATTCCTATCAAATCCAATCAAACTTGACCTTTGAGGACAGGACAGTGTCCTTACAGCTGGAAATCCAGTCTCCCTCCCTGTTGCTAGTCTGCCCTCTGTCTCGTGCCTGCTCTGCAAGGCGATCCGTCAGCTCTTCATTCGTCCCGGCATCCCATAGATAGTCGTCGTCTGGCAGTGTAAAGTGTAAATTCCCCAGTGTCAGAAGATCGTGAGGCTGTACTTGATGGTCATCCAAGACTGGACAAACCTCGCAGCTCTTGCAGACTTTGTATAGAGCCATGGAAAACCGTTTGGTCTCCTCCACTGCCACCCACACACAAACAATTGGAGCAGTATCGCTGGATTGTGCCAGGATATCGGCATAGCAGAACATGCCCTGTTTAATGCAGGTTTTTACAAGGGCATACAGGAGGTGATAGTCGCTTGCTGGAATCTCCAGCTTCAGATCGATGCCGACAGATGATTGTTTCCGAGTAATTAAGGAGAAGATGATGTGCAGAAGAATTGCCTGGTAAGTGGCAGTTGGCCATGGAGATATAATTCGATCACTTTCTGTATACGACGTGTCCCATTGATCCTATACAGATTAGCTGCGATAACCATGCATTATCGGTGACATACTCTATGCTGCTCAATCAACACACGATGTCTCTGATGAAGGCTCTTCGCTGCGTCTTTGGCGACTGCATCACCACTGAGCCATAGGCCAATCATGTAGACTGTCTGTACCAGCAGGGCCGGTTCATTGTCTTTGTCAAATGATCCTCTGTGCAGGATTGGCCATGCTGGGTGGAACTGATTAAAATATATGTCGATGTAGTGTTGCGTATTCGACAGGTCATGACTGGGCTGTTCAATTGACATCTGTTCGTCTGGAATATCTGGAGAATGACTCTCTAGAGAGCAGCGTATCTGCCTCTCTCTGCAACGATCACAAGGAATCCCTCCGGTGCAGCGAGACTTGCGGGAATTGCAGCCATTGCAGGCTTTTGGTCTTCGAGATAAATTGCATTCCACATCCGGGTGATGATGGTGCATATGTCTTCGCAGCGTGTCACTAGACCTACATTAGCGAAGCAATCAAAATATTGTCAATCCATGTACCTCCTTCTAAACGTCGAGGCACAGTGGCTGCACGGAAACATGCGGCAATGCTGGGCTGCGTGGCGATTCAGGTGTTCTTTGCGGCTGTAGCGCAGACTACAGCCAGGGAAATGACATTGATATTTTCGATCAGGCATCAGGAATGTTATTTCATATATTCGTATTCTGTGTTTCACCTGTCTTAAAATCTGAATTGCTTAGATTCTTTGAAGTGGAATTAATGTTGTGTGGTTCCGTGGGATGCCGGTGGGATGCCGACCGATGACTACACGATGCAATGGCCAGAATTTGAAGATATTTTATTTGCACGCTGCAACTGTCGATGATTCAAGGGAGATAGAAGCTCTGACTTGATATACTTATGCCGGATTCGACACAACTCCAATGAACAGATTATTCGCAGTGCCCCAGAATCCGATCAGGGTAAGGGCTCGAAATGCGCTAGTCCATTCCGGGAGTAGTGCCACTTTTTTCATGGCCAATCAGCACATGTTCGTTCACAACAACGACAGTCAGTCATGTCTGCTCGTTCTATACTTCAGCAAGGAAGAAAGATATACTAACGTCGCTAGTACTTTCATATGATCCAAGCACAAATTGACTTTTTCTCTCCTGGTATCTACGACTCCGTCATCAAAAGTGGCACACTGGAAGAAAAGGCACGTGCCGTCCAGGCTGCCCAGGTACATAATTTTGATATCTGTCCGATTGAATATTTCCAAGACTGCGACTTCTCCGTTTTTAAATAACCAGGCGAAGAGTCTGGAGCAGAGCATTGGACAGATCGGTTGGTGTTTCAAGGCGTTCCAGTGTACGATGTGGTTTTTCTCTACGCTGTTCTACAGCCAGATCCAGCCAAGAGAACGACTGCGGATGATATTCTGGACACTCAATATCTCGATGTTTACTAGATTACCCTCTTTGTATTTATTGGCTCCCAGATGATCAATCCTTCTTCGGTTTTTAGCCCAAAGTTGTTGTCGTCAGCACTCGTATATTATGGAGAAGTGTCAAGTGTTGAATTCTCCTGTGCAGAGGGTCCAACCGGTGAATGCAGCATGTCGCTACGAAGAAAATGCCCGATGACGTGCCGATCCCTTCCTGTTCGAGTATAACAGCTCGCATGGCTGTGTGAGATCTGCCTATCACTGGATCCAATTCGGCCTAAGCGCTGGCCGGCACTCAATCTGTAACAGAATCCCCACCATAAACCCCAGCGGCGACAAGCACTGATGAAAGGGGTTCAACAGACGAACCGTTGTGATCTATATAAACCATGTCAACTCTGTAAAGATCACAGTGACTATTCTTTCTTTTTTTGTCTTCACTCATTATGCATGCCACTCTTTTATCCTCGGCCTTGGCTATTGGGCTAGCCCAGGCGTACACCGTCACCAACAGTGGCCGGTTTATGTACAAAAACATCGATCCGATCGTCTTGCCTGGACAATATACCAGCCATATGCACAGCTTCTTTGGCTCTGATGCCGTCAATATCAACACCACCACCTCTGCTGACCTGCAGAAAGGATGCATTAGCACTGAAAACCTAAACGACTTTTCCACCTACTGTAAGTCACCAAACTATGACCCTAGTCAATGCTAATCCACCAGGGGTTCCCACTCTCTACCATGTCGACGGTGACAACTACACTGCCATCTCTCCCTACCGATTCAGCGCCTACTACGAAAGAACCGCCAGCGCCGAGATGGCCATTCCCCAGAACCTCAAAATGGTGGCGGGAAATTACTCGGCCACATCCCAGGATGGAGTCGACAGCAACGCAGGCATCACATGGTTCTGCGAAGGCAGCGATTCAGGCGACAAAGATGGCGATGCTGCCTTTCCCACCAAGACCTGCGACACGCATATGCAGACACTGCTTCTCTTCCCGGACTGCGCCAACAACAAGACCTTGGAGTATGCGTACTCGGGCAACCCCGACTACAATCCGGGATACCGTGAGAACCGCTGTCCAAAGGATATGTATCGCATTCCTCGTCTTCGCTTCTCCATCCGCTATGATCTGCGCAAGATCCTTCCCGACGGCTGGTCTGGCCCTCCCCCTCTGCAGCTTTCCTCTGGCTCGTCATACTCCACGCATGGTGATTTTATCATGGGCTGGCTTCCCGAGGCAGCAGACAACATGGTCAAGGACGCCCCTTCCAACGATAGGGAATATTTCAGAGTCTTGGGTCCGAACGACATCAAAAAGAACGGTTCTGTCTGTACGAATGCAACTGACAGTGACCCAAGTCATGGCACGAGTGATTACTTGACGAGTCTGAAGATGATGGGAAAGAGTATGAGGAGACATCTGGCCAGCCACCGACGGGGACATTATTAAGCAGCATCTTGGGGGGAAGAAAACACTCGGATTAATCTTGCATTTGTTGAACGGAAAGAATATGATTAAGTGGTTTGTGGGGTATTGTATATTAGGGGTTCTTCAGTTATCTACGAAGGAAAATAATTACGAGGAAGTAGGTCTGGATGAATAGTTTTACTGGATGATAGACACATTTAATATAGAACATACAGACACACACACGCAAGTGAAGGGATATACACAATAGAACACGCTCAAAAAAATATTAAAGAAAACACAGTCGCACTCAGTATTCCACTCCTTTCCCGTGTGTAGATTTCGTGGCATAACCGCATTCGTAAAGCTCCCCATAAACGTCCCCCTCCTCGATCTCCTGGGTACAGTCATCTGTCTCGATGAATGGACAGATGTGATCCCAGAGAGAACACTTCTCGTGGAAACGCCCCTTTATCTGCGAGGAACAGGGGCATTCGATTGATTTGCACTTGCTGATCAACTCGCCAAGAGACATGAGCTCTCGGTGAGCCTCTGGCAGGCGACTATCTCTGGCTGGCAGCCTAAGATCGTTATTGCATTATTGAATCCCCAAGGCTTTGCCTAAACCATCGGCAGAATGTATTGTTTAGGTTGCTACCAGTTGCAGTGGAGACAGACTGACGCCTTGTCTACACTCGTAGAACAATCGAACGACACTCTGCAGGACTAAACAGTGGGCTCCCATTTGAAATCAGCCCACGGCCTTCCTCCAGTCTCATGTGCCAGATCCTGCATTGATTTCCACTTCCAGTTGGTTTCGTTGGCGTTGACGATATCGTTTCCATTCCCAATTCCATCCTGAGTATGGTCAATCTTTCCCTCTCCCATCAAAAATCGCAAATATCTTTCTGGTGTTCCAGATGGCCTAGCAAGGATTTTACTTTTGTATTCCTCTAGGTCAATGCAGGATACTTTGATACTCCCCGATCCATTCTCCTGCATGATTTGCGCAATTTCCTCCACGCTTTTGCTGTCACCACTGAGGTGGATCTGCTCTGGTACAGCATCGATGGATGAACTGACCAACGTTGCGACTGCCCGTCCGACATCCTCCATGCTAGTAAATGATATCCGCCGCGAAGAGTCGCCCACAGCTTCGTAATGGCCTTTCGCCGTGTTGAAGCCAAACCAAGGGCCGATGGAGTCTTCCAGAAACAAACCAGCAAAGACCTTACAGATCTTCGTGTCCGACTGTCCAAGGAGTTTGCTGGCTAGGTCCATATGGTGTTTCTTCGCATCCCACTCGACATGGGGAAAATCATGGACGTAATGATCGACGCCAAATTCGGACGGAATATATAGCTTCACTGATGTTGCCGGCAGACCACGGAGGAGCGTCTCCTTGAATGCATGTCCTTCCGGCCCGATTCTGTTTCCATGTCAGTCCATTGACTGGAAATACGTGGTCTCAGAGTAACTCACGCGTTAATGAGCACATCGACCCCACTGAGAGTTTCAGCAAGAGAGTCCTTGTTGTAGATCCGAATTTTGGCTCCCTGGGCAGTAAACTCTTGAAGTTTTGGTGATTCTGTCCGGGATAGAAGAATGATATCCTGGAATCGAGATTTGAAGGCAGGCAAGAAAAAGGCTCTCGTGAGCTTTTTGCCCAGGTTGCCAGATGCACCGGCAATTGCGACTGTAGGAGCGGCCATTATATAATTGAAGGACTGCCAAAATATATTCCACTTGAAAGTTTAGGAACGAATTATCTCGAGGAACCTGCTGTATAAATGTCACTTGGGCGTGATGTTTATCTTGTTTGAAGCATTTGCATTCCTTTGACTTTGAGTGGTCCATGCTGGACAATGGCCAATCAGAGTGCATAAAATGATGTCACTCTGGCTATGCAAAATATGCAAACAGTTCAAGTGGAACTGAGTGCAATCCCGGATTGGACGGTTTTGTTTGTATCTTCAGCAAACAGATCAAACACTCAGCATCCTTCTCATTGGTCGAGGGCCTCGCGGGGAAACATCGAAGTGTAAACCCGACAGGAACAAGCCTCTATTTTCTTACTGAACTTCATATGCCGTTCTGCTTGGGGAAGAAGAGGTTTTGTGCTTTCCAGTAGAAAATCACTTACATAGTGTCAGGGGATAATTTGTCAAATACTTTGGATGCATCAGGCTATCCAACTTGTCAGTCGATCGGCCATAATATATAATGGGAATATTCTCAGGAAAGAGCCTATATTACGCTGAAAGCCATGTTTCATTACTCTGTTATCTTTCAGTATAGAATCGACTGGAAATAACCATGACTGAAGAGCCGAGTGCATCGAGGCCGTAGAGTTATTCCAAGAAAGACTATAAGTAATCATCCACGGTAAAAGATGCTCACATTTCGTACTGAATACTCGCCAGCAATAGCTCAATCCCCAGACAGAAAAAGAATCTTGAGATAAAAGTCCATAAATGATGATGATCAATAAATGTCATGCTCCCGCACAAACTTGGCCTCCTCTCTCTCAAGATCAACTTGTGTGGTCTCCAAGACGCTTATTCTCTGGGTATGCCCGGCGTCCTACATCCCCCGGGTGTGGGATGATTGCCGGGGAATAGACTTTTGCTTTTTGTGCTCGTGGATATTTCTCAATTTTTGGACGAGGCTCGTTCAAGGGTCTAACGAAGCAAGCACTAGTGGCGCCCCAATAGACAAGTGGAGGTGGAAATATACTCGAGTAGGTTGTAGCTCTATAGGACGTTTAGACTGTTGTATCCTCAACAGTATCACCCTTGCATATTCGAGAATAGTCCGCTCTCCTTCCGAGTTGGGTATTCCCACCCGAATATGCACATGCCCATGTCCCTCTTCTGCTGCTGATAGGAAAGACGACTGATCAATGTAGGGCATCTGATATTATCCTTCCATTCGTTCACGCCCCGTCAAGATGGTTTTCCGGGAAACGGGCTCGTTCCCTAGCTAGGGCTCAGGTGGCAGATCGACCGATCTGCTAAGGATTGAGGCACAACACTCTGAACGATCTCCATCGCCTGGAGGAGAACGGACGATCTTCGTGCTGAGCCGGAGTGGAAGAAGTCTACTTGAGGGGAGTCATTAGGTATTGCACTGAGGCAAGGTCAGCAAGATGGACACGTAGAACTCTGCCGGCGCATCGTTCAACCAAACCCATCCCGAATTCGTGCCAAACACCAGAGGTTGGATGATCCCCAAAGAGTAAACCGAGGTTGATTTGAAGGAAGTGAAAAATCAGAATGATCCGGTCTTTTCCCCATCGAATGTAAACCGACAAGTCTAGTAATCTATGAACATAAGAAATGACCAATGAATTCATGGGGCGCAGTATAATTTCCAACCATTCTGTGCCATCCGTCTTCAATCCTGTCTCCTCCCCTGAATCAGACTCAGTGATCTGCCTATTCCAACTAAGCGACGAGTCAGTGTGTTTTGTCGAAATCATTCTAGCAAGAATGTAATCGGAACCTCGGCCGGTTCAATCGGGACGGCAAATGCTAGTTCCATCCACATTCCACGCCCCGCAACGAATAGAAAATTCTAGAGCAGTATGCCACCTGGCAAACATCTAAAGTAGGTTGGTACCTCGGACGGCGAAGTTACATCTGCAGGTGGCACCCGTCTCTCAAAGGGTGGTATTCGGCTGGGCTGTATAGGAGGTGGGGCGTGGCTTTCCCGGTCTTTCACTACTGTCTACATGTACATATGCAAACATCGAAATTCGAGGATACGCTTTACGGGCTATGCAAAGTGGGCACAGGGGAAATTTACTCCATCCCCCACACTATAAGATCATTCAAGAGCCTTTCTGTATGCCTAAAGAGATATGCGGAAATTCAACTGGGCTAAGCTGGTACCATCCATGTCATTGCTCCTAGTTATGTTGGACTATAACGTCACTTTATTTCGTCGAGGCTCGCAGAATATAGCGTGGAGGCTGGACTAGCCATTGTCTGCGCTGAGAACAAATCTCGGTGCAGCACCTTGGTGGCAAGTTCAGCATGTGCTTCCTCGATCACACATCCCGCAATTGTATCAATCGCACCTAGTTTAACGTAACAGAATTAGCAAATCAGATCGATATATGAACGTGAACGTCCCAAATGGAAGAGCAGCGGCCGCAGGATCCTGACTCACCATGCAGAACCATTCTCACAGGGACCGCCAGATCACGTAATACTCGTAAAATGCACGCTAGCGCAAAGTCCATGGAGTTTGTGAGACGGCATACTACGCAGAGTAGAGCCATACAATGGCTCACTTTGACTGCGGTGAATTGCACTTTGAGCTCCTCGATGGCAGACCAGAGCCGTACATCCGCCGGTTGCAGAGCTCCGTAAGGTCGGTCTTCCGGTATGGGAATCGCCAGTGAGACTCCCGATTCGCTTATTGTGACCAGTTCTCCAGTAAACTGCCATTTCTGAAGAATGTCCGAAATGCGGCTCTGAAACTTAAAGCCCGGCATACCGAGCGGGCTGCGGACGCTCACGATAGCCATATAACTTTTTTTGGTAATAGCCATTAACCCTTCCTGTGAAGCTTCCACATCGGGCGTAACCAGGGTTCCGGATCCCAATGGGTCCCTGACGTTGCGAATGGACATGGCGAGATTTCGGTCCTTCGCCACGTCGACTGCTGCACAGTGCACCACTTCGGATCCATAAAATGTAAGATTCCGCAGTTCGGAAATCGATAGCGAATGGAGTAGCTTTGCATCTGGCACGTGGCGTGGATCTGCCGTAAATACTCCGTCAACCTCTTTCCAGATCTGCAGCTGCGCAGCGTCAAGGCCCGTGGCGACGAGGGCTGCGCACAAGTCTGTATACCCACGCCCAACAAAGCTAAGCAAGGTTCCTGTGGAGCGAAGCCCGAAGTAGCCGGTGATGACAGGAATGCCGGGTACGGAGCAGGCCTTCAGGGAGAGCTCTGCGGCCACCGCGTCAACGAATTCTTTGTCTGTCCAACTACCTGGAACAGCCGCCGATACGCTCAACTCGCTAACATCGACGCAGGTTGCTTCCCGTCCATGGTCTTGTAAGATTGCAGTGACATAATGACAACTCATTCTCTCACCGGCACTAACAACCCTCCCAACGCATGCAGGACTGATTTCACCCAGGAAGTACGCTGCATTGAGGGTATTCACCACACAAGCACATTCGTAGCGAATTCTGTCAATCAACCTTCCCCGGATCTCGCGCGAACGGATCTCTCGCTCGGCTGCTTGGGTGTGCTCGAGTCGTACTTGGTCGATTATTGTAGAGAAGCTTGCACCATCTGTTTCAAGCTCACTGCAAGCGAGGAGTAACCTATTTCTGTATTAATGATAGTCCTAGCTCTTGGATTCATCAGCAATGAATCCCTACCTGTTCGTTGTGCCACTTGCTTTGGTTGAGCGACTGATAGCTGAGCAGATGACGGCGACCCTGCTTTCCGATGTTTCTGGTCTTCGTGGTGGTAAGAATCTGGCATCATTCGATTGATGGGGCGTTCCACTTACAAAATAACCTCCTCGACGATCTTGGAGGCAAAATGGCCGATGCTCGTCCCTCCAAACTTTTGCACAATCCAGGGCCTTGGAGCCACCGTGCGCACGCTTTCGTGTGCGGATGGGAAGGTCACAATATCTGGCTTGCCTAGAGCTAGGGAGATTGCTTCCTTCATGTTGATATTATCCATCATCAATGTGGAGGCTGGCCACGGGTCAAGTCAAAACTGGGTATTTAGACTAACAATGCGAGCGGTCTCGAGGTTCAAGTATTCATAACTCGCTATTGACAAAGCAGAATCTACACAAAGCCGACTAACGAGGCACTGTATACGTCAGCCCAGCTTTCCAGCCTGTCTAGACCGTTGTCACTTGCAGATCGACCACATTCAGGCTACTGAGATGACAAATTTGCCGATTCTCGAACAGGAAAAAGCACATCATGACATGAGGTCTGCATTTAGTTTCAGATGATCATTGACTAGTGGCGTAACGACTTTTGCAAATATTTGACCTGTCATCCGGTAAAATACCGCTCCCTTCTCTACCGAGGTCCTCCTGTAATCCTACGGATCTTATCTGAATCAGGTTCCCTGCGGTATTTGGGTGGATCTTGACGAAATGATCGAGTGTGCCTTGCGTCAATTGTGCGCCTGGTAGATTAGGCGTAAACTATTCACCGTGATATAGCACGCTACTATACCAGCGGAGCTCCGAATTCCGTGACAAGCTGACATCCAGCGTCAAGTACCCAATTGCTGTCCATTGGTGCACTGATTTCTCCCAAGGTTGTTTTAAGTAAACAATTGGAAAATGGTTCTGGATGCATGTCTGCGAAATCAATGTTGCCACCAGCCTCTCAGACCTGTGGAACCCAATGATTACTCAAACCTTTGGAAGAATCACATGTCCCCAGAAGTAGCACAGGTGTGTCGGAGTCTGACGCGATGAGGTCAAAAATTCCATGTCCAGGAGACACCACCCGCCAGACCCTGGCTTTGAGGGTCCCTGATAGCCATCAGACAGGCTTATATTGACCTCCCTTCTGCTGGTGAACGGATGAAGTTACAAAAGACAAAGATGATATCTGACAGCACGACTGGTATGTATCAAGAGGATTCTGTGACTAGAATTATTTTAACAAGACCATAGACGGAAATCTTGAAGCATCACAGACGAAAGGATGCGAGCTTACTAGTCCGAGCATCATCCGCATACCACACCTTGATCTTGAGTTCGGAGAATCACTAAAAAATGTCCCCGTAGCATACACGACACATGGCACACTTTCGTCCTCCGGGGACAATGTCATCGTGATATGCCATGCTCTCAGTGGAAGTGCAGAAGTTGGTATTTGGTGGCGCGCTCTTCTGGAATACGGAGCTGGTGCAGCACTAGATACTTCAAAGTATTTCATTGTCTGCATGAACTGTCTAGGGTCCCCATATGGCACTGCCAGCCCATTGACTGACAAGAATGGCGATCCATCCCTCGGCCCCTACGGGCCTGACTTCCCCTTGACCACCATCCGAGACGATGTTCGGTAAGTTTTGCCCTGCGATTGTATCTCTTGTTGAGCTATATGGCTAACAACACTAGACTTTTCCGTTTAGCTCTTGACTTCCTCGGCGTGACGCAAATCGTCTCTGTTATTGGAGGCTCGATGGGTGGGATGCATGTCATGGAGTTTGCATACTTTGGCCCCGAATATGTCAGAAGCATTATACCAATTGCGACTTCCGCAAGCTACAGTGCATGGGGCATTGGATGGGGAGAGATGCAACGACAGTGCATATATAGCGACGCTCGATTCCGTACGTTCAATTGTGGGAGTCTCCACGCTTGATGATCCATTCCGCTAACCTATATCTATATATCTATATCATAGGCAATGGAAGCTACGATCGAGATGAAGTGAGTGATATAAATCCAAACAACAGCGCAGATTTACTAAAGTCAAACAGCCACCTGTTATGGGCTTAGCAGCCGCACGAATGGCCGCAATGCTTTCTTACCGAAGCCAGAAGTCTTTTCAGACACGATTTGGACGCAAATGTGACGACAGAAGGAAAAAGACCCATGAAGCCCAAAAGCGTGAACGATCTCTGTTTTCTGTTCAATCTTACCTGCAATACCAAGGGGATAAATTCATCAATCGGTTCGACGCCAACTGCTATATCGCGCTCACGCGCAAACTAGACACATACGATGTGTCTCGTGGTAGATCTACTACGGTTCAAGAAAGTTTGGCATTGGTCAAGCAGCCCGCACTCATCTTGAGTATTCGGTCAGATGTGCTGTTCACCTTTGAAGAGCAGTTGGAGTTGCATCGGGGAATTCCCAACTCTGTCCATCAAGAGATTATTTCTGATGATGGTCACGATGGGTTCCTGTTGGAAACGGAACAAATCAACGGATTCCTTTTCGATTTCTTGCAGAGGCAGCAAGTGAACAACCAGATACCGCTCGCTTCCCCGCCTGATGAAGGCTTGGGGCTTTGGGGGACAGTATGGAAGACTACTATAGGCGGTGCATCGTGGCTAGCGTCGATCCTAAATGGGGACAAGGAACACTGAGAGCAGAATGCTTTTTATCTGGATTTTGCATTGGAATTTGAGCACTGGCCGCTGCACAGTTTCCATCATAACCTATACGCTTTCTTATTTTGTTGTTGAGATTATGCATTCTTATGGAACCATTCATTTACTTCTTTAATTCCTCTCTTTCTGTTCTCCCTCTTTCTTTCCAAGGTTCTCCGGATTTTTTTTTTAACGAAAACATCCGTACTATCTGTCTTTTCCTGGTTTAGACGTTCAAAAGTTCTTGTTATACATATCGTTCATACCATACCGACAATAATAACTCGGCATTTAATGTTTAAGAGAGAACCCAGGAGGTAAGGGTAAGCGCTAGAGCTAGTACTAGAGCTAGTACAGTCGGTGATCACCTGACGCCTGAAACAACGCTCCTGTTTCTATTATTTATTCTACATTACCTCTGGTGACTGTAACTGTTATTGAGATGCGTAAATGCTCCTATACTCTGTAAACAAGTACCATTTCTCCTCGCCAGTATATTACTGATGTACCTTTTCTTCTCTTGCTGTCAAGTTCTGGGGTGTGACATGTGCAGTGGTGCCTTGATTAAATTGAGTAATTAATACTAAATTATTCCGTAACTTCGGTGTAGTCGATTTAGTCACCTACTTCAAGGAATTAATTGCCTCTATCGTTGGCTCAATTGAAGCCATATTGAATGAGATATATGCAGTTGAAGTTCGAAGTCCATCGTCAAAATAGTCGGTGAGGAGAGATCGGGCGGCATGTGGGACCCGGCGGCTGGGGCCGAAGGTCAGGTGATCACCGGCTGTAGATCCCAATGTTCTCGAGCTCTTTCCGATAGGATAATTCAAACATTGCAATGAAGTCCAGCCCAAAACAAGTTCGCCCCCAGAAACGAAGTGCAGGCTGAGCCCATCGTGATATGTGGTGAAATGTGACTTCAGAGGAAAATCAGTTGAGTGGAGTAGAGCACCAAGCTCGGCACTATGTGTGATTTCTTCATGGTGGAGTTTCAGCCACCTGAAAGAACTACGAGGTTTTCGAAAACCGCACACTGGTAAATATAGCACGATTCGGCCAATTGCAATCGAAGGAATATAATATATGATAATGAAATCTATAACTATATCACGCTTGGAAGAGTGTAAGGTTGATGACATTGATTAATCGACATATAAACCAGGACGGGTAGTATCAGAACCCCGTGAAACAAGATCACTCCTGTGCATATGGGTCTTTGTTTGGAGTCTCCTTCTCTATCATTTTCATCTGCGGGATGACAGTCTTCCACTGGTCAATGGATGTGATACCGTTGAAGTATCTCATGATGTTTGGGTGCGAAGTGCGCCAGTCGGCATCCAGGACCCACTCCATACCTCGGGCGAGGTACATCGCCACAAAGAGATCGGCAATCGTGGCTGACTCGCCAACGAGGTGATTCTTGGACTCCAGGGCGTTTTCGAGAAGACCAAGAAGGTGGTTGGATGCAATCTTGCCGTTGTCAACAGCCTGCGCATCGTACGGGGCCGGCTTCTTCATATTCGGAATCAAAGGCAAAAACCTATATTTCGTTAGGCAAACTCAAAAAATTGAAGCCAGTAGCTGGAGCACAGAAGCCATGACTTACCATGAAGCCAGAGTACCCAGCATCTCTTGGTTTGCCCAGCTCACCCAAGACATAACCTCTGCGACTTGCTTGTGGGAGCCATCTCCCAGGAGCTTCGCTTGGTTTTGGATCCTAGCGAGGTACTTGATGCGTTGTAAGTCTTGATTTCCCCTTACAGACCATCTTTCACAACTTACAGTTGTAATTGCGATGACCTCCGTGATTTTCACGTCAGGGCCCTTCAATGCAGGGACCTTGCCTCGGCTCAGGGGGAACTCAGAAATGTATTCATCCGTGTTCACATACATCCGAGGGACTACAGTTGAGAGATGCAGAGGAATCCCCTCAAGGGCAGCCTATATAGCATCAGACCTAGTCGGCAACTTGAATTCCATAGACCTGGCTTGAACATACCACAATGCGGATGATGCGGGTGCGGGGGTTGCCCTAGGAATATTCAATGTCAATTGAAGGCAAGAAAAACCAAATAGAAAGGACTATTCTAAGACAGCAGGAAGGAAACAAATACCTCGTAGCCGTAGACAGTATATTGCATCCTGAAAGAATCCAAAGGAAGCAGGAACATAAAATGATTTGATTATCTGGAGACGGTGGGTTGTTCTGAGCCCTTTTAAGATGGCCCATCGCTGGCTCATATACTACTGTTGGAAGTCATCTCGCATGCTCCTTTGCTTTCTTTCGAGCACAATATCGTCAACAAGGTTGATTATCATGGAGTCGATGGGCTATTGCTTATGCAACCCCTAGAAAGATTATCAATCCGAATGATCGAGCCATATACTCGGAGTCAGTTCATATTGATATACATGTCGGTATCAGATTAGGCAAGTCGTTGAAATGATCGTTTTGAAAATTTCCCGGGGTAATACTGCGTTTCCTTGTGACATCTTGAATCATGTAGTGGATAATCCTTACGATATTCCGAATACGGATGGGTGTTAAATTTAGGAATGGGACTTCCAAGGTTGTCATTTTGATTACTTGACGATGATCTTATTGTTCCGACTGATGAGTTACTGTATCCGGAAATTTACTTGGGTTTTTGGGGACCCCCAGGGCCAAATCCCCCAGGGAAAACCTAGTGCCTAAATGCTCTGTGTAAGAATAATATAGATTATGGACTAGCTAGTGATTTCCTGAGACATACAGCGCCTAGAGTGGCTTGGAGTGGCAATGTAACAATGACGTGATGAAGCCTTATGGGGCTGAGGGCTGTGAACCATGTTGAAAGTCTGTTGCTGTTTCCATGCCTGAATATAGGACTGTAGAAACCAAATATTCCCCCAGTTATTATCACAAAAGTCTTGATAAGTCAAGTACTGAGCCCAGATGTCCGGGGCCTTATGAGTAGCTGAGAAAATGAAGCCACTTATACCATATTTACCGTAAGGTTAATAGCGATGCATCAACATACAAACCGATCTAAGCAAATTGTCTGGTCTTTATGGACCATAGAGGTAAAGATACGATATTGGAAACATAGAAATCGACGCATCTACATTTCCATGGGTGGTTGAGGGCCTTGGTCGAATGTGAAGCCGCTTTAAGTGCTTACCATACGTTCCATGGGGCGATGCAGTTACCAGACAGCAGGTTAGATCCAGGCATCAAAGCACTTGGGGCTATAAGGCTTCGTAGATCGACAAGAGAGCGAGCGACACCGAATTCTAGTTTTCAATTTCATCCAAGTTGTTTAAATAAATGCCTTTCTTTTTCATTTGAAGTAGTATACTTGGAGCCTGAATCAAAAATAAAAAATCTCTAAAAATCTCTATTTACTCATGGTCACTATTTGCCGTGTCCTCCGCATGTGTGGACGGTGGAGTGTTTGCGACCTCATCCGTTAGTCCGCTATCTTCAGAAGCGTTTCCATTTTCACTAATAACGCCATGGATTCGAGAGGCCTTCATGGCATCCGCCTCGGCCAGCGCGGTTCGGAACGCAGCTAAAAGCGCACGCTTGTCTTCTAGTCCAACTGATACCCGCACGATGGATTCATGTAGACCGCACTCACCAGCCCAGGCCTTCTGCTTGTGGAAAACCGTTTGTACGTAAGGTTGGGCCAATGTGACAGGAGCTCCGAGGGATGGACCCTTGTGCACGTTCAAAGCATTGAAGAAGACACTTGCTTGCTCAACATCCTCGAATTGAATGGTGAATAGCCCACCGTAACCGGGTATGAACTCTTCGGTCGGCTGGCGCATTTGAGCACGGTAGTTCTCAGGCTGAGGGTCTAGCTTGGGGTGATATACATGGGTAATGGCGCTCTTCGGATCGTCGCACAGGGGCTGGAGAGACTCAGCCAAGTAGCTGGCGCTGTTATTAATGTGCGTGGTGCGCATTAATAGATCACGGCTGTTTTCTTCGAGCTGCTGAGCGTCGCCACCGTAGAGGTAATTTCGGTAGTTCAGCTCAAGGTCATTCTTCCAGTCTGGATAGAAAGACGAGGCAGAGTTCAACACGATACTAGAAAAACGTTAGCAAGTCGAAGATCATGCAACAACGACTGGTTGCCCGGACTCACCTTCCCGCCATAACATCGGCAGAGCCGCTGAAGCTCTTGGTCAAAGACGTGACCAGCATATCGGCCACACCCAGCAAATCAACGTTGGCGAAACCACCAATGGTCTCATCAACCACGACAGCAGCATCGAACTTGTCTGCCAAGGCGCGGACCCGTTGCATGTTGGCCGTGCGCAGCAGAGGGTTCGAAGGGCATTCGCACCAGATCGCCTGCACCGGAGTCCTGGCAGCAAATTGCTGGGCCAAGAACTCCTCCAGCTGCTCGAGGTCAGCTTCCCCGACGAAAGGGAAGAATTTTGCTCCCGGGCCGAAAGTCTCGACGAGTTTCAGAGTGAGTTCATACGGAAACCCGAAGACCACAGAGGGTCCTCCAATCCTTCTGAGCAGAAGCTCCTGCGCATGGTATATGGCCGCCATTCCGGTGGAATAGAGATAAACATCATCGCGAGCGACGAGTTCGCTCCTCGTGGTACAGCTTGGAGCTCGCTCAAGAAGATTGGCGATACGCTGGCACAGCTTGCGATGAGGACGCTCCGACCATCGACCGCGCACGCTTGGATGCTCTTTGCGAGTGTCCCCAGTCACATCACGAATAGTTCGCATTCGAGCATTCACGTTTTCAGCCAGTCGGGAGGAAATCCCGACGCCGACCAAGCGCCAGAAGGTGCGAAGAGGCAGTTCACGATCCTTAGGACAAAACACACCGTGCAAAGTGATAAAACCTATCTCTTCGTCTTTCAAGGCCGGCTCAAGTTCGATTTCCAGTGAGCGGATAGACAGGATATCATCCGGCAACGCGGCTTCGCTGTGGACTTCCACGGACGTGGCAAAGTCACGACACGCCCGCGCGTAGTCAAGAGATGGAAAGAAGAAGCACGAGCTGGCATCATTGGAGAACTTTTCAATGCATGCTCTATTGAACTAAAATCGATTCAAATCAGGATAAACACAACGAGTGCTGTTTCTCAGAAAGCTTACCTGGTTGACATCTTGATGGATAAAGGACCGTGGATACCCAGTAAGTTGAGCATTCTTTACCCTGGGTGCACCGGTGAACATTTCCTTAATGTCATCCCAGGTCGGCAGTTGTACTGAGACAGCATGTTGAACATTAGGCACGGGCTGACCCATTGCCGGAGTCAGAGGCAATGGGTTCAGTGACTCGAGGCTAACACGCATCTTGATCAGCACAGACTCGATCCAAAATCAAAGAGGAGAGAGGGGTGACAAAGGTAAGATGCAGAACGAGAATGAGTTTGGGCTGCGTAGGAGTCCTGTTTTATCTTTATAAATTATGCTTGGATGTTCACACTCCATAATCCCATCTAGTACGGTTGTGCTCTCGCAGATACCCGTATTTAAGAGCGTAATGGATTTTGTTTCAGTGCTTGGTTTTTGCAAAACGAGATCACCCACCCGGTACCTGTCATTACGGCCCCCTGGCTTTCTGTCATACCTTGGGATCTCTGGACTGGACCCTGACCCAATGTACCCTGTTAGCGTAGACTGTACTGACCTATAAGGCTGCGTACGAGTGGTACTTTGTCGTTGTGAGCCACCTGTGTGCTATGAGCAAGAATACTGCGTGGTCCAGTATATGAGTGATAGTGGTCAGAGTGAATCATTTACCCCGCAGCAATTGACTGTGCGGTCTTTTAAATACAGGCTTGCTTGAACATGCAATCACATGATATCTAGAAGCCAAGACATCGCCGGGATGTTTTTGGCATCGCCATCAAGCTCTAGGGTGTGACATGGCCATAATACGTAGAATTGCGAGGAACTGATAGAGTGCTCCCCAGAGCTGAGTGTCCTTATATATCCATCCTCAATATACCAGTATGCATACTATCTGTTGCATTTTTACTGGTATTCTCCTACATAGTATTATATCTCCGGTATATAACCGAGATGCAGGGACTGTGTACCATTCCATAGAATATATTTCTAGTTCGATAATATCATATTTACTAAGTAATTATTAATATTAGTGTTCCTTTAGTAATCCCCAATTTTCCTTTATAATAATTTCAGTATTATCCCTGACTACCTGATTCTACCCGATACAGTCGCTGACTGCTGTAACATTGACTTCCTTAAGACCTATCCATAAGCCTGTACAGTAATATTTTTACTAAATATTGTTTGAAGTGGCTTCTCAGCAGCTGGATTAATCCTATTCAATCTAGATTGTATACTTTTATAGCTGAATGTATCGTTAAAGATACTAATACTGCCTACCAGCTAATTAAATATTTCAGTTCCTAAAATACCTTATAATCTAAAGTAGTTAGAAAGGTAGGAACCTACATTCAAAAAGCTGCTGTACACTAGCCTATTACGGGATATAAAAAGGGTGTAAGCAGCACTATACTTCTTACTGAAGAAAATTGGGATCTACAGGCTGCATATAAGAGGAAAATCTGAAAGAAGAAGGAACATCGGTAATATACTGATACTAAAGAGGGTCTCTTAATATATGAAGGTCAAGACCTCATACAAACTCGAGGTTGGGGTGATGAAGCTATCTAGACTGTATCTATAAAACCAGTAGCTGAAGTATAATAGTGCCCTAAACAGGCAGGCCTGAGCGGTAGTGACTGCCATATTATTAGATTTAAGCTACATGTTTTGGTGGTTGGATTGCTTCAATTTTCGACCACGGTCAGATGAGGTGCCGGTTCGGTCATCGGCGGAGCGTGGCCCTGCAAGTGTGGAGAATGGGCCGGTGGAGGATACAAGTCGAAGTGGATTCACATCACATTGTCGAAATACAGGTTTTGGAATCCGGCGTCAAGGAGTAGGACCCAAGGACCTTGTCTGCAAAGCCCGTGAGGTACTCTGTCCGGGAAAGCAGTTGGACTATGCTATGCCGACACACGGATTGCGCAATATGAGGCATTTCCATCCGAGTAAGCCCAGTGGACACATGCATGCCAGCTGCCCAAGCTGGTTTGCTTACTCTACAAGGGGGTGGTGTACGCCGTATCTCATCGGGGTACTTATTGACCGCACACACCGGTGGAGACCGAAGCAGAAGATCAATTTTGACAGAAATAATTCCGCAAACAAATTGTGCCATCAATACCGATCGAGCCTTCCTAATGGCGTCTACTGCGAATCTCCTCATTATCGGCGATGGAGCTGGGGCCATGTCGACTGCCTTGACCTTCTCATCGCGCCATCCCGCCGCTCAGATTCTTATACTTTCCAACCGAAACACGCTGGACAATTGCGAAACAGCTTCCGCTGTTGATCTTCGACCACTGCGAAGTGATTGCCAGTCGTCGGTGGGTCCAACTTTGGCTACTGAGGCCCGACGCATCATATGCGAAGACCCAGAACTTCGACACTGTCTCTACACGCGCGGTGAGATCTCTGCGCATGTGAAAGGCGACGCGAGAAGCACCAGGATCCTGGAACAGAGAAAAGCAATTCTAGGTCTTGATGATCCGAAGAGCACCTCCAAGTTGCTTTCTTCTCCCGAGAGCATCCGCAGTATTCTCATAGCTTCAGATGCCGAGGGCTTAGAGGGCCTAGAGGGCTCAGGCCTTCCAAAGTCCCGCTGGCAGGAGGCGATATTCGACGAATCTGCTGCCATTGTTGATTTCAGTCAGCTGCTGCTGATTCTATACCGCCGGTGTCAAGCTCGGTCCAACGTCACATTCCAATTTGGTGTTGATATTGAGCGTCTGATTATCAGAGATGATGCATTCAAGGGGCTGGTCCTGAACGGGGGCTGCGAGATTACAGCTCAAGCCGCTGTACTGACTGATCATGGCCTTCTCTGTCAGAAATTCTTTGGCCTTCCCTCGTGGGCCAAGCTCACTGGTTACGATGCCACCTGGCTGAAGCCATGCGAGTCAGTGTTGAAGAAATACAAAGACATCCCCGTCTTGACCAACCTCTCGACTGCCTTTACCGTTTTCCCTCCCATCAATGGAGAGTTCAAATGTACCCTAGAGCTGAATAATTACGGTGATGTGAATGTGCCAGGCGTTGAGTCAGGTGCCTGGTCCCTCGCCCCCAGTTCTGAGCGAGAGATTCGACGCAACCTGGCGGAGATTTTACCCGAAGCCGCTGACCAGCCTTTGTCACGGTCACAGTTGGCATCTTCTGTAACGACAGAGAAACGCAGTGGCTTCGTTCACCGCCACCCAAAGTTGGACGGACTGTTCGTTGCCATCCTTCCGACGACCCTAGAACCGCAGGCTGTCTCTCTGGGCGCAAAGGCTGTGGATCTAATCGATCAGGTTGCTACGTCCAATCTGTGTCAGGGCTGGGGCCTCTCAGACAGATACTCCGATTCAGAGAGCACCTTGTCATTCTACAAACCCATCATTATAGTGGGTGCTGGAGTGTTCGGCTTGACCACGGCCCTCCATCTTGCGCAACGTGGCTACAAGAATGTCACTATTCTTGACCGCGAGGCATATGACCAGACTGGCTACACCAGTGCCGCAGCAAGTGCTGATCGCAACAAGATCATCCGGGCCTCGTACGGAACACAAAAGCTCTACGAGAACCTTGCTTTCAAGGCCCTTGATCTCTGGGAGGAGTGGAACTCGGAGATTCGGAATGCGAGTGACTTGCCCGATTCGCTCTTCTTCAACGATCGTCTTTGGGACAACTGCGGATTTGTTCGTGCGGGCGAACTCCCTGGTCTCGACCCACAAGAGACTGCCACCCAGGACGGTTTTCCTGAGGCGCTCAAGGACACTCAGTACCGCCTGTCGGACGAGTCTCGCAGGAAGGATGCGCAGATGAATGGAATCGCCCCTGCCAAGCTCGATCTGTTCGATCGCTTCCAACGAGGGCTTGGCTTGGATGGCATCTTCGACGGGACGGGTGGATACGTTGCCGCAGACAAATCGTGCTCGTGGGTCCTTCATCTCTGCCAGAAGCTGGGAGTCCAACTCAAGCTTGGCCATCAATACGCGTTCACAGAATTCATCCGTCAAGGCTCAAAGATCGTCGGCGTCAAGACAGGGGTCGATGGCACCCCATTCCTTGCCGACTTGGTGATCGTTGCTGCCGGCGGCTGGACTCCATCCATCATTCCCGAGATCACCGATCTCCTTCAAACCACAGCGGGCAGTGTTGCAAAAATCCAACTGCCACCTCAGACTGAGCGGCCCGATTTGTGGAAGAAGTACAGTTCGTCAGAGTTCCCTTGCTGGTCCTGGCGCCTTACTGGAAGCACTATGCAGGGTACCGAGGTCGGCGGTATCTATGGTTTCCCTCGCACCCAGGATGGTTTGATCAAGATCGGTTTCCGCGGGACAAAGTGGACGAATATGGCATACAGTAATGCCGAAGGGCGCTTGATTTCTTACCCTACAACCAGCGCAGAGGGTCTGCCCAACAAGGCTCTCGACAAGATTCGCGAATTCTGCAGGGAAAACATGCCAGACCTGGTAGGGTTACCCATCTCCACGCGCTTGTGCTGGTATACCGATTCCTTGGACAGCAACTTTTTGGTTGATCGTGTTCCCGGCACCGAGGGCCTGATGGTTGCCAGCGGAGGAAGCGGACATGCCTTCAAGTTCCTGCCAGTTCTGGGAGAGCACGTCGTGGATGTGGTTGAAAGGAAGGATACAGCCTACACGAACCTGTTCAAGTGGCGCGACCCATCCGCCGGAGGCCAGAAAGCTCGGTTCAACACACCTTCCGATGAATGGCCTGCATTGCGGCCGGATGATATGTCTTGTGGCTGGTAATGTCAAATCTGCCCCATGCGCCCGACTTATTCAGTTGTTGAAGTGGGCCGACAGAATGGGATATTCAGGGAGGCCAAAATCAAACAAACGAGACATATGACAATAGCCTCTCGGCAATCTGAAGCGCGGACGAGACAAAAGCGTAGCTGGGTTGAAGAAACATCGGTGCCTCTTTGTGACAATGTTAGACCTTCCATAGTTTTAGTTTAACTACTTCACTCTTCACTCATTCATGCATCATCATGCATTTTCCTTCTGAGCAAAACGTCTGTAATCAGAGCCACCCACTATGTGGAAAAGGATGATAACCGCTTCTGGGTTGACAGAAGAGGAATGGCTAAAGCATGCTGGAGCTGATATTCATCGAGTTGAAATGGAAGTCGAAGTCGGCGGAAGCGAGTAGGTATCCGGCAATCAGGGGCGCCACCAATGCTTGTGTGCTTGACGTGTTTGCAAGTGGTCTGCCCTACGGGGACCCATGTCTCTCTCATCTCGATAGCTCCTTTTCTCTCTTCTTTCTCAACCACTTAATACAGTCTGTGATTGAGAGTTCTCTAGCGTAGTGTTGAGACCTTCAGTTATTAGGCTGAAGTGTACTAGATGTTAGGAAATCATGCACAAAAGAAACCGGTGGCCCATGTTAGCATAAAAATACTTTCATTTCAATGTGTGTAATGGCTGCAGACATGCTATGATGAGTCCCCGTGGACGGATAGAGAAAGGCGTTCAAAGCCAGGTCCGGTGGACTGACACAAAATAAACTCCTCGAGGTTCCAGAATTGCGAGGAACCCACAGCGAGTATGTGGTATGTCTCGAGGCTGCAGCTGCGACGAAGGATGGATACGTAATAACACAAACACCAATCGAAGAACGCATGGGCATTTGAGGGGGCCAATTTCCCGGGCGAGCTACTAAAAGGGGCAAAGACGCAGTGGATACAAATAATACTCATCATTTAGCTGCGGCTTGGCTGGGTCGGCTTGCGTGCCTTTCTGGTTCATACCAAAATATGCTGATCAGCGCGATTTGATTGCGTGCCCAGTTGTACTAAGGCGAAGGCAAGTGGATGAAAAGAGTTGCACGCTCCAGCATGACCAGAGGCTACATTGCATCATGATCAAGGAAATGGTTCTTAGATCCAATCCAAGCAGCTGACCCAATTGAATCGAGCGTACAAGACACAAATGGGAAGAGATGTCTATCGAGACCATATGCCAACTGCCAATTGTGGTTCCAACACCAGGTTAACTGTTCCTCCTTGGCTCCAGTCAGAGCACGAGATTGTGAGCGGCAGCCAAAAGCTAAGCCGGTTGCGCGAAAAGATGATTAATCCGACTAATGTAACGGGAGCCATATTAATTCGGAGCACTTTCACTTTTGGTTATGTCATATTTCAGGGTTGTCTTTTTCACCTCTACTTCTCCTTTTATCATGCTCGCATTGGTTGCTTCACTCTGTGGGACGACCAATCAGAGACTGGATGAGAGACAGGCCAAATATCCCGTCGCTAGCTGCGGGTGGCACGGAGAAGTGTGCGGGTCATGTCAGCATTTGAATGAGTACCTTACGACAGATCAGGCAGGCCGTATGTTCACTGCATGGTCAACACATCGATTACCGATACAGGGTCAAGGTCCTCAAGATATCCACCGCTGTTATGGTTCTCGGGCCTGTGGCTCACGGGGTACCTGGGACGCGTTGATAAATAGTCAGGCCACTACAATTTCACATAGACCCAATGGAGAAGCTCAGGTCTACCAACCGCACCGTTATATCTCACCATGACGACACTTTTGAGCCGGAAGAAATGTGGTATGCATCGAACTAAACAGGTACGGCTGATCACCATATTAATTGATGCTAGGTATACTCGGGGCTACAGGGTCAGTGGGGCAGCAGTTTATCCTTCTGCTCGCGAACCACCCTTTTTTGCACCTCCATGCAATAGGTGCCTCTGAACGCTCTGCAGGGAAGAGATACAAGGACTGTGTACAATGGAAGCAGAGTTCACCCATACCGGGTGAACACGAGGGCCTTGTTCTTCGGGCATGCAAAGCAGAGAATTTCAAAGATTGTGACCTCGTCTTTTCTGGTCTGAATAGCGAGATCGCGTATGAACTTGGTAAATACAAGTACCCTACCCTACCATTCTTGATTTTCTTGTGCTTACTGTATTCAGAGATGGATTTCGTCAAAGCTGAGATACCGGTGTTTTCCAACGCAAAGAGTTACCGAATGAATCCTCTTGTTCCCTTGGTGGTTCCTCTCGTGAACCCTGCGCACTTGGGCCTGATAAATTTTCAACGGGAGAAACTTGGGTTGAAAAAAGGGTTTCTTGTCTGTAACTCAAATTGCGCTGTTGTTGGTGTTGTGGTTCCGCTAGCAGCACTACAAGCCAAATTTGGCCCAATTGTTCAGTGCGAAGTGTTCACTGAACAAGCCGTATCAGGAGCAGGTTATCCAGGAGTCTCGAGTATGGACTTAGTGGATAACGTCATACCTTTTATCAGCGGTGAGGAAGAGAAGCTGGAGGTGGAGGCACAAAAAATACTTGGCAGTCTAAACGGTAGTGCCACTGAAATTGATGCGCAAACCGATCTTCGTATCGGAGCCACCTGTACTCGCGTCGGTGTAACTTATGGACACATCGCCTATGTGTCTCTGAGATTCAAGAACCATCCAGGTCCGAGCGTCAGACAGGTAGAGCAAGCAATGATGGAGTATCAGCCTGAGTTGCTAAAATTCGGTGTCTCCTTTTCAGGGCCAGCAATCAAAGTTTTCATGGAAGAGGATCGCCCTCAGCCAAGGTTGGACCGCAACATATCCAATGGCTATACCGTCAGCGTGGGAAGAATTCGGGACGGTGGAAAAGATGGCCATTTTGATCTCAGATTCGCAGCTCTGTCGCATAATACCGTGATAGGCGCCGCCGGATCGTCCATACTTAATTCTGAGATAGCTATCATTAAGGGTTTGATCTAGATCTGACTCTGATACAATGACTTTTCCTGCAACAAAACTGTCGTGCTTCCTCAATTTATTAATAGCCATAGCAAGCCACATAAGTCAACATCTAAATCCGATCCGCCGATTTTAGTGCGCTGTTCAGAACCGCGCTCGGACTTGACAACCTTGGAATCGTAATGGCCTCGGGGATTGTTTTCGTTTTTTACTTGCACCAAAATGGATGTATCTCTTTAGCTTGAAAGCTAAGGCATACGCACTGGGCAATAAAGGGAGCTACAGTTGCATTCGGCGCGAATTGGTGTGGATTAAGCGGTAAAAGCCGCATTATTCTGCACTATTCCTGTTTGGCCATGCACTAAACTAATTGCAGTTAGAGTTGGGTTGAATTGGATTCGGATTCTCCAAAGTCCAAGCCGCAATGTTATAACAGCATCAAGAATTCAATATAATCAATGCTCCATTAGATTTATATCATCTTTGTCGATCTCATTTCGCTATCCACCATCTCTGAAGCAATAGTAGCCCTATATTTATGTACATTCCAAAGTTGCGGAAACATTCATATTAACTCCGTAATGTTTACCCATTAATATATATACTCGTAATACCCGGCATTCAATAGTATATGAAAATAATTATTTTATTTTCAATAAAGTTCCATATCTAATTGACATCTATAACAAAGGCATTGTGTATATTAAACACTAAATCCAACGGTAGTTGATAAAAAGCTATGGCAAATTGCTGCTTACCTCTATACAATTACAGGAGATTTTAATATACAAACGAATAAAGTATTTAATAATAATAAAAAACAAGAGGAATCAGCAATCTGCCCAGCCAAAAAAGGGAAAGTCTGGGGAATTTTATGCATTTGCGGTCCCTTGCAGTGCTTGGTCGCTGACTATCGGACCGGAACGGCACCGTTTTGATGCCTAGGTTCCAGTAAATGAGGTTTTGAATTTCCATGAAGTTGCCAGCACACGGCCACAACACCCTAGAGCGCCTGGCATGCAGCCAGGCATAATGCAGGTGAAATGGACCCCTGGAGACACAGACATCAAAGGCAATGAGGAATCAGATAAAGAAGCCAAGATAGGCTGTCATGCTCCCCCGGAGGCCCCACTCCCACCCGCCTCAATTGCAGCCGCCAAGCAGGCAGCCCAGAGGGTACACTGGCAATGATTTCCACAATTCTGGACAGAAAAGCCCCCAAGCGTTATAAGGACTCTGACATAGGCACGAAGAAACGGCCACCAGAGATAGACACTAGTGAATCCGCCCTATAGCTATAAGCTAGACATCATGTCAGGAGAAACTTTTAGCCCTATTATTAGAGTTTCTGGAATTTTGGGACTGAAGGTAATGCAGTCTTACATATTTAAACTTAACTTTGATCCATGATCCACAGCCCTGTAGGCAGTGGAAACATGTTACTTTCCTATCAACAACCATACGTAATGGCGTACACTCTTATGGTATATGAAATCTTTCCTTTTCTATTCCCCTAGTATTGATGATTTCTATTGGGCGCACAATAAATGACTAATACAAAAAACAGCTGAATGCAAAAGGAAGACAGTAAGTGGATACCGTAGAAATGGTCTTGAGGTTACAGCTACCTATGTAGGTAGACTACAGCGCCGTCAAAGTGGTCCAAGCCTCACCATTGAACCAATTGTAACCCACCAGTGCTAAAAACCACCATCATCCACCCAGTCGTTTTTCAACAATTTAGCCCAGGTTGTATCAATTTCCTCGCAAAGTGTCTTTCAATCAACGGCAGCAAGAGCCCACACCAAACAACCATCACAACCACCCAGCCAATTCCAAATGCGTAGCCATGGGTCCGTTCGAACCGCGGCGCCTCTGAGGTGGGGAACATGTACTGCTGAGAGACAGTTTCAACGGCACTGAGATAAAATGTCAGCATCAACACGATTCCGACCTAATGGGTGTAAGAGGCACACAGCTTACTATCCGATTGAGATCATGAGTGAGGTCGTCAGAGCACGGAGCTGCCTGTCTCCACCGCAGCTGGAGTTCAGCCAGGAACTGATCAACGGTGAAATGGCGCCGTAGGCACTGCATAGATAATACATCCCAGCCATGAGGGCAGTATTGGTCGACCATATGTAGAATACAATGTAAGAAACGAGCTGCATTACCCCCAAACCTGCAATAATCGGTGCTCGCACTTGTAGAAAGTCTGCCAGTGTGGAGCTGAGTAAAAGCCACGCCAGCTCCTGTGTTCGGTGTCAGTATTCAAATGGCCCCGGACGAGCCAAAACTGAACTTACAACGCAACCGATGACAGTGGGGAGGCTGTTGATCTTCTCAATAGAGTACCGAGGCTGACCATCTATCTTCAGAGACTTCAGATACAAGGTCATCCACCGTTGGAGGTTGACTCCGCATGTACACTCCATGAAGCTGATATCCGGTCAGTCACTTCAACCCGGGATGAAAAGCAAGGACCACAGTGAAAGAGACTCACGCCCATGCTAGGCAAAAGCTATAGAACTGCCACGAAGTAAGGATTCGCTTTACTGTGGTCCAGTTCCACTCCAACTTGGATGTATTGCGATTCTCCTCGGCAATTCGTTTGATCGACATTTGTCGTTCCCTCTCCGTCATCCACCAGGGGCGCTCTCCATTCGGCTCATCTAGAACCATTCCCGATATTAGCATTTGACGGGGCGAACTCGCAGGAACGAGTCAGTTCCTTACCTGGACAACACAAGAACCCGAAGATTGCGATCGGAATACCGATGATGAAGTCGAATATGAAGACCCAGCGCCAAGAGGCAAGGCCGACTTTTCCGTTCATATCTTGGTGCCTGGAGCCAAATGAGTATACGTCCTACAAATGGGCCCAAGTCACTTACAGGCCAGCCTGGATATAGCCTGAGAACATCCCGCCGCCAATGGAAGCAAACCAGTAAAGTGCTGATCGTCGACTGATCTCTGACGTGCGGTACCAGCTTCCAATCTGATAGCTTGATTAATTACCCATGGAAAAATGAGACAGCACGAGTGCGTGAAGCATACCATGTAAAATGCGGCTGGCATGGCCCCGGATTCAAATAAACCGGCAAAAAACCTGTTTGGTGGTATGGAATTCAGTGACAGGGGTTTGAGTAAGATGCTGGACATAAGGCTTACCTTAGAATATAGAGAGTCTTTGCATCCTGTACCTTGTACATAAATAAGACGAAGAAAGACCATACTAGTGTGCTGACTGGCAGCAGGTATCGCGGTCTGACGACTGTAATTGCCATTGTGATAAAGGGCCCCCCTACGATGATGCCGATGTTGAAATAGGTAGTGAACCAATTGAGTTCATTTCCCTCTGCGGAAAATAAGATGTTTTAGCCGTGGCCTGGCGGCTTTGGGAAGCTGGCTGACTTACGAAGGTTTAGGTCCTCTTTCATTCCCGAAACGTACGCGTTGTTCACATTCGTTTGGTCCTAATGCGAGGGTTAACTACATGTCACGTTTCGAGTTCGCGATCGATTTGAACTTCCAATCAAGTCAGGGTTTCAGCCGACGGCGGTGTACATACCAGGTACTTGATGAAGAAAGTCTACTCATGGTAGGCTGTATCAGCAAATGAATACCAAGCCAGCAATAGCATGCGGCTCAAAGCATGGGAAAAATACAAGACAAGAGTAGAGTAAGATAAAAAAGTCGAGTTTGAAGATAAGCCATTTCTCCTCCTTTGTGGTACCTGGCTCGTGCCAGTGCCACCAGCGTCGTCCGGATGTGGTTGTTTTGCTAGGCAAAGGGCCGGGTTGAACAACCACATCCGTTGTGGATGAGGGTTGATTTTTGTCCAACATTCTTTGTAATTGGAAATTGTTGTGCTTGCATCAGACCAACTGGTTGCACCCCTTGCTTAATACTTGTAGACGGCGAGCCAGAGTCACTAGCCATGAGAACCTTGGAGGCTACTACTGCACGCTAGCTGTCATGAGACGAGGATTATATTGCTCGAGTGGCAATTCTGAATCATTCATCGGACTTGCCGAATACCGAAATATTTGTCTAAGCGTATATACAGGGAGGTCATCTTAATTTGCCGCCGTATTCAAGCATTGGAGATGATAGTGCGAATGAGATTAGTGGAGAAGTCCGCGACATATGATGGTGTGTGGGTCTCCAGGCATCGGCAAAATGGGCGAGTCCAGCCCTGGAACACTAGTTGACATTTTCGTCTGTTACTGTGGTCAATCATATACCTAGGTGAGGGCTAGTCCATGGGCATAATAAATTACACGTGTAAATGGTAACCTGGACGGTCTGCCCTAACGGACTTGTTATCAATTTGAGAAAACGGAAAATTATAGAAATATATCCTCCAGGAACAAATTTTCACTATATGGGGACCTTGGAAGTAGACAGCCTTCCTTTTATCTAAGTACTCTCTTATAGGCGTTCTGCGCGGATGCTAGACGAGCTAAGTGGAATCTTTTAATCGATATAAATCCTTTTCTTCCTACGCGCGCATTCCACTTTGTACTCCAGATACGATCAAACCAGCCTGAAAAATTACATTTCATGATGGAACGACCGCCATCTGCTTACAGCCTGCCTCAATCTATACGCTCGAAGATTCCGTCTGCGTCTCATGTCGCTCCACAAGAGGAAGGAACGAGGATACTTGTGACTTTTGAGTCAGGGGAAAAATCAAACCCGCAGAACTTTCACCCTGCATATAAAATATGGCTTACCACCCAGATGAGCCTCTTGGCTTTGGCTGGTGCTTTGGGCTCATCAATTTTGTCCTCAGCCAGTGCGGAAATTGCCGAATATACAGGGGTAAAATCAGAGGTCACCTCTCTCACTGTAGCCCTGTTTGTTCTAGGTATGTTTTACTCCTGATTTCCGTCGCCCCCAAAACCCTCACATCTCCATCTATCATATTTCTTAACTTCGACCAAATGAGAAACGTGGCTGATCTGATAATTATCATTAGGTTGGGCATTCGGTCCCTTACTCTGGGCACCTATCAGTGAGGTCTATGGTCGTCGAATCGGGATGCTTCCCCCATTTTTGGTGATGGGCTGCTTCACCATCGGTACTGGGTTTAGCAGGAATGCTTCTAGTATTCTATTAACACGATTCATTGGGGGAATCTTTGCATCGGCACCGATCAGTAATGTTCCTGCTGCGTTGGGCGACATGTGGTCTCCAGAGGTTCGAGGTATCGCAATGGCATTCGTCTCCATCTGCATCTCAGGCGGTCCAACCCTAGGCCCAATCATTGGTGCGGCGGTAGTTAGTCGCCCAGGTATGGACTGGCGCTGTATGTTCCGCACGTCTCGTGTTGCCTTCCTGATCACGGAGGCTATGGTATCGGCTCGTTCTAACAAGCATAGGGACGGCATACATCGAGGCTATCATTGTAATTTCGCTTTGCCTATTGTCTTTCTTCTGTCTCCCCGAGACCTTTGCGCCAGTTCTTCTCAAGCACAAAGCGGAGGAGCTGCGCAAGAGCACGGGGGATCAGCGATATTGGCATCCACATGAAAAGGAGAAGATTAATGCGGGCAATTTGATGACGAAATATTTTGGCCGTCCATTAAGGTAAGTCTAATGGGCCGCCTATTGAAAAGCTCTATATACTTTCCTATTTCTGCCGAATATTTAACAAATAATAACAGGATGCTTGTGACGGAGCCTCTAGTGACTTGTATGGCATTCTACGCTTCTTTCACTTACAGCTTGATCTACTTAACTCTTGAGATATTTCCGATAGTCTTTCGAGAGGAACGACAATGGTCTCTAATGTCTTCCTCCTTGACGTTTCTAGGAATTCTCATAGGTGTTATCCTCGCCGCCCCAATGAATTTCCTTTTCCAACCTTATTACAAAAGGGCCGTCAAGAGAAATCAGGGAAAGGCCGCTGCCGAAGCTCGCCTGCCGCCACTTGTATGTGGTGGTGTCCTTCTCACGACTGGCTTATTTTGGTTTGCGTGGACGGCAGCTTCTAAGTACCCATGGCCTCTGCCAGTGGTCGCAGCAGGTAAGATCCGCTTTGTCTCTCTACCACCCCGTCTCCTCTCTGTGTCTTTACCCTGGATCCAACTGTATTCTGGCCATAAACTAAATACAATTTATAGGATTTATTGGGGCTGGCTTCACTTTAGTCTTCCAACAATGTTTGAACTTTCTCGTCGACACATACGGACCTTACGCGGCAAGCGCTGTCTCTGCGAACACTATCCTCCGGTCTGTGCTCGCTTGCGCTCTACCTGTTGCGGCAGCACCGATGGCTCATACCTTGGGAATTGGTCCAGCAATAAGCCTTCTCGGTGGGGTTTCCTGCCTAGCACTTCCAGTTCCATTGTTGTTCATGAAATATGCGCCGATTCTTCGACGGAAGTCGAATTTTGCTGTGGATGATAGCGATTAGCACTAGTACTATCGAGGCAAGGAATCACCATGGAAAGAAATACTTCATTGCAATGGAAGCTCTAGAGACTTGTAACGCAGAGTGCAAGGCCTAGGCATTTGTATGATCGAACGACCGTTTCGGCTACGAATCGATATCGGATCGCTAACGTAGATTCCTGTAGACAGAGAATGTTTATGTAGCGTAATGAACGAATCGCTTGATTCTCTATCTATGAGCTTCATTGTTTATTTGTACCTGCACGTCTCTATGGTGTACCTATAGCGAGTCTTCTTATCCAGAACTGTCGATGCTTTGCTACCGATGTGTGCCTGATCTGTCAAGCTGATTGTAACTAATTACCAAGTCTCTCCCCTTCGGAGACGCATGATGAGTCTTTGAGACAGCAGATCAGAGGATGATTATGATAATTCATCAGATCTTCTGATAAGTATATAACCACCTGTTGACTGCTTGGCAATTAGTTACTGACAGCCTCAGTGTATTAGAGTGCTAATGTCCAAAATTGGGCGATTCATAAGAAAGGCAAAGCAATCAAAGCCGGCTTAAATAAGTCATGCTCTAAAATTCGACCTCATTATTTTGATATACTGTAAAATCATACAAATGCTGTTGAGCATGTGACAGTCTCGTTCAATAAGAATCTATTGGTAGACCATCTGGTGAAATCCTAACATGAGGAGAGAAAGGAAAGAAGCAGACCTGCTGGCAACGAGCTATCTAATGCGTGTGAGGGGTTTAAGCGAGGCTCGGTGAATGTCCTATGCCAAACGAGTCAAAATAATCAAATATTGTAGAAGGTGTCTATGCTCTGTGACAGGCACTTTGTCCAGCCGCATTCAGATGCCAAGTGCCGCCGGACCATGGCAGAAGTTAACTGAAAGATTTTAATTTAGGGAGAATGGCTGCTCTTACTACATCAACTTGGCTTTTCCTCTAATGAATTAAACCTCCTCTGAGCACAGGATGATTGAATATTGCCAGGATTTTGTACTTGTAGCTTCTATTAATTTAATAAAGGAAAAGTAAGAGCTATGACTACTGGTAGCCGTGCCGACGGAACCTTTAAAGACAAACGCACCTTCGTTTATGCACCCGCTGAGGAGATCACTTGCATTGAACCGCCACTCTGACTGTAAGAAAAAACAATGTGGTACCTCCCCTAGTAGGCTCAGTGTATCCCCTAGACGAGAAACCAATGCTAACCGATGCATACAATAGCAACTGCAATGACCGCGGCGCTAATAAGCTATCATATGTCCCTGGGCAAGAATGGTGCACAGGTGCGAGCCCAAGTAAAAAAAGGATGCATACAAGCGTAAGAGATTTACAAAACCTGCAGAGGCTATTTATAACGGCATGGGAAAGCACTAGTAGTCGGACTTGTCAATATATTTGGTATTGAGTGGAGTATCAAGTTTTTGCTACTGTATTTATGCGCTGCAGGCCAGTGTATAGCTATTACATTTGTGTAATTGCCGGTTGTTATTCTGCAGTACCCAGATAAATTCGCAATATTAGATTTGTTGGATAGGATCGATTCTGAGGATTTTAATTAATAAACCTTTGTGGAAAGCAAGGAAGTTGGCCGTTTATACAAATAAGCATTCAGCCTAAAGAAGCAAGATTCAGACGTCTTCAGTGACATATCTTAACGAAACTAAATCAAGGTCCGGAACTCACTTACCCCTCATCCCGGTCTGGTGATAAGGCATGGAGATACGAAGAGCGGGGAAGCTTCAAACACGGGCCTTATCTTGAATGCACTTTCGACTACATCCCCACACTTTATTTAATACTACCTTGCTTATTTCTATTCGAAGGGCGGACTTCATGATGCTCGGAACAAAGCGCAAGCATGATGAGACGCGTGAAATTCGAACACGGGCTTCCCTTGCGTACGTTGGGCCTGACTGAGAACATGGATCATCATGACTGATAAGAACAGCTGTGACACATGTCGCCGACAAAAAGAGAAATGTGAAGGTGGCCAACCTTGCTGGCGATGCGAGAGATTGGGTCGTCCTTGTCATTTCCAGCAACCACCGAATCGACCATCGTTCGATGAAAGGATAGTACGAAAGGAGAGTAAGACTAACAATGTCCCTAAGGACGATGGCCGACGGGTCGCAAAATTGGAATATATCGTGCGACACTTTCTCGGGGATGTACCTCTGGATGAAAAAAACATCGCCCGAATTATTGACCAGATGGAAGTGCCGTCGAAGGATGATCCAGAGCAGGATGAAATAACAGAGGAATCGTTTGATGTCCGTTTTGTGTCAAAGAATACAGCTCGTACGTCGCTCTATCGCAATCGGAGGACATCAAACTGACTGCAGCAGACTATTCCGGGGAGTTTTCACACTGGAACTTTTCCCAGAAACTCCATAACAAAATGAACTGTCAAATTGATAGACTCAACAAAAATACTTCATCCAGGGGGACAGGTTTGATCAAAGATTATTGGAGGCCGACACAGCTCCAGTCGCACTCGAATATCATATCCGACGCGGTCGATCAGTTGCCACCAAGACCAGTGGCTGAATTCCTCGTCAGTATATTCTTCGAATATGTGCAGCTCAATTGCTTCTACACGGAAGAAAGTTGGATCAAAGAGAAGCTCGACGTCTGCTATAATCCCCGTGCAGAATATGTGGCCACTGATATATCCTGGGTCTGTGCCGTCTTCAGTGTGTTGGCCATTGGCATTCAGGTTGCCCATATGGAGGAGAACAAGAAGGAGGAACATTCAGATGCAGTATCTGAGTCTGCGACTGCCTGTGAAGATTCAGTTGGGCTTGCATTCTACCGTATTGCATCCGGAATGGTGCCAGATGTTATAGCCATCGCTTCACATGAGAGTGTACAGGCCTGTCTGCTTCTCGCCACGTACACTTTACCGATATCTACCGGTGGTCTGGCATATACATATCTGGGTCTGGCTATAAAAATGTCAGTCCTCAATGGTATGCATCGTCAGTATGTGGGAAGGGAGTGCGATGACAGAACAATTGAATTGCGAAATCGTCTTTTCTGGACAGCCCATAGCCTGGAACGGTATGATACTTATACTCCAGCTCAGCGATGGAGAAAGCTAACACTATTCAGAAATATAAGCATCATGCATGGACGCCCTGGAAGTATCGCCAGTTCGGATATCAGCGTGCAACTGCCACACTTATCGCCTTCATTCGAATCGCCCAACTTTGCAAACATGATGGCGTATATTCAATTGACATCGTGGTTGGCCAGAGTGGCCGAGACACTGTATGTAGACTCAAACTAAATAACTTCTTGTATTGACTATCTACTGCAGGTCACAACTTAGAAAATGCCCCAGACGACTTGTTTCTGACTATTTGGCACGAACGATACGACTCCGAACGACTATCCGACAATGGTGGGACTCTCTGCCAGAAGACATCGAATGTCGAGATATGAATCCACAAGGACCTCTCTTCCGACACAACTCCCATCTAAAGCTGTGCTATCTTCTTATATTTATCTACATGGGTCGTCCTTTTATATTCTATCATAATGAACACAAAAGGGATAGTACTGTCCAAGAATCAACAATAGACTCGAGTGGTGGAAATCAAACATCACGCTCAACATTGACCGAAGACTGCGTGCAGAGTGCCCTGGTGATCATCGATGCATTACAATCGCTATTGGACAACACTGGACTGTGCCGTGCTTCATACACGGAGTTCAGCTCATGTCGAGCAGCCCTTCTTGTGATTCTCGCCGAAAGTCTCAACCGTCCAAGATCCAAGAACCTCCGAGATGCTCTCACCCGTGGCATGAAGCTAATTCGGAAGATGAGTGGAGGGTGCTCGACTGAGTCTGAAATCTCACTGATTGAGTCTCTCGAAGCAGCGGTTTGTCAGTTATCTTTGTGGCAAGAGGGGAATGATGAATCCAGCTCTGGGACTGAACAGGGACCTAAGTCAGCATATGCTCAGTTCAAGAGTTGGACTCAAGCAATGAAAGGAGCAGACTCTACTGGGAGTGCTGTGGAATTGTCTTCTTTTAGTCCTCGATCACTCATGACGCCTGGATCAGAAGGTCTCTACAATACAGAGATGGGCAATATGCTTGACCTTCCCCATCTCGAGTGGACAGAGAATGGCATACCTGGATTTGATGGAAATTTATTTTCATTTCCAGATGATTGACAGGGAGGACAAAGCTCATTCATTGATTGTATTCTAGCCAAACACCATGTATTGTGCACGCTGTACCCATGTTCGCCTCTCGCTCTGTTCTCGTTCTTTCCGCTGCTCTTTTGTCATGGCATCGAATCGATCCTGTTCGTCAAATGCCAGAGCCTGATCAAAGCCCATGTCCATCGGTTTTACTATCTTTGTTTTGAAATAGAACTGTTCACGTCAGATATTTGTCATTTAATAAATGGGCGTAAAAATTACCTTGTATACAAAGTAGTCGAAGAAGAACAACGGCGCTGCGAGATAGGACGAGAAGAAGCTCTTGACTGATCCCTTTTCCCCAAATGGCCAGCAGGAAAGATAGAATTCGCAGCCAAAGACAAACAGTACAATTAGTAAGGAGAGATACTGTGCCCACGGGGTGAGCAATCCTTTGAATGGCAGCGTGCGGAGATCAACTCCCTGCGCTCGAAGACCATTGCGGAACCTGAGATGGGCGATATAGATAGATCCCCATTGGAACAGAGTGGCAATAGCAACCTGCTACTCTTAGCATTGAAATAAAAACTTGGGGGCATAAAGTTACCAGTGAAGAGAACCATCCATAAACAACAGTTCCAGTCCCATTGGTATTGAGATAGCATAAACCACCTCCAATCCCAAGGCTGATGGTCAACGCCACGTATGGCCGGCCATAAGAGTCCTTTCTCCCGAAGAAAGGATGTATTAAATTCATATCTGCCAAAGCAGTCAGACTGCGACTGGCCACATACGCACTGGTGATGCCACAGCTGATGACGCTCAGGAAAATGAAACCGTTGATGACATCGGCCAGACCACCGACATTTGCCCGCTTAATAGCGATCACGAAGGGACTTCCCATTGTTCCACTTGCATTGACAAGATCGTCGTCATCGGACGGTACACACATGCCCACCAGCCAGACATTGACGACGAAAAAGGTGAACATGCGCCAGAAAACAGGGCGGACGGTCTTCTTGAGTGTTCGACGGGGTTCGGCAACTTCGCCTGCGATGACGGCAATATGCTCGCCTTGTTTGTCAGTAAATGGGCAATGAAGTTGTTACGGTCGACATACCACCACCGAAGCTGAAGGCCGCCTGGACGAATGCTTTGGCGATTCCTTTGATGCCATTGTTAATCGCGCCAGGGGATTTCCAATAACGGAATTCAATCGGTCCTCCCGTGGCTGCAATGCCTCCAGACGTCATGATGAACATGAAGAAGATCATGAGAACGACGGCGAGGCACTTGATGAATGACATCCAATATTCGATCATACCGTAAACACGGACATGAAAGACATTTGCAAAGACAATCACTGCCAGGAAGATCGTGATATACGCTGCAAGGGGGACGGCATTTGTCTCTGGCCAGAACTTGAGGACGGACACTGCTGCTGTGATCTCGGCAGGAATGATCATAACCCACTAATATCGTGTCAGTATGCTAATGATATATCATGGCTGATCTTACAGCAAACCAGAAATTGACGCCAATCGCAAAGCCAAATGCTGGATCGACGTATTCGGCACATTGGCGGATGAAGCCACCATGGATCGGTTTGTATACCGTCATTTCGCCGATCGATGAGTATTGAGCATAGACAATCATTCTAGATGGTGTTAGAAGCAGTATGGGCAAGCAACGGCTAACCTACGCTGTGATTGTGTATGTGACGGCAACACCAGCAGGACCGGCTACAGGAATCAGCATCGTTATATACACTTGACGACCTCACATACCGTATCTCAGTGCCTCTCCAGTTCCAACCCAGAGACCCGTTCCAATGCCCGCTCCAAAGGTCATCATCATGATCTGTCGCCGCGTCAAGGAACGATGGTAGCCCGCATCAACGGCCGGGGCGATGAGGTGAGTGCTGCCATGGGCTGTTGTATCTGTCGTGGCAGCGCGTTCGATATCTCTGCTGCCATCGTCGGTTTCTTTGACGATCGCATCTGGTTTTGAAACGTCTTTTGGTAGACAGTTGGTCATGGTGTTTGTAGAGAATGTGTTGCCACACTGCCGCTGGAAGTCGATTTGTAAAATTTTATACCATACCCAACATTGTTATCGTCCTATCGTACCCTCGTAATTGTTGTATAGATAGTCTATCAGCCATGTTATCATCCGGTGGGAATCGACCGGCATCCCGCCGGGATCTTGATAAGCCTCGGCAACCAATAGAAGACTTACTCCAACTGTTTATTATATCTTTCTTTCTTCTCTTGCATCTACTTTCTTCTCTGTTGCTCTAAATAATCCAAATCACATCAGGAATGTCTTCCAAAAACGTTGTCTTCGATGTCGTCGGGACTCTTGTCTCGTACGACCGTGTCTTTGCGGGCATCGACACCCGGTTGGGCTCTCGTCTGACTGCAGAGGGCATCAAGCCATGGCTATTGGGATACACCTGGATCGAATGTGCTGAGCGTGAGTATACATATCTCAGCATGTCCGGCAAATATGTCCCATTCGCAGACGTCTTCCGCGCCCTCTTCTACCGCATGCTCTGGATGGCTGGCATTCAGGAACCGCGTGCCTTTGCAACATCGGATGACCTCGAGTACATCATGGAGGAATACAAGAAACTGGAGATGCGACCAGGCGCAAAGGAGTGTATACAGAAGCTGCGCGACGCCGGCTTCACCGTGTGGGGCTTCACGGCCGGGGATCTGGTGCGCGTGGGGGGATATTTCGCACATGCTGGCATCGAGCTGGCCGCAGAGAATCTGCTGTCGTGCGACTCGCAGGGACTGGGAAAGCCAGATCCAGCAGCGTATAAGCCTCTCTTGGATAGGTTGATCGCGGAGAATGATGGAAAGAAGCCGTGGTTTGCCGCAGCCCACATGTGGGATGTGTCGGCGGCTAGAAGAGCGGGGTAAGTCATCTGCGTTATATGAAGCTATTGCCAGCTAATCCTATACAGATTCAAAGGGGCCTATTGTACGATATGGGAGAAAGAGCCATTGCATGAGTTGTTTGGAGATATGGATGCGATCGATGATACATTGCCAGGCATGGCAGACAAGATCATCGCAGCGCAGTCGGCTGAGTAGATTGGAATGTTCATATTGTTGATGAGATTGCAATAGAAACGTATATTTTAAGTATACGTAAAAGAGTAATTGTTCGTACCAGTGTAGAGATAACAAATCGCCGTAAGATAATCGAGAGGGGGTACCTACTCTCCAACTCCTGTCTGATAAGATAATGAAGCATGCATTCCAACGATATCTTAGTATCTCCGGTGTAATATTGGCGTTATCAGTTCCCGGTGGAACATTCCGGCGGATATATATATCCATCAGCCGGTGGGGTAGACACTGCCAAATGTTGTCGAGTTTGATACCCCGAACAATTATGTACGTTCATATATACACGCATCCCCAGCAGTTTATGGTATATCAATAAATGAAGATAAACATGGCCAAACATACACCCGTCCCCAATGGAACAACTTCATTCTGGCGAGATTCACCTCTTCCGTTCGACAATCACCAATCCACCGAACATCTGCCAGAAACATGCGACATTGTTGTTATTGGAGCTGGATACGCCGGGGCATCGATTGTCCATCACATTCTCAACCAGACGGATGCTGCGTCAAAGCCATCAATTGTCATATTAGAAGCCCGACAGGCTTGTTCTGGCGCGACCGGTCGGAATGGTGAGTTTGGTTTGGCATGCAAGGGATATATGTCTAATCAAATGATCAAATTCAGGAGGGCATATGAAGCCAGACTCGTATAATGGAATCTCTCGTCTTGCTGCAGAATATGGCGTTGATGCTGCAGCTGAAGTTGCTGCATTTGAGAACAAACACGTTCACTTTCTCAAGGACTTTGTGGATAAAGAAGGGATTGACTGCGATTATGTTGTCACCAAGGCCCTTGACGTCCATCTGAGTGAAACTCATTGCAACAAAGTCAAGGACGGGCGTGACCGATTGGTAGCCAGTGGATGCCGTCCGACCAGAGACGTCGGCTATATTGACACGAACGAGGCAGAAGAGGTAGGCCTATCTATCTATAGGTATATTATGCTAACTGTGGACAGAAATCAGGAGTGAAAGGCGCAGTCGGCTGTTTCACCTACGATGCTGGTCATCTCTGGCCCTACAAGTTCGTCCTGCATCTCTTGAACAAAGCCGTCACTCACGGCGTCAATCTCCAGACCAACACGCCTGTATCCCAGATATCTGCCAGTGCTGCATCCAGTCCATGTCGCTGGACAGTCGAAACGCCCCGGGGACCCCTGACTACAAAGGATGTGATCTTCGCAACAAACGCCTATACCTCTGCTCTGGCACATCAGTATAAGAACAAGATTATTCCCGTCAGAGGCACATGCAGCCGGATTGTTGTTCCCAAAGAGGCTTCCGTTCCTCGCCTAACAAATACATATACATTGCGCTGGAATAGCTGGGACTATGACTATTTGATCCCTCGAGATGACGGCAGCATTGTCGTTGGTGGTGCTCGTTCAGCATTCATCCACGATCTAGACAACTGGTACAATGTCAGCGATGACAGTCGGGTATTGCAGCCGGCTGCTCGATATTTCGATGGTTACATGCAAAGAAATTTTAAAGGATGGGAGAACAGCAATGCATATACAGACAGAGTGTGGACTGGCAGTAAGCAGGCCCGATTATTCTCAGATCAGGACCTGACGGGGATTGAACAGTTATGGGATATTCATCCGACGGACTCCCACACATTGGCAAAGTCCCTGGTCGCGAGGGACAGTATATTATCGCGGGATTTACAGGCCACGGGATGCCGGAGATCTTCCTGGCAGCAGAAGGAGTGGCAAAGATGGTTGTTAAAGGGGTCGAATTTGAAAGGACGGGATTGCCACGACTCTTCGAATCGACGCAGTCGCGGTTGGATGATTCTCGCAATTCCATACTGGATAATGTGCCAATGGTTGTTCTAGAGCCACGGTTGTAGCTGCTATCTAGTGGTACTTAATTACCATACACATAGTTTACTCTTTACCGTGTCGGCAGTTGGGACTATGAGATGCTGATGCCGGACAATTACGCCATAACTAGCACAATCACAACACCACGATATTAACACCAACAGGGATTAATGCACGTATTCTAAAAGAGGGGTCTGGCGTTCGGAAATTTACCGATAGTTGTTTAAATACTGCAGGGGAAATGAATTCGTTGACAGTCATTCTCGTACAGCAACTTCATGTAGAAATGACTTTATCCCACGATGCCAGCAAGAACCCTGTTCAAGCCAGTGTTGACAATGACAACATCTCCCAGAAAGCCCAAGATGGACCATGGATTCGACTTCTTACATATCTCAGATGGTACCCAAAAGACATGGACCATCTGGAAAAACGACTGATATTGAAGCTCGACATTTGTATTCTTACCTTTGGCTGCCTGTCGTTCTTCACCAAATATCTGGATCAACAGGCCATCACCAATGCCTATGTATCGTACGTTAATCTACTCCTCTCACTGTCTATGTACTGATGGAATGTGGCAGAGGCATGAAAGAAGACTTGAATATGTCTGGAAATGAAATCAACTATATAACGACTGCATTTTGGGCTGCATACTGCGTCTCCATGATCCCAGCCTGCTATCTTTTGACCAGGACCAGAATCAATATTGTCCTTCCCCTACTCGAAGCTGGATGGGGACTGTTCACGTTTGGCTGTGCTTGGGCGCAGAATCTCCACACCATCTATGCGATGCGTGTGTTCATCGGCATTTGCGAGTCATGCTCCTTTACTGGAGTGATCTATGTGATCGGATCCTGGTACAAACCACAGGAGATTGGTCGCCGTGTGTCTTTATTCTTCATTGCCTCCCCATTAGGGACAATGTTTGCTGGCTATCTCCAAGCAGCGGCATACACGAATCTGGATAATTCGCATGGATTGGCAGGCTGGAGGTATGTTCCTTCCGGTGCCTTTTCTGTATACCTTGAGCTGATATGGCGCAGATGGCTATTCATAATATGCACAATCATCACCATTCCTATATGCATATTGTATGTTATCCCATCCTGTCTATATATCCATCGCTAACCACAGCAGAGGATATATCGCTTTCCTCGATGTCCCTCACAGAGAGAAACCTCGTTTCCTGACGCAAGAAGAATACACACTCGCCAATGATCGTCTCAAAGGTCTAACAGCCCCCAGTCAGCTCAAGGTTTCCCGTGATATCTTTAGACGCGTTCTGGGACGGTGGCATTGGTATGTCTTCGTTGTCCAGTGGATCCTCGTCGACCAGAACTTTCTCGCCTCTTCGTCTCCATTCAGCCTGTATCTCAAGGCAAAGCCGGACATTTATTCTGTATCCAGAATCAACACATTACCGACAATTGCGACAGCCGTCTCTATTGTTGCAGCTCTGTTTGCGGGAGTTGCAGTTGACAAGAAGATCGGCTTTTGGATTCCTTGTACCATCACCTCGATTTTGGTGCTCGTGGGTCTTGTTTTGCTGGTTGTCTGGGATGTCGGCGAAGCTGGTCGATTGGCAGGTTTCATCCTGACTGGGGCAGAGGGTGGTAAGTCGTAACGTCTCGGCATTTCCAGTACTATACTGACTCTCCAGCTATGAGCCCTCTCACCATGAGTTGGGCGACATTGACGATGGCTGATGATGCTGAAGAGAGGGCGATTGTGACAGCCAGCATGAATGCCATCGGTCAAGCTATGTCCGCATGGACACAGCTGCTGCAGTACCCGGCAGTCGAGGCGCCCAATTTCCGAAAGGGGTTTATTTCTAATCTGGCAACGACACTCGCACAGTTGATGGTGGTGGCACTTCTTACGCTGCTTTCCCGATGGGATCAGAAGGGAAAAATGAGCTAAGACAAGTCAGGTTGCAACAGCCGATGAAGCTGCTAAGATGGGTTATACCCTATAAATTTAAAGTTATTCCTTGCTTGAGTGATATTAAAGTCAACAGTAGTATTTTCTTCGATTTCCACGAGATCATGTGATTTGTCATTTCGATTTGAAAGTGGATATGATCTGCCACGTGACTCGATGACTCCTTCCTGTATCCTGAACAGGGCCAAGATTCATTTAAGATATTTCCATAATACGATCTCGAGCAATGACTGTTTGTCTTGGATGCTCTTCTGTTCTATCTAATGATGACATTTGGCCAATCGTGGAATGTCCATTCGATATTAGTGGCGATTTCCGGATGACACCCGATCATGTGACAGGATTATCCTCACAAATTCCATTTCCACCAACATGTCTATATTCCATAGCTCTTTGTCAGTTCATAAAATCTATCGCCGGATCTTGATATACAATGTCCGAGCAATCCGAGGCACCTCGAGACCGTCCTCACAATTCCTACCCCTATGATACCGGGCTGGTCCGGGAACTGCTGAAGCGGAAGCGCAAAGTCCGGGGCATCAAATCCTGCTTTCCATGCCGGCACCGGAAGGTCAAGTGCGATGGAGAATCACCATGTGAAAGCTGTGTCAGGAGGGGACATGAGGAGCTGTGTCGTTTTCCAGGGGAGGGAGGAGATCTGTAAGTTGGTATTTGGGTAATCGTGAATAGCAACACTGATAGAAAAATAGACCAGTAGAAATAGAGAGTGCACCAGCAAAGCGGATAGCCAAGGGACATACTTCTAATGAAGATCTGATAAACCGCCTGACAGCCATTGAGTCGCAAATATCCTCTCTCAAGGCAGATTTGCTCAAATCAACAGTCTCTTCTCCGTCAGCCCAGGCTGCAACGGAACCAGAGGAAACAAGTAGAACACGTCGCTCTGGAAGTCACTATGTCGAAGATGCTACTGGAGCGACTATCTATCTGGGTAGCCACTCAGATTCGCCCCTCGTCTTGGGATGCCGGCGACAAGCATCATTGCCATTATCATCGGCTTCTCCAGATATGATGCTGCACAATGTCATGATGGACCAGGTAGTTCCACGGGCCTATCCCTTTACGAGTCTCTGGGGTCCAGATGTAGATATCGCGGAGGTTTGTAAAACGCTGCCTGGTGATGAGGATGTCATTCGGTACTTACAAAAACTATCGCCATGGAAAGGATTAAGGCTAATAGGTGGTAGGTACTGGCAGATCTATCAATCGACTACACACCCCTTCTACCCAGCTCTCGTGACCATCGACCAATTCAACATGTCACTATTTGACTTCCTCGATCGACGTGCCGAAGGACAAAATGATGCCCACCCTTCCTGGCTAGCACTCTTGTTTGCTGTGCTGGCATGCGGAGTGCAGTTCTCAGATGATGCTGTTCAAGAGCGAGACCTACGCTCGAAGGTGTTTGGTATGTCTTTCCCTGATACAGTTGATGCATAGAATGCATACTGACCAAAGGACGTCCAGTCTGTTCTTCTTTCCAGTGTCTGCGCATGTCCAACTTTTTCAACCAGGCAGATTTGGATGAAGTCCAAACCATGGCGTTGATTGGAAATTATTCCAGGAACAATCTGGACACAAACAGTTCATGGATTTTGATGGGTTAGCCCATCCTGTGTGCCTTTTCTATACCGACTACTGATGAAATTAGGTACCACGATGCGCCTGGCACAGAGTATCGGACTGCATGAAGCTGAAGATCCAGTGCAAAAGCAACTATGGTATATCCGTACCATTCGATAGAGATGTAATGGCTGACGGCAGCAGGTGGACACTCATCTGGCAAGATACTTCTCTCTCGTTTTCATACGATCGACCGACAAATTCCACACCAAAAGTGACCATTCCATGCATCGCGTCAAATAATGAGGGTTGCTCTTTTGCAGAGTCCGTCTTTACCATCTGTCAGATCATCCTCGATCGACGGGATAATCCCAATACTACCACTACCCAAGTATATAAAGAGAAGATGGAAAGCGTCCTCATCAACGCGTCTCCTTTTCTGCAAGACAAGAAATACTGCACGAGTCTGCAGAACCACCTCGAACGACTAGCACTGGGCATTAATCTCGGCTATGCTATCTGTAAAATCGGACTTCCATCTGAAATGTCAGAAACAGTAGATGAGAGCATCATCCAGCACGCCAAAAACGCCCTGCAGTGCTTCATCGATCTGCATCGCTATTCAGCCCGGGTTTGTCGATCCTGGGCATTTGTGCATAACACAGTCAGCTGTGCGATTGCATTGATGAATCTGAATATCTCAACAGCCACAGACCTGGTGAACAGATTGATTGGAGTTCTAGAGAAGGAGCAGAAAGAATCCGAGTGGTGCGACGGAGATATGAATAAGAGGCATTTTGGGCCGTATTCAAGGGCCTTGAACGCGTTGAGATGTGTACATGATAGGAATCAGTAGATGGGATGGCCATAACCAATACAAGAACAGTTAAATAGCCATTGGTCTATATCGTAGTCTATATCGTAGTCTATATCGTAGTCTATATCGTAGTCTATATCGTAGTCCATATCGTACAGTCTATATCGTAGTCCATATCGTACAGTCTATATCATACGGCTGAATCTGACTCAGGTTCTCTTCTTTGCCCTCACGTACAAATTCAACGGCCGGATAAGCTGGAACTCGGGGTCATACTCAATCGCCTCCACGCCGTCTCTGACAAACTCATACCGAGCGACCAGCTCTGCCAACAGGATCTTCACCTCCAGCAGGGCAAAGTTGAACCCAATACATCCTCGAGGCCCCGTGGCAAACGGCACATATGCACACCTGTGGCGGTCTTTTACCTCGGGCGTATTCCACCGGTCAGGATCAAATCGAAATGGATCCCGCCAGATCTTCGGATTGGTATGGATGGCGTACAGAGCAGGAATAAGGACGCTGTCTGGAGGAATACGATATCCCCCTGGTAAGATTACGTCTGTTTTGGTTGTGCGGCCTGGCTGGAAGGAGGCGTTGTGTAGACGCTGTGTCTCCTTGACGACGCTGTCAAGATAGGGAAGGCTGTGGGCGAGATCTGGTGTCCAAATAGTTGTATTGCTGATTCCACACTCCTTCAGTTCTTGGTACAGGCGATCCTGGACACCCTCGTAGGTGACCAAGCAGTAGATCAGCCAGGACATCAGCGCAGAGGTTGTCGTGAAACCAGCGCCGGCGACGATGAGCATGTTGGCGAGGATCAGTGGCTGCGGAAAGTGCTCGCCCTGCTCATCAACACCATGGAGGAGATAGTCCACCACGCAGGAGGCCTCCAATGCCGCGGTGTGCATGGGCATATCTTTCCCGATCCCTTGGCTGGCCACCTCGTCAATGGCATCCTGCAACAGACTGTATATTGTCCGCTGGACCTGCTTGAGTCGAGCTGGATCTCCAAATGGTAGATACTGATACCATTCTCCTCGGGCCGTGACCTTTTTGTTCAACGACAGCAGGTTGGCGATGTTGGTGACGATGGGATGAAGCGGACTGTCGACGGCGTCAAAGTGGCCAAAGTCTTTGCCAAACGAGAACTTGCCGATGGTCTGCGAGGCCAACTTAATCATGTACTGATACACATTCCAGCTCTCGTCGCGGGTATCCAGCTCGTCAAATACGGGCAACGCCTGTCGCGCACACGCCTGCATCAGTCCGGTATAATGCCGGACAGCCTTGGGTCCCATGGCCGGCGGCAGGAACTTGTGTGCCAACCGCCAGTTCTCCGTCTCTGTGTCTCCGATGAAGATGGCGGTGTTGTCTTTGACGCCGTAGAGAGGATGGTTCGCGTTGATCTTCTTTGTCATGTACGCACTTTCTGAGAAGGCGACGGCAGCGACTTCGGGGCAGTCAGTGAGATACGTGGTTTTGCCCATATTGGTGGTTTTTATTACGGGGCCATATTTGCGAAAGAGACGATAATGGTTGCCCAGATGGTCAGGGAAGATCTCGTAGAAGCTGCCGACAACAGGGAGTCCGGGAGGGCCTTGGGGAGACTGGACTGCATTGCCGTCGATACGAAGGCCGACAGAAGATGCAGTCAGGATGGAGGGAACGGATGCGAGTTCGCCGTCGATGTGGAATGAGATGCCTTGATTGATGAGATGTTAGAATAATTGAAAGGAATGAATAGGAGGTGGTGGAAATACCCAGCGGTTGGACGATGTGGAAAACGGCGCCAACTGCCCGTTGGAGATCCTCCAAGGTCCAGTTGGGATCGACTGGAAGTGTCTGGATAGAGCTTTCGTCTCCAATAAGATAGAATTCCATTTTGTCTGATTCTGCTCTTTGCTTCTTCTTCTTCTTCTTCTTCTTCTTCTTCTTCTCTTCTTCTCTGTATTTATATTGCATGGTCCTGTCGATACGGCAGTATCCGATGTCATGTCCGATCGACTCCGACGCTCGGGCGAAGTTCGTACGAGCTGAAAATGCATCCACACTGCCTCGGCTGGAGATGAATGAAATAAATAAATAATGACTGTCTGTCCTGTTGATCGTCCATTGTCTGTCTGGACATCGCTTCATATTGCATCATGTACACCCTCGCCCAAGTCAGCCAGCACAAACAGGCAGACGATGCCTGGATTGTCATACACAACAAAGGTAGATATCTATCTCGACACTTCCTCTCTACTGTCACTAACAATGCAGTGTACAACGTCACCAACTACCTTGACGACCATCCGGGAGGCAGCGACATTATCCTCCAAGTGGCCGGAACCGATGCCACCCAGGCCTATGAAGACTTCGGTCATACGGACGAAGCAAAAGAGGAGTTGGCGTCTTTCTGTGTGGGAGATTTGCCTGAAAACGTATAATCCTCTGGTCTCTCCATTTATCCATGTTGACCTCTCTCAGGAGTCCAAATCTGTCAATGTCTATCGTCCCTCGTTCAAAAAAGTCTCGCAGAACGCCGCCGTCAACGTCCGTCCGTCCTCATTGCTCCGAAAGACAGTCAAACTCGGCCTGACCGGTCTGGGTGGCACTCTGGTCTATCGACTCTATCCCCATATTCATTCCTCTATCTCGATGAACAACCTCAATATTAATTCCACGTTCTGGTCAGGCTTTACCGTCGCCAGTGCCGCCCAAATCTCCCTCACCGTCGGTGTGGCCATGTGGATTTCTACCAAACTCGACGTCCAGCAGGAGTTCACCCACTATACTTCCCATCGCCCCTGCAGCTCATCTCGTCTAATGCCATTACCAAAGGGGGCAGTCGAAAAGAAACAGCCAGATATCCTGAATCCTGCCAGGTGGAAACCGTTCGTGTTGACCGCCAAACAGTCTCTCTCCTCGAACGTCTACAAACTCGTCTTTGGCCTCCCTCGCCCAGACGATCTCTTGAACCTCCCCATCGGACAACATATTTCCCTTCGAGCCAAAGTCAACGGCAAAGATGTCATGAGATCATACACTCCAGTCTCGAATCACACGGACCCGGGGCGAGTTGAGCTCCTGGTCAAGGTCTATCCGAATGGTCTTTTGACGAGATACCTCGAGGATATGACCGTAGGACAGAGCATTGATGTTCGTGGCCCTAAAGGCGCCATGCGCTATTCTCGACAATACGCAGGATTCATCGGGATGGTTGCAGGAGGAACAGGAATCACGCCCATGTATCAACTCATCCGCGCCATCTGTGAGGATGAAGAGGATACAACAAGAGTGTCGCTCCTGTACGCCAACAATACAGAAGGAGATATTCTGCTACGGAAGGAGCTGGATGGTTTTGCCAGACAGTTTGCCAACAAATTCCAGGTCAAGTATGTTTTGTCAACCCCGGAAAAAGTGGATTGGGATGGATATAGGGGGTACGTGAATGGGGAAATGATCGGCAAGCATTTGAAAGAGGTGGGAAGGGCGGACAGAAAGATGATGCTGTGTGGGCCACCGCCGATGGTGAATGCGATGAAGAAACTGTTAGATGGTGAGGATATTTTTGTATTCTGATTTCATTTACCAGTGCATAGCGATAGAGATAGATAAAATAGATTTGTGCTTTACAAAAACTGAGTGCACTACCGTGATTATGCCTGTCTTCTTCAATTGAACTTATGAAGCTATCAACACTTATAAAGGACATGCACAGTATAGATATATATTCTAGCAGTGAAAAATATTTATATAATAACCTTGTCGCAGGACAGTTACAAGAGGTAATCATGTTGATCATGCAGCCATTGACATCAGATATATATATTGCTATTGGTCCTGTTTTATATGTATACATGTCTGAGACATCACTAACCTCATGACGGTTAATTATCATCAATCTATACACAATTATTCCCGAGACACAATAAAATTGGTTTTATACACCCATCCAGTGGAAAATCGATTATATGGGTGATCACCACCGCGTGATTGGAGGACGATCTATACAGCAAGAGCCAGGAATGAATGATCCAATGCAATGCAAGTTCATCATAATGCTGATCTCAAATACGGAATCTATCGGCAAACCGTTGAAGACTGAACCAGCATCGATTCCACCACCCTATATTCGTTCCTCCAGCCATCTCCGAATTGTCTCCGCTCTGTCTCCGAACCGTCTGCGTTCCGAGTCCGAGCATCAATCACTCGTAGAAAATCGGATATCGGCATGATATAGACATGATTATTCATTTTTATAGCTCGATGAAAAGAGGATGGGATCCAGTGGGTATATATTGACAGGGGTGTTCGCGCTATATCGCTTCGTTGGTGATCATCGACTGGGATCTTTTAGTAACACTCTTCATCTATTCATCTTTAATACGAACTACATTGACAACATGAACAGACCGGTGGTTCTCCTCGGTGCAGGCGTTCTCGGCCGTCGCATTGCTACTTTATTCCTTGCTGGTGGCTTCGATGTCCACATCCGCGATCCCTCTCCGGACTCCCTCGCTGCAGCTGCAGACTACATTGCCGCCCATGTCGAGTCGTACTTTCGTCTCACCAAGTCTGCCTCCATCGGGACTGTCTCTACTTTTACTGATATTGAGCCAGCCGTCAAGGATGCATGGCTGGTTATCGAGGCCGTGCCAGAGGACCTGGATCTGAAGATTTCCACATTTGCAGAGTTGAACCAATTCGCTCCGAATGATTGTATTCTCGCATCAAATAGTTCGTCGTTCAAGTCGAGGCTGATGGTGACGGAGCTGGATGAAGAGACAAAGAAGCGGGTCTTGAATATGCATTTCACCATGCCACCGGAGATTCGTACGGTAGAACTCATGACGAGTGGCCAGACGGATGAAGCGCTATTTGAGATGCTATCGGACGTGTTGACCAGGTGTGGCATGGTTCCTGTGACTGCCAGAAAGGAATCGACTGGGTATGTTCCCTTCCCTCTGTTTGGACTATGCAACAATGCTGATGGATAAGATTCATCTTCAATCGTCTCTGGGCCGCCATCAAACGAGAGATTCTGCTCATCCTATCCGAAGGAGTCAGCGAGCCGACGGAAATTGACATTCTCTGGAAGAACATGTTTCAAAGCCCGCACAGCCTGCCACCTTGTCGACTGATGGACCAGATCGGGTTGGATACAGTGGCTTTCATCGAAGATAATTATATCGACGAACGAGGATTGGACACGGTCCCCGTTGACTGGCTGCGATCCCAGTACACCCAAAAGGGTAAACTTGGGCTAAAGAGTGGAGGGGGGCTATTCAACGAGCCATTCTCTGGTCATACTGCCAATGATTTGAAAAAGAATCTGTACATCCTCGATGTCGGATTGGGTGGTAATGCCTCGACGCCAGTGGGATCCGGTAGAATCCTTCGTCTGAACCTGATGGACAACACTGTTCATCCCATCGTGACGGGCCAGAATCTCCCGGATGGCATCGCCATATCGCAGTCGACTCGCCGTTTCTTCTGGTCCAACGTGGGTCGCTCGACAGCCACGTACGATGGCTCCATCCATTCCTCCAACCTCGACGGCACTGATATCCAAACAGTCCTCCCGACGGGAAGTGTGCACACCCCGAAACAGCTTCTTGTGGATGATGACAGCCGTAAGATCTACTTCTGCGATCGGGAAGGTATGAGCATCCACCGCTGCGGATTTGATGGAAGCGACCATGAAATCCTTCTCTCACGCGGAAATCCCCGGGTTGACAAGAAAGATATGACGCAGTGGTGTGTCGGGGTCGCTATTGATACTGTTCGGGGCCATATGTACTGGACTCAGAAGGGACCGAGTAAAGGTGGCCAGGGACGGATCTTCCGAGCAGGACTGAATATCCCCGCTTCACAAACTGGGGAGAACCGATCTGACATTGAACTGCTACTAGAGGGTCTTCCAGAACCGATCGATTTGGATCTCGATGAGAGCAGAGAGGTTCTGTACTGGACAGATCGAGGAGAACATCCGAAAGGATGCTCATTGAATCGGCTGAACCTGACGGACAGAAAGATGGAGACTGTGGCAAGACAGTTTCACGAACCGATTGGGCTGAAGGTGGATGGCGAAGATGTCTATGTCGCTGATCTGGGTGGGTGTATCTATCGAGTGAGTTTGAAGGGAGAGAAGACCGTGGTGCATTGCGATGATGGAAGCTATACGGGGATATGTATGGGTTAGAATAGGTCACTCTTTATATTACTGCAGTTGGAGTGTCCTTTATTGCTTGTGAATTATGTTCTACTCACCCGGTTTTATCTTAATATCCGTACAATGATCTTCCACCATGCCCAACTCGGTCGCCAATCTTGGAAAAAGCAAGGATCCATGCTTGTAAATAGTTCAAAACAACACTGCGTTAAGCTGAGTCTCTCTTGAGTTTCCAGAGCCTTGATTTCAAACTCCAGCGGATGTGTAGTCCTGATGAATTCTTCTCATTCAACAATTGCTTGTCCTGGTGGGACTCACACCATCGACTCCCGCAAACTCACCAACTATATATATATCTCCGGCACAGATTTCCTCAACCATCACTATATTTGCATTCTATCTACCTAATCAAGATTGAAGCTTCTAGACACGCCATAAATTCCCCTCGTGTTATTTTCCTCCCCCAGGTGCCAAAACGGCTGCTTGACCCGGAATTTCTTGAGTACTAGTACAGCCATTATCTCTTCAGACCTAACAGGCATGATGCATAGTAAAACGAAGGTGATAAGAATGGCATAAGGAGTGGAGAAAGCCGTTCTTATTTATTAGAAAAAGGGATAAAGACTCCACTGTCACTTATGTTTATTCCAACGATGCTGATTATGTAATATGGATTTATCTATTTTTTCAATTGGACGATCCTTTGGTCACTGAACGCTTAGTCCAGCGCAGTTCTATTTCAGAGCACACTATTTGCCAATAGAGCTTCCTTCGTCCCACTTATTAGGCACATGGACGAATGAACGTGCAGAATTGCCGCTCAGAAGAGTGCTGGGTCAAAAGATGAACAGAAGATCAACATCCAGGAGAGATCAATCCAATGGCAAGATGGCCTTGACCTGGAAATCTCTGAATCCCCGACGATCGTCCGTCTGTTGCTTCGTTGGCCCCTTTCGCAGTGGAAATTAAGTCCACTCTAATTTTCGGGAAAATCATGTTTCCCCTCTCTGAGCGGTTTCTTGTTTTCACCATCGCAATATTCTGTTCAGCACTACAACTCCCTGCCAGTACAGATGATTGGCTGACAGTTCCACCGATATTACCTACATCCTGACTTTGAATTCTATCCTCGTTCCGGCGTCAGAGCCCTTGACTCTCCAGCATGTCAAGCACGGCGGAAACGACGGACAAGCATCAAAACGCAAAACAGTCCAACGAACCCTTCCCAGTCACGGACAATGACATCTCCAGCAATGACCCCAAAGAAGAACTGAAGGGCGAAACGCGATACGACGATGACGATGACCGGGGCAGCACGAGGGAAATGGCCAAGCGCCTAGAAGACGACCTCGCCGTGTTGGAGGCAGAGCGGGTAGTGTCGCGCTCTACGCACGATGGGCAGTCCCGACAAGGCGAATCCCTGGCCGCGAGTCGATCGCACCGGTCGCGCGCAGACGAGTTCGATGAAGCGACGAATCCGTTGCATGAGGTGGCGGCCGTCTACAACCCCCCCGAGACTCCAAACACAACGATTGCCGCCTTTATTAAAAAGCTTCACGAGTCGAGCTTTATTGTGCGCTACCTCACCTATATTGTTCCAGTGGTGCTGCTTCTGTTGATACCGCTGCTGGTGGGGGCATTGGCTTATCCAGACGCCAGTGTGGGAGGGGTCTCGTTGCTGTGGTTTTCGGTTTGGTTGCAGATTGTCTGGCTGACAATCTGGGCTGGAAGGGTACGCTGCTAGTTGGGCTCTTCTAGTGAAAGAATGCTGATCCCAAGCTAACATGCTGTGTCATATAGGTCGTGGCCAAGTGCGTTCCAGTCCCGGTGGGCATCCTGGCCAGTATCTTCACCAACGACGCGAAGAAATGGCGCAACGTCGCAAAGCAGCTACAGATCCCGATGACTTTGTTTTTCTGGTGGTTGGGGGTTGAGATATCTTTCTTGCCTACCATGAAGAACCACCACTTGGACGGCGACAAGCAGACCCAGGGATGGGAAATGACCCTGAATAAAATCATAATTACCATTTTCGTGTGGACGATCTTGAATCTCATTGAGAAACTCATCATCCAATTGATTGCCATCAGCTTCCATACGCGCACCTATGCCGACCGGATCGAGGTTAATAAATTTCAGATTGGCAGTCTTGCGAAACTGTATGCCTACTCTCGGATCAAACTGGCAGACAAGGGTGACGATGAGTTTGCAGAGCAGCAGGGCGCGACCAGCACCGGGAAGAGCACACCGCTGACGAAGCCACTCCAATACGCCGGCAAAGCACAAAAGGTGGCCAAGGGAGCTTTGAACAGAGTGAGTGATTTGGCAGGGACCATTGCTGCGGACTTTACTGGCAACAAGGCTGTGAAGCGCAATGATCCCCAGCAAGTTGTCATAACTTTACTGCGGACAGTTTCTGGGTCTCAAACGCTGGCTCGCCGGCTCTATCGGACCTATGTACACGAAGATACTCTCAATCCTGGGGACCTGAAGGACGCATTCGATAGCATCGACGAAGCGGAGGCCGCATTTGGGATGTTCGACAAGGATCTCAATGGGGATATTGCCATGGACGAGCTGGAAGCAGTCTGCGTCGAGATTGGCCGTGAACGAAAGGCCATTACTGCGTCTTTAAAAGATCTTGACTCTGTGGTAGGGAGGCTCGATAATGTCCTTGAGGCTCTTGTCGTCATCATCACGATAATAGTCTTCCTATCATTGATCTCAACATCAGCGGCTGGTGTCCTGACTTCTGCCGGGTCAACAATTCTCGCTTTATCCTGGCTATTTTCTACTACGGCGGTGGAGTTCCTCCAATCTGTTGTATTCGTGTTCATTAAGCACCCATTTGATGTGGGCGACCGGGTGACCATTTATGGTAATGCTGGGGCGAGTGGCCGTGGTGATGATTATTTTGTTAAAGAGATTTCTCTCCTCTACACGGAGTTTAAGAAAATGGAGGGCCACGTCGTGCAGGCCCCAAACTCTGTCTTGAACTCCATCTTTATTTTGAACCAGCGTCGCTCTGGGGCTCTCGCAGAAGCAGTCCCGATAACCATCAAGTATGGAACAAGCATCAATCAGGTGGAATCTCTCCGCCAGCGGCTCATGGAATTTGTTACCAGCGAACGACGCGAATTCCAATCCACTGTCTTGACAGAGATGCGTGAGGTCACTGAGAATTTCTCCATCACACTTAATATCGTGTTCTTCTACAAGTCGAACTGGCAAAATGAAGGGCTTCGTCTGCAGCGGCGGAACAAGTTTATCTGCATGCTCATGACTGCCCTGCAGGAGATTGGCATCCATGGCCCACGCATGAACTGGCCTGGAGCCCGTGCCGATATCCCCTTTCATCTGGCGGGTTTGTCGCATTTGTCCCCCAGCCATCAATCAGACCGACCAAACACCAGCAACAGCAGCGGTCCGTCTCCTCCTATCCTCCGGAAAGGAATGGATACCGCTGCGGCCCAAGCCCGGGGCGATCGCCCTTCGGTCTCCAGGCACGTGGATTTCTCGCTCGGGATGCAGGCCGTCTCTTCAGCTGACGTGATGGGCGACGTCTTTGAGGAGCGCTCCAGCCGAACTGCTGATCTTCTCCGCACCGTGACTCGGGTGTCAAGCCAGGAACAAGGTCGTCGTTCGCGTTCAATCCACTCCACCCAGAGTAAATTATCCCTCGCTAGCAATCAATCCGCTCGCCATAGAAGCACACACAACTTGAGCGAGCCTGACGTGGAACGAGCGAATGGCACGGAGCTCACCACTGCGCCGACTGTTCCGGATCCTCATCGTCACTGATAGCTGATTTCCTTATAATAATTTGCTATTATCAGATACCCGGTATACACTATGTAACATTTGAACCACCAGGTCTGGTTCCGTTCTTATCGAGCATGTGTCTATACTAGATTCATAGACTGCCCAAAGGAAACCCTGTGAACCCCTGTAATAACGCTAGTATCTCAGTCAAAGGTTGCTATGTGACCATATGGTAGGCTTTAATCTGTCCAGCGTTAGTGCCTGTCAAGCAGTTTCTCTAAGTAGTACTAGGTGTCCCGCCCATATTTAAGCGGACGGCACTCTAACAATCTCCACTAAAGGCAGTCTTCCATCTGGCTGTTATGAGCAGGGCTTTCTCAGTGATCCTAGCTATAAACTAAACCAGAGTAATGGCTTCTCTGAGCCATGTGAAGATATATCCAAAAATATATTTTATGACAGTTTTCTATCTGATTTAGAGAGTAGCATTGATTATATCCATATACCTCAGACTACGGATTATTAAAGTCCTGTGGTTATTTATGCGCTAAACTAAATATGGAAACAGTTGGAACTAATCTCGAAATGGGAATCAGACGGCTACCACTAGTGCTGAGCCAGTATGGCGTCGACTGGTGGCGTTTTGTGTTTGGTATCCGCAGAAAGGTTCAAGATGCTCTGTTCTACACTGCTATAGTCTGTCTGGGTTGGGCATCTCTCATCGCATACTCGAATTGATAGGAACGATCTCTTCGAGTATGTAGTTCCCTTGACCAAGCACACAGAGGAACCCAGTGATAATCGATCTCCGAGGAAAGAATGGGACACTTGGGACGAGCAGGTAAATAGCTAATCAGAACACGCGGATCCCGTGTCAGATCCCGAGCGGAAATTAAACAGCAGCCGCACGGTTTCAGCCGCGGATGGTGCGTTTATCATCTGCAATGCCAACTCGCCATCCTTTAGCTTTTATCCCGCTCGTGCCAAGCTCTCATAAAGCTTCATGTTCCAAATGAGGTGATTGATAGGACACACTGACCAACATGCGAAGATGTTAAATCTGCCGACGTTGTCTTGTCGAAGCTTAACCTGTACTTCCACTGCTGCATCATGCCGATATCCTGAAGAACCCATTTCCCCGAGGATATTTCCATGTGGCGGCATCAGGGAAGATCCCTATTTGAGCAGGCTACATGGGATATCATGCAATCAATGATGCGGTTTATCGTCGAAATGAGGAAGAGAACAGGGCGTTTATTGGATACCCATCGCATCTGTAATCACACATATTGAATTTTGTTCCTCTCATCCGAAGCTGCAACATAATCGGCCAAGGCTAGATCATGCCAAAGGACTCGGCTTACCGAAGCTTTCCTTTGGAGCATATCCAATCCCGCGAGCCGGTACCGGTTCAGAAGCACGCCGACATGGTCTTGCTGCTTATAGGATAGAACAATACGACAGCTGAAATGATTTGGATATCTCATTTCCGTTGCTGGCTATATAACCTGCCTGTCTCCTCACGACAAATGATTTCTTCAAACCATTCGCTCCAACACTTCTTCGGATACAGTGAGTCTTCCCTCTTCTGCATTGGCATGCACTAACATCCATGCGAAAGAAAATGGTTGCTTTTAAGCTTCCCCTCCTTCTCGTGCTGTTGCACGCCGTCTTTGGTTCTGCCCACCGCTGGTTCAACTGGCAGTTCGAGGTGACCTGCGAGTCTGACGGCTATGTCGCCCCTCACAACGAGCAGGCTGTTGCCAACTTCCTCAAGAACCAGTACCCCAATGCTCCTCACATCAAGGTCGTTGGAAATGGCCACGGATTTGGAAACCTCACCACCTGCGTTGACACCAGCCTCACCCAGAAGAAATCCTTCATCGTTTCCCTTACCAACCTCAAGGATATCAGCATTGACAAGACCAACATGACCGTCACTTTCGGTGCTGGTTGGGATGTGTATGACCTGATTGAGGAGCTCCGGGCCAATGACTTGTCCTTCCAGAACCTTGGTGTTGAGCGTGTCCAGAACATGATCGGTGCCGCCTCTACTGGTACCCACGGATCTGCCCAGGATCTCGGTAACATTGCAACCCAGATCATTGGACTCCGTGTCTTGGACGCCCAGGGTAACCTCCGGATTGTTAATGAGACTATGAATGCTCAGGAGCTCGATGCCTTCCGTATCTCTCTTGGTGCTCTTGGCCTTATCACTGAGGCCACTATCAAGGTCCAGCCCACTACATTCTTCAAGAGAACTACTGTTGTCTTGAACTCTACCAACGACTGGAACCAGTTCTACACTGAGATGGAGCAGATGTATAAGGAGCATGAGCGTCTTACTGTCTGGGGTCCTCACTTCGACTACTTTGAGAATAATAAGACCTGGGGTCTGGAGCCTACCTACTTTGCCTCTTACTGGGAGCCTACCAACTATACTGGTGCCCGTAACTGCTCTGACAACTACTGTGCTAACGGCTGTGGTAACTGCAAGCAGAACTACTTCTGCTATGATGAGATTGCCTATGCCAACTCCTGTCCTCCCCAGGGCGTTTGCAGCCACGAGTTCTACGCTGAGATCGAGCACTTCTTCCCTATTGAGGAGTTTGTCAACGTGGCTACCAACTACACCACCTACCAGCAGTCCCAGAACTCCCGCATGAACACAGACTACAACGGCCTCGTCATCTACCAGTGGCGTGCTCTCCGCGGTGACAGCGCCTGGATGTCCCCTGTTAATACCTACAACCTCGGCCCTGAGAGCAGCGGTGTCTTTGGTATCATTGAGATTGACTGGCTCCAGTCCTACAACAATTTCCCCGCCCTCTGGGACAACCAGGCCTTGGCCGACGAGTTTATGCCCAAGTTCGGTGAGAAGTTCAACGCTCGTTCCCACTGGAACAAGATGAACCCTGCCAACGCCACCCTCATCAAGGAGCTTTTCCCCAAGCTTCCCGACTTCTTGGCCATCCAGGAACGCCAGGACCCTCAGTGCCAGTTCGTCAACGAGTTCCTGTACACTCAGCTTGGCATCGAGCGCTGCGCCAACTACGTCTAGATCATCTAGACTCTGATCGTCTTGTCTCGCTGACAAGATGAATTTCTTCGACAGTCCGTTTTCTGTTTGATCGATCGATTGTGTGACTTGTTTCTATAGATCGCGATGCGTTTCAGTATTTAGATATTGACACATATGGTGAAGATAGTGGAGAGCGGGTGGCGGTTGTACGTTGAATAAGAAGTTGTATACTTGAAACCATTTTCCATCGTAGACTTTCCAATCCTAGTGCCTGATTTTTCCTTTTCTCCCACTGCTTCATCGCAGTGAATGGTCAAATATCAACTTAAGCAAACATGGCGGCCGTTCTCTTCCTAGATGTCAAATTCGACATCGCATCTCCACCAACGGCAACAGCATTATCGTGCTGAACTTTGTGGTTGTAACGATTAATCGGCCAAATATCGGCACACCGATGAAGAAACGGCTCGTGATGCTAAGGATGTCCGATCCTCTTGGCCTTGATTGCGCCATCGAATTAAGCACGCCAGATGAAACTGTGGCTGTTTGTGGCGCATTTTGAATATCCCGTGGATTGGACAAAAGCTTATAGAAGATTGGCTGTTGCTGGCATCAGATGATTGGTCAGGAAGTGGTATAAACCCACGTGGTGGATTCTCATGTACCCATAGGGGCTATTAAACATTTGGCCTGTGATTTCAAATAATCGGGTCCAGACAATGAGATCTCGGCCGATAGGATAAAGAGATATTTCTAGACGACTGAATACAAGCGATATATATTTACCAGCAGACACCATCATGGCCAAGTAATTCGATACGCATTTATTATGCACAGGCGTTGTAAGGGCAATTGCATATATTACCAGATCTTTTGGTAGATATAATCGATATTAATAAGTGTCACAGGCGCTGCTATAGATATGCGTGCGATCTACGGTGCTCTCTCGGTCAACGTGATCACCTATTATTCCTCTGGAGAGAGCTTCGACGCCCTCGATAATCTGGGAGTGCCAACGTCGTTCTGGACGCGTTCAATGCCAGGGTGTATTTCCTCCACATCCTCTTTTTAAATCTAGACCTCAGGATAAAACAAACTCGGCAGCTTCTATATTCACCCTCAACTAAGAAACTCATTGAACACAAATTGAGGCATAGCATCCTCCCACAGACTATCCGTCATAGGACGCTGATCAGACCCGTCAGCGTTCATAACCATGCTCACACCATACGGCTGGAACGTATTATCATAGTTTGCCGACTCGCCTCGAAACCCGTACCGAGAAGTGCTGAATAGAATTCTGTTATCATTAGACCAAACGGCATGTCCGTCGTTGCCGAGCGCGGTGGTCACTTGTGTGGCGTTGCTACCATCTGGGTGGATAGTCCAGACATCATACGGATCCCAGGGAGTAGTAATGTTCTCCGTCTCGGTCCAGTTATTGCGACGGGTGAAGACGATGCGCTTTCCATCGGGACTCCAGCCTGGCATGTTGTCCCACTTATCAGTGAGATTGTGGATCTTGCGACTGTTAAGATCCAAGATCCGGAGGCCGCGTCGTGTCTCGCCCATGATTCGATAGACGATTTTAGTGCCGTCGGGCGAGAACGATGAGTACCCTGCATTCAGCTCTTCAGGGACATCGCCCGTGAGCTGCTCATAGTCAGACCCGTTGGCGCGCACGCGGTACACCCATGCCGCGTCTGTGGTGCGGTTCTGGAACCACCACCCGATACTAAAAGTCAGCCATTCACCATCGCCAGACCAAGATGGCTGCTGGCAACCGGCGTTTCCTGTTGCGATTTCATATGCGTTGACTTGGTCTGTAGAGTAAGGGTCGAAGACGACAGAGTAATCAGACCCGTCTGCCCTTTTCTTGACGATGGCCGTATTGCCGTTTTGTTTTTGCGACAGCGTTACCATTCCTGTTGCGTTGTTGAGTTGTGGCATCATGTCCATGAAGCGGTACTCCCAGTCTTCGTCCCAGCTGTAGAGAGGGGTGTCATCTGCGCGGATGTGCCACTAAAGAGTACCTGAGTTAGAGAGAATTCATCAGTGAAAGTGGAGTGGGGGACTTACATCGTCTTTCTGGAACACAACTTGAGTTCCGTTAGCGTTCCAGGCAGGTTGGCGAAGGGGGGTTGAGTTGTCCGTGGTCTTCCCCAACCACTGATGACCGACGTCGTAGGTGGTATAGTTGATACCTGCATAGTCCCCGGACTTGATGAGATAGCCAATATTGCCGTCTTTGCTCACATATGAAGGATTGATACCATAGCCTTCGACGGAAGAAACATGGACTTGGCGATCTTTGCCTGCCGCAAAGTCGACCGACACAATGTCGCTGGTTCCGGAGATGGACGGCTGATGCACGTACCAGGTGTTCTGGCGCGTCATCTCATAATAGACGATACGGCTGCCATCGTAGGACCACTTGGGAGAACCAAGAGCGAACCCGGGCTTCTTGGCGACAGTGCGAAAGTCACTGCCGTTGGGTCTAATTACATAGATTGATGTCTCCTGGATGTGTTCCCAGTCTGTTGCGTTTCCAAGGTACCAGTCGGTATTGCGATCACTGGAAAAAGCGATCCATTCTCCATCGGGGGACCACGAGGGCATCTTGACAGGTTGGTTCATCAGCTAGAGCCCTAGCTGCATCTATGGAAAGAAAAGACTTACAAAGTTTCCAGAAGGACTGTTTGGATCAGACCTTGTCGAGGCCGTATCAGTCAAGTTATACCTTTCCTTTGTTGCCAAGTCCATGACCCAGATGTTGGCCTTGTAGCCATTTTCCGAAGAGACGTAGGCGAGCTTCTTGCCATCGGGCGAAATGACACCACTGTCTTCAATAGACGGTGTGGCGATGAGTTCCTCAAGGTCAGTACCATCGGTACGGATGCGATACAGATCAGCGTTTCCATCACCGTTGCGCTCACTGGTAAAGACAATCCATTCATCATCAGGAGAGAACGAGGCGTGGTAGTCCAGCTTGGAACTGTGGTTTCCAAGCAGAGAGCGTTCATTGGTTGCGTCCGAGTTGGCAATAAAGAGTTGCTGCGTGATCGGCGCAATTCTATTGTGAAAGAAGACACCCTTCTTGCCTGCTCTGGCTGCTTTCAACCCGCGTTTTTCCACAGGTGGGTGGTTCGCAGGTATGTTGTCTGCCTGTGCTGTGTTACCTGCATTGGCTGCGTCCAGATAGGGACAGCCCAAGACTGGACTCAGCGATGCTGAGGCAAAGAGGTAAAGAGCCAATGATAAGACTCGCATTTGAAATGTAAGCCTTTTCAATCTAGAGGAGAATGGGTCAATTGACTGAAATGTCTCAAACCTGGCGAAAACACCCCTTTTTATACCTCTCTGAACGATTGAGGAGAGACATGGCATGGAGAAGATCGACACTCTTCGGGTGAAAGCAATTACTCATCACTGACGACCTACATACATATACGATTCAGGATTGAGTCTCAACAAGACAAACATGGGAGGGTTGCCCTGGCTTGAATCGGGGAAAATGAACCCCGTACCCCACAATCTAACTGGACTATTTGTATCGGCCAATAAACGAGCCGTTATAACCCGCTTAATAAGACGACTATCACTTCGGCCAAGACCCTTAAACCCCACTATAACTGTTTTCTGTTGACGTCCCGAAAGTTTGTCTGCGAGATACTCCATACGCGTCATTTTTGCAAGCTTGGAAGCGAAACACCCCGATATACTATCACCGAGAGAATTTCCCATGTCTACAGCTGATCTTTGTTGATTCCAGGCATCCTCGAAAACCAATTGCCGAGACGCGGGATGAAAATAGGGGAAGTGCCAAGCAGAATCGAGTTTCAGAAATAAACAGCTGAATTTCGTTGTTGTTTCTTTTTCAAAAAAACTCAGGGCTGTCTCAGTTGAGGATACAGCTAGTATATAACCTTTCCCAAGGAACTCCCAATTCGCCCACACACAAGTTACTCGGGATGTTGTTGACTCTTGCCGTCTTCCTGATCTCTCTAAGAGGTGTCGCAGCCGTTGCCCACGAGCGAACATACTTTTATGTCGGCGGAAGCTATGAGCTTAACAGCAGTGGAGCCCACGTCGTCACGAATCAGACATATGTCGAAAAGCTCACACCGGCTGGGGGCGCGTCGAAGGAGTATCCAATTGTCTTTGTCCATGGGGACGGGCAGACAGGGACGGTATGAACACCTCTTTCTCACATCAAGGACTGGTCTAACATGAACGAACAGAACTGGTTGAACAAGCCCGACGGCGGCGACGGATGGGCCTCGTATTTCTTATCCCAAGGCTACGAGTGCTATATCCTCGACCAGACCTTCCGCGGAAGAAGTCCCTGGACCCTGCCAAATAACAACACGAAAATCTTCACGGCCGAAGATATTCAAGAGCGCTTCACAGCGCCACAAAAGTACCGTCTCTGGCCTCAGGCACATTTGCACACTCAATGGAATGGCTCAGGCCTGATGGGTGACTCCGTCTTCGACACATATTATTCCTCTGTCGTGCCCTCTCTGGCAGACGAAGTGTCCCAGGAATTTGCTCACCAGGAGACATCTGCGAAGCTTCTAGATCGCATTGGGAAGCCCGTTATTCTGGTTGGTCACTCCCAGGGTGGGTTGTTGGTCTGGCTTACTGCAGATGCGCGCCCGCATCTCATTCACTCTGTCGTAGCTATTGAGCCTACAGGCCCACCGTTCCATGATGCGGTGTTCGATAACTTAACTGGTAGAGCATATGGCCTGGCGAATATTCCTATTACATACTCGCCGCCTCTGACAGACCCAGCCGACTTCTCGATCCAGACCATCAAATCAAACTCGACTGACCATGCGAACTGTTCTATCCAGGCTGGCAGTCCGGCTCCGCGACAGCTGGCTCATTTGAGTCAATTCCCGGTATTGGTAGTGACAACAGAATCGTCGTTCCATGCGCCGTATGACTGGTGTACTGTTCGCTTCCTGCAACAGGCCGGTGTCAACGCGGAACATTTGGAGTTAGCCAAGGTCGGGATACATGGGAATGGCCATATGGTGTTTATGGAGAAGAACAGTGACAATGTGGCAGGCGTTATTGAAGAGTGGATGAGCAAGAATTGATGGGATTTTCATTGTACATATAAAGGAGCGAAAGGAGTTAAAAAGGGCTTGAAAAGAGAAGAGAAGCGGCTGCGACGGGAAGTGCCCCGTACATATTTTCGGCCTGTTCGTAGTGGTAATTTCTAGATTAAATTGGCGCAGCTTGATGTGCCCATTCTGATCACCTTGCTGTCTATTATAGAAAGAGTAAATAATGGTATTTAGATACTACAGGGCTATTGTACGAACCCTTGGAATGGCTGAAGGATTGGCTACAGCCTGCGCAATAAGAAATAATCTTGTATGAAAAATTTTTTTTCCTTCTGTTACTTCGTTCTCGTTTTTATATAAGTTTTGGATATCTACTAAATTTTTGCAGCAAATCAATCCAGGGGTTTTGTTTACTTCGGGGATCGTGTTGCAAAAGTAACATTCTAGATCAAAGTATGACGTTTATATTATAAGAAATTCTGTTAATGATGATAAAATAACAGTAGGTCCTACATACCTTGTAAGCAATAATGATTGAGCTCTATAATCTCAATAAAAAATTAAATTTTAAAGATGCTTCTTTAAAATCTGGATTCAATCTGGATTCAATTTGGCGAAAATTTGGCGGCTTCGCTGTCGAAATGCATATTGAGGTAGGAAGTAAAATAAGACAAATCGATTATGAACAACGTTTCCGGCCTTGTTGACAATGAACGAGATAGACTACGCGCGCATCACTCTCACAAACATAAAGTTGGATTTATAATAGTTGGGGTTATTAAGCTTGACTTGAGTTGCCTTCAGCCTCGTCTTAACTTCGGATGCTTATCTTGGCTTGAACAATTTTCCAAAAAACAGAAAGTAAAAAAAAAAAAAAAAAAGCCTGACATCATAGTCTCTTCTCATGATACCAGAATGCAACCACCCACAACACATATATCCCGCAGCTCATCTTTTCAGGGCTGTAGCATGCGAAGGACGCGCCACCAGTTGTTCAGTATTTTGTTCGCGGTGGATTAGATCCCCAATGCGGCCCTTTGATTGGCCAAGTCTAATCAAACACGGGCTGCGACACGATAAATGTTGATGCCTCGACTCAACTTTGACTTCATCTCTTCTCGTCTCCACGTGTTATCATCAATGCCGTTTTCTGAGCATCAATTACCAAAAAATTGATCTGGAAATGGGCGTCATCGCATCCACCCTTCGCGATGGGTATTTCGGCATCCAAGCTCTAATAGCCGATCTGTCTACCTCAAACACAGATTTCAATGCTCTTCTCGAGCGCATTTCCAAACCTTCACTCCCATGCTCTAATCCAACAGTCTCGTTCTGGCAGCAGAATCCAATATTTCCAGAATTGGTAAATATTCAATCGGACACCTTTCCCGAAAACGCGGATATCGTTATTATCGGGTCGGGTGTTTCCGGTGCCAGTATTGCATATACGGTTCTCACGGAGCTGCAGGCCAAGGGGAGCGGGATGATACCTAAGGGCTTCAAGTTGGTTATTTTTGAAGCAAGAGAGCTGTGCAGTGGTGCTACTGGGCGAAATGGGGGTCACATTAAGCATTCCCCTTACTACACCTACGCCGGATATAAGAAACGATTTGGTAGAGAGAGGGCGAAAAAGTTACTGCAGTTTGAGCGATTGGCATTTCCTACGCAACTTGGTCTAGCGAAGGGAAATGGATTTGAAGATGCAGAGGCACGCGAAGTTGAGACTCTGGATATTTTCGCCGATGAAGACATGTGGAAGAAAGCGAAGGAGATGGTTAAACAATTATCATCTGATAACCCTGAAGCAGCTGAGGATATCCAAATTTATGAAGCGGAAGACGGGTGTCAAGTGAGTGCCTTACTGTCCCCATTTCTGTTTGCAGCCGGCTGACCAGATAGAAATTTGGAATCAACCCTGATCAATGCTATGGAATCTTGGCTTTCCGCGCTGGTGCAATTTGGCCATATCGCCTCGTCACTTCTATCTATTCATTGCTGTTGAATGAATTCCCGTCGGTTCTTCAAATCGAAACTCGCACACCAGCGACATCAGTTGAAACAAATACAGATTCAGAAAGACCCTTCTCAGTTGTCACACCACGAGGTAAAATAACCGCTTCGCATGTCATTCACGCAACGAATGCATTTGCTACCAACCTAATCCCGGGAATGAATGGGAAGCTCCTTCCTGTGCGAGGCCACATGACAGCCCAGAAGCCAGGCACTTCTTTCCCCGACCTGAATGGTTCGAGATCGTGGGGTATTGTTCATAAGCGAGGATTCGACTATGTTACACAAAGACCTGGATCTGTGAAGGAATTAGGAGATAGCCGCCTGGGTGGAGAGCTTATGGTTGGCGGCGGAGTCATCCAATCGCCCAGCCAAGGAATCGACGAATTCGGAATCTGGAACGATGACAAGATGAGTCTTCCTATTACTGCCTACCTGACTGGCCTTATACCAGCAGTCTTCAATAGATCGACCTGGGCCCCCAGAAAGTTGGAGGTAAAACAGGTATGGTCTGGAACGATGGGTTATACCGCTGATGAATTACCGTTTGTGGGAAAGCTGGATCCGGGGTTAACAAAACGCAAGGTTCGAAGGCCAGGGAGAAAGTCTAACCAGAAGCATATCATTGAGGGCGACGATGCTCAGCGTATCCGTCTATCCGACCCCGCAGAGTGGATTTCGGCTGGGTTTAATGGAGAGGGGATGATCTACGCTTGGCTTTCGAGCGTAGCTGTTGGCTTGATGGTTTTGGGTGTCAATGAAGAACACCGTCAAGGTCGGCCTGGGATTCCTGAAGGGAAGGTTTCAGGTTGGTTGCCTGAAGAGTTGATCTGCACGAAGAAACGGGTGGATAGGTCTAGTATTGTTCAGCTGGCTTTGCTGATGTGAAATTTCAATGGGTGTGTCACTATCTGAGTAGCTGTCTGATAGTGAAGTGTATGCCTGTACCTTCCATCTTGTCTGTTTTCACTTCTTGTGACCATGTACAGGCTAAGTGCCTAACTATACTATAGAAACATTGATCTATAACTATCATTGAGACCCATTCCACATTCCCTTATAGGAACACCCCCGGCCCCTATAGAGGGGATTCCTAATTTTAGAGTATAGTTGCTGATCACTCTAGTAGGCAGGCTTAGTGTGTCACACAAGTCAAGTTCAAGTTAGGATTTAAGACTTGACTCACAAGTTAAGTAGTGATTTAGGGCTTAGACATATATAAAATAAATAATATGTTAAGTAAGAGTTAGTATTTTTACTATATTTTTAACCTTCCTCTATATAAAATAGGTGTATCTTTGATATTATAATGTCACGGGCTAAATACCTTCAACACCATGTCAACGCTCGACCTCAGTTTGATGCCTGGTTGACCGCCACACACATAAAGATTAATAAGAGCTAGTGCTTAATAGAGACTAAAAGGAGATGGAATCCATACAGATTAATCCATGGTGAATTTACTGACAGTGCTGGAAAGGAGACTGCCAATCTATAGTATTTCTTAGTTATAGATATTCAGTGTTTAGCCATAACAGAAACAGACGTCTTTTCGACTGCCTCCACACCCTCGATAACATCATCCTCTACCTCAAACGGCCAAATACGAAACAGTACCCAGTACACACTTCCAGAAACAAGGATACTAACCAACCAGCTCAACGAGTATAGATATTGAACCCCCTTGGGAACACCAGACTGCCCACATGCAGCTGCCAGACCTGGTAGATTGGGCGCGATACCGAGTATGAAAGCGATAATAGCTCTCATGTTCACACCGTGCGTGAACGAGTGTGTACCGTGAGCGTTGTATAATGATTGAATGCGCAGACGGCGTCGACGACAAATCCAATAATCGACGATGATGATACCAGCCAATGAGCCGAGGAAGAGCGAATACCCACCGAGAAATGAGGAGAACGAGGCAGCTGAATTCTGGATATACCACGGCATGGACAGGATGCTTAGTAACGCACACACATACGCCCCCCGTCGGGCGTCAATATACCGCGGAAACCAGAGAGACAGATCATTCGAGAATGAGACACTGTTGGCGGAGATGTTTGTGCCTATCGCCGCGAGGGACCAGCAAAACGCTGCAAAGAACTGCGCGGCACGATTTTCCCACAACACTGCCACCTGGAGGGGATTCCACGTTGTCACCCCGTAGATGACCTCAGATGCACTGGAGACGGTGGCGCCAAGGATACCGCATAGCGAGACCAGAACGACCAGACCAACTGATTGAGTCCAGATAATCTCGCGGGGATAGCGAGCGTATCGTGTGAAATCAGGCATGTTGAGAGCCAGGGTGGCTTTTGGTCCAATGGTGCTGGTGACACATTGCAAAAAGACCACCGCGACGGGTGTTCCGTCAGTGATATGACTTGGTTTTGAAAATACGGGACCGAAACCGTGTGCGGCAGCGACTGCCCAGGAGAAAAGGACGATGCCGAAGATGGGCATGATCCATGTTTTGATGAGAAATAGGTATCGAAGACTGGAGACGGGGAGGTAGAGGAAGGGGAGCTGAACTATGATGGCGAGGAAGAAGCACAGCAAAGCCGAAGAAGTGATGGGAGATGAAACAGGCAGATGGTTGGGAAAGTGGTTGAACGATGGCCAGATGGCGCTGAGCATGGTGGAGATGCATTCGCCTGTTTGGTATGTCTGCGTGCCAAACCAGATGACAGCCACGATGCCTCAGACTGAGGGGTTAGCATTAGTTATAATGATGGAGGGAACATACCAAATACAGCAAAGTAGCTCCCTCTGATACCGTAGCTTGCTCTGGTTAAGACAGGAAAGTTGATTCCGTAAATACAGCCGACGTATCTATCTCATTAGCAGGGCCAGAAAAAGGGATGAGACGAACCCATCGAGAATGACTGGAATGCAGACGAGAACATGGCCAACAATGACAGCACCAATGGCCATCGGAGCACTCAGTCCTTTGGATACAGATGTTGAAGTCACTGAAAGGTTAGCGAATGTCTGCCATATAAGAATAATCATACCTTGATACATGCTAATACTGAATGCCTCTGCAATCCAGAATCCTGTAAGAGAAGGCCATCTCCACGTCCGACTGGGAGAATGAAGAGGAACCGGGTCGAGATCAACATTCGATTCGACTCCATTTGCAAGCGACGAATCGCCTTGCTGAACCTGTAGTTTCTTAAGTAAATTCATTGTTTTACTGGCAATCTGAGGGGAAGTGCACTGTTTATATGCAGCTATCAGAGATAACCCCATTCCTGGCTGCACGATAAGATATCCGAATCTGGTTTGTTCTTTGGCTGCTTATCTCGGGACTGACTTTCCGTCTTATTCCTGCTCTATTCATATGGATGAAACTCGTTTACAAAAACCTCTCGCGGTTTACTCAGTGTGCTCATGCCCCGCTTCACATATCTCCCCTCACCTTTGCCATTTAGTAGCTCCTCGTCTCGGTTCCATATCACCTTTCCGCGTAGTATAGTATATCGGGGCCAGTTATTGAATTCCATTCCCTCGAACGGAGTATAGTCGATATCATGGTGCAACAAGTTATTATTCAGCTTGAATGGAGTCATCATAGTACTACCATTCGTAGCAGCCTGTTCTGCCGTGGGATACCAGATTACCAGATCAGCGTCATAACCAGGCGCAATTGTCCCTTTGCAGTGACCGAGTCCGTATAGCTTTGCAGGATTCGAACTGGTCAGCTCGACGTATTTCGTTACTGATAACCGACCAGTCAATACCCCTTCACAGAATACTGTGGGCATTCTGGTTTCAACGCCAGGCAGACCGTTGGGAATCTGGGTAAAAGTGGAGGTCCCTTGCTTTTTGCCCAAAGGATGATCAAATCTAGAATATTAGCGAGGTTATATACCCGTGGATGGGACATACTTGGAAGGTGCATGATCACTAGAGACGGTCGTGAATGTTCCATTCGATAGACCATCCCACATGGCCTGCAAATCCATCGGATCTTCTCGCAAAGCAGGCGAACAGACGCATTTTGACCCGTGGAAATCATCTCCACGCAGCCTTTCGCTTGTCAGTAGCAGATAATGAGGGCATGTCTCCGCGTGGACAGGAAGCAACCGAGTCTGAGCCTTTCGTACATGCTTGGCCGCGAGTTTCGACGACATGTGCACGATTAAGATAGGAACATCCGCAAGCTCTGATAGTGAAATGACACGATAGGTCGCCTCGTCTTCTGCTATATTTGGACGAGCCAGTGCATGAGCGTATGGCTCTACCCGACGACGACCCTCCAGTTTCGTGGTCATCCATTGGATCATTTCTGAGTTTTCAGCATGCACCATGGTCGTCATGCCCAGTCGCCGGGTGGTTTCCATCACATGCAGAATCTGGCCATCGCCCAGTTTCATCGGTTGATAAGTCATGTAGATCTTGACGGAGGTGATGCCCTCTTTGACAAGCAGCGGAAGCTCGTTTTGCAAAATATGCTGTGTCGGGTTCGTCAAGATCAGGTGAAACCCATAATCGCAATGCGCATCCACTGCCCGTCGATGGTATTCCTTGATAACAGGAATAACACTCTCATCAGTTCGTTTCTGACTTGCAAACGCAAGAACAGTCGTCGTGCCCCCTGCAATGGCGGAGCGAGTCCCAGTCTCCCAGTTGTCGCCGGTTGGACTGTTGTCCTGCGCGAGATGGACATGGGAGTCTATCCCTCCTGGCATTACATAGCCTCCTTGGGCGTCTAGTGCTGGTGTGGTTGGGGAGATCGATTGGAGGTTTTGTCCCAGCAGGAGAATCTTGCCATTTGAGATGGCGATTTCCTGGTTAGGAATGATGTCGGATGCGGTAGCCTATAGATTAGCATAGATAAGAGTGTTAGATAGAAGACGTACAATAGTAGCGTTGATGATGATGAGATCGATTCCTGTGGTGACCTTCATGTTGCTGATATTATCTATCATTATAATAGTATGATGAATGTGATATCTTAAATATCCTATCTTTATCGCGACTCCATCTACCCCTCACTTTATCATGAGATCTTGATAAGATATATGCAGGGATACTCCAATTTGGCCAACGGGTGCAGGTCAATGATAACGGATTTTTATCCGGAGATGTATTTATTCACCATATACTACTTTGTAATGTATCGTCTTTAACGTACCATCTTGCCACTATTTATCATCAAAATGTCAAGAACTATTCGTATCGCCGCGGCCCAGATGGGCACGACCAACAAATGGGATTCCCGCGAAGCAACCATAACCCGGATGCTTCATCTTCTGCAAGAGGCATGCAACCAAGGAGCTCAGTTGGTTCTATTCCCCGAAATCGCCTTTACTACCTTCTTCCCCCGCTATCTGATCTTCGACAACGACGAACTGGAGTCCTGGTTTGAACATGGCGATATCCGCACTGCAGATAATACCAGGGCCCTTTTCGATGCTGCGCGAGAATTGTCTGTTGATATCTGCGTCGGCTTCGCAGAAGCTACAGACGATGGACAGCATTTTAACAGCTGTGTCTACTACCATGCTACCACTGGGTCAATCCTGTGCAAATACCGCAAGATCCATCTTCCGGGAGACAAAGAACCACTCCCAGATCCAAATGCAGTCAATCAGTTGGAGAAAAGATACTTTCTTCCTGGAAATCTGGGTTTCAACGCTTTTCGAGTACCGGGTTTGGTGTCGTCAGACCAGCCAGATCCCATTTTCGGCATGATGATCTGCAACGATAGGCGCTGGGCGGAATCATGGCGTGTACTCGGTCTCCAAGGAGTTGAGGTCGTCCTGGAGGGATACAATACCAACGCCAATGCCCCTGTTTTCTGGGGAATTTCTGCCGACATGAAGCCTGAGGAAGCAGAGGAATTATCTCTCTTTCATCATAAGCTTGTTTTACAGTGTTTCTCATACACGAATGCAACCTTCTCCGTCAGTGCAGCTAGATGCGGCCTCGATGATGGGAAATACCCTCTCATTGGGGGCTCGATGATCGTCGATCCAGAAGGGAGAACTATCGCCGAGAATAAAACGGTTGCAGATGAGGTGATTATCGCAGACTGTGATTTGACTCTATGCCGTGCTGGAAAGAAACGAACATTTGATTTTGCTCGTCATCGCAGAATTGAGCATTATGGACGGATTACCGCGCAAACAGGGGTCATTGAACCCCCTCTTTTGACCGATTCACCAGAAGATAGTATTGTGAAGAGTAACATCAAGCGAATCCTCCTAGTCAACCCCAACTCGTCCAAATTCATAACGGACAATTGCCTGGCGATCGTTAAGCCGACGTTATCACCAGACGTGCAGGTGGATGGGTTCACTGCCCCAGTTCCTGCACCGACAGCTGTTGAAGGCGTCCTCGATGCAGTCATGTCAACGGCAACAACAATCAGAGCAATCCTATCCCAAACAGACCAATACGATGCATTCCTCGTCACATGTTACAGTGACCATCCCCTCATCCGCGCTCTACGCGAGGAACTTTCCGCCCCAGTGATTGGAATCATGGAAGCAAGTCTGTTTGCTGCCAGGACGGTTGGAAACCGATTCGGCGTTGTTGCTACCTCATCCCGATCGACTGTTTTACATGAAGATGCAATCCGGCATTATGGCTTCGATAGATTTTGTGTCGGAGTGGAGAGTTGCGGATTAGGGGTTTTGGGATTGGACAATCAGGATGAAGGAGTGGTGTTGCAGGCTATGAGTGAGGCTGCCACACGACTTGTCGAGAAGGGAGCAGATACAATTACGTTGGGGTGTGCTGGAATGGCAAAGTTGAAGGGCGTTGTAGAAGAGGCAATTGGGGAGGATGTGCAGGTTGTCGATGGCGTTGTTGCCGGAGTGCATCATCTCATTGGGATGATTAGAATGGGAAGCAAGACTGCTAAACGGGGGGTTTATACAAGCTCCAGAGAGGGGAGAATGGCTCGAAAACAGGACTTTCTGTGATTATATTGGTCTATAGGTCAAGATAGTTTTGGATTCCCTCCTATCAATATTATATGGTTATCCGTATATTGTTTATACCTAGTGGGATCTACATATATTATGTCTACAGGGTATCAATAATACTTTCCTATTATTAAGCTATACATAGGCTATACACGGGGAAGGTGGGGAAGTTCATAGCTTTTCTCCAATGCTCGGTCTTAACTGACCTTTCCGCATGTTATGACAGGACTTGTGCCCGTAACAATTCTAGAATGATCACAGCCGCCACCCACTCTTTCTAGTTAATTATCCATATGAAATGAAATTAAAGCTCTTTAGTTATCACATTGCTCCTATTCCATGTGAGGAACACTTTATTCTATTCTAAATTAGAACGTGGATATCATGACTCACTAGTACCTGTCACGGACCCACCGTTTCCCCTGGCAGCCGCACTATTGATAAGGTTTGCTTTTGTTTAACCTCAATAGGAGTCTCGTCGAGATGACACTGCAACTTATGTGGATGATAATATCATAGTTGCCCCTTATGTTCAATAAACTGGTGACAGAAAGGGGTTTAAATAGATGAATCAGTCACAAAGCCTTGTGCTAGATAGGCCTGTTTGTGGTTGTATTCTGGTTTAGGATATTAATCAACTCCCTGGGCGACTACCAGATGATTCAATAGCACATTCTATTCTCTCTATACAGCTTCATAACAGCTCCCACTCCCAATCTCCAGATCCAATGGCATAGCTACGGGATTATCTACAGCCAAGACCGTACCACTCTATATTCTCCTTTTGTGGAAGGCTTCCTCATCCTGAACTTCTTCCTGAGATAGAGATTTCCATAGGGATTCATAGCTTCATATTGGTTAGCTTTATCCCATCCCAATCTGCGTTTCTTTCCTCATAGTAGGTTTGTCATATCATAACGTTGTGTATCTCATCTAATCTAGCATCTTGTCACTGGTGATCAAACAAGCTGCCTCGGTTTGGGTTATGCCGTGCCATCAAGGCCCCAACAGATGAGGAAGTTCAATTCCGCTTAGCCCGTTTCTCCAGCAGGAGCTTGCCCGACGGCCTTTCATCGCTGAATCCGGCAGCACGGGTGAATATCCGCTCACCCCTGAGCCAAGTCTCCCGAACAACACCCCTCAGTTTCTGGCCTTGATAAGGCGAGATCTTATTCCGGAACAGCATGGTAGATTGCTCGACAACCCACTCGGCGGTGTCGTCGAAGACGCAGATATCCGCGTCCATTCCAACGGCCAGGTCACCCTTCTGCTTCTCCAAACCCACCTGGGCGGCGGTATTCATACAACAGAGCCGGACGATATCCCGGAGGGCACGTTTCGTACTCTCGCCCTCCGGCGCAAATGTCAGATTATGCCTGCGGCTGAATTCGGTCCACAGGATCGGGAGTCCCATACCGACAGAAGAGACACCTCCCCAGGCTGTGAGGAAGCTGCCGTTGTGGGATGGAGCATCCGTGTGGGGAGGGATGTGCGGCGGGAGGAGCTTGAGATCCGGCGTGCAGGGCGAATGGTCCGAGACGACAGTCTGAATCACGCCGTCGTCTGGGTATCGCGCTAGTTCGGCCCACAGGGCATCCTGGTTCGCTTGGGAGCGGATGGGTGGGCTACATTTGTAGCGGGTGTCACCGTTGCGAATCTGTTCGGCGGCCAAGGAGAGATAATGGAAGCAAGTCTCTGCAGTGATGTGCACGCCTTGTGCGCGGGCTTCGCGCAGCATCGGAATGGCCTCCATGGCGGAAAGGTGGACGATATGCAGGGCGAGCTGGGGCGCCAAGTGGGCTAGGGACAAGACCTCTGCAACGGCATTAGTCTCGTAGGTTGAGGGGCGGGATTCCAGGTAAGCAAAATAGTCGTCCACAGGTCCTAGACCCTATTCCATGACAACCTACCCGGGTAGGTTACATAGTAAAGAGGTCTTGGCATTCTGAGGGTTAAGGGGTAGGTTGACAGTTAACTTAACCTACCCTCTATCTCCATGAATACTGCATATATTAAATTGATAAATATACCATTTTATTCACTAAATTAAGGGCTTTCTATTGGTCATATTCTCATTTAAATATATTGAATATTCATGGAGATATAGGGGGGGTAGGGGTAGGCCATATTTTTTGTTGGGGTATGCCAAGAAAATGACCTGCGGGTAGTCTATACCTAATTAGGCCACCACCTATATAGAGGGGATGCCTAAGGCACCTCTCTAGCAG